AAGAGTAAGGCGAGGAGGACCCGCACAAGAGTAAGGCGAGGAGAACCCGCACAAGAGTAAGGCGAGGAGAACCCGCACAAGAGTAAGGCGAGGAGAACCCTCGCAGTGAGACGAGGGAAAGCCTAGCAGTAAGGCGAGGAGAACCCCCCGGCGTGAAGCGAGGAAAGGCCCAGCAATAAGGCGAGGAGAACCTCAACGGTGAGACGAGGAGAACCATACCGCTAAGAGAAGGAGAATCCAAGGAGCAAGGCGAGAATAATCCTAGGAGCAAGGCCAGGAGAATCCTAGCAGTCGGGGGACGGGAGCCGGCAATAGTCTTGCAGTATCCGCTTGATGGGTGAACTAGCTGTGGGAAGGTCGAACTGCCGCTGTACGACAGAGGTATAAGGCGAGGAGAACCCGGCGGTCCAGGGCCAAACCCAAAACACCTGGACGCCAGTCCTAGCTCCTACTCTTTATCAGTATGGTGCTGCATCTTGCCATCACTGTGCGAGCACTTACAATCGTCGCCTTTTTTCTTTTTTTTTTCTTTTCATATTTTTTTGGTGTTTCGAGAATTTTCAAGTTTTTTTGGCGTTTGCCAAATCGGCAAAACGCTGCAGTTTCTTCTGCAGGGAGCCAGACAGATGCCACTATCTCAGGGGCAGGCACGGCATTTGAAGAGGGTGGCGCCTCTGCCTTCATCTTCTTTTTGGCAGGAGATGGTTCTGGTGGTTTTTCGGCATCGTGAAGCTGCCTCGCGGTTATAAAACCGGTCATTGGCACTTCCACCGGGGCTTCCACCTTTCTCTTTCTTGTGGGAGGGGGAGAAGGCGGAGGCGGGAGAGGAGGATCGGCTGTAGAATCCGGGTTAGCTTTGGTTTGTAGTAGGACTCCCAGGGTATCATGCCCATCTCTTCGTCGGCAGGGGTGACCACTTCGTCTTCAAGTGGAGGAGATGAGGCGGTGGGAGGATGGCGGACGACGTTCCAGGTCGCTGGCGCAGGAGGGATTCTCGGTGGAGGGCCGTCTGGAGTCTCATCGTCCATTTCAGGAGGATGGAAGGTGAGGGTCTCCAGCCCTCCATCCTCAGTTCTTCTGGTGAAGTTCCACCGGACAACAAACTCAGACATTTCATACAACATACACTTGAGCACCATGGAGTCCGCACTCAATGCGCTCAACTCACCTCACTGTTTCGTGGCCACGTGACCGCCAAGGCCGACTAAGCCATAGTCCTAGGGTACTCGCCTTCGCCAACATGGTCTGCGCTGACCTTCGCAGCGTCCGTTCAGTCATGCCATGACTCTCTCCGGTCCACAGGGTCCAGTGCTTGAGCAAGAAGGAAAGCAGGCCATTTTGAGAAGACGTTGCCCATCAAATCAACGAGCTCTGATGAAGGGTGGGCAAAGGGGGTAATCGAAAGGGCAACCTGCCTCTGAACTGCAGCGTACTTTTCATCGGGCAATGGTCTTGCCTGGGATAACCGGCATGTTGAAGGGGGCTTTGGATCAGGGAAATTGTGATCGAACAGCCAAACCAACATCCTTTTGCTCAAAACACTAACTTTCAGCTCATTTCAAGTCTTCCAAAGTCTCCATGCGGACTTTCATTCGTTTCGAGCCTGATGATCCAAGGCCACGGTCTTCCATGGCCGCGTCTTCATTAAGTTGCGACAGAGCAAAACAAATGATCAGCGCCTTAATCAAATGTGCGTACCGGTATCAAGCCTGACAAGCCTTCCATGCAGAGCGCATGATACGAATCGTGAACCCGACAGCAACCCGTTGTGATCTCTCATGTTCAATGACCCCCATCGGCATATCCAGTCTTCACCTGCCACGGTACGTCGATCAATCAAACAAGTGACGACCTATGCGGCACTACCTGTCTGAGCTCATCCATAAAATCCGTGGCCAACCACGATATTGATTTGCTCAATGAATCACGCCATCTGTGGTGAACTATCAGACACGGCGCCCAATGCATGTTCTATGAGAAGCGAACCCTTGGACGCGACGTTGTCTGACGCTCAGATCAGAAGGTAGATGGGGAGGTTCGTCGAGATTGTTGTGAACGACAGTGCCAAGACTTTATCCACGTGACTATATCGACTCCTGGCAACTCTGCGGAGTCAGCAAACGGCAGTAAATCGGCTTCAACTGAGCATGCGTTCTATTGGGTTTCTGATGTCCGCCTGGGCTCCAGGCTGACAAGATTGTCTCCGTAATTCGTCGACATGATTGGCTCGATGGCTCTTGTTTCAGCCGGCAGTATATGGCGCTGCCCAATCAACGGTCAGATTGCCACACCGCCTTCAGTCCGAACTGGGAGGCGGCGAGAAGAATTTTGAGATTGGCCCTTCTCCCAGTCTATAAGTACCTGGCCCTCTCCCACACCCTCTTTGAAACCCGATAGCTCTGCAAGTTTGCCCGATCCCGCTCTTTGGAACTTATGCTAATACTTTGTGCAGCTTTGCCTTTTGGCTTAGATCAAGTGTAGTATCTGTTCTTTTCAGTTTAATCTCTGAAATCATCCTACGGGATGAATCACTGATTATTCTTATTTCTGGACCTCGCTGTGAGACCCCTCTGTGCTTGCGCATGGGTCTCTGGCACCGTGTCCGAGGCCTTACACTGCTGCCTTGCGATGCGAACAACCAACCTTTTCATCAATTTGTCTTTGCCTTGAGCAAAACTTTGGAGAAGAGTCAGGACAATGGATATGTGGAGAATGGAGTGTTTGAGCCATTTTTGGAGGGACGGAAGTGAGAAGATTTTGAGGTATGTATGTTGAGTGGCCGCATACATAAGCGCTCGCAAGCATCTCACGAAGATCGTTATGGTCACATACAATCGACTCGCACACCTCAAGACATGAACTCGTCAGAGCTACTACAGCCATCTCTTCCCGCTGCTGCGGCGTGCCGTAAATGCCTTCCAAAAAATTCCCACACGTAGCAATGCAGACTGTAAAACAAGACCGAATTCATCATCCAGGAACACCATAGTAATTCTGCTCTCACCAAATTTTACCAAAACCATCCCATCATTTAATACTTGTCCCTTCAATTCCTCCTCCCACTCCTACGCCATTCAAAAATGTCCGACGACACCACCATGACCACGCCCGCACCCGCCGCCCAACCCGTCGACCCAGCGATTTTCACCTCCCTACAGTCCAAGATCGACGAAGAATCCTCAATCCGCGATGAACTCAAGACGCACGTCGAAACGCTCTCCAAACAAGGCCGCCTCACTTCATCCATCCTCTCACGCATCCACAACACGCCCACCGCGGAACTCGAACGCGCAGTCCTAAATCCAGCCTACGCCGCCCTGGCCCAACAAGCCGGCACAGTCAAAGATCTAGCAAGTTCCGCGTCTCGATACCCATTCTACAAATGGAACACCATCTGGCAGCGCGACATTCAGACCGTCATCAGCTCCATGCAGATGGTGGACTGGCTGCAGACAGGCAAGCTCGTCACAATTGAAGACGTCGGGCAGAGACTTGGTGGTACGTTGCTGGCTCTTTCTCTCTCATACAAACACATTCCCTCTCCCTTCTCCATCTCTCGCTCAAGGAGTCAAAATTGACACATGCTGACACGGTGTAAATGCGAGTACAGTCCCCGTCAATCTCAAAGACGAAGACAAATTCCACATCACGATCGAAGACTACCTTCTCGCGCTGACCACGACGATCGAAGAACTCGCCCGGTTGGCTCCCAATGCAGTCACGCTGGGCGACTATGCCCGACCACTCCAAATTTCCAAGTTCATCAAGGATGTGCATGCGGGATTTCAGCTGCTGAACCTCAAGAATGACATACTCAGACGGCGGACGGATGGGATCAAATACAGTGTCAAAAAGGTCGAGGATGTGGTGTATGATTTGAGCCTGAGAGGGTTGATTCCCAAGAGTGATGCGCCGAGTTGAGAAAAGACTATATCACACCATGACACCCAGACATACAGCTGATTGATTGTTTTTTGGATTCGAAGATGCGTGCTTAATATCAAAGTACGTGGGACACGCCGCAGCCTACTGCCCGTGGTGAGTACTGAGGCCGCAGTCTGAAAAGCGCGGAATGGGCAGGAATACACAAAACAAAATCGGACACGATTGAATGAAACTTGAAGCACGCTTGACGAGTTATATGTGCTTTTGTTTTGGGTTCTCAAATACTCATTTTCGAGCTACGCAATTTGACTCCATCAAATGGAGCTAGAGGCATCTATTGTGCCGATATGATCATGATCCTTCCAACTTGCCGTCAGAATTCCCAAGCGCCTATACAATATGCCTGTTAAGGTATCCGTATTTATGGAGCCGTCTCCTTCTTCCATTCTGATCCATCAACTCTCGCACTGCTTTCTGCTGTAGCGGGCTCTCTCAGACCATCAGACGAGTGAGTCCCCAGCTTGACATTGACTCCACCGCTGCCGACGTTGACAGTTCGCTGGTCTGCAGATTGCAGGTCTGCACTTGCTCCTCCAACGGGCTGTTCGGGAAGAGGCAGGTTGGCTTTTACTCGGTCGATTTCAGCTTCTTTGCTTTCCTGCTCGGAGAGGATTGACTGGAATAGGTCAGTGCCTAGGTATTTGAGGGGCCCAAAGAGGGAGAGAAGTATGGAAATGACATACCTTCATAGCAGAAGTATCAGAGTCCTTTGGCGTCTTGCCGTCATGGAACTTTGATTCTCTGGATTCCATCTTGCGGACGTCTTCGCCGGTGGTGTGGAATGTGGATTCGGACATTTTTGATACGCGTAAAGTGTGTTGCGGTATGAAGTATGTGAAAGTCTTGAGTCTGGTGATTTTCTTTCTCGTCAATGAGCACTGTTTCAATGGACGAAAAGTACCAGGTGGAAGGGAGAAGGATATTTGAACCCGAAGAAGCTGTGCAAGCACTACGAGCTACGTCATCTGAGGAATTTGAACCACAGTCAATACCACACAAATGCCACTTATGAGCAAGGGCAGGCACTGGCAGGCAACGGTTACGAGTACCGATCGATCTCGAAACTTCGCACACGACCACCAGCCAAGGGGTCTTGCTATAATACGTCATTACGCGGTGAAATGTGCGCCGAAGAGTTGCTCGGAAATACATCATATATGCCTAAAGTGGTTTAGATCTAGAAACCATAAGCCCCGGAAAAGAACGACCGAGCGAATCATAGCGATGGGGTACCTGCTCTACATGGCGGAGCCTCACAAACAATCGATCACACAGTGTCACAGTACTATGTAGTCTCGAAGAGGCTGACATGAGGAGTTCAGGATGGCAAAAGCAAGTTCAATGGCCGGCCAGTTCCACTTCTATATTGTCGACGCAAAACTCCCAGTCCATGGACAGGTCGTTGTAATGAAAATCGGCCCATATCTCTAGCCTTTCCAGTCCATCCCAAACTTGTCCACTGAACTCTTCCAGTCGAACGTCGAGTACATCGTGGAAGCCGGCCGGGAAATCCACATCCCAGTTCAGAGTAGTACCTGAGCGGAAGCCTTGGAGGCTGATCGTGACGAGGCCGAGCGGCATATCAAGTGGCTTTATTTTCAATGCATGCAGTATGAATGTGCTGTCGTCGTTCTTGTCTCGAATGGATGGTCTCTTTTCAACTCCCGTGTTCAATCTGAAGTTATCTCTCGTGCCATATAGGGCGTTCGGCTTGGACACGGCGCAATTTACGTCTTTTTCGTAGATGATACCCTTCAGGCTTGCATCAGATGGGTCGATCGCATAGAAGCCATCAAAGAGGAGGCCATTATATGGCGCGGAGATATTTCCAAAACCGTCTGGTGTGTCGATGTCATCGAACTGCAACCGCTTCAGCATCCTGTCGAGCTATGGTGTTCATCAACATGGGCACCAACGGTGAGTATCAACGAGCCTTTGCGTAGTGATGCTTGCTCAGAGCTAGCAGAGACAGCGTTGAAGCAAAGACCAAAGACAAAGCATATCAAGACCAGAGAATGTAGCTTGAACATGCTTCGAGATAGAGGCTCTCTGGGATTTGACAAACATGAGACAATGGCCTTCGGAATGGTTTTGATGAGGTCATTCCAGTACAGATGGATGAATGCAGTAGCAAGGGATGAGATACAGTGAAAGATCTGATAGAAAACCATGTTGGCCGTCACTCACCGTGCATGCCGGTTCGTTCCTCGCCCTTGGTGCTTCTGCCAACACCAAACGGTCAGATAGAATGTAGACATTCTCTCCCTACATGGAGTTCAAAAGGCCACGCGGCTCGAAACAGCTACTGCGTAAATTCGTCAACACAAAAGGACCTGGTGAAGATCTGATGGGTCATCAGGAGATGTTAATGGCAGGAGATGCGGGACACGAAGAGTGTTGATTCGACAAATCGCACGTCATTTGAACCCATTGTGCTCTCCGCAGCCTCATTTCTCAGCTTTTTTACCCATACCCCGTACCTACCACCCAAACAGACCATCACCTGCTGTCGACTATCTCTTTGGGGCCGTTAGCGGCCGGGCATACTGCGCTCTTCCCTCCATCTCTCTTTCTCGCCGCAATCGACTAGTCCAACTTAGACTCGACATGCCCAGAGATCCCCTGATCGGCCTGGTAGGAAAGCCATCCTCGGGGAAATCTACCACATTAAACAGGTGCGACGGCACATCTACCTTCGCTACCTGTTCTTCTCGACTCACATCCTACGCAGCTTAACAGATGCTACGTCGAAAGTCGGTCAGTCCAGCCCAACCTGCGATATGCTTCTCCAAATCCTTGCTGCGAAGAGGAGGAGCCTTGAGGCTGATATGATTCCTGCGCAGGCAACTTCCCGTAAGCCCTCCGACCCTGCCACTCTCCTTACACCTCTTAACCCTCGCTCTGGCTAGTTTCACCACCATCGACCCCCAGCGCGCTGTAGGCTACCTCCAAGTCGACTGTGCCTGTGCGCGCCATGGTCTCACCGACCGGTGCCGACCCAACTACGGTTCCTGCGTGAATGGCAAACGTTCCGTCCCTATCGAACTTCTAGATGTCGCCGGCCTCGTCCCAGGAGCACACGAAGGAAAGGGCCTAGGCAACAAATTCCTCGATGACCTCCGACACGCAGACGCACTCATCCACGTGGTCGACGTCTCCGGCACAACCGACGCCGAGGGCAAAGCGACCCGCGGCTACGACCCCTCGGTCGACATCCAATGGCTGAGAGGCGAAATCGTACGTTGGATCCAGGGCAACCTGATGGAAAAATGGGGCAGTATCAAGCGACGGCACGTCGCCGTCAAGTCCACGGCGGTGGAAACACTACAGAACCAGTTCTCGGGCTATGGCAGCACAAGCGCAATCGTAGCGCGGACTCTGGACAAATTACAACTCAAACAGCCATTGGAAGAGTGGTCCGATGAGACGATATCAAAAGTCGTCAACGCGTTCACGGACGAGAAGTTCCCCACGGTGCTGGCGCTGAATAAAATCGACCACCCGGACGCAGATCGGAATATTGCCAAAATCGCGAAGCAACAGCCCGCGGAGAGCCTTGTGCTGTGTAGTGCGATCAGCGAGGTCTTCCTGCGACGACTCGCGAAGCAGGGATACATCAAGTACACGCCTGGCGCGGAGTATCTGGACACGAGAGAAGACCTGATCGAGCAGGGCGATCCCGATGGCGGCGGGTTGAAGGAGATGGACGACAAACTGAAGCAGCGGATCGAGAATCTCAAGGACATGGTGCTGTACAGGTTCGGAAGTACGGGGGTCGTGCAAGTGCTCACGCGCGCCGCGGCGTTGCTGGGTCTTGTCCCGGTGTTCCCCGTGAAGAATATACACACGTACGGATCCGGAACGGCGGGATCAACGGCCGTGTTTAGAGATTGTGTGCTGGTGAAGAAGGGCAGTACGGTAGCGGATGTGGCGAGGAAAGTCATGGGTGATGCGCCCATTGCGTTTGTCGAAGGTGATGGTGGCCGGAGGGTGGCCGAGGATCATGTCGTGAGTGTCGGGAAGAATGATATTCTCTCGTTTCATGTGGGGAGGTGACATCTTATTTCGACTGGGAGACGACGTGGGAAGATGACATGCCGTTTTCCGCCTGGGAGACGTGCATACTGTACCTAATGATACCAGATATATGAGTTCCACGAACTAGAAATCAATAGTGAGATGGCAAAATAATGTGGACGTTATAAAGACGAATTCAGCAATAAAGACTCGATGAGGACCATAATATGTACATGGTCAATGCAATCCAGCGCCCCGGCTGATGCTCTGCTCGTGGTTTCCCTCCCTTAGATGCTGCAGGAGTCGTTGTTTGTCTCCTGGCCGTCAGTTTCCGTATGGCAATGCTCTCATCCTCACCCTTTCCGGTTTCTGGATCACAGTACCCTACGTGAGGTCATCGTACGGAAGGGGGGTCAATGTCCTTTCTGTATGTGTATGAAATGTCAGCCATTCTATCAGGGAGTAACCAACGGGGGAGTGCCAAAGGGGATACGGTATAAGGTAAGGTAAGGGTGAAACTTACACTACCACGCTCCTCGTTCATGCCAATAACCGGCTCCGGGGCTTCAGGATGGTCCTCCTTGGCCCGTTTGTTATTGTCGCGCTCGTCCTTTCTCGAGATCGCCTGGCTGCCTTCTTTGAGTTGTTCGTGTTCTTTCATGCCTTCCTGCGCACTCTGGGCCTCAGGGTCGTGCGGCGACCGGTTCACGGCGTGGTCTTCCTTGGGCCGGCCTTCCCAGCCGGGCGTGCTGTCTGGGGCTTTTGCCAAACGACGAGTGGCGCAGGATAGATGTCGAGCCGAAGCCGAAGCCGAAGCCGAGGCAGGAGTCATGAGGCGGGCAGTGGCCGTTCTCGAGACGGAGACGAGTGTGCGAGGGAGTCGCGGCATGTTGACTTGGTTGGGTTGGGTCTGTTGTTGACACTTGACGAAGATGGTGGTGATGACTACCCCAGGAAGGTACCTAGGTATGCAAAGCTGGCTGGTAAGAGTGAGTGCTGCGTGTCTGAGGACTATGTTCTAGGTGCCTGAGGAAGTCCAAACTGAGGTAAGTAAAAAGCTCATGAACAGCAGAGGTTTGGGACCTGAGCTTAGTCTACACCAGTAAAGTACGAGAAGAGCACGAGTAGCGGGAATGCAGACTCGGATTCTGTCATTGGCACTGCATCATCCCAATGATCACAGACCATACTAACTCGTACAGTCACCATTACGAGCTCGTACCATTGGCATCAGTCATGGGAAAATGACGGACAAATGTTCCTGAGATTCTCCCGGGACGATGTCGAAATTATGACGACATTCATTTCTGTTGATCCGCCTCGGCATTCGAGTTGTTACATATTAAGTGGTCACGGGGTTCAGGGGGCGGGTGGCAGCTCTACCCCGGATTTCCACAGGGCCAGAAAAATACAAGGCAAGCGACAGAATTTCGCTGTTGGTGCAAGGCGTATATTCACCATGGTCAAGCTTGATGCACTGGAACTTCATGCTAGGTAGTAATCAAATAAGGAATGCCCGATCGTCAAGAAACACGAATTTCAACGCCTAAATGGCAGACTATCTGCAGAAAACAACCCAAATACCTTCGTACCGTCATCCAAATCTCATACAACTGCTCCCTGAGAAACTCACAATAAGTCTCAACCACTCGTAAATCATCCGTCTCCCAAACGTGGCCTTTTCCTCAGCCTGGTATCAATGTCATAAGTAGATCATGTACAAGATATTTTTTCGGCCACGACTCCTTTTCAACACCTGGGGGTATCTCGTCTTAACCTTCATTCCGCCCTCCAGGCGACTGCCCGGAGCTCCCTTTGCGCAAAGTATTCCAACAACCACAAACAGATTGATCTTCAACAACATCAAAAAAAAAATCAAGCTTCAATTGCATGTACATCAAATTCATCATCCACTGGAATGGTAATACCTCGATACGCCTCTGCCATGTCGAAACCTTCACCCGTAGCGGCTGATCCATTGTGGCTTGGAGGAGCGCTCAAGAAGAAGTCGTCACCACTTGTAAGAGATTCCTCAGAGAAACTCAACAAGCTTTGCGGAACTGGCGCTTTTGACGCGAATTCCATGCCTGAGAGGTTCCAAAGGTCTCCAGTCCATTCATTGCTTGGAATCTGGTAGAGTCCATTGGTCACAGTCATGTCGGAATACAGTGCTGAATTGTTGTCAAAGTTATTGAGAAGGTGGTCCCAGTTAGAGTCCGCCACAGTGGGTGTCGCATGCTTCTTGGGCGGCAACATGGTGCTGGAAGAAGTCCGTGTCTGAAAATCACCAAAGTCGTCACCGAGAGGCATATAATCCAGATTAATGGTCGGAGTGTCGATAGTCCTGCAAGTAGTCAATTGGTTCGGTGAAGCGGTCGTCATCGGCATGACCGGCGCCGATCGCGTTGACGACAGACTTGTTGTACTATTAGCACGATGTGGTTGCATAGGAGCAACAGGTGTCGCCTGAGGCACAGTCGCACGACGTGCAATGTCCTCGGCGGCGACCTTGTTGCCGAAGTTTGACCATTTCGAGGCGATTGCTTGCAGTTGTTTTCGGGTAGACTTGGATTTGGAATCTGACACCACCGCCGTCGCAGGATGCGTCCGTTGGATTGTACCCATATCCGAGCTCTTGGGTGACAATGCGGGTCGTGCTTCCATAGTGACATAAGACCCAGCCATCTTCTGGAACTCTGACGCCACAAGTGGACTTTCTTTTTGTATCATAGTAATGAGACCACTCAATGATTTCTGATTGTCCTTGACAACTTTGCTGTCCTCCTCCAAATCGAGGGACTGCCAGAGGATCGCAAGTCCAGAGGTCAGAAGAAGGTCAGTCTTGTTCAGGGGGAAAGTGTAGTTCATGCGGCGCTCCAGCAACAAATCAATAATCTGGAAGATGTGCTTGCCGGCTGCGGCAAGCACGATGTTGGCAGCGGAAGCAGCACTTCCGGAGCTGTGGCAAAGCAACGGCCTGTGGATCAGACTGCGCGTGTAGAAATAGGCGATGGACTAGGAAGAAGTCAGAAGATAGGACGGATGAAAAGTTCTGCATACTCACTAGCAACGGCGACCTGTCACTGATCAAATGTGTAGCTGGTTTGTCGTTCATGAACCGCAGGCGAAGATGCTCAGGCAGCTCTTCTGACCATTGATCGAGTTCATCGGAAAGTGCGTGCAATTTGTTCAAGGACAATTGATAAGTAGCTTTGGCAGGGTATAAATTGTCCAATGCTTTGGACAAGATTTTGCTGACACGGAACAGTGCGAGGGCGCTCGAGATCTTGGTGATTTCGCCAGGTAGGGTGGGCGAGAATCCTTGGGAAGTCAGATTCTCATCGTCCACTTCAGCCGGGAGTTCAGCTGAAATATCGTCGTCTCTCAGAAGCATAGGAGTTCCAGTGGTGGCCGAAGTGAACCTAGACACATGTCAGTACAGGAGTTAACAGCCACGGTTCACATTGGTACTTACTTATCAAGGACGTATTGACACCAGAAGACCTTTTTGCGGGTCTCAGCTTCCAATGTCGACAAACTGTGGTATTTGTGACCTTGGTGGAGACCGAGCTCATGGCACATTGTGACTGCAATACCTCTGTGGCGGAGCAGATGGGTAGCATCAGCTCGCAAAAGGTAGCAGATCTGAGCCAGTACGTGACATTGAAGGGTAGAAAGACTGGCAGTGGAAGATGTCGAATACAAAGCTCTTCGCCATTGACCCTCGAAGGATGGGGCATCCTTCTTCGAAGTGGTGATGTTGGACAAAGCAGAAATCTCAAAGATCAGGTACAATTGAGCCAGAGATTGCTTGTTGCTCTGCCAGTTGCCGGAGTCTGGATTGGAGACATATTGCTCGTATACGCGAAGGAAGGTAGGCCTGTGAAGCACTGGCAAGAGTGGCTGCCATTCCTGGAAAAATAGATCTGTCTCTGTAAGTGCGAGCCCAAAGATAAGAGACAAAGTTTGGACATACTGATAAATTGATCCGAGAGTATTCTCGGAGGGACCTTGGGTCCAGTACTGAGACCTTGTCGTGTTGGCTGAATGACATTTTGAAGGTCCGAAGAAGAGACTCCGGTAGTCTGTCGACCAGCTTCTTGAACCTTCTGATCAAAGGCTTCCATGAACGACGCTGTGGTTGATGAGCCTGTCGACGTGGCCTTGGAATGCACTGGCGCGGGTATCTCGACGTGCAATACTTCCTCCCTGTCGGATGCGACCTCGGCCTTCACGTCGGCGGCATGCGACGGTGATAAAGACGCCGAGCACTTCCGCGATTGTGGAGAGAAACTGTGTATGCGAGACAACATGTCAATCTTCTCGTCCTTCTCGTCGAGCAGGGCTTTTAGCTCCCGCACTTCGGCTTCGAGTCCTCGAACACGGTCTTCCAGGGACTCTGTGTAACCTCTTGGAAATGCTCTTCGGCTCAATTTGTCGCTGGTCTTGCATTCAAATCCGACATTGGAGCATTGCGTACAGGTTGGTCGAACACCGTCACATCTGATTTTCTTACTTCTGCACCTGTCGCACGCCTGCGCTATCCTACTCTGCGCACTGCTCCCCACCCTGATCATCTTCATCGGCAGGATGCCGGGCATGATGGCGAGTATGTAGAAGAAAGACTATGGCCGGCAATGCTTCAATAGCAGGGGCATAGAAGGGTAGCAAAGATGCTCGACGTTGGGAGGAACAGGCAATGAGAGTCTTGTTGGAGCTGAAGTGCCAAATGGTCTGGATCGAAGTGTTCCCTTCGTCAGATGGATTCAACTGTAAGATCCAAGAGATGGATGGGGCGAGCGATGCGTGTTATGACAGCATGCGAGACGAGAGGGTGGAACGATCCTCTGAATTTTGTCGGGGAGGGACCAGGACCACAAGGACGGTAATTGGATGAGTGGTAGGCCGCTGAGGCCGCCACGGAACTTTCTCGTGTGGAAATTCTTCGAATACGGGAGACTTGACAGGGAACCAACGACGGGAGATGCAGATTCTGGGGTGTGCCAGGAATGGCCTTGTAGGAAAGAGGAAAGGATGGTCGTGCGATGGATGGAAGTGGAAGAAGCATCGACTTCTGGGGATTGGACCAAAGAAGCCTGCGGAAGGTTCGGGGGACAATCAACGGGGGATGGAGATGCATATTCGGGGCATGGAGTTGCGAGGCAAAGGGGACCATCAGGACCAACACTTTGGGTGCCGGCGGAAGCTGAACCAGCAGCAGTCAGTGGAAGTCCAGGATACTACAGGGGTCCCTCTCAAGGCCCCTGTGGGTTCCTTAACAGGCCGCTAAATGGCTGGGCACGCACTCACCACGGACATGGGCTTGTGTGGCTTTGTCCATCAGCTTTAGTTACAGGTAGGCTTCGATCATTCTCTGTCACCTCCATCCAACTTCCTATGGGTGCCTACAACTCACCAAGACACTTGACTTCATTCTTACAACGGGCTCCATTTCCCCGCAATGTGCGCGGCATTCTATGCGGTGAAAGTCAAGGGATCATCATCGCCCTAGGTGCTATCCACCATCATTGTCTCAAAGCGTCGAAATTGAAGTTCGAATCGAGTTGCTCGACGCAGCCACCGCACATCCGAGCATCCCACAGCCTATCAAGAGTCAGACTCAAGACTGGGGCTCAACGGAGACAGTTCCACCAGGCTTCCACTCGATCTTCCCTCAATCCGAGCATCGCCCGCAAGTCTAGGCCCCTGCATCCCGTTGCATCATCTGCTTCACACCTGTCTTCACAGAGGTCACGCTGATTTGTCCGTGACCTCGATCTTTGCGGAACCGCTTCGAGATAGAAAATGCAGGGTACCTAGGGAGTACGAGTAGATGATCATGAAGCAATACGAATACATAATCGATTGTCTCTGAGAAAAACAAACTCGCCGACCAACCTGCGGCTGGGACTGAGTTCAGTGTACAATGTGCAGCTCCTTGTAAGCGGATCATGGACGAAGGGAATGTCACCATGTCGCCGGAAAAAGCAGATCTGGCACAGTACGAAACGTGCTGCAAATGGTGGGTCCAATGGCACCAAAAGGCCAATCAATGCATGAAGATGGATGTAGACCTTGCACGGCGTATCCAAATGTCAGCTCATCCAGTACAAAAACAAACGTCCTGTATCTCGGGGCCTCATACCACCTTGAGGTACGCTCCGAAGACATCCGCACCGATGTCTGCGCCACAAGTTGCAGCAATGCAGCCTTCACGAGAAATCCTCTGGGAATTCTCCAGGCGATGAATCTGCACCACTACCGCCGTGTTGCAAGTAAGCGCGGACGACCGTAGAATCAAGTAGTTGAAGCTTCTATGCAGGTGTTAGGAACTCCCAACAAGGCTTATCCTGGTAAAAGGACCAGCTTACCTGACGCTCTAGCGTTTCAAAGGCCCTCGTCAGTAGCTCCAGCTCCAGGCTCCGGAGTCTTCCGATCGTGTCGTATGTCGATGGCCTGATCTGAGGATTGGGAAGAGCATTTTCAAAATCATCTTCACTGGCTGCTAGACGCATCCCCTGCTCCTCAACCCTTTGCTGAACCAAGACAGTCGCACGAAGGACGAATATATCCCGGACAGGAGCTTCATGGAGAGTAGAGCGCAGGTCCTCAGCTTCAAGGTCGTTGTCTTTCCATGTAGCCTTGAGCTCCGTATCTCCGTCCACAGTCTGCTCCACTCGAAAGTCCAGGCCATCTTCCTGGTTGACGCACGCCCACCAGACGAAAGTACTGTCCCAGTGCACCTGGTCCGCATCATCCACATAGATCCTTACGCCTGGCGCTTCTTGGGCGAACCGGATCTTTGCCAGTCTGAAAGGGTCCTCGGCTGGAATGGACAAACTGAGGAACATCTCCCTGGCACTGCTCGCGTGGTCTTCCAGGAATCCATAGGAGAATATCATCTCACATGCCCCTCCTGCCCCGTACATGATCGAGACCTCTTCCCCAGCCTGGATGGATCTCTGGTCTCGCACGACAAGCAATACGGTACCAGCGTCTTCGTCCACTTCAAATCTTGCATTGTAGCGATCGTCGGAAGCGTGGTTTGCCATGTCAACAACAGCAACCATGCCAATACTAGATCCCCGTGGCAGGTCTAGGGCACGAGACCGATACATCGCATCTGCAAGCTTCCAATCTCCGATGTCCAAGCACCCTGTGATTTCGTCCCACCATGCTCGTTGGCACCACGGGATGGTCTCCGTTGCTGTTTTCAGACTTTCAAATTCTCTTTCGAGGCTGACTAGTTTTTGATCCAGGGCTTCGGCGAGAGAAGTGCCGATCAATAAGTCCCGCTCCTCTGGGGTGTAGAATGTGGGCAAGGGGATATCCTTGGGCAGAAACTTCACATAATCTGCAAAGGGGTTGTTGAAGCCGAGAGCATGGCCCTTGTTGTCCGGGCTGTTGATGGTCATTTGGTAGACCAGGAATAGTAATACTGCAGTGCGAGGTTTCTGTCATCAATGTGCAGAAGTCAGTCTGCTGGATCAATATAAACCTACCGTGTTGGCTAAAGTGAAGACAATTGCCTCGCACCCACCTGAAATAAAGATGCAGCTGCTTCTATCAGCTCTTTCAGATGCTTGTCTGATTTCGCAGCTTCCTCTACTCTCTGTTTTGACAAGACAAGATCCAGAGGCACCGCCACCAGGGGTTCTGCTTCTGCGTGGTCTGCTTGTGCTAGGAGTCCGCCTCCTTTGTCCACGCCGTCTGCAATGATATGAGGTTCTACCAAAACATCAAATAGCTGCACGTCATTGAAGTGCGACCATGCTTGAAGATTCTCAAGCGGCAAGGAAGTCTGCCTCATGTTGGCGTCTTGATCGGGACTCTAGACGGTCTTGTCGACACAACACCTACTCGACCACATCGTTGTCAAGCAATTTGAGAAAAGCCGGTAGAATATTGGCTGATTACATAAGGCAATATCTGAAGCGAAAACACCCGAACGACGCCACACACTGCCACCATTCTGGTCTTCCTCCTTTTACCTCTACCACCTTTCGAGACAAAGACAAGTTGACCTTTCACGCCCCTTCAACTCAAAATCCGGTTCTTGTGATCGTCAACATCGAGCCCTGCTATTGGTATACTCGACTTTCAAGATCTTCATACAATTCCAAAATTGGTGCAGTGCCTCCACAAGACTCAATAAACCCCGGATCTCATATCCAGCGTGCCAGGCTTTCTTTTTTACTGTGCGCTTGAAACGACCTCCTCAGTGATGTTTTACTCGAACGTTTCTAGGTTCGCAATGCTCTGCACTCACCGTTCAGGATGACACCCTGAAGGTCTAATCGAAAGTGTGCCTCTATCCTCTATGAACGAAGCTCTTCACCCTCGGAATGCCGCAAAGGCACGCATGACGTAGTCTTTTTCGCCAAAATGCGGAGAAGGCGCACAAAGACCATGTTGGTGGCTGGCTTGTCGATGCTGCCAATGCCATGGCGCAAGGTCGTCCCTTTCAGCAAGCTGACTTGTCAAGGAATACCAAGACCAGACGCTCCATGGCGAGCCGTCGCTGCATGTTTGACGTCCGAGCAGACAACTCCATGCAGAGGCTAGCTTTCCCAAGAACTGGGGTTGAAGTCTGGCGAAGCCATATCAAGAACTGATCAGCGAGCAGGATGCTCGCCCTTCTTCGTGGCTGAGCTAGCTACCGCAGTATTCCTTGACTGCGCCTTCACGCCAGACTACCCTTCCCGCCTCAGTCGAAAGGCATTTCACACTACCTGAAGGTCGGACGGTGAGCGCCATCCGCCGGAATCTGTGGGAACCGCGACAAACCTACCCTGCCTTGCTCGCTACACTTTGCCCTTATTTATCAAGAACCTCTGCGGAAAAGAGTACATGGATTTGGACAGATTTATCATCTCAGACAATTGAATGCGTGATCGCAATTACAGCGAACCATCTCATTCGTCGAATCCAGAGACATGACTACGATGATCGAACTATCTCGATTGTGTAGGAGTCCTCACCAAACGGCCGTGAGCAAAAATCAACCTGACATGGCTTGCTAGATCCTTCACTAGTTCAGTCCTTCTGTTAGCTCCATGATGTCAAAGTGACATATCATTTTGTGAGGTAGAAGCAACTGAAAGCAACGCCATGGGGATCTGACGATCCTGTTATCTAGCCATGCACCTTAGAAGTAAGTACCACTACTGATTGATGACGCACAGTGGCCGCACCGGAACCGACGAGAGCACTACTTCGCATGGTGAGGCGGTCACCGGACAAGACAAACTTCCTCATATAGGATATTGGTCCAATATGTCTCGGAGCGTCAAATGCAAACAGCCCTCGATCGTCCTAATCTAGCATCGGTCGAGCCAAGCCTCTCTGAAGGAAGACGAGACTTAGCAGCACAATTAGCGGCTCAAATTGCCCAATCACCACATCGAGTATGCAACGACGATTCATGCCATTCAGCCACCTGCTCTCAACTGTGCCGGTCCAAGGCAACCAACACTCAGCATCACTGGTGAAGGCTCTTGAAATGCCATTTGCAGACCTTATGGAACTCTCTGGTCACGGCCGTTGAACCACTGGTCATGCTCTTGATTTAAAAGCTGTCAAAGAATGTCTCAATGCCTCGGTGGTGAGCAATACACCATCATCCGCTGCATCTACCATAAAGGTCATTCCCGTTGTCGAACCATTTATCCGTCTCTCGGGATCGTCACTATCCAGCAGTCTCAATGGAAGTCGATATGACACTCGAGCCGACGTTCTTACCATGTTAGCAACGCAAGCGAAGGAAAAGTCTTCTGGTCTTCAATGACGAAGTGCTTTCGCCCTTACCCCGGTCCGACTGCTGGCGAGAGGAAGACGGAAAATAGTTGCACTGGAAGACGACATGTACAAGAATTTTTGGCAATATCGAAGCAAATTCGGACTGGACTACGATGCCCGGCCTTTACCCCGCCACCCAGACCGTGAAGGATCAATGTCGAAACCGTTCTTTTTCGAGTAAGGTCACGAGTGGTACGGGGAAAGAGCTTGGCGGCTCTTACACTCTGTGTCCTTTTGCTCGCTGTATGGTACTTGTAGACGCATTCCCAGAAAGACGTCCCGCTTTCCTTGGTGAAGCGAACCATCAGGGACTCTCTCCGAGGCATTGCTGCATTGCACGAGAAAGGGATTGTGCATACGGATATCGAGGCAATTAACATCCTGGTGGATTGAAACGAAACGGACCAGCAGCACAACAACCATTCGCCAGGTCCAAATTACGGACATCAAAGATGCTACGTTCGTTCCGGATCATTCTGCCATCGTTGGAAGGCAGGTTGGGAATTGGATGTGGCGGAGTCGTGAGGCCCATGCATCGGGTCTGGTTCACAAGCCATCAGATATCTTCTCGTTTGGTATTGGCGTAAGTTTGGTGCATCCGAAATATTCTTTTCATTGCCGACTTGCTGAACTTGCTGAACTTGCCGGAATAATAGCGTATATATGCCCTGACGAAACGGGTCATTTTCGCCGTCGCGGACGAAGAAGTCAGGGAAGGCGAGGAAAGCTCGCCGTCGTTCTCGAACGACAGCTGTCCTATTTCTCTGATCTGGAGAGTCTAGGCGGTCCGCTTCAGCATCTCGGAGACAGCAGCCCTTGGGCCCAAATATTTCACCGTGATCGCAGAGGGTTTCAACCAAGAGCATCCTCGGGCGCCGTTCGCGCTGTGGAAAGACGTCGACCCAGAGTTGCGGGGCCTGGTCGGCAAGATGACGAATACTATTGACCCAAAGAGGCGAATCACTGCCCATGAAGCTTTGTCACATCGATGGTTTGCAGACGTCGTGCGAAAGGGGACCTCTGGTTAACCCACTAGAAGATAGAAAATTGGGCTTCAGGCGGCAGGCATGACGAGCAGGTTTTCGCTCTCCCTCATTCTCGTCTCTGCCTTGGTCCGAACCCGCTCGACTTTTCTTGCATGCACCAATAACAGTACGGTATCCGTTGCTGAACGCCCAGGAAAAGATTCACTGCAATTCTCTGGGTTGCCGCGGTGTGGTCTAGGGAGAGATGCATGGCTGGTATTTAAGTGCGCATAGAGAGCCTATGACAAGTTAGCGACAGATACCTAATTAGCAGGCAGTGATGGACAGCTTCTCTAAGATGACGGGTTACGCTGTAGGAAAGCCTGAAGTCAAAAAGTACTATTGTACCTGATTCTTCGGATCTCCCACCCGATCCATCCAGGACATGACATGAAATGCAGCTGCTGACGACGTCCCCATAATCCACTTGAGAGCTACAAATACAAATACCCCATAAGAGCTTGCAGACATCTTTCTCTTTTCTTCCCAGTGATAAGGATCTCACACCAAATTTTTCCGGGAAGAACACACAACGATTTCCAAAAACGGCGAGAGAGAAACAAAAGCGAGATCCTTTCGATCTTGGTCTGAAGAGATGATGAAATAAACTTGCACGAAACAAAAAACCGTACTCCGTATTGGTTATTTGTTAGGCCCAACCCGGATCCCTAACGTGTTAGGGACCTGGTAATGAATGCCAGGAGTGCAGTATCTTCTGACTTCAGACCGATCGTCGTCTTTCTCTCGAGCCCTTTAAAAAATTGTAGCCTGCACTAGCTTAAGGTAACTACCTGAGCCTTGCAGTCTGCCGAGAATGCTTGTTTTTGTCGGGTATTGTACCTGGCTAAAGTATGATGCAAGGCTGCGAGCTTATGCTGCAGCACATAAGCTGGATCATGCCGTATTTCAAGGCGAAGCTGCGAGCGCTGAGATAGGCACATATGCCTGGGAAGTCGTCGGGCAGGTAGAGGGCGACAGCTGTCTCGCACGTCGCATTATACAAGGACCACTTGAGTTGAAGCCAAGCGCTGGGACTGGTGCAGACTAGGTAGGGTAAAGGATGCAGTCCAATCCAAGGCAACTTCAAGACAAGAACAGAAGCACAAGCAGAAGCAGAAGCAGAAGCAGAACCAATAAAGCATGAACCCCCTTTGAGATTAACAATGACGCTACAACTACAGCATGATACAGCATGACCCAAAAGGACCCCTCGATTGACAGCGCATGCAGATGCTCAGACTCGCTATATCCTGGAATCGTCGATCAATATCCAAGCCGTATCTAGGCCAGCAAACACAGATCCAAGAAGCATCAACCATGGCTAATCAATCCCGATTCATATATTAACAAGCTCTGTTATACCCAACGCTTCGTCCTGAAAGTCGCTGTTCTGCCCACCTCCGACAGATCGCTGGTAAGGGTATCTCGAAGTACAACCAGAAGATGAACCATGTTGACAGCTGTGGAGGGCGAAAAGGTCTGATCATGCCGCAACAGAAACAAAGAGAAAAGACATATGAGAACCAGACGTCAACGCCGGCATAATATGCAGGTCGAAAGCAACGAGATCGTGTCGTGTACAATTGTTGGCGGGCATTGGTCTTAGCTTGAGATGACGTAGGTTGCAGTGCCTGAAATGACGGAGACCTGAGAAGTATTATATTAGTACGGATTCGATTGCGAAGGGAGACTCAGACTTACAGTGCATCCTTGTGAGTTACATCCAGTGACGCCACAATACTGACCGTTCGAGTACTTGCAAGTGCCGGAAAGATTGCCTTGTAACTCTACGGTGCCTTCATATTGAGCGCTCGTCGTAGGCGAGTTTTGGAAAATTGACAGCCAGGTCTTGCCATCCTTGGCACCAACACCGAAGTTGATAGGGGCATAATTGCCCAGTGGTGTTCCTGGAGTGCCCCATTGGCAAGCTTTAGAGGCAGGGTATCCAATAGGGTTGAGGTAGTATTGAGCAGACGTCGATTTGCCTTGCCAGGTATAATATGTCGCGGCATCAGGTACAGTCAAGGCTTCCGTCTCACCAGGTTGAAGCTCCACAGGAACAGTTTCAGATTCGGTGCCAGGGTAATCGGTACGGCAGATAGCCACAACACCGCCGGCATTGTTGGTTGCCTGAACGCCGCCAACACCGGGAATGCAGAGCTTGCTGGAGAGGGCGGAGTTGGTCAAATGCAGCTTTCCATTTGAACACTGAAGACCACCAACTGATTCGCCAGATGAACCCTGGAGGTTGTTGGGCCATTGAGATTTTTGGTAGCCTGGCGGGCATGCGTAGGAACACATCATGCCGTCTGTGCACGAGTCACCGGAAATGCCGGTTACAATCTTGCTGACAAGTCCACTAACAATGTTCAGCTGCTGCAAGCCAGACCAGCCAGCCAAACCAAGGTAATCCAAAGAGACGGCACCATAATGGGATGGGAATGTGCTGCAATCAAGTTCACCATCAGGGAAGTCAGAATCGACTCCGCTGCCGCCAGAGTAGGAAGCAGTTGAAGATGCTTGGGCGGAGCTCCATGTGCTGCCGCTTGAGCTGCTTGAAGCGCCCCAGCTGGCCGAACTTGGCGCTTGCCAGAACTCGGCGGGCGTGCTACTTGCTTGTGCGGTGGTAGTTGTGGAGGCGGCGGCGGTGGTGCTGCTCGTGCTGACGGTAGTCGAGCTGGACGTGGTGGAGCTTGTCCAATCGACCCAGGAGCTGGTTGAGGCGGTCAAAGACGAGCAAACACCGGGATCCTGACCATCTACAAATTGGAGCTCTTTATCTTCGATGCCCTCGCAAACTTCTTCCGCAGAGATTGGCTTTCCGTCCAAAACATAGGCATATTCAGTGGGACCAGGAGCCCAGCTGGTGACTGTGGAAACATCACGGGCTTTGTGCTCGTGGAAGTGTCGGTGACCGTGGTTATGTGGTTGAGCGAGAACGACCGTGGCAGAGGCTGCCGTCAAGGCAATCGGGGTGACTTTCATTGCGACTGATTCTCAGTGATGTCTGAACGTGACTAGTCTCTCGAAGACTGGCGCTGTGGTATGAACGAATCTAAGTTTAGTCGGGACGGTTGGTGGTGAGAATTGACGGATCTGGAAACCATTAGTTTTCTTTGTTCCTCCCGTGTTATCGTCGACCCAACAAAGAGAGAGAGAACAAGCAAGGAGGCTCGCGGTTGTTCGCAGGATCAGAGGCACATACAAAGCCGAAGTCTCATATGATCAGTGCTGGAATGCTGGGCGCGTCGAGCGAGGGCGGAGGAAGGGTGAGGAGTTGGCGGGTTGGGTTCAAAGGAACGGAACGAGAGAAAAGTCTCTCTAGTAAAGAACGTGAGCCAACGGAGGGCGGGAGGGAGATGTTGAAGAGGTTGTGCACACGAACAAAGACAGCAGTGTACCTTTCACTGGGAAAAGGGAAAGAGAGGAGAGACAGGAACCAGGAACTCTGGGCGAAGTCTGGGCATTTGGCTGCGTTTCTTGGGTTGGTGGGTGTCATGGGTGAAGGAGGAATTTCAGGAACAGGCCTAGTTGGACTCCTCTTGCAGGGGTGCGACCTCCAAACCTCACATTCCCCCTGCTGGCTTGGTGGCCCGCGCTTCACAACAAAGAAATTGCACTCCACTCTCGATTGTCAACCAAACCGAACTAAACAATGTCTATCGCAGCTTCAAGCCGTGTCATTGGTCCTGACACACTTGAGAAAGACAAGGACAAAGAGCTGTCTCTTGGACTATAACCGCCCGGGTTCATGCTATCAAGGCAAAAGCGAAAGTGTTGAACGGCGACGAGGGTGACGAGGCATCTAATCAGCTGTCTTGTACTATGGTAGACTAACGTAGCAAACAGATTAATCGCAACCCATACGGAGTATACTACTTGGACGTACTATGCTAGGCCACGCAATTGATTCCACTGCAGGTCATTCGTTTGCCCGCAAACAAATCTCGCATCCGCAGTCAAGAGAGAAGTTTGCTCCCACAGTCGGCGGAGAGCTGCCAGTACGAGTGATTGCGGCAGAAGAGTCTGCTTTGCTATGGAGGAACAAGAAGGGATCTGCTCCTGACTGCACAGGAAGATCTCGATCATTTCAGCCAATTTGGAGCTTCAGCCTTTCTCCGCTGGGTTCGATGTTGAATGCCTAGGTACCCTTGTTTATTGATGAGGATCATGAAGATGGCGAAATTCTTTCATCAAACCTACCTAATTCCGTACAATACTTGTCCGACGACTCTTTCTGGCCATCGAGATTCGACCCGCAGCAAGAAAAACTGAATCTGGCATCCCCCTAGTCTTCAAACCCTGATGCCCAGCGCACACAGCATATGCCAGTAACACGGTAAGTATTCTGGCATTGACAGCCGTCATTGGCTGGATAGGTGTCATTGCTGAGTGCACAGGAGCAAATGCATAGGCACTTCTGCACTGATCCTGCCTTACAAAAGGTGGCATCCCATGTATCTCGACCGATACATTGCATCATGCCGTCGACCACGACTTTTGTGACACCCGACGATCCAAGCAAACATCGAAGTGATGCAAATCCCGCTGGTCAACAGTGTGACAAAGGCTCAATGATCGATGCTGTCTTGAACCATCATACCTGTCGTGCATTGATTACTGCTCCTGATACAGCGTCACGCGCCCAGCTTTCACCACGCGTCTGCATAGCCCCCACTCAAAGCCAGATCGCAGTGCCCAGGAGAATCATGACCTTGGCCGTGCAGATATTAGTCCGCCCAGCATATTTTCCGAGAAAACCCATGGATACTACTCCGTAATGTACCTGTGATGCGTGGTCTGTATCATTTCAGTCTTGATGGGCTCACAATTTATTAAGCTTACGAATCCTTCCAAGCCATGACATGCCTTGAATGTTCGTCATTCTGGAACATGCGGAGAGATCTTGCATCTTGCAGCAGGCGGCGCGAATTCCTGGTCAAACCGCCCAAGCGAATCAAGTTGGCTTCAAACTCTGGTCTAACAAAGCTAATTGGGCACTCACGGGCACTCCCTAAATTGGCCCCCCGCCCCCTGGTTCTTATCGATTATCACCAACCAGCAAGGCTCATCAGGCCAAATACGAAGGACCAAGATAGGCGCTTGACCCAAAGAACTTGGGCTTGGGGCGGTCTCTGATAGGCGGACTCAACGCCATCTTTCTTGTTTCACTCGTCAGCCTCCTGCAATCTTGACCATGCAAGCACTTTGATACCAACTTTTCCAAGCCTCACCCTTGACTGGCTGCATCATGAATCATGCTTTACAAAAAAACAGAGTGGCTGGGAGTTCGATCAGTGGCGGCGCAAGATGACTCGCAGCACACAGAAATTTCCCGAGCCAGCACCTCGTGTTCATCGTGAGGCTGATATGACCATGGAGATACTCCGTATGGAGCAGCCGTCTCTTCATATGCAAACACATAATGACTACTAACTTACACTTATGGTCATGGTCATGGTCACCATAACCAAGGAGCCTGGAACTTGACGACGCAGCAACGCATGGTCTCCTTGACCACCGTTGATGGACCCCAATCTCAATGCTGATCCACTTGATACTGTAACAACGGTGTGGAGATGCACGGCCTTCGAGTCTTCGACACGGGTGGTCTACCAAGGTCATCGAGTCATCGACGCTCAGGACTGATGAATGATGATCCATCCAAAGTAGTTCAGCATCAGGAAAGTTCTTCTGGACGTCTATGCTAAAGTCGATGCTCTGTATAATGTAAGTCAGAAAGACTCACTAGGCCATGCTCTGCTTCCTACCACTACTGGCGTTCCAAGAATATACTCAAAACCTCCAGACATAAGGGTCAACAACAAAATGATCTCTGTGAGCTGCAGTGGTCCGAACGGCTTTCTAGTCTAATCATTGCAACAAAAACAAAGAAATACTGAGTACTCATTCCAGCAGCAACAGCCCTGGCACGCAGTCTGCAGGTCGAAATGGCTACGAAGCGCAATCCCAACAGTGCCGAACGATCCTACTCTTATTCCCGCCAGGAATCAAACCTTGCTCTTTTCTCCGCTTGCCTCTATGAGTAAGGTATCCAAACCAGAATACTCCGTTCGGGGTACAACACTGTTAAGTGGTGACGCGTCTCCTGACGGTCTTGAAATTGCCTTTTTTCCGCATTTCTTGCCCCGGGATCTGATATCAGGACCGTCACGATTTGAGGGCGCTTTCGACTCCAACGCCGGCTCGATCTGTGGGACCGCAACACTCTGCTTGATTTTGACCGAGTGGAAACCAATGCTGAAGTCCTTCGTGGCTTGTCGCACGCTCCATGAGGTGGTGGTCGACTTGGACAACAAACGCACCTGGATAACAAAGCGAGTCAGGTTCGATTGTCAAACATCTTCAACACTGCGGTCAAGCATAAACATACCAGGTCACGAGCTCTCCGTAATGTTCCGTCCTCACTGCGACCCTCCATCATTGACCCTTTCGTCGCCCAGAGCTCGAAGTGGTCGTTTTTTGTAGCAATGCTCACCGAAGGCGTGTCTGGTCTCCTTCCAGCTGCGAATCCGCCGCAGACCGGCATTCGCGTTGGAGGCGTGTGAATCCCAGCAGAGGCCGCCAGTGGTCCCACACATGAACAATCGACAACAAACGGATTATAAAAGTACATGACAAGACTGCCATGCCACGGAAATCGCCTTGTATTGTCCAGGCAGCTCCGCTACCTGGGTAGCTTAGCTTACTACATGAACGTTGAGTACCTAATACTTTTCTTTTGATTCGTACATGATCTGCAAGCGAATACACGCGTGAAGGTAATGTGGACAGACACCGCCTTCATTGCAATAGCCGTGACAGTGGTACTGGCTGAGATGTTGACGACTATCTAGCACCTAGCAGTATCCAGGCACTGGCGTTTGTCGAATTCTATTGCGGCACGCTGTGCTTCAAACTCAAGGACGGCATGTCATGGACATCGGACGCCACCACAGCCTCCTCATCTGAGATTGATGCTACCTCGCCGCTGCATCCCACAGTACACACTTGCTCAGCTATTTGACAGACATGCAAACATATTATATACCCTTCTACCCGCGTGTACGTCTGCAATCCCTATCAAGGGCTCGTAATCTCTCGGCATTGGCCTTGACCCAGTCACTGCTTTGAGCAATATCGGTTATTCTTTGCTCGGCCAGCTCTGCTGCCGGTGTGGTTCGATCTCGTCAAGGGGCTCGTTGCTGTGTCTCTGCCCGAGCAGAGGTCCAGGATCCGGCCACGGCAGATCTTCCTGGTTCTTCTGACACGAGCCTTTCGAACAAGGTCAAGCCTCATCAGCCAATGGTATGACAGATGAGGTATGTACAAGAGAATAGGCAGAGCGACCATGGCTCTGATTCCTTGCCACTAAATTTCAAACACCGTGTCTGAATAGAGAACATCACTTTTTCTCATAACTCGTTGCCGATATTGCAAGCACAACCGCCAGACTTGCAATAATCAGTGACCCGGCAATAAATCCGACAACGAATATACTGCCACGACTGGCCGGGAATTTTCCGCGAATGATCCAATATTGAGACTCGAAGTACCGATGGAAGCCGATGAACAAGATGACAATCGAGATGCCCAAGAAAGTCGCACCTAGCGGCTTGCCTACATGCCGGAGTTTCGCGGCTTGGTCCTCAGTGGTCTGCGAAGAACTCAGATCTTCACGCCGTGACAGCTGAAGACCATTGGCACCTGAAGGCGGTAAGAGAAGTATTTGATCAAGAAGTGTCGGTCCCAACGTTGGTACAGAAGGAGCCGCGGTGGCAGTGAGTTGCTGCAGGTAAGGTATGAGCTCTGGAGGTACAGCTTGTCCGACCATTGGTGAGAACGGTATCTGGTCACTGGCAACGCCGATGCCCGGAGTAATATCTTGTTGCCTTGCAATGGTGGTGTTCAGGCGAAAGAGCTGTGTGATAGCAATTCCAATGCTTGCAAATGCGAGACTAGTCCGTAGCCACGCGAGGAATGTCCTTTCCAGAGCCAGGTGATCTCGCGCTACGGAGCCCTTATTTTCGAGCGCGACCGACCCGTACTTCTCTGCTACTCTCTTCAGCCATGACGGCTTCTGTTCTTCTTTTCCTGAATGTTCCTCCTCTTCCTGGGCGGCTGGCGAAGGGGTAGATGTTGTGCCGGTCGTGTCGTAGTGACGATCTGAATGACCGTCTGCAGTTCGTATTGGAGTTATTTCATCAGAATCTCCTGAAGTCCGAGGATAGCGTGACATCGGAGGTGGTGAGTGACCCTTCTTGGTTCCTTCTGAGAAGCGGACGCTGGACGTTCGACTGATGGCAGGCGCCGTTGGCTGGTTGGCGTCGGGGGCTGTGTCTACGATTTCGGAAGAAGAAGAGGAAGACTGAGGATCTGGAGCTCCATTTTGCTCTCGGTCGTGAGAAGACATGGGTGCATGTCCAGTAGGTGCCTAACGAAAAGCTTGTCAAGGCTTCCGATGGAGTCAGTTCAGCAATCTCTGGGGTCTTTTGGTCAAAGTCATGGAATGGTCGGGACGGCTTGACTCGAGAAAGAGGCCTCGTGATTGGAGAGCACTTGATCAGGGAGTCCTAGAACAGTCTAGGCGACAAACATGGCGTCAGGTATGCATAGACTGCAGGAAGCAGTGGAATTGACCAGACACTGAACAGAACGGTTGGATTGCTACATGATCCTTCGAAATTGCGTGATGGGGGCATCACAGAACGACATGGCAGTTGTACGGGGAAGTAGACTTTAGGCTGGGCACGGCTAGGGCTCACTAGGCTCATTAGGCTCACCTCGGTAAGCTCCAGTGACTCCCTGCGGCATGTTCGTCATTTGGTAGATCTTATGGGGGAGGACGACAGTTGGAGATCAGCTAAGGTACTGAAACAGTTTAGTGGGACAATTGCGCCTGCGGGAAAAGAAATCCATCGTGAGGCGGCGGCGGCTTACCTGAAGTCTCGAAGAAATCACCAGATACTCACAACCAAGTCACAATTTCGCCGTCAACATTTCCAGGGAACGGTTAAAGAGGTTCTGCAGAACCAACAGCTCCTTGAGGTACCGAACTATGGCTTCTGTAAACTTCCCGCAGCACACGGGTCCCAATCGCTCATCCTCTACTTCGCCGAATGGCAACAAATCGCAGGCAATCCCAAAATTGATGCCTCGCTCTCGCAGGAAATCCGCTGCTTCTGCGCCTGCAGATCCTGTTCCAGAGACTCCTCTGCTGCCCCCTCCTCCTCAGCTCGATTCTGTCCAGTTCAAAACACCAGTAAAGCGGATCCTTTCACCCGCTGACCATGAGAAATTCCTCGCCTCTCCTACGTATACCTTGATTCGATCATGGATCTTTACGCTGGCAGATTGTGTCGAGGGTCGACCAAGCTCTTCGCTGGACCTTTCCACGGTCTCTGCCGAGATCCGACGACTGGATGCCGCCCTCGATGTCATCAAGAAACTGCTCGAACGGTATCCGCCTCTCGACACAGGGTCCAGGTTTGGCAATCCAGTATTTCGTGATCTACACAAGGCTATCGTAAGAGACGTCGAGAGACTGCACGAAGAGGAGCTTGATCTACAAAACAAAGCTGCCATCCAAGAGATCTCGGTCTACCTGATCAACTCATTTGGCTCGGAAGAACGACTGGATTACGGTTCTGGTCATGAATTGAACTTCATGATGTGGCTGCTGTGTCTGTATCAGTTGGGGGAGATCCGGCGGGAAGATCTCCCCGCTATTGTCATGCACACCTTCACCCAATATCTTGACCTGATGCGGAAGATTCAGAGCATGTATTATCTGGAGCCAGCAGGTAGCCATGGTGTCTGGGGCCTTGACGACTACCAATTTTTGCCATTCTTGTTCGGTGCAAGCCAACTGATCGGGCATCCTTACATCACACCAAAATCCATCCACAACAACGTCATATTGGACGAGGAAGGGGACAAGTACATTTATCTGAACCAAGTCCGGTGGGTGGATAGTGTCAAGACTGTTAAAGGACTCCGGTGGCACAGCCCGATGTTGGATGACATTTCAGGCGCAAAAAGTTGGCAGAAGGTTGAGGACGGCATGAGGAAGATGTTCGTAAAGGAGGTACTTGGCAAACTGCCTATCATGCAACATTTCCTCTTTGGTGGCTTGATCCCTGGAACTGAAGATATGGGTCAACTAGACCCCGAGACACTTCGACTGCAAGAAGAGAGGATGAGCCATGTGAAAGAGAAGGGTCATGAGCCTGATTACTGGGGCGATTGCTGTGGCATCAAAGTGCCTAGTACAGTCGCAGCAGGGGAGGAAATGCGAAAACGAATGGGTACATTGGGCGCACTGCGACCGATTCCATTCGACTAGCTGAGCTCAGTCTTGTCGGTTCTGTCCCTCGTATATGTGGTGCGAGCTAGGGACAAGGCAAATGATGCCAATGTCGACAAGCTGGGCGTGCTTGCAGAGTCGTTGCCTTGATATGCATGGCCACGAATCTGCAGCTGTGTGGTTGAACAAAGAAACTAATCAGTGTTAGGACCCGAGATGGGTGGGGAAGAGCGTGTGGGCACTGGGCAGAGTCCGCGGAAGAGCAGATCTCCAAGTCAAAGCCAGGCTAGTCTCATGCTTTCGATGGCTCAGCCTAACGAGGCAGACCTTGCTCAGGCTTTTCCCGAAGAGCTCTCGACGGCTTCAACTGGTTATTGGATGGCCAGATCGCGTGACTGAGATCGAGATGCGAGCATGCTTTGAGATGTGAGGGGCAATGAATCCTTCAGGTCGCCTAACAGGCCTCAACACCTTGATTCCCAGTTCGCATTGTTACTAATGGTTATGTCTTCGCCAAAAGAAAGCCTACCTACAACAAGATTCACAGAATAGTCAAAGACTGCCCATAGAACCAGGAATTCAGCCTTGCTTTCTCCGCCTTTCCAAGGGCGTCCCATCGCACACACATTTGCTTTCACTTGTACCGTTACCCCTCGCTCACTCGACCACACATTGAAAGGCTCGTGTTTTCGTCTCTTCACTTCATTCTTTCCTCCTTCCTCCTCAGGCAGTGGTAGGTCATCTGTTTGTGTTGTTACTGGGGTGAATTTCCTCTCAGTCACCCTCACCATTTGACCTCACATCCCATCTCGTACACATACTCGATCGTCGATCAATCCTCAGCCTGACCTCACACGCCACTGGCAGCACGTCAACCAACACGAGCGTCGACAGCAAGATGGGAAAGAAATCAACCAAGACTACTCGGGCCTCTGCGCTTCCGAAAGCCCCAATCATCTACCTCAATGACCCGGTCAAGGACATGCCTCATGCACGCTATGTCCGGGACATGATTCCTGGAGGCATCCTTGCTTTCGGTCCTCGCGAAGACAAGCAAGCCCAAACCAGTCCTCCCATCTCCCTGGAGATGATTCAGCACCACATCCAGCGAGGTCGCTTCAACGACCGCATCCTCGTTGTCGGCGACAATCAGCCTGAGACGCGCTCTAAAGTCAAGATCGAGACCGCCAAGGAGTTCCAGGAACACGCCATCAAACATGGCTGCAACTTCGCCAGCGTCAATCTATACACTGAACAGGGCACACCAGCCGGAGACAAGAAGAAATGGGGCACCAACCATCTCGACTTGTGCATCAAGAATCTATCTGTCAAAGACGTTGCTGAGAAGGTGTATCAATGGCTCTGTACGTATCTCTTCTCATACACTCACCTCTACCGTCCACCCGCGTCGTCCTTGTACGTCAAGGTTGAATGTGAAAACTGACGGATACGGTCAACAGTCACCGCCTTCACTGTCCACGAGACCCTACACCTCATCCCTGAATCGGAAATGCTCATAACTGACAGCGACGCTTTCCCCGAGTACCAGTACTGCCCGATCAACGAGAGCAAGCAACATCCCAAGAATGCGAAAATCCAATTCGTCGCGCTGGTGACTTCTCGTCCTGTCGTCGTTGGCCAGCGACTGCAGTGGACTGTTGCTGACCGAACTGGCACGGTATGTTCAGTCTACCTGTTTCGGAAATCATTTGCAAAAGTTTTGGCACGTGCATGGTCTCAATCACTAACTCGATCTTTGGCAGGCAAACTTCTATTTCCAGTACCGCGGGGCCTCAAGCCAGTACACATGGGACTGGGTTCAGAACCTGAAAGTTGGTGAGCGCAGAGCCCTCCCACGCATGCCGATGGTGGAGATCAAAGAGCGCAAGGTCGTGCGCGTGGCCAAGGCGCCAATCCGAACCGTCGGATTTGCCATTGCCAACGTTGGACTTGCGATCCGCGGTGTAGGCCACAGTGTCAAGAAGATGGGTGAGATGGGACGGCTGGGAAAGAGTGCAGAGTGGGTGCCTGAAGCGGATGTCCTGGACGGGAAGAAGGTCGGATGGGAGCAGAAGGAGAAAGTGCGAGCGGAGAAAGTGAAGATGGAGAGAGCAAAGAAACAGGTCCAGCACAAGGTGTTCAATGAGAAGGGCGGGAAGGTCTGGAGGGATGATGACAGCGTGGCGAGCACGGCCAAGGGAGACGAGGTTGTGATGGAGAAAGAGTTCTGTTGAGATCAAAACGTGCCCCAAAGCGAGAGCGGTTGATATGTGTGGACATCGGATGGGACAACAATCGCGAGACGCAATGATCTCACCCAGTCTCGGCGGCAAAGATACGACGGATGGGAGAGCTGACTTGTAGGATGAAACTACCTGGTATTTTCACTGCACCCCAGGGTGCAATGCTGAGCGCCGGAGTCAAGGAGTGGTATTGGGCTGAAGGAGTGAGCTTCGGGACTCATGATCACAACCACGGGCAGGACTGGCACGACAAATGTTTTCCAAAGTGATGAGGAAGTGAATACAGGGGCTCTTTCTTTATTGCCATTAACAAGCTCACAAGGACGATGCCGGCAAGGTCCCATTGCAAGTACATGCAGGGATGGAGTCTAATGAATATGTCTTTTCAAGACTCTTTCTTCGTCGATAGGACCACTGGCCATATAGTGCTACATTTCTTATCACTGCAATAATGTGACGAGGGTTCAAACTCATGTACCGACGGCCCCGACAAAACGTGGTGGCGATGCAAATCGAACACATTAAACCAAAGTGATCATGCCCGACGCCAGAATACAGTGCTAGAACTCCAATTGTAGGTCTTGCTTCCGAAAAAATAAGACGTCGACAGCCCAGCCTGATTGAGAGACCGTACAGGATTCCCCTTTGAAAAGCACGGCATTACAGCGAGCAAACTTTTGCACTTTCACGTCCATCCATTGACCACGGACTCAAAAGGTTCGGGCGATGCCTCTCTCGTGGAATGTGCAGCCGCCCAAGGCGCAGCGGGCCCGCGGAGAAAGAGTCCCGACTACCATACTGTAACTTACAAGGCCTATGCAGCCAGCAGCATACTGCCAGCAATGCTTTTCTTCGTGGGGCCCAGAATGCGGAAAAGAGAAGGGAGAGGGGCGGAAGGGAGGAGAACCGTTCTGCGCGGCGACCAATATCGTCGATTCATGCAGCGTCTCGGATGCGATGCATGTACTTCGTACTGCAGTCGTGAGTAAGAGGAAAAGAGAGGAGACAAATCCTACACACGCCCAATGCCAGTCTGGAAGTGAAGTACTCTGTACATCAAAGTGGGCTAACTACTGCAATCGGGCAAAGAAGGGGAGAATAAAAGGCAACCTGACATGTTGCATAAGGTACTGACTAGTCCTTCCAAGCAGAGAGCAGGGCGTAAAGAGCAGGCGAATCGAATCCCTGGATGGTTCCAAACAGATTGCTATCAAGGCTAGGCATTGAGCGCTTCACTGGTCAGAATAAGAATACATACATACTTACAAAAAAGGCTGCAAGGCAGACTGGGCATGCATATGCATCCGTGCATGACTTCGAAATACGAGAAGGAAAAAGGCCGCTCGAGAGTGAAGGCAAGCGCCAGACTCAGCCTCAGCCTGACCGTCAACTTTTCGCAGCGTAAGGTGTCGATGGCCGAGTTGCTAAGGGCTTGAGAGCTATCGTAGTTGCTTCGCATGGACACGCATGGGTTGAAATGATGGGTCGTCTGGGAATGAACAAGAAAACAAGCTCGTAAACAGTTTCAAGTGCAGAGAACGCTGAGTTCGACTCGCTGTCAACGTAGCCATAACGTACAAGCATGCACAATGCACATTGTGCCCACCCTCGCCCCCCTATCAAACAGCTTGCAAGAAAGGGAGCTTCACTGTGGACCAATCCCGAGACTCATCCCCTCCCGAACCCTTGCCCTGCTGTTCCTGAAGTTGACTCCCACATACATATATTATCCACCGTCCACTGGAAAGAGCTTTCCGAACATGTTAGGTCAATGAGGCTCTATCCTTCGTATAAGGTCGAATCAAACAAGCACAAATAACCAAATTCCTTCTGGAAGAGTAGGACCGAGCATCTCCCCCAACTCCTAGATTCAAAACCACCTCTCGTAAGGTCGTAAGTGCCGTTGCATCGCAGAGGTAGAAGTCTTGACTGGAACAAGAATGCAGTGTGACCCGGGATCCTATCCTGTAGATGATCCATTCTCAATGCTGTCCCTCTTTGTGGGGAAATGTAACGCCGAACTTCAAGATGTTGTTCATACCAAAAGTGTCGAGTTTAGTATCTTCGGCTGGAGTGCGCGTACATTGGACTTCTGGTGACGATGTCAACACCCCGAGGGACCCCGTAGCCGGTCTGATAAGCGCCGTACGATGACATGGAAGGTGGCTTGATGCTCACGACACGAGGAGTGGGTGAGTATGTGTATGGTTCTGTCTTGGCGACTTCGTAGCCGCGAGAGTGAGAGGCTTTCGAGCTGTAAGAGCCATACCCGGAATCATATGGTTCATAGTAGTCGTACGCGGTGTATGAAGTCGGCGCCGGCTTGTACTTTCGAGCCGACGATCGCGTACTGTGCAGACTGTCAAAGCTTTCCTGACTGTCATGCCTGTGTCGTTGGTGGGTTGGGCGTCGGCTACTTCTTCGATCGTGATCCTCGCGTGTGCTCCTGATCTCTACCTGCTGGCGTCTTGGCCTCGCTTCTCGCTGGTACCGGTAGTCGTCGTCAGCATCCCGGTCGTAGTGATGGTGGTGGTCGTCATCCTCGATTTCATTGATGCGTCGACGACTGTGGCTTCTAGGTGACAATTGGGCCGTGGAGGCTCGATCAGACTCTGAATAAGCGGAAATCGACTCTCGAATGGTTTGCAGGTCGCTGTTCCTCTCCGCATGCTCTTCCAGCCAAGCGTCATCGGCCTTCTTCCTTGAAGGACTGTGCCATTCCTTTTCTCGTTTTATTGGTGGCGCCCAAGGACTTATTCCACCACCCACGTCCATTGTCAATGGCGTGGGGTCACTCGAGCATTCTCTCGGCTGCTGTCTTCTGCTCAATTCTTGGGCATATCGACCTTTACCTTCTCGACCTCGGGTGATGGCTTGACCACCTTCTTTACAAGTCTTGCAATCGCCTTCTCTGGGGAATTGATATCTTTCCAGCCCGGAACATCGTGACGAGTGACATTGATTGGTGGTCTTGAATTCATGTCCACATCCATAAGATGTCTTCGTACGTACACACATGATCTCTGATGGAAGTGGAGGATCGCAAGATGAGACTGATGCCTTTGTCCTTGACTGATGGATTGACGGATTGGTGCTTGTGTATGTGTTGCGTGGCGCAAAATAGAACGGCTTGAATATCTTATGTTCCTTTTGAAAGTCCCACAAGGTGGTGTAATGACTCTGGTGTTCACGTACACGAACACAGACAGTCCTGATTTAGGTACGGACGAAGCGGTGAATGCTTGGTGTAAACGTCTTGGTTCATGTACACTGTGGAGTGCAGGACGAAAGACACAAACAGTCACGCAAAAGGGTCTCAAATCTTCTCAGAGTGACGTCGAGGTACATTCGAGACCCAGCCCGTTTTGCTACAGGATGTTATTGCACTTCATGGATGACAGAGTCTGTCTCACGCCAACAGTGGAAACACGCATAAGATTGACAGGTGCTCAGCAAAGACAAAGAGAAAATGAATCCGTGTGATCTTTCTGCAAACGCTCGTGGAGTGATTGAGATGTGATGAAAGAGGTGCCTGTGATGGCGAAAGTTGAGATATTTGCTACGCCCTATCCCAGTGGGAGTGACGAGAGGGCTTGGGAGATCAGCACCGGAACTAGGTCGCTTTCACATCCATCCATGATGCAGGCTCTTACCCAAGTCCGCCTCAGATTGACATGGCGGAGGGACGACGCATGCGAGGAGAACGCATGGCTCGACATGATCGTTGCAGTTCTAGGCGTAGAAGCCGTCTGTCGAGGTGCATTAGCTGGTGTGAAATAGTAACAATCGTCGGCATCTTTGGGCTGGCGTTTCCACCAATGCAGGCACCTGCTGTCGGCGGGAGCGGACCTGAGCGCCCGAAAAGCAGGGGGAATGGACGAGTGTGAGACGTGGTCGGCTAGAGGCCAGAGATGACTGGTCGGGGCCAGGATTCTTTCTTCCACATCGCCCTGTCACAGGCTGTTTCACAGTGTCAGTGGCGCCCCGAGTCGCCTTGTGGTTTGCCTGTTGGGAGGATTTCTGGGTCGTCTCCTGCTAGCACCTCTTTTGCCTCATCCATCAGCAGCTTTACGCTTCTTGCCCAGAAGAGCAGAATGCCCCACCACCGCTGTAACTGGCATTGGGCGGCGGTGCTGATCTTGGGGCGTCGAATTGGGAGAACGTGCAGAAAGAGAAGTCCAGTTGCAAGAGTTGTCGTGTCGCAGTGGTCTTGCAGCGTGGACCGCCGGTTTGATAGCTTGAGCAGTCGTGATTTGCAGTCTGAGAATATTCCACGTTGCACAGAGCCATTGGATTGGGAGGTTCAAAGGAATTGCTGACGGCGCCGTTGTTTGATAGGTGATGCACCGGAACTGGTCGGTCAAATTTATGATCTCGTGCCCCATGTAAACGGAACTCGTTGGTACACGAGAACCTGGGAGTGGGATGCTATCGGCGTGGAACACGTCCAAGGTAAAGGACGGCATGCGAGCAGCCACGCTTCGGCTGCACTGGAAGCGAGTCGAAGATACATGGATGCATCTCAATTGCTTCGACTGTTCCAGCCAGTAAGTTCAAGTCCTCTTTAACGTCTTCAGGCATCGGACCGCAGTCAAGACAGCCAACTGCTTTCACAGCCATGGTTCGGAGAGCTACCATAGGTTCTTACGGATCGAGCGGCTATCTCACCATTTTGTCCACCATTTGAGTTGCGACATATCTCTCCGACTTGAACCAGAGAACAACATGTCAGCTGAGGACGACGCAGTGCACTGAAAGTGAACTCCTGTTCTTCCGGTGAGAGGCAAGACCCCTCTGGTTCATCGAGAGAGGAAGTCGGTGAGGCTGGACGCTAGACAGTCGAGAGCATCAGTCGAGAATGGATGGCAGGTTGGGGCCAAGCTGTCGGGTGTCAATCAAGCGTTCTGCTTCCATCATTTCGTGCGCCATCTAACGACATGGTGTCATATGTGTAACCATACCAGGACCAGGACACATCTTCGCGCAATGGGAGCATCGAAGGAGTGAATGACTTCAGGGTCCGTGTGCTATCATTTGAACTGTAGGCTTGTGTGTCCAAGGTAGTACACTGGCGAATAGAATGATGAAAACCATTGTCTCCGAGCTCCTCCAGGCTATGCTGTCACATTGTATCGTCCACGCAGCCATCAGGAAGACCCAAATTCTTCGGAATTTCACCAACTCCTCTGGTATCTTGATGGTGCTGGTGGGATGCTCCTGCGTGCCTCCTCACCCGAAATCGGTCGATAGACACGATTCGAATAGAACGAACTTGACGCGGTAAACACTTTCTGAAAGAGGGAAGGGGTTTCAGTTCTCCAATGGATGGGACGAAAGGAAAGTCTCTTGACTATGGCTTGGATATCCGGAAATGCATCTATCAACCTCTCTCCAACACCCGCCCTGGAATGCAGGTATTGCTCCTGCCAGCGCCAAATTCATGGCCGTCTATGATTGTTCTAAAATGATCAAAATCCATCTCCAATATCAAGAGCCTTCTCCTGCTTCAACCTTTCATCATTCATCTTCTGCCACCATCGATGTGTCTCATCCTCGGTCTCCTCCGGTTTCTGGTCCCATGGCTTCGGGCTCAGGATGTAATGGATATTCTTCACCTGATCATCCCGCCATATCGCATCGTGAACGCCTTTCCACCGTAGCGTCTTCAAGGCGTTGTAGATATATGGTAGCCCGACCCACCGACCATAGAAACGGTCTCCCAGCAAGCTTTGATCTGCAAAGTCGTATGAACCCGTCAGATCGCCATTTTTCATGGCTTCAAGAATCTTGTCATATACACCTTGACTCGGATTGCAGACGACGAGTCCCCCGTTCGGACTTCCTATCCCCGCAGTAGGGGGTGGCCCATTAATCTGCGCATCGTCCGGCGTGTTGTGCTGCGAAGTGAATGCACAATTCGCCGGGACCCAATGTTGAGGGTAATGCGGCTTGTTCAGAGGATTGCATGCACAAGCATGGCTGGCAGCATACACTCTGTTTCCATCGCCATTCATCCCGAGGGGATCCAATTCCAACTCCATCAGCTCATCCATATTCTTCAACACCATCATATCGCTGTCCAATTGTACGACCCGTTCGTATTCGACAAGACTGAATGGAGTGAGCTTGCTCCAACAATCATAGAAGCGCGGATCGTTGGCGTATTCTTTGGGCACGGAGGGTAGAAGATATGGGATGTGCTTTGCAGGAATATTCCTTCTCTTGAGGGCTTCCAGTCCTTCGACGGGGAAAGTGTCGGTGTAGAGAGCGACGAGCGGATAGCTTGAGCCCGTCTTCTTCAAGGAGTAGTCGAGTGTCAAGAGCCCCGAGAGGTATTTCGTGTTGGTGATGAGCGTCGTCCATACTTTCTTTGGCTGCTCGTGGCTCGAAGCCGTTGTCCCGTTTGTGCGCTCCATCTTTGTTTTCTGCGCCACCGTTCTGATCACTGATCTTCAGCTCCGTGATTGTATGAATGAGAGGTCGAACAAGATATATATAGAAGTCATAGTTGTGGCCGAGCGAAAATGCCCACCCTTGAGGACCTGGACCACATGGCGCGATCGGGTGTCTTGATCTGGATGAAGACCTGGACCTGGACCGAGATTAGCGGTGTCGTAAGTAACCCATTTTACCCAATGCTGGTTCACAGGCTTCGCTGCCGATAAAAAAGAGCGGAAGTGCCCGCAATCTATCACCAAATCGTGGACGTCATGCTGCTTATTGGTGATCGGGGAGCCTAGATGATCCCCGATCAACCACCTGCGGCTCTGACTGCTACTCCAGATCCGCCGTGGACTTGGTCCCTGAGATTTCTGCCATTTTTGCGGACTCAACCATGTCGATGGGTGAGAAGAGGTCGTTGGAGAGCCTGGTTCGGTAGTTTCCAGCATTCCCGTATGGATCGATATGTCGACCAAGTTGACCAGGTAAGCAGCACGGCCAGCTTGAGGTGCCTCACCTTGCGCCCAGAGGTTTCTGACCACTTTACAGCCCTCGAGATGATTCCGATGGTACTTCACCCGCGGAGCGCACAGGTATCACGAAGCAGACTGTCGCTCTCGAGCCGGCGAAGAAATCAGTGCTGAGCAACTACAAGGGGTTTGTCGCAGGCGTCTTCTCGGGCATAGCCAAATTGTCCGTCGGCCATCCTTTCGACACGATCAAAGTACGACTACAGACCTCGGATAGGTCACAGTTCAAAGGGCCGTTGGACTGTCTCCTGAAAACAGTGAAAAAAGAGGGACCACAAGGATTGTACAAAGGTGCTACACCTCCGCTACTAGGATGGATGGCCATGGACTCTGTCATGCTGGGTAGCTTGACCCTCTACAGACGCATTCTGCACGACGAGATCTTTTCAAATCCAGCTTTCCGGCCTGGAAAATCTGCCGCAGAATTGGCAAACGAGCGGATGCCTGCCTTTGGCCATGGAATTGCAGGCATCATGGCCGGCTCGACAGTTTCATTCATCGCGGCGCCAGTCGAACATGTCAAAGCGCGGCTACAGATTCAGTATGCGGCGAAGAAACAAGATCGGCTGTATAAAGGGCCGATTGATTGTACCACCAAGATTCTCAAGGCCCATGGAATTCGTGGCTTGTATCACGGCCTGTTGGCCACCTTGCTGTTTCGATCCTTCTTCTTTTTCTGGTGGGGTTCGTACGACATATTTACCACCCTTATACAAAGGCATACTTCGCTTTCGACGCCTGCCGTCAATTTTTGGGCTGGTGGCTTATCTGCTCAGATCTTTTGGCTTACGTCCTATCCATCTGATGTCGTCAAGCAGAGAATCATGACCGATCCGCTTGGAGGAAAGCTCAATGATGGAACACCTCGGTTTAGACGCTGGAGAGATGCTGCCACTACCGTATACAAAGAGTCTGGCTGGAGGGGCTACTGGAGGGGATTTGTTCCTTGTTTTCTGCGGGCATTCCCTGCCAATGCGATGGCGTTGGTAGCCTTTGAAGGCGTGATGCGCTCCCTGCCTGATTAGCTCGTTGATACCCTGATCTCTTTCATAGACATTGACGACACTCTAGCAGGCAGGCTCTGTCGACAGATCTCCTCCATTTCAGTAGTCCCACGGCCGGCAGACTAGGGCCCATGCAATGTAGCTCTTCACCGTCCAGCCCTATGGCCTCGGGTTTCACCCAACCCATAATAAGCTGCTCTCACATGCGCCGATATGCGATCCAAGAGGACGCTACGAGCTTTTGTCACATGCGTGGTCAACCCCTCTCACCGTCAGTGAATGATTAATCGACTCGTCGAAATTCACAGCCTTATCACGTGCGTGCCAAGACAGACCGGGGCATAAATATCTGCCTTTCAGAAGCCCCAGCACCGTCACCATAGCCATCCTTTCATCATTGCTTCGCCAGCCATGTTTGAGCCTCCTCAGGCTACCTTGCATAGCCTACTCAATGCAGATGGCTCTGCAACATACAGCGCACCGAACCACGGTTACAGAATCGTGGCTGGCGTGAATTACCCGGTTGAAGTTCCATATCGCAGCGATGAGATTCCTGAATCCACCTTCATCGAAGTCAACCTCCGACCACACAATGGAGTGAGCATGGTCAAGGAGCGACACGTTGAAGAGCTCATCAAGCGGACTCTTGGAACCATTATACTCGCCGAAGAAACACCCAGAACCCTGCTCCAGATCACTCTTCAAGTGGTGAGTGTTGAGACCGACGAAAGCTTACCAGGTGGCATCAAGGGCGGTGGCCAAGGTGAGACGTATCTTGACGTTCTTGCCTCAGCATTCAATGCAGCTGTTCTCGGCTGCCTCGACGCCGCTGTCCCGATGAGAGCAGTGGCTGGGGCAGTACTCGTCGGCACCGGCTCAGATCGGCATTTCATGGTTAGTCCTGGCGTCGTGACGCGGAAGAAGTGTGTCAGTCTGCATGTCTTTGGCTTCAACAGCGATGGCAAGATATTGTTGATGGAAAGCGAGGGCAAATTCAGCATGGCGGAGTGGAAGGAAGCAGAACAAGTCGCCAGGCTAGCGGTGCTAGGGTCCAGCCAGAAAATCAATGCGGCCGATATCAACAAACAAAACGGAGATGTTGCCATGAATGGAAGTGATACAAGTGGAAGCGCGGCCATCTGTGTGCTGGATGTGGTGAGAAAAGCCATGGAGGATCGGGTGATTAAGGACGAGAGCTGGCGACAGGAGTCTTGATGTTACAGTCCAGTGTGAAAGCTGAGACGGTCACGGAGCAAGCGGCTGTCCGCTACCAAACAGTGGTGAGAAAATTGGGTGGGGGAAGCAAGGCTGCCAGCATTCTGGGCGGTGCCAGGCACCTACCAGGGGCTGATAGGCGATAAGAACAAGGAAGCGTGGTGGTACTCGCAAGATCTGGACGGTGATAAGAGCGGTCTTTGGTTGATCTTTACCCACTACATGTCCCCACGTGCCTGTCTCAGCAGCTTGCCGACATTCTCCTGGCCCCGACGGAGCCTGACGGAGCCTCTCAGAGCCTGTATCCACGCCCACAGTACCACGACAACGAAGCTCGACTCCTGAGCTTGCACGATATTTATATGCTCGCCGGCCGACCACCGCAGCATTGACTCAAAATTGACCAAGCAAGCCGATACTTTGCAGCAATTTCTCCGAGTTCTTGTTCTTGCCTTTCGATTCATCAGCATGACAAGAGCTGGGCTCTTTTTCTTTTCGTCGGCATAGAGCTCGAGTCGGTCCACCCTCAAGCATAGAAGGTCAAAGAAAAGTGACGAATCTCACTCCGAGCTCCTTGCAGCATCTTACATTGCGAGATCTGCCTTAACTCCGAGGGTGTGTTGTCGGCAAACAAACGAAGCGTGCAGGCCACCTGGACAGCTCTTCTGGGTATTGGTGCGCTTGTTCCGGGCGTGCTACAACTTACTCAGGCCCCGCCTCGCCCGCCTCGGCACCCCCATTGCTTCATTCTGTGAGGCTCGTATCCGCCGACTCGGGCTCTCCCACCATCCGTTCCGTCTCCCTGCAGGTCAGGGTTTATCGCATCACATTCTCACCTCCTCAACATGACAAACGCCGTGATGCACAACGCTCAATGCTCCACCTTGCCTTCTCCCACCACCTCCGAAGCCACTAGCATTAGCAATTTCTCTCCGCCAACTCCTGCCCTTGATAATACTCACAACGTCCTCCCCCATGGCATGGCCTCTCCGAACACAAAGGCCTCCGTGGGTGACTCAATCCTGCGCCAGTACGCCCACCACCTAGGCGCCCTTCACGCTGATGACGAAACTCATGCTGTGCACGACGTCAGCGAGCGTGATACCGCGGCTGTTGACGAGACCATCTTGAACACCGTCCTCAATCTCGCCGACAAGCCGCCGAATCGAACTGACCGATCCTCCTACCTCGCCCATCACCCAACTGTACCTGTACCGAAACCTCTCTCGTTACCGAAACCCTTCCTCACACATCGAAAGAACGCGAAATCCACAGACATACCGAGGCAAACAATCATGAAGGCGCTGGTCTCACGGAGACCTAGCACGGGTCCCATAACTGCTCCGCTGGCTGCAAACACTCTCAGGACTGCAGCCCGCGAGGCGGAGGCTGGAGAACAGAACCCTCCTACGTCCTCGCCATGTCTGACGGCTACTCTGGGTGGGCTGCAGCCGAGTGTGTTCTCGGGTTGTTCGCCTACTTCGACGAGTTTCATGCGATCTCCTTGTTTCTTCCACCAGCGTTTTGAGTCAATCGTGGATGTCCAAAAGGTGTTGGACGAAATTGCTGAAGACGACTATTCACATTCGAGGTTAATGCAGACCGCAATAGGGGTGCGGGAGGTTTCGAAGCAGCTGCAGCGCAAACCATTGAAGCGCGCTGTGCGGAATGTGATGATCGTGACCAAGGCTCGCGACAACAGCCTGGTTTATCTGACCCGAGATCTTGCGGAGTGGCTGCTTTCAACGCCGCGGTATGGCAGCGATGTCGGCGTCAACGTCTATGTTGATGCCAAGCTCCGGCATTCGAAGCGATTTGACGCTGCTGGTCTGGTCAAGAAGGAGCCGAGGTTCGAGCAGATGTTGAAATATTGGACTCCAGACTTGTGCTGGTCTTCGCCGGAGACCTTTGACCTGGTTCTCACTCTGGGTGGTGATGGGACCGTCCTCTTCACGTCCTGGTTGTTTCAGAGGGTTGTGCCACCCGTGCTGTCTTTCTCGCTGGGTAGCTTGGGGTTCTTGACAAACTTTGAGTTCGACAAGTACAAGGAACATCTCGACCGCATTATGGGCGATGGTGGGATGCGGGTAAACCTTAGGATGCGTTTTACCTGCACCGTCTGGAGAGCTGATCGGTCGCCCGGGGCTGAAAAGGGTGCTGTTGAAGAAGGCGAGCAGTTCGAGGTTCTGAACGAGCTGGTTATCGATCGGGGACCTTCTGCATATGTCTCCAACTTGGAGCTCTATGGAGATGACGAGCTCTTGACGATTGTGCAGGCGGATGGGTGTATCTTTTCCACGCCGACAGGGTCCACGGCTTACTCCCTATCGGCGGGAGGGTCTCTGATACATCCGTCCATCCCTGCCATTCTGCTGACGCCCATTTGTCCGCATACCCTCTCTTTCCGTCCGATGGTTCTCTCAGACACTCTGCTGCTGCGCATAGCAGTCCCCAACAAATCTCGTTCTTCGGCATACTGCTCTTTTGATGGAAAGGGTCGTGTGGAGCTCAAGCGAGGGGATTATGTGACCTTGGAAGCGTCACAATATCCCTTCCCAACTGTCATGACTGGCACCAACGAATGGGTGGAAAGCGTACAAAGGGCTTTGAGGTGGAATGTTAGAGGAGCAGTGCAGAAAGCCTGGGACGATGGTGATGAAGCGGACTGTGATCAGGCCGAGGAGAAATGGGATATCGACATGGACTCCAGTCCTGCTGGTGGCACTGATAGCGGTATTGGTCCCAGTGAAGATGGGGACCATGTTGCCAGTCCAATGCGCAGGCAGCTGAGTTTGCTGAACATGTGAGCGCTGGTCACTGGGATGTCGATAGGCATGGGCTCGCCGTCGTTACAACCGCGATCATCGTCGCGACAGAATATTACGATACTCAGACGGATGTTCTCCTCCATGCTGAATTATACCCCTGTCTTGGTGAGCCTTGCTCCTCTTTGATATTGCTTGCCGTTCATCTTTCACAACACCTTCTCATCCTGATTTTCTACACGCTATCCCTTTCTTAGATGATGAATACTGACACATTGAATAGGAGGCTGGCAGTAAAGAACAGTGGTCATTGGGACGATTCTGCCAGTACCGGTGCAAATTTTCAATACACCGCTCGCCAGGATATAAACAAAGTCGTCGTCGCCTGCGTCAAATCTTACAATCCCCTCGTCTCACTTTTCAAAATCATTTCGTCGCGCGACAGCCAGTTTCCACTTCATCAGCTTTCGTTACGATCGCGTATTCAAGCTTTACCAGACGTCTCGTATCGTCTTTGCTATTCCTCAGACGCTTCTTTACGCATTGACGACATTAATACACCAAGACGCTCTCCTCGTTGTCCGTCACGATGTCTTCTCCACCTGGTTCGCCCACTGAAGCTGGCTTTGAAAGTCACGACACCAACCTTCCAACCGCAACATCCTTCCTTGTTGATGGCACCACGCAAGACACTTTACAAAATGATCGCGATGAAACTTCTTCTACAATTGATGATGACTCGAGCAATCTTCCAACCACAACATCTCCCGTCCTGAATGGTACCACACCAGACACTTTACAGAATGATCGCAGTGACACATCTTCCATTCTTGATGATGACTCGAGCAATCTTCCAACAACGACAAACCCCCTTCTCGACGATGCTACCTCAGACACTACGTTGACCGATCCTGAACAAATATCTCCCATACTTAGTGAGGTCCATGATGACACCGTAATTGTCTCCAGTGTTAAGGCCACTGGTGTACAAGGAGTCGACCTTCAAGACCTCGCTGCCGCTGCCAATCTTCTTCGACAGTTAGATTTCCCTACCACAACATCTACTCGGAGAGTGCAACCATGCAACACCCCTGAGACTGCCGCAGCTCTTCCGGACACTACTTCAGCATGGACTGAGCAGACTTGGTCGTTTTCAAATCTCCAGCCTCTGCATCCGTCAAGAGCGCCATACACACAGTTCCCTCGACAGCCTCGTCACCTGACCAACGGCTTCCATGATGAAGACCATTCTGCCATACCTACCACTCCTACTCCTCGCCAAGGCTCTCTTGCTCGGATTCGCGTTCCTCAACCAACAACAAATGGAGACATTGATGGATATGCGCCAAGAAACAACGTGCAAGCCTTACGGGATCTTGAGAACGCAGCTCGCCTTCGTCGAGCAGCAACAACTACCAACAACAATCTCCGCGATCTCGACGTCGCTTTTCCTCAAGTTAACGGTATCTTGCCGGAAACTGCTGCTCCTGCTGAGGCAGATATTGCCACACCACATGTCTCTCGTCGTCACGCCATCAACGGCCTCCCACATACTCCTGCCCGTCCAGGCTCTCCTGAGGCAACTGCCTCACCTCAACCTCACTCAACACATCGCCTTCGTCGAGTGGGCCGCTCTTCGTCGCTCCGCTCGCTCTCGCTCAGCCCAGAGCCAATTCTTCCCTCTCCAGACCGCCAAAGAACTGGAACGCCCTCGCCACCAGCGTCAGACGCTGGCATGGACCAAGATGCCGCGGCCGAGGCCGCCACCGATGCCGCCCTCGAGGCATTCGTTGAGAGGCTTGCTGCCGTTGCTGCTGGTTTTGCTGCTGCACCAGAGCCAGAACCTCAACAAGTCGATGAGGTCATCGACGACTGGCGTGCCCCCGACGATTATATGTCGGACGACGAGGACGAGGAGGATGACCGAGAGGGCGGCGCCCCTCTCAACCTCGACGAATTCCCCGTGGGGGATGTTGTTGGTGCCCGGCTCCGTGCCGGTTTTCAAGCGTTGGCCGCCGCCCGCCATCAGGTGGACCTCCTCGATGGGGACGACGGCGACCTCCCTGCTCAAGGGAACCGGGGTGCTCCTGCGGCCGTCCGGGCCCGGATGGAGCTTCTCCTCGTTGAGGAGAACTTCACCGGTGCAATCCGGGGGCTTATGGAGGACCTCGCGTTCGAGCGGGAGGTTGCTGGCGTGGCCCGTCGGGGCTTTGAGCATTTTCAGGAGGAGGCACGCCGCCTCACAGGTCTCTTGGGCCGAGTCCGCGTCGAGGCCGGCGCCGCGAGCGATGAGGCCTTCGCCTACGCGAGTCACATTTTTGTGATGCGTATGGAGTTGGCCGTCGCCCGGCGTCGGCTGAGAGACGCGGGTCTCTAACCTCGAGACCTGTGTTGGTTGGTCGTGGGTGTCCGTCCGGTGGTTGTGGTGTGTTGGGGGCTGTGTGCGTGGTGGTTGTGCTGGGGTGGTCGGTTTTTTTGTCCGCGGTGTCGGCGGCGTCGGCGTGTGCTGGGGTGGCGGTGCCCGGTTGGGCGGTTTCTTTTTTTTGGTGTGTTGTGTGTGTTCTTGGTGCCGGTTGGTCGGCCTGCTCCCGGGCGGTGGTGGCCCAGGGGGGCAATCTGTTTGGTGTAGATAGAAAACTCCTTTTCAAAATGTTGGGGGCCCATTGTTTCGTTCTTGCATTGTGCTTGTGAAGTCCGTGGCCCTAAAGGGAAGGGATAAAAACAGGGAGAAAGATGAAGACGAGGCTGGACAGGACCCTAATTACTGTGCCACCAATGTTGTGGGGAAGTAGAGTGCCACGGACAAGCATGGGCAGCATAGATGTTGTCTGCTCAGGGAGCGTCACGGACATTCAAACGGTTGAAAGAGCTCAGGTACTGGAAGATAATGTGAGAGGGTAAGGGATGGGATGGGATGCCTAGACGAAGGGCGCCTTTCGCGTTTATGCATTGTACAGTTAAAGGCTCCACGGACAAGCCCTATACGAGAGCATAGAAGGTCAAAGGGTGCTCTGGATATCCAACCACTACTTGGATCAAGGACTGAGGGACCGCTGGAAGCATTACGGATCCGTTCACAGGATCACTACGGACATGACACTGCTCCGTGGGATGGGATATTGGAGATTGATTGGCCCTAAGACTCACTACAGTGTCGGAAGAGGAGAGTGTGTCACAGACAAAACAGTATACTCCGGCATGCTATTATAAGAAAGGACCTATAACAGGTGTCGTATTACTGGAATTACTGGACGGCAGGGCCGTGGACATTCATGGATGCATTCATCCGTACGTTGTGAATGCGCAGGGAGTGGAAGGTCCAAGGGAGAGACAAGAGGCCTACCGACAACCCAGCATTGCGCAGGAAAGAACCAGGGAGGAGTTGACAAGGACAAGGCAAGACAAACACGACCCTTTCAAGATGAATAGCCATGACTGTCTAGTTTGGACCGCCAGGGCTGAGGCCGTGCTGTCTGTGAAGGAATCTCAAAAGTGAGGACTGCATAAGAGTGTGACTTCGAGCCACGCGAGGCAACATCGTGGATATGTTGCCAGTACGCTGCAGGATGTGGTGACGAGAGTATCTGCAAATCGACTCTGGAGCAGATGCTCACACCGACAGCTTAACAGATCACACAACGTGAGTAAGGTATGTATCCTTTGTGAATGGCTCAGCAAGTTGTGGTCCTTCGGCCTTCTGCTGGTAGTCATTGTCCACTTTCATCTTCTACAATGCTGCTTCCTTTGTACTCCTGCTATTCTTCACCTCCTCCACTTCGGCATCAATCACCACCAACCCTCGCCACCTTCCTTATTGACCGTCTCCTTATCGATGACAAACGTCGCGATGAATTCTGCCTGCTCATCGCCAACGTTCTCTGAGCGGACGTGATGACAGCCAGGTGGCTCATACCAGCTTTCTCCAGCGGCATAGATTTTCGGCCCTGAGCCCTGAGAATCTGGGTCGTGGTTGGGACACACCATCTGGTTGAGCATCTTGCCTCTGATCATGGTAGCTACGATGGCACCGCCGCCGTGCGTATGAGGTGGAGTTGCAGCGTTGACGGGCGCCGTCACCTTCACACCAAGATAGTAGTGGTTCGGAATATTGGAAGGCGAATGTTGAAAGGCTAGAGCAACAGTGGCGACAGGTCTCCTGTATCAAAGTGAGCCTCAGCAGCAGCGTGACTGTAAGCGAAGGGTTGAAACACATACTCATCGACCGTCCATTGTCCGTCCTTTTTCACAACATTCTGATTTTTCGTCGATTCTGTCCATCTTCAATTGGCGGTCATATTTGTTGCATCCAATCGATCCTGCAACCCTTGCTTAACTAGCGCCCCCATCATCCACCAAATATCCAGGCTCACTAAGCGTAAAGCCACCCTTGATCGTTTTTGAGGTCTTGTTCTTCGCACCGACACCTGGTCGCCCACTGCCGCAGGAGCGACTGTGGCATACAAATGTCGGATAAAGGTATCCCACTGTCAGGTCTGCAGTCCGCGGAATCTTCAGCAACAACAAGTGAAAATGTACAAATTGCCAACAACAACACCAACTCGCCTGAAGTCCAGGGACCATATTCCGTCTTCACCAGTTCGCAAAAACTGGCCATTGTGTTGCTTGTAGCCTTTGCCTCCTGCTTCTCTCCTCTCAGCAGCTTCATCTATTATCCTGGTCTTACGGCGGTCGCGAAGGACTTGCATACGACCCTATCCAAGATCAATCTCACAATAACGTCTTACATGATTGTCTCCGGGGTTGCACCCACAGTCTTTGGGAGTATGGCCGATCAGGTGGGAAGACGGCCTGTTTACCTTCTTATGTTCCTTCTTTACGTCTTTGCCAATGTTGGACTGGCTCTGCAAAGTAACTATTCAGCTCTACTGCTGCTCCGCATGCTCCAGAGTGCCGGTGGTTCGGCCACGATCGGTCTCGGCTACGGCGTCGTTGGCGACATCACAGAGTCTTCTGAGCGTGGAGCGTACATGGGAATCCTAGGATGCGGCCCAAACGTCGCGCCTGGCCTGGGACCTGTCCTCGGCGGCGTCCTCATAGAGAAGGCGGGATGGCGTTGGACCTTTGGATTTCTGGCAATTTCGGGCGCTCTCAGCCTCGTTCTCATTGCTGTCCTGCTGCCTGAAACTGGACGCAACATTGTTGGAAATGGCTCCCGCCCCACCCCGAACATGAACCAAAGTGTCGTACTCCTCTGGCGAGAGAACAGACGGAAGAAGACCACTCTGCTGCCTCACGGATATCGCACGGATGCATCAGAAAGCGTTGCCCGCATAGCAACGATGAGGTTACCAAATCCGCTAGGAAGCGTTCACATATTCCTGCAAAGCGAAAGCGCCCCTGTTATCCTGATCAATGGGGTCTTCTACAGTGCCTACTGCTGCTTGCAAGCTTCCCTGTCGTCACTATTCATCAGCATCTATGGTTACAGAGAGCTCGAAGCCGGCTTAATCTATATTCCATTCGGTGTGGGGTGTTTTGTTGCATCTTTACTCTCAAGTAAGCTGCATACGCTCTTTCATTTCCCACCTCCAAATGACATGTCTTTTGACTGCAACAAGCATTAACGCAGCTTTCTGCTTCCGAAGGGAATATTCTTACGCATGACTATCGCTGCCTTGCTGTTCGCCACGGTCTTCCCACCTCCAGCGCTGAGACCCCAGAGTCTCAGAGACTTGCGTTTCCTATATTTCACGCCCGCCTACGAAGCATGGCTTACCTGCTTCCTCTTTCCATCTTTCCCCTCCTCGCGTACGGCTGGGTGCTGGAGTACCCCCTGCACCCGTCCATTCCTCTCATCCTCCAATTCTTCATCGGCGGCGCAACGACCATCATCTTCAACGCATGCGGGACGCTGCTGGTCGATTTACATGCCTCACGCCCGTCGACGGCTCAGGCGGCTCTGAACCTGCTCCGCTGTGCATTTGCCGCCGGGGAGCTTGCGGCACTGCAGCCGCTCATCAACGCTATCGGTATGGGATTGTGCTACACTGTGATTGCACTGATAACTGGGGGTATTGCCGCCGTAAGCGTAGTTATTGGGAGAGTCTGGGGAGAGAAGTGGAGGAGACAAAGACATGATGCGCAAAACAACATGGAGGGTACCGGATGAAGCTTCTCAAGTCCGCGTGTTTGGGAACCTTGTATCGGCCAGATTTCCATAGTGTCTGCCTTCGAGCAGACATCCTGAAGCTGAATGCAGCTCTGGTGTTAGTGTAGTCAAGAAGTGGATCATGGCAGCCTTGCATAGCCTTGTCGTCAGGTCAAGTCAAATCAAGACGATATCACGTGATGACGAAATCTTGGCTTGCGCTAGCCCACAATCCCGATTTCCCAAACTTCCAATTCCAGATCGCATTTGCTTGACCAACAACTGTTCAACCACAACCCTCCACACACACCACAGGCGCAGGATATCAATCTCTTTGCGACCGACACATATCTCTTCACAATGGGACCCCAACGCACCGTCGCACCCAAGGTAAGACAACCGAACCGCTTTGCTGTATCTGGCCTCGAGATGCGCATGCGCAAAGTTCTCCAGGCCCCGAAGAGAGCAGTAGGCTAAGGTTTTTTTCTTTCTGTACTGTAGGCTTCAGGCCGTGGAGGCAAGACCGCGAAGAACCAGAAGGTCACAAAGAAGGTATGTATCTGAGACACTCTACTCTCATGGTGTTGGGAACGGCGCTAATCTGTTCTGTCTTGTACAGTACACCATCAACTGCAGCCAGCCCGTCAGCGACAAGATCTTTGACCTGTCTGCGTTCGAGAAGTTCCTGCACGACCGCATCAAGGTCGAAGGCCGTACCAACAACCTCGGCGACAACATCAACATTTCGCAGGTTGGCGATGGAAAGATCGAGGTCGTCACGCACATTCCTTTCTCCGGCCGATACCTGAAGTACTTGTACGTTACGCTCTACTCTTGGAAAATGGGCTGTAGGGACTGGGCTAACGAGGTGGACAGGACGAAGAAGTTCCTCAAGAAGCAACAACTCCGCGACTGGCTGCGTGTCGTGTCGACCAGCAAGGGTGTCTATGAATTGAGATTCTTCAACGTGGTCAACGACGAGGGTGACGAGGACGAGGAGTAGACCATCTCAGGGACATGATAATGATGGAATGGCGTGGTATTGTCCAGTTCAAAAAGTTTGATTTGATCAGGATAACCTTTCTACTGCTATGATACCCGCTGGTAGAGATGGATTTGATACCTCATGTTCTCCAGCTCCAAGGGATATTTCAATGATGGATTCAATCTGAACCATCGTGAATCATCAGAGACATGTTTCTTCCACTTACCCTGTGCAACTTCTTGCAATGTGTGATCGAGTAGCCATTTCATCGGATACTTTTTCGTCTGGCCTTGACCTAACTTGACCTCGGAATAAGACCCAGGACTGTCGACGACCAGGAGCCACGAGCCCGACTGCATGCTATCGGTAAGCGCCAGCAAGAATGCCGTCGTCCGCGATATCGAGCTTGTGAAAAGTTCGTTCAGCGTGAACATGATCGTGCATAGATGCATATTGGCGAGCATGTCATGCAATCGGGCTTCTCCAACGGCGAGGATATCGCACTGCGAAAAGCGGACGGTGAACTGATCACTCGCGATCAGAGATCTATTCGACGCCTTCGCGCTCTCGCTTGCATACGGTGAAAGTGGAGGTGGCGTGCATAAGACGTTTTCTAGCTGGTTAAGACAACTGGACCAGTCTGCGATGTCGATGGGGTGGACTTCCAGATGAGGAAGAGAATATGAACGTGTTGCAACCGCACATGCAGCCACTTCCGCTCCTCCGCCACCCCCAATGCAAGCGACTCTGTTAGCGCTTGTCGTCTTCTGTGTGTTTGGAGTTGCGGACGCAGCAGTTTCGCCGAGCCACACTTGCTGCAGGTCGCTGTGCAGGAGGATATCGCTATATCCAAGTGCTCGAGCGGCGCTCCACCGCAGTGCATAAGCACCAAGATATTCTTGCTTGGCAAAGGCACTGGTAAAGTCCCGCTGGAAGAGGTGGCCCTTCACCTCTTGGATGACCGTCTTTACATCGAGGTTGTTGTTGAATGGAAATGCCCGGCGGAACACATCCAGCATCATTTGTTGCACTTCTACCGGAAGAGCCACGGGGTCGGGACGTTTTGGTGTGATGTTGGCGGCTTCTCGGGAACTCTGGGTGGATTTCGTGGTACTTGGGCCTTTCTGTTTCCTTGCCGGTGCCATCGTTGCTCAAGGATGTGTTGAGTCCAGAAACACAGTTACCGTTTCAGCCTGATCATGGACTTTGTACCACAGCAGTCAAAACCGGTGCACAAGTCAGCAGCAAAATCTGAGATTGTAAGTGCTGTTGTACTCCAAGCAACCGTGTCCATGTATGCTGGCAGCCAATTCCCGTCGTCGACTTCGCGATGGGCGGAAAGTTCAAACAATGATTTGTCGAATGACGATTGCCTGATCTAGAGTTGACGTATATTGGCTTGAACTGGGCCGGAGATCGACTAGCTTCTTCGTGTCGTTGGCGGTCGAGAACTGTTGTTGAGGCTATCCCGGGTGCCCGAGTCAGACTGTCCTCGACCAAAATGGGTTAACAAGACGCAGGAGAATTTTTTTGCTTATCATGCATACCAGGGCACATGCCGGTGATGCCCTTGCGTTGGTGCTTGTTGTCACGAGAAAGCGTGCATACACTAATGCGTGGTTTGCAGATGCGGGAACCAAACACTGGTCCAGCGAGGATTTTGATCCTGAAGCAACCCTTTCGACGTGCTAGGGTTCGAGGGCAAAACGGTATTGGCTCGCAAAAGTTCAGCTCGAGGCGGTCAGTCAGCTAACTAGTCCACATTCGTTGCCCCAGTCTGCGTGGCAAATGAACTGCTCTATCTCTTATGCCATGCAACCGAGATTCATATCTGGGTTGTCGAGGTAACCAGCGAGAAGCGAGTTTCACGTTAATATTTTTGCGTGTTCATCAATCGGTGGCTTGTCTGAGAAAGATAGATTCATTCGTGAACCAGGACCAGCACGCCTCGGCTGAGACGGCAGTATCCGTGAAGAAATCCAGATTGGTTCACAGGCGCAAAGCCTTTCGTTGCGGTGATGATGTCCGGACGGCTCAATTCTTGCTCGTTGGATTGGTCAGTTGGTTTGCTTCCAGGCCAGCAGTTCCTGCATAAGCGTATAAGCTTCGGATGACCCGCGAAAAGGTGGCAGCCCGCTAAAGGTTGCAGCTGCAAGTCCTAGGGACCTATCCGCTGATCATCAATGATATGTATGGATCTCCTTTTGCACGAGCATGATGGGGACTGCGTGTTCGTCGTATTCTGCAAGTCCAGACTGACGCATACAACGGTCTTGAATAATATGTGGCCCTTGCACTCCTCGCAAAAAAGGGCAGGTTGCACAAGGTCGGAAACAGCACGGGCCGGTGAATACGTCGTATGAGGGAAAAGTGGAATCAAGGGCGATTGAGATTGGAAGAACCAGGATGCTGAGGATGGCCAGCTCCTTTCTCTTCTGGCCGCCAACGCATCAGCTGGCCGTCCCTCGGGTCGAGCTATCTTGACAGGAAATGTCAATCGATAATGCTCAGTCAAGGATACCTTGTCCGTTTCTTTATGCAGAGAGATGCGACACTCACTACGGTATCATCGAGTATTGTGCTCTCCTTCAGGGTCCGGATATCGACGATAGCATATGGGAAGGGTGCTCAGTGCGCCACGCCAATGCGATAGTGGGAGGAATGCCATGGCGATGCTCGCTGTGATTGTCGATGCCAGTGTCCAGTGGTGAGTGTCTAACATATCCGTACATACAATTGTGTTCGTCATGCTGGCAAGAGAAGCCACACCAATTCGTAGAGTTACGTGCTCAATTGTTGGCACAAGGCCAACTCGGGGCATCTCCACGAGCCAAAAGGGATTGGAAGGTTGCTGCTAAAGGTGCCTGACTGAAGGCCCCTAAGGTCCGTCTAACCAAGCTGGGCCACGCCTAAACTGCACTGGTGACCTGAAAAAGACCGCTGCTGGCCTCCTAAGCAACCAAGTTTGCCAGGTGTAGTGGGTCGGGTTCCTGCCTGCGCTGCGCCTCTTGCCCTGGCTTGAACACCTCCATCTTCTTGCACCTTTCTCCATTCATACCACTCCGATCTCACACACACTCCTTCCTGTTCCTCCTCCTCCTCCTCCGCCCTCATTGCCATCTCTCTCCCACACACCTCACGGCCTTAGACAAGCCCTTGGCTCCTGATTGAAGAAAGATCCTGAGTTGGTCTTTCTTCCAGGTTGCTGTCCACTCCTTCAACACCTCGCCTCAATCATTCAGTCACCCCTTCCGATCCAGCCGATCTCAACTCGTCACAGTTGCGTTCATAAGACTTACCCATAGGTACCATCCTCCACAATGTCGCTGGTATACTGTGCGCTGACTGTTCTTCAGAATTTGTACCAGTCATTCCTTACCACGACATTGCAGCGCAATCTCACCTCCTCAATCTGTAATGGTGGCAGTTGTCCATCCGCCAAGGGCCGCATCAACAAATCAACCAGGTGCAGGAACACCTCTCTCAATAATACCGAATGTACCTGCCTGCTGGCCAGAAAAAGCACCAATACTTAATTGTCGGGTGGCTGCTTGATTGAACTATGACTTCGATTTCGTTGCCTGCTGCAGCACCAGCGCCGTCTCCCTTCGATTCCGCCCCAAACAGTCCAACTCGGTCTCCTCCAACTCATAGACGACGGCCTTCGCGCAATCCGAATGCTGCACCTCTGCCAATCTTTTCCTTCAATCCCGGTGCAGACGAGAATTCCGTAAAAGCAGGGGGAATGGGTCAGGGACATCAGCCTGCGAACACCATGGCTGCAGAAGTCGGCCGTCGATCTACAAGACTTACACTACCCGAATTCAAGTTCAATCCTGGCGCCGATCTACCTGCCGACAAGACACCAAGTCCTACACATCCAGTCCTGCAAGAAATGGTTATGAATCAGCAGCGCGCTGTTCGATCTGCGAGGCCTGCTCCGTTGCCTGCCTTCACCTTCAACCCCAGCGCACAAACAGCACAAGCGTCACCGAGCCCGACAAAATCGGAATTTGCTGATGTCCAGCTTCCACCTCCTCGCTCGGGTCATCGAAGAGGAGTGAGTGAGTTTGTGGGTGGCGGGAATAGCGGGCCTCAACTTGTCAGCATCAGCCCAGAGAAGCCGGAGTACCGACCACATCCTCCAGTCAGTGCAGCGTCTAGGGGACATGTACACCGCCGATCCCAAGCTGTTTCCATCTCAGACATTGACACGTCCGAGCTCATCAAGGCCAACGCTTTGTCCAAGGCACGGGCTGGTTCTACACCAACCACCCCGTCAGATGGCGCACTGGCCTTTTCGTATCCTCGTGCCAGCCCTCAGATACGGCAGTCAATGTCAAACATTGTCAGAACTCCACCATCTTCTCCACGACGAAGAGGCAGCGCACCAGGAATACGGCCTCGGGTGGGATTTTCCGACAGAGTCGATGTCATTCCCAGACCGCTGTCCTTGATATCGTCCGAAACCGAGGGGAGCAATTCAACTATTCGTGGAGGCCATTCTCTTTCTGGCAGCATCAATTCGATCGCAAGTCCCAACCCTCAGCCTGCACTAGTTGTCACTGCAAGTGACATGTCAAGTTCACCAGAGCGACCGCAGACTGCTGACGCCCTTTCCACTTTGTCACCTGGCATGGCTTCTGTAAACAAGCCGGTTTCGTTAATCAACCTTCCAAAGCGGCCGCTCTCAGCTTCAGGATCCCCGGGGACTCTCAGTTGCGGCAGTCCTCCGAGCAAGAAGAAGTATTTCTGGTTCAGTCAGCCTAGCACCGGCTCGCCTTCGAGTACTCCCCGTGTTGAACAGAGTGATCCAATGGGCGTTTTCACGTCTGAAGCCACTCCTCAACCATCCATGTTGAGAGCTTTTGGCGATCACACACGTCCTAAAACATCTTCTGGTGAGCCCGGCCCTTTATCGTCGAGAAAGCGAAAGTACCACACATGGACTTCAGGGATTTTCTCGCGACGATCGGACAAACGTCCTAGCAAGGTCAGAGAACAGGATATTCCCCCTCCACCCGCTCTGGTCAGACGTCCAAGTGATCGACTGAATGACATCTTTGATGCCGATGATACAATTGTGATTCGCGGTCCTTCACCTGTGCCGACCGAAGTTCGTGCTTCAGTGCCAAAACTGGCTCCGATCCAGACAAGCACAACCTCTCCACTGGCAGAACAAATCACCAGTCCCGTACTCGACTTGGACGCAGCCTTAGGCCCATTTGGAAGTGAAGAAAAGCTCAGCCCTGGCAGAACTGGACCATCCGCAAGGATGGCGAAACTTCACAGCACTGAACGAAGAGGCAATGTGGATGCTTTCGGGGCAGTTCATAGGAGAACTGAGTCGGCGCCTATTATGCCAGCCGTCAATCGAACCACCTTCAGCGTGCATCGTATGGGTAGCAACTCTTCCCTAACTGAGGACGTGTTTGATGAAGAGGAAGAGGACAATTTCCTGGCTGGAGAAAATGTCAACTCAGACACCATTCGGCGATCGGCGGACAACCAGAGTGACCCCACGTCAGTCGAGCACGCCGAGATACCGGATACTGACATGGAGGTTACTCCGACTACATCAGCAATGAAGCCAAACGAGGGTCTTGGTCTGTCCTTGGGCAAGAACTCTGACGATGGTGTCATCATTGCAGATCTGGAGGAAGACGTTGCTCGAGCCGAAGCAAGGTCTTCAAATTCCACCATCGAAGCGCCGGTCTTCCAGGACTCTCAAGCGCAGAAACTCTCATCCTCGCCAATGGCCTTTGCCTATCCCGCGCCGCAGTCGCACTACGCTTCTTCCACAGAAGGTCGCACTACATCAGCCTCGATGATCTCCTCTCCTGATGCCGACCACATTTCTTTCGATGCCATGGCTCGTCCGGGCCGCTTGCTAGGAGAACCAAGCCCAGACTTTTTACTGCGGGCCTCGAACGATGACCTTCCATCCCTCAGTGATAGCCTCTCGACAGGCGCATTACCGAGGTTTTCGAGCAGCGCTGGGACTCGTTCGTCGACCGAACAGCGCTCTCGATCCATGATTGATCCATCGACCTCGAGATCACACAACCAACAAGCGTGGAAACGAGCAAGTTTGGCCAGCCTGAATCGCCTGATACCTGGATCATCCAACGGCAGTAAGCTTAAATTTGAGACTGTTCCGGATGTGCCGGCCAGCGACGGAAAAGCTCGGAGGAAGACCAACAGAATCAGCAAGTTGATGCAGTTCTGGCGAACGAAAGAGCGTCCAGAGAAGTGATTTTCTCATGGGAAAGATTGATACCTAAGGAATGGAAATCCCCACTTACGGCTTTATGAACGAGAGCTTGGAGTTTCGGGGCTCTGACGACTTGAATGGCATTTTGATGCAAACACTTTTACGACATATTCATGATAAGGGAGGTTGTTGATCGCCAGGACCTCAACCGAAATACCCTTTGCTTCATACTCGAGCCAAACCTTAACAAGTTGCCTTCGCGTGTTTCGACACAAGCATCCGACTTCTACCGTAACCTTTTGAGGCTCAACACATTCATACCAGCAATTGGAGCCTGGCTTGGTCATTTCGAACACAGCTTCTTCCATGCGAAAAGACCTTTTACCAAAGAAAAAAAAAACCATCACTGTGTGATACGGACCATTTTACCTTTCACCGAACATGAAGGATTGATTATGTTCATATGGACGAGCCGAGCTATGTTGAGCTGCATTGATGGATGAGATTGGTGATTTGGAGGAAGGGAGGGACGAAATGGAGACATACATAAGATCGAGAAGCTGTCTTCAGCCGGTCTCGGATCGGGGGTGGGAAAATACTTGAGCAGTATTTGTTTTGTCTAGAGTAGTATCCCTGGTAGATTTGCTCTCCGATCCAGACATCGATCGAGCAAATAGCCTAGCTGTATGAAGACATTCATCACACAAGTGCCCGACGTTATATGCTCTGCCTGTAATTCGCAAACGACTCCTCAGCTGTGCACTGGGCAGCCTTTCGATGCGCACCCTTTCATCCACTTGGCCATCCAAGTGTCCAAGTGTCCATGTATCCATGTATATCTGTCCTTGTCCTGCCTGGCTTTTCTGCAATGGCATTTCTGTAAGCACGGTCTGCCCAGATCGTCCATATCTTGGTCTCCCTAGCACATATATAGCAGGATCGCTCTCATACACGATGACGAGGTGAATGGAAGATCGGATTGGAATGCAAGGAGAAGTGAGAGGAGGTATACGGTCTGTGATGCGAAAAGGCAATGTTGGCTGACTTAGAGAGATCTCACTTGACAAGCGACCCCCTTCACTACTCTCGTGTCGACCTTGACGTTGACCTCGAGCTTGCTGGCACGTACAGTACCCCAGAAGACGAGCCTTCTTGGAGTCGAGCCTGCACTGAAGAATGGATGAACGAATGAGTGGCCGAATGAAGGAATACCAAACGTCATTTTTCTCACTCTTGGTTCTCGTTGTTTACTATGGTCTCATGGGTAAATCGTGTAATATAGCGCTAGGGTGCCATTCGACGACAAACAGCAGCAAGGACAATTTGTATGGCAGGAGGGCCTCCTGTTCAATGCGATGCCAACTGCTGCTTCGCCGATTTAAGCGGCAGATGTTTGGCACCCCGGGTAAGCGAGTTTCATTACACGATATACCTATGAGACCGTAGTAGACCAGTGACGTGAACAAGTGACGGAATCAATATCAACAACCCCGGTCGTCTGCATGCAAATAGTACTCTCTCCCAGGTTCACAATGTGCGCCATGCTCATGCCATGCCATATCATGCCTTCTTCCCATTGCCAACGCCATGCAGTATCAACAACTCCCATACCAAAGCAAAGCAAAGCAAAGCAGAGCACTCCCCATTCGTTGATTGGTGACCAAGATTCCGGCGCCAGACCAACTTCGAGATCAGCTCAAGCATTCATGAACATATCGTGTAGACATGCGAACAAAAGCCCATCTCACACACACCTTGCACCAATAAGTCATGATCACTGAATATGCTCGGAGAAAGGGTCCATGTACAAGTCCATCCGCCCAGTTCCTTGCACGTCATGACAAAAGAGTTGGTCGTTTGAGGTAATTCCCATCGCTGACGCAGAAGCGAAGCGTGAGTGCACCTCGAAGACTTGGCCGTTACGTCGTATCACAGCTCCACACTTGCTAGTTCAAGCAGCATAGACAGAGCTTAAGCATAAGTATCCCATGCCATCAACAAAGGCCCTGACTCTTTCATCACCGCTTGACACCAACGGGTCCATGGCTCGCACTTCCCACCCGTCCACTGGTCTTCCTGACCTTGGTCTTGTCCTCACCACCACTTCGACGAGGCGACTCTCGCAATGATCTTGTCTTTGACACATTCATGGCGCCCTTTCCGCTCGCTGACCTCGGTGTCTTAGGGCGGGAGGCCTTCTCACTAACGGTGCTGAGCTTCAAATTTTCCTGCTCCTGGGCCAGCTCGTCCCAGATGGCGTTGGTGTCCTCGAGCTGGAACTTGATATCACCGTCGTCTTCATAGATGTTCATGTCGTCGGCCATGTCGAACGACTTGGTCACGGTCGTGGTCGTCGTAGTGTAAGAAACGCTACGCGCCTTGCCTTTGCTGCCGACGGGGCTTTTGCTTTGGCTGCGACGAGACGCTGCTCGCTGCAGAATGAGCTCCTCCTCGCTGTCTGCTCCATTGACGCTGTGACGATGAGTTTCCACGGCGACTTCGCTCTCTGATCTGCCTCCATTGACTCGCATCGTGCCGGATGATGATCGAGCGTAGGGATGGCTTCTTGAGTCCATGCGAGAATATTTTCTCGGCTGGCCAGGTGTGGGTGCAGGAAGATTTTCATCCTGGTAGGAGCCAGGGTTGGTGACATCGTTGCCATCAATCTCGCCCAAAGCAGATCTCCGTGCGCTGGATCGATCCGGTGTTGCTTGTTGTGCTCCACCACTGGCAACTCTCATAGGAGTCTTTGTTGACATTGCGCGTGGCGTAGAAGGTTTTGCCACTTCGATCTTCGTCTTCCACTGGTCCTCGAGATACCACTCTCGGAATTTGCCCTGGTTCAGGTGCAGCCAATGTTGCTGTGGACCGACCACCATGCCCGGGCGCATGAAGCGCATGAAAGCAATAACCTCGTTGGCAGTGAAGCCATGACGATATATCAGATAAGCCCCGATCAAGCAGCCTGTTCGACCAAGACCAGCCTTGCAATGCACGGCGATAGATTTGTTCTTGGCGATCATATCATGGGCAAGCTTGATGAACTTCCGCACGATCGGGAGAGTCGGGCATGTGCCGTCTTCAAAGATCATATCAATGTGTTGGATACCAAGAGCAGAAAAGTATGTTGGGCAATAAAGCTCCGAATTCAGCCTCACCACCAGGCCGACGTCTCGCTGGACAAAATGGGTGAGGACGTTCTTGAAGGGTTGTGGTATTCTTGCATTTGGAATTTCGGGTACACAAGATGGTAGCGTCGAATAGGCTGGAGATGAGATTGGTATGGGTGCGGTAGGTTCGGACTGAGGTGACGCAAAGGCCACGAATTGTGGTGATATCCAGTTGAAGTCTCCCATATCTACTCTTTCATAGCGTTCGTATCTGTAACTTGTCAGCGTCTGCATCATGGGGTCAGAGTGCAAGTGTCATACTCTTCCAGATTGAATTCCTTGAGCTGACAGAGATTTTCCTCTTTTGCTTTCCAAACCCCATAGACGACGTCTTGAATGTTGAGGATAAAATCGGCTTGACTATAGCCTGCGTCGCGGAAAGGCATGTAGGGAGGATCTGCTTGAGCGATGGGTGCGAGAGCAAGATGAGGTGGCCATGCTTGGATCAGAACCATGTAGCAAGCGACCAAGCATGCCGCATTGGCTCGACTTCTGGCATCAGCCCGACTCCAAAACACCACGGCTTTGTCATTGTTGGCTGGATCTCCCAAAATCTCGTGGAATTGGACTGCAAATCGGTACAGATGGCCAACGTGCAAGGGACCAAAGTCTGCGTGAAAAGCGTTGTAAAGGAGGGTGTCATCAATCGTGAAGTAAACTGGGGGAGGTCGAAGACCGGCCGGTGTCGGGCCTGCTTGAGCTCTGGAGGATTTCTTGTAAGGGGATCTCTTCGCTTGGGTAGGATATGGGAAAGGAGTGTTTTCGTTCGGCGCCTGGGTGTAAGATGCTAGGTACAATCGGTCTGAGAACAGGTGTTAGCTTCTGTTATGGAAGGAGCATTGTTTTGTTTCATACCTTGAATGTACTCAATAACCTGGCCATAATTAACAGGATGGGCCATCGTGGGCGCCATCGCTGTCTGATGCAGAGTGCAGCTGCTGAAGCGATTTCAAGATGCAAGCGCAGGTTGGACTCGTGCAGCAATCGAACAGGGAGGGGTGCTGTTGGCTTGGTGGGAGCTCGGATGGGAGTGATGGAAGAGATGGACAACAATAACAAGACCGCGATGGTTTCGCTTTTATTGCAATAGCATGTCGCAAGGCAGCGCACCAGGAATATAGCTAAGGAGATCGGGACAGCAGTAGAGAATAAGGATGTGGATGTGGGCAGGCAGTGCGGTGTGCAAGAAGAGTATTTGAGTCGAGGATGCGGGCGACCAAGAAGTTGAAGCCCAAGGAGAAACGGCGAGATGTTATGAGGCTACTAGGCGAAAGTGTTGCTCAGCAACCACACAAAGCGGCGAATCTGCCGGTGTATCAGATCCAAAGATTTCCCGCCTTTTCGTCACTCACCCAAAACACCCTGTGACCCTCGCAACCAAGCCTGCAGAACAACACCTACACCTCTTTTGGTGTTGGCAAAGTCTGCCCACACTCTCTGCCAGAGTGTCCCGTCTTTTCAGCGACGCACCCTCTGTGGTGGTGCAGAGGCGCGCAATGGCAGCCTCCGAATTCCCCTGCTCATTGTGCGTACCCTCTGGGCACTCTAATACGGTCCACCATAACTGATTGCCTCTTGCAGAGTGATCGACGTTCCTCTTCTCGATCATCGTCTAGCTTCCACTGCCATGCGGGCTCTGCAGGTTGATGCAGAGTTGTCTCCTCTTGTTCGTCGAAGATTTTCCTTGGTTGATCGCGAGGGCAATGCTGGGGATGAGGACGAGAGCAGTATCATATTGCGGACCGAGTACAGCGCCACGACTAATCGAATGCTTCGAGTCGCCGTCAATGGCTTCATGGAATCACTCGGCGTGGTCTTACAGGTCATGGAAGAGTTAGATGTCGATATGCTTGAATCAAAATGCTAAAGCCGCCGACGGGCATATGGCTCTGTCTGCGGTCACAGGTCAAGATTTCCGTCATTAATTGTACAGCTCTTCAACATGAGTTACCTTGTAATATACCGTGGTAATCGCTGGCTGATATTTGTACAAAACGCCAAACCTCCGACGAAGAAGATATTCCCTGCTCTAGTCTACGTGCATAGTAAGGAGCCTCTCAATGGTTGGACGTGCTTTGCAAACATCGTCTCTATCGTCCCATTGCCCGTTCGCTGACTAGTAACTGACTGTCCGCTCCCCTCGAGTCGTCGTCGCCCGACTACGAGGTAGGACAGCCTGGTCCATGAAAGTGATACCGTCCAGCCAAGTACGCTCGCAATTCAGCAGTTGTGCCTCTCCAGAAGAATACTTGGCTCGTTGAGATGGCAGAAGGGGATCCTTTCCACCGATGCCGGCCACTCAATTTCGAAGACTGATTTGTAAGTCCATCCACTGTCAGACTGTCATCCCTGGTGTGAAGGACGTTGTACGAGGACCGACAAGTGCCATCGACAGCATCCTCACGATACGGTCAAGCATTTGTGCCCCGCCGGTTCACGGCCTTCCGCAAGTCGCCATTATCAAGAAGAGACTTTGCGGACGGCAAAAGTTCTTTGGCAGGACTCGCCCGAGACTTCATGATGAGACGTGAATCAGGCACATCCAGGCGGGTTCTGAAAACCTTAAGCGGCGGGCTATCTGGGACATACCATTCGACCCGGCCTGGTGTCTCATCTGACCCCAAAGCCACATTGCCGTAAGACACCATACCAAAGAAGTCGGGCAGGAACATGACCCCAGAGAAGTCGTCACGGTTGAAATCCTTTGCCGCACGGAGCTTTGGGTGTTCTGCAGGAGACGCTGTACCAAAGACCCATTTCCGTTTCGAGATTCGGTCCCAAGGTGGAGGATCTTCTGGATTCGAGAAGTGGGCTTCGGTCTGACGTATCTCCTCCTTTATGTGAAGAAGAAATTCGATAGTGCTCCCCTCCGGTATCATAGCTTGAGACTTCATTTCGAAGGGCGTCGAGTCATCATCATCAAGGTCGGGGAATAGCATGGTTTTTGCCTCACCTGCCTTTAAATCGACCGCTGTGTCCAGTGATAGGAGCCCTTTTTTCTTGCCCCAACCTCCTCCGCCGCCAGTCACCTTATGCAGCCTTGCACCTCGCCAGATCTCAGAAAGGACGGCGGAGATCGACTTCACCCCCGCGTCGCGCTTTGCTTGCTCGGTTGCTGGCCGCATACCGGGCGGGCGGATCAAGGCATAGACCAGAACAGGTCCACCACCGGGCTCCGAGGCTACGTGCTTTGTGACGGCTTCTTCAAGCTCTTGCGAGGCTGGGACCGACTTTCCGTCAATTTCAATCTCTGCCAGGACGTTACCCATGCACCTGGAGATCACCCGCTCAGGTGTTAAGCCCCGAAGTGGAACGTGACCATGGAGAAATGAGTCCGGGGAACAGGTAAGTGGTACCCTGAGATACCGAGCACGACTGGTGTCGTCACGTTGTATCTTTGGTCCTGAGTCCCCGAGATATATGTCCCAGACATGATGTAGCATTGTGTCCCTCTGGCCGTTCAGGAACAACGTGTTCGCAACTTGGAGACTGATATGGCGGCTGGTATTTCTCGATGATATCGTCAGGTAACTTTTACTGTCTCGAGAGACAAATTCGATTATGGCTGGATGGTCATTTCCTTCGTTGGCGGAGGCGTCTCTTGCAGAAGCGAACATGTCGCCTGTCATCAGCAGTGCCAGGCCTTGTGCGATCTGAGACTCAGGGTGGATATCCCTGCTCCGAGGCACGGGAATGGCATCGACCACAGCAGCGGCAGTATTGACAATAATTCGCAATTCTTCGCCTGTAGTAGCTGTTACGTTCCCAAACAACTTCTCGAGGAGAGGCTTGAGAAAAGTATCAGGATCCAGAAAACGCGCAAAAGACGGAGTGGCCAAGAGTACGATGGTTTTAATGAGCCTATGTTGATTGTAGCAGTATTGTTCGACATGCGGCAATATATCTTGGGGCCTCTAAGCACATTTCCAGTGTTAGTCGGCCTCTTTGCAGGGGGCAGGAGGAAGGACACAGAACCTAGCACAGATGATACTTACCACAAGGGAGGGATGTTCTGCCAGCCAGGTCATACCCACGGCCAGTTGGTCTTTATTTCGAAGCCTTTCCCCATGGGCCTTCTGTCTGTTGAACTCCTCTTTTGACAACCGGCCTGGCGGCGTTCCTCTGGTGGTAGAAGAAGCTATATCATCTTGGCAAATAATCGCCCCCTGGGAGAAGCCTCGTGTTGTCACTGGCACAACATGTTTTCTGTGATAACCACCTAGTGTTCTGAAGGCATTGGAGTTGCTCTTGCCCAAGCAAAGACATCCACGGATTGATCTACTAGGTGTGGGCATGACTCGACCAGGTGGATATTGTAGGTATAAGTTCTCGCCCGGACAGCGTGGTCACACGACTTTGCCGACAGGTGAGAGCTAGCTGATCGTAGGGAAGTCGATAAAGGGAAATATCGTCATGTTCCACTATGATGCGGGCGGGCCTGGATCTGGGTCTGGAGGTTTAAGAAAATGAATTACGAGTAGATGGGAAGGTCGTGATGAGAAAACGAAGCTAGCTAGAAACGAAGATATGTTGCGTCGCTTGGAAACTTCCCCATATTTATCTTGTGGAGGTTGACCGACAACTTCCACACAAGCGGACCCTACAGTCTGAGAGCTGGACCTTTTGCACATTGCATTGGAATTTCGTGGCTATCTCATCATACTTTTCTCCTGTTGCCTGTCTCTCTGGTCTTGTTTAACCAGTCTGGGGGCCTTGTCTGCTGTATATTGTACAGGGTAATCTTCGTGAATATGGGTATGACCGTGATAACATCTAAGCTACTAATACATTCTCCCAGAATTTGAAACTTCTTTCATACTGGGAATTCAAAGCTTGCGTGCCGCTAAATCTCAACCGTCAGATAGAGGTCTCCAGTCTTTGATTTGCTTGGCGTGAGGCGCGCTTTGGTTGACGGGGACCTTTGAGGGACGGTGAGCTTCGTCGGTTTGGCTTCGGGGCTCAACACCTCGTTCAGGGAGGGACTCATCATTTGAGACAGTGGTCGTCTCTTTCCGTCTGTGGCGTTGGTTCGGACCTTGGCCATACTTGATTTAAGGATACCTGGCGATAGCATTGTGCCTCGTCTGGAGTCGGCTTGAGATAACGGTGGCACTGGCCATTCGATGGTGTCATCGGATAAGTAACCGTCGGATGAAGTCGTGTCTGTCTGCATGAAGCTTGCCTCGGCACGTACAAGTTGATCTCTCGTTGACCCAGCGAGAGGGAGGCGAACAATAGGCGGGCTTCGTGGTTGTGCAGGCTTCTCCGCTTGTCGCGAAACAGCGGCCGAGCGAGGAATCGAAGGGTATTTCAGGTCTCTGATTGGACTCTCCTGGCTAGGATAGAGCTCGACTAGCTTACCTGTGAAGATAGATGGCGTGGGTGGATTTGCTCTCAGTCCCAGCTGCTTGTTGACTTCCTCTGGTGTAGTGTCTTCTTCGATCTCGGTGTAGACAGAACTGGCGGAACCCGGTCTCTCAAGAGCAGGAACCGCGATTCTTGCTGCAGGCGGCGGCACGAGCTGTTGCTGTCTCATTGGTGCTGAGATTTGACTGTTGACGGCACGAAGAGGTAGCCTGCCCGGAGGATTCTTTCGCACGACATTCCTATTCGCATAAGTCGAAGAAGGGGCCAATCTACGCTCAGATATTGGAATTTGCGGTGCACCGCCTTGTGAGGCTTCCCCGGCATTGGGAGCTCTCGATGGCGGAGACCAGAACCCGCGCGGAGGTGAGATAAGATTGACGTTTCCGTTGTCGTAAGTCGGCGTAAGAGGTATCCGTACCGCCTGGGTTGGAGTTCTAGTACTGTTTTCAGGTACAATGGGCAGTCTCAGTGGTGGCGGAATCATTCTCTGCCTCTTGGCTGCCGGTGGCTTTTCGAGAATGAATGGCTGATTATCAACCATGATCGATCCGGATTCCATAGCCTTTGTTTCTGCCTCTTCGTCAAGTAAGGTGGCATCACTAAGTGGCCTCCGGCTATATCCTTTCCGCTCTCTGGTGGCTTCCAGGTCAAGGGGAGCAGGCCAGAGAGCTCGGCTGGGCGCTGCTGGTAAAAGCCGCGACATACTCTGTTGTGACGTCGCGCTTACCGGAGACCCCTCTCCGGGCATTTTGGGAGAAATGGCCACACCTATCTCTTCAGGTCTGATGCTCCTGCGCCAAAAGCTTCGCCGCTTTTCTTCCATAGATTGCTGCGTCGCGTAGAAACGTTGGTTGGTCGTTGGGGCCGTCAGGGACGATGTCATGTCGCCAAATGTTGGAGTTGTTCTCTTCTGAGGACTTTGATAGTTTGGAGGAGTTGGCTCCACCAACCGTGACCGTCTCTGGCTACGACGTCGCTCACGGCGCTTTTTGCGCAGACAGTAGACGAGCATGAGCAAAGTGAACACAACCACTGCCGTTGCGGCACCACCAACTGCAATGCCCGTGATTTGCGCAGTACTGAGTACAGGTTTCGAGGACGCCCGGTCTGACATGCTAGTATTGAGAGCTGTGCTAGAAGGGATAGCTGACATGGTGGAGGACGAGCCGGGGCGGAAAGATGTATTGGAGTCGGAGGGAAATGCGGTGGACGCCGCAGGATTTGCGGAGTTGGGTGCTGATGTCGGAGAAGAAGGCGTAGCCATAACAATGGTGCTAATCTGTTCTGTAGCAGTAGGAGTGCCTATGGTTGGTGGTAGGTTCTCCATTGTGGAAGATGCTGTGGTCGAGGATCCAAAGATGGTTGCAGTCAGTGTACGGGCAGTCTTAGGCTGAGCTCCTGCTATACCATCACACACGTTGTATACTCGGGAGTCTAGCTGATCTCTTCCTGTACAGAACGACACGACACACTGTAGGCCACCTTCTCCAATTGTAAGGCCTGAAGTGTTATCTTGAATGCACAGATTGTTGAGGTTTGCGAGGTCTGCACAGGTACTTCCTGGGTAGTTGGTAGCTGCGAAACTTTGAATGCAGGCGACTGCGCAGTTCGGGACGAGGGAGAGAAGAGACGAAGGGAGACAGGTGGTCGTCGAGTCTGCTCGAGCACGAAGTAGGTCGCCATGATCGACGACGGCCGCCGGACTGGGAGCTGTCCATGGTCGGTAACGCATCTCGAGGGGCCGGTCTTTGTCATTGTTGTTGGTTCATCTCGATGCGGTCTCGACCGTTTCCGGAATATGGTCTGCGAACGATGGTATCTCTGCACGCGAAGATGGAGGGACGTAGGGACAAACAGAGACCACAAACTGAATTTCTGAGGGTCCCCGGAAACAGATATACGCTTCAAGGGGGTTCTAGGGATCCCGAGTCTGAAGTCGACTTACCTGGCCCCTCGACAAGGGATCGGATGACATTGTGCCAGGAACACATTTTCCGGTAGACAATGACGATGGCGGCTTGAAACTGGGGCTGCCATATAGCTTTCCAGGCGCGCGCGAAACCGTCGACCTTCGCTTCAATCGTAGGTTGAGTATTCTTGAAACTTGCAGAGCATCATCATTAGGGCGCTAAGGGATAAAAACCCTCGAGGCCTCCAAGGCTTAGCCAATACACGTGACCAGAGGAGGCTCCAATAACTTGCCTGACAACGACTTGGCCCGGTAACGGGCGCTTGCAACAAGATTGCTGATATGCTGATGGTGAGCATCCGATTGATTTGGAAAGGCCATACTGGGAGAAACCCTTTGTTTACTGAGCGCATGTTAATGTGGACTTGGTCACTGCAAGAACGATTTCACTTGGTACTTGTTAGGTCTCCTGATACTCCGTACCACCGAGTGATATTGGTCCTACTATGGTCATCAGGCCATTCATTGTCTAGGTGATCTCGACAGTCATGCTCACAGAATCCTTATTATTGTTCTCGATTCACAGCCCTTCAATCTGTGTCCCGCATCATGACGCAAATACTCGTTTAGATACTCGACGGGCCCGATTTCGAGTCTCAGCAATACAAATCCAGGGGTTTCGGAAGGGCGGAATCCGAACTTGGACTTCGGTTTCACCACCACTGATGCGGCTCATTCACACAGATAGCTGCCCGGAAGTAGATCAGGAGACTTGTAGGGCAGTGAACCAAGAAAACAGGGATGGGCGAAGGATTCAGAATTAGTAAAAACAGTGTCTCATTATGCTGCTATTAAGGTGTTTACACATCCAAGCCCACGTGCTCCAGCCCGTGTCCTATGTGCGCCGAAGTTGAACGGTTCTGTGCCTATCCGTCCAGCAAACGAGTTATGGGTTTGACCATGTTACACCAGTCCATTCGCATCACTGGTCGTTCTGAGTCTCGCATGATCCAACTTCTGTCGGATTCTTGATCAATTTCATGCGTGTGTGGAGACGTTGATGGACGCACTGATCGAGGTCTGCTGTAGCATGTTTGGGGAATCAAAAGGCGGGGGTGGGATATCAAGCTTTGGAAACGAGGTTGGGTCGGTCCTCGCGGGCTGGGGTGGTAGTCGGTGGTATAGTAGGGGAGATCATTTTGAGCCCTCGCTCAATACTTCAGAATGATGTAGCTGGTGAGGTGTATTAGCTTCTGAATACAGATGATGACCGCATCCAAACTTACAGAGCGTGGATGATACCCGGAATGTAACCCAAGATGGTGAGCAGGATGTTGATGAAGAAATCAGCGTTGCATCCTCGCTCGAGAAAGACACCTAGAGGAGGGAGGATGATGGCGAGGATGATCTTGCAGATATCGCTAGATGATGTGTGTCAGCTTTGCGCGTCGCAGAAGAGTGGGCAGAAGCTGGCGGAAGGAGAATACTCACGATGCGGTAAAAGGCATGTTGACGGTGTTGAGCGTTGATGGACGGTCGGATCGACGGAAGTGTAGAGCTTCGGTAGGGCAACTGGAATTACTGTGTTGTTGGGAGAGGAAGAAAAGAGTGCGACGCAAGGGGCAGATATAAGAGCAGGCACAGAATAGCAGTGAGGGAGTTCCCGTGGCTGGGACTGGGATTATGGATTAATTAGGTGATTAACTGCCTTGGGGGCTTTCGGGTGACTCCCGCAGGATGGATAGGCGTCGCTGCGGGTGATTACAAGTACGAAGGAGCGCTACGTGCCAATGACACAATACGACGAGCTTCCCTTGGCCACAATGTCCACATGACGTCGATTTGCCTGGTTTTTGTTCCGTTTCATCCTGTCATCCTCACGCCTTCATCTCCCCCTTGGAATCTTAGACTCGTCGGCGCCACAGATATGCTTCCTCTCAACAAATCAATCCTTCTTCTTCGGCTTCAAGCTTTCTGTTTCGTCAACTACACAGCCACATATTGTGGCTGGTATTGTCGTTCGTTCTAATTCTGGCTCAATTCGTCAGCTGTGTCTCCGACATATCCGGGCTAGCTACGTCTAGAGATGTGGCACAGTCGTTGGAGTGTCCTTGATGAATATGAATATTCTCAAAAGCTTCCAACTTCGATGCTGAAGATCACGAAAGTGCAAAAGGACCTAAAAGCGACAATCATTCACGCAAGCCCAGCAGCTTTCAGACATAGGCCTCGGCAAGTTGCGGTCTGATATCATTCATTCTGCTATGCCGAAAACCAGACCTAGGAGCATACGTTATACTAGTCATATGAGCTCGTGATGCTCTTGGTAACGGAAGCAACGGAACAGCCAACACGATTGCTGAGCCTCGAGTAAGAGTAGTAGCTACGTACCTTGGAAGTACTACCTACGTATGTGAGTACTTCGGCTACCAGTTCATCTGCTCACGTGCTTCACGTGACATCCTCTAGGAAGGGCGAGATGGGATCTAAGTGCATGCAAGCAAATTCTGTCCAGCCGAGGCGATACAATCTCGCGCAAACACCTGTACGTTTGAGAGTACCAGACCAATGCTTCCTCGTTATGGACACTTAATGCAGCCGCAAAGAGTGTGAAGCTCCAAAGTCCCGCTTTTCTCTTTGGCGGGTCGCCGAGGATGTCTTTCGCTAAAGCGATTTGACCAGAGCAAATCAGTTAGCCAGAAGACCAAACCAGCCAACGGGCGCTCTTTCGCTCGATCCCTCCTCACACTCCCGATCTTCAAGGCAATTTAGCCTCGTATTCAGCACAGGTCTCGTAGCTTCAGAGCTGTCTCTCAACATGCGTTCGTCCATCTCTGATGAATGCAGCACGCTCGTCGTCTCATCAAACACTTGAAAGTCAACTTATCTGAGGCGTCAAGCCTCCACAACCAGCCATGATCTCGACATCCACCTCGAGACCGCAATTCATCCGGTCCATATCAGCCAGCTCGTCAAGAGACAAACCTCGGCTATATATCGCTCTCTATCCACGTGGCGGGTCCTCAACAGTCTCATCTTTCCGCAGCAATTTCGATTGCGACTCGTACCACTGGTCGATTGTCGTCGGACCGCAAACAGCCGAGAGAAAAGACCCTGGAGTCCGTTATCATATCGCGCACACTGACCACGGCGCCCGCAAGTACTTCTACGAGGAACAAGACATCCCTTCGAATCCTGGAGCCCAAACCGGCCTGGTCCGCGTCACTGTCGCCAAAGTCACCGATGAATTCCGTTTGCAGTCCTTACTGAGGGACATCGCTCTTCGAGAGGATGACTCAGCATTTAATTGTCTCACGTGGGCCCGCGAGGCCTTCATCAAAGTGTTGGAGGATAACAAGTCCGTCAAGAGCTACCTGAAGCCCGAGGACTGGAGTGCCGTCGAGACTTGCGCCAGGAAGTATTGCAAGCGAAAGCGGGATGCCGGTCGGTTCCAGGAGGAACCCAACGGTGGTGCCCATCAGTGGAATGACAAGCAGATCAGCACGTTCAACTTCTGGGAGAACCGGGAGACTACGCCTTGATGTCTGTGGAGGAGACTGGAGGACCTCTCTCAACCATTTTCAAAAATATCAGCTCGGTGCGGAGGTTCTCTTGCCGAGATCAAGGCGCGAAATCTTGGTAGCACGGCACGGACAGCTAGTGAGAAGGAGCGCACGACAGGAATTGTTCTGATGGCTACGGAGTACTCCTCGTCTCAATGAGCCGTCCCTCTGACTATTTCTAGCCATCCTAAGCCCAACAATGGTCCTTCACTGTCGAGATCAAGATGGCGAAAAGCTGCACCACGATACTGACCACTTCTCCGTGACTAGGTCATTGAGCTCACCAGAGGGCTCTTTGTACTACGTCGGTTGGTCACGCAGACTTCACTCTCGAGCTGTGAAGAATTTACTCCAGCCGCTGTGGCCCAAAAGTCCATCAGGTCTCGACGTGATGATTTGATGGATCATAGAAATGAAATGCCCTCCCTGGGGCTAAGACACGGAAATCAGCAGGACAGATCATCGCACAGCTGATGCATAACTTTCTGTTCGACACAGCCCGCAAAGCCAATGTCAATCTCAGTGACATACGACACTGTGGAAACAATCTCGTCTGGGGGATGTGGCGTGGCATTCCAAGTCAGAGCAATATAACATATCACGTCGACTTTGGGGGACAATTGGGGTGTACTCTAAGCGAACACATGCTTGCCGTTTGGTACCGAGGCCAGACACAGAGTATATCTGAAAACCGAATGGTCAAATAGTCTTCGACTGTTGTCAATTTCGCGGCGCGAGGCTGAATATGCCAGGTGTGGCCAGCACTATTATTCCCTGATCAGTGAGCACGTGGGATCGCCATCTACCAGTTTCATGTGTCTGCTCGCCGATCCGAATTTCCATGGACTGGGGAGTTGCATTAATCTATCTTTGAAACCACTCAGGCTTGGGATATCTAGATACCTTTCGGATCATCAAATACCGATGTTGCATTCCGGCCATAATTAGCTCAAATCCAGACCGGCCGATCAGAATAGTTTGGAATCCGCTTGCAAACATCACCATTCCATTGCTTGAATTCCATATCCGGCCAATATTGACCTGTTGCTGAACCAGAACCTTCGATACAAAGGGCAATCCGTTGCCAGCCCAGTCCCAGATCCATAATGCCCAGATCACCTCCCGTGGCACCGTGACGCCAGGTGCAGCCAACAAAAAGCAAGAAGCAACAGTGGACGACTCTTCGGCCGTCAGCTAGGCCCCCAGCATCTCGATTATGTCGAGTCTACTGAAGATTCCCTTGGCAAGCGCTGAGTGGGCGAATTTATAAACCGCGAAGCATGAGGGTTCGCTCTCCTTCCAGCTTTGCAGCATTCCTATCCTTGTCTGCACGTCGTGCGTCTTCCAGACCCTCGCAGTTGTGTGACTCCAACATTCGATGTTTTCCGCAGAAGCGCTTCTGGCAGAAACCGCAATCTCCGACGATCGGCTGAGCAGGTGCTTTGCAACCCCCCTTCGAGCATCGCGGCTTGTTTGACTTCTTCTTGGTCGGCGTGGCAGCGCCAGAAGTGGTGGGTGTCGACGCAGATGATATGGAGGGCTTTTGTGTGACCATGTCGGACGATGATGATTGTGTAGGTGTAGTACTCCTTGAAGGAGATGATAATTGTAGTGTGGATGACTCTTCGAGTTTGAGCTCTGCGACTGTAGTGGAAGGTTCGAGGGGTTTCCCGTCGAGCATAAGCTGGCTGTCCGCAGGCAGATTTGTGGAAGCTGACAGGAATTCAAGGACGTTGGAGATCGTGTGGACTGGTCGGACGTTCAGTTTTATCGCTGCGAGAAACATGTTAGTCATCTGATGGCAATCCGTTGCTTCCTGCGGCGAACTCACTCTTGCCACCACTAATGGTGACCTGGATTGCCATGCTATCGGCAGGGAGCTCCTTGTTAGAGACGTTGGAAGTAGCAGAACCTGAGCGAGAACGCGACATGGTGTGATTTGTATGTGGCTCAGGGTAATAAGCTGTTGAACTGAGGCGGAAGTCGAGCGGTAGATAAGAGGTTGGAAGGTCCCTGACAGGCTCGTGACTGATGATCAGATAATGCGGAGTAGCAGAGAGATCGATGGATGAGCGCGTGAGCTTGTGCTGAAGGCAGTAACAAGAAACTCTTTGCTGGTAATTGAAATATTTGGCTGTTTGCGTTGTCAAGGCAGTGGTTGCGTATGTGAAAGAGAAGAGAGCTTGAAGAAGCGCAGATGTGTCATGTAGTTATCCGACCAGTGCCAAAGATCGTGACAGGGTGGCTGAGGCAATCAACGAGGCGGACAACGGATGGAGAGGGATGCAGTACCAAGAAACGCGGATGACCAATCCCAGTTCCGTGGGTTGGACCCAGCGTGACCCAGCAAGAATGACGGACCCGAGACTTCAGCTGGGAACATGGATCTGAACGAATGAAGAATAGGTCACGGCGGTTAAAGGGCTCACAATAAGTGGAGAGGATCGAAGGCCGTAGCAGATGCAAGAAGGTGTCTCCGTATGTTTGACATTGCGACGGCAAGGACGAGCCAGGCCCGGAAGACCGGCCTGAAGCGAGGTGGTAAGGGTATCGAAAGACCTCATTCTGACTTGGCAATACGGAGTACGAGGTAGATTGGATAACAAGGAAGGATCTGAACAAAGTGGCGCAAAGTGCAAGAGCCTTGGGTACCTAATAATACGAGTACTCCGTCATGTGAGGGAGAAGCATGTAGTTCATGATTCACTCCGTCTCTGATGTCGACTGATGAGTAGCATCTACCACGCATCCACCACGCAACATGGTACGAGCACTTACGAGGTATGGCTTCCTCTGCTCACTATCTGGCTATATAATACTACTACCTAGGTAGTTGGTAGAGCCAAAGGTTGACAAAGCCCACTCTGTTCGGTTTAAGGTTGAACGTTGATGTGCCTGTTCCCGGCTCGCCGGTCAATAATGATCGTATCTGTCGAAGGCCGTGCGATTCTGGCCCTCTATGACCGTCTATGGAAAGGACGAGTTCAACGGATGTGGTAACTTCAACCCAGATTGCTGGGACCGCTCCTCGGCTTCGCCTTATCTGTGCTCAAAGTCTGTGCGTGGGCCACCGAAGCCAGCGTCTCGCATGCGTGACAGCAAAACCAAGGATCGCCATCGGCGAGCTTGGACCGAGTAGCATTGTGGTATTGCCATCGCTAATGGCAACGGTCTGGTCTTTGGTGCCTCACTAATTTGGAAGCCAACTACGTACATACATTTGACCCGAGTTGGGCACTATCTACTCGCATCTTCTCCTGGCTCCGAATGCGGCCAACAGCTGGCTAGAGGATTCAGTTCATGTTCCTAACGAGGAGTCCTCCGCCCACAGTGTGACACGCTGCATGTGATGCATGAGAGCTGACCACGGGCGTTAAGCATGACTGCGCACATGTTCTTCAGGCCGTCCTGCATGCAAAAGGAGACTGATGACTGCTGCCACGACAGTTACAACTCGCCTACTGACATGCCTAACCACTGGTCATGCGGTCATGTGCGTCAAGGGATTTCGGCGTGCAGTAAACTCGATCGGGGTGGATCTGTGACTGGCGGCATGTGCAGTGCAGTAATGCACCTTCCCGAGATCGCGGGCTACGGTTCTTTTCGCCGGTTGGTCCAGTGGGGTTCGCATTGCTCAAAGAGTCAAAGCAAACGTTGGAATCGTGAAGTCTTGCCAGTGTTGTCAATGTTGTCAATGCATCATAATCCCAAGTCCACTGACTCTTGGACAAAGTCTCGAGTCAGCGTTTGATTTGCCCTGCTTCCTGCCTCTGGGCTCGAGTTTGCACCAAACAAAGGCCCGAAATCTCGCTATGCGGGCCTGCGAATCTTGGTTGCATAATCGGCTCGTTGTCATCATAGTCATATACGTGCTGTCGTCGTTGTTATTGCTCGTCTCATGCAATACCTGTCGTGGTTGGCTTGAGCCCGCTGCTTCATGATCCATCTGCCTTCTTTTCTCCAGCATCAGGGTCAAGATAGTCGTCCTTTTCAGCAGCTTCATACTCCGCTATCAGACCCATGACCACCTCCTTCGCTTCATCGAATTCACCCAGCCCTTCTGCGAACGGTGCTTCTTTCTTGTACTGCTCCAGATAAGCATTGCGCTTCCTCATCTTTTCGTACTGCACGACAATACGTCTGAACAGTGTTGACACGCTGGTGTGATTGGCGAGCATCAATCCCGAAACGCGATGGGTGTTCTGCAAGTACGGGGATTTCTTGGTCAGGGCCACTTGGATCGAGGCCGGACCCCAGGGAATGAAATTAGCCATCCGACGCTCCCTAATGCGGAGAAGTGATTTGTGCACATCTGTCGGATCAGCTTCTCCTTGAATGATATTGAGGATGGAGATGTAGCATGATGATTTTGACGGATTGATTGAAACCATCCTGTTCTTGGGTTGCAGCAGGCGACGCATCACGTCGAATACGGTTGTCTTGCGCACTGTCTTCGCAGCCTCCACATTGTCTCCGGTAAACGGCGTGTAAGCAGTCATGAGGAAGTGACAGCGTGGAGTTGGAATGAGTGAAGCAATGATCCCCACCAGGTCATTGTGCATGTAGCCAGGATATCTAAGCGTGGTGGTAGACGCCGACATGACCGTGGAGACTAGTTGATTCGTCTGCTGGAACGACGGCTCCTGAACATGTAGTCTTTCGGATGCTATCCTTGATAGAGCGCCATTGTCGAGCACCACCACCGAATCAGCATTCTGTGTCAGCCGACGCATTGTCAGCAGACTGTTGTATGGGTTGACAACGACATCTCCAATGGCTGTATCCGGGAACACCGAGTATGTCTGGATGATCTTTTTCGGGAATCGGTCGTTCATGCGCTCCAGCATGTACGATCCCAAGCCTGACCCGGTACCGCCAGCAATGGAATGCAGCAGCATGAAACCTTCGAGAGAGTCACTTCCATCGGCTTCTCGGTCTATCATATCGAAGATCTCTTCCTGTACTCTTTCACCCGCCGCGTAGCCAGCCGCCCAGTTGTTCCCTGCGCCCATGCCATCTTCGCCCACAAAGAAATTCTCCGGGTTGTAAATGTTCTTGTACGGGCCCTGCTGGATGCTATTGATGACTCGTGGTTCCAGATCAACTAGAATTGCTCGAGGGATGTAGCGCGTATCGTCGCTCTGGTAGAAGAAAACGTCCTTGCGGTCACCGCCCTCTGTCGCAAAGTCCTCGAGGTTTCCATCCCGGCTGATCCCATGCTCTTCACATAACTGTTGCCAGAATCTGGACCCTATTGCATTCCCACACTGACCCGCCTGGATTGTGATGATCTCTCGAGGCATTTCTGCGGGTTGGCGGCTGAGTGACTGAAGGGTGTGAGCAAAACAACGGAAATTGAACGCGTGGATTGAAGTTCACGCGTCAGTGTGGGGGACAGCACTGGGGGTCGGCCAGTTACAGAATCTTTGCCGTCAAACTGCCTGATTGAATCACATGCTGGACATACTTGCGCATCGTCTACTACTTGTATGTACTATGTCAACTGGACAATATATTCGTAGGTTGCTCTGGAGTCTACTCCGACACCTGGCAAGCTTATCTCCCTCCTATGGTCCGGTGTGGCCTTCGAGGTTCAACGGCCTGCAAGGCACCAGATCTCGCAGGCCATGACAAGTGCTTTGAAGCTCAGCAAAGGTTGGACCCTTGGCACCACCCTTCTTTACAACCTTGCAAGGTAAGGTATCATCAGTCTCAGGTGCAAATTGAAAGGACCAGAGCTCCTGGATCTGTTTTCGAGGTGGGGAACGGACAGCTACCGGTATTCAATCGCTGCAAAAGAATAGATGCACAAGACAACACTCTCATTGACTGCTTCTCTCTCCCATGCTGACGAAGGTGAGCGAGTCCCTCTGGTCTTCATCTGCGCTTTCATTTGACTCAAACAAGGATTTGGCTGACGCCACCGGAAAGGCATCGGAGACATCAAGGAGTTAAGCACTGCCCCCGGAACCATTAATTATTGATCGTTTCGCGTCGCTTGCGTCGACTGTTGCAGACTGTCCCGGCTATCTGACCAGCCGAAACACTCGTGGGGCTTTTATGCCTTCTAGATTGCTTTACGGCCTGTAAACCTCGTTGCGGTCAGTGTGGCTTTTTCATTTCGAGAAGCAGCTGGCCTAATTTGACGGCTAGCAGGGCCTGGTGCGCCTAAACAAGGCCCAGACTGATGTCGCAACGCCAGCTTGTTGCCCGCCTGGCTCGGGAGCCATCTCAATCGGTATTGACGTCTGCTTTACCGCTCGACTTCGCCGCCTCACTGCATGTCACGCTACGAACATCCTTGCAAACTGTCATATCCCGCTTAATTGCTTGAATGCGTCTTCTTTGACATCTAGCGACCTTGACTGACTTCTCGTTGTACTCTCGAAGGATATCCTCAGGTTGCCTTGTCGCTGAGATGGTTTTATGACACTTCGCCCTGCATCTCTCCATCTGTTTCCAGCATAGCACGTACTAGTAATATCCATCCCGTCCGATGGCACATTCTTTTTGACTTAGGGGAGTCACGGGAGTATACAAACATACCTCCCAATTAATACTAGAGGCCAGATCTGGGAGGAGATCAGTATCTTGTCTCAGCAGATCCGGGCACACGATGGATCAACGAAATCTGCAATCCGAGGCCGATACGCCTCTGTTAAGGAAGGATGCCAATTCCACGGACCAGGAGCGAGTAGTATACGGGAACGGGAGTCAAAGACAGGCCACGAGCCATCATTTTTCTCTGCGTAGGTTTCCCTTCTACCCATCTTGCCATCTGACAATATAGCAGCAAGCTGGACATGGGCAAAGCCGTATAACAACAAGTCGCAAAGTCTTCCTCAGACCATCGCCCATCGTGGCTACAAAGCAAAACACCCTGAGAACACCATGAAGGCTTTCATAGGCGCTGTCGAGGTAGGGACGCACGCGATCGAAACAGACGTACACCTATCTAAGGACGGCGTTGTAGTCCTCTCGCATGTAAGAGCCCTCTTTCCACCATCCAAAACCAGGCAACTGATGGATTTCGAGGACGGTGATCTAAAGCGCTGCTTTGGGCGGAAAGAGAAGATCATAGATTGTGACTGGGACTACCTTTCCGGTCTTCGTACTATCCAAGAGCCGCACGAGCCGATGCCGCGTCTGGCTGATCTGCTCCAGTACATCGCCCAGCCTGGCCTCGAGCATATCTGGCTACTCCTTGACATCAAGATGGACAACAACTCTGAAGACGTGATGAGACTGATCGGAGAGACGCTGGCGTCCGTAAATCCCGGCCAACGACCCTGGGAAGAGCGTGTTTTGATGGGTATTTGGGTTCCCAAGTTCCTACCTCTCTGCAAGAAATACGTGGCCAGCTTTCCTGTTGTGTACATTGGCTTTTCAACAACGATGGCCCGAGAATATCTGAAAACGCCCGGTGTGGCCTTCAATATGCTGATATGGATACTCTTGGGTCCCGTCGGTAATCGGTTCATGCGTGACGTACGCAAAGCTAAGAGACCCCTTTATGTGTGGACGGTGAACGAGCCGAACTTGATGGTTTGGTGTGTACAGCATGCTGTCGATGGCGTTATCACGGACGATCCGAAGACATTCAAGGAGATATGCGACAACTGGGACGGAAAGAAGAAGACGGCACGACCAAGCCTCATGCAGTGGCTGCGCATGTTGTGGATTTGGATACTCATCGCCGTCTTTTCTAACTCATTCAGACGGAGATTTCCAGAGACAGTGGAGCATTTCATCAAGGAGCACAATTTGAGGGCCAAAGCAAGCCTGGCGATCGATCAGTTGTAGCCCGGATAGCTTCGGAGTACCAGTTATTGTGTCACTATAGAGGGCGTCTGATATGGGGGCAGGAAGCCACGATATAATGATACCTAGGTAGACACGATCCAAAAAGCCAAAATCTGCAGATGTCCCTAAAGTTTCAGAGACCGAAAGTATTCTCCGTAAGTGCCTTTGCGGCAGTGCATTGAGTAGCCACCCAAAAGAGCCATCAACACTGTCGGCCGTCAGCGTCCATGACTGCAAACTGGCCAGACTGTGGATCGCCCTAAGAAGGATGCGAAGTAGAAGTGTTTAACTTGACGGTGCTGCATTAAGTGAGTGTTGCATAACGTGAAGATGCATCTTGTCGTCGTGCTGCGCTCTTGATCGCTGCTTCGAATGGCTTCCCCTACCAAGAAACCTGTAGCGCTGGCAAATCAGGAAAGTCTAGCGACCCTCGGTGCAGCAAGGCCTCAGTTTTCTTTTGAAGGTGCTATTCGTGACTTGGAACGCTCAAAACAACGAATCCTTATCGTATCGCGCTACGCTCATTGTCGTCGCTCTCATTGATCAACTGCGAACTCCTGAAAGCTTTACCGACGCCCAGTCTACCAGATTCTAGCAGTCTCGTGCTTCTTTGATTAGAACTAGCATCAGTCATTATGGACGGGTATAGCCACTCTACAAGCTATGTAAGCCATCGGGGCTAACTCTTCGATACAGTCTCACGCCTGCAGAGCAGAGAGAGCTGAACTCTCGAATGGAGAGGAAGCAGATGAAAGAATTCATGACGGTGAGTAGCCTCGAGGCTGCGGAATTCTGATCTTGGCTGCGCGGATACCTTGCTGACTCTATTTTCTGCTATAGATGTACTCCAAACTCGTTCAACGATGCTTCGATCACTGCGTCAACGATTTCACCACAAAGTCCTTGATCTCGCGAGAAGAGTCCTGTGTTATGAGGTGTGTCGACAAATACATGAGAAGCAACGAGCGGATAGGAGAACGGTTCCAAGAGCAAAACGCAGCAATGATGCAGGCAGGCAGCATGGCAGGCCGATAAGCTCTCCTTGCTCTCGTCGTCGACGCTTACACAGTGTACATTACGGAGAGAACCTGGAAAACACATGTGTGGTATAGGAGTTTGGGCGTCTGGCTTGTTGTGCACCTTGGATGGACTGAGATCACTGTCGATTTCATGGTGCATATGCCTTTGAGTCAAAATCAACACCGCTCACGATAATGATATACAAGCAATTGATTCATCGGCAGAATGATTTGCCCTCCTCATCCACATGGGTAGGCAACCGCGAGCGAGACAGTGCATGAAAATGGTCCACCTAATTCCACCAGCTGAGGCAGGGCGCGTTGTCATTCCATAATTGGAAATTTTCTCCGGCACGAAGCTGCTTCAGGCTGGCTGGGACTGGGGCATCTTGGAGGGAAATGGTGGACGATGCGGATTCTCCCGACAAGGCGGAAGAGCATGGCAACAATTCGTGAGGACAGCAGGCGTGAGCAGAGCGAGCTTCGCGGGGCTAATACTGTGGTAGTCCACACAGGAAGAATCCGGACTGCCACAGTACGCACAATCGGAGTTTGCTCGTCTCGAGCTCAATTATTATTGCACCCATGAAGATTCTCCCCACCTCATAAACAACAACCCCACTTCGGCAGCAGAAACTGAATGACATATGCCCGTGTGTTGTATTCTTAATCCTCTGACCAGGTTCTCCTCTTTTCGCTCCTACTATTGACTATTCTGTATCTCAAAGTAGCTTCTCAAGATGCCTGCCGATACCGTTGGAAAGGTATGTCTCAGCTGAACGACAACGATCGAGTTGACACTGACAATGAGACCTCCACCAGACCATTACATGCAAGGTGCGGATCCCGAAGCTCCTCTTCTATCCGGTCAGCATCTGACTCTTGTATAGGCTGCCGTTGCCTGGGAGGCCGGCAAGGACCTTTCGATTGAGGATGTGGAAGTAGCACCACCAAAGGCCCATGAGGTTCGTATCCAGATATACTACACTGGTGTTTGTCATACGGGTATGCACCGCGCAGTCAAAAGGTGGAGAGCCGGATGCTGAACATGGGGCAGATGCATACACACTTTCTGGAAAGGACCCCGAGGGTGCATTCCCTATCATCCTGGGACACGAGGGTGCGGGTGTTGTCGAGTCCGTCGGCGAGGGTGTCACCAACGTTAAGCCTGGTGATAACGTCGTGGCTCTCTAGTAGGTCTGCTTGCCGTGGAAGATGAACACCCGCTGACTTTCGGAAGTACCCCTGAATGCAAAGAATGCAAATTCTGCAAGTCCGGCAAGACCAACTTGTGCGGAAAGATTCGGGCCACCCAGGGGAGAGGTGTCATGCCAGACGGCACAAGCAGATTCAAGTGCAAAGGCAAAGACCTCCTACACTTTATGGGCACTTCAACCTTTTCCCAGTATACCGTTGTGGCCGATATCTCGGTGGTCGCTATTACTGACAAGGCTCCAATGGACCGAACGTGCTTGTTGGGCTGCGGTATCACTACCGGCTATGGGGCTGCTGTCATCACTGCCAAGGTCGAAAAGGGCTCCAACATCGCCGTCTTCGGAGCGGGCTGTGTTGGTCTTTCAGTGATCCAAGGTGCCGTTAAAAACGGGGCTGGCAAGATCATCGTCGTCGACGTTAATGACAAGAAGGAGGAATGGGCCAAGAAGTTTGGTGGTACCGACTTCGTCAACCCTACCAAGTTGCAAGGCCAGACGATCCAGGAGAAATTGATTGAGATGACCGACGGCGGTTGCGACTACACTTTCGACTGCACGGGTAATGTTGGTGTCATGAGAGCTGCTCTCGAGGTCAGTAATTTATCTGCCCCCAAAATTCCGGTTCTAACGAAGCGTTCAGGCATGCCACAAGGGCTGGGGTGAATCCATCATCATTGGTGTCGGTCAGTATCTTCTTGAGAACCTCGTTTTAGGTCCTTGCTGACTGTGTTTAAGCTCCCGCTGGTGCCGAAATCTCTACAAGACCGTTCCAGCTTGTTACTGGCCGTGTCTGGCGAGGCTGCGCTTTCGGTGGCGTCAAGGGTCGATCTCAGCTACCAGGCCTCGTTGATGATTACCTGGGTGGCAAGCTAAAGGGCTAGTTTCCCTACTCTGCACTTTTGGACATCAGAAACTGACAATTCAACAGTGGACGAATTCATCACCCATAGACAGCCTCTTTCGAAGATCAATGAGGCATTCCACGACATGCACGCCGGAGACTGCATTCGCTGCGTGGTGGACATGAGAAACTGCGATTAACTACACTCGGGCCCCCCTGTGACTTCGAAACTATGAAGAGACGGATCTATTAAGATCTGAGAATGATGGAGGAATTGGGGCGTTCACTTCGGACCGCCGTTGTAATTTTTGGGAGCATCATATGCACTCGGATCATGTTAGTAGGCGGTCGAAGGGTATAAAAGCACTGAAGATAACCAAACGAAAGCGGCTTGAGCTGATTTCCTCCTGTGTCTTTTGTGCTATTCTACCTGCTGCCTTTTTCATGCTTTAGTAGATGCGGGCGGTCGTGCCACACACAATTATCCTTGTGTCCGCAGCACTGAGAGATGACAACGAATGGCAGGTGCTCCCTGACATCATGGTCATGCAGAAAGCTGCACAGCACTCAGGCCTCCCCTGATCTCCAGACGCCAGTGTGTTACTATGTACATCCGTCTACATCCTAGAGAAACAGCCTAAAATGTGGCCAGCGTCTCTAAGGTAGAACTGTACCACAGTAGATTTACTATTTATCCGGCTTCACATCACAAATGGCAGGCCAAGGTTATCGAGCCTTATCTAAGACAGAACGGTTGGTTCCGTGGCTAACTTAAGAGAGCAGAACCGTTCCCAACGGACCCCTGAACGATTCACCTGCAACCATGCCTAAGTTAGCATCGCTGTCAGCTTCTGCCTTCCGCAACGTGGGCTGGAACTTGCTTCTTTCAGCGTCAGATTTACTCGTCACATCGGCTTTGTGAGTAGGCAACATTATTGTCAATTGTCATCTCAACTCAACGGACAGTTTGAGCGAAGACGCAGCAGCAGCCGCCGCCGCCGCCATTGGGCCTGGACCAACAATGGCTTCCAAGATCTCTGGCGTGACTTGATTGAAAGAAACAACTGACCCCTGGTGGGCTTCGGAACATGGAAGGCTATAAGGAAGTGACTTCGGCGGTTGAAGGCCGCCTTTTCCTTTCCACGCAAAAGCATCGCGAGGCCGATAAGAATAACGAGGTGTATTTCCAATCCCGACCTCAGACTTTACCTACAGCGGATTCATGGCTTTCGCCCTTCGCCAGCCGAATCGATACCGCAGGCAAGAGCAAATCGAGCAGCCTGAAAGATGGAGATCAAAGCCTCGGCGATGCCAAAACAAGCTCGCACCGTTCATCACCCCGATCTGCTGGCAAAGGTCTTCCCAAGATAAAGGACCAAGGACCACATCAGATAACTACCCACGCTGACGCCTTCACGGTTACACTCGAATTGGCCGAGCCAATCTTGTACTTGGAGGGTTTCGATTTTCCGCACAATTCCGCACACAGATCTGCAGTCCTTAGAGGCACTATGCACCTGGGATTCTTGCGACCAACCACACTTTCGCACTTGGCACTCAGCTTCCTAGGGACTCACGAGACGATCTGGCCGGAGGCTTGGAGAGTAAGGCGGCTGAAGAAGATATTTCGTGAAGAGGTGGTTCACCATCTATGGAATTTTCTAGACAACGACAAATCCGTGAGCGACAGCCTGGCAACGTCGGTGCGGAAATTTGGCCCAGGACGATATTCCTGGAACTTCGAGCTTCCTCTGGCCTCGTCCTTGCCGGAAACAATTGATCTACCCCTGGGTAAGGTCTCTTATACTTTGAGAGCTTCTGCGACCGAGGCAGGTCACTCGTTCAATGCGGCGACATTCCTACAAAAAATCACTCTTCTGCGGATTCCTTGTATCTGCTCACTGGAGTTGACGGAGCCTTATGAGGTTCGTGGTCTCCTTCAAGGACTCCGGTATAGCTTCAGTCTTGCCGCCAAGTCTTGCCGAGTCGGTGGCCAGCTGCCCCTGACCATCAAGCTGTCTTCCCCGACAGATCGTTCGTGGCAAAGCATAAATGTGTCAGTGGTCGAAGACATCCAATACCGCACAAGGGATGGCCAAGCTCACAGAGAGCAATCGCGTGTCAAGGCAGTCTTGTACACGAAACGTGCGAAGCGGGACCCTTTGCATCAAAGGGCTTTCAGACGTATTAGTGCTGCAGGTGAAAAGATGGCACCATCGTACGCCAGCGGTGTGGTCATCGAGAAACATCAGCCTCGGAGAAGTGGATCGGTGTCGCACCTGGAAGATGCAGGCATGGATAATCTGCACGAGAAGGCCATACTCAGCCTTCCATCTTGTTCAACAATCGAAGCAGATACTGCATATAAGTGTCTGTACGTTCGGCACCATCTTCTGGTAAGTGATGCCTACTACTGGATTGGGCGTCCTGATCGATCGCTAACCGCTTCCTTAGATTACGATCGCAGCATACGTCGAAGTCAACGAGCATGATCGCAAACATTTTCAGATTCGGATCAGAATGCCGATCCAGATCATCACTTGCAAGCTGTGTGATGGTAACGCCACTCTGCCAGAGTACTCGGAGAATGCGGCCGCCCTTACCATGGATGGGACTCCAGACCTGTGCCGGTGCACGAGTGGTCCAAGCAACACTCTAAGGGAGAATAGCCCAGCCAGCAGAAGAACGCTCGACGCACAAGAAGACGCGAGGGAATGAATTCATGTTGATATCTAGCCTGTCTTCCGAGATTATTGTAGCAAAGGTCTACCGCACCCACCTGAATTGAGTGTCCGACTCCTGATAGATGGACTTTGCCTCGCCGGAAAGCCTTACTGTACATTATCTCGGCTTAGTTTCCTTCCACGGTAATTTGCTGCCTGAAAATAATTTCGCTTCAGCTCGACTTCTTGCCTGTCGACCTTCATCTTCACTCTTTTCCGACCCTCTTGCCCTTCTCACAAATTTGCTTGTGTCCATGCACATCTTTCTGATTAGGCATGGCGAAACAGAGCACAATGTCGCCGGCCTTTTTGCCGGGGTCACGGATTCCAGGCTTACCGTCCACGGAGTTCAACAAACAAAGAGCTTAGGAAAATATCTCACTACTCATCGCAATTTACGCTTCACACGAGTATATGCCTCGGATCTCCAACGTGCCTACATGACAGCAGAAGAGATCCAGCGACACCAAGCTTCTCACTGGACCGAAGAACGAGCTCCAGACGTCGTCAGGCTGGAACTCCTGCGTGAACAAGACTTTGGCTCTTATGAATTAGTACCCTGGGCATCGAGGCGAGCACAACAAGCCCCAGACCCCCAAGACCCATCGTTTCGACCACAGGAGACTGCAGAGTCGATGGCGCTAAGAGCAGACATGTTTGTCACTGACCACATTGTACCTCTATCGGCATCGCTAGCCACAAACGAGCAGGACATTCAACCAGAATGTGTAGCGGTCGTGTCCCACGGACTCTTCCTATCTGCGTTGTGGAGGACTTTGGTTACCAAATTCCACGCGGGAACTGTAACCTTAGGACCTAATGTCGAGGTTCTCGGCTATGGTCGACCACTGGAGTATCTTCCTTCCTGGAGCAACACTGCGTTCCTGGAAATGACCTTCCACCCATCATCCGTCTATCCAAATGCGAGAACAGCCGGTGAAGAGCCTGCAGCACCAACGCAGAGCACACTATTGCCGTTCGCTGGAGTTTCCCTGGTCGTGCATGCTATCAATGGCAGGGATCACCTCGTGGATCTTAAGCGGGCACGAGGCGGAATTGGCTCATCCCCGTATGATGCTAAGCAGAAGAGTCTCGACGGCTTCTTTAAACGGCCGAAGGGTGGTGCAGGTGCGGCCGCTAGCTGATTGACTGATACAAAGGCACTTTCGAACTGCCTAATCATCATTTGGGTCTCTCATAACGAAGTCATAATCATGGAGGCCGATGCGAAAGTTGCCCTCCAGCGACCAGGCTTCAAAACGAAATCAAAGGTATGTCGCACATTCAGCACTCCTTCCCCTCTTTGTACGACGTGATGAAGCACTATTTCACACAGACCTGTTCTGAAACCTACTTGTGGAAGCAAAAATTGTACCAACTGCTGTCTGATCACCTACCTTTCCATATCATTTTCCAGGAACTAAAAACCACGAGCGTATGCTGACATACATTGTTCAAGGATGCTAACTGTCGAACGTTGAGCAACACTCACACTCTGCTAACCTCCGGGACAATTCTGGCCTGCGTCTTATGGAGGTCACCTGTACGGCTTTTCCGTCGAGCCTCGTTCTGCAGCATGCTGCAGTGTCTCCCGGCAGTACTCCTTGCCCTCACTAGTGTACTTGGAGGGCTAGGCTGCTGGCAATCTTCCCTGCCCACTCGATTCTCTTGGCCCACCCATCATAGCGCCCCCTTTTCGTGCCCGCAGGCTTATGGCTGCGTGAAGTGTTTTGAGTTGTGCATGAGCAAATCCAACCACTCACTAACTGGGGTCGACGGCTCATCAACCGATTCGTGTTCCTACGAGATGATACTGTGTACCACGAAATTTCGGTATCTGGATGTTTGTTCCTCGTGGTCTATGTGAGCCTTCCTGCTCCGCGCAAGATCGGCACTTCGATATCATATACACTATCTCAAAGCACTGCAATGGTCGCGGGTCCGGTGACTACACAGTATGTCGAGACCGATCTGAGGCTCTTTGACTCACGTCTGGTCCAGCCTGCCAGTCGAGCATGCTCACCACGGTAACGTGCATGGCAACTTTTAGCGCCGAGTCGCATGCGATGTGGTATGCCTCTCGTGTGACATGTGCGAGAAGGCAACGGTGCTCACCTTGATCCCTGATCGGAATGTCGAGACAGGTGTCGTAGTAGCTTATCAGACGTATACGTGTGTTCGGACTCGACATACAAAAGAGAACACGAATCGCGAGAGAAAGGTACAAGTCGGTCAAGAAGGCAGTTGCAAAGAAGTAGCATTCAAGGCTCAACACAAAGGTCGAAAATTGGATGTGATAACCTCCTTCTTATCCGTCCGCCAGCATGGTAACTCCCCTCAAGTCGGGAAAATATTGTATCGAGACTGGCTTTCTGGCAAAAATCGAGTATCCAAAGACTTTTCCTGTTGAACAGGAAAAAAGCAAAACAAAAAACAATCGACAACGAGGATTCGCAAATTGTCACCAACTTTGCTACTAACTCGTCGGCATGTGGCTTAAGTATGACTGAGCGAACGGGAAGTCCTGCTTTCCACAGTCCTATGGTCGATTGCGAAGGAGAATTCGATAGATATAACATAAGAACCTCAATTTCTAACCTCAGGAAAGTCTCACTAAGACACTTGGAAGGGAGCGGACTTCGAGGGGGAGAGGCGTGGCCAGGAGACGTACAGTATGTCCCCGATATCACAGAACGGGAGGCGAGGCTTTGTAACGCCTTTGCACCTGCATTGACCGTGGACAACATAACCTAGCACAGATGATCGAGCGATTATCACGCTCGACAGTCTCAGTCTCCGAGAAGCTTTCCTCGGTGTCTTCATGTTTTGCACTGCCATCTAAATAAGCGCAGGCTCTGTACCTAGCCATGGCAGGCCTCATTTTCTTGCTTCCCATCACTTTTGAGCTCAAAATCCGCTACTCTACCATCCTGCAAAGATGCTGAATCGGCCCAGAAACATCTACCCGGTCCTCTCCTCCTATCTTACGAAGTCTCCTCAACCTTATAAACCAGCTTACTCCCACTGACCTTGCCGGTCTTGAGATCCTCGAGGCCCTGCAACACCCCCTGGAGTCCACCCTTGCCCACCTTCTCAGCATGCGGCTTCAACTTCCCCTCGGCCAGCAATTGCTCCGTGATGCCCATGAACTTCTTGGCGAACTCAAAGTCGTCCGGAACACTGGGGATCTGGGTGCCGCGGAAGTCAAACGCCTCTCCAAAGACGGTGTACATCAGCGTCGACGTGCTCTCGACGTCGTCGCGCGGGAACTTGACCGGCAAAATCGCGCCGTACCGACATCCCGCGCCCTTCTCGCTTGAGAGGGCGTCGGCACAGAATTGCGCGGATGGGCCTTCGCTGATCGTGTCCCACGCGTATTTGAGCTTGTTGCCCGTCAACTCGCGGATCTTTCGGGCCGCCTCGGGGTCGTTGTAGTCGAACGCCTCGGTCGCGCCGAGACTCTTGACATACCCAAAATTGCGCGGTGAGCAGGTTGTTATCACGCTATATCCCGACCTAGCATACCATCGTCGTGCGTCAGCGACGCTCTTGCAGTTTCTCGGTTCTGGGGAGCAAGGAGGGAGTGTTGTGGGCGTGAGTCGATCTTTCACCAGAAATGAAGAAAGGCAGGGGACGGATGGGGAAAAAAGAAGAAGGTTTGCTTACAAAGTAGCGTATTGGATCGCCAGGGCACCGGTCGCCGTGCTTCCAGCATAGATAAGAACGTAGGTCTTCTCCTTGATCGGGTCGGTCGGCAAGTTGAGTTTCAACGCCTTCTGGTACAAGCCCTGGCCGACCGTCGTCGCCCCCAGGGGCACGGTGGCAGCTTGTTCGAAGCTCAGGTTGTCCGGCTTCTTGATCTGCACATCGCCCTTGGCCACGATGTACTCCGCGAAAGCGCCGTCGTCGGGCTGCACGAAGTTGCCGCCGTGAGCGACGCCCAGGATCTTGTCGCCCTTGGACCATGGCTTGGTCACGGCAGAGCCCACTTCCTCCACGATGCCGGAGAAGTCGCAGCCTATCAAGCCGCCCTCGGCTGGCATCTCGCCTGCAACATGCTTCCAGTCGGTCGGGTTGAGAGCGACAGCGACGACCTTGACCAGAACATAATCATCGCGCAGCTTCGGGACAGGGCGGTCCTCCACTACGGCTTGCTTCGAGCGATAGACGACGGCTTTCATGGTCGCTACGTTCGTAGATTCAAAGCAGACAATGGAACCAGGAGGGCCGACGTACTCGTAAATAGGGATAGGAGCGGATCAAAGATCAGCGCTAGTGATTGGAAAGGAAATGGGGGACAAGTCAGATATCAAGACCTGGAAAAGATATCGTACAATAATGGAACAGAGATGTTCTGAAAAAGACTTTCACTTAAGACAAGTGAGCGGATGACGTTGAGATGATATCATTCCCATGTTATGCTGGCGGAAGAATAGACAGATGGATTACAAATGCCGATACAGAAAAAGTATAAGGTAGCTAGCGAAGCTCCCCTTGAGATGTAGTAGTGTGTGGATCTTTCCATTATATCGGAAGCAGTGAGAGCCAGAGGTACAGAGTATGTATCAGGAGCTTCCAACCGAGGCCGGAGGAGACTGACCGTACCTCGGTGGAGTGAGTGGTGATGGCGGCTACAGGCGGATGACAAATCCAGGTCCGGTTCGATAACATGAAATACTTGGAGAAAAGTCTTTGATACATCTCGGACTTGTCATGGGAGACGGGCCGAAATGCTCTTGGCCCATGGATCTCCAGTTGACAACATGTATGAGGAACACAGTAGGCTTGAAGATGAGATATCGCGTTCGGTAAATGCTCGCCGGGAAATAATGTGGTGGTTCGTTTGCTGTATGTGGAGCAAAGCCTTGTGGGGCTCGCGTCTTGTCGTCTAGCTATGGCCAGCCTGGCCAGTGACCGAGAAAAGTGTCGGGCCCTTCCTCGCGGAGCATTGAGAACATCTTCTTATGAAGCTGAAGACCAGACTCGAATCAGGTAGTCTCGAAATCTCTCCGGTTGAACAGATACCAGCTGATTGAGGTTTGTATTGACAAAATCATAGCGGTTCTCAGCCGTGGCGATGAGGTGGTGCAAACGGGTTTCTCGAGCACGGTCGCCAACTGCTCGAGCGTATGTTATGGAATCTTGCAATGAAGTCCTCGTGAAGCCCGAGATCTCAAAGGACCGTCCTGAACATGTCAGTAGGCAGTGTACAATACCATGTGAAGACTCGTCGTACCTTGAATTGCTTCGGCAATGGCAACAACGTCTCTCACACTCATTCTTTCGCCTCGCAGCCTGAACTCACGTGGCCACGAAAGGAGATCCAGCGCAGCAACAACGAACCTGGCAACATCGTGTGCTGAGGTCATGCAGACTGTGGCAGGCTGCCCTGATGCGTTGAGGTATGGAATTTGTGCTCGTCGGCGTCTAAAGTCCATCAGGAATTCTCCCTCTTGGCTAATACTGCTGTTTAGGCCGATCTGAGACGCGGCCATCCCACCCGGAGCGAATCTTTCGTAGAGGATACCACATGTGAAGATTGTAAACTTCATTCCCGAGGCCTCGTGTTGGTGCAGTCGGAGGATCGCTGCTCGACGACCATTGTCGAGGAGGTCGTTCTGAGGACGCAAGGAAGGAGGTCCGCCAAACTCTGAAGGCACAAAGCGTCGAACATGTGCCGCAGCTGCTGCGTCAATCACTGCCAACTGGGGGTTACCACTGATCGTTGAGACGACTGTGTCCACTCCAGCCAGCTTGAATCTCAGGTCCGCCGGGTTGGAGTAGTCTACCTATACAACGTAATCAGTAGTGCACTTCCGTGAAGGCCCGCAAGACGTAACTGTCCTCATACTACCGTACGAGGGGAGGGTTACTGTCAACAGATGCTTGACTGCGGAACGGGGGATTGTGTAGTAGGACATTATACCTGCAACACCTGCCAGCCTTTTGCGGTTAGTCCTGGACTAGGCTACACGGAATCAGTAAAGACCTCATAGCTCGAAGATTTTAACGTACCCTTCTAGACAAGATGACAAATTGGTGTGATGTTTGAGTAGCCAGGGAGTTTGCAATGTACTGTGCTAGCCCGTTCGTGCCAACAATTGCGACTTTGATCATGGCGGCTCGGTGTTCCGAAGAACGACGACCTGCGTCGAACATTTGGAGATATATCTTTTCCAGCAGCCTGCATCGTGATGGAAAGATGCTTTGGAATGACTCAAAGTAGACACGAAACCCTGTCGTCACCAAGTCCCAAGCGAGCAAATGCAATCAAGTGCTCGGTGAGCTGCCTGGAACGCGTCTGCACATTGTCGGAGAACAACAGAATGGAGCGCTCGTTCACAGCGATGTAGGGTCAATGAGAGTATTTAGACGCGGGTGGCGAGGATGAAGAACTGGCGGTCACCACCAATGGGGCCCAGACTCCGGGTGAAAGACGGAGCATACTTCAGCAGGGTGCGGAAATGGCCAAGATTACGATCAACAGTCGCCAGTAACAGAATGCATGGTAGAGTCAATCTAGGCAGAACAGGCATCAGATGTCCTTTTGATGTCCCACCGGAGTCATGCGGAAACGGGGGTGCAGCGAAGAGTCGTCGGTAGCTTGCTGGTTGGAAGAATAGCAAACCGGTGTAGACACTCGTTCAGTCATGGCATGAAGGGAGGAGCCGTGGAGCAGTGTTGGGACGATTGTGGTTGGAAATTGTCGCGTGGGCCGGCGCGAAAAATGCGGTGATTCGCTCAAAGGCATGGTTAAGAGGTTCTTTTGGAGTAACACCTACCAAAATAAGACTTCGGGTAACAAAGATGATGCCGGCAAGGTGCAGTACTGTGTTTCCATGATGTTGACGGAGACGTGCGTGGTCGGTCGATTGCGGGAACAACGGCTAGTAGTACTCGTGCACGCTCGTGTTTCCGATCCATATCCCAGGGTCCATGGTCAGCCCTATAAGGCCACCACCGAAGTCGATACTGGGGAACATGTCGCAATCTCAGGAATAACACAAGTGCTGTTACTCGCTGGTTCGTACTTTACCCCAAATAACAGGGAGGGTCGTTTCTGGCTATCGATGAGACAAGCTCGTAGACATTCCACGGCAAGCTATCAGAATCGCCATGGCTTTGTACGAATTACTGCAGACTTCGGCCTTGAAGGTAGAGAGATCGGTATCGCTGTGCAGCCGAAAGACGAATGAGCAGCGTTGGTCCATGACAAACAGGGAATAAGTATCCGAGCTTGAAACTTTTGAAAGCATCGTGGGATCCGCAGTCGTACCGGGATCATTGTTCAGGCGAGCCGTCTTGCATCTCAGCCGCAGAGCGATGGTTGTACATAGGTAGGGCTGATAGGCGTGGTTAGGGTTAGTTACCAGGAGTGCCAGGTCATCTTTGAAGATTCTCTGTCATTAGTCAGGAGACTCACGTGAGACACTCTGCCGACCCAGAAGGTCACGTGGTGTCGTGTTGGCTTCGTGAGGTGGTTCATCATCGCTGATGGTGTCGATATTCTGTACCTTGTTGGATATATCTGGAGCACATCATTCAACAACGACTGCCATAGTCCTTGCATGATGGGCTGCCCTGTGATAAATCGTGTTTGGTCAAAGATGGATGTGCAAATGAGATGAAGAGGCGCCCGTTATTTGGATGGTGATTTCCAGAGCCAAGCCATCAGCCTTTTTGACGCGCTTAGAAGTGCGCGCAGCGCGTAGTGAATCCCACTCAAACCGCCATGGCATGTCCTCCATTCTTATCTCTACACCTCACATCTCCCTCACCAGTCCTTGGTCGCGACTAACCCTTCATAACATCGCGACAATGGATGAGGACTCAAAAGGTGCGACTCACACTCCTCATTATTCGGACGTCCAGCCTCAGTACGCGTTTGAAGTCGAGCATCAGTCTATGATGTCGTTGTCGTCGTCGTCATCCGCGCCCACCTCCGAGTCCAACTCGGCGGCCAAAGCAAAGAGAAAGAGAACCAGGTATGTCCTTGTACAGCATTCCTTCCCCTTTCACCCGACTGACCCATCATAGTCCACAAGATCATGCTATCCTCGAAGCTGCCTACCTGAAGAACTCCAAGCCCGACAAATCTGAACGAGCACAGATAGTCAGTCAGGTGAACATGAGTGAAAAGGAGGTCCAGGTGCGCTCGTCCCCCAGTCACCCACGCACATGAACGTTTACTAACCTCTGCAGATATGGTTCCAAAATCGTCGCCAAAATGATCGTCGACGGTCGAAACCGTTGCAGCCTCACGAGCTCGTCGCGCATCTACACACTCGTACTGCCAGTCCTATCCCATTTCAAGCCATCCCACCTGCAGTCCGAGACCAAACATCCCCGTCACTTATTCGACCCAAACCTTTGCTTGCGCCTTCAGATGTCATTCCTCGCCCTGCGTCCAGAGCCTCAAGCATTCATGATCTCCTCAACCCTGCTTCGTCTGCCGAGAGTGACAGCAGCCAAGAGGAGCCCCTGCATGGTAGTCAAGAGACGGCGGCTCGCTCAACACCTCCATCAAGCTTCGGAGAGCCAGGGGCTGTCACAGCAAAGAACGCAGCTGACGCAAATGTTGAGACCCAAGCATCGAAGAGCGATGAAAAGGCAGAGAGCACCGACAACGAACAGGGCAGTGCGAGAAAGAGAGGTCATGATGAAATGATAGGCGAGCGCACTCCAACACCCAACGGAGCCGGGTTAGAGCAGGAAGCACCACCACCACGAGCCAAGGAACCACTCACAAGATCGTCGAGCATGATGCGCTTGTCTATGACTGTCGATGGAGCAGTGAAGGTGCGAACCAACAATGAGCCCACACCTTCCCCAGAGAAACCGCGAGCAGCACCACCACCAGCGACCCAGGCTAAGGTGAAGTCCGGACTCATGCGCAGCAAAAGTGCCATGACCAGCGTCGAAATCTTCCAGGATCCAGGTCAAGGAGCACATTCGAAAGCCAGAGAGCCAGGATTTGGTCGGTCCCGTGATGCCAGAACTTGGGAGTTCTATTGTGATACCAACACCAAAGATGCCTTGTCGACCCAAGCTGAGGCCGAAACTGCGGGATCTGCTGTCAGCGCTATCAACCTCATCAGAACAAACAGTCTCAAGTCACGCTCTCAAGCACTCAGTCCGTCTCTCACCAAGACTAACAGCCGTGTGGGAATGGCCTCAAAGGGTGGCAAACCAAAGCTGTCCCGTGCTCAGTCGTCGCTAGGTCGCCTGCAAGGTCTTGATGCTGGTACACAGTCGTCGGTCAAGAAACCTAAACACGCTGGCCACGCTAGATCACCTTCTGATGATTCTGACAAGGAGAACTGGGCGCCAGGCACTCATTTATCTGAACATCCCCTTCGCAGAACCCAGCCCAGTGCACGCCCGCGACCCATTCTCCAAGAGAACGAAGAAATGACCTTCCCAGATGCCACTTCTTCCCGGAAGCGACGCGAGGCGGAGACCAATAACCAGCGATCACCAACCAAAGAGAAGGCGAAAGGTGACGACTTGGACTGTGTCAAGAGTCTGCTGTCCCTTAGCCAAGGAGCTTGGAATTAGTTGATCATGGACCGATCTGTCACTGTGGTCTTGATTGGGACAAGAGCCTGTTTTCACTGACCAAAGGAGCATGAAGTTGGATATGAATCGACCTGTCATGGTGATGAATGAAGAGCATCAGAACAGCACAGCACACGAAGAAAGAATCTTGTTTGAATAGCATGATGGATGAGGCTGCCACGTTTCGAAAGACGAAGAGATGGGTTTTCCTGATTGTAAAACATCTTGGGGTCAGCCACTGTTCTCAGTCAGTGCAGGAAAGAGAGAGATACTGTACCTAGCGAAACATAATGAACAAACAATGCGAGTTGTATCAATTGAGAGTCAGCCTCGCTGGCGCCGATCGAGGTACATTTCGTGCTTGACGTCAGTGTGTTGTCCCAAATCAGATCGGAAGGGCAATTCATCACCACGCCCATGGGCTCCCTGGATCTTCACATTAATACAGTATCTTCTTCTCTTGCCACTGTCATCTGAGTCTCTCGAGGTACCCATATTTATATCTATATACTAGTATCTGTTCAATAAGACGACGTAGCTGATTAGCACACTTGGAGATTCCACAGCCCAGTTAGGTGTAAGTTAACCCCGAGACACCAAAGACTTCGTCGATCCGGCATAGCTTCCAGCCTTATCACCCCCTTGTATTCCGTAGCTGGCGAGCTGGGTAGCAGACCTGCAGGCCGCCTTATGTCTCGAATATCTCGAGACTTGGCCGGCAGTCCACACAATACTCATACCCATCGACACGATACTAGTACCCATGTCTCAGGCTCAAGCTCAAGTCTTCCCACCATGCACATGCACAACGCGCTCCGCCAGGCCAGCACGAAATCACCATCCAAGAAGATGCCGCACATCGCGGTCATTGGTGCCGGCGTGGCCGGTCTCCGTTGCTCAGACGTCCTCTCCCGCAGCGGATGCCAGGTAACCGTCTTCGAAGCACGCAGCCGCATCGGTGGGCGCGTGCACCAAGTCGAGTCCGAGGGCCATCTAATGGACATGGGACCGAACTGGATCCACGGGACAAAAGGCAACCCGATCATGCACCTCGCCGAGAAGACGGGCACGATCGTCCTGGAGCCCGAGGAAGCAGGCGGCGCGCTGATCGACGCAGACGGCCGACGAAGACCGGACGCCGAAGCCGTCGAGTTGTCCGGTAAGATATGGGAGATGGTCGTCGACGCGTTCAAGTACAGCGACGAGCACTCGGCGAGCATCGACCCGCACACGAGTCTGTACGAGTACTTCCGTGAACAGCTGCAGCTGAGCAAATCCAACGGCGGCATTGGCGAGAACAAAAAGCGAGAAGAAGACCTCCTTCACGAGGCTCAAATGTGGGGTCCCTTCGTGGGCGACTCGGTCGAGAAACAATCCCTCAAGTTCTTCTTCCTCGAGGAATGTATCGAGGGAGAAAACGTCTTCGTCGCGAACACGTACCGGGACATCCTGAACGAGATCGGCACGACCGTCACCAACGGCGACAAAAATAACAAAGTCACCTTGAGGCTTGACACGGAAGTCGTACACTTCGATACGAGCACCAGCAACCCAAACCCAAACCCGAGACTACCCGACGGCAAGAAGGTGACCATCACCACGTCGACGGGCGAGAAACCCACGTTTGACGAGGTCGTCATCACTTGTCCGCTAGGCTGGCTGAAGCGCAACTACACCAGTGCCTTCGCACCACATCTTCCGTCCAGACTATCCGAGGCGATCCAGCACATCAACTACGGCCGTCTGGAGAAGTTGTACGTCACCTTCCCCTCAGCATTCTGGCTTCGAGACGAGAACGGCAATGCAAGTACGGACAATTTCCCTCTCTTCACGCACTACCACGACCCAAAGTATGTGGATCATCCAGAAGATGAGACCTGGAACCAATCCGTCATGTCTCTAGCTCATATGCCTACGTCTTGTGCTCATCCAACATTACTCTTTTACGTCTACGGCGCCTGCGGGACGCACATGGTCAACGCCGTGAAAGACCTCGAACCACATTCACAGCAATACAATGAAGTCCTGACGGGATTCTCGGAACCGTTCTACTCTCGTCTCCCAACCTATTCGGCTTCAGATGCAGCATGCAAACCGACTTCCTTCCTCATGACGATGTGGCAGGCAGACCGCTTCGCTGGGAATGGAAGCTACTGCAATTTCCAGGTGGGCCTGGAACGCGGCGACGAGGACATCGAAGTCATGCGTGCGGCGGGCGGACTGACGGATCAGGGGCTGTGGTTGGCAGGCGAGCACACTGCGCCTTTCATTGCATTGGGGACTACGACCGGAGCGTGGTGGAGTGGCGAAGGAGTGGCTAGACGGATATGTAATGCTTACGGACTGACCGTGCCTGAAGATGTAGCGGTGCCTGAGAACGGCGAGGACGTTGGCGTAAGGAAACAGCTCGATATTGGGAACCCGGATGCTGCAAACCTGAATGGGTTGGCTATCTGATTGTAGAGCACATCAAGACAGCAAGCTGGGATATCATCTAGACCCCCGGATGAATTCGCTCGTCGTCATGATTCACACCGACTCCATAGGTCAAGGGCCTGGCGTTTTGACTTTTGACCAAAATCGCTGGCCAATTGCTCTTGCTCCAAATTGAATAACAGACCTGCATGTGCCCTCGATCTCATGATCTGCCTGGGTTCCCTTATCGCGAGCACCATCCAACCTTATCAATCCTAAACCTGCTGTCGTAGAACAGGTGGGAAGACTGCTCGCCCAACTCCAGGTCGATTTCCAACACGCAACCAATTGCAGAACGGCGACATAAGGCACCTGCGGACGCGTTTACCGCAGAGTGCCATCACCATTGCTCCAGTTCTATACATAGTCAGTAATCCGCTTCACTTCACCGAGTGACGGATGGGGCAGGAACGGGAGGATGGAGCGAGGAGGAAAAGAGTCTCACCTTTGCTGATCGCCTCCAATTTGGCCTTGTCAGTCAGTGTGTATTTCTGGCTATTCCAGCGCTGTACATCGAGGAGCCTGCGTTTCTTTCTGCTGATTCTGCGCCGTATATCATGCTTGAATCCTGAAAATTTGGGAATGCCAGCGCCTTTTGCCTTTTCCCCGGCGAGATGTCTTCGTCTTTGCGATCTTGTTTTGACATGGTCCCCACTGTTCATTTGTTGCCCGTCGTGCTGGCCAAAGACCGCAGTACGCTGCCATTCCGGGGTTTCCACTTTCGCAGAGAGGTCCTCCAGACGCGCGGTCTCGAGCTGTGGTGTGTTCGCCGTGATTTCGGTCTTTCCCCTACCAGGACAGTCTTCGACCTGCATTTCATCAAGCTGTGCTGTGTCCAATGAGGGTTCCAGCTTGTTGATGACGGACATGCCCTCCGGCTTGCGCCTAGACATTCTTAGTTTCCTTGAGCGCGACCTAGTCATGTACCGGTCGATAGGGCCTTCTTTGGCGGGCTTTTCGACCTCTGGTAGTGTTGCCGGTTTTGTCAGCCTTCCAAGTATGCCATTCCGCTGGTTCTCCGGCAATGTGTTCCACGACGGGTATAAAGGGTCGGGATTGAACATGTGCATTACCGCACGATCTGAACTTGAGGTCAGTAGAGGGCCGCTGTCATGGAAGCACGGATAGTCACGTACCTTTGATTGCGTCAGACACAACATCATCACCGACAGAGACACAGTCTCCGGCAGAAGTCGCTGCTACCACTTCCATCCTAGTGAGCTTCAGGCCGTCTTCAGTCACCTTCCTCAAGACCATGCGCTCAACAAAGTCTACGGTGTCATTTGGGCGGATATGGAAGTCGAAGCTTTGAGACGCTGTCACCTTGACGGTGATCGCAATGTCACCAGAATCTGCCGACATGGTTTCCATGAGTGGAATGAAGTAGTCGAGTGACGGGGATGATGTAAAGGCGCACAGCTGTAGGATCGGTTGGGTAGAGTGCGTGGCCAGACACAAACGGTGAGCAAATGTGGGTGAACGGGGTTCGGATGTGAGTAAAGTGAAAGTCTACCTCAAGGGCGAAGGATGCCAGATTCTGGTGACATTGCATTCACTGGCAAGAGCGACAGTCCACTTTCCTACCATTCATTATTCATTCCCTCATTCATCCAGCACGTTAGAGCAATTGAGACTGTGCTGCCAAACATCAGTTTCACTTTACTTGTCCGGGCAGTGCTCAGTGAAAGTTTTCCGTGACCTGGTTAGTTCTCCAGTGGGACTCATCAATGCGCATTCTTGGTCAAAGTGCTTCCAGACACCCAGCCAGAGGAGCATCTACGAAGACGCATGGGAGCGATGGAGCAGAATTTTCATACTTTGTCACACAGTTGGCGGTATATGACGGAAGGGACACAGCTGTCCGTGTCGCGCCCTCGCGCTGCAGAGTTCCTCCACAGTCAGCGCCATTGAAAGTCGATCCAGCCTAGTTATGTTGACACTTGCGGTGGACGGTGGTAGACGGCAATGACCTGCAGTCGAAAGATGATCAGATCAGCGACCGTGGTAAGCTTCGCGGAGATAGCTTATCTCCCACGGTTGAGCTTCCCCCCGAAAATCATTGCGCTTCATCCGTAGGTAGCGCTGAGTCGAACAGAGAGGCTATTCGAGCTTGACTCTACAGACCCCGATCTTTCGGCGACTGGGGCTTTCATCGCGGAAACTGAGCGATGCGTATGCTGTAGTCGGAGACGAGGCTGAGTTGGCGAAGTGCCGGCTACGCTACCGAAGATGCGTGCCCTTCACACTTACACATCAAACGCTGCATATGAGCAGGGCTCGGGGACCTCTTTGCGAATGCGTCAGCAGTATGTATAGTATAGTCTGGTCTCGCCATCGGCCGTAACGATAATCTCCAGGCTTGTCAAGGCGTATAAAGGACCACTGTTGCACTGTGATGTACCTGAGGATGGATTGTTCAACAAGCTGCAACCTGGCCTTTGTGGACATCAGCAGATTGAGTACTAGCACACCTTGATTGCGGAGAGCACCAGTGCACTAACTGCGAGACGCCATGATCGAGTCGAGCTGTCTGTGCGGTTCGAACCGCATTTCCTTCGAAGCAGAACCGGTCCTCACCGTAAGTGCTGTCTTTGGGTCCCTTCCGACACAATTCGCTCTGCAACTGACGTAGCACGTATAATCGATCAGATGCGGTGCCATTGCATTGACTGTCGGAAATTCAGCGGCAGTACCAACACAAACAATCTGTTCGTCCCAATTGTTGAAGGCTTCAAAGTCTTGAGCGGAGAGTTGAAAACCTACACGAAGAACGTTGAAAGCGGTCATACGATGACCAGCTATTTCTGCGACAAATGCGGGTCGACAATGTACAGGAAGACCAGTCACACAGACAAGGCGGTCGCCGTCATGATTGGATGTGTCGACGGTCTCGAGACAATCGAAAAGGCGCGTCCTGAGCACGAATTGTTTGTGGAATATCGTCCAAGTTGGATGCAGCCCATTGAAGGCTCGACACAAGCAGACCGAGGTGCCCTGCCGGAGTGGATGTTTTCCATAGCTGCATAGATCGCTGGAATGAAGGTTGAAAGTACATACCGGTCTGTGGTAGGTCTCCTTCGTTTAAATATCTTGTTGTGATCTAGAAAATAATTCAAGGTTTAGTACTTTAAAAGGCGTGTATCAATATTACTTCAGCTTCGTGATGTCTCAGCCCGATTGCCATCATGTCGCTCGTAGTCCGTCTTCTATCCAACCCGTCTCTTCGCGTAGGTCGCTGCTGACACGTGCATATTCTAGCATTAATCTGTAAACATAAGCAAGCATGTCCTCTTCCCTCAGCACCCTTTCTGCCCAAGACCGACCCTCTACCACTATCCTTTCCGCCACATCTTCATGGCTGATAAAGTACTCAAGTATCGCCCATAAGTCTATAAAGGTGTTGTCCATGGGTACAAAGTGCTTCCAAGGGACCAATCGATCATCGTGCCATTCGTTGTAGACGGTTGCTTTGATTGGCAGGCTGTTACTCTGTAGAAAGGCACGGTACCGTCCAGAGAAAGAGTTTCCGTCAACGTCCGACAAACACTTGGCATTGAACATTCGATGGAGAGGCGTCTGCACACCTTGACGATACCATGCTCCTGTGTAGTTGCAGCCGTATTCCTTCGTTTCGGGGAAGCAGACAAGCCTAACAAATGCAGCATTCGACCAGCTTCGAATCCAGTCAAGAAGGACGCTCAGAGCAAAAGAATGCAAAGGGTACAACACTTGATTCGGGAGCGGGAAATTATGTGGGAGGCGACACTCGGCGTTGGCGTGAGTGGTCCATGTTCGACTCTGTTCCTCGCCTTTGAGGGCATATGCGTCGGTCGTTACTCCATGGCGGTCGTCTAGGCTCATTTCCACCTCGACCCGTTGAGCATCGACAGGAGGCGATGGCGCTGGAAGCGGGTCCAGTTTTCGTGTCTGTTGCGTCCACTGGAGGCAGTACCCCTCCACAAAACCTCGTTTCGTCTCTTAGTCCATGGTAATTGTGGACGATTGATTTTGAAACGCTCATCTTTGTCCCAGTAGATGACAGCAGGAAGGAGAATGTCGTTGTTCGATAGCAGCTTCGAGCCACTGAACATGGGAACCAATTTCGTTGTAGTTGACTGCGAAATCGGCTCCACAAAGGTTCCATGCAAGTTGCGCAGGTGCATGGATACATGGATCTTTGGCAATGGTCAAATTCGAGACGTAATCATGATACGAGGAAATTGGCCACGACGTGGGAAATTCAGGAGGAGCCGAGAAGTCGTCGTCGAGGTTCGCAGATCTACCAGGGGAATCAGGATGGCAGCCATTTCTTACGATGTTCCGAAAAGGTGTTTGATGAAGCCACAAGTGTTCAAAGGCCCGTGTTTGGTTGTCAAGTGGATTGAAAGAGCGCACCGTAGGCAGACGTTGCAAGTTCCTGCCCTTGACACTGCGCGAAACCAAGTCATCGACATCTTCCCACGGAACCAATACTCGTGACTCGTCCATTGTGTTGATAGGAATGTCGACATCTGGCAGAAGAGTCTTGATCTCCTGAAGCATATCGAAATAAGCATGAAGCAAGTGTGAATCACTCTTAGATTTTTCGATCTTGCCATTTCGAACGCGGATAAGTTTGGGAAGGGTCGCAGCTGCAGCTCTGATATCAGCAGCGTCCGAACCCAGAAAGGGTCTATATCCCGATAGATTTGGTCGAAAAGGTCTTCAATAATAACGCAGCCATGCGAAGAGGCGAATTCGAACCACTTGTCGAAATGTGGTGGTGGGTGTCGGCCCCTTTCTTGCACGGTAGACTGACGCCGCGGTCAAGAGATCGTGCGTCTCATGCTTTTGTAGTTCCTCGGACTCTATGTCCGCCCTTCTCACCAAGTCGTCAATAGGATGGTGGCTAGACCTGTAACCCCATGTTTCAGTGAATATGTCCGAAGGCGAGTTTTGAGAGGAAGCCGGTTCTGGATTGAAGAATGACGTGTGCCAGCGATCAGGGACTTCGCGAAGGCCTTCTCTGTACCACAGTAGAAATATGCTCAGGACTGCAACGGCCGCTATAAAGACAACGCGTCTGCGCCATTTCCTACCGATCAGTGGAAGCATTGACTTCAGTTGTCAGACCTTGCGTAATGAGGGACATCACTGCACCGTCAGCAGAAGACTAAGTACGTTATAGAGCACTGCAAGACGGTGTTACTTGAAGGTATAGTTGCGGGTGTATAGGTAGAAAATGCATCTTCGCAGAATTTCCAGAGAATACTGCTGACCCACCGGCTTGATACTTGCACGAGCGTGCAACATCCCGCGAACACTGACGCAACACGAGAGGTTTTCTCATTGCTGCCCTCCGTATTCAAAGCGGAAAGACGCTATATGGTACACCTTGCCAGACATATACGCGTGGGTTGCGAAAAGGGAGAGATCAGACTCGTTTGCAGCTGGTATCAACACTTCGTACTGCCTCGCTTGACCAACACAAACAGTGGGAAGCTAGCCCTTGGTCCACAGGTCTTCACATTGTCTTTCTGGCTTCATTTTCTCCATTCCCAGCCGTCGCCATGGCCGTGAATGGGGGCAGCGCCGGATGCCCATATCCAGTAGGATCGAGCATTGACTAGTTCGGAAGCTGTGCTGGTTTCAGTAAGCAGTCAACTAGGCTCGCAAGCATGGACTTGTCTAGGAATGGGAATGATGGAAGAAAGAGGCATCGTCAACGTGATCAAATCAGAAACCCTCTCACGTGCATGGAGCCCTTAAAGCGGCGATGTTAAATCTCCATATTTGGACCTGCGAAAGAATTCTGGACTACGGCGAGAAGTCGTCCAAGTTGTGCTCGTCTTTCCCCGAAGAAGGTTGCAACAGACTTGCGAATCTTGTTGAAACGTCATGTTGTTAGAAGACCAGAGGTTCCTCCATGAAGATCTCGAGCGACTCGAGCAAGCCATAACCGAACGTGTTACAGAGGATCCAAGAAATGTATGTCTGATCGAATTTCAACAACTACGAGATTAACGCAGGCTCCAGATCAAAGACCGATTAAACCGAGACCATCAGATCAATAACTTCCTCTCGCGTGTACAAGAGCAGTCGAAACGACTACTAGACATCTATAAAGATGCTGGTGGACTACGGCTCTCAGAGGTTCAAAGCCTCTCGACCGGAGATCCATTCGAGGAATTCTATAGACAACTAGAAGAAGTCAAGGACTTCCATCGACGCTATCCCAATGAACCTGTCGAGAACCTCGAGCGCGCGTACAAGCGCAGGCGACCCGAAGAGGGGGAGACCGTCACATCAGAAATTGACAACATGTTTACCGGAGAAGAATCCAACGGCAGATTCCTGGACCTGACGACCTTACATGAAGACTATCTGAACCTTCCTGGTGTGAAGCGCCTCACATATCTCCAATACCTCGATAACTTTGACGCCTTTGAACCTCCCCGAATGCCGATCAAGAGGCAGAACAAAGTCACAGATACGTACCTGAAATACGTGGCGGATCTAGCCAGTTACCTTGAAGGCTTTGTACGGCGGACAAGACCACTAGACGACCTAGCCAAACTCTTCCTACGCCTCGACCGAGACTTTGAGACGGCATGGGAAGCAGGCACTGTCTCAGGCTGGACGAAAGAGACCACCCCAACCACAACCGCAGCCGGGCCACAAACCGAAGGCACTGGCTCAGGGATATGGTGTCCAGAATGCGAGAAAGAATTCAGCAATCAAAACGTCTACAAAGCCCACCTCACAGGAAAAAAGCACATCCGTAATGCCGAAGCCAAAAAGACCCAATCCTCAGCCAACGGCTCGATCACGACATCCAATTCTTCAGCAACCTCCCTCTCCGGTACACAGCTCAAAGAACGAGTAATCGCATCCCATGAACACCGCATTCGCGCCCTTGCCGACCTCCTTTCTAACGAACGCAGCAACACACGTGTGAACGTGGAGCGCAAACAAGGCATGACCGAGCGCGAGCGGCAGGCCGAACTCGACGCTCTATTTGCCGAGGACGACGCCGCGGTTGCTGCAGCTGACCGGCACCGCGGCGGAGGAGATGACTCTGGCTCCGAGTCCGACGGCGACGAGAAGGTCTACAACCCGCTCAAACTGCCGCTGGCTTGGGATGGTAAACCGATCCCGTACTGGTTGTACAAGCTTCACGGACTGGGCGTGGAGTTTACCTGCGAGATATGTGGAAATTTCGTTTACATGGGCCGGCGGGCGTTTGACAAACATTTCAGCGAGGCACGGCATATTTACGGATTGAAGTGCCTGGGCATCACAGGCCAAGGCACAGGTGGTTTAAGTCTGTTCCGCGAGATCACGGGCATTCAGGACGCCCTGAGTCTGTGGGAGAAGATCAAGCGCGAGAAGAGGGAGAAGGAGAGCAAAGACGATGGTGTTGTCCAGATGGAAGATGGAGAGGGCAACGTCATGCCGGAGAGGATTTATCTGGATTTGCAAAAGCAGGGCATCTTGTAAGAACATAACTACGGGTGCTTTATGGTGGCGGGAAAAAGTCATTATGATACCCCTGCTGCAACCGAGATGGGACATGGAAGTTCCAAATTTCAACGGAAGTGTCTACCAAGCTTTCAAAGGCTATCGCCAACAGTGCTGCATGATCATGTACGAAATAAAAAGGGAAGAACAGTACTAGTGCTCAAACATCAATCCCTTCAACACTCATCCTTCCATCAGCACTCGCACTCCGAACACCATCCGAAGTCCGACCCATGGCACCACCTTCTGTACTCAGCCTCGCACCGAACATTGTGACATTCGCCAGCTCCCTCTCCTTCTCCACCATCTTCTCCTTCTCACGATCCACAACGACGGCATTCTTCACCTTTTCAAGCAGTTCCCAGCCCTTGGCCGCGACCTGCATGGCCCGCTCGACGATCTGATCAAACAATTCCTCATTGTCCTTGTAGAATCCGCACAGCATGAGTTTGCACAAACTACTCGTTGCCGTGGCGCGAACTTCCTCGGGGAAATTCTGCGACAGAGCCTTGATGAACGGCGAGAGCAGACTCGTCATATTGGTATTGCTGTTATTGTTATTGGTGCCCTGCTCGCCGAGTTCGCCGCTGGTATTCGGAGACGCTGCAGCGTCCACGGGGGTCTGACTTGCCGGAGGCGGCCCGCGAGCCATCAGAATGTCGCACAGGATCTGGAGCGCCATGACTTGCAGCGTCTCGTGGCCTTTCTTGAGCAGATGCGTGAACAGGCGCATATTCTCGTCAGCAAGTTTGGGTTCGAGAAGACAACACAGACCCAGACACTGGACGCCTCGCTCGCGGATCAGGATCTCGTGAGACCGGACGGCGGGTATGACTAGGTTGTCGAACATGGTGCGCAGGTGGATGTTGGACTGCAAGTTGCCAGCCACGTTCTGGAGCATGCATTGCGCGATATGCAGACATTTCATGTTGATCATGATTTCCTTGACGGCCTGGGCTTCTTGTTCTTCTTCGGTCAATTGCTTCTTGTGCTTCTTGTTCGAGCCGTTGTTCTTCGGCGTCGAGTCCGATTCGTGGTCACTCACTTCACTGCGTGCGGACACGAAGCTTGCGTCATCGTCGTCGTTCTCTTCGCCTTCAGGCTCGTCGGACACGATATTATCGTGGACTTCGGCGATGGCTTCAAGAACGACCGAAGTGAATTCTCGTTCGCCTGCTGCGTCAGGGTTGCAGACTAAACGTAAAGCCTCAACGGCGAGCCGAGTGCATTCTTCTGGGAGATCCGCCATCGAGAGTGCATGCCGTAGAAGAGAGAACATTTTCCGCCGGCCAATCTCGTCGGTATAGTCTAGAGTCTGTGCGATGTAGAGAAGCTGCTCGACGATGAATTCTTGCTCGGCTTGTTCAGCGAGTTTGTCGTCACTGTCGGATTCGATGGCGTTCTGCACCTTGATGAGAAGCTCGTTGATGTGTTTCTGAAGGTGGAATCCCAGTCGTGTCACCTCGGGCATCTTCTCCTCAATTATAGCCTGATGTTTGGGATCCTGTGATTGCTGACAGTAGTCATTGAATGTGCGTGCCATAAACGCAGACTCAGGGGTCAAGGTGTCCCAGAATTCATCGTCAAAAGACACTGCTTTGAGGTAGTCTGGCCGACCGGCCCAGAATTCCTTCATGGCTTCTCGGGCGATTCCAGTCTCGTTGCCGGTGTTCAAGGTGTCGATTCTCTCCAGGAGTTCCAGCAGAGCAGGGATATTCGGTGGATAAAAGCCATTCGGCTCCTTGTCTTCGTCATCCGTCTGCTCAGTATGTGACGCGGCACAATTTTCTATCCAGCGCGCTCTGAACACATGAGCCGCAGCTTTGCGAACCTTCTCATCTCGGTCTCTTAAGCCCCATCTCAGCAATTTCTCTCGCATGGATAAGGACAGATGCCGGAAGTCGCCCAGCTTCAGCAGAAGTTTGGAATACAAGGCTCTTCGCGTCGGACCATCACGATCTCTTGCTCGCTCCAGCAGATATGGCAATGTCCTCGATGTAACGGGAAGGTTGAGCAGTAGTGCTCTCCGGACATCTGCGTTGGTGTCGTTTTGGAGCACGTCCAAGAGCTTCTCCAGCAGGCCTGGTGCTACATCCTCGTCTGAATCTTGTTCTTCATCTTCATCCTCCAATTCGTTCACCACCAGCCTCCCCAGTGCCAGCACGGCTTCCAGCCTGATCGCAGGCACCTTATCTCGAAGCCGCTTTATCAGCTCGTGCCGAATGACTTTGTAGAGGTCATCATCAATAGTACTCAGGACTCCAAGGATCTGGGAGATGATCTGCGTCGCTCGATATCGCACGGTCTTGTCCTTTGCGCACAGAAAAGGGAGTAGTGCAAGCAGAATGGAGGATGTAGTTCGGTTGGTCGCATCCGCTGACTCGAGGTACACCGTCAGGAATTTGATCACCCGGTTGCCAGCGACCTCTGATTTGCTGACATCGAGAAGACGAAAGACGGATTGCTTGATGTGTGCTTCAAAGTTGGGGGTGTTTTCGAGTCGGTGCAGGCGCTTCGCCAAAGTTTTATGCCCGACGAGGGAGCGTTGCGCGTCAGAGAAGATCTCACCGATTGACATCTTGCCTGATCGATCGGTTACTGTTCTTGCGAGGCTACCGCCGCAGGTAGTAGATGGATATTTACAGTCGAAGACTGGTTTGTTTACATGGCCGGGGCTGCAGCCAATCAGGTTCCAACCTCGCCGGCTCTACTCCGGCATACGGAACTACATTGATCCGATGATCTGCTGGCCACCGTGATGGTCACACGTGATTGTCGCTTCCCTCACTTTATGAGTTTCATTCCTCAAAGATTTTTGAAGGATGATCCTGTGTGTCCTGTCATCCTGTCTATCTTGATCATCAGTAAGATCTGTTGATCTCCAGGAACACGCACACCGTCGATCGTGACCATCACTATCGCTTAATGACCGTTGTGGCGTTTCTCCTCCCAAGATGTGTATATCAAGCTGGAATGTTCCCTTCACCGCTTGTTGTCCTTTCTGAACCCATGCTCCAAAGCCTGGTCATATCCATGTCAAGCTGCGTCACTTGGAACCCTTCCTAGAGACAACTTCCTTGGATCACCTTACATCATTCCGATTGTGTGTTTTCAAGTCACAGCAGCCTGCATGGCATGATGTGACGACAGCGATACGAGTAGCATTTCCGTGCTGTTCACGCAATTAGCGCATTCAGGCGCGAAGATGCTTGGTCGGTGAAACGGTCGTTGAGCAAGATAGCGCAAGACAGCGCAATGGACTTGCGCGTCATCACATTCGACCTGCTCTGTCGAACTTGGGGCCAGCTCGAGAAGCATATGCGATGCTAAGACCGCTGAGTCGGGTAAATACCATGGGTGAATTCACGAAGATGCGTCCACGCTGAGACCTGCATTGGTGGGAGCAAGCTTCCGTCGTCTCTCTTTTATCTCAGCGTACATGAAGTTGGGCACGAAAGATGGGATGTCCTTGACTTAAACAGAAACTGGCGCCGATGTGATGATGACCAGCTTGGGTTGATGAGGCTTCATGAACAGAAATCGTCGCTGCATGACTTACCATTTGCATGGAGGGGCCTACAATGTCACACAGGAACATCTGTTCTTCGCTTCAACATGTTGCGCGAGGATGCAGAGTCCTTTACCTTATGCACAGTTTGCTATGGACGTGCTGCATGTCATTTGTGTCTGTACGACCATACTCTGGACTTTTCTCGAACATTGGTGCTGATACGACCAACTGGGATGGTACTCGTCGGTCCACCATATCCTCGAGCTTGCAGACATCTACCGAATACCACCAACATCATGTGATGGAAGCATCGCATCATGCAGAATTTTGGCTTCATGTGGGCATTTGACGAATAAAGCAGCTGGGCTTCCTTGTTGCAGGACGCCGGTTGGGCACCAATCGAGGTCAGACGACAAGCTGAAGTGGACGAACACGGCATACAGAAATTCCAAGGACAAAGTGAGGCAGCCAGAAATCATTGCGGCAGCCGCTGTACGCCAATCACCGACTTTGCTCACCTCGCTAGAAGGACCTTGCAGGCATCCAATGATCATGATCGACAAGCCCATTTTCGTAACAAGCATCATCATTGGCCACGATAGGCCTTCTGCAGCAGGCGCCGTTCCGCGTTGGGACCGTCGTTACAGGGTTCGACCCGTGCCAGTCTGCCAGAAGACAGCTGCAAATCTTTATGAGGGATAAGGCACTGGAAAGCCCGGGAAGTGGTTCTCTGCAAGCTAAGCATGCCTAGTACAAAGGCCACCGAACGCCACGACAAGGGCACCACAGGCCGGAACTTCTGCGAACTGCACGAACCCCTACCACGAGAAACGACTGGTTTCACGATCAGCGAAGCCTCCGACGTTTTGCCCAATCTGTCCCATAGTCAAACTCTCCTGTGCCTGGTCTTGATGGCATTGGCGCCGTCATCCGGAAACCCTTCCTCACTTCGCGAAACGCCTGATCATCATGGGCGTTATCGTCCTTTTTCCAAGCCTCCAACCCCAATCGTTCGATTGCCTTTTGCCCTTGAGACCAGTAGGCGGCATGGGGCCATCTATATCACCCTCAAGATCCGTCCCATCCCATCTTTCGAAAGGACCTTCCACTACCCTTCAGTGTTGCTACCGCTTCACTTTATCTTCGCTGATACCAACCCTTTAGTTTTCCACGCTTCTTGTTGCACCTGTTTCACCACTTCACGGAGCTTTATTAGTATGACTTTCATTGAGATGTTACTGACGTTTGAGCCTTATCGGCTAACAATGCCTTAGATTGGATCAATACCTTTCCACCTCTCGTGTTCAGCACACCCATTGGTTTAAAGTCCTCCCAGTCTACCACCATGGATTCCAATGTCAATGCAGCCATCGAAGTGTTACGGTCTTGTCGAAAGGTTTACGATGCGGAACACCAACATCTCTCTCCTGAACAGAGGGAGAGTGGTTGGTCTCTTCACTGGGCTGCCATTCAATCCGCCATGACAGGTTCGGCATCGAGTTTTCAACTTGGTTCTTCGGTCCCTCAGAAACGATCCGCGTCCAGTGCAATGCTTATTGGTATGGAGCCCGCCTCGAAACGGGGTGGCCATGTATGTACTCTTGTCATGTTACCCTCTTGCTTGGTTTGACGGAAGACAAAGGCTTCCCTGGCGTCCTCTGCTCCCTCGGCACCCTATCTTGAACGACACCATTCCGGTCCGAGTCCTTCCAAGGGTTCGCCTGCTCGCCCTTCCATGCCGGCTTCACCTGCGGTGCAAACAACTGCCACGACAGGTCCAGTTCTTATTCCTCGCCACAACAGTGGGCAACGACGAACACCAAACGCTGGATCCTATCCAACTCGGTATCCTGGATCGAACCTCAACCACATCGAAGAGGTACACGATATGTCACCAACCGACTTCCTCGCTAACCATGGCGACCTCTCCTTGACACCTCCCATGAATGTGGAGCGTGGTGAGTCGCACAATTACCTCTCTCAGCTTACATCACCGTATGCTTCAGCAATAGAGTCACCGGCGGGTTACACCCCGATGACTGCTGCTAGTGATGCAGGTCTCACGACCGCGTCGACGATCATGTCAGAGCCTATGACTCGGACAAGCACAAATGATGTTCTCTGCGAGCCGTTTGGGATGTTTCGCATGGACTCGATGTCGAAACTACCCCAAACGGCAGACATGCTTGAGATGCCTCAAGCGCATTTTGTCGATTCGCAGTTGTTTTCCTTTTCTTCTGTTGTTGGAACCGACTCCGGTTGCAACAACTTTTCTCATTTGTCTTTTCCTGATGATGACTGCTTTCCGTCATCATCATCTCCTTCTAGCTATGAGATGAAGAATTCGCCGTCATCCGGCAGCAATGCTTCATCTGTTTCTGTTTCTTCTCATCCGTCTCATCATGGCTTGCGTCTTGACTCTCAGAGTCAAGCTAGAGAGACGCTTCTTCCGCAGGAAGTCGTTGTCCCTCAGACTAGTAACCTAGTTTCACGACCGCTAGCGCCCAAGTTGCATCGCACAAAGAACACTTCGGCTAGCGATGCCGACGGCGTACGCGAGCCCAAGCTCATCGCTGTCAAAGCCGAGGACGGTACAGTCAAGCACAAGGCCGAAATCACACGCGCCACGCGCCAACACCCCCCTCGCAAGACGACCTTCTGTCAGTTCTGCAACGACCAACCGCAGGGCTTTCATGGCGACCACGAGCTCCGCCGCCACATTGAGCGTCACCACGCCCAGGTGCGCCGTGTGTGGATCTGTAAAGACGCCTCCGCCGACGGCACCTTCTTGTCGAGCTGCAAGGCTTGCCGAACAGGCAAGACCTATGGCGCCAACTACAATGCCGCAGCACACCTACGACGTGCACACTTCAACCCATGTAAGAACCGTCGCGGCGGCCGTGGCAAGAAATCCGAAGGCCGTGGTGGCATGGGCGGAGGGAACAACCCGCCAATGGAGTTCCTCAAGAACTGGATGTTTGAGGAGCTCGAGACGAATCTCAATGGGCGCACGGTCGTTCAGGATATAGTGCCCGACGCCATCTTTGAGACAGCAACGGTCAATGAGATGGTCAACGCTGCACCAAACGGCGCGGTCGGTGTGGATGACTTTGGCCTTGCCACTGGCGACATGACGGCCATGGGCATGTCGAGCTTTGATATCATGTCCGAGCCTTTGTACTATGATAACTTGCTACAGCCGACAGGTGCCTTTGGTCAGAATAATGGGTATTTTATGCCCGAGCAGCAGGCGATTTTGCAGTACTAGGAGGATGATGTGATGATGTTGATGCCACTGAGATGATGAAGACGATGAGGAGGATATCTGCAATTCTGTTGTTGGGAGTGATGTTGACAAGAGACATGGCCTTTGTTTCAATTGTTTCTCCCTGTTGGCCGAGATGGCCGTGGTGTCGAGGTTTCACTTTTCATGGTGTGGATGGTTCGTTTGTCGGCCTGCCGGACGAACATGGCTATTTCTCTACATTACTTTTCAGATGTACACGACAATCTCCAAGACGGCGGCGGGAAATATGTGACAGTCATCCCTCGCTACTGCAGGGTTTTATATGCCAGCACAGCGGCCTGGTCTTTTTGGTATCAGCTGGTCATAGACCGGTTTGAGGTCTTGGTTATTCTTCTGTATCAGCAACGATTTGGGCACGGTACGGAACACGGTTGGGAATGTATATAAAAGTTAGTGCTTTTTGAATGGTCATGATATCGAACATAATGACTATGTTTCTGCAGTTGTTCGCCCGGGCAGAAGTGTCGTAACGCAGCACAGTCGAGCTACTACGTAGTATGCGACCCAGGTGTATCAGGTGTATCGAGGGTATGCACGGACTCAGTGGCTGAGCAGAATGTGGCGACCAATGAATTATATGTGCTAGTTGTCCGTCATTCGACGCGTGTCCGCAAGAAGCAGGAAATGCTGGTATCTGCGAGCATGATTGGGTTACGAGTACGGAGGCGTGCACCAAATGTAGTTGCCGCGCTAAAGTTGAATGACGAGGACGTCAAAAGACCATTTATTTTCTTTTCCGTTGCTCCGGACAACTATCCCCGGAGATATCGGACCTCGTTTCTTTGCCCCTAGCTCCCGCCTATCCTCTACCATTAAGGCACCTAAGTGGATTACCTTCAGTTAAGACTTTAGTTAAGGTTGCCTAGAGCAAAAGAAAATCTCATGTCAGGTTGTGATCCTTCGTCATTCAACTTTAGCGCGGCAACTACATTTGGTGCACGCCTCCGTAAGTCGCTTAGCTGTTCGTTGTGTGGCTTAGCAGTTCAACATGGCCATGGTGTCGTTGGTGTTGCGCCCGTTGCTGCCGCCGTCGTGCTGCTGTTGCTCAGCTGCGCCTAACGAGTTTCGCAGAGGTTATTTGCGAATCAGGCAAATGCATCCAGGACAATCCAAGCCTCGGAATTTGGCTAGACTCATCAGATGATATGGTAGCAACGCGCCAGTTTCGTGGCTTCGACGTTGGTGAAGACCAGAAGTCGCCTCTCAGTTCAGCTGTAGCCAGATGTACAGATAGTAGTGTGAGCTGTGCAGAGGTGTACCGTACGGTGGCCGTAGAAGTGAGTACTTTCGACAATCTCAAACAAACCTGTAACCCAATCCCTAAGCTAGGTAGTCCTTATAGGGGCTTATTAGGGGCTACACGGGCCATTCGGAAAGACGGCAGGAGCTCAACTAGGCCAAGAGGTGTCCCCCATCCCCTGCCAGCAGCTAAACGCAGTCAAGCTTTCACCCAGACTTGCCAGGTGCAAGCTCGTCCAGTCAGCGTAGTCGGTGACTCTCTCAAGTCCCTGTCTCTTCTCTCTCTCAGTCTCCTCCCGCCTCCACCTCAAATAAATCCGGCCTGCGCCTGCGCTTCTTCCGTTCTTCGTCTCGAAACCTCATCACCACACCCTTCAAACTAATCGGCCATCTGCCCTCCCTCTGTTCACTCGCTTCCTTCAACGTTCTCATCGACTTCGCCCTACCTGTCTTCAAAGCCAACTTCACACAACATGTCGAATCAAGGATACTACCAGCAAGGTCCGCCTCAGGGCTACTATCCTCCCCAACAGCCTCAGCAAGCGTAAGTCCGTCCGAACCATTTTGTCTTTTCCTATTGATTCAATTCACGACGTGGGTGCCGCAAATCGATTGCGCATTCCCTTGTCCTGCTTCCATTTCACGACTCTCTGTCTCCCTCTCCCTGGCCTGGCGCCTAGTTGAAGAAGCGGCCCCCTGCCCTGCTCTTTGTCGCTTCCAATGCGAAGGTTGGCCTTCTTCAAATTCCAGCCCACGCAACCCTTTCCAGTGTCAAGTCATCGCTAACACACCGCTTGTCCTGCAGCTACGGACAAGGATACGGCTACCCCCAGCAGCAACCACCCATGCAATACCAACAAGGCCCTCCTCAGCAAGTCATTGTCCGTGAAAAGAAGGATCGAGGATGTCTGGGCGCATGGTAAGGAATCTGAAACACCCCTTCAACCGAAGTCACCGTGGCCGGTCGTCAACTAACAACCCCCAAAAATAGTCTTGCCGCGCTTTGCTGCTGCTTCGTCTGCGAAGAGGGATGTGAATGCTGCGCCGACTGCTGCGAATGCTTTGCCGAATGCTGTTAAAAGGGGATTAATTCAACATGGGAATGCACTGCCCAAAAGGGGAAGGGGAAGGCAATGAAGGAACGGTAAAGACTGGGGGGCTTGTACCGGTCCAACCGTTCTCATGTGACGAAAGGACTCATACTCGATCCACTGTTCATCACTGGCAGTGCAGAACAGCAAAGCGATAATGGCTCGGCGACGAAAGATATAGCATGACACATAACCGGCTGTCTGGTTTGCGGCGAAGAGAGAAGTGGTGAAGAGCTTTCCAGTTTTGCTTTCGGCCTTGGTGCGAAGATCGAAATGATGGCGCCGTGTCCAAGGGTAGCGTTTATTGAAATTCAAAGTCCTGATGTTTCTGCTGCTCGCATGAACTTCTTCTTTCCAAACTACAGGCTGTGTTACTCATGCACCAATTCTACCACGCAGATTCTATTACTACCGTTCTCGTGACCCTTTCTAAGGAAGAGAGGTCATGACCATTCTCAAGGCATCAGCTAGCGGGAATACTGACTGCCTGAACTACCTTTTAGAGACCTAGTTACTGCAAGATACCCGCGATGAAGGCGCTGGTGATGATGGGCGCAACATGCAGGAACTCCGAGATGACGGCCATATACCAAGCCTGCCTCCACACAACATACCAGCCCACAGGTCCGGGTCTTGACATTCAAGCGGAAGATCCATGCCAGATAGAAGCATATATATAGGTTGTGCCTTCTGGATGATCGGGTTTCAATGCCACACGCAGTGTCTGTCAACAGGGCTTGTGAGACCTGAAAAAGATAGGCAAGAGCAATGACAAGTCCAAATGCGACCGCCACAATTACAATCGGAAGGATCAGAGGAGTCTCACTTCGAACCTGATACCACTTCTGGCCATGGAAACGGAGACTGACCGGTTTTGCCATTTCTCTATATTCAATGAACAAGAGTTCAATGCTTTTCTCTTCCATTGTTCAAAGTCATCCTCCCAAGAATCAAAACAACGAAGCACAAGCGTTGGGTATATGGATATTAAACTCGACAAAGGACTTGAATGCAGTCCAAATCCATCTCAAAAAGCCATCAACGTCCTCCCGGCTTGCGGCAATGAACCTCCTTTGTGTGTGGCCAGGTTGTGAACTCCCATATCTGCTATGCTGGTCTTTATATGTTCATTAACGATAGTAAGAAATTCGTCCCCGGTTCGAGTACAATCCCAGCATTGACAAATCTGTCACAGTGGATGTGTCAAGACTCTACTTAACCAAACTTGCAGCAGCTGCAGCAGCGGCCAAGTCAGACCTTCCACTCATACTTCTTTGGCCAACGGTCAGCCTCGTCAAATTCGGATTCGAGATCGAAGATGCCATGGCCGCATGAGAAGCCTTTTTTGCCTGTGAAGTTCCCTGTGAAGGTGCCGGCACAGTCGACTGACGCCTTGCTCCGGGCTTGTTGGGAGATGATTCTTGCCTGTTCCCAACGGGCGCTTTCAAGGTGGTGGACGGGGGCTGTGGTAAAGGTCTGGCAATGCCCGCAGTACTGACAGAATTGACCCTCTTGATGGGAGAGTTGACTGACGAGAGATTTCTCCTGCCATTACTAGGGACTTTGATCCCCGTAATAAATTCGTGCTTGTTGGCTTCGAGGGGATTCATTCTTCGAGTGGGATCCCATCTCAAGCACTTCACAATAAAATCAAGGAATGCTTCATCGTCACATTTGAGGACTTGTCGTAAATCTTTAGAACTGGGTCGTCTCCTCCGACCCTTGGAGGATACCGTTAATCGTGGCTTGCCCATTGAGTCGAAGAAGAGCTTTTTGCGGCTGCTCTTCTCAATCAAATGCTTTTCTGGAGGACCGAAAACTTCCATGATGCAAGCCAGTTGTTCTTGTTCGTTTTCGCCGGGGAAAATAGGGTACCCAGTATAAAGCTCGGCCAAGATGCACCCAACACTCCACATATCTATTGGCATGCCATAAGACATTCCGAGAATAACTTCCGGGGATCGGTAAAACCGTGACTGGATATAGGTGTACACTTTTTCGTTTTCGAAACAACTCGAGCCAAAATCGATAACCTTGATTTCGGAATGGACAGGATGCGCCAGCAGAATGTTTTCCGGCTTCAAATCGCAGTGGATGACTTTATGCTGTTGAAGGAGAATCAGAGTCTGAAGTAGTTGTTTCGTGAATCGTCGGATCAGTTTGAGAGAGAAGCCTCGGAAATCGTGAGCTTTGATGAATTCGTAAAGGTTCATGCCTAGAAGGTCAGTTGATATACACAGGTGGCCCCGGAAATAGAAGCTCTGGTCGAAGTTGACCACGCTGTACTTTTTGTGAGGGTCCTGGCCAAACATGTTAGCTGTATTTTTGTACTAGGACTGTGGTATTTACCCATTCTTTCAGCTTCTGGAGAATATTAACCTCCACAAGTGCTTGTTGGTGGAACCTTTTCTTGTTGCGAATGATCTTCACGGCAACCAAGATTCCAGTTTTGTGATCGACACAGCGGACAACTTGACCAAAACTTCCCTTTCCAAGCACGTCGACGACCTCATATCGGTAGGCCAGATGGTCCCCTTCGATGATGTTGTAGTCACCTCTCTCATCATCGTAGCCGAAATTCGAGGACGCAGAGTTCAAGTCTCCCATAATCTTTCGAGCGCTCAACGCGCCCGTAAAATAAATGTCTGGGTAGTCGACAATTTCCCCGCGTTCAAAGATGGTCAGGTCGAATATCCGGGACGCGGTTTCATGAGACATGCGTTTCACGGGTTTGGCTCTGGCTCGGAGAGCATCAAGTTCACGTGCAGCAGACTCGAAGTCCTTTCTCTTGTGGGCCAACTTCTTCATTTCGTCTTCGGCAACCATATCATCTCGATCGAGAACGGCTTCTGGCTTTTGTGGCGGACCTCTCGCGCCCACGAGGTTAGGCGTGCTTGCGGACACGGATCCGGATCTATTGGAGTGGATCATGAGGGTTCGCACCGACTCCAATGATGGGCGACTGTTTGCAGTCGACATCGTACTATCAAAGCTCTCTTGTCGTTCTGGAATCAGCTTGATGCTCGAGGTCGACGTCTGCCGTCTCGACCTAATGTACGATGGCTTTTGAGGACTCGGATTTCCATTATTGGTGTTCGCCCAGCTGGCTGAAGCTGGCAATTTGGGAGGAGGCATGTTGTCATACTTCGCCGAATCGTCCTCCTGCACTTCACGCTCTGCGACCTTTGGTTCGCTCTTTTTCCGGCTCAATTTTCTCCTGAGTGCAGACGTCGAAAATGCAGATTCAATTTCCGGCTGCTTGTCCACCGAAGGAGCTGCGACTTCAGCTTTGGGAGTTACCGAAAAGCTAGGAGCGCGAGGACCATTGGGCCGCGCTTGACTCGGAGTCCGGTGAAGCTGTTCGGTGTTAAAGTTGGGCCTCATAAAATTCATAAAGTCGTCAGTCTTGGGTACGGATGAAGAGACAAATGGCGAGATGTTACGATTGCTGGGCTTGTCCTCGAACGCAAAGGGCGGCAAGCCTGGACTAATATCGCTCGGTGGTCGACGCTCATCTGATCGAAGAGCATAATGTGAAGTACTACTTCGTATGGCAAAAGCTTCGTCCCCAGCTTTATGTCCTCGGGAGAAGAAGCTCGCCTTGGAGGCGGTCATAGGAGTGCTCGGTGTCTTCATGACAGCACGATTCCCAGGGGGTGTTGCTGGTTTCTCACCCACATCTGATTTTGTGTTGAGCGACTTTATCTTGGCAGATGTAGGTGTACTCAAGGGTAGCAGATTCAGAGGCGGCAAACGGAGATTCTGGACGTTCTTCTTGCCTGCTTTGGCTTGTGGCTTCGGTTTGGGTTCCGTTTCCGCCACTGGAGGTGGGACGGGTATATTGGAAGACGAACTAGGAGCCCGAGGCGTTTCCAGTGCTTTCATAGCATCAGCTAGGCTGGAGACTCCTGGACTCGCCGAGCTTGGTGCTTCAAAAGGCGGCAGACTTGAGGATCTGGCGGAAAAGAAAGGTTGATCTTGTTCACTTCCCGGAGATTCGTAAGCTTTGGGTATTGCCGGGACCGGCGGTACTTCCAGTTCGTACGTGGCGTTGGTAGAAGTATCCAACCGAGGCTTCGGTGTCGGTAACCTGGAGGAATTCATCACTTGTGAGAGTCTCGCAGCGTTGTTGACGATGTTCTTGACCGAGCTGTAACTAGTATTGGATGATAATGACTGGCCAGAGCTATATGACTTGCGGTTAGGGTCTGGTGTCGTCCTCGAAGACGATGGCGTCAGACTTTTGCGACTGGGAAAGCCAGGTGATTGTAACTCGGTTGAAGGTATTGATGGTATTGGCTCGGGCTGTGGAGTCGGCGGTGCTTGAGAAATGCGGCTTTGAGGTAAAGGTGGTGCAGGTGGAACTATAGACATCCTTTGCCTCCGACGAGCATCGGTTGGGCTTACTGTCCGGGCACCCAATCCTGTTGCGTGATGAGGCATTACCGACGTGCGTCGATTGCGATCACCGTTCCCTCCAGGAGTTGTTGTCCTGCCTGGAGTCCCACTCCTTCGCGTTGGAGTATGATGAGCGCTGGACGTCGACTTTGACAGATCCGGCGTTCTTGACGGTGTAAGAAGGTCCTTGGATGCTTGCCTTTTGGGCGCCAGGGAAGGTCTTCCCTTGATTGTATCGCCTGTTCTTATATCCTCTGAGCCACTCTCTTCCGCGCGATGATTTATCCCCCTTAGCGTCAGGCTCTTCGTACTCTCCGCACTTGACTTTCTTGCACCAGCACTTGGGCGACGTTTCACCGCTGGTTTGTCTGATGGATCTGGAGGGACAAATGTGCCGGGACCAACTGATTTTCTGGGTGCTTTGGTAGTAGCGTTTACGTTGTTGAACGAATTTGGTGGAAAATGACTTTGCCTCCTTCCCCGTAGGATCGATGTGGTGGTACCAGTCATTGAGCCCGACCCGCCAGAGTTTCTCGACGCTGTGGACGCCGTTGAGCTTTTGCGAGTGATCGGAGTTAGGCCGGAGCCTTTGCGGGAGGGTATAGGAATAGCGGGCTGTGACACCGGCTTCTTGCTTTCTGAGAGCGTCTCGGACGAAGGAGGTTTCTTGATTGAGGTCCCTCGACGAGGAAGCGGGAATTCGTTCAGACTCGGTTCGGTGCCGACGATCGTGTCTTGAAAGTCGTCAAAGTTAAAGGTCGGCTCGAGGAAATTGCCAAAGTCCAGATGTCCATCCCGCTCCTCCTGCGCTGATGGTTTGGCTTGTATGGATGCAAAGCTGAATCTGGAGATGTCGTTGATGGATAGTTCGTGGGTATAGGAAGCAACAGCGGAGTTCCCGCGTAGGGAATTAAATTGAGGATTTACGGAATTGCTTGCGGACCTGTTCATGTAGAGGCAGGAGTTAATCGATTGTAATGTTTGGGCAGGAGTGGACGGGCCACGACCAACCTTTTTCCAGTCCCATAATCCAGCGGGCGCGGGCCCATGGGAGCTTTGGCACTAGGGATGGAAGATTGTCTTCTCCGCGAACTGAACGTGGATGAGGTACTGGCATTGTCACCCGGATCGCGTCGTGGAACTGCCGATGTTGAAGAACTGGAGAAGGACGAGGGAGGTTTCTTGGATGGGGCATTCTCTCCTGCAAGATTAGATGGTGTCAGCCCGGATTGATCTGCTGCAGGCGTCCTCTGCATGAAGTTCGTACCACCGTTGTCCAAATCATCGGCTCTGACAGGATTTGTATGTTTGGACTGGCTGGCTGTGGAGGATGCATGTTGTCGGTAAGGCATCCTTGTGATGGCAACTCGAGCCCCCTGGGCAGTGTAATCGGAGTCCCTTCTCTTTCACATAAAGCCTGCTTGCCTCGACATTGAACACCCTCTAAGGTGTCCGATCAGTCATCTCGTAGGTATCGAGGGTCGTTGAATAGCAAGTCAGACGGGCGTCGTCGCGACCAGGGACTGGGGTGCAGATTCGGAGGAATGATTTGACCAGTCGAGTGGTTGCAGCGACAGGGGAGCGGACGCGTGAGCTGGAATGCCGTCAGGGGAACATGGATATCCGAATATCCGCTTGACGATTTGTATAAGGAGAGGCACCTGGTCACAATCAGGGCTGTGGAAGAGTAATGCTGAGTATTGCTGCACAGGGTTTTCGCTACAGAGACAAAGGTGAATTGATGCGGTGACAACAATAATCTACGCTCATTGCGGTCTAAACGGAGGTGGGATCTGGCCTGCTCGTTGGCGGGAGATGATGCAGCGCAGCACAGGGGTGATGGCTCTTGGAGGCACCACCCAGGGCACCATTTGGAGCTGGCTTGCTGGGTATCCGCAAAACTCGACCTCTAACCAGAGGCCCCGAACGGCGGGAGAGGATCCAAGCATGCATTAAGCCAGCACCTGGACCACACGATCGACTGTTAGGGGAATTGTGGCCAGCCACCAGCAGCGAGGCTTTCCTGGTTCTGGGTTCGTTGTTGATGGTTACGAATAGCCTCCATCATGCCTCGCTTGCTGCAAAGTGCCCACAAATTGCCAGTCAACAGCAATCAAGTTGTTATGGTCTGTTAATCTCGTCTCGAACCAGACCCCGGAGATTTTAATCGTATGGACGGCCATCCAAGATCTGCATTTCACTCCAGGGGAGTCACATCATACAGTAGCGAGGTTGGTTTGACATGCGAGGGTAGGGAGTGAGATGCACTAGTTAGTTATCAGACGCTCGCTACTCGTATACCAGAATTGTAGTGGCTTCAATGGTAGGTGCGCGAGGCCATAATTCTATCTGAGCAACCCCTGAAGGTCGATACCAGCGCCTTTGAAATGGGCGCGCCACCGATGACCCCACGTGACTGATCTTTGTCACGTGTGACGACAAGCCACATGCTAGCCGACATCAACAACATGCCTCGATGCCTAGGCTCAAACAAAGACTTCACAACCACTCTGTTGTATAACAAATGCCGGCCTAGCAGTTCACATTATCTTGTCAGCATGACTGTGGGTGACCAAGAGGGCCAATAACACAACATGATGGATGAATATACAGCGGACGCCTTCGCGAACCGGGACGAACCTGTCCCTCTAATATCCGTCCGAGGTGACGATGTCGAGTCCGGAGAAGAAAAAGCAAGTCCAAGGGAGAAGATCAAAAGATCCGTGTCTCCATCACGATTAAAAACAAAAGGACAAGAAGTCGTGGCCGCCCAACTGGAAGAGCACGAACCAAGTACACCTGGCAAGTTGTCTCTTCAAGACAGACTCTTTTCAAAGTAGGTGTCATCCATCAGCCTCTTCAATTTCCCCAGGCAAACGGTTATTGATTACCCTTCAGGATTCTCCAACAAGTCATACCAACCGAAGATGTTGGAGGCGATGCAGTTACTTCCCCTACATCTGTCGACCGCCGTTCTTCGAATTATGTCTCCCGTCCAGCCTTCAGCCTCCCTTTGATGACCAACAACTTCCGCCGCTTCAACGCACGCATTGGCATCGTCTTCGTCTTCCAAAACCGCCTCATTCGCCTTTTCACCTGGCGTACACCAACCCACACACTCTCCTTTCTCGCCACCTACACCTTCATCTGCCTAGATCCATACTTGGTCGTCGTGCTCCCGCTTGCCGTGGCGTTACTCTTCGTAATGGTCCCGGCATTCACATCTCGTCACCCGCCTCCGCCACCCTCAGCAACAACCTCTAGCACCACTCCCTACTCCTACCAGCAAGCCTACACAGGCCCGGCTCTTGCTCCCGCCCAGACCATCAAACCCGCCAGCGAAACTTCGAAAGACTTTTTCCGCAATATGCGAGATCTCCAAAACAGCATGGCGGACTTTTCCAACCTTCACGACGCCCTGGTCAAAACCGTCGCGCCCGCCACAAACTTCAGCAACGAAACCTTCTCGTCCCAGCTCTTCCTGTACCTCACCATCCTGACCACCCTGTCCTTCATAACCGCGCACCTCCTCCCGTGGCGCTACATCGCCCTTACCCTGGGCTGGGCACTAACCATCTCGTCCCACCCTACGGCGCAATCCTGGCTCATCAAGATGCAAAAGCGCGCCGAAACCGAAACCCAACTCACTCTGTCCGACCCCAAGCTCAAACACGCACACTACATCCACGGCGTTCCACTCCCGGCCACGCCCGCCGCTATCCAATCCACTCTCGCCGCATTTTCGGAAGTCACACTCTCCACGACTCCCGACACGAAGGAGGTCGAGATCTTCGAACTCCAGCACCGACCCCTCCAGTCGCTCACCACCTCCAGCGCCAAGGCGGCCGAATGGCAACCGCACCTCTTCACACCCTCGCCTTATGACCCTCTATCTCCGTCGCGCATAGCAGGCGACCGACCCCGGGGGACTCGCTTCTTCGAGGACGTCGTACCGCCCGAAGGCTGGGAGTGGGCCAGCAAGAAATGGGAGCTGGACCTGGAAGCGGGCGAGTGGGTCAACGATCGTCTAGTCGTGGGCGTCGAGTACGATGTGCTGCACAACGACGGTGAGGCAGCATCGATCGCGACAGATCGCCGTGAAAGCGTCAATGCGGATTTTGGCGGGTGGGTGTGGGACTTACCGCCGGTGCCCGGCAGTGGCGCGAATCGCGAGGATGATTTGTGGTTGGCGTATGGCGATTATGATGTCCCCTCGCTGAACAAGGAGGAAGAGCAACGGAAAACGAAGAAACTAGCAACAGGTCACAAAAAGGCAATGAGCAAAGATTGGGAGGAAGGCACTGTGTTCAATAGTAAAGGCAGGACGGGCGAATGGAGGCGCAGACGCTGGGTGAGGCTGGTGAAGAGACGGATGGTTGATACAGTGAGTTGAGCTGTTGGTGGTAGACTGGACCTTTGTAAGACGTCCTTGGTATGTAGGTATGATATGATGAGAATATGAGGTTATCTGACAAAACAGTGTACTAAGTTCATCGTCTTCATCTTTTCTCCTGGGCCTGATTCTATGGCTGGACCGAGCTCGAAAGGACTAGGTAGGTAAGCCAACTATAGTACGACGCAAGACAGTGCGATCCCCAAGAACAAACAGATACGGCATGATCTCCGAAAGACTCTATTCGTATTGGCTCATGGGATTCTGCATTGATATGCAAGATAACTACCTAAGTACCAGGCTCCGTGTCCGTACGCTCATGTTCCATTCCCAGATCCTGATAATGAATGGTGTGAGTGCCAATGAATGAGTGATGTGGACACCGGTGCAGGCATATCAATGCTGTCCAGGCTGAGGACTCTGCACAGTGGACATCTTGCAACATTTTTCGGCCCAGTTTCCCATCAAGTTTATCCATTTCGCTCCATTTCTCACCAGTTCTTATTTGTTCAGCCCCGGATCTTGTTTGCAAATTTTGGAAATTTCCATCTATCCTTGACTCTTTCACTTGGCAATTCGTTTGTTGACATCCCTGATCAATGACTATGTGTTGTCCGTCTCTCATTGCTGGGTTTCCTTTTGTCTTGCTTCGATATTGACCCTCGCGGAAGGTCTAGACCTCGAGAGGCTCTTTCTCGTTAGTATGACTAGCCTTGTGGTGCAGTATCGACTCAGTCTCTTGGCTCTTCTCAACGCCCTTCTCCCAGTCGATGATTTGCAGGTCCCGCTCAGCTGAGTTGGCAGCGTTCTTGGTTGGTGTCTCTCTGATGGTAGCGTCATCCAGCATGAATGAACTTGGTTCAGATCCCGTGACCGTGCAAGCAGTCAGACTCGGAGACTTGTGCACATTACTCTTCATTGGACTGAACATGGGCTTCTGCGGCGATACCAAGATCACTTCTTCCTTCTTCTGGTTGTCAATGTCGGCTGACTTGACGCTCATGAATAGTGAACCGAGAGGGAGGATGAGGTAGACTGATGGAAGGAGGAGGGCTGCTGGGAGTGTCATCTGATTGTCTGTGTACACGATCTGGAGGATGCAAAAGATCACTGTATGGACGAGTCAGTATGAGACAGTAAGTACAGCAGTGTTGGGGGCCTTACGTGGCACGATGAAAGACTGCGCACCCAGTAGACCGACCAAGTTCAATGCCGAGTGGTAAGCGCTGTGGGGAGTGAGGACTGATGACGGACGTTTCCAAATGATGTTCATGACCGAGCATACATTGACGAGTGAATAGCTGCCGATGCTGATGGCGTAGATGATCAAGTAGACGTTTCTCAGCATTTTTGCAAAGAAGGCCGGGTACGTGATGTCGTCATGGATCACGGTGATCTGGTAGATCCAGTAGACCATCGAGGCAATCAAAGCAGCGAGCGAACTCAGTGCGAGGTATGTGAGGAGTATGTAGTAGACTGTCGGAAACCGAACTTTGAGTCCAGACATCAGCCCCTTTGCCTGGAGCCAGAGACAGAGGGAAGCAGAGATGATGGCGAGCCAGTTTGTTACTCGGGTAGCGGCGTAGAGTGCGGTGTACTGGGTCGTCCAGATGCTTGAGCTGATGTCTCTGGTGAGCACGACGTACGCGGAGCTGGCGGAGAGGCCAGGTGTGACGACCGAGATGATGTCCAGCATGAGATGTATCATCATGAAGATGAGGCCTGCGAGGAGGAAGGAGTGGAATAGAGTGGTTCGTTTGCGGCTGGGAGTCAGAGCCAGGAGGTAGATGAGAGCGGCCCAGACAAGACCTGTTGCGATGCCTTCACCGATAGCGTAGTTGAGACTGTACTGATTCCATGCGTCGATCATCTGCCAAGTCAAAGTTCTCCTAGCACCATGGCTGTAGACAGGAACTTCGAAGCTGGGGTTGTTGTAGTACTGGCCGCCGATTCCAGCGGTAGGGAAGGAAGTGGCGTGCCCCACGGGCATTGCCGAATTGACCACGGCAGACATGCTGACGGAAGCAATACGGAGTGCGCGATAGGGGAGAAAGGCAGAGAGGTGTAATGATGTCAGTATCAAGATGGAGGGAGAAGATGAAGGGTCGAGTGGTGTGCAGATGGAATTGGGAATGTTTGTTGGCAGCGAGATGCAAGAGTTAATTGAGCTGTCAAGGGAAAACATCAGACGGATGGTGTGTGAAGAAAACAAACAACACCAGAGAGAGGCAGTATTATCCTCCTGTGACTGAAGGCCTCCATTGCAGAGATGAATCTCAGCCACCCTCCCCGGTCATCTTACTGCACACTGATATTCTGACCTTGTCCGCGCTTTACAAGTCTTGACCCAGTAACCCATGTTTCATTGCTCCGTTCAATCTTTGATGGGAAAAGGATGAAGCTTCCCAAGGTGAGAGACATCAAGAACAATACCAACAGCTTCATATTGTTTCCCCTGTCCTACCTGAGAACCTTGCTGGTGGTATCGACCGGCACAACCTCCGTGCTAAGACTTGACAGCGACGTAAGGACCAAGCAATGCAGCAAGACTAGACAAATCAGTATTTTCTCTTCACTCAAAGTCTGGAGGCATTAGGCAAACCCAGTGGGAGAAGAAAGGAAGAGAATGGGGAGATGAAGTCCACATTAACGAACCATTTTCGGGCCATTCTCACATTTCTGCTTCACCGTACTTCATCCGGCCGACCACAAATACACAATGGGCTTTGATCTTGCTCACCTTCATAAGCAAAATGATTACGGAGTAGCCATCATAGCTTATCATCACTATTCTCATGTTGTACTGGGCTTGGTCGCCCTCTCCATCACTTCCCTGCGTTTGCTGATTCAGAACTTGGCGCAGTCGCGGCCAGTGCAAAGATGTCTGCGTCGACTCCCATAAGATTCTCCCAGGACATCGTTCTGATCTTGACGCTATCCAGCAAAACACATTTTCGCTAATACCCAGTCAGTCTCTGCTTTCATGCCTGCGAAGACCAAGCTCACCTCTGAGGAGTCCGGTTGCTTCTCGTCTTCCACCTTCCATGGAGCCACTGCCGACCCGGGCGAAAAGTCGACGCGCAATTCGACAAAAGCACGACCTTCGAACATCAGATCCGACAATCACGTGGAGGGCCTTCTTTCGGGGCTCACCTTTAGCAGTCCGTGACAACATCGCCTTCTTCAAGACCGGATGCCATTGTGTGATCTGTGCTGCCGTGAACAAGACTCCTCGACACTGCCTCTTGAACTTCCTGGAGGCCTGGAAGTCAGGATTATTTTTGGGTGTCGTCGTGAGCACGAGACTCTGCAGGTTCGAGAAGTCCTCGCACACAAAGCTCAGGAAGCGCTTGAATTCAGTCTCTTTGAGACTGCCGGTTTTGACAACTTTTGGCACTCCGACTTCCAGCTTTCTTATCCTGCCGGCATTGACTTTACCGAATCCGGAAAGGATGCTGTTGTAGTTGAAAGAGGTGTCTTTGACCGCAATGAATCTGTTCTGGCCATACAGAACCTGGGCAGCTTCTTCGTGGATGAGGCGATTGACATACAAGAGAGCCAAAGGCCCACGGGGCATCGGATGCGGCTCGTTTTTGTACTTTTGCACTTGCACCCATTCCTTCCTTCTCCGGACGTATTTTGGAGCTCCTTTGAGGTATGTGCTTGAGGCGTTGCGGAAAACGTCCAGACTCCAATCCTTGACCAACAACAATCCATACATTATGGCTCTAACGTCCGGCGGTAGGGATAGAAAGGTCACCGACTGACCGGCCTGTGCAGCATGTACAGATCAGAAAGCTGACAATCTCAAACAGCCAAGAAAAGTGGCATACCTTTTTTTGACGAGGCAATGCCTTTGAGACTTTTCCTCTCTTCCGGTTCTCACGAATCCACTTTCGCTTCCAGGCTTTGTTGCGCTTCCGGTGATTGTTGCCCTTCCGGGCTTTGTAGCGCTTTCGGACCTTTGAGGCCTGCAAGACCCAAGGGCCCTCCGCTCCCCATGACCCAATGTTTGAGCGTCTCGTCGAATATGCCGAGGATGAGAGTCGTTGTCTTCTGAGTTGACGTGCGTGTCTACGGCGTGACAACTTCCGCAGCAACCGCACCCACTTGCTCACTGGGGGCCGAGTTTTGCTCATCTTGAGATTCGGCTGTCATTCAGGTCTTGACTGTGCTTGCAGACTAGCGCGTTAGCAGTGCTCGCTTGGAGGGCTACTCAGGTTCTCACCTTCGAGACTGGTGTAGGAGCAACTCCAAGGCATGTGCACATGAATGGACTTCCGATCTATGAAATGTGACAAGCGATGGGAATGAGTACATGGTATCGCGACACTCTTACTTTTCAGAAATTCCAGATTCACTCCTTGAGCCCTGGTTCGATCGGGTTCTACAGCCGACTGCCGATGTTCTGGAGGCGGTGAGGTGTTTTCAAGCACGACAATGGTAACGAGCAGGTGAAAGCAGATTAGGCGCTTCTGGGACAATGGATGCTGTGCATTATCCATTTTCTGGACAAGGTAAGCCTCACTCCCCGGGGAATCCAAGCACTTGCGCTGTCTTGTCCGCCAGTCAACAGACACTGCTGAAAGCGACGTCTTCTGCATTCACAATTTTCGCACTCCTCAGAAGAAGCCGAAATCTGGAGAAAGATTCACGCCACTGACAACAACAACAACAGCGGATGCCGCTTCAAGTATTCACATGTGCTGCAGGCTCAGAAGCCTTTGCGTCTTCATCGAGTGCAAAGTCTGTCGCTTGCTGATTCAAAAGGCCGTCCCACTCTGTCTCTCTGATCTTTGGGCAGTCCAAGACAATATCCTACCATGGAGTTAGCAAAGGCCACTCTTGAACGCAAAGCACACTTACATCAGTCACGATTGGAATCGCCTCAATGTCCAATGTTGAATTTGGTCTTGCTATGTTAACACTTTGTCCGGCAGGCAGAAGAAAGACAGCAAGGCGGACCTGCATCTTTGTGCCATGCCAGAAAGTGACGAGAGATCCTCCGCTTGTGGAGCACCAAACAGCCTTCTTTAGATTAGAATGGCGTTGGGTGAGATGCGCAGCAGTCAGGAGGAGAGCTCGTCGCTCCTCGCACCACTCTAGATGCTGATCATGTGTTGCAGGACTTTCGTTATAAGATTCGAACTTGACGCTCAACTCGAGGTGGACAAGTCCTGTCAGTGTCGAACAAATGAAATCAAGAAACCCTGGGAGGTGGTTGGTCCGATCTTGCTTCACTGGCTCAGGAATACCGAGGGATACCCTCTTGATGAGAGCAGCATTGGCTCGACCGATGCCATGATCTGGATCATTGACAAAGCAGCCATTGAAGCCCCGCACATTGAAGTTGACAAAGTGGTTCTCCCCATAGAGGAATGGGATCGCCTCGTTGAACGTCTGGCGGCAGACGTACAGGAGACTCATTGGGCACTTCCCGGGGAACGTAAGTCCAGCCACGGACCCTTTCCGAAGTGCGCCGTAGCCACGGTCATAGTATGAGTCATTCTCGCTGAACATGGAGAAGCACACTTTGACGGATGTCATCTTGGTCATGACAAGCTTCCAGATGATGTCTCTCACTTCTTTGGGCATGCCCAGGAGCTGCAATTCATCTTTGGTGGATGGACCCGAAGCCTCGGCAGGATGGGGAGATCTATACCATGGTTGCTCAATGCTGGTAGAGTCGAAAGTCACAATGAGGTCTTCGAATGCACCGTCATGCGAAGAACAACCTTGACTGTTGGAGCCCTGGTCACGGTATAAAGCTTCCGCTAAGACCATTGTTTGCTGGTTATCCTGGGATTCATGGTCTTCTTCGTCCTGCTGGTTAGCTCCTGAGACAACGGCCACGTCTTGCGCATCATCAAGTGACTGGCGCTTGTAGGCTGCCTTGATGTCAAGTTCCACAGTGGAATGCTGATGTTCTGGCAAAAGCAGGTCGCTTTCGGACATGGCGCTGGTATTGGTGAAGGCAGATCTCTGGCGAATATTCGGGAGAATATCAGGGAAGTGTTGGTGGTTTCCTCCTTATTTATAGGTATATGTAGGTGCGCTGTTTGGACCTCACTGCATTGAATTAAATGAAGTTCTCTGACAGCCAGGGAGGCCTCACCGGTGATTGCCACTGGAACACCGCCGTCTTATGACACTCCAGCAACTCCATCCCCGGCTGGCTTGTGGTCGTAGTGAATGTGGTAGAGAAAGCGGTGCATCAGACGAGCGGATTTATCGTCACATGGTGGGACGTTTGATGATATGCTGCATCATTCCCAATAACAATTCGTATTTGATTGCTGCGTAGCAGAACAAACACCTTGTTTGGTCAACATCCACGGCACCTAGTCTTCTGATTTCCAGCAAGCATAAGAACATTGACGCTGCGGACATTGGTCGTAGACAATGAGTGGTGACCAGAGAGCACAAGGCTGTTGAGTTTGATGCCAAGGCCAGGCTGCCTTGTCCTGCTGTCGCCCATTGAGCAAGTACCTGCTTCATACGTTATACAATCTCTTCAAACTCCAGTTTCCTTCTCCATCTTGATACTCTGTTTGTACATCAATCTGACTTTCTTTTCGTTGTGTGAGAGTATTTCTTTTGACTCGTGAAGATGGTTGCCGCGTTTCTGTTCCATCATGATGCTGCTGGAGGTGAGACAATGCACGACTTACCTCTTGAAGGGGACTCTAGTACTTGGTACCTGCCGGACGAAGTTTTCGACGATGCCATCATCCTGAGCTCAAAGCTTGACCAACAGCATTCTGCAATCTGTCTTGGTCAGTTTCTACATACTTCTCACTTCCTCGATCACTAACCGAGCAATAGAGACTCACCCTGATTTCGTCCTGCTCCGCGTCTTTGATGATAGCGACGATGGATGTCGTGTGCTCACTGACGATGGATTGGAATTTCGCGTCCCAGTCTCGACCTCGACACATCTCAAGTCGTTCGTCCTTCACTGCGATGTACAATTCACCACCACCACGACGAATAGATGGGCCATCCGCTGGGACGTGACCGGCGATATTTCCGACAGTATGAGACCACCTCCTCTACCGATCGTCAGCGGCCTTCCACGACCCATGTCCGATGAAGAGACCATGGAGGATGTTGTCAAGCCTATGGGCCCCGAAACAGAAGAGGCAGCCAAATCTGACACATCCTCTCGATCCACATGCTCACCCACCCCGCCACCTTGTCGAGGTCAGCTAAAGTCTGAAATACCCAGAGGCACTACCGAAACCGATGACAGCTTCCTCAGCAAGGCCTCGACCGTTGTCCCCACCGAACCTGAGGACCTGCAGCTGGCGGAGAAGATATGTCCTAAAGACCAAGCCGTGGATGTGGAGGCTGATACACCTGCCGAACACGTGCGCCGCTCACCTACTCCACGAGACACAGTCACAATTGCAAACGACCATAAGAGCCTTGAGAGCCCTCCTTCCTCAAGGGGCCAGAAAACTGGTGGATTAGGGAGTGATAGTCGGCGGTCGACACCAAAGTCTGACTTTGTGCAACAATCTCCCACAGGAGATACAACACCAAAATTCAACCTTGACAAACAATCAAGGAAACGCAAATTAGTGGACATAGAAGCGGCTGACGTCGGCCAAGACAGCGAAGAAGATGACATATTCAGCACCCAGAATACTCAGCTAGCGAACAGTGTGAGCTTTAGCAATACACCGAAACAAGGAACGGCAAAAAGAGGCAGAGGGAGAACAACACCCAAGAGGAAGCCACTGTCCGTATCTAATCAACCGACTATCAGCCCAGAAAGCCGTGCTGGGACTCAGTCACGCTCTCCACGGAAGAGAGCGCGCAGAGATTCTGTGGCGTCTTCCGGAAAACAATATGCTGGGTCAACACCAGTTGTGATCTTCAGCGGTAGCACGGAAATTGACCAGAAAAACAGCATGATGGAGGCGTTTCGACACCTGGGAGGACGTGAGACCAAGTCTATCAATGATGCCACTATGCTGTGTGTTGGCAAAGGACCATTCAAGAGAACCAGCAAGTTGATTATAGCCGTGGCAAGAGGCATCGACATTGTGACCGAGGAATGGATCATAGAAACCCAGCGTCGCGGTTCGTTTCCAGCTGTCGATGAATTTCTGCCTCGGGATCCTTCTCATGAGCGCATACGGGATTTCAATTTGAAAGAAGCCATGCAGCGAGGCAAGCTCGGTCTGACGCATATCCTCTCTGGCACGACAGTCTTTCTCACGAAGCGAATTCGCACAGATCTTGGCAAGCTCGAACGAGAGCTATCCCAAGTCGCGACGGTGCTTGGAGCTGACTCGGTCCAAAGGCGGCTGCCAGCGCTCAAGGACAAAGAAAAATATGCTGAGCACGAGGTGCTGATCATAGGCGCAGAAAATGATCCTCAGGGAACACAGGTCGGACGATTGGGTCAGAAGCTATACAACAAGGACATTCTGACCATGGCAGTCTTGAGAGGAAAGCTGGAGCGATCGTCGGCAGAGTTTCTGATCGATGTGCCTGTTAAGGATGAGGAAGATGATTAGGTTTCACGATGGGGGGGCCCCAATGACGCTTGGTGACTGATCAAAACACCAGTACGAAGAAGCTGGCGCACTTGAATACTGAATTCGGTGAGTGATGTTCACAGACTCAGCCCCTTCTCAGCTTCTGAAGGGGAAGTGCAATGTTGAAGAGACGTGACAGGCTAACAGTCAGCTACAAGTACTTTTACGATGCTCGGATCGGTCAAGCGTCGTCCCGCAATTCGAGTGTTTAGCGAGCCAGTGATTTCCGTCCTTGCGTCCATCATGCGCCCTACATTTCCGCGACTCCGCGAGAGCCGAGCTTGCCCACCACAAGGAGCAAGCACGGGACTCGTCGACTTACATTCTTGCATGCTCATCCTCATGGTCGCCAGGCCTGTCGCGCGAGCCCGTCTTCATTCGTGAACATGGTGATTCAGACTGAGTCCGACATATAGCCATGACCGGCTGCTGAGGACAACTTCACAATCATCGTCTTTCGACGTTCTCCATCTCGATTTGTGGCTTGATCCTGAAACAAACCTCTCCCCTCCAACATAATTTCATGTCGCCTTTCATGTCCGCCTCGTGGCTTCTGAAACAGGCCACTAATCTTACAAGTCACCTTGGCTCTACTAACGTCGTGGAGGTCACTTTTCCGATCTTATCCATCGGTTCTTCTTGCCTACAATCGACCTAGACTACCTGGCCACGATATCAACATGACCTAAAATCCGCAGACACCCATCAAATCCTTCACTCGCCCAGCTTACCTCGAGCTGGCGAGCAAGCTAGGGTGTATACAACTGCTCCCATCACCCTGTTTCGGCTCAATGACATTGGGTTCCATCACCTACTGCAGACTAATGATATGGTTTGAGTCCGAATGGCAAAGACACGTCATATAGGTGTGCATATTCGCATCCTCGAGGAGTTCAGCATCACGAAAAGCCTTGCAGGGATCCCAGCCGCTCTTCAAAGAGGGCCAGCCTGGCTAATACCTGCAATTTCAGTCATATTCGAACGAAAGAGATAATGATTTCGGCGATAGCGAAGGCCTTGAAGGTTGTATATCATATCCCCATCCTCATATACCTCTCCCTTGTGCTTTGTGTTGTTCCGTCGCAAGTCTTTCTTTGTCCTTTCCCACCACATTCGCTTACAGGCTCGAGGTCGGTGACCTTCGCCGTTCGTTCTTTATTTCTAGTGCGATTGAATCGTACATCCATTCCTTTGTTCAGTCCTTCCTTAAAACATCCTCGATCGTTCCGGCATCCTCAGCCGCCACCCTCAAGTCCGAGTCGTTCCTTTGCTGTTACAGCACACCAAAATGTCTGCCCTTCTTACTGCCGGCCTGCTCGCCGCCTTTGCCGCATCTCCAGTGTCAGCATTCTGGCGATTACCATGCAAAACTCCCATCGTCGTGGAACGAGCCGACCCCATTGTCAACCCTGGCAAGGTGTCTGGCCATGTGCACACCATCATGGGAGGCAATGCATTCGATTTCACTATGGACGATAACACCACACTAACATCAACCTGCTCTTCTTGCACAGTGACCGGAGACAACAGCAACTATTGGACCCCAACATTGTGGTTTCAACATCAAAACGGCAGCTTCGAAAGCGTGAACCAGGTTGGAGGTGCCACCGTCTACTACTTGCAACGAAAGGGCGACGGTGAGACTCTTAAAGCCTTCCCACCTGGCTTCCGAATGCTTGCTGGAGATCCTTTCAAACGAAGCGGTGGAGATGATTTTGCTTCCCAGGCGATCAGCTATAACTGTCTCGATTATAGCGGCGCAGCCAAACCAGAGACTGGCATGTTTCCCAACTACAACTGCCCCGATGGGCTTCGAGCGCAAGTCTTCTTCCCATCCTGCTGGAACGGCAAAGACCTTGATTCTTCTGACCACAAGTCTCACGTCTCCTACCCGGCGACCTCTTACAACTCCGGCTTATGCCCTCCCGATTTTCCGGTTCATCTAGTTTCCATCTTCTATGAGATTATCTGGGATACAGGCAAATTCGCCGATCAGTGGTACGGTGACAGCCAACCATTTGTCTGGTCAATGGGTGATCCCACCGGCTATGGCAGTCACGGTGACTTCGCTATGGGCTGGGACCCTGATCTTCTGCAACGTGCTGTCGACACTTGCACCAATGACAGCGGTCGTGTCGAGGACTGCCCTGAGTTCAAGCTCATTCCTGACACTCAAGCTGAAGGCTGCCGCATCGAACCTAAGATCGATGAGCCCGTCAGTGGCGTGCTCTCTGCCTTGCCTGGATGCAACCCTGTCCAAAAGGGACCCGGTGCGGCTACACCTCAATCTGATTGTGGTGCTACCACAACCATCGGAGCAGGCAATGCCACTTTCTTCACAGACTTAACCAGCAAAGGCTGGTCGTACACTGGATGCGGTACTGACAACTATTACAGCCGCATCCTCACTGGTGCCACCGAGTCGAATGACCAAATGACCAACGAAGCCTGTGTTGCCTTCTGCGATAGCAAAGGCTTCTCCGTTGCCGGTACTGAATATTCCAAGGAGTGCTATTGTATGTTTTCCCCCTCTTCCCAGCTAGATACTCATGCTAATGTGGTCATAGGCGGCAACTCTATACCCTCGAGCGGCATGCCCGTAGCCGGCGTCGTCGGCAGCTGCGAGATGAAATGCTCGGGTGACGATTCTGAATTCTGCGGCGGTTCAGGTGTCATCTCGCTCTACCAGAAATGCACCGGCAGCGCCTGCACCAACACTGGAGCTGGTGGTAGCAGTTCGAGCGGCTCAAGCGAGCTCATCTCATCTGGGTCTTCCGCACCAGCATCTTCGGCTTCAGCCTCTGCAGCGACCTCCGCCAGTGTTGTTGCTGCTGCTTCTTCTGCTCCTGCTGCCGCCCAAGCATCTTCGGCTTCGGCGTCCACAACGACCCCTGCCGGTGGTGCTGCTGCCTCTTCCTCTTCGACCATATTGGCTGTCCAGCCTACCACGCTCGCAACGGTGACTTCTTCCGGCGCCGCTGCGTCTCAGAATGTGGTTCAGCCTGTGTCTCCAGCATCTTCGGTAATTGAGCAATCTTCTTCGCTGATCCTGACTACGACTCTTGCGACTTGATGGCTGGTTCGTCTGACTCTATGTCAGGAGGATCAGCCGCCGTTACAGGATACAATTGCAGCTCCTGATTGTTTTCGGCTGCTGCGTCCAGCATTCCAGTCTTTCAATCCCTCCAAACACCATCCCAAGTTCTCTGCCCGCCACTCATTGTTGCGCCCAGTCCACCACTATGCTTTTGTTCCCCATACATTCTGCCCCCAAGCGAAGTCCAACCTACTGCAAACCTATTGAAAGCACACTAGAGAAACTGACAGAACATCTTTGCATCTTCCTAGCTCTCGTACATCTCGGCCTCAGTCTTGCCGTCATCGACATCAACCCCCGTCTCATCAAACCCGGCCTGGTCTTACTCAGGCTGCTTCACCGACACCGTCACTCCTCGATCGCTTCCGAAATGGTCGACTTTCAACGGGCCCAATATGACTAACGATGCGTGCATTTCATTCTGCGACAGCGTCGGGTGCTCAGTCGCCGGAACAGAGTACGCGGGCCAATGTTTCTGCGGTGCGGAGATCACGTCCAACGAGCTGGATGAGGATAAGTGTAATATGGCCTGCACAGGCGCGCAGGGCGAGATGTGTGGTGGACCTGGGGCATTGAGTGTCTGGACGAAGACCGGGACAACGAGTGGGAGAGTCAAGAGGCATGTTAGTCATTTGAGAAGGCATCAGTTGCAGCAGATTGAGAGGAGCTTCTAACTTATCATCTATGGCTGGCGAAGAGAAGGGCCAGTCCTGGGATGTGACGCGTTTCACGGATGCTTTTCAGGTCCTTTTTCGATTCTTGGAAATGTACGGAGGGAGTACTTTCTTGTATATATTGATTTTAACGTTCGATTCTAAGATCTAGTGTCTATGTGTGGTGGGCACGAATACAGGACACGTTGGTCTGCTTGAAAAGCTGAGCATCGAGGCTTTTTCCGACTGTACATTTAGCATTGGTTGACCTGACCTTCTTCCAGAGAGGCCCATCTCGTGCAATGCCGGTTCGTACAACGCTCTGGCCGCTTGCAGACATAGATAGAAAGTCTCTTTGTTCGCATAGCACCCTCACCGCGGCTGTGGCCCAGCGTAAAGTATGGTCTCCTTTGTTTCCGAAATAAGTAGTCCAAGCACCCGGCAAGGGTAAGGTATGAGTAGGGACACAAAGCATTCACGAAGCACAAAGACCTGTAAGTATGTAAGTGATGAAAGTTGAGAATGTCCGTCCGATTTTCCACTCGCTAGGTATGTAATGCTACACTGGGAAAGCAGAAGGTGAAATAGTAACAGTAGTGGGTGATCATAGCTTTACATATTGTTTCATGTTGACTCTTCCATTCGGTTATGCCCTCAGACCGAGCAAGAGTCCCGTACTTTTACCCTTTCCACCGTCTCCCTCACTGCCGCCAGGTAGATATGTCACGTTCGGATTCGTGGCCAAAGTCTGCGCAATGTCTTTGCTGGCTTCGATCCTTCTGATTTGGATCAGGCCATCACCAGCCTTGGCCACGGCTTTGCTGATAATATCTGCAGCATCTGCTTCACCTTCTGCACGGATGACGTTGGCTTGTCGCTCCTGCTCAGCCTTTTCGACGATGAACCGTGCTCGTTCAGCGTCCTGTTGTGCGATTTGTTTCTGCTCGACTGCGCGGGTGAACTCTCGACCAAAGGTCATATGTGTGATTGAGACGTCTTCCAAAGCAATGTTGAACTCCTGCGCTCGTTTCAACAGGTCGGTTCGGATTCTGTTTGAAACTGCTTCTCTTTGTGTGATTAGCTCGGCGGCATCGAATTGGGCCACGATGGCTTTGAGGACTTCGTTGCCAATCGATGGCAGGACTCTTTCGTCGTAGTCTTGGCCGAGAGACTGTTTGGATTGTTAGACAAGACCCATGTGATTCGGAGAGAAAGGGTGCTTACCTGGTAGATCTTGGGCAACATCTGCACCTCCGGTCTATGCAGCACTCTCAGTGTCAAACTGACCATCTGCAAGTCCTTGCTTCCGGTTGTGGTGCTGATGTTTCTCGGCTTCGTTCGCACATCGTAGACAATGGCCTTCTGTAACCAGGGGATCAGGAAGTGTGTGCCTTCATTGACCACCTTCTCCTGCACACCGGACAATCGGTCGAAGATGACGGCTCTTGTTCCGCCTTTTACGTCGTATATCGCCGCCTGGCCGAAGGAGACGGCGATGAATATCGGGACGGCCCATCGAGAAACGGCGTTGAGAACATTCGGTGCGGACATGTTGGGCAATGGATGGACAGGTAGCGAAGGGACAACGACCGCTCAGCGATGGGATGGTGGGATGGTACTGTCGCCGTTCAGGTAGCTGTAGTCGTAATGGACTTTTCGATGCTTCCGGCAGCTTGGGAGTCGCCGCCAAGATGTGGAGAAAATGCTTCATGCTGCGCCCTAGACCCTAGCACGGTCAAGTACTGACCATATTTATACAATGACCAATGATAGCGCCTCGAAATAGTTCTTGCCTTATGTCAGCGGCCAAGTCTTTTTGCAACTGCAGCTCCGCGAAGCTCCTGCGATCATTGACATCTTTGCACGCAATCAGCCAACACTTGTACCGTCGAACGACAACAAGTACGATCACATCAAGATGCGTCCGACTCCTCGTCTTATGATGCAGGCCACCAAGGCTCTGCGGTCGGCTGGCCACCCTGATCCAAAGAACGGAGTGTATGTGGAAGCCCCAGCAACTCTTGACGAACTTGTGGCTAGAGAGCTAACGCCTTCGTTTGAACAGATACATGGGCTGGTGGGGTGACTTGGGTACGAATCCTCCTTTATACTGCATCGGATCATGCGAGCGACGAAACAATGCCCTATGACAACAAAGCCATGAGGTGACATGGCATCGAAGGAAGAGCATGGGAGCTAATTGATCGTTGTTGTATAGGGTCGCAAACTCAGAAAGGAATCGTCACATACGCCGTGTCGCCGAACAGACAAGATCCCATGGCCGGCGCCTTCAAAAATGCCGTCTTTAACACATATCGCCGCACATACCATCAAATCCTCTACTGGCTCCCTCCATTGGTTCTGGGATATGTTCTTATGGATTGGGCCACTGAAAGGTAGGCCTTGACTGAGAAAAACACGGCTGCCCGGAGACATAGGCTCACATTGTGTACAGAAACGAATACTTGAACTCCAAGCCTGGACGATTGGAGGAGGGAGGCGCAGGGGAATAAGCTTCCCAGTTGATGGTGTCGTTCAGCAATATTGTACATAAGCGGAACCAGTGGAATGCAATAAAGGAGTTTCATCATCAAACATCCTGCATCAAACGTCTTGCCTTGCCTTAAAGCCTGTCGGCACCAGACCTGCGCTCCAGTGGTCTCAGTCTCCTCTCTCTGCGGCTTCGTGATCACCACTGTCATGGGCGTCTACGTGCCTGCCGAACGATGTCTGAACGATGTCTTGGATGTCTTGTTGCGGTTGATCCCATTTGTTGATGATTCTCAACAAAGCTGTGATGCCAGGAAGTAAGGATTGTGGTTGCAGTGACATAGGGCGTAGAACTTTTTTGAAATGCAGCAGCGGCTTCCGGTGGACTGGGGTTAGCCTGGACCTATTCGAGGCATATCGTGATGTTCGCTGAGACTGCTGAGATAGCGATTCAATTCTTCGACCCGTTCCTTGTGCGTCTTTACGCCTTCTCGCTTGAGTCGATCTTCGAGCTGTTGCAAAAGGAGAGTTAGCCTTTAGACGCATGGAATGAAGGATATCTAATGTGCAGGACAAACATACCCTCTTCCGTCGTTGCTCTTCGTGCCTCTTCTCTGCCTCGGTCTTGACAATCTCTCTTTCTTCATCGTCCTTGATTCCGGCACCAGGCCCGACTTCCTTTCCATCAACCATTCCAATCATCCGTCGCTCTTCCTTGGCGAGCTGCTCATCTTCGTCTTCCAGGTTCTTCAACATGACGGATTTGTCCTGGAACGAATCACCGTCACCGACGCCACCAGCCTCGTCCTTTGGTTTGCTACTAGGTTTCTTCTTCTTCTTTTTGTCCACTTTGGCGTCCTTGACTCCTTTTAATTTCAGCTTACCGGAGCCAGCGGACGCATACTCACCGGGAGCCATCTTGATTATTGTAAATAATAGACGAACTGTGGGTGAATGAGCCCGTCAGAAAGGCTCTGCGGAGGTTGTTGTAAGTTGATCGAGTGACAGCGGGTTTGGTCTTTCTGATTCGCCGGTTCAGGAACTGACTCGAAACGCAGCAATTGTTCCGGGCTTCGTTGACCACGCACTCACGTTCACTGTCGTCAGTTCTATCGAACGTGCTTCTTCACGGACATTCTGTTGGCATTTCCATGCTCATATAAAACGCAAAAACTTTCATAACTTGAGTAAGTCACGGGTGTCTGGATTCTGCCGCACAATGGCAGGTATCCTTCCACCTCATCCAGGCTTATTGCCCTACTATTTGCTTCTGGTATGCGGCGCTTTTCGCTACAAATCCTCCCATTTCTGTTCGAAGAATCGAAGCTGGATAACCGTGCCTGACAGCTAAGCTGACTTTGCAGACTGGGACTCTTGCTCTGACACACAGCGTTGTCTGCTATACCAAACCGTTGACTTCGATGCGCCAGTACTCGGGTCCTTCGGCGCCCGCGCCGTCATCTTTACTGGCTCACGTCTACGCTATGCAGAACTTTTACACGGGAGTTATCCCGCCGCCTGTGATATCGAGAACCAGGCGTTGTACCGACTTGCGATCTTGTCCTTTGTCGGAGGCTTGTTTCTGAATGGATCGGAATTAATAGTCTGGAAAACAGCCCGGCTCTATGAGATCAAGTTTCCTCTGGGCCCCTCAGCCATCGGCCTCCTCTGGTTGATCAGTCTGAGAGAGTGGTATACGGCTTAGGCCGCCGGCCATTGCGGTGTGTCCAACGGATGCATACACTCCCGACTACGCTAGCACTGATTTGTCCGTCATACCTTTTATCGCCCGAGAATATCACATGCTGCTGGACAGCCTTGTGATCTCCATTCTCCATTGCCTTGTCGAGTTGAACATATTTCCTGGCTATAAAAGTCGACATGTCTATAGTCTTTCTGCTTACATGCTCAACACTGCCCAAGCTTCTCAAGCGCAATTAGTCAGCCAACATTACCACCGGAGCAGCAAAGATGCCCGCCGGCGTGCATGAAGAAGTATCTGTGTTCGGAGTGGGCAAATACCGCAAAACGGTAGAAGCTATTGGAGGTATTTTCGAAGGTACTCCATTCCGCTTTGTCGGCATCTTAGACATGACCTCTACCGAGCCTTACAATTTTACCCCCGAACGCCTGAAAGTGGTTTTGGGAGCCCTCTATCCCAGACCTCGATGCTTTCTTGCAGGAGAAGCCATTGAACCGGAAGACAATGCTGCTGCAGTAGCGGTCTGGCAGCAGTTCGCCAAGGGAATGGACCTTGAACGTCCACTTCTGATCAATGTATGCGGCAAAATCTATTCAATCGAAGCGACCTAATCAAGTCTCGCAGCTTAGGGAGGACCCGAAAGGAAGAATTGTCGACGAAGTCAAGCAGATACCCAAGGAACAGTTGATGGTTGAGCTCGTCGAACACATGAAAGAACACTTCTTCCCATGATTTAGCTCTGAGATATAGCACGCAAAACCTCTTCCTCCACTCCACCCGAATTTCCGCTGAAACTCCTGTCTGCGAGTCCAATATCCGACCTTTCATATAAACAGTGTTGCTGTCGGGCGTACCAGCATGAACGCGACGGGTTCGGCTATCAGACGACTGCCTAGCGAAAGATCGGTTGATTTGTTCGTGCGTGCAAGCGCCAGCGGGTCTCGGTTCAAGAGTTGTTGCCCTTTCTCTTCACTGCACCAGCTGAAGCAGACCTGAGAGACGAACAATCCCTTCTGAGAGCCTTTGGTCAGGTTTGCCGTTTCTTTTGGGGCTCATTGGGGCTAACGACCTCGCTCTTGGATTCGAAGTTGTCCTCCTGCGATGATCTCGGCTACGAAGTACCGCAAGCCTTGCAGGACAGATCCTCACTCAATTCAGGAACGCAAAGGTAGTGGGTACCACTCTTATTCGATGGCCTGTCATTCTGTGTTTTGTGTATCCTTCTTCACGTTCCTCAGTTCTGCAGGTGCACTTGCGAACTTCTTTCTCCTATCAAGGGCACGCCCCGACCTCATTGAGGTGTGAGATGACTTGTGTCATCTGCGGACGTTCAGCGAGATCTCAGGGGCCAAGCTTCGGTCGACACCATCTGTGCCACTGACTGAAGGCATATCAGGCCACTATACGTTCAGTCAGGAAAGGGAATTGTTTGCACTTGGGATCTCGAACCTGACGACCTAGCATATCCGACCAGGCCTGATACCCTTGTTGATCGGAGGCAGAGAGCCAACTTCCTGCTTGAGGCTCAATAGTGCCAGACGGGATGGTTGTATTGTTTCGTCGATGTTAACTCAATGGGCACCGATGTCGATAGGTGATGCCCGCGTCAGAGCGTCACCGAGCCGGTACTGGCTCTCCCTGAAGTATCGGTTCATGGCTCCCATACTGATCGGATTCCTCAGATATGCTGAAGAAGTGCTCGAGAGAGAAATACCAGAATCGATCGTCCTAGAAGATATATCCGAAAGTATTGAGATGGAAGAATCGCGAGATCGCGCTGGCTTTGATACCATTTCGTGGAAGCAAGGGCGGCTGGCAATCTGCTGGTCTTCTGTCGGATCCGTCTGCACTCCGGCATGTGCGTATCTGGGACGTCCTGGATGGTTCTGACGCTTTTCTTCGGAAAGCACCTCAGGCCATGCCTTCAATGGCTGACTATCGTGGCTGCGGTTCCTTTCATGTGACGGCCTCATCGACAACATTCCGGCGATTGCAATGCTCCTGGGCCGGAGCTTCTTCTTTGACAATTGTCGCCTATGCGTCGCTGTGTCCTGTCGCTCGTCTCCTCTTGTCTCGTCCCAATGCGAGAATGTGTGTGACTTCCTCCGGCTGAGTGAGAGCGAGGTTGCAGGTTGTGAAAGGCAACTATGGACAGCGTTACTTGCGTTGTCTCGGAATTCGGTGTTGATGTGTGATATTCGGTCGTATTTGTCAAAGGCGAAGAATTCGTCATTGTGGCCCAGAGAGACTTGCAGGGTCGTCAGGTCTCTGCTGGATCCGTCTGGAGGGAAGAGCCATTCGTCAAGGGCCGGCGGTAACCCGTGTCTTTCTGGCACAGCAAGAGTATGTTAGCGACCGAATTTTCTTTTTGCGTCTGAGTGATAACAACAAAGTTCCGTCTTACCCTGCCTGTATGTGCCGTGCCTGTCTTGCCAGCAAATGTAGTACCTGTCGAAGGCTCCAAATGCGTATACCAGGATTTTGTCCACGCTCCCCAGATGCCCGAGAAGATTGTTCAGCCTGGCATCGATGCTCGTCGGTCTCGGTGAATTCCTCGCAAGCCTGCTCGGCATGGTCAGGTCAGTCGTGCGCTCGCTCAGTAATGTCTTCGTCTTCGTATTCAAGAACTTACTCATGGTCCAAATGGGGGTGAGTTGAAGTTTCCGGATATGCTACAGAAGCCATCGATGACTATTTTTATTTCGCAGGGAATTGGTTTAACCGCGCATCATCGACTCACTCAAAGCCTCGAATGGACTGCTGTGTACGGAGTACTGTGATATCCAACAGTGAACATGGGAAATCTGAATAACAGCCCAGAGCCTCGTCCACAATGACAACAGGACTTCGACGTCTGCTGTGGAGCTCAGATGATGGGCCCCCCTTTTCTGTGATTGTCCGGTCCCATCAGGCCACTGTGCGCATGATGGTGTGTGTTGTGAAGCATCGAATGTCGCAAGTGATTCTCAACACCAAAGTCTCCAACAGTTTGCAGAATTCAATACGTCCATTGTATCAGATCGCATTTAGAAGTCTTGTCATACGGTTGGGTGCCGGAGTGGAATGTACAACTGCGCACCGTAATGGCAACACAACAACACTATCAGACTTGAGTTGACGCTACTTAGTATACGCCTCGGGGCTCGCTAAGCTTAGGATTGTATAGCCTAGCGACAGCTTAGAATGGCTTAGTCATAGACTCAGGTCAACTGGCGGAATGCTCAGATCTAGAAACGGAAATGGACTTTGGAGAGGTCAAGATTCGCCGCTGAGTATATTGCCATCACCAACATCACTCATTGCAATCGTTCTCGCTCTGGCCATCAACATGTGATGTTACAATCAAGTCTGTCGATGTGGAACGCTTATTCGTCGAGCTACTAGTATTATCTTGCCCCTCTCATGGGCATTGTTCATAGAATTCTGGTTCTCAGGAAATCCAGCAAAATCTGATGGAACTTTTCAGGTTCGTCGGCGTGTGGGCTGTGCGCCGAATTCTCCAAAATCTCCAGCCTCGCGTCGACGATACCGGCGGCAATCTCTTCGGCAAAGCTCGGCGGGGCGACATGATCGTGACGGCCGACGGCGACGAGTGTGGGAGCCTGCGCCGCGTCAGACAAGCAAGTGCACGGAGAGGAGGATGGATGCTCATCTTGATCAAATGGAGTCGCTGGCGAACGTCGTACCGTGGCAAGTTTTGAGCGAAAGCCCAATTGTGGGTGACGGAGCGAAAGTTCGACCGTGGTCCCCAGAATTCGGCCGACGTCGAAGACGACTGATGGTCACCGGTGCTGCTGGGAACGGCATCTGAGCCTTCCTCTGGAGGAGCGTCCATCGGGAGCATCTCCCTGATGGCCTCCTTGCAGTCTTGGTCACTGAGGGTGGTGCCCGACCAAAACCGGACTTGGCGTGCCCTGTCCACTTTGGACCTCTGCGACGTCAGGACGTAGGACAAGGCCGTCATCGCCCCCAACGTCCCCGACGCCCAAGTGTTGATCAATATCAAGCCACGCAGCCGGTCGGGGTAGTTGACCGCGTAGTCGAGGGCCACGAAGCCTCCGTACGAGTGACCGATGAGCACAAAGGTCTCTTCACATGCCCACTCCCTGTAGGTCCAGTCAGTCATCTCCTCATCTCCAGGCGGGCGCATGTGCACCTCAGGTATTCAATGTCTTTCCCCAATCGTTCAAGAGAGTAAGGCGGTGTCATGTCGGAGAAGCCACTTCCGCGGGCATCGTACACCAACACTCGGAAAAGAGAAGAGAGGTGACCAAAGCGGGCCTCGGGCTCGGCATGAGTGTATATTCCTGGTGCCCCATGGAGGGCGATGAGCAACGGCTTCGACTTGTCGGTCGACTCGTCCTCTCCCAGGAGTTTGACGTGCAACTTGGCGCCGTCGTCCACTTGAACCGTCGACTCCTTTACCCCCGCCATGGGGTCTTTTTGTATACTAAAGCTGTCTCGAGATGGCTCCAAGAGAAAAGCTCGATTTCCCCGTGTTGCACGAGATGACGGTTCGCGTGATGGTATCGGATGGATTGGCGGTTGTCCTACCTAGAACAAAGGGGTAGCTTCTTGAACAGGTTACAAGGTTCACTCAATGTAATGCCGAAATTAGAGTTTTTCTATCTGGAATCGCGCAAAATGTCGACTTTTGCATGAGGAAGAGTGAGTAGTCCTGAGACAGGTGGCTTTTTCCTAGGAAGTACAATATTTGGATAAAGCAAAAGACCAGAAGATATTCCGAGGTAACTCACAGCTTCGATCGGCATGGAAGGCACCTGGCGAAATACCAGGTGACCAAGGGTTGCTCCGTGATGCGTCGGCCATCGAGCTTCCGCACGACATGTTTGCGCCCGCGGTTGTGAGCCTGTACTGCCTGTACTCGGTACCTGCGTGCCGGGACACAGAAAAAGGTCTGGAGCGCGATGGCCTAGGGGACAGCAGCAAGGGTTGATCGAGGCGGGGCACCTACGGGGAAATGGCAAAAGTCCGAAAAATCGGCATTGGGGTGGTTCAGTGTTGGACGCCTCGCGCGACTATCGGCAACGCCAACGACCATCGGTCACAGTCTCCAGGCTTGAAATGGAGTGAGGACTCCATGGCTAAGAATTATTCTTCGCTTAAACCGCGCAAATACTTCCGGGTGCCAGGCTTTTGGTGGACTCATATGGCGTCTGTGGTGCGATCGCAGTGATGATCATTAGAAGACCGAGGCCTCGTCGGATTTGACGTCGAATTTTGAGACACGACCTAGTCAGCATCTGCCTCTGCAAAGTGAGATATGGTGCTGAGATCCATCCCGTCTCTCAAGGGGGTCCAATCCCAGTCTTGAAAATCGTTGAAAGCGTCAAAATTGAGCATCGGGCCGCCCAGGAACGTCGATGTTGCCGAACCTTGTGGTTGCTGAGAAGGCGGCACCAACATTGACGATGAGGTCCAATCAGAACTGCCCTGGTGCTGCTCATCAGCCGCGAAGGCCTCCTCTCCTCCTTCGTCATCGTCGGCTTTGTAAGGATTAGGCTTCCTATGGCCAAAGGTTGCCCTCCAGTGCCAGTTACTGTCGGACATGATGCTCGAAAACTAGTCATGAGATTTTCAGATATGGTTCTAAGCGTTCGGCGCACTGAGGCACTTACGAGTCGACTTCTCAGACGCATGCGGTCTCCTATCAGAGCACCGTCTTTCTTTCTGAATGAAGAATTGTTGGCCCAGAGCTGGGTCAAGATGAGTGCGGCCCTTGAATCCAAATCATTGTTCTCCACCGAGCGCTTTCGTGTAAACTTGATGGCTTTGAAGAAGGCTCGTTCGCCGTGCTCGAGGTCCACGTGAGTGCGAACTTCGCTAAAGGTGATCCGGATGATGATGTGGGCGGCCAAGCACAACATTCGGTGTAGCCACTGGGTTGAATAGAGAGCAAAGTCATTGGCCGCGTCGAGGTCGTGAAGCATGTCCAGCACGCTGCAGCACAAGGCGTACAGTTGGACAAGTCCGGCAGTTCGTGCGGCGTCAGGGGTCGCAAAGAAATGGAATGCCCGGAGGCCCAGGCGGGTACATTTCTGCACAAGGACATCTTACGACGTTAGTCGCGTGGTGACGGAAAAGGCGAGTGAAAGGCTGACGCACCAATTTCTCTGTTGTTAGCAGGGGCCAAAGCTCGGACTTGTGCATCAAACACGTCGATGAGCGAGTTCAACGGTGGCCCACAATTTGGTTTGAGAAGCTCCACGCTCCGAGTGATTGCTTGAATCGCATCTGTCTGCACCTTGTAGAGCTTGTAGTGGTAGAATAACGAAGGCGACAGAATGTGCTCCAGCATCGGATCAGATTCTGTGTGCCCGATTTCGGCGACGGTCCAGCAGGGAAAGCCATCGACCAAGTTCGAGCTGTAGCATGTCAGTTCGATGGACAACTCTTGTCTCGAGAGGGGCAGTCACTTTTGGACCGTTAGAACACAATGGATCCAGAGACGGAAGCGCCAGGATACTTCGCTGTTGGACGTGTTAATGTTCTGACGCTCGTAATCCTGCTGGTGACCAAGGATGTGGAGGCCATTCTGCACGGCGAGTTGCATGGCCACCGCACCGAGTGTGTGGGAAGTATCCTGGCACATTGAATTGACCGGAATCGGCCACAAACAGAGAATCAGGACGGCTTGGATCGTGGGAATCGGGTTGGAACAGGAGAAGAGCGTGCCCAACGCAATTTGTTGGACCTGAGATACCACCCGCTGAAACAGAGTGGGATCGTCAGCATATCGGCGTGCCCCGGTGGCGACGATGGACCAGAACAGAAAGGGGGATCGCTCGTAGTATTCCTCGGGAGGCATGTTGGGATCCAGCAACCCGGGAAGGAAGATTTCGTAGTGTGTGAAGAAGCTGCTCGACTGTCAGGGGGAAGCTAAGAGGGAGGAAGACGAGAGAGGAAGGAAACATACAGCGCAAAACAATGATGGATCTTGTCCCTACCAATCTGGCCAATTTCCAGCGTTGCCGGCGCCACCTGGAAACCATGGGACCCTACCGGTACGTCCGGTAGTATGTCAACAGGCGGTACAGAACCTGGGACGCCTGCGTGGCTCGAGATCTCCGAAATCTGGCCGTCATGACCGGTTGTTTGGGCGACAGATTGTTGTTGTAATTGAGTGAGTGAAGGTGCAGGTTTTGCACTTTGAGGCGAGGCCCAGGTTGTCGCAGGAATCTCTGTCTGGCTTGAAGGGTGATTGTTGTTGCTGTTGTTGTGGTTGTTCAACTGCTCATAAAGGCTGGCATTTTCTCGTACCAATTCGGCTTTTCTGTTCGACCATGTTAGAGGTGTTGGATGAGCCGGCTCCCGGCAAGAGGACTTGCGTTTTCCTTTGGCTTTTCTTGATCCCTCGAGAAAGCTCACAGGCAAGATTGTTCTTCCTGCATCTCGTGCACGGTCTCTGATGGTTTTCGCGCGCGTCGCACCTGAGCTGAATTGAGGGTCAGAAGGTGTGTTCGTCGCGTCGAGACCCCAGTACACGCTCACCTTCTGAATTCGACATTCGGAACATGATCGCACTTTTCCCAAGCCCTCGGCCATCGTCTAAGCTTCTCGAGGCGTCACGCCTGGCCAGTGGGAGACATGGTGTTGCCGTCAAGGCTAGATATCGAGAATTGCCGACTCGGGTGGTTGATGCTCGCAGAGATTGAGATTTGTCAGTCTGCCACCCACGATAACGTTGACAAAAGCTCGAAGCAGATACGTTGCGTGTGGAGGAGAGCCGGGGATTGAGCACTGTGGGGGAGGCTGGTGCTATTTATTTAGCGCTCCACGCCCTCGCCGGGGGGGGGGGGGGGGGGTCAGTGGGCGTCCAGGTAAACGAGGCCCCCACCAAGTTCGCTTGGCCTAGTGATTTATGATTTTAGGGCAGCCTAGGTGGCACGGCACGGGGCAGCATTCATACGGTGGAAGCCCTGTGGCAATTCGCCAGAATACGAGCTCCTCGGTGAGGTATTGACTCTACGTACCGCCCAACCACAAAGGATTTAGGTAAGAACGAACTATCTGAATCTGTTCCCAACAAAAATATGTATGAGCTCGTCAAATGGCCGCGGCTTCTGGTCATATTCTACCATTTATATCGGAACTGCGGATGATGGTCACACAGCTCCTCGTAAGTCTTGCTGTTGTCCGGGTCTTCCTCTCCTCGGACAATCCAGTCTTGGGCAATCTGTTCTCGCTTTTTGTTTGCCGCCTTCATCATGAAATAGCAGAGGACCGCCGACGCCGTACCGATCAGGTTGAGGCCGAGCAGGATGCCGTGGCCCTTGAAGAAGCGCGGCGGAGTGTTGTAGATCTGGGTCGAAATGATGCTGTAGCTCTGCGTGAAGACTTGCGCAACAGCCCAAGCAGTGGCTCTCTTGGTGTAGCCGGCGTGGGCGCCCAAGAGCCAGGTGGCGCAGACCACGATTGCCGGATAGCAGCCGGCGGCGATGAAGGAACAGCCGGCCACAAGGGCAGTTCTGTTGGTCGTGGTCAACACGATAACGAAGCCGGTCAGAGAGGTTGCCATGCAGCAGAGGAAGGGGACAAATCGTTTGTCGGCGCGATCGGCGTAAATGCTCACCACTGGGACGGTGACGATAGGGAAAGCATAAGGTATAATGCTGACCAGCTGGGTTTGCACTGTGTGGATGGTTAGCGACTATCACAGACTCCAAATGGTCAGCACCTCTTACGTGGTTCGAAGCCGAATTGCTGGATAAATGTGGGCAAGAATGAGCCGAAAGCAGCGACATTCAGAGACGCGGCGGAGATCGCCAGGGCGAACAGCCAGGTCTTGAGGTCCTTGATTGCCCACCAAATCTGATACATGCGCACCTTTTCATCCGGCGTGTTGCGAGCGGCGGCCGTGCGTTCGAGGATGAGGGCGTGCTCTTGCGGGTCGCGGAAGAGGATGCTGCCCCGTTTAGCCACCGTCTCGGGGAGCTTAGGGAGAAAGGTGGCGACGAGGAGGCCCCAAAAGATGGTAAGGACGCCTTCGATGAGGAAGAACCACTCCCACGCCGCCCGTCCCATGCGGCCATTCAAGTTGTGCTGGACGCCGTACGCGATCAGTCCACTGGTCGCTCCGGCGACAGGTGTCGCAATAAAGTAGAAAGCTGGAGACTCGATTAGCCATAGAGTCCGAAGTCCAGCTTTTTGACAAACGTAACAAACGTACCGGTGCGTGTTGTGACTTCTTCCGGTCGGTACCACAGCGTGAGAAACAGGAAACCCGTCTGGACAAAAGCTTCGGTGAAGCCGAGGAATGTGCGAATGATCATGATCGGTGCGTAAGATCTGACGGCGGCCATGGATGTGGCCAGGATACCAAAAGCAACGACAGCAAAGCCATAGGCCAAATTCGGCTGGAAGACCTTGACGATCAGCGCTGCTGGGAGCTCAAAGATCAGGTATCCAACGACTGCTGTCCGTTAGCGAAGGCTCCAAGAAGCAACTTGTTGTTAATGCACTGACAGAACATCATCAAGCAGTTGTAAAACTCCTTCGGGCTCAAGTGTAGGTCTTTCTGGAATCCCATGATTCGAGCATTTCCGAGAGCACCGCGATCCTGTGGGACATTTGGTCAGCTCACAGGTCCTTCTGTCCCAAGTTGGACGCAAAACATACCAGGTAGGCGAACCAGTAGCAGCCGGCGAGCAGCAAGACAATGGACAAGTCTTGCTTCAACACCAACCGCTTCTCCTTCTTGCACTTGCGGTGCGGGACGTTGGCAGCACCGTCGGCCTCGACGTGCACGGCTCCTGCCTCGACGGCGAGCTCCTTCTGGGTCGAAGAGGCATCCATGTCCGTGGTGAGAGAGAGTGGTAGATCCGGGTTTCAAACACAAGTGGGAGCTGTGCCTGGGAGCACGAGAGCACCGGCCCCCAGGTGATTATATATATATACCCAGGCACTCACCCAAGTCTGAAGTAGGACATGCTGCAGATGCCATAGGGCATTATCGGCAGACACTAGTAGATCGGCCAACGGAACCCCAGACAAGGTGCAGCTGGGGCGTTTGATTGTGGGGAGGACTGTGCTTCCGCATCTCCTGACCGGGATCCTGGCGCGCGTGGTGTCAAATCAAACTCCGAGAAATCGGCATCACCATCATGATGCCCCCTGTGTGCGGACAAAACAACGGCTAAAAACGGACTCGGGGGAACCTCGACCTCGGAGGATCAACTTGGCCGACTTCGCTGGCGATGAGGAGTTCGCGTGATAGAAAGAGGACCTCTTGCCTCCTCAAACATACGACACTTTCGTCGAAAAGCCTTTGCTAAGCCTGAGGCCTCTGTAGTAAGCAAAAACTACCCTCTTTCGCCAACAGAGCCAGCACCGATCAAAAGATCCGTGAAAATGCCAGCACCAGATATCAAGGCAGACGCCCAGCGGGTGTTCGACGTGATCAAGGGTGGAGGAATAGCCATCACGCCCATGGCCCTGGGCTACAGCCTTGCAACCACCTCGACCAAAGGACTTGAAAAGATGTTCACCACCAAGAAACGGCCCGCACACAAACGGCACGCCATGGGCGGAAACTACGCCCTTCACAAAGAGCTGCACCTTATGGAACCCGAGCAGGCCGAGATTGTCCGCTGTCTGACTCAGGACTTTGACCTGCCTTTGGCCGTCATTGCCAAGTACGACACCAAGCACCCCATCCTGCAGAACATCGACGAAGATACTCTGGAAGCGCTCACCGTCAACGGCACCATCGCCATGTTGATCAACGCCGGCCCGTTTCAGGACGAGCTCGTGGAGCTCACCCGGACAGCCGGCCTCCCGTTGCTGGGTAGTTCTGCCAACATCTCGGGAACAGGTACGAGTATCCCTCTCGTTCCAATGCACTTCCTAAATTGTTGAGAAGAGCAACTGACATGCCTCACCAGGAACCAAATTCGTGCTCCAGGATATCCCTCCGGAAATCACCAAAATTGCAGATCTCGTCATCGACCATGGCCGGGTCAAATTTGGCTACTACGGGAGGAGCTCAACGATGATCGACTTCAGTGGACCCAAACCAGATATCGTACGAATTGGAACTTGCTACGACGTGATCAAGGACCATTTGAAGCAATTCTGGGACATTGACGCTCCCGAAGACCCTGGCGAGGCGGCACTGCCACACGGACACCTCAAGCAGCTCCCTCCGTTAAAATCTCTGGAAAGATTGGTGGCAGCACATTGATTGCCTGTAGATAAAATATTTATCAAGCCTAGTACACGTCCTTGCCTCGTATGTTGTCAGACATGCTGAATCTTCCGCAAAGAAAAATTCACCGAGGCAAATTGCGTCGGTGTTAGGAAACGTTTCACTGCCGTCACAAAAAGAGAAAAGGAGTGCTGGCGAGGCCGTCGTCGATGCCTAGAAGAGCTTCGAGAGAGCGTCGAGGGTATGCCTGGGACAATAACGAGGGCCTGGTTTTACAAGTATCGACTACGTACTACGTCCGGTAGTATCGGCAGCTCAGCTTATAGTGCAAGAGCAAATGTCCTGGAAAATCTGACTGCTGCTTCAACAACAAGGCTTAACGACAGCCTCGTCGAGCCCCCTTTTCCATCGGCTGTACGGGGTACATTAACTTAGCACTGATGTTAACAGCATGCGATTTAGCTTAACCTCCAGTTGAGAGTTGGGCCAGCTACCTTGCACGGATAATTCGTTGCTACCGCTTCGTAACGTTCATAGTGTTTGAGAATGGCTCTCCAGCTCGCTCACTTTACGTAGTAGTTTGCTTTGCTTGCTCCTGTTGCCGTACATCGGGGTCCTTCTTCCAACGCTTCTCTCTCCTCCACAGTTCGACTTCCAGCACTCGTCGCCCGCCCGCGACCTTTCCACGCAAACCGTTGTCGTCACGGTCAAAGTAGAGTGACCATGTCCCCGGTTGTTCAGGTTCCTCGACCACCACAAACCCTTCCCATCCCTCGAGGGTCATGCGGCGGTCTTGTCGGGTACAATCGAAAGGCCCAGTAATGTTGGGTTGCGCCTCGACCCGTAAGCCATATTTGACCTGGTAAGTGTCGCTGTCGACGTAGATCCAGTTCAACACAGGCGGATCGTCACAGACGGTGGACACGAGACCCTCGTAAGCGGCGTCCGGATATGGAAGATAGTAGCCCGCGAACGGATGTCCAGATCCTCCCTCGGTCTCATTCTCGCTCTCTTCTTGTTCGTTGTCATCATATCCTTCGTCCTGGTTGAGCTTCGTAGCCACTGTGTCCACGTAAAGCTGGAAAGGTTCTTGGTCAGCGGGGCCAATTTTCCAGCGGCCGTGCGCCCATAATGGGTCCATTCACAAAAGGGCAAATCCTAGACTTACCTTATTGTTTCGCAGAACGATCCGTCGACCATCGATCTCTTTGGACCTGCTCGATGCTTTCACGCACGTCGCCACCAGATTGCACCTCCGTGCTCGATGCTCTTCCCGTCTGTCTTTGCTCTGGCCTTGTCGTATTGCTTCCGAGGTAGCCAGCATCGCTGGACAGGCCACGAGCGCGAGAACCATTGAGAGCGCCATTAGTGGCTGGAGAGACACGCGATACCGGTGTAACAGTCAGTTTCAAGAATCAGGCGGGGGGAACTCCGTATGTTGTGCCGAGTTTGTGGTGGTTTCGAGGGAAGACGAGGCTGGCAAGGCTACCCCCTTTCCTTGAAAATGGAGGCCGGTGGTCTGCTATTAGTAAAGGCTGGCTACCCCAGTACCGTTGCATATTGTATGGCGTGCTGACTACTTGTACGTAGCATCTCGGCCATGCGAGTCACGCCACGCTCGTCATGACACTTTGTACATAGTTTGAACCGGTGGCCAGATCTCGGCTGCAGGCTGAAACACAAGGGTGTTGGTTGTTTCATGACCCAAATCGGTTAGCATGACACCAAGCGAGTGCGGCATTCTCAGCCTTGCGGGCCTTCGTGTTTCTAGATCAGGGTGATACCAGCGATACGCAGGATCAGCAGATACTGCATACTATGCATTTGACTTTTATAGGCCCCTCAGCTTCCTGCATGCTCGGTACGTGGAACTCTTGGACTTTTCAGGTGTGAACCGACGTTCCAGATATTGAACCCCTTCCTCTGTCTACGACGCACAGTACATAGTAAATCTTCTCCTGGGGGGTCGATAGCGTTTCACACAAGTCTTCCTCCGGGCTCAGCACGTCCATAAAAGAGCACACGATATCTCATCTACAGCGGTTGATCTTTCATTGTCATCCAACACCGACCACAAACACCCAACCATCTCCAAGTCGTCTGGCACGTCCGAGAAAACCATCTCCCTCCTACCATATCCTTTTACCACCGGTGACTCGAACAATATTTCCTAAAGCCGGCTTATTTTCCAGACTCTCATCACACTGATACTTATCTACAACCCATCACAATGTCTGGTGTCACGTATGTACACTATCTTCTTGCAAACGATAGCCCAATACGAGAGTCTAACTCAACTCACTTTCTAGTCCCGCATATGGCAAGAACGCCGACCAGGATTACACAAGCGGGAGTGAAGATGGCCAAGCAGCAGGCAAGCGCAAGGCACTGACGACGACCAACGGCACAGCATCGCTGCCTCTTCCTCCAACATCAGACTCATTGAGTCAGCCTGCAGGTACGTCGAGCCGGTATCAATTCCGATGCACACTTATTGCCTTGCCCTGCCTTGCTTTGCTTCACATTTGCCCATGTAGTTGGTGTCTTGCTTTCTGTCGCTGACCAACATTATCCTTTACAGGTGGCCTGCTCAAGGGAGCAACAGACGAGAACGGCAATCTCAAGGCCGCTGCATTGATGGTCGGTCTCAAGCTGGACCTCGAGGCCGAGATTCATTTGACTGCTCGAGTTCGTGGAGATATCACGATCGGGCTATACTGAGCTGTCGAAAAGGCCGTGCGACGTGTGATCAGCAGTCTGCTCTGCTCTGAACGTGAAGGTAGGAGGGCATACAAAACGACTAAGCTTGGTTGCTGGTTCAACATAGGCAGTTTTGGTAGCTTGGCCCTCGAGTCCTGGGGATTGGGTCTGCACGAGGATCATTTTGTACAATCAGAAAGCTCGAAGCAGCGAGGTTCATCGCTGAAGTATCCCATATGGTCCGAATAGGGCTGTGGGTTTTCCTCTGAAGGCGACTGGTATCCTGACAGAGCCAGACGCTATATGTCATGTCTGCAAATGAGCAGCATGAGAAGACTGTTCCTTAGAGAGCCTCGACCAATGAGAAAGACTTTCAATGATATCAGTGAGTGCTTTTAGCCCGAGATCTCAGTGAGCCCATAGATATTGGCACTGATCCATCTTGGCCAGGGTAGGTGAGACTCGGCGGAGGTGCTGATGCAGACCGGTGCCTGCGAAAACCATAAGTCCCACTAGACGGGAATGTCTCTCTATGTGCCCGAAGCCATTGAAGCCTTGGTTCTGGTAAGCACGTAGAGCCAGTAAAATATTGGTGGCCGGTGCACAATATGGGTCGACTCATTTCGGTCTCTGGACACTTCTGGCTCTGGGACTGCTATCTGCTCTTTATATTCCAGCCGCCAGAATGTAGCAGGTCCCACCACTTGGCCGTCAATGGCTTGCGAGTCTCCCTCTGTATCGCTGTTTCCGGCTGTCCCCACTCCACTTTGTGTGTTCGTTTCCAGAAATCCAAAACGGTCCCCAGAGTAGGATATAACAATCCAGCGACCTCCAGCAGCAGTGACGGCGGCAAGGTGTAGAGCGAGCACTTCTACCGGTGGCAGTGATACCGGAGAGGGTCCGTCGTCGTCACCACCAGCCCACGTGGAGAGAATGGTGATGTTATCTCCACATGCAATGGCATCACTGGTGCTTTTGTCGACGATGAAGTGGAAGAGCGTGTCGTTATCGCCCGTGAGTGATTGCACGCTCGGTAGCGAGAGGAGATCAGCTGTACTCCAGCGCATTCGCCTTTGGTCCGTGTCTTCGCAAGGATCACCGTGAAAAGTTCTAGACGCAGTGATGTACTCATCCTCTCTCCTCCTCCCGATCTTCACAGCTTCCTCGGAGTAGTCCACGTTGTGAACATGGCTTGGGCAACAAACAAAATTTCTCAGATGCAGTGACAGGTCCGAAGTCCCACAGCCGATGTGTAGAATGTAAGGCCCATGCGGTACAGCGTCGGATACTACTCCTGTGCAGTCCGCACTGTGGCCGATGAATCTTTCCAAGATCCCGACCGTATCGTCAAGCGGAAGAAGCCATTCGAAAGGAGTTTGCGACGCAGTAAAGCGGTCCTCCCAGTATGATTGTGAAGAGAAATCCGTCGGTGCCATTTTCGCTCGATACTGATCGTCACACTGATTTGCCGCTCTTCGAGTGCTTCTGGTATGGACAAGAAGGCGGATAGACATCAATTGCCATCCTTCGTTCAGTAGTAACGACCGTGGTGTGAATGTTTTAAATTTTTTGGCTGTGGTTGATGCTTGATTACCTCATGGCTGGTTTAGCGAGGCTTTCCATCTCACAGCTCCCTATCTGGCATCTAGCTCCAGTGGGCCCCATTCTTGAGGCGCCGAAAGCGACGCCAATGGTCTGTCATTCAAGCAGGGAGTCACCATGGCAGTCAAGATAAATTCTCGAGTGATCTTGACGAGGTCAGGATCGCCAGTTGCAACTGCAGGGGCAAGCGGCTCCAACAAGTCGAGGCATACTGTGTACCGAGGCTTGGACTAGTCAATTAACGTGGTAGGTTAAGCTTGCCTAAGTTAGCGAGGGTTCCCTAGGCAGTTAACAAGGTAAGTTTAGGGGGCTAGGAAGCTAGCCTGGGTGCATGATGGCGCCCAGGTGCCGAAGAGAGTTAGCCGCGAACCCCCTATCTCACCTTATCACCCTTATCTCGCCAATCTAAGCGCCCGAGACTTCGAAAATCCGGGGGCATCCTTCGCACCTTCGTGGCCCCATTGGTTTTCCAAAGTCGGCTACAACAACCTTCTCCTTTATTCTGAGATCCAATACCAAAAGCCGTACCAACAAAGATGAAAACGAACCATCATACTATGTAAAACTCATCCAGGGTTCAGAACATGTTAAAATGCCAGGGTTATGCGCAATATTGACTCCTGTCCAATGGCGACTGGCGACATAGCATCGTCCGCAACATGAAACGTCAATCGTATCGCCTTTCGCGTGGTACCAACTCTGGAAGAATCTGCAAAGCCCAATGCCTTCAATGCGGCAGGAAGATCACTGACAAGTCGTGAAACTAATGCGCGCGATGAGCAGTCCGTCGGCAGCGCCCATGCCAGAGACTATGGCAGAAGACCATCGGTATATATCGCGCAGATGTTCGCGTTGGGACCGCCGCCCGAAATGCCAACCCACAGTCATTCATCTCCGTTCACTTCTCTACACCGCGCGCAGGCCGTGCCTTTTATCACTCATTTTTGCGACTCAGAGTTCTTCTTTGCTGTACTTTCCTTCGACTTGGCACATGAGAACTAGTTGCTTGACAAGACAACACAACTTGACTGTCTAGCTGGCTCGTCCCAATTGCAGATCCCCTCCTGAACAACAACTTGAGCACGAGAACAACAATCCTCTGAACATCGAACAAAATGCATTTCGCCGTCGTATTTCTCCTCGCGGTCACGCTCCCAGCTCTTTCCGTCTCTGCCCAAGGGCATCGCGGTGGAGGCGGTGGCGGGTTCGGTGGTGGTCGTGGTGGTGGTAATGGTGCTGGCGGTGGCAATGGCGCTGGTGGTACTGCGCCCAGCACCTTCATCACTGTGACCTCCGCCGCCCCAGCAGCTACTACTTCTTCCGCCGGTGCGGCTTCCGGAGGTGGAGGCGGCTCTGCCACTGTCGACGGCTCCTCGTGTCCTGCCTTCGGCATCACCGCAGGCGTAAAAGCGAGTGACGGAACTGCGAACTGTGCGGGCGACAATGGGGTGGATATCCCGTAAGTCAAGCCCGAACTGCCACACACATGCCCTACCGGTCTGACATTGACATTGCGAAATAGATGCAACTGCCCACCAGACTTGAACACCTTCACCAGTTTCCTGGGAACAGTGGTGGGAGGCGGCGCCCAATTCCCAAGTGGTATGTCTTTCCCTCGACTAACTACGCGCTGGCTGCAAGGTCCACTGGCTGATACTAGTAACCATGTCAAGGCACGTCCGCGGCAGACCAACTTACGCGATTGCAGACATGTCTCGTCGCGCTGCAGAACTTCCAGGGAGGGCTCGGAAGTGGCGTTGGATGCCCCATAGTCGCTACGACCTGGAAGGAGCTGCAGGCTCAGCTGCAGGCCGAAGTCTGAGTAAAGCAGGGAGAGAGCTCTGCCAAGCGATGCAGCAGGGCACTTTTCGAGTTCATCCCCATTTGGCTAGATGGAGGAATGACTGGGTTCTTTAGTCCTCAGGAAACAGTGTGGGCAACAGTACATCAGGCGCATAGGGGGTGGCTGACATACACGATACTAGTAGGAAGGCATAGTCATACAAAGTATGTGTGACACCATTCATGAAAATGCATGCTGTAAATGTCGGCTTACGTGTCAAATTTAAGCGCCAAAAAGAGCGCGACCTGAAACCTCCAGCCGCTGTTACACTGAACACTCAAGTCTGAACCATTCTGGTCTCTGCGGATGACGAATCAGGCGGTGAGGAATCGCCGTTTGCACCTGCATCAAGCCGTGCATTTCAGCCAGGTCCTTCTCGACGTCGTACAATCTGCAGTCGTCTTTCCGTCGAGGCTGATCGATATAGACGAGTTCGTGTCCGTACACTGGAGAGAGCAAATGGCAGCAATCCACACTGAAAGCAATTGGGCACATAGTTGCAGCACTTCAACGCTGACATTGCAAGCCGGAATCAACCGCCTGAAAGGCCTTGTGACGAGACGACACGGTCTGAAGTTGAATCCAAGACTTATGGTACTCCAAGATCAATCCTTTGACGACGCCAGTTGTACATACCGCTTCTCAAGCCACTCCCTCGCTGTGTAAACCTTGTCATCGATCCCATCCGAGAATTTCCCACCCACTTTGACCCGATTGTCTGCCGTATCAAATTTCCCCACCGGCTTCATCAAGCTATGATGTGTGGGTCGAACGAAGTACACAACACTGACCCTTTCCATGCCCGCCTGGGCGCCAGGCGACGGCACGACACGATGTTTGGCACTCTTCATTGTTCCATTGGAGAAGTGGACCATGGCATCTCCGAGATTGATGATGGCTCTTCCAGGCACTGGTTTGACGTATTCCCATTCACCGATGCGACCCGGGGTCCGCGATTCAATCTGCAGCCCGCCGAGCCAGTTGAACAAGATCGTGACGCTGCCAAAGTCGGTGTGCGAGGCAAGTCCAATGTCAGACTTTGATGCTTCCGATGGAGGCTTCAACGTAAGGCGGATGTGGTCTCCTGATGATTCGTGGAAGAGATTGCGGCTGACGAAAATTTCCTCGTCCTCGCCCGACGCGCGAGCCAGTGTGCGGAGGATGTCCATGGCCATCTCGTGGGCACCCTTACAGAACTTCTGTAGCAAGGGTTTGGAATTCTGGATAATTTCGGGATACGTTCTGCTTGGGGCGACATCAAAGAGGCAGTCCTTTCCAATATTGAAGAACTCGGTGCTGTCTGGACGCTGAGCCTTGTCTGTTGTCTTGACAGTCCCAGCTGGTTTGTAGCCGAAAAAGGATTTTGTCTTACGGAAGTCGTATTTGTCTTTCTCTTCAAAGGGGAGAGCAAGTGTCTCTTTGCTGAGGTCGTAGAGTTGGTCGGCCTCCTCAAGGAGGTTGCGACCTTGATCAGAATCGGTCACGTCAAGATAGAAGAAACCGTAAGTCTGACATGCTTGCAAGACTGCAGCCGTGGTTTCCGGGTCCTTTTCTAAGAGCCTTTTGGAGGAGATCTCAGCAATCGGTGCATGGATGAGGTCGTCAGGGAAAGGTGGAAGACTCCCGTAGAGCTTGGTTGTGACGGTGGTCGTCTCGGTGGCCATACTGATCGGCGACAGCTGAGTGCGAGGCAATACTGCAGGCAGACCAGATGCAGTCTGAGAAGAGAATCATGGTCCCCTTATGCTCTTTGGGGATATGCGGGTTATATGGTGACTGGAACTGCCGGGTTTCTCATGAGCCCGGACTCAGAGGATTCCTTCTCCACACAGCACCTCTTCCCCCGCCTGGGACCTCGGACAGGTTCCGCATATTGGGTGTCCTGCAAAGGGCTGCGATGGGGCTGAACCCTAGGCCTTGTAACCAATCATATTTCTCGAGAGCATTGAGGTATTACTCGTACAATGGTCCGACATTCGTACAGCAACTGTGGGCTTCTGCCGCTTACCGTAAGCACGAGCAATGGCAGCGAAGGAAGGACACCTCGTGATGTTGATGCTCGTCGATCGAGAAGAATGAGTGCCAGTAGGGGAGATCAGACTTGTCAGGAACGAAGGAGCAGCTGATCGGTACTCGGATAGACAACGGTGAGCTGGTGAGAGGAAGAGATGTCGTGCATGATAAATTCTCGAGATGATGGTATGGGATGGTTCGTGGATGGTGTACTCGTCATTTCTCACCTTCGGCGGCGAGTCACATTAGTCACGTGCTGTGACACCAATGACTCGTCGCTAGGCAATGCGGTCCCCCTGCCACGCTGTGTTGATGAACTGAACTCCTGATCATTAGGGACAGAAGACACGGATACTTGATACTCAAGACTGACATCCTTGAAGCATTACTGTCGTTCTTGTCTGTTGTTATGCCCTTTCGAGCCGCTAGTCGGGGGAGAGAGTAAGTGAGCTCAAATGACCTGACGACATTGCGGACCTTTCAAGGTCCTCGATCTTCCATTTGATTGCGTTGCCACCTCCAAGTCTTTACTTGGAGAGTCCACGATCATCATCATCAAAGAGAGCATGCGAGGGACCACAATCCGATAGTATCGACATGGGACGAACGCAGCCGTCCCTTGGACTGGCGCCACCGGCTCAGCGCAAAGATGCGAGGGCCAAAGCAGCTAGATTGACCGCACACAAAACTATTCCCGCATTACTAACCAGCAGTGCCAGAGCGCGTAAGGGCGTCGAGGGAAGCACGCTGATTGTTGACAGCCCCATCCCTGGTGGCGAAGTTGGCGAAAAGGAATCGGGGAAGCAAGGAAATAACGGAGATGACCACGGCGACAGGGTCAAGGTCCGAATAGTTGTCGATGATACGCTTGCTGTTGCAAGGGCGATGAGTCAGACCGCTGAGGCTGGGACAGACGAAGGCAAATCATCATCCAGGCCCAAAAGGAACGTCACTGTGCTCAACATGGCAAGCCCGCTGCTGCCAGGCGGAGGGTTCCTCAATGGAGCGACGGCGCAAGAAGAGACTCTGTGCAATCGTACCACCCTGTACCCGGCATTGAGGGATGAATTCTACCGCTTGCCGGAAGTGGGAGCCATATGGACAGAGGATGTAATGGTATTCCGAGACGAGTCCGGAAAAGACCTAAGCAAGCGAGAGCGATGGTGGGTTGATGTCATCAGCGCCGGTATGCTACGCTTTCCAGACGTAGAACGGGAACACGAAGAGCAAAAGTACACAAGTTCCAAGGACAGACACACTGCAATCGAGAAGATCAGGTGTGTCATGGAAATACTCAAATCGAAAGGCGTGGAGAAGTGTGTGCTGGGAGCCTGGGGCTGCGGTGCGTACGGCAATCCAGTCCCAGAGATCGCGAGAGCCTTCAAGAAGGTGATCTTGGGCGAAGCCAAAGGCCGTAAGACTGGCAAGGGGGTTTGTTGGGGCAGCCTGAAGGAGGTAGCTTTTGCGATCAAGGATGGGAAAATGGCCTTGGAATTCGGAAAGCACTTTGGGGTTGAGGTGGAAATTGAAAAGAAACCGACGTTTGATGAACAGGAGGAGACGAATGAGGAAGAAGAGCGAGCCGCTGAGACACTCAGACACCTCGAGGACAAGATCAGGGAGCTTGATCTGCGTATCAGTCGGTCCAAGAATCCAGCTTTGAAGGCTCCCCTGGAGACCATTCGTGCCGATCTCGAACATCAGCTGGCGCTGAAGCAGTCATCAGCCACTGCCAACTCCGACAGCCTGGACGAGGAAGACAGTGAGAGCCAGAATGAAGATGGCACCGAATCTGAATGAGGTTGAGCTTCTAGCGGGCCCGCCATGTGCATACTCCTGCTCCGCTTTTCTTCAACTTGTGTCGCGGCTTGAAAGCATCTTGCCACGAGGTATGACTCATCAAGTGATGGCTCTATAACTTACATGGTGCGTTTCGCAAGTCGTCCGTCGACAATGATCTCTCGGTTAATACGGGGACATTATTATGGTGGGACTTCTGGGGAAAACCTCCACGGCTTATCCTTTTGTGGAGAATCTTCAGCTCACTCTAGCAATCTGCTCGCGGGGTCGACTGTCCGTGTCAAGTGTCAGATCGAATTCTGCCCCGAATGTTGGCGGGGAGGTATGTTTTACCAGCTGGAAATACCCCCAGAGCTTCACACGGATCGTCGACAACATCTCCATGACTTTACTGCTTACGATGAACGTGTGTCTTGACCTACGTCGTTAGCAAGACGGATGATTGGATAGCGAGAGGGACGCGAACCATGGACGGGACATAGTGATAGACTTTTCCAACGACACATTAGGCCCGTCATCGCGCTGGAGTTTGCAACGACCACAGTACTTCAACATTCGCAGTCAAGGAGTCGAGTTATCGACCCAGAAGGATATTTTGCTTCAATTGAGTGCTGTGTCTACGCGGGTTCCGAAATCTTGCCCATTCCAGATTCACAATGGTATTGACAACTGTTCTTCCCATCGCCGGTGGCTTACTTTGCGCCTTCTTGTTCTATGCGTTCGTCTTCGTTGGCCGACGCGAGAAAGGCCTTCCTCCCGGTACGTGGCACTCCGCTGCTGCTGGGTTGCCGCATGATCGGACTAGATAGATATGCTGACTGCCTGGGTTCGTCTCAGGCCCGCCCACCACAGCCATCATAGGCAACGCTCATGATATACCCACCAAAGGTTCATATCTGAAGTAAGTCAGCATGGAAGCCCCCCTAGCACAACCATTTGGCATATCTTCCTCTTGATGAGACAAAGCTGACCACCTTTCATGAACAGGTTCACAGAATGGGCTAAGGTACACGACATACACTCCCTCCTATTCAGTTGAGACTGACCCAAGCCTATCCAGACCTACGGCGGCATCTTCTCGCTCAAACTGGGCCCAGCTACCGCCATCGTCCTGACAGACCGGCATCTCGTCAAACAACTCATCGACAAGAAATCAGGCATTTACAGCAACCGCCCGCACAGCTACGTCTCCCACAATCTGATCACTGGAGGCGACCACGTGCTCGTAGCGCACTATGGTAAGGTCTGGCAGCGCTACCGCAAAGTCATCCACCAGCACTTCATGGAGAGCATCGTCATGAAAGATCATTTGCCCCTACAGCAAGCTGAGGCCAGCCAACTGCTTCACGACTTCCTGGTCCAGCCGGACCAGCACATGTGGCATCCAAAGAGGTACACGAACAGCATCGCGTGCGGGACAATCTGGGGTGTGCGCAGTCCCACGATTGACACCGAGCACATGCACCGTCTGTACAGTTTGATGGAAGATTGGTCCGTCGTGATGGAACCAGGTAGGACACCGCCAGTGGATATCTTCCCAGCATTGCATTATGTTCCAGAGGCTGTCTTTGGCAACTGGCGGTCCCGCGCGAGTGAAGTTGGAAAAGCCATGAATGGGCTGTACAACGACATGCTCACGGGACTCGAAAAGAGGCGCAAGGCGGTCGGACCCAAGTACAGCTTCATGGACAGGGTTCTTGATCAAAAAGACAAGCTCGAATTGACCAGGCATCAATTGTACTTCTTAGGTGGAACGATGATGGAGGGCGCAAGTGATACAAGTTCAAGTATCATTCTCGCCGCCATACAGGCGTTCATCAAGTGGCCAGAGGTGCTGCGGAAGGCACAAAAGGAAATCGACAGTGTTGTCGGTGAAGACAGAAGTCCCGTTTGGTCGGACTACGCAAGTATGCCGTACGTGGCAGCCACTGTCAAAGAAGCGATGAGATGGCGTCCAGGTCCGTTCCCCTTCTCCGTTTGAAGGTCATGGCATTTGCAGCACTGCCGGACTTTTGCTGACTGTTTGCAGTGGTACCCTTGGCATTTCCACATGCTGTAGACCAAGGTAAGTCGACGAAATCTGAACATGAGGATACTTCGAAGAACGACAGAGCTGACCACCACATCAGATGACTGGATTGACGGATACAGGATCCCAAAAGGCTCGGTGATCTTCATCAACGCCTGGGGCATGCACCACGACGAGAAGTACTTCCCTAACCCTGATGTGTTTGACCCGGATCATTACAAAGGCGTCACAGCATTGGCGTCGGAGTTAGCCCAAGCCACAAACCCAGATGATAGAGACCACTATGGCTACGGCTCAGGTAGACGCCTGTGCCCAGGTATTCATCTTGCGGAGAGAAACTTGTTCCTCGCAATTGCGAAGCTATTGTGGGCATTCGACTTCAGGCCCGGAAAGGATGACAATGGAAACATTGTCGAGCCGGACGTCGATCCCAAATCAGGCTACAGCGAAGGATTCTTGATATGCGCAAAGCCTTATGCCCTTGACGTTCAAGTTCGGTCGGAGAAAAGACGGGAGACGATTCTCAAAGAGTATGAAGAGGCAAAGAAAGACATCCTCTCCGCTTATGATAGCTAGATGTTAGGGACGAGTCCAGTGGCACGAGGATAGGCTGCTCTTCCAGTAACTAGGGGTTAGGGAATACCTGAATGCAAGAGGCTCGTAAACCGAAATAGTCGGCAAAGATGCAAAAAGTTTGCAAATAGGCAATGATCATTCTGAGTAATGTAAGCCAGGGTTTCAGAGACACTCAGGACGAAAAGAAACCGACCTTTTGGCTTGCAGCCCCATTTCCATCCTCAATGTTCCGAGTACCCTGAATTGAAACACGCTTGTAATGATTCGGCGGTCCGGCTATGGTCCGGACGGCTGAACCGCATACTCCGGTCTTGCCCGCCGCTGAGGGACATGGGTTGGAGGGACAACCCCAGCAGTTCGAAGCCGTTATGCCATCGGTTAACGAAATTCCTCCCTGATACACTAACGCAATGAGCCTGCGCCGGCAGAATGGGTTGGATCCAGAGCATAACAATGGGCGCAGAGGCGTCCTCGAGCCTATATTGTAGCAAAGCAGAAGTTTGGCACAATCGTACTAAGTTGATGTTTTTGTTCTTGATCGAAAAAATGCGAGAAAGAATCCATCAAGTCAGCAGATCGGCAACGTTCATCGGCATTTCGTCAATCTGGGTGGAATAGTAGAGTTCGATGTCGCGCAGAATGCGGACGTCTTCGCTGGTTACGAAGTTGATGGCGACACCCTTTCGACCGAATCGTCCGCTTCGACCAATTCTGTGGATGTAGTTCTCTCGATTGCTTGGAAGATCGTAATTGATGACAAGACTCACTTGTTGGACGTCGATGCCACGAGCCCAGACATCAGTGCTGATCAAGACGCGGCTGTTACCCTGTCTGAAGTCGGACATGATGCTGTCGCGTTCCTTTTGTGGCATTTCTCCATGCATGCTACTGACGGTGAAATTTGCCTCACGCATCTTGTCGGTCAGCCAGTCGACCTTGCGCCGCGTATTGCAAAAGATCACCGCTTGTGTGATGGTCAAGGTATCGTAGAGATCGCATAGGGTGTCGAATTTCCATTCCTCCTTTTCGACTGCGATGAAGTATTGTTTGAGCCCTTCCAATGTGAGTTCGTCACGTTTCACGAGAATTCTGACGGGGTCCGTCATGAATTTCGTAGTCATGTCAAGGACATCGTATGGCAGAGTTGCGGAGACAACGACAACTTGCGTGGCTGGCGGGAGGTATCGGTAGACGTCATAGATCTGCTCTCTGAACCCACGATTAAGGAGTTCGTCTGCTTCGTCTAGTACCAGCATCTTGATGTGTCTTGTTCGGAGATGTCGTCGTCGGATCATGTCTGCCACTCGGCCGGGAGTGCCAGATACAACATGTTGACCGTAGTCGAGTTTTCTGATGTCCTCGCCAACGTTTGTCCCGCCAATACAAGCGTGGCACTGCACGTTCATGTAGTCTCCCAGGGCCATTATCACGCTTTGAATCTGGGTGGCTAGTTCTCGAGTAGGTGACAGAACCAAAGCTTGAGCTTGTCAGCAATAGTGGCGCATAGCCTGATGTTGTCCGTACCTTGTGTCTCGCGAACTGATGTTTCCAGCACCTGTAGAATACTGATGGAGAAAGTCGCTGTCTTGCCAGTACCCGACTGCGCCTGCGCAATGGTATCTCGTCCTTTGCAGATTTGGACGATAGCACGGGACTGAACTGCCGAAGGCGACTCGTACCCGTAGGCATAGATTCCGCGAAGGAGATTTTCCTTGAGGTGCATGTCCTCGAAGGTAGGTGCGACCGTCACCTCTTTGGAGGTCGAGAACTCCATTCGGTCTGTACCTTGGTGAGTAGGCTTTGAAGCAAGTCTCGATAGTGTTGCTTACCTTCTGCATTTCGGTCGATACCTTCAGCCATATTACTGTCAGCCATATTGATGGCTCGCTGGTTGGAAACAGGTGATCGTAACCGCAAAGAAGTTGGGTAAGGCTGGTCTTCCTTGGGAAGATATTCTGGCGCAGGCAATTTGCTCGAAAAGTCGGCCGCAGCCTCCTCAACTTTGGCAGGTAAGCCGAGGACAAATGATTGGTACGCCTGTTCTGCTGACTAACAACAAGATTCCACTGCACTTCATCTTTACATTGTACAAGTGAGGCTTTCCTTCAGACTCCCCTGGAGCATCCTTGTGCCTGACATGGCTGCTGCAGCTAATCAAACAGCGCTCCGAAGGTGGCTGTTGACGACTGACCGCCTTCATTTGGAGAGTTTGAGCCTGCACAGAAAGTGCTTTGTGCGCTCAATAACCCAGTGAAGGTAAGATATCTGCCGTATTGGCTGGATTAGTGAAGATTCTGCGATGAGGGTATTCACCCGATTCTGCGAAGAACGCGTGTCCGCTTGACTGAAGTAGGATGCTGCCTGGCGGCTGTGGTATCTTTCTGCCAGACAGATCCCCCTCACTTTGGAAGCGACAAGCTCAGATGACCTCCTCTTCAGACACATTGATTGCCAGGCACGAACTGGGTGAACTTTCTTCGAGTAATGGCAGACGAACAACCTCGCACGCAGGCTTACGCTTGCACGCATTGTGATCAACCAGCAACGAGTTGGTGCTCTGGCTGTCGCGAAGGGGCCACCTTTGTGGAAGGTGCAAACAGCACCCCATACTGCAGCGCCGAGTGCCAGAAAGCAAACTGGGACTCTCACAAGTCGGCATGCAAGCGCCTTAAGCTTACCAAGAGCTTGTATCACGCAGGCGACATTCTCAACACTCTCTGGCCCCTCCTACGTTCGCAAACCAGGCAATCGACCGTCGACGAGGTTCACGTTGGAAACAACAAGATTGAATTCTGGGAAACGCTTGAGACAACCAGATGCCGTGACGACCTCAACCCCCTTGAAGGATTTCCTGGTGACAAGAACGTTTCTCGAGCAATCCTTGACGTCTTCCAGATCACGGATCGTGAAGTCATCTGCAGCTTAGGTGTTCTCCTTCACAAGCTTCTCGCTGGTGAGTTCTCGCACCTGAACGCTAAGGCCTCTTGAAAGCGAAAGCAGGAATCTAACTCTATGTCTTGCAGGCGTATGTTCCCAGATTCAAACACTCGAACTCAAGATCAAGAATCCCAAGCTTGTGGTCCAATGCCATCAACGTAATGTCCCGGAGGGAGCCTACTACGATCTTGGCCTGGTGGATGCTCGAGTCTTGACCGATCTCCGAACTCCCGCGTTCCTCCCGGGAGACGAGGAACCAGCCACGCATTACATTTTCCGTGTGCGCCTCAAGGGCAGTGGTGAGGACTTTGCCATCGACATAGCCAACGCCAAGTATGGACACTTCGACACGGTCGTGCCATGGGACACATATCTCGGTCAACGAGTCTCCCGTATCATTCGCGGCAATATCACTCCCAGCTACAGCGCATGTTTCGCGCCACCAGAGGCCCATCTCTGTCGTATCATCGCACTGTCCGAATTCAATACCTTCCGCATGAAGCATCTCATCGAATCTTGGCTGGAGAGGAATCACCTTGGTTATGGCACGCTCGTGTCGCTCAGCAAGCCACGCTTCGCAGAGAAGCTTGCAAATCTCGAAGGATTTGCCGCGACGGGCCTGCGCGAGAGCTACCCGGACGCTACGAGATGTGCGAACCTCGTCGCGAAGATTCGTTTTAGCAACGAGCGTGATGGGCTGGATGGGCTTGAACGAGAACGTGTGGCACTGATGACGGAGAATGGGGTGCTTCAGGCAGCTGAGGATACTCCAAGAGCCTTCTTGTTCGGAATTGAGTAATGATAGATTAGAGCACAGAGCACAGAGCACAGTAGTATGTACATACTACGATCATTGAAGACATAGCACCAATACATGGTGGAATTTTCAATGGAACACGTCCAAAATACTATGGGCGTCCTACTAAGGTATCTCAGTGCGAATCGTGTGATTTGACGCTAGGATGCCCTTCGACTGCAAACAGCAGCGAACACAGTTTATGTGCCAGGATGCCGTTGAACGACAAACACCAACGAGCACGATTTACAAGCCAGGATGGCCTCCTGTTCAATGCGATGCCCAAGGTGCTGCTTCGACGCTTCTCCCGCCTGTAGCATTCTGCGCCTTGACCAACGGCGATCTACAAATAGGTACCAGGTAGTCGTCAAATGTATCGCCGGAGGGCGGCATCACGTCAAAAGAACTTCCTTCTGAGGGTGTCCGACACACGACGTACACAGTACAGCCTGGACCGGCGCCTCTTTACAGACGAAAGATCAAACATTCCAAATGGCTAAGAAACGGACACCTCGCATGGCTTGTTACCATCTAACGCCCTGGTGCGCCTAGTGTGCCTCTCCTCCCGACTCCAGTCAAGCGTGCTCAAGCGAACGCGGTACTGTATTCTCCTTGAACCGAGCTGGATTTGGCTTGCACGCGGTGCTAACTAACTCTTTGGCACGAACGGGCATTATTTTCTCCTTTCGCTTGGGAGGCGACGGAGGTTTAGCGTGGGGATGAGTACTCCGTAAGTAAGGTCTCTTTTCTTCTCATCTCGCTTTGAGAATCAGGCTGGCTAGCTGTTGCCCGATGGACGCTGGACGCTGGACGCTGGACGCTGGACGCTGGACGCTGGACGCTGGACGATGGACAGTAAACACTACTGGCTCCAGCCTTCGACAACAGCCCGACCCCGTATTCCAAGACCTTGGAGGCTAGCGAGATGATCGATGCCGCTAGATCCGACAGCGAAGTCTGGGACTCTGGGGTTCCATGATCCATCACAATGACAATGGTGCTGGAACTTGCCGCCCAGCGAACGTTTCTCCACCGTGTATTGTGTTAACTCGCACCAGGAGCAGGATTGCACCTGCATGGGAGGAGAGCAGAGCAGTTTCAAAGCACCTGTCCTGACGTTGGATAAGCGGCATTGATTAGGTATTGTGCAGAAATCGGCGATGGGCAGACACAAGATTTCCAACCGACGTGGCTGGCTTCGACCCTGTTCGGAAGACAAGAGGAATGCTGACTCCGGGCTCCGAGACCCTCATATAGGCCCTTTCATCATGATATCGCAGTGCTAGCATACCCAGAATTTTACAAACGGAGCAAACTTAATGAACAAATCCCAACCAGCCTTGGTATCGACAAGTACCGCGTGTAGTCTAGCATCACTCCGTAATGCATCTCAGCTGTCGGCCCTCGACTTTACTTTCTCCCGCGCCCGCATCGTCAGCCATGTCTCATTCTTCTGCAGGTGTCACTATCCAAGACACCGCTGGACATGCATGCAGTGTGATTACCTTCTCACGTTTTCACACCAAATATTGACGGACGCAAGCGCCGGCATTATTTTCCGTCACTGACCACAGCGCGTGGAAAAGGGGGTCAAGTGAAAAAAACAAAAAAACCACACATCCTACTCCGTATGGAGTATGGCTTATTGCTGACCCCAGTTTTGGCGCTCATCTTGTTGACGACCAAAGATAGGGCCAGCCAACCCCGCTTAGGACAGATCCCAATCCTACTTGTACTGTAGTACTCCGTAATTCCCCAGAACCGCAATTCCTCGGACTGGAGACTGTCACATCGTGCCAGTTTTCAATTCTTTAGGTAAGAGGTGCCCCAGAGGGCTTGCAACAGACGAATTGAGGTCGACGCCATCTCGGCAAAAGCAGGGCCCGAGCGCCTTTTCGGAGTTGAGTTTGTGGGGAGTTGATGGGAGCCATGGGTCGCTCTTGGGACTAGGCATGACCACTGAGTACTGCGATAGGCCCATGTGGGCTTCATTCGTGGGCGAGATGGGTCGTGATGGGCCTAGTGTAGCCTGAGTTTGCCAGGCTCGCAGGCTAAGGCCCCAGATTTTCAACCCCGCACAAAACAAAAAGCCAAAAAAAAGAGTATCGGAGTCAGGGATGACGGGGGGTCCAGGGAAAGACAAAATTTGTTGTGGTGTGCGGTGTGGAAAAATTGATGCAAGGGGGCCAACGAGTGAGCGAGTCGCGAGGCCAACGAACTTCGACGAGAAAGCGATGAGGTGGACTAGTCAGCTCAGTCAGGCTGGCTGCGGACAAGGTTGCAGCCTGGTACTCGTACGCCCTGGCACCTCAGTTCCTGATAGCCCCCTGCCCGCGGCCAAGCCCGATTTCTTGGTGAGGCGCCTGACCAAGCCTCGTCGTGCACAATACTGTGTTGTTACTAGTTAGCTGTGGCGAGAGCCGCCGACCTCATCTCATCATGAGTCGGCAACCGAGACAGGTGACCACGAGCAACAATGATGGATGCCACAAGACACTCCAAGTCCAAGCCGGACGTCCTCCCATGGGGACCGGTGCATACACAGTGTCGGTCAGTTGATCGCGTGTTTGATTGACTGACAGGAGTACTCCATATCTCCAGCCCGGATGAGCTGCAAGAGGTGTGCAGCAGTCACCAGCATTTATTGCCTCGTGGAGAAAGTTACACTACAGTGACTGCAGAACAAGGATGGCTGGCGACTTGAGGCCTGGGACACTTTCGTCCGCGCTAAGAAGAAGCCTTCATGCAGCCTCGTAAGCCTCCCCAACCGCACCGTGATCACCACTTTTTGGAATCCTTTTGGTTGCAGCCATATTGTGACCAAAGGTGATGGGGTCTTATCTTCATGCATGACTCCAAGGGCAAAAAGGACCTTGGGATGTCATTTTGTTGGGCAAATGAGAATCGGGCACCTTGTCGCTTACAACTAGGTGAAAGTGATATGACTCAAGTCCTTCAAGCGGTGCCTGGGAGATCGACTAGTCTCCCCTGATCGGACAGTGCGAGTCATCAACAAACCACCAGCTGGAGGATGACGGGCGCCTTCAATCGCAAAGAACCCCCAATAGAATGTGTATCCGACACTCGACTACCTCAGTCCAATCCACCACCACTCTGACGATAAAGGGAAAGTGGTGGAAAAGTCCAAGGTCTGGACAGTCCATGGATCATAACCGGATCGTGTACGGAACGTACATCCACAAAGAAGGGAGAGGCATTTCGCTAGGTGGCCAGAGATACAAGGTGCAAAGACTCTGGGCGTGATGGATCGGATATTTGATCCTAGAGATTGACACTTCGGGACTGGTGATGGCCGTCTTCCAGACACAATAGCCTCCAGCACGATGCTTGCACAGGGTCATAGGACGGACGCAAGGCACGGCGCGGATCATTGATCCTAAGCCGTGACTCTGGTCTCCTAAGACTCGTGTGATCACATACTGTGTAGAAGTACTCGTACACTATTCAATGGAGCCCTGAGTTTCACCATGCAAGATAAACCTGTCGTATGTGTCGATCGATCGAAAAAAAACACTCCGAGTAATCACTGCCAATTCCAATGGGAATCGTTCTCCGGGTTCAAAGATGGATACATTGGTCTGAGAGACCTGGCCATCCGCAAGGGACAGATGATGAGATTCGAGGTGCGTCGGACGACACCTGCAAGGGCAGTAACGCCTCGAACGTATCATGACGGTTTCGAAGGTCGCTAGTCCATAGTACACACTATCTGGGAAGAGACGGAATGCGCAAGTGGGCCGGAGATGGTCTCCGAAGGAAGGCTATCACAGCAAAAGCCGGCCTGGACTGGTGAAAGAGTTAGAAAGAGCAAGGACCAGGCAAATAGTAAGGAGACCGAGGGGCACGGCGATATTCGTAGAAGGTAGGACGAACAGGAGATTATCTTTGGTTCAGAGCAGGCCCTTTTGGACACTGCAATATTGTTTTCATTCTTGGGTCCCAAGCCTTTCTGGCTTAAGTGGGACATATGATAGATGCATCGAAATGCTGTCTGTAGGAGACTTGTACCCTTCTCGACATACCAAAGAAATTCGACGCCAAGCCGTGTGGTGAGATGAAGTGAACAAAGGAAATCATAGAAGTGGAGAGTGCTGTGCTCCAGGTAAGGGTACAAACTCTTGCATCTGTTCGATGCTGGCAGACAAATGCCATAACTCATCCCAGCCGGCACCCAATTCCAAATCCCATCCATATCCAGTCCTCCCAACACCAAGTTCATGTTGACGTACGCATCTTGTAGCACAGCAACAGTAACAATGCCCAACAAGGTCTTCAATACCTCGTGGCATGCGGAGGCACCAACCATCTAACGCTTCATGCAGAACAGCAACAGCAACAAGCCCCATCTTATGCAAGTCTCCTGCACAAAGACGACCTCGTCTTTCCGTAAACAATAACGCCAAAGAGTACTTTTTGTTTCCCTTTCCCAAGCTTATGCAATTCAGAAAACGTGGAAGAGAGGTATCGCCGTGCCCATCATCGTTTCATGTTCCCATATACTCGTCGAAAAATCAATGTCGTAGTGTGTGACGTGTCGTGTTTCAATTGCTTTGCATTGACACTCGTCGTCGAAGGGTTCGTGTCTGGTCGAAAGATCCCACATAGTCCTTCAAGTCGTTCTGAGCTTGCTCAGAGATCTTGGGAGAGTGAGGCCGAGAAGACGTCGAGGACGAGGACAGAGAGTTTGAGGAATTTGACCGGTGAATGGAGAAGTCGTAGGCAGGTGGGAGGTAGAAGAAGCCATTGGTGGAAATGGTCATGGAAGGACGTTGTGTGGTTGTGTAACTAGAAGCAGACGAGGTGGACGAGTCGGCCAGGGTGAAATGGTCGAGTTGGGTGAGACGGCAGGCTGAAGAACAGAAAGCTGTACCGTTCGTCTGTCTATCGCAGGACAAACAGAAGTCTCCGAGAAGGAAATCCATGCTTGTACGACTGAGTGTGAAGTCGAGGTAGGCTGTAGGCTGCAGGAAGTGGAAGGATTCGAGATGTCTTGGATGGTAGATGACGAGGTTATATGCTTGGGGTTTCCCAGGCCACAGACAATATGCCTGGGTGTGGCAGTGATGTGACAGTGATGGTGTGGACCAAAAGTCAATGGGAGGTCACGCAGGCAGGATATATCTCGTCGAGGCTGGAGGCTGACGGCTGATATACTCGATGGAGGTGTGAGTGGAACTAAATGGAGATCCCGTCTTAAATTTAGACAGAGAAGGGAAAGGGTGGTGATGAAGAGAAGATATATTATGTGCACAGGTCATGAATTCTCACAATGGAGGGAAGGGAAATGGATGTTTAGATAAAGAAAGTGAGGAATGGTTCGAGTATACCTGGTACAGAGGGATTGGCAAGTTGGATGGAGTGGATGGAGCCCTGGTGAGGCCAAAAGATGGCTGCATCGGCCGCTTAGAAGCTATGCCTAAATCATCCAGACCCCGCTTCTTTGGGTGAGTGCCTGCAGTTGTCTTCCTGCGCCCACTCCACCATCTCCTGCGCTGCTCTGCCCAGTCTCAACCCTGTTCTCTGCCCTCTCATTCCTCACGGCATCATCTGATTAGCCATCGTTGTCTGACTCCTCAGTCTTTTGTGCCATCACACCCTGGTCATGCTCTTCTGCAGCTAGCCAAATTCCTCACCTGCAGACGACCTAGGGTGCCCCAATCCTCCTTGGTTGGCCTCCCACGCAATCAAGGCACCACCCAATCATTCCTCGCTTTCAGGCAACCGCTTACCTGTCCACAAAAAGCTCAAACCGTGGATTTCAGGGTCGTGGAGAAAGCTCGAGCCAGAAGTGAGCCCTGCACCAACTGCCACGAAGCCTTTGGGGACGTGAGCTTGTGCCCTCGTCCCTGCAAAAGGCCAGAGGAGCATGAGCCAAGCCGTCTCGTAAGATGGCAGAAACACGCTCGAGCGCTCCTCACGCACGTCTTCTTCCATCAGGCACAAGTTTTCCCTTGAAACGCCTCATTGGTTTTGTCCTCGTTGGAGGCAAACTCCTAGCGGTTCCTCATCGCTGGTCATGGTTCTTACGGGCAATTCTCCGGCCATGTTTAGTCAGGTCATCATCGAAACGATGCTGTCTGTTTCAATAACTCTTGATCATTCTAAGCCACATGCCGTAAACTCGAGAGTCGAGACGCTGTCCAAGATTACGCCTCTCCGTCCCTTCCATTGTTTGGTCTGGGGACGAGCTGTCAAGGATATCTGCCCCGAGGTCTCATTCGTCGACCAAGCCACTATCTCCCGCACCATCAAATTTGCCATCCAGGGTCTGCCGCACCTCATGCACATGGTCCTGAGCTTCGCGGCAGCTGCGTGGGATGTTAGGCTCTTCTGAATGGCTCAATCACACCACGAGTGGCCTGCAGGGTTTGCCACACTCAGATTTTCTCCGTTATGAGGCACATTGAACTATCTAGTTCTTCTCAGCGGCATCGGAGTATGCAGTGAGTAGAATTTTTCATGGGCACCTGTGAGTGCGAACAATTCCGTACCGTGTGGCAATCGGTCGGGGACGGAGATCATATTCGGAAGCGTTCTGGAACGCGACAGGTGTTCAACATCTTTGCAAGAAAACGTATCATCTCTCGACAACATTTCTGTGGACGACGTCAGCATGCGATTGCTTCTCTCCCGATTTTCGATAGTATGCCCAGTCAAAGACGTCCAGCTCTGCCACCTCATGCCCAAGCTAGTCGAGATCGTTATCTTGACTTCGCACTGATCTTCCTTCGGGTTAGATCAGAGGTCATTAGGGAACAGCCGTCCGAGCTACTTGCGTCTTGTGCAGTAGTACCCAGTTCCTTGCACTGTTCATCGGCGGGGTAGTGCTTGCCCCATTCAGCTCCTCTCCCAGCATCATTGTGCGACTCAATTGCGTCCAACACAGTGCCTCGGATAACTCGGGCGGCCAACTTCGACTTCTTCGAGCAGTCGCCAGCAAGCTCCGTCCAATCGAGCAACGGTCGGGCGAATTAAGTGCTGGACGACGAGTTGTGGCACAAAAGTCGAGGGACACGCTTCGGCTCGCCCACGGAGTGAGCCGTGTCTTCGTCCTAGTCTGGCTCCACCACTGGTCCATCACTTGAATCAGAAGTGTTGTCGATGCTGCACCAACCTGACTTTTGACGCTACATATCAATCAGACGTGGTTTGCTGGGGTGTTTCTCGCTCAATCAAATGCGAATCTCGCTAACGTCGATCAACCGTGGAAGCTTGGGCATTTTCACGTCGAACCCCGAATCATGCGTCGAACACTAACCCTTGTTCCTAGTAGACAAGTGGCCAAGTCGACGTTTTCATGTTGGGTTCGATATGGCGTGTCCAACCCGTGCCATTCATGCTGCTATCCGCCGCCACGCCCAATGTTTCATAGTCTCACACTTCAGCAACAACAATCTCAACCCCGCTTGAGTCCGTTTTTCGAGCCAAATCATGGCCGACCCCAGACTATTGCTACTCCAAGGACCAAGTTATGCTGCTATTGTTCAGTTCGCAAATCAACAGGATCATTGCATGCATACACCATTTCCAACCACTGATGCGCCTTGGACAGATTTCAAACGGAGCTCGACAAGCGCGCATTGATCTCCTCGTACATCAATGTCAATCCACTGTCGGTCGTCGATCCTTTCACAGAGTTGACCTGCTCTTAAAGCACTTACTGGAGCATCCTCTGTCGCACAGACTCTTGGCTTCAAGGTTTGTACCACTGCTGAAGCATGCTAACTCAGATATTATGTGCCGTACTATCCGAAGCATTTGGAGCCGTCGCTGAAATTCAGAGTTTGTCTTCTTATCGAGGGTCGAAGTGGTCTGGCAGACTGGCACGTTGCGCAACCCCACGCTATTGACAGGACTCTGGCACGGGCCGACTCAAATTCTGAAATCCACTGATGACGCCGGCGAAAGCACGGGCGATGGCGGAGAACACTGGAACTGGAAAATGCAGCTGCAATAATTCGACTTGGACTGTTTATTGAGCCTTGAGGTGCAACGATCATCCTAACCACGCCGAATGAATGTAGACTACATTAGAGCCTCCTCATCAGCCTTTGCATGGGTCTCCTGCGCTGTATGCAGGCCTCCAGATGTCAAACTCGGGCCATCAGACGAGTCAACTCCTGGCCAAAGTTGGTTGTGTCTCAAATATCGCCAGCTCCATTGGACTGTCTGCTGACAGACCTATTTGCACATGACCAAGTTGCTATCTAAACTTCATAGTATGCACCACTGGATCAGTCCAAGCCTCTTTCGAGATGTGGATTGAGCAGCGTGTAGGGTAATCGCTTCGCATGAGGGTGGTCATCATGAACTATCAGCCGTCAAAGCGACATGAACCCCATGACCACGCAGGGGAGACACGTCGACCGGAGAACATCCCACGATATCAAGCATGCTATACTCGGCTGACATTTCCGCCGTCCGTCGCTTGAGGAGTCTTCTGTTGACGCGGCTCTCTCAAGGCTCTCAGTGAGTTGAACCACCCGTAGGTACTGCGTGCTGTCCGAGTGAAGCCCCAGCCGCATTTACTTCCTCATCTTCGCTATGTACCTGGTGCTATCTATGTCTCCTAGCGAGGTCCGGCCTCAGCTCGGACTACAGCGATGCATACCTATCCCCTACTGAATAAGGAAACACTCCCGAGGTGGCCTTGAGATCTGACTGCGGCGGAACATACGTCTGGACAGCCTTACATGCCCCTTGCAGACAGTGCATACAGTGTTTGTCCCGAAGGCGGATATTACTCATCATCGCTGAGCACATAGCCAGGCCGATGGCGAGATTGATGTCGATATGGGATCAGCTTACGGCCCAAAACGGCCATCGCGCAGGGCAGCACAACATTCTTTTGCGTCTTTAGTATGCCTGAAGCCAAGCAGCGGTGAGTATTGATATGTTGCTCCCCACATGTCACCCAAGACAGTCGACCTTGCCAGGATGATGTTCTTAATACCTCAGACAGTCATCGCTTCGAGTCGTCCCGAGCATCACGCACAATAGATACCAGTCTATCAGTTTTTCTGGCAGGAATATACAAAATGTATATGACATTATATGCAAAGACCAGAAATACATCCGGCCATCATCATGGGCAAAGATTTCTACTCTGCAGCAGACGCTCAATCGTTGCCGCGATGAGGCCCTCAGTCCCAAGCCTCACATGCTGAATATTTGCGCTTTCGAAGGTGGGTGAAGATCTGTCCCCAACTACTCCGTGAACCCATCACGCCGCTTCAACTGGCTGGCAAGGTTCAGTGTCTACTCCTCTCTGTTTTCTTGTTCGCCTTCTGCCATAGGAGTCGTCTTACTTTTTGATTCCCAAGCGGCCTTCACGCGCGGATCGTTGAGCTCCAATTTCTTGACTTGCGACAACCTCTCCGGAAGATGAGCACGAGACTTATCAAAGGACCCGGTATAAGCAGACGCCATCGGCCAGTAAATCTTCATAGCCTTCTTGCCGTGCGCCTCGACCGGTGATGTTCTCGCGTTTTCGCCCGTTGCCTCCCGCCCAACAGCACCGGGTCGTACTGATTCCTCAAGGCGTCGGCGCTGCAAATCCTCGCTTTGGGCTTTGTCCTCCAGAACGCGATAAAAGGGATCAAACAATGTTCTTCCTGGAGGCGCTACGTTCCTCCGCAAAGTAGAGTCGGATGATATTCCTGGCTGCCCGAAATAGTCATCGCTCATGACACGAGGACGCGACGCATCGCGACGAATGGTGTCCACGGTGTGAAGGAGGTTCCCTTCTTGTCGGTGAATGCGTTCCTGATATTCCAGATCGTTTTCGAGACGATCTTCTTGATCCATAGGTTGCAGTGAACGGTTGATCTGGCCGTCGAATCGCTCAGCTCGCTCAACGTCCCCTGCTGGATCTTTGTCGTGTCGGTCCACAACCTGGTCTATGTATGCAAGCTCCGTGAGAGGCACATGATCAAGCGGGGAGCGGCTGCCTAGGACCCCTGATCGGTCTGCTGGTACACAATCGCGAGGACGCTTGGGTATGTCCCCACGGATCTTTATTCCACGGAGAAGAACGCCTTGGAAGCGATCTTTCCGACGAGGCATGCGTCGAATGAATTGGTACGTGTTGGGCGCGATTTCTGGAAGGCGCGAGGTGAGGGAGTCATCGCCACGACGGGTTTGAAGACCGCTTTCCTTTATTACTGTCGCAAGATGGACCGTTGTAAGATAAGTCGGTGTGAGGAAATCGGGACTGGTCTTTTCCCCGGCCCTGCGACGTACGGCCTCCATGTCCTGTTTGGATGCTGCATCGGGTATCGCCGGCGCCAGCGATCCCCCACGAATAAGGAGATCCCACGATGGAGTATTTGGAAACATCTTCTCCTCAAAGACCCGAAAAGCCTCTTCCCAATGCTGTGAATCAGAAGACCTCGTCAGTATCTGGATATAGAAGTTCCAATTTTTGTTGGTCAACGCAAATCCGGCCTTCTCAAGCAGTTGAACAAGTGTGGCAGCACTGCTGTGGCGATGCTGGAGATCCAAAGCTCTGAAATAATTGTTGATGGGGGTTTCGAGAATGAACCTTTGCGTCGAGAGGACCTTCGAATTGAGCGAGTCGAGTAGTGCTTCACTCGCAAGCCCGCGGGAAGCAGAGTTGGGGATCATAGAGCTGAACTCGAAACTAGGCTCGGATTGCAAGAGCTCAACACCCACAGTTGCTGAACGAGGCTTCGAGATCTCCCGGTTCTCCGTATGAGGAAATGGCGTTGCAACCTGTATTGCACGTTCGAGGATTCTCGTCCAGAGCGCCTCGACATTTTCCCAGTCGTGGCTCTGTGTAGACACTCGCAAACGAGATGTCAACAACTCAAGGGAGTCTAAAGTTTTCAAATCTAGATCCAAGAATGACGACCTGACAAGAGACTCAAATCTTTGAATGAGGATGTCTGCTTGCTTGACACGACCCTTGGCCATCAAAACATTGACGAGATGCTCAATGTAGATGGACGGCGTTGCATCTACAGCTCTGCGCCGTTGGAGGCCAGGCTGTGGAAGTTTGGTGGCACGATCGGTAGCCGTGATTGTCTGTAGGATTTCTGCGAGAAAGTCTACAGAATATTGAGGCGAATCCTTAGTTTCGGGACTGCGGCGACTTTGTAGATGGAGCATAGCTAGGCGAGGGCTGGCACCCAGCTTTGGGAATCTTTCCATCATCTCATGATAGACGACATTGGCCATGTCACGGTCTTCCTCCAAGGCGAATCCGTGTACAATGATAGCATAATGGAACGGATTCGCCACAAGTGTTTGGCTGAGACTCAACTTTCGGAGGATTTGCGCGGCGCTTTTCGTCTTGCCCAGTGCCACAAGCGCTGTCATCATGGCGGCATAAGTCATGTCGTCAGGCTTGACACCTAAAGCATGCATACGAGTCTGGACTCGGAGACAACCGTTTGAGTCCTTCCGGAAAGCGTAATGCCTTAAAATGTAATTCCACATCTTGACCGGGTCGCCCTCGAAATTAGCTCCCGTTGTGGCTTCTGCAAGTTTCTCTGCCGTGTCTGGTTGTTCATTCAAGCAGTACGAGTGAATCAATCCAGACATGATTTCGTACGAGCCCTTGACGCCATAATGCTGGGCTTGCTCGATAATTCTGAGTAGTTCAGTGGTGTCCCCAGCTCTGGAGGTGATTCCCATCAATGTGCCAAATGTATATTTATCCGGAAGGACACCTTCAGTCCTCATCTTTCGAAAAAGATCAAATGCCGTTTCAGGATTCGGGGATCTTGCGTGAGCGTAGATAAGAATGTTCCAACAGTATGTGTTTGTCTCCAAGCCCCTGTCCTTCAGCCCTTGAAACTCCCGCTGAGCACTCTCGACGTCGCCGAGGCGGGCATGGACATAGAGGAGCGGCGTGTAGAAATCGACTTCGGCGGGCGGCGAATGAGTTTGACAAAGCTCTTTGAACACAGAATAAACCCCTACCACATCACCCTGCTGGGCAAGAGCAGTAAGGACCTTTTGATAAGACCGCTTGTCTGCCACTCCATGGATTAGGGCGAACTCTCGCAGACAAAAGCTGAAAGCCTTCAAAGAACCCGCTTCTTCCGCGTGCATGGAGATTAGAGAGCCGTAAACACTAGGCGGTGGAGCGAACTCAGGAAACTTCGAGCGCAAATGCCGATATATCAGGGTAGCAAGTGCACTCTTATCGGCACGCTTCGCAGATTCCAGCAAAGTCCTGATGGCGCTGACGTGAACATGTGGTCTTAGTTGGCCCAGCGCTTCATAATTGTCCAATATCTCAAGCAAGCCCTTCGGTGTGATCAGGCCCATGAGCCGGTCATTGCGCACGAGCAAAAAGAGCAGGCTGCGACCAATTTGAGAGAGTGTTCCGGACAGACGCACAAGCAAAGGTGAGCGTGTCGAGAGACGTGACGCCAGCTGGTTTATAGCGTGAGGTAAGTCCTTGTAGTGACTAGCTTGTGACAGAAGTTCTTCTCTAAGGCGAGTGGCGGAGGAAGGAGATTTGCTTCCTAGTCCTCTGAAAGACGTGACCCAGACCCTAACGGCATTCTTCCACAACATATGAGATGTGAGATGTAAGAGCATGAATGCGCTGCACTCGTAATGCAGCCCACGGTCTGTTGCCTGGACATTGATTTTCTGAGCCAGAGGTAAGTTGTCCATCTTCAAAGCCACTCTGACTGCGGCACTATAGTCTCTCGCAGTCCTCTGTGACACGGGGATGTTGGAGAAGGCCTCGTAGGCCCATTCTGTCTGCTTGGACCGTGGATCTGACGGTAGTGAGCGGGCGAGGAAATGGAAGAGAGTGCTGGCATTGGTCTTTTGCTTCAGAAGCCGGAGAAAGGCATGTCTGACGTCGGCATCGTTGAAAATATCGGGATTTTGAGGTGTACCCAGATTCTCGCCCAATATACTCTTAAGCCCTTGCTCGATCTCTACTTCCGTCTGAGCTGACGCATTGTGCGGCGTGCTTGCTGGACGGAACTTGAACGGGAGAAAAGCGCTCTTGGACTCAAGATCTCTTGCCCCAGACTCTAAATTCTTCAATGCAGTGTCCGTAGACGACGCGTCGTGCACTTCTTGGTCAAGTCGTGAATTGTTGGTGTATTGTCTTGAAGATGCTGCAGCGACTGGTCGGATGGGAATAGCATCATGCTTAACCGCACGAGCTGCCCGACCTCCCGTTAAGCGTGGGATACCAGACCTGGACCGGGATCGAAGGTTGTCCCGCTCTTGGGATCTCCGCCTGACATTTTCGAGATACAAGGGCCACCAAGACGGCACTGTGATGTCGTGGCCTCCATTCCTCCAAAATGACGGACCTAATGCGCGACTGGATCGAATTGGAGGGGCAATTGCTCGTAAGAAGAGTTGAGAGGCTGGCTCAATGCATGGCGAGACACGCTCTAGCATGGACCGGTTGAGAAGTCGTATCTTGCAAGGGTTGTGGAGGAAGTTGCCAATGTCATGCGACTTTTTTGAAATTGTTAGTTTGGTCGAAGAGGTGCTATGTGGTACACGGACTGGCGTATGTACAGGACTTCCAACTATACAGTGCAAGTCTAGAGCCTCATGACAGAAGAAAAGAAGAAACCTGGCGGGTGCAATCGAGCAAGAGAAGGAAGAAAAGTGTCGACTGATGGCAAAATCACCAAATATTTGAGATGGAGATGAATTGCTCGCGCAGCGCAGGCGGAGTCGGCGTCCAAGTCGCCGATGTACCAGCAAGTAAGTACCAGGCTCGCAGGCAGCCAGCGAGCCAGTGAGCCAGTCATCCCACACTCCCACTCATACTCGCGCTACCATTCCCATTTCACTCCCACCAACAAGGAACCCCTCGTCAACACCTGTGCGCACATCCTTCAAACCACAAGGTGTCATGAATATCACAAGCTCAATAGTCTCGGAACGAGATCGGGGTCTCTTGGGAGGAGACTACAATGCCTACCACGCTCAAGCAACCCGGAAAATCCACAATTTGCGCCGACGACTTGGTGCTGTCAACCGTGGCCGAAAATATACACCAAAATCCCCAGTGACCGCAGAGAATGTTGCAAAGAACGCAGAGTAAGAATTTAACCGAAAGGTCAACCTACAGTTCACTGATATTGGGTGTAGATGGGTACAACTCCTCCTTGCCAACTCCGAGCGAGCATGGGCGAGTGCCATGACCATGAAGTCGGCGCAATCGGCAGAAAACACACAGAAACCCATGCCGGGTACAACAAAACGTCAGATAGCTTCACGACTGCGAAGAGCCATCACCTATGCAGAGAATTTGGTTATTGTTCTGCAAGATCGAGGTACAACCGGCGCAACAGAATTGGACGATCTAGAGGCTCGGGCTTATCTGTCCATGCTGCGAGGCAGTCTGGCTTTCGAGAAAGGACGATGGCAAGCGTGTGTGGAAGACTACTCCCTGCCACAGATCATATACACTGCGCTCGCTCGGACATCCAAAACCGACCTCTATAAAGATCTTTTGTCTGGCATTGTCGAACCCAGCATTCGATATGCCGCATATCAATTGAAAATGCCGCGCACAAAGGCCGTCAATGAGATCGCCATCGAAAATTTCCCCAACTCCGAGGCCAACATACGCAAAGAGGTGGAAAACATCAACCCACAAGCGTTTGTATCTCTGACCGATGCCGCTCCGACCAGCCAGGGCCCCAAGGAAATCCCTTCAGCCATTTCCTGGCGAAGCCGCAATGTCAAGCTTGAAGACGCCAACATCTCGCAAGCTCTAGGCTTATCCAAAGAACGAGAAGACGAACTCTCCATATCCTACAAGTCTTTCCGAGAAGGAACACTGAGCGCCAAGGATCTCGCGACCGCATACGAGGGGGTCATCACAGCCTGCCAGGACGCCGCCGATGCCACCAAATCCGCCATCGATGAGCTCGCCGGTGAAGGTGTCGACCCGGGCGACACACGCATGCAATCTCTTCAGATCACTCGCACTGCAGTCAATTACGCCGTCATCGAATGGCGCATCGGCCGCAACCGCGTCCTTTGCGGTACTGACGATGGCCTGGTGTTTGAATCCGAGAAAACCAGACGATCACTCAAACCACGAAAGGACGGCAAACCGCGCGAAGTCAAGGCAGAAAGTGCTGGCCGCAAGATCTCCCGCCTCCGCGAGCGTGTAGCCCTCTACGACTCCACTCTACAAAGTCTGGACGCCGTCAAAGAACTTCCCGGCGTCATTGCCGACACCTCGTTCGTCCAGGAACTCGACGCAAAGAGAGCATATTTCCGCTCTCTCAAATGTCTCGCCATCGGCCGCTCGCACGCAATCAACGACCAGATCATCAACGCACTAGCCCTGTACGCGCGGGCTCTCGACCTCGCTCAGAGTGCATCATCAACGCTCAAGGACGACACTACTCCCGCCAAGACGCCGCCCAAACTCGACGTCTCACCTTCCGATCTGTCCGGCGCAGTCGCAACACTGTCCAAACTAGTCATCCAGTACCGCGCCCTAGCCGACCTGAAATCCCAAACTCGCTCGCCGTCGTCGCAACCATCCACGGAACAGTCCGCAAACCAGGCCGTCAAACCTGCGCCGCTGGTCGAAAGACTCACACGCAACGAATATCTCGAGAATGTCGACTTGACCAACCTGGTCAATTGTCCACCCCGACTGCGCCCTGTGCCCGTCAAGCCGCTCTTCTTCGACCTTGCGTGGAATTATATCGTGTATCCGAGCCAGAAAGCGAGTTTGGAAAAGGAAGGGCCCGCTGCAGCAGTGAATGGAGGACACGAGTCGGAGAAAGCAGCTGCCGCGGAGAAGCAAGAGGATCAGAAGCCTGCGAAGAAAGGGTGGTTCGGGTTCGGACGATAGAGTCGTTGGAGCTTGAGTCTAGCCTCATGAATGTCGATGTCACAAGCCGTCAAAAAAGCATGTTGCCGTGGGCAGCGAAGTCGTGAGCAGCGTAGTGCACTGGCTATGTTGTCGTGAGCAGCACTTTGCAGTGGCTACGTTGTGATTATGTGAAGCAGTGAAGAAGATGTTGTGGGAAGAAGATGGGTCATCTCAAAGCAGTTCAGTGGGATGAGGTTGCCATAGTCAACGGAAATTCTCTGCCCATGAACGATATCAGAGTAATGTGAGAGTACCACGGAGAAGGTGGTCCAGCAGGCCCAAGACAGAAAGGAAATAAATCAGAAAAAGATTCATACATCGGGAGGTCTGGTTTCTTTTCCATCTTCCTCGCGTGACTGACTGCCGAAATCCAATTGCGTGCCCGCGCATGGGTATTAACGCATGCGACATCACTGATCCCGAGCTGTTTGTTACACATGTCCATAAACAACGAATCTTGAGTCCACTGTGATGCTATGATCCCTTGATCATGTACTGTAGGTGGCCTGCCTGCCATTGACCAAATAAATAACAGGTAACAACCATGGATGGTACTCCATACCCTATCCTCAGCCTCCTCTCCCGAAATGAATTGAAACCACCCTCCGCCCTAAAATACCGTGGAGAAGGAAGGGCCCGTGTTGCATGCTATTACGTAGCTCGGTAGGTACTTAGTATCATTGAATCTTCTTCCGCGCATAAGGTAGGACATTGACATCCCGTCCTGTCGTGCTCTTGCCGCCTCCGCTCCGCAACGCAACGCGGACCACCTTTTCGCCGCACACTGTAGATTTCGTGGGGTCAAGACAAAGGCAGAGATGAAGAACGGAGAACTGGATCGTGTGCAATCTTCGAACCAACGGTGTCTTGCTTGTGCCGTCAACGGTCAACATGTGCCTGGGCGCTGCTAGTCTCAAACCGATACCAGTAGGTACCTAGGTATCAATTCATGATCCGATCCGAAAACCCCTGCCAGGCAGCAGAAGACGCGCCTTCGACATGATTGCATGAAATAAGACGGCGAAACTTTTTCGCATTTGCCAGGCTCAGCGCCTAAGGTTTGCCGCCCTCGAATACAATCGTTCTGCGCCGCCACATTACTTCGGCATGGACCTCGTCGGGCAGATGTTCGATTTCGTGGTGTGTCGAAGTCTCTTGTAAGATTCCCTTGCGCTCTTGATCTTGTGGATACGAGTGTCTCCTCCACGGAGCTTGCTGGTCGTCCGAAGAAGTGCTGCTGCGCATTGTGCTGTCTGTTTCTGTTTGCGCGATGGCTGTTTTTGGTTCCGCCCCTGTACATTTCGAATCACCTTCGGCGGTCTTTGTACGATCTTTGTCGCCTTCGCTGTCGATGTCGGCCTTTGCCGCCAGATAACCGCTGGTCATCGATGATGACTCTTCATGTTCCATCTCTGCAAGAGCAAAAGGATCCAGAAACCGAGGTTCTAGGTCCTTTCGGTCTGCAGGCAGGCGACCCTGTTCAGGTACTAGGACTGAGTATGGTAAACAATGCTCCGTATCATAGGCAGGAGCCCGTCGTCGCCTCGAGTATCCAAGAATGTACACAATACAGCAGACGACACAAATGCCCAGCACGTTCAGACTCAGAGTCTCAAAGTTTCCGAATGTCGAACATCCAATAGTCCCGGTATTGCCCATTGCCCTAGTGGAAGCACAAAGAATGTTCAAAACTTTCCCATCGTGGGGTGATTTTTCTCAAGGCGATCAACACAAAGCAACTGGATGGAAAGGGGGGAGGTCAGGCTGGCGTGCCTTGGGCTGTTTGGCAGATGGCGGCTGCTTATAGCCAAACCAGAGAGACATATTTTCATCACGAATGCAACCATGTTCCTCGTTAGACGAACACGAGAGTACTACCATTTTACCAATGACAGGACAATCGCAGCTGATGAAGGCGGAGTGATCTAGACCCTGGAGCCTTGCTCTCGCAACAGTGATGTCCGACGAGAGCATGATGGAGCCATTCGCTGAACAACCGAAGCGAGAAGCGTCAATCGCGGCTGGCTGACGTACTGCGTACGGCAATCGATGAAGTCTCACAGCAAATCTGCACGACGATGTAAAACACTCACAAGCGAAGGAGATGGAGTCTGTTCCGGTGTGGCGTCCCTCTGAGATGGTCCGTCAATGGGGACTGGCGACTCCGATGCGCAAGGTTGTCAAAAATTTGACTGAACTCAGTCAAATTCAGATCGGCGGCCAGACTTGAAGCTCAGCTTGAAAGGACACAAGCCTCCACAAAAGAGGAAAAGTCCATCTCGAAGCATGGGAGAGCCGTGAGCCGAAAAGGCGGGAAAAGTGGTGCCATGCACGACCATGGTAGATTTCAGCTCGCTTGATGCCGCCACAGCGGAGTCGCGGGAACGCATGTTGTCCAACGACATCAACGAGAATCGTCAAGATCGGTTTCATGATCGTGTATTGAATGTTCGAAAGTCAAAGTTCCCGTGCCTTGACGCAATACAGTCGCGCCGTGTACGTGAAGACGCGGGATGTCCAAATGGGAAAGCGTTTGAAGGAAGAAGAAAGACTTGAAAAGATGGAAGGAATAGTAGAAAGATGCGAAGAAGCAACTCCACGGCAGGAATTATGACAAAGCTCGCCGGTCACCCAGCGACCAGCATCTTAAGGCAATCAAAAAGGGGACATGGTCGGTCGAGCATGCGTATCAAGATCGTCAAGACTGCCACCATGGCCCGTAGAGGCTGGTGTCCGATGTGTAAGGTCTAACTTAGCATACCTAATTAATCCTACTGATGCGAATGCTGTGTAGTCTCTATCCCAACACAACGCCTTGCGAAACAGCACACGGGCCGCCAACGACTTCCCTGCACGTCCAAAATCTAGGCCCTTGCTTCAGCCAGCAACTTTCATGGCCTTCTCATCCGGGCTAAGAACTTCAGCCTTAGGCCGATCAAACTCTCCGCTGCTTCTCCTCGAGACGTTCTGAACCAATTTTTTCAGGACATCAGGTGCGTCTTCCCTGGCCATTATGACCTCAATCATGGTCAGCCCTTTACCTTCCTGCACCTGGGGCTCTGCCAGTATTCTGTTCATTTCGCCCCAAGTCTCAGCTCGTCTGGTCAAGACGGGGTATGCAGGGTCATCCTTTGGCGCCCCGAAAAAGCTCGGTGATTCGAGGTACCTCCATGGCTGGCAGTCATTGTAGCCTGCCTTCATACCATGAATCCACCTCTCGATCGTGTATCCGTCATTGTTGATAAGGAAGATTGTCACATCCAGTCGGTTGCGAATGATGTCAGACATCACTTGGGCCGTCATTTGGAAGCTGCCGTCGCCTTCGAACAGGATCGTCCGGCCTTGCTCACGCAGACCTTCAGCGACCATCTCCCGTTGAGCCTGGGCCGCTCCCGCACAAGCGCCTAGCATGTACCCAATGGACAACCAGATGGAAGAGTTGATGAGGGTGGTATGTGGAGGAAGAACAAAGTCTCGTCCACCAACCGACGGCGTGCCCGTCTCCGTCAGGATGATGTCCCCGGGGCGGAAGAAGTTCGACATGCGTTGCCAGTAGGTGTCTTGCTCGATGATCTCGCTCTCCATCGTGGGTGGCAGCTCCTTGAGTTGCTGTCTGGGGTCGCCCAAGTCCATGGTGGGCTGATATCTGGGGAGTCTATCCTTGTCGAGCTTGGAGAGAACTCTTCTCAGCAATTGCTTGACATGGAGGTTGTGGTACTTCGTGCCACAGATCTCGACACTGTCGCGCTCGAAGGTGATTGCTATTTTGGGATCGGGAATCGTGCTAAAGCCAAATGTATTGACGTCGCTGTTCAATGGCCCCAGCCTCAGCACAAGATCGCATCCGCGAGCCCAAGGCATATATACTTGTGGACCTGCAATACCTGCATACATGCCGTAAAAGTTGGAGTATGACTCGTTGACGATACCCTTGCCGAAGGGTGTTGTTGAAGTCGGGAATCCGGTTTCTCGGACCAACTCGTCTGCTTCCTCGCTGATGCCATATCTGGAAGTGAAACCGTCCACGACGATGAATGGTTGCTTGGATGCATAGATCTTGCCAAGGATCAGGTCAACCTCCGTGTCCTCGAAACCTTCATCAGTGGCGATTGAAAGATCAAGAGGCTGGTTCAAGCCAGCTGCTGATACCCTAGCCTTGGTCATATTGGTTGGCAGTTCGATATAGACAGGCCGACTTTCCAACACGCAAGCTCGTAAACATCGGTCGATGTGTGCTGGCGCCGTGTTGGGGTCTGTCAAATTGGCTTGGGCAACGGTGACCTTGGCTTGCATTTCTGGGAAAAGCCTGAAGTTTCCATCTCCCAGCGTATGATGCATACTTAATGCACTTTCCTGGATATGCGTGGCAGGTGTTCCGGCAATGTGAATGACGGGAGCCATCTCAGCATAGGCTCCAGCGATCGCATTGATAGCAGAAAGCTCCCCAACACCGCCTGTGGTAACTAGCGCAGATATCCCTCTGATTCTTGCATAGCCATCCGCTGCATAACCGGCATTGAGCTCGTTGGCATTGCCGACCCAGTCAAGACCAGCCGGTTCGATGTAGTCTAGGGCTGTCAAGTTAAAGTCTCCAGGGACACCGTAAACGGCCTTGACGCCGAGCTGACGGATTCTCCTGAAGAGATACTCGGCAAGGTCAATTTGAGAAGCCATTTCGCGACAATGGAAGACACACTGAAAGCTACAATGATTCGACTTGTACAAGGGAAAGATGTTCAAAGCGTGGGATCAAGGGATATATAATAACACCCTTGTACGGCAGTCGCGGCCGTACTTCCTACCAAGGCAAAGGAGATGACTGGCTGATGAAGGCGGCCCGTGGACGGCTTACCACAGATGTTACCCTCGACAGTGGACCGTGCGGTTGCGGTCGGTGTCAGAATACATGGAGGAGATTGATCCGCAATGGATCGAGTTGGAACAATGAGAGGAGATGGGACAAAGGAGGGAGGATGCTGGCGTCACGAGGAGGAGAGACGGTTTGCTTCGGCTAGTAACGGGACAAAGCAAACAAGACTTCATACCACGATACCACGGTACTAACTTAGGAGGTGAGCGGCGCGGACTTCACGGGCTCGACGAACGTTGATTGATTGACATTGGGCGTCAGCAAACCAGACAATCGTAGCATAAGAAACTGAGCTGTTTTTGCCCCGGTAAGTTGGATTCCGGAATATTTTCGATTGTACTCTTACGCCGTTTGTTTCATCAGTCTGAATGACCGTATAACTTCGGCTAACATGCATATGTCGATGGCCTTATCAACCAAGTCTTCCGTAATCCTCAAGCAACATGGGGGTCCGAGATAACGCTGTCTACTCCTCCCTGGCTCTGGCATCCTCCACGGCCTTCTCCCAGTCTGTCAACCTCATGTAGGTGAACATTATAAGGCTAGCACATCCAAGGCCACAACAAGGGCCGATCCACATACCACCGAGTCCCATATGCGGCGGACCGAAGGCTAGTGTGAATGACAACGGGAGTGCAAACAGGTAGTACACTCCGAGGTTGACCCATCCGCCAATTTTTTGTCTTCCCAGACCTCGCAGAAGGGCATTGGAAATGGCGACAAGAGCATCGAAGAGTTGCGCCGCTGCCATAATAGGTATAACTGTGGCAATGATAGCGCGAACAGCCTCGTCCTTTGTGAAGATGGCAGCAATGACATGTCGACATGTGGTCAGCAGAATGACGTCGAACAATCCAATACAGACGAATATGATATAGTGTGTTCTCCATGTCGTTCTGGCGGCATTCAGAGCCCCGTATCCGATGAGGTTGCCAAATCGTGTCGAGGCAGCAACCGAGATGGGAAAAGGGAGATGATAAATTGTGACCGCAACGGTCATCAATACCGACTGAGCGGCAAGGTCGGATGCACTTAGGTAGCCCGCGGCGATCGAAAGGATGTCAAAGGCGAGCCATTCGGAAAAGGTCATAAGCACACCAGGCAAGGCCAACCTGACCATAGGACCCCAATTCTGGCATGCTCGTCGGAGTTGCAAGCCCGGCCAACATTGCAAATTGGACCTTGCAAACAAGGCGACGTAGAGGACAAGTACAATTGGTTGTAAATTATTCGATATCACAACGGCCCACGCAGCACCGGCAAATCCCAGATTGAGGCGGAAAACCAGCAGCCAATTCCAGAGGATATTCAAGGGGGCACAAATCATGATCACCACAAGAGAGGCGGTGAAGTCACCTTGTGCCTGACACAATCGTTTTCCAGCTTCGAAGATTGCCCAGCCTGGCGCGCCGAGCAGGTATATTCGCATGAAGGTGCCCGCCAAAACTGCCTCGTCTTTTTCGGGCACCAAAGCCGATAAGATCCAGGGAGAACAGATCCAGACTGCGCCGATGGGAATGGTGACAACGAACACGAGCAGAACCATCCGTTGGACGTGGAGGCCCACTAGCTGCTTCTTGCTGTTTCCAAATGCTTGAGATGTAAGGGTGTCAAGACTCGTTGCCAGACCCTCGTAGACACAGAGACCTGTTACATTGGCCGTCATCGTAGCGAGAGACGCGGCACCCAGTTCCTTGGTACCCAAGCGACCGGCGACGAAGACAGTGGTCAGAGAGAATGAGTATTGCAAGATGTAGGTGAGCATCAGTGGTCCAGAGTACCGAGCGAGGAGGCCAGTTTCGGCTTGCCATGTTGTTTCGAAGTCGGGATTCTTCACCAGAGGCACCTCTTCTTCTGTGGCGGTGCCATATATTCTTTGGTCGACTTGGGCCACGGACTTCCGGAAGTCATCAATACCATGTTCGTTGAGAAGAGCACTGGTCTCCGAAGCACGACGACCAGCCATTTGTGCAACTTGAGCTGATTCTTAGCCGTATGTCACCGAGGTCGAGAAATCGTTCTCCTGCCGCAACAAATGTTATGAACGAGATAGCATAGCTTTTAATGTCGATAGGAGGGAAGACGAGGAACCAGACTGATGATAGCCTGTATGCCTTGATGATAATCAGTGAGAAGGAAGGATGGTTGATGATATCGAAGGTCTGTTGGCGGTGTAGAAGTTTTCTGGAGCCTAACTTACATTTTGGGAGTGCTTTCGAGCCTATCTTTTGGAACTGGAGCCACTGTACCAATTAATCTCGCCAGTGCGCAGCTATCCAGCCATCCCGAGTCGATCCAATCGGCCCTCCGTCACAAGCGAGACGCATGGTTCTCAAAGCGATGTCGTGAATATCGTGCATAAGCGAGTCGATGGAGGAGAGTTGTCGCTTCTCTCGCAGAAACCAATACAGGTACATAGCACTCCGTATTCGATGAATGTTTCTCACCAAGGCTCATATCGTATCCCGGCCATGCTCTCTGAACGAGCATCCCTGCTTCAAGCCTGGTGAGCCACTGATCAAGCCTAGGGAGCCCTGGAGACGCGTTCAAATCGCGTCAATCAAGGCCTGGCCTGCATCTTTTTGCGGGGCCGGAGGCTGGAAAGTGCAACACCAACACAGTCTTAGTGACTCTTCTACCCAATTCCCTCGTTTCAACTTCGCAGCAAGACTTCCCTACTGTGGTAGTTCTGCCACACCCAGACGCGTCTTCCTGGTCTGTTATGCACATCATGACTGCTGTTTCACTCTCTCCGCACAAGCTCGTCAGCCGCAATGCTCGTCTTCCCTCCCCAGATCCTGCTTCGATCCGACTGCCCGAATCGCCAGACAAAGCCAATGTGTCGCTCTCGACTGTTGGTGACAAGCCTCGAAGTCTACGCAGACTACAGTCGCACAATCAGCTCTCTACCGTCAATATGGGCACACAATATTCGAATTTGAAACCTCGATCCGGAGTCCCTACGAAACCATCACGCGAGCATTTAAATCAACCACCCTCTACCGCAGCCTCAAATGGCACCGCAAACCCTTCCTCTCGAGCTCGTGCGAACAGTGACGCTCCGTTACCTTATAACCCTCGCAATTCTCGAAAAGCTGGCATAACCTCTCCTCCATCCTCGAATCACATAGCCACTCATGCCCGCAAGTCCAGTCTTGAAATGACCTTAAGAGATGGACCTCCACCAGGAACCACATCAGTCACAGCTCTCTCGTTACTGCGCCACTCAATATTGACCAGTGGTGTCACAGCGACGAAAGAAGGAATGTCAGACTACCGGATATACCTATGGCTGACATTATTAAATGTTGCTCCTTTGCCCACGGACACATACCTCGAGCTCATTCACCGAAGCCGCAGCCCAGCGTATGAGAAGATCTCCAACGATGTCTTCCGCACACTAGCTACCGATACCTTGTTCAAGCGAAGGGTAACGGACGCAAGTCTCACCAGAGTACTCAACGCGACCGCATGGCGGATCCATGACGAACAATCCTCAGATCCTCCGACCGAATTCGCACAACAACATCCTCAGGCCACATATCTCCAAGGCATCAATGTCCTAGCAGCACCGTTGCTATATGCTTCACGGTCGGAGTCGCAAGCTTACGCTCTTCTGACTTGTCTTCTCTCCGAACACATCCCCACATATCTGTCGCCAACCATGTCCGGCGTACACAGAGGTTTGGACCTTATTGACCAAATCCTCGCTTACATCAACCCGACGCTCTCAGCCTTCCTCCTCAGCAAGTCATTACCCGCCAAAATCTATGCATTCCCCTCGGTCTTGACCCTTTGTGCATGTACACCAACTCTTCCAGAAGTACTCAAGCTCTGGGACTTTCTGTTCGCTTTCGGCGTGCACTTGAACGTCATCTGCGTGGTTGCACAGCTGATACTGCTGAAAGACAAATTACTTAATGAGCCGAGTCCGGCAAAGACTCTAAGGAGCTTCCCCAGCTTGAATGCCGATGAGGTTATCAAGATGACGGTCTTGATTGTGAGAGAGTTACCTGAGGATCTCTATCGAGATGTTGTGGCGCATGTAAGGGGGGTTTCATGAGGATGAAATTGCCCTAGAGGCTTGATAAAATCGGGGCCCAGATGATTTGATGAGTTACGACGCGGCTTGGATTCTATGACGAGACGAACGACAACAAAAGTTAAGGTTCTCATGAAGCTATTATTATAAAGATATCGGGTCTTGGAAAATTCGACCAGATGAGAGGAGAGGTAGCTGTCTAGAAGAAAGGCAGAGGCAATGTGCCTTCATGGATAGACATCCTATTGTGCATACAATTGACATGCACATGAGCAGGTCTCGCAGTAGCCTAAGCGAAAGAAAGCTATCTATTCAGTGATGTCTACGTTCTCACGCCCTAGTCTCATTGTGCTCTGCCATCCTGCGTGGCTCATCATGCCCTAGTCAATTCAAGCTTGCAGACTTTCAGTGGGAACCGTTCACGTTCTTCAAAAGATACGAAGCGGTTGGGGCCGGATTCATACTCGAACCCATCCAATGGAAAGTATCGTTCACGTTGGAGCGGGCATAGCCTGAAGCAGGCTTTATGCTGGCCAGCGCTAATCAAGCGAAAGGCCATAGCAGTAAGCGCCGGGCATCAAACGACAAACAATCTTTATGGACATAAGTGAGAATATATTAATCCTGTACGGAGTACCGTTCGCAGTACTAGATAAGTCGAGGGGTGACATGACATGGCGATATCCATCTTCCTCTCCTGCCCGCAACCCATCAACAAAGCTCAACAAGAATTCATCGACAAAGTAAGCCGATGGCTGCAAGACCGGGGCATGCTCCCACGCACCCTCGGCGTGACAGACTACAGCGACGTCGCTCCTCTGGAAGCCATCCGCTCTCTGATGGCCGGGTCCAACGGCCTGTTATGCGTCGCTTTCCGTCGAACGCATATCGAAAAGGGTGAAAGAACCGTGCGCGTCGGGGCCGGCGGCCGCAACAAACTGGAAACCAAACCCATCAACGACGTCTGGCTGACCAGCCCCTGGGCGCACATTGAACCGGCCATGGCCTACCAGATCGGGCTGCCGATCTTGATCCTTCGAGAAGCAGGGGTGGTCGAGGACGGCGTGTTGGAGAAGGGCGTCATAGGTAGTCTGTACATGCCTGAATTCGACCTGGACCTGGCCCTGGCCCCGGACTTCGACGAGCAGGAGCACTATCTGAACTCCCAGGAGTGGGTGGCAATCGGTAGACGGTGGGAGGCCCATGTGAGGAATGTCGTTGCCAACAAAGGGAGGCCGCCGAAGCTGTATTGATATGAAGCCATTGCATGGCAGTGCTGAAATGTCGTTTGGAAGTGCATCTGCAAACCACACCATGGAGATCAGTATTGTCGACTCTCCTTTTGCAACTCATCCTTCTTTGTAAAGGCAGCTATAGGTATGGCGCTCGGAGTCAGTGTCCAGCTGGGTAGTCGATCAGATTCGAGTCGATGGATGGTAGAAACGAAGTCCTGGTCAAACGCTTCATCTCATGATAAGAGCCTCCGCGGCAGAACATCTTTCACATCTACACTCTCCGCCCAGCACGGCGTTCAATCTCGCCCGTCGCTCCCTGAAATCGCTCTCATGAACATCCGTATAATGGTTCCAAATCTCCTCTCCTGCCTTGATGCCCTTCCATTCACGTTCATCTTCACCTCGCTGTCCTTCCTTTTCTTTTTCTGCTCTACTGCGCCGCCACACCCGTTCGCTCACGACCGTCAGATCCCGCACGCCAGAGCTCTTCCACGTCACATTCGGATTACAACTGTGATTGGCAAGGCACCACAACGGATGCACAGCCGCCACCTCGGGCTTGCCCGTCCACGTACTCTGCTGCGCATCCGCGACGCCTCGGAACTTTGCAAACAGAGTCTGCACGATCCACCAGTCGTACCTCTCAAGCCAGTGCTTGCTATAAGGCCGACATTCCGGTCGTGAGTGCATGAGCACTTCGAACCATTGCAGCGGCAATTCGACGTGGTGCCGGACACTGTAGGGTAACGTCCTCCTCGGCGTGCTTCCGCTTCCGCTTCCGCTCCCACCGACACTCACACTTCTGTTTTCGTTTTCGTTTTCTTTTACTTTCCCCCCGGACAACCAAGCCTCCAACCCGGGCGGCGCGGGACTGAAATCGCCCCACAGATACTTCACCTCGAACAGATCGAGCGGATGCACGTGTCGAGTCTCGGCCATCTGCATCGTTCTTGACAACAAGAGAAAGTACAAATCCCACTCTGGCGTCGTGCTACTCTCGGCCCGCCCAAGGGTATGTAGGTCCTCGTTCCCACTCGAGCCTGGACAAAACGGCGACTCGTAGGGCGGATATCCCTCGTCATTTTCTTCGTCCTCTTCATTGACCGCGTGGTATGTTTTCGTGGCCAGATCATAACACGCCTCCGAACAGAAGGGGATGTTGCACCCCGGGCAGTACCGCCGCAGTTCCTGAGGAATCGCCTCCATATCAGCCGCGCATGCATCACAGAGTGCTTCTCCGTGCGGCCGGATCGCAGTAAGAACGGACCTTTCCTCGAGTATCGTCGTGCCTGGTGCGAGATCCTTTTTCGCGTAGAGTCCTAGCTGTGACGAACCTTCAGCCGTAGGCCCAGACGGAGATGGCTTGTCCGCTCTCTCGTCCGTGTCTGTGTCTGCGTCTCTGCCTGCGTCGGCGCTTTTCACCTGTGTACTACTCGTAGTAGTATTCGGGACGAGATTCGGCAGCACCGAGATCTCCACCTCCAGATCCGGCGCCGCCTTTTGTAGATTTGCATTGATCTCGTCGAGACTCTCCTTACTCATCCGATCCGGCTCATGCTCGTTCCACGGATATACAACCCGCGAACTCCATCCGAACAAGTTCCTCTTCTCGCCATTCCTTCGGATCTCGCTGACCGCCGACCTGAACATGCCAATGCCAACTGAGCCACCTTCTTCGCCATCGTACACGGACCAAAAATCGCAAAAGTCACTGACCACAACATCTGACGGATGCCTCTGACTCTGCCTCTGACTCTCCTCGGCGACGAGGACGACTGCTGCTCTCTCGGAAGACCTCTTCTCCTCCTCCAACGACACTCCCACTTCCACTTCCAGAGACAGCAACTCATCGATCCAAATCTTCGCTTGGTACTGGCACCCCAGTAGAAGCGCCGACCGAGCCAACAATATCAGACTGCGATATTTATGCCGCAACGCCACTTTTTGCCTCTCACTCTCAATCTCAGCCTCGTCCCCGGTGCAGCACGCGGCAGGCCAATTTTCCCCTTCGACCGTGACCGGTTCCAAATCCGAAACATCACCCCCCTCCAGCACGACTTCGCACAGCGTATAACTCACATAGGCATCCGCCAACGCGAGCTCGCTACATCCGAGCGCCTCGTACACGGCTGCACGCTGGAGGATCAGGTCCGGACATAACCCGCCACGACCACCACTGTCGATCTCTGCTAACTTGCGGGTTATGAGATGTCGAGCGAGCAACAAGCCCGCATTCTGGAGTTGACGAGTCGGAAGGCGTTTGATTTCCTCCAACGACGGGTCTGTGTCGGTGTCGGTGTTGATATCGATCTTGGTATCGGTCTCGCCGTCCGTGGCAAGTCGAGCAAAAACGGCCTGCAGATATTTTGGCCCTTTTTCAGCACCGTCCCCAGACTTGCCGTTCATTATATCCCAATGGCTGCATGAAGCACGAAATCATATTCTGTGCGACGCGAAACGGAAAAAAAGAATATTCAAAGTTGGAAATCTCATGATGAAATTCCTACAGTCACGTGTTGGACTTCGGCACTGGGCACCCAGCTGGGTAAGGTATCTATCTTGCGTGGTTGGTCAACTGGTCACGACTGGTCTATGTATGCTTTGGCTTTGGCAATACTTGGATACAAGAGCATGATGGCTGATGGCTGATGGTTGATGGTTGATGGTTATTATCATTACCAGATCACCGCCATCGCACAATGGGGCAATGATGGGCAGCTCAACTGTTCTCCAGTATCCTGAGCACCAGACAGATGCTCTCAATCAACAGGTACCCTTCTCGGCAGGATATCTGCATGCCCTCGCTGTCTGTGCAATGGAATAGTGTGCATAGTAGTTGGGTCAAGCAGACGCAATCAATTGCCACAACTCTTCCCCATGGGTATTCCCTAGAATTGCTCCTGCAACCGAGGATTTCCTTCTGGCGGCCAACTCCTTTGTGCGAACTCCAACCCTTGAAGAAAGTAGCCCTCCATTTAGGTTCGCGTTCGCGATCGCGCGCTGATGTAAGACGAGTATCACATAACCTGACAAAGTGATCAGTCAATGCAAGACAATGCAGTCCAACCCGGGCCCAATCTTACCTCGCAATTGTCGTCAACCACAATGGTCCCGCCTTGGCCACCAAAGCCTTGATCGCCGATAGCTTCAATCTGGCCTCGTTGTATTGCCATGGCAAATCTAGCAAGCATTCCCTCCTGCATGACACCGTGGATGTCAGCAACAATTCGCTCAAATCAGATTCAAGCTAGACCTGAACCATGCCCTGACCAATAGCTCTTCTATGGTACCTACCGTGACGATTGTATCTCCTGCACCCCGTCTCCGTTCAACGTCGTTCTGGCTAGTGATCTCATACTCCCGATGCATCGCCCGTCGGCTTTCAAGACCCCCATTATCCTCCTCGATGTCACTCTCGTCGTCGTCGTCGTCATCATCATGTCGCATTCGTCGAGAACTTCTTTGGCGTCCTAGTCGTAGCGAGCTATGTACGCCTCCACCTGGGTTTGCAACGTCGATGCCTCGCTGTGCGTTGTATCGTTCGCGGCTGTCCGCCCCGGGGCCAAATATTTTCACCGTACTGTCAATGCCGCTGACAGCTATCATAGGTTCGTACGGATGTCCTTGAACCACATTCACCACCTCGCCGTCGCCTTCTAGGATGTTGAGAATTTTGCATGTTTTCCTATCCCAGATGAAGAAGTTACCATCATCCGAGCCGCTGACAACGTACTCGTCATTCAGACCGTAGTAATTGACGTCTTTGACGGTGCGTGCGTTGCAATGACCTTTGTAGACTCTGGTATGGGAAGAGTACGGGACGTGCAGGTTGACCAAAGCACGTTCATGGGACCGTCCAAACCCGGTACGACGATGAAAAAGTTCAGCGAAGTCAGCCTCGTCGTCCTCATCATTGTCAGAGTCGGGTTCGGAGTCCTCGTTTTCGTTGTTGTCTTCGTCATCTTCGTCTACGTGCTCGTTATCATCTTCGTCGGCATCCTCGACGTGGACCGTAGGAGGCGTGCTCATTTCAACATCGGACCGACTTGACCCTTCGGTATTCTCACGTGCAGTCTGCGGTGATTCCGTGGAAGAACCAGACCGGTGTTGATGCGCCGGGATATCTAGGCTGGTGATGACGTCTAGGGATTCCACGATCCGTTCCCTTTCTTCAGGATCGATGTCCTCTTGTGGCCGCTCTTCACTTTCTGCTTCCGGAAGAACGTGAAATCTCAGCCCACCAAAGGCCCGATTCACAAAGTCAAATGTAATACCTTCGCCAGCACGCATGAGCAATGAACGGCCTACCTTCAACCCCCAAAATCTTGCTGCAGCTCCTTTGTCCATGACTCGGACAATACTACCAGGATCAGTGGGATCAGCCGACGTGGACATCCCTTGGCTGGACTCAAGGCGAATGCCTCCGAGAACTCTTACGAACGCTTTTAAAGCCGATGACTGGCTCTGGAATACGACGCGGGTTTCATCGCGCTCGAAACGGTTTGCGTCGATGTCCACGATGGGGGCATTGTCGTCTGCAAGGTCGGCAAGATACGCCTCCAGCTTCGGCACAAAGGTCTGCAGAGTGTCATCGCTGTCAAGCGGAAATCGAGGACTCTCGGCGCTGATGTGGGCGGGTCTCTTGAATCCTTGCAGCACAGCTTCTTGTCCACCATCCAACCATAGAAGAATGGCTTTGAGGAAATCGTAGCAAAATTGGAAGCCTCTGCTAATGCTCCTACCTTCATGTGCGGCAGGTTTAATCTTGTCGAATTGCAGGAGTCGGATATCAGGGGCAGAATTGAGACTCTGCAGACGACCACCAAGACTACGTGCAAGGCAGCCTGCTGCTTGGACAAAACGCCAAGTTGCTTGCCGATTTCTTCTTAGAGTATTTTGTAGGGTAACATCTTCTTCACTGGGGTTGACTGGATAAGACCATGTACGAATTATCTCGTCCATTTGTGGTAACAGGGACGCACATTGACCCAAGGCAGTGGTGAATGAGCCTGTATGAGGAGTCAGATCTGAGGCATTCTCCATGGCAGCAGCCGTATCCTGGGTAAATGCAGCAGAGAAGTCAAACAAGGTCTTCCGGAGTTGAACTAGTGATCTTGCCACGCGCTCGGCAGATTTTTGGGCTTCCGAAAGGAGGAGATCATTGGGAGAAGCCGATTCGACAGCTCGTGCTGACTCGCCTGATGGAATTGGAATCAGCTCTGAGTCGCCATCACTGTATCTGGCCAGAAGAGCGGTGTGGCCCTCTTCGGATCGATAATCTGGAACTCTTCGTAGACGTCGAGTCGGTTTGGCGGCATGCGCCAGACTGGTAGAAGACGCATTACCCTTGGCTCTCTTCCTCTTACGGTCGGATCGATTGCGGAGCAATGTAGCCTGAAAAGCTTTGTCTGCTCTGGCATCAGCCTCTCTAGCATCCGGGGACTTGACGATATCGAAGCTGTAGACATAGTCACCAGACCACGAGGCAATCATCTCGTTGGGGTTGGCATCGCTAATTTTGCAGGCTGTGATATGGCCATGGTCGCTCACGCCCATTTTGCGCTTATTGTTCGGTGCAAATCTTTTCACGCATCTCGTAGCCTCGGACATGGACTCATCTTCGTAGGTGCCGACGACGGGGTTGCGAGCAGCGGAACGACCCTGCTCAGCATCGAGATCTCGACCCAGCATGCGTCTGTCGTGTAGGAAACAGTGGAGATGAGCTCCGCCGAGTGCAATGTACTGTGGCTGGCTGGCTGCACAAGAGATAGTGTTCAGGTCTAAGGCATATTTCTTGTACGAGATCAGTGGTGGTGGCGTGTCTCCGGTCGCAGCCTCGGTGCTGCCACGAAACCGTCCAAAGCCGCGGCCTCCTCGAGGAGCAGGATATGCTGAGGAAGGCTGTCTCAAGTCCCACTGTCGTACCTCGCCATCCTCCGAACAAGTCAAGAAGAGGTATGGGCTGGACTCGGTAACAATCCTCTTGGCACGATCCGCATGACTTCGATATACCCGAGCATTGGTGTTGCCTTCGCTTAGCCAGCGCGCATTCCGGAAGAAATTATTGAACCTCCGACTTCTTGTGCTTGCAGAAAAGCCCGAATCAGTCGAGCCACTCTGCGTTGTGCCAGCATATTCCAAGTCAAACACGCGTACCTCGGAGTCTCCTGCGCAGGTCACCACGGTCCGATCGCTCGAGTGTGGCATGAACTTGACCGAAAAGATATTGGCATGATGACCGGTGCTCACGCTCGTGTTTAGCGAAAAGGGTTTAGAGTCGCCCGCAGGGTTGTATCCCCAGATGTTCAGGTAGGTATCATCGGAGCCCGAGGCTAGCAGATTACCACTGGTAGACCAACTGCAGAACAGTCAGCAAGGTGAAGGTTACGGGCGCAAGGCTTGATGATGCAAGTGTACCTCAATGCATTGACACATCCGGTATGTGCTCCCAGTTCGTTGACGATATCGAGATCATCAACCCAGGTCTTATCCCCGTAGAGAGTTTTGATGGACCGGTTCCTCCGCGTCGCCCCAACGCTGCGCTTTAACAATCTTACGTCAAAATTGTCTCCCATTGTGATTTAGCCGGAGTAAGTGTTGCGTTGTATTCACGAGTGAAAGATCATTTGGTCGCGATATGCTCAATCAGCAGCATAGACAAAGGAGGTTGTTAGATTCGGCGATACTGTGTAGTCGTAGAGGCAGTGAAGAGAGGGACGGGGAGGCGCGGATGGAGATGTGATTCTATCCGATTCGACGCATGTGTGGCAACAGGATCTATTCTCTGCACGGGTGGCAAGCAAAGTCCCGACTCTGGCGTCCCGACTCTGGCGTCCAGTATTCGGAAGTCGAAGTATCATGAAAAAGGACACGGTTGATGACTGTGGAAATGAAGTCGTTATGAAATGCTGAGGTGATGTAGTTACAGAAGTGCTGCGGGCGGTTCGTTTGCCCGCACCCCGCCATCATCCGTTATGGAGCCAACTCCCAATCAATGAAATGCTACGTGTTTGAACCATATACCTTAGGTACCTAGGTAGGTAGCGGACTGGATTGCCTCAATTTGAAAAAGGATGCTGCTGGGAGAGTGTGCATTCCAACTGAAGACGATGATGGTTTCTCTCACACTACATCTTCCTAGCATATGGTAATATAGCAACAGTGATGCTTTGATGCATTCAGGCTGGCCACACATATAGCCTCCAATATCTCGCCCGACGAGGCTACAGCCAATGTACATAGTTGATGCAATGAAAACTTCCAGCATCTACCCGTCGTGTTATTACATGATCCTGTCGTCCCCAAAATAGTAGTGGTTCTGCAGCTGTATTCCGTACATGCCAGCCGCAATGTAGAGTCTCTGAACGGAACCCTATCCTGTTCCGAGACCTTTCCCCCTTCCTGGCCTTGTTACTAACGATGTCCTGCACGAATGAGTCTGGTTCGTCTTCTTCCTGCAAAGGCGAAAGTCGTCGCCGGTGCCCTACATGATGCTGAAGATTACTCAAGCCACCAATACCGCTGATTGGCCGTGCCTAAGATACCTTGGTTCACAAGGCTAGCGGCGTGGTGAGCGGCGACGGCATGCCACAGACATGTTGATGGTAAGCTTGCAGGTAGCCTGAACATGTAGCATTGACATGGCGATCCACAAGACGAGAGTGTGGGGTGTTAAGACTTGTACAAAGCCATTCACATCGCGTTAATCTAACATAGTGTTTGCCTCACATTCAGGTTTCGTCCGAACTCCGTTTCCTTCCGGCAAGGGTCCGTCGTAGGTTCTCCATAGCGCTGATAGCATTATCGATCTGTTCTGCTTCGCCAGCGAGGTTCTGCAGCTTGAGTTCCAATTCAACGCAACGGCGCCTCAATCTGACCACCTCTTCTCGAAGCACCTCGACCGAATCTGAACTCAGAATTGAATCTTTTTCCACTGGCGTTGGGGAATCAGATACCCTGTGTGCCTCGGGGAGGATCGTCTTGCCGGACTCCAGCTCTTCAATGCGTTTCTGCAACGCTGCACGTTCGTCACCCCAGGCATCTCTCTCCGCTTTAAAGCGCTTGGCGTCTTCAGCGCCTTTGATCTGCAATTGTGATGACATGGCCATGATCTGTCTCCACTGTGTCCCGTCTGCTGTGGATTGTTGAATGATTTCGTCGCGTGCTTTGATCAAGCCCTGCACTTGACCCTCCAGGCTTTCTACCTGTTGCTGAAGGCGAATCTTGTCTTCACTCAAAGTGTTGATCTCATGATCCGACACCTGGGACTTCTTGTCCAGAGCTGCACATCGGATTTGTGACCTCGAAAACGCCGAGAGTAATTGGTCGTGTTCCCGTTGCAGTGTCTGTAGTGCTAACGTCTTGGTCGATATCTGATGTTGGAGATCTTGCAGATGGCTATTATGAGCGGACTGGCTAGTAGTCGGCGAGTATTGAACTGATCCCGAACTTGCTGTTCGGGGGTAATGGCCCCCTGGTGGAGATGGGAGCGTCTTGCTCGAGGGTTGAGATTGGAACGGAGATAGGGCTGAGGTAAATATCGACGAAGTCGACGACGGATGTGGCGACTGACCAGTCAGCCCTGGTAGGGATTGCTCGTAAGGCTGCGTGTGCTTGAACTCTTCACCCTGTAGTATGGAGGGCAAAGTCTGTTCAAACGGTCGAGGCATTTGGTCGGTGTGGTCGATAGGCCTGCGTGAGTAGTCTTCTCCCCGAGGAGGCTCCAGGTGGAGAGGTATGCGGCGGTGATCCTTTATAGAAGAAGGGGCGCTAGAAGATTGGCTGTGTCCGGACAGTCGTCGTATGGGTTGCACAAATGGGGACGAAACCACGTCGGACAAGGGGGGTAAACCCGGACGACTGGTCCCATGTTCGTGAACGAGGCGAATTGTGTGCCGAACCTCGGTGACTGCCCATGCAAGAGACTGTCTTAGTCCTAGCTTAGTCAAATCCTGCCTGATTGACTGGGGAGATATGTCAGCATGCCATTCGGGGCAACAACTATAAGCCTGACCTACCTCTACCGGGTTCCGCTGATCTGACGGAAGACCCAGAACCTGGAATATTTCAGACTGCAAGTCAATGAAACTTGTAACCAAATCCGCAAGCAGTGATTCCGCCTCTGAACAATTCCCGCAGGATCCGATGGTAGACCGAGACGGAGTTCCAGGATTTGCATGTGGAGGCGGCGGTGGTTGTGGTGGTCGTGGCAGAAGGTCAGGCTGGTAGTTAGGAGGGCTCATCTGGCGGCAAAGCGCATGTCAGTTTGACACATCCAGCACATCCAGAGATTTGTTTGAAGCCGAAGCACATACTGTGTAGTCTGTCCTTCTCGTCGACCCTTGCCCCTCTGTCCCCGCCCTCTTAGGCACCCATTCTAACCGCGCACGTTTGTCTGGGGGTTCGCCGACGAGGCCACGTGGGCTAGAGCTACCTAAAGGCTGAGGGACCTTCGGTGATGGCCAGGAGGTATTTAGTCGGGGTTTCTCGTAGGCTGGATCCATGGGCGAACTGCGCTTTCGTGGGATGCGATCGGTGGAAGAAGGGAAAGGCTCTGGAGCACGTCTCGGTTCTGGCGCACTCGTAATGCGAGAGAGAGGTGCATGGCCATAAGGCCCTGTAGTGCGTGGGCTCACATGGTCGAGATTGCTCGGGCTATGAGGTCCACGGTCCATAACCTCCTCCGATCAGGCGCCCACCAGCTTCGAATCCGTTTTTCGGGCTGGTGAATTGTCCAAGGCAACATTTAGGTGTCAGTGGCGGACAGCAGGTGCGGGTGTGGCCAGCCTGCGACAGCGGCAGAGGTAGGGGGTTGGTCGAGACTCTGATCCGTGACTTATGGCAGAGTTGAAGCGCATGCAAATGACGAAGTAGATTGCATGCTTGCGAGGTGCGATCGGAACCAGTGCAAGAACATACCTAAGCTGGTCTGGCGTGTTGTAGGGTTGCCGGTGATCAGCGAAGAACGGGGGCCGTGCCAGGGACCATCACAAATGTAGATTGGGCGCAAGAGGACGGAAACCGAAGCAAAATACGGAGTAGACAGCAGAAGGAATGTAGGTGGGGAGTGATGGAATAGAGATTCAGGATTCGAGAAAAGCGCAAGGAGCGAATCAAACCCTGGTGGGAGGGGGTTGCATGAGATTGTCAGCAGAAGGTCGCAGGTCGCAGGTCGCGCATTACGAGCTGGATGGATGTGGTTTAGACTGCCGTTCCAGAAAAGCTGCAATTGCCAGCCTCATCCTCAATGTGGATTCCATCGTGACGATCCGCCTTTTGCCTTTTTGCCTGGTGTACGGAGTAGACGATGCACACCTGCGTCATTCCGAGGTGTCTGCTGGGGTGAGATATGTATGCAAGCAAGGATCCCATCTCTTTACTGTGCACAGTACTCGGTATACCACCTCAACCAACCCCTCAAGTGTTTTCTGGTACGAGGTAGGATGTAGGATGTTCGATGCTCCTCATTTAACAAGCCATTCAATCCATCGAGGGATGTGACAACGACATCTCGAGCATGATATGGAAGGACGGTGCGCTATGACTGACAGGGTTGTCGTTTCGAGCTCCGGCAGATAGTGCGGCAGAAGCCGACTCGCGAATACGTACCATAGTAGTAGTATGGCGTTCTGTACCTGGTTCGGACAGCGTAAGAAAAATTGAACACGATCGAGAGATCACTGTTCCTTTCATCAATTCTGATTGGAATGGAGCAGTCAGGATGTACGGGTCGAGGCCTTACATGCGAGCCAACCGAACTGAGGTGGGTGTAGTAACACTGTAGTAAGACAGTGGAATTATTCAATCCATACCGTAGACAGGCAAGGCAATAGACACAAAAACGCACCGGCAACCAGTTCTGCAGAACAAAGTGGGCACAGCAGCTGGTGGCGGCCTAGTGGGCTTGGCAGTGAGCTCCGACCCGCTCTTACCGCGTGGTCGGTATTATGTAATGCGACTGTCATCGTCGGTTACCGGATGCTACCCCACCTGCGCTCACCTGCACCCACCTTCACCATTTTTGGATCCAAGTATCACCACCACCACCACCACCACCACCTCCTCTGCCATGCTCTGCTTTTGCTGTTGGTTACAGACTGTCACACTATCGCCGACTGCAACATCCATCCAATTGTATGGCTCCGGGTGCCGCTGCAAGTGTCCGAAGCTTCAACTGCCTTGAGTTTCTGCCGTTGGTACGCCTTAGACTCGACTCCTTACCTTACGATCCACTAATCCTCTGCTAGTATGCATCCTTCTTTCCCAGTTATGCCCGCCTTCCGCCGGCATGTCTCCTGTTCTCTCCAGATGTCCCCTCCTTCAGACAACTCTGGTTGTTCCTCGCTAAGCTCGGGTACTTACTCCACGTGGTCCGCATGAGCATGAGTGGCATGTCTTGGCGGATTTGATTACGCTACTGAGCAGGCGTCTATGCCGAGTTCCCAGGAGCTGATTTTGAGCGTATACAATACGCGAAATGCTACTCTCTGCCGGTATCAGGCAGAAGAGCTACGAGCCTACTCCACCGCGATCCGAACAGCTTCTTCCCTGCACTGACAACGAAGACCATGCTAGAGTCAAGTTCCAGGCAAGGGTCATCAAGTAAACCGTACTTTGGAGGGAGCCCTTGAGTTTCCAGCATTTCCACACCACTTACGAGCTTCGGGTAAAAACAAGGAGCCGGGTCGCGTGTTGATAACAGGACTTGACGCTGCTGACAAACTCTCGGCCTCTGTTAGTGTTTCGTTATGGTTCGTTCCGCAAGCTTGATGGGGTGTCCTTCTATACGAGGTGGCCCTGCGTCACTGGGTCAAGCATTTGCGATTTTGCTAATCATTAATCTAGACGCTAATGTGCCATCCTCCCTGGACATCATATGAGCACACACCACACAACTACGTTGATGACTCTCAATACCCGAACGGCTGACGTTCTGTTCCTTACGGGATACATGTACCCAGTCCTATCTCTACGGAGCTCGTCCGATGGCTGCATGTCACCTCGTCATCCAACCAGCCGACTACCAGAATTTTATTGTTGACTCAGATCCACAAATCCGCATGAGACCCGGACAGGCTGACATACATAGCTGATCCTACCTGCACTTCTCCAAGATTTGAAGGCATCGGAAAAAGCGGAAAGGCCCGAATTTACCTACGGCTTATGTCCATTGCCAAACGTCGCTAAGTAAAAATTACATTATCCCAACCTTCCATCCCTCTCACACCGGCCACTCTCCATATGATCACTAATGCTTTTGTAAAATAGCAATGGTTGGCAGTTGACTGGGAAGTACACTTGTTCTTTTGTGTCTCCAGCTACAACTCCTCAGGAGGACTTGCCCCCTGTGGCAATCTTATCGAGGAGAGCCTGGAGCTCTGGTCGCTGTTTCCGGCCCCAACAGTGCAATTCCTGCCGAGAAGCTCGCACTATTGTGCACAGTATATGGGTGACTTGCATTACCATTACCATTACAAGCGTCAACAAGGATGAAAAGTCCGCAAGTCGACTCGGAATGTGCTCTTCCTAGACTACGTCGTACTTTCAATCGTCCTCAAGAATCTCCCAAATACCTTTCCTTTCCCGGTCACGCGCAAAGCCAACAGAACGCTCATGCAGCGTCTCGGCGTCGGCCACGGAAAGAGCCTTTGTAAGTGCTTTCGACACCAATTCTTGTTTCCGCTGTAGGATCAGGCCTTCCACGACCCTGCAGATCCCGATCTCTTGCAATACTTGTTCCGCAAGTTGGAACAGCCTTTTGATCAACACGCCAATACAAGATTCAAGCTCATCGTCGGTCAATGGCGCCAGAAGATCGGCTAGCAAGTCCCTGCAGGCTTGCACTCGGCTTTCGATTGATGAAAGCGTAGCTGCCCATGATGGGTCTAACGGTGTTAAGAAATGGACCTCGTTTCCCGGTTCATTGCCATCGCCCTTCGAAGTTTCAGACATGGACATAGCAGATAACCGCCATCGATCGAATTCCTCCGTTACACTGTCCAGGGCTCCATCTTCGCGTACCACATTGGTTAACTCGTTCGCAACGTGCGCCAAAATAAGTAGCCCGTCGTGAGTTTTGCTGACCGTCCCGCATGGGTGCTCACTCTCTGCCTGGCGTGGAGTTGATGACGAAGCTCCCTTTCCCTCGCCTGCACTTGTACCCTCTAGCCACCCTTTAAGTGCGTATGCATTAACTTTGATTTGTAGGGCACGTTCCAGGGCGGTCAAAGTGGTCAGTCGCGTTTCAACATCTTCACGGCCGTCCCTTATTTGAACATCGACGCTGTCTTGGTAATTGCGGAGTGTCGAGGCAGCTTTGTCATGAAGCAGGGTTAGTTGCAAGAGTTCGTCGCGAAGACGGGTAATGTCTCCGGAAGACCCATTGGCGGGTATGATGTCTTGACGCAGGCTTGGAGGGTGTATCTCGGGTTTTGTAACCGTTGAATGGTGCCGAATGACTGGTCCCTTTTTCGGACTGAAGTGCTGCTTGTACGTGTTGAAGTCGGGCTTTGCGAACGACGGCGTGGTGGACGATGCCGAAGATGGGGTAGCGCTTCGAGATGCAGACGCAGTAGTAGATACCGCGGGCTTTGCTTTTGGCCTTGCCAGCCCTGAAATATGAGGGTGACCCGAAGTCGGACCGCCCCTTTCGGGCTTTGGTCTGGCTATTGAGCTGCTCTGCGTGCGAGAGAGTGATCTGGTTGATGCCGCCTCGGTGGCATTCGTAGCTGCTGAGTGAGGGATGGCCAATCCTAAGGCTGGTGTCGCGGAGGTAGAAGTTGAAGCCTTGACTCCGATTTTTCGGGAGTTGTTGGTCGTGGTCGTGGTCGAGTGACTTCTGAAGTGGGTTGTTGGTTGCTTACTTATCGCTCTCGTACCCGCAGAGACTCCAGGTCGCGTCGCTTGCTCAGCAGTCTCTCGCGTGCCATTGCTATTCGCGTTGTGTTGGACCCTTTTGGACGCTGAGCGGGCTAGCTTTGAACGAGGCTCGATTGAGGAAGCCTTGCTTGCGGCACTTGTAGGCCTGGAAGTCTCAGGTGTCTCCGGCGAGTCGCTTTCTCGCGTGCCATTGCCATAGTGAGCTTTCGAGCTTTCTCGTGCTAGCTTTGCTGGAGCCTGGTTTGTATTCACTGGCTGTGGCAGTCTGTTTGGGACATTTCTGATCGACAAATCCGGACGTGCAGCAGGCTTACCTGCTTTCGAGGGAGATCGAGAGGGGACTGGAATCGGCATCAGGCATGTTGCTCAACTTGGAACTTTGGTGCTTGGAGGTCGCTAACGAATCTATAGGCATATGTGATTTGCTGAGCAATGTGTACACAGTAAACAATATCAACAGCGAGATACGAGTAGCATGGGAATCAATTTGCGGGGAGAAAGCTAAGGGAGTTCGGCGGGCAGCTTTGCCGAGGCAGCAGCTGGTTGTTTCTTCACTGAACTCCCTGTGGAAGCCAAATCACTCTCAGACAAATACTCAAAGGCGAGCCACCGTACCGGCATACGGACTAACAAGGTTCAGATTCTGTACTGCTAACCGCCAATTGCCAGCACAAGACAATCTCACAGTCTCCGGAATAATCACGACTGGAAAGTCTCCAGTGCTAACACCCACGAACGAGAGTGCTGTTCGTGCTCCTTGCCAAAATTGTGATGGCGATGGCGATGGCGAGGTCGCCTGAGAATTGTTTCCGATACGGGGCCGTTATATTCATGCTTACCATACGTCCCAGGTAAGAATGTTTTCACGAACTTATGCAGTGCACAGCTGCCTAAGGCCTCCCAGAATCACAAAGATCAAAGATCGTCGGAGACATATAGAATGTCTCCGAGAGGACCTTTGCTGGAACTTGGAATAAGCAGCGGGAGCATCGCTAGTCAAAATACACATATATGAGTACGAGCAGATCCTCGGGCCTTGAATGCTTTGTTTCCACTCACGCCCTCTTACTCCTCCTCTGCATTACATGAGAACCGTAAGCCAAAAAGCCCTACCACGTCTGCAGCAGATCTGCCCAAGATTCCAGCATCCAGCTTACGTACCACGCAGACTGAACGCAACCATGGCTGCTGCGGAACAAGCAAAATCAATGTTCGATGATGACAACTTCGCGAAGATGTACGCTTCGGCGGAGAAACTTACGGGTCACTTCGCAAAGATTCTCGTTGATACCGTGGTGAAGAACATCTCCGATAACGAGGAACTGGTTATTCTTGACGAAGCTTGCGGGACCGGGATTGTCTCCAAGCACTTGATGGACGCACTCAGCCTTAATTCGAAGAAAAACCTCGAGCTTACATGTGCCGACAACGCCGATGCCATGCTCAAGGTCATAGCCAAGCGTATCGAGACCAATGGCTGGAAGAATGCGAAGACAGCCAAATCGGATGGCATAGATACCAAGCTGCCGAGCTCACACTTTACGCATATCCTGCTCAACTTTGGGCCCATGATTTTCTCAGACTCCAAGAAAGGTCTATCCGAGTGCTACCGCATGCTACGGCCCGGCGGTACATTGGCCATGACTTCATGGGAAAAGGTTGGCTGGATGCCAGACATGCGCGCAGCAATGGCGAGTGATCCGGAACTGCCTGCGATGCCTCCGGACGATCAATTGCGTAAGGCCTTCTCCTCCACCGACGGCGCAAAATGGGATGAAGCACCATGGGTTCAGGATTTTGTCTCCGACATAGGGTTTGTCGATGTGCGAGTTGAGAAGGTGCACCATAGAAGCTCTCTGACAAACGTTACGGAGTTCATGGGGATGATTCAGGGGGTGTTCATGCTCCTTATCAACACGCAGTGGACAGAAGAACAGAAGGAAAAGTATCGTGATCGTGCAAAGAATGTGATTGAGAAGTACATGGTGGACAAATACGGCGAGGGTGAGATCCAATGGGACTGGGTTGCTATCATGACAACCGCGAAGAGGGCTGCGTAGTATTTGGCAACAGCGTGAGCGTTGCAGGTAAAGCTTGGGACATTCTTTAAGGAGTGAAAATAGATAATTCCCAAGAAATCTCTGCCCATTATGAGATTCTCAGGTAACCAGGATTCTTAGGGGCAGTAATAGGCATATTTAGACAAGTCTCTTGGTGTAGCATCTCGAGTTAAGTTCTCGACCGCCGTACACATCATCTTCCAGACAGACCAGGCTTTTCATGGATCACTGCGCAAGTCTGGGCAGGTGTTGTACTCGGACTATCTCTGCCACATGGAATAACGGTCCCGAAGACGTGGTAGCGAAATGGAGGGCCAGATCTCGGCGCAGGAGGTCAGATAGAGCATCTAGAACTCACCAATTGGGACACCGGGTCCGGCTTATTGGACGCACGGCCACGCGAGTGAGAGAGAAAGTGGACAAGCCAAAATCCCGCGAGACGTCTGTGCACGGTGGACGCGGGAGGCTCGGAATGCGTGATTAGCCAGGGGAATACAGAAGATGAAAAGGCCAAGTTGCGTATGGTTCAGAGTGAGAACTTGCAAAAATTTGCAGTGTCGTTTGATCAAGAAAAGAAAAATAAATCTCTTGCAGGAGAAATTCAGATGTTTGCCAGCATCACGTGCAGCATCCAGGATTTGCCTTGCAAGTTGCCTGACTAATCCCGAGCTCTAGATCTTTAACTCCGGTTCAGGATTGATGCTTATTACTGACCAATCACCACATTGTATCTGTTTGAAGCACCACTACATCTTCCACCCCAGACAATTTGGCCCTTCTTCTCTCCTTTCTCTCTCGTTTGCTCTGGCTGCTCCACGGTATCGACGAAATCTCCTACGACAGTCATTCACCAGCGACCTTGGGGACATCAGCGCCTCGAGAGTTGCTGGTTTCAAGGCAAAACAATCCCTCTAACCGCTGTGCCTCCGGCCTCCTGTGGCAGGAATGCTACTTGATCCTTCGTCTGGCCACATTCGACGTTTCACCAACAACACCTCTCGCAAACCAGTCTGCGACACTATGCCAGCATTCTTTTCACACTCTGTTGCTATTCTACAAACTCACCATCAGAACCAACCTGCTCGTTAATCATGTCGCCCCTGACAGACCTACCCTTGAGGCCCTCCGCGCCCTCCGGTGGTCGTTCCTCGTCCTATGACACTGCACCGTCTCCTCCAATTTCTGCCGAGAACGTCGCGTTACCTCCTTCTCCTCCGAACGAAGAAGAATACGAGATTCCTTCTACGCCTCCGATGGTCTACTCTCCTCCTGCCGCGTCGGAGACAAGCCGCTGCGACTATTTCCCCCCAAGCCTTACACCTTCCCGAATCCGGGGCGCATCGCCTCCAAGGAGAATGAGACCCCTTTCGGTTGGCGCCATTGTCAGCGCACCACCGATGCAGAGAGCCCATTCCTCGCCAGGAATTGATGCTTCAGGACGATACATTACACCATATGGTCCCACTAGGAGACCATCTTCACCATTACATTCAGGAAGGAGGAGAAGCCCGCTACGGTCGGCAATTGAAGACACCTACCCTCGAGACCCGTCGTGGAGTGGATTGAATATCGAGCCAAATATTCCTGAGCATGCCGAACTCGAGTTGTCTGCCGAGGTCGACTTATCTCAGCCTTCGCCCATGTCCTCATTTTCCAATACCTTTCCAAGATCACGTCGACGGCCTAATATTCCTCTACATCAAAGTGCAAGTGCACCCGCACTGTACACCAGAGCTACAAGTCCATTGTCTGGAAGAACCTCGCCCACGCCATCGTTCGTTCAGCAGAAATTCGCCTACGAACCTTATCCGGCATACTCACTCAGCTCGGCCTCGAGTATGCCGAGCACTCCGACATCTTTGCGGTCACGATCACCGTCCATCAGTTCGCTTGAAACCATCGAAGACACTCCCGACGCCGAAGAGGCAGCCTTGCTTGAAGAAGAAGTGGGCAAGCTAAAGGGTGACGATGGTGATACAATGGAGTCAAAGAGACGGAGTTCAATGGAGCCTCGAGGAAACAACCTGAGAAGCAACAAAGAGCGGAAGAGGTGGTCTGTTTGTGGAGCGGAAAGAAGAGCCGATTTTTCTTTGGAACCTATCGAGGAATAACCGGGAATGCAGCGAATGAGGCAGACATCTCTGCGTGCTGGAGACGCAGCAAAACCGCACAGGAGGCGAAGATGAATTTTGGCATGCGTTACAACTCTTACGAGCTTGCAAATGACAGGAGACCACTTGGTCACGGGCAGCATTGTACAAAAGATACCCCAATGGCATTGTACTCGTATTATGCTTTTTTTGACAGGCTAGACAGACGCCAGCCGACACAGTCGCCAATCATGGCTACGGAATATGCTTTGATGAATGACATGACTATGGATTACTTTCTGCTCCTGACCTGGTTCTCGCTTCTAGATTTTACTCTCGCTGTAAATACTACATGTACCTGACATGTGCCATGTCAAGCTCAGCCTCGCACTAATCCTGGACCCATCGGCAAGGCTGAACCCTGCATGATAAGATCTGGCCAAATCAATACTCGTAATAATGAGCCCATGAACCCCTTCAACGGGAATTGCACTGCGCCCGCTTTTGTCACCACGACTCGTAACGATCAGACGATAGGGTCTCGTAGAAGTCGACACCTTCTATACATGTCGTGAAACTCACGTCCAGAGCTGCCGCAGCTCTTCCCTTCAACCACGATGGATTCGTTCGAGAAACATGGCCTTGACGAGTCGGCATTCGACGACAAGGGCTTGTCCAGCCTGCGTACTTTTGATGCTTTTCGTACGCACCACATGCACTCGCTTGACAAGTCCGGTGCTAACGAGAGTCAACAGCGAAGACGAAACCGAACTACACCTCCGCAACCGCGCGAGGCGGCCAATGGACCCTCGCCATCATCATCCTCTGCACATGCCTGACCTTCTCCGAACTGCGAACCTGGTGGACCGGTACCGAGACACACCACTTCTCCGTCGAGCGCGGCGTCGGCCACGAGTTACAATTAAATCTGGACATTGTCGTCGCCATGGCCTGCCACGACCTCCACATCAACGTGCAAGACGCGGCGATGGACCGCATCATGGCCGGTGACCTGCTCACGAAAGAGGACACAAATTTCGCCGTGTGGACGGACCCGCGCAAGCGACGGCGTCAGCAGAGACTACATGAATCCAAGCGCGATGTCGAGCGCAAGCGCGCAGAAGACGAGGATAGCCACGTGAGCCATGTGCTGGGTCATATGCGAGAGAATGTGGGCAAGAAGTTCCCCAAATCACCTCGTGTACCGCGCGGTGCGCCGATGGATAGTTGTCGGATATACGGGAGTCTAGAGGGCAACAAAGTCCAGGGTGACTTTCATATTACCGCCCGAGGCCATGGGTACATGGAATTCGGGATGCAGCAACATCTGGACCATGGGACGTTCAATTTCAGTCACCATATCAACGAGTTGTCGTTTGGTCCGCATTATCCGGGGATTTTGAACCCTTTGGACCGCACGGGAGATACCACGGAGGCCCATTTCATGCGATATCAGTACTATCTCAGTGTCGTGCCGACGATTTTCACGAAGAGGCGCGTGAGCACAAGGAGTGGGAGTCTGGATCCCGCTGCGATTCCGCAGCCGCCGACGCTGGATTTGGCGCCGGACATCAAGGACGCGAACAAGAAAAAGAAGGATGGGCCTGTAAAGCATATGGTCAACCCAGACAAGGGACGCGACAGGAAAAGTGTTTTCACGAATCAGTACGCTGCGACGAGCCAGAGTAGAGAAGTGCCGGGGAATACGGTTCCGGGATTGTTTTTCAAGTATGATATCGAGCCGATATTGCTGATTGTGAGTGAGAGCCGGAGTAGCCTGTTGGGGCTGCTGGTAAGGCTGGTCAATGTGATCAGTGGTGTGATGGTAGGAGGAGGCTGGATGTTTCAGTTGAGTGAGTGGGCGGCCGAGGTTTGGGGGAAACGAAGAAGCCGAAGGAATACGGGGATGATTGGAGTAATTAACGGTGATGTCAATGGCGATCTGGATTCGAAGAGGTGAGGACGAGAGAAGGGGAGAGATATATGAAATGGCTACTCGGCAACATACCAAGGTGGTGAGAGGACAATTCAGACTCGAGACAACAGGAAAAGTCATTGACAACGTCCGAGCTGCTCACGGGCCATCTTCAAGATATATTGCCTGATCGGTCTGCAGGCCTGACTTACACCAGCAAGACTATGGACTGGATATGTCTGCAGAAAGAGCATTGTACGAACGTCGATCTGGTTAGGAGCATTCAGACCAAGCATTTGCAGGTGCTTTTTACTCGAAGCATTATGAGGCGTTATGCTTCAATGGACGGAGAGAAATTTAGCGAACACACATGTATATCTTCAGGAGTGGTTTCGTGTGTAGGCGAACATATACTCATCATGGGAGAGACTTGCCAAGTCATAGAAGTATTCACGAAGAAAGCAAAGAGGTTTACGAAACAGACACCACAGAAGCGTGCCAGCTCCATCCAACGTACCCGCCCTCGGCGTTCCGCTGTACAAGGCTGGGTGGCGCATAAGGCTGAGATTTCCGGGGAACAACCGATACAAACATCCGCGAAGGAAACATCCATTTATCGCTCAAGTCACGACCTGATTCAGTCCGCAAGATTCAGGTGCGGATAGAGACCTATGTCCGTTTCATTGCCGTTATATCATCATGCTCGACTTGACGAGCTCGATGGCGATGGCGCCAATGTATGTCACGTTACATCACACCAGAACGGCTGGCTCAAGCTGGACCTTCCCTCGAGTCTCCGCTGATGCTCGTTGTCGGTAGGTGGCAAGGACGGGCGACTCCCATCCGTTAGAATGAAGGACATATGTCCTACTCTTTGATATGTATTTATCCCTTTTCTGCATCATTCGACCTATCACACCTTCTTAGAGGGACACATCAAATATGCCTGACGCAGTATCATCTCGGTATATAATACCACAGAAGGTTCGCAGACGCCTGCATCAATCCCGATACCTGCGCAACCTGAAGTACTTCTTCCTGGACTCATGGAGCGACCTGCTGCAGCTCATGGTCGTGGCAGCCGCAGCACTGACTGCAAGTCAATTCCCTGCCGATACTACTAGGGATGCCTAACTAACAAAATCCATTAGCTGTACTCAATCTCATACAGACCACCACTCCTCATTCAAATATACAGCATGAGTAATGGCAGGCCCTACAATCCTGCGATTGCTTATCCTTACCGAGAGCCAATCTTCTCCTCGCTGACGGCCGGTCTTGTCGCCATACTCATTCCTCTTGCCATAATCCTTCTCGCACAGGTGTTCATGAGATCCTTTGCTGACGCTGCAGCTGCCATCAAGGGACTCCTCTATTCTCTCGTTACAGGGACATTCTTCCAAGTCATTCTGAAGACATTCATCGGAGGTGCCCGACCCCATTTCATTGCTGTCTGCGAACCTATCAGTCTCAATGAGGGACAAGGGCCTAACGCCAACCTGTATACCCCCGATATCTGCATGGGAAGCAACAAGGGTCGGATCGACTATGCTTTGCAGACATTCCCGTCTGGCCACGCAGAAGCAGCATTTGCTGGTCTAGGCTTTCTGGCAATCTATCTCTACACGCACTTGAGAATTGGAGATCCTCGTGTCGAATCAAGTTTGGGATTTTGGCGGATGGCATTCGTTCTCATACCAATCATACTGGCGACATACCTCTCTGCGTCACTTGTCTTGGTGCACCATCATTTCGCCTTCGATGGCATCTTCGGCGCAGGGATTGGCATCCTGACGGCACTTCTGGGATACAGGTTGGCATTTCGTGGGTTGACGTCCTATAAGACGAATCGTGAGCCCAGAGTGGGCAAGAGGCTGAGGACGGAGATGGACAGGAGACGGGAAGAAGCCAAGGAGGCCTTGACACCTCAAACCCTCCCTGGGCCTAGCGCGACCATGGATGGGGCGGTGGACTGTGATGATGCCGGTGAAGGAAGCGAGACATTGATGCGGAGGAGAATGAGCGATGAAGAAATGGGGAACGGGCAGAGCTATAACGATGGAATTGGCGCAGAGACAGGTTCGAAGAGATCACAGGCACTCAGTGATACCGAATCGGAACCCTCGACTAGCGGCACGGGGAAGGGCGTACCTGGTAGAATCCCGTTAGGAGCGTTGCGAGGAGATATGAGTGCCCGTATCCACAGCACATTTGGTTCAGGCACGCCGTTTTGGTTGGGAAAGAAGGTCAATACCAGGGAAGGCTTGAGTGTATCATGATTTTCGATTACTGGTTGGCGGGATAGGGGCACCATAACGAAATGAATCAATGATGATACACTCGTTATCTCCGTATTCAGAACACTTATAAGTCTATCGGATATACTCATGGCCCCGACAGTGCACATTGTACTCTACATCAAACCGACATACTCGAACATCATGCAGGTATCGACTCCAACTCGGTCTCAGCTGGCTCAGCCTTGATAACAAAAGCCTCTGTCTTTGGCGTGGTGGGCACACTACTCGCACTGGCATCATTGTCTTCCCTCTCTCTGTCCTTTCCTTTCCTTTCCCTCGCGGCTTCGCGCTCTCGGCGCCTCCGTCGGCGTTCTGCCCTCTCATCTTCCGCCGATACGATAGCCGTGGCCGAAGAGGTCAAAGGACTTAGCCCGCTATCCTTCCTGTCGCTGGTGGTGGCTCGGTTTTTCCGCCGGACACTGGCCGTGCTGCTCACGCTACTACCGCGACGCACGCGTTGACTTTCCTTTTCCACGCCGCTCCCATCAAGGTTGTCGAGTTGTGGCGTCGACGAGCGTGACGACTGTCGACTCCGACTTCCTCCGTGGGTCGAGTCCGAGTCTGCTAGGCTTAGGCCCGGTCTTCGCCGTCCGGTGCCAGTACCAGTACCAGTACCAGTACCAGTGCCGCCGCCTAAGCCTAGCATGCTCGCGGCCGTGGAGGAGACGGATGCGGAGTGTTGTCGGCCGTTTGGATGAAGATGGCCGCCGTGCGGATGTTTCTCGAGATCGTGGTGTCTTCGGGTATGGCGATGTGCGGCGAAGCGCCAGACTCCGGTCCACCATTTCCAACCGCCCGTTTCTTTCGCCTTGACTCGGCGTTGGCGGTTCAGTTTCCTGCGCAGACCTGCTCGTCGCTCGTTCTCTTTCTCCCAATACTCGGTGCGGTATTCCTCCCAGTTCTCGCGGAATTCGGGGCTGAATGATTTGGGAAGTAGTAATAACATGATGGAGTCGCCGCCCGAGGCGAGATCTTCCTCGACGACACTGCCGTCCTCGTGCTCGACCAGGTGCCAGTCACTGCCACCTGCCTCGCGCCATAGACCGTAGGGAAGGAGGAAGGACATGTGTCCGAGCATTTCGCGCCAGAGTTTGCCCCGGATCACGACGACGCGCAGGTTGAAGCCGCGCAGGCCCCGGTTCGTCGTGCCGATCCACTTGCGCGGCCAGCGGATGCCGCGCTCCCACTGGCCCGTGGCGTAGACGAGGAGGACCGTCACCACGCCGCCCATCAGGGCAAGTTTCTCCGAGGTCTCGATAACCCAGTACACGCTGCCGCCGAGGCCCGTGCCATCTTCGCGCGGGCGGAGGAACAGGGCGTAGAAGAATGTGGTGTTCCAGACGGTGAGGAGAAGTAGGAAGAACGTGTTGAGCCGTCGGCGCGAGATGAGGTGGAGGTATTGTGCGCGCAAGGAGGATTCGAGAATCAAGAGGTTGAGGTAGATCTGCGGAGGGGACGAGGGGAGCGTGGCCAGGGTTGGGTCGTCGTATTTGGAGGATTGAGGGTCGAGATGAGGGAGTGGGTGCGAGGGAGGTGGTTTGACTGGGGCCGTGGGCGCGCCTTTGACGAGTTGGTTCAATGCTTTTTCGGAGGACATCTCGGAGGAGACTGAGGCGGAGTGGAGGGGGAGGATACGGAGTAGTGGTGGAGGAGATAGTTGAGCGTAGTTCAGCTGCGTGCCATGTACGAGAGTGAGTTGTGAGAGGTGGGTGCGGTTATTCAAGGCATGGAATCGTGGTAGAGTGTCTTATTGAATCCGGGACACCTGTGTGCGCGCAGCATATGCCCAGCTTTTTTCTATCTGATCCAAGCCCGACTTCGTAGTCATTCGATGTGGTGAAAGGTGGTGGGTTGAGGAGGGAGGGGCTGACGAGGCTGGGTGGAGAGGGAGGTCTCAGGCCTCTCTGGCTGAGAGTGTAGATTGCAGAATAAACAGTCGAAGAACGCGAGGCTCGGAGCAGTCTATGATGGTAACACGGAGTAGTTCTCGAACAGTACTATCTCACTGATACGAGGCTGTATGCAGGACGGATGAGGGAAGTGATAAAGTCCAGTAAATCCGTGAGATGCATTGGTCGGAATAATGACATCGGTCGAATACGGACAACGTTTCCTCCGGATCTCAACGCGGCTCAACCACCTACTCCGTGCGTAACGAACACCATCCTTTTATGCACTATGATGAGAAGACTTTCCTTGCTGCCGTCACTAAATTTAGTCTGATACACTCATTTTATTCTGCTGCCTGATTTGTACTCCTGAATTGGATCTTTCCCTATCCAAATCTGTATTAATTGACCCGTGTCCATCCCCAGTCCCTCATTTGCCTCCTCGCTCAAAAGATTTCCTTCTTGTATGAGACGAACGCTGCCCTCGACGCTCCTTGAGGCAGCCCCTAGAACCGCACATATCAATTATCGTCCTCCACTTCGTTCCCAATCGACCGCAAGCCTGAGTGAGTCCGAGAACCTCGCTCCGACCTCCCGCCGCCCACCCGCGATGTCGGCCGACGCAGCAGATTCCGACAGTGAGCTGCAGGCCCGCGGACAACAGAGCCCTCTGGCCAGGCAGCGTGCCAAAGCCGAGAATCCACGAAGAAGTCGATTCGAAAACCTTTTCCCTCTCGGCTACAAAGAAGGATTCAGTCAGTGGTGGAGCAATCTACCTGCCGCGCAAGCTGAACACAAAGTCTTGTCCTTCATCCCATACCTTCAGCAGCCTCCCACACATACCCAGACCGGCTCCGAACCACCTTCACAGAATCCCTCGACTTTGTCCGTGGTCGATACATCTCCTTCTGCCAAAGCTGCGCCCATCACTACAAATTCCATTACCGATCCCCATGGCCCTCGAACGTGGTATTCGCGCATGGTGCCCCTGTCCGGCAAGAACAGAGCCTTGAACGAGTTCTGCGTCGAACGGACAGGCGAGGAAGCAGATCAGAGTCTGGTCATACTGCACGGGTACGGCGCAGGGTTGGGGTTTTTCTACAAGAACTTCGAAACATTATCACGCGCAAAGGGCTGGCAACTATACGCCCTGGATATGCTGGGTATGGGCCGCTCATCGAGACCTCCTTTCAGAATAAAATCAAAGACGCGGGAGCAACAGATTACCGAGGCCGAAGACTGGTTTATTGATTCGCTAGAAGAGTGGCGGGCAAAGCGAAACATTGAAAAAATGACGCTTGTGGGCCATTCTATGGGCGGGTATATGGCCGTCTGCTACGCCTTGAAATACCCAGGGCGACTCAACAAACTCATTCTGGCCTCGCCTGTGGGCATTCCAGAAGATCCCTACGCCACTCATGCTGCAATGCCCGAACCGCCCGAGTCGACATTCCAGAGCGAGTTTACCCAGGACCAGGAGACGGAAAGCACCGCCGCAAAAGATAACAATAACTTTATGAACGCGCGACAAAAGGCAGAGCAGGATCAACAGAAGCCAAATCCAAATCGCCTGCCTGCCGATAAGCAGGCCGGACAGACGCCGCCGAGGCGCCCGTATGCCCGATGGCTGACGTACCTGTGGGACGCAAACATCTCACCATTCAGCTTCGTGCGCTGGTCTGGCCCGCTCGGCCCACGTTTGGTGTCCGGCTGGACCAGTCGACGATTCTCGCATCTCCCATACGAAGAAGCTCTCGCGTTGCACGACTATAGCTACAGCCTGTTCAGACTTCGCGGTAGTGGTGAATATGCACTAGCGTATATCCTCGCCCCGGGCGCATTCGCGAGAAGTCCGTTGATCAGGCGTATCCATGGTCTTGGCCGGCAGCCTCTCCAAGCTGAGTCGTCGGCAGAACCAGTGCTCGAGAAGGGTCTTCCAGTCGTGCTAATGTATGGCGAGAACGACTGGATGGATGTTAAAGGTGGATATGCTGCGAAGAAGAAGATCGATGCGGAACGCGAGCGTGCTTTGAGAGGGAAATCGGAGGCGGAAATCGCCGAAGATCAGGGAGGTGCCAAGGTGGTAATTATCAAGAAGGCGGGACATCATGTCTATCTTGACAGTCCGGAGGAGTTCAATGAGGTCATGCTGGCCGAGATGGAAGATGTTCGGAGGCGCAGCGAAGGACTCAAGAAAGGAGGCATGAGCGGAGTTCAGGTTATTGATCGAAAGAGTGATTGAACAGACGTGCTAAAGAAACAGTCATCAAAAGCGCAGGAGTTTCGGATGGACTATGATCAACAACCTGTCCATGTGGAGATGCTCACTCTCAACGACATTACGACGAACCAGTTGGATTCCAAAGAGGCAAGACAGAAATTTGAGCGGAGTGCGGCAGAGCAACATGTTACAATGGTACATCCTGCCGCAATGCGCTATACGAAGACAAATCCGCAAAGCCGGACCTGCCTTACGGCCTGTGGCCAAGTATCTTTTTGAATACGCGAGTGATGTCCTGGATGCGCTGACTTTGTGAGGAGATGGGGAAGACTGAGAGGCTGTTGAGACAGTGTACATGAATGGCGGCGTTACTGCATGCAATGGAAGTCACCGCAGTTTGACGAGCGACTGTCCTTTGCGAGGGCGGCTCTCAAAGTACAACCATTTCTGATTGAGCGACAATCCCAGATTTTCTTGATAAAATGTTTTCAAACTGTTGCTCGTTAGCCAGATTAGACCGTTTTCAGTTCCTCATATAGACGACAGAAGAGTGTCAAGTCACCCAATGTATCTCACTTGATTGGCCAGAGCGACGCGCCTGTGAGTGGCAGGATCAGGATCAGGGGGCGTGACTTCGTTGCCTACTTGAGTCCTACCTCAACTGTCTTTCTTTCTCCTCAATCTATCCTGGAATTCGCTCTCCGATATCTGCACAACATCCTGCCTCCAAGAACCCGCCCATGACATATTATGAAGCTCCATGGAAATGAGGCGTCATGTCACGTTACCTCTGCCTTGCACGTAACTCCCAAGGCGCGTCAACAGGCAACCATCTCGGTCGCATCAAGGGCTTCCTGAGCAACAGTAAGACGGGCCAGAGCTCGAAGGTGATCAAACTCCGGAGCAGACAACTATCTTCTCAAATCGACTGAAAAGATCTGAGGTAACGTCATGAGATTAATTCCTCCCGAACCTTCGCACAGGGTATTACGAGATGATCCTACATCTGCAAGGAAGCCTTGCTAGACCACTGACTGATTGCGAGAAACGACTGACAGACCCAGCCCAGCCCAGACCAATTGCAAGAACGCCTCTTCGAAGCCCAAACAAATTGCAGCCATTGAAAAGGCGACACGCAGACCTGACTGACCGCCTTGTTGTGAACATATGCTAATCTTTGACCGCTCTCGCTCCATGAGGACGAAAGAGCAGCCCTGCATCCTCAATACGAAGCTTCCCAAACGCCTCTGAAAACGAAATCTCGAACCGTGGCAGCTAACCTGGCAACGGACGTAATTGTACCCACGAACATTCAATCCCGGCATGAAACAGCTTTTTTGGTTTCAATTCATCACGAATAACTCTGAGCTCGAACCATGCTCCGGGTCGCATCAAGCCGACGTCTTTCAGCCCTCCGTCCAGCGTTGATGGTGAAGGCCTCATTCTGATAACCCACTGATCGAGCCATGTGTGCCATGACCGCAGCTGGCGGCGTTGCTGACGGCACCTGCGGTAGTTCCGAAAAGCTCATGAGTTGCCTTCTCACATTCATCGCTCCGGGAAGCTGGATCGTGACAGGAACCATCTGTGTCCGCTTGAACTGATGCTCATTGATAATCTTCTTACTGAACATCCACCTCATCAGACCGAAGTCCGTCCTAACAGTGGCCAATTGTTGTCCTTTGCGGAAATGGTCATGTACCATATGCGAAAGCATGTTATTCCAGGCAAGAGCTGGGTCGTCGTCCGCTCTCTGGACGTATTTGTTGTCGCAGAGGAAACAACTGGCAGATGTTGGCAGCTCATGTCCTCGGAAGTGTGAAAAGACGTGCATCTTGAAAGGAACGATATCGGCGAAGACCTGCTCACAATCGAGGATTTGGAAGGGGCACAGCAAGTCGGCGTCTTCCCGACATCGAGATGGTACTGTCAATGTTCCATCTTGAGATTCTTCCAGCAAGTGCCCGTCTCCGAGGATGCTACTGGCCATGCTTGTGTCTATTGAGGAGTTTGACGACGAATCGGTTGATGTCTGCCGGGTCAATGGCGGTACTGCGTCGGTGGCGGTCGTGGACGCCATTGAAATCGCGTCGTCATCTCCTGCGACGGATACTGCAGAGGGCGATCTCACGCCTGTCTTTCTCGGAATCATGAAGTCTTTTTCCTGAGATTGCTAGCAAACCCAGTCGATCCGGTCTGAACTACAAATTGCCGGGATGCGGCGAAACGGCTTTCAGGTTCTCATCGGGGTCCTCGGGACTAATACAGTTCGATGTGCAGCGTATATTTTCGGCCATTACTGATGCCTGGTCAACTCGAGTCTCATGGAAGCAAATGATTTCAGCAATACGATGAGCTCACCATGCCAAATGTCGGCGCCGATTCCCGCTGATGCTGATGGGATATCTCAGAATCGATAGGGAACAATCTCGCCAAAATGCGGGGTCCGCTGCCCTCGTATTGGTTCCACCGCCGGCTTTTCTCTGCGGGAGAAACCCCAACGACAACTGCGATTTCAGAAAACAATGACCCAGGTCGCCGAATGTGAATCTGTCTTTGGACGGGGATGTCGCGACTGCGCGCAGATACAAAAAGAAGAGAATCCACAAGTCGCAGCTCCAGAGACTGACCTAGAGCCCCCGATGGGTCTTGTGCAATTTGTGACATGCAGTAGCGACCTCCCCCGCTGCACAGATATGCACCTGTCAGATAATGCCAGCACATCAAGCGTGCATAGCCGACGATCGGAGCTGATTGGGTGCAAACATGTGCTCGCCTTGGACCGGACGAACGTTTCTATCCTTTGATACTGTGTTGGTTCGGTCCGTGGGGCAGCTTGGTCGACGTCAATGCATACCAAGACTTTGTCTTGATGCTCGATCGGACAGCCGCATTGACGGAAGATGCAGTGCAGTGATGTGGCCATGCGAGCATTGGATTGAACTGTAAGCTACTAATATTCCATGTAAGGTCTTGATGGAAGGGTTAGTTTCTTCCTAACCGAAAAGAATATCGGCCGGCGCCACTCTTGATGCCCTACTTCTTACACAGCGTGTTAGTCCGGTGTCATTACATGCTCATGTCTAGAAAGACTGGCGTGGAACGAAGATGTTTATTAATTAGCTAGATACCTACTATATAGGTACCCCAATATAGGTACCAATATAGGTACCGTAGGGAAGGGGAAGCATCGTGTCCCAAACAGCCCCGCCGTCCACCTGTTGTTAAGAGCAAAACTTAAATCAAGGCAGAAAAGGCTTCGTCCTAGAGTCCGCCTTCAAAATAACCTGCCGAACCTCATTCCAAACCTTGTCACCAAACTCGCGCCCTTCCGGACCGACAATCATAGGGCCAACCTCGTAGATACGATCGTCCTTCCACATCTGGCCGTGCATTTCATCACCGACCAGCAGAGCCGTCATGTAGGAGTTGGCGCCCTGCTCGGCCGTCCTGGCAAAGACAGCGTAGAAGAGCCAGGCGAAAAACTTGAAAATGGGGTTACCCTTCATCTGTCGTCCCAGACCGCTTTTGCACATCCCCGGGCAGACGGTGTTGATGATGACTTTTGGGTGTTGTTGTTGCTGCTGTTGTCCTTGTCCTTGGTGTTGTTGGCCGCCGTCAAGGGACATGGACGAACCCTGTATGGTGACGGCGGAAGAAGAGGAGGCGGCTAGATGTCGCACCGCGTGCTCGAGCACGAGCTTCGACCGGGCGTACTGGATACTTCCGCCTGCGACGCCGGGAGGGAAGTTTATCGGAGCACTGAGGGCCTCGAGCGGCGACTCGCTGGCGATGAAGGCTCGCATTTTTTCGGGTTTCATTGTATTCGCGAGATCCGAGGATACGAATGTCAAATGCGGCTTGTACACGTTGTTTGAGGATTGGGATCGGGATTTCGCTGCGGCAGTAGCGAGAAGAACAGGTAAGAGGAGCACGCCGAGAAGGATCGTGCTCAGGACGTTGACTTGGATCGTTTCTTCCCAGCCGTCGTGACTGACTGAGTATTTCTTCATCATCAAGCCCGCGTTGAGGATGGCGCCGTCGATGGCTGGGAAGCGGGATTGCAGGGTGGTGACGAAATCTTGGACGCTGGAGAAAGAGTCCATGTCTAGAACGAGGGGGATGATTTCGGGGGTGCTCGGGCTAGTGGTGCTGTTCTTTGGGGTGGATTTGAGGGATTCCTCGATCTCGCGCTTTGCGGCCTGGCCTTTGGCATTGGTGCGGCCGGTTATGATTAGACGCTCCACGTTGAGAGCGGCGAGTTTCTTGCATGCTTCCAGGCCTAGGCCGGACGTCGCGCCTGTGATGAGGATGGTGAGGCCGGTGAAGGGTTGTGTGGCAGGAGAGGGAGGGTTGCGTTTTTGGTCGAGGAGACGTTTGAGGCCGGGCAGGGACATTGTGTGGTCAGAGGTTGAGTGTTAGATCGAGTAGGTTTTCGAAACTTGAATGTTATCACTTATGGATCTCAGGGCTGGCAAGACCAGGATCTGTACTCGATATACCTGGTAAGTTTGGAGTTCTTGACTCAAGGATCGAGTATTTCGGATTCTGTCCCGACGTATTTTCAACATTGATGAGATGCAACCATACTTATCGAAGTCCCAGTCATTTAGCCGCTGGTCTCATAGACTGCGATCGGCTGGTTTGCTGACCCGTCTTGTTGAGGTCTTTGGAGCCGTCAAGCTCTCGCTGACAAACATTTCATCTCAAAGGCTGCAGAGGAGCCTACCAATACTCCAGAACTTACCATTAAGCTAGCTTTTCATACACGTCGAAGCTCTGGTCAAGACATCAGACAGGACGCAAGATGTCTTGATCGCTAAGCAGCGCAACTCCAAAGTGGAAAGGAATACGACGGCGGAAGATGGGATGCCGGATGGGTGATTTTCCGCGCCTCGGGTCTGGATAGAGTCGGCTCCCGAGACAAGGCTGAGAAGGCTGAGGAGCGGGTGACTGGCGGTCGGCCGGCAAAGAATATCTGGTCGGGACAGAAAGCTGCCCACGTTGAATCCTGTGAGTGACTGGAGCGGAATTGAATCTATCAGTGCGGTCTCCTGGTGATATTGAGCTTGATATGCTCCTGGATAGATGAAGAAGAGCAGCGGGGTGCAGCGAGGAGGACAATCAAGGACAATGCAAACGAGGCCACACCTACTTGCTGCTGGTCCTTGAAATGACGATGGCGCTTTTCCCCTTTCGGAATCCAATGATTTTCGACATTGAATTGACTTCGTCGACCCAGGACACAGCGATCATAAACCATACAAACTTCACAAACACATATGCTGAATTGCCTCCACTGCGGCTGCCATGGTTGAGTCTTGCATGCTTAGGCCCAATTACCTTGACATCCTTCCACACCGATAATTGTGCTCATTCAGAATCCCCGATTTCGCGTCTGCCAGAATCCTCCTAAACCCACAATACACTACAAGTCCCAGCACATCATGGAGAACCTCAGTCTGAACGAGCCTCCTCCGGGGTCGCCACAGCGTCAAATGGGACAGATGCCACAGCCCAGCGCTGTATTACCCGACGTACAGCCTCAAGGCCCGCCCCAGCTCCCGCCGCAGATGTTCACGACCGCGGCGCAACTACTTGATTTGACGGACAGTATGTGTCTCTTTGCGCCATACCCCTATCGCGCCCCGAGATTTTCGTGGCCGTATCATGAGTCCGGCAGTCCGTCCATTCGTGGCACCGCGCAACAAAAGAGCACATAGTCTGCTTTTACGAGCTTCATACTGATCTCCGAGTGTTTAGAGAAACTCCTCCTTGTCCTCCGCGATGGTCGTAAGATCTCCGGTGTCCTCCGCTCATGGGACCAATTTGCCAACCTTGTCCTGACCGACACACGCGAACGATACTTTGTCACGACCGCCGAATCAGAACCTAGACATCTCTACTGCGATATCCCTCGAGGAACGTACCTCGTCAGGGGCGAGAACGTGCTATTGTTGGGTGAAATTGATCTGGATAAAGACGACGACCCGCCGCCAGGGTACGAGGAGGGCGATGTCGAGGAAGTGTTCCAGATACAACGGGCAGCTGAGATGCAGAGGAAGCGCAAGGATAAGATCAAGATCAAGAAGGTCGCGCAGCTGTGGGGTGGGGAGATGGAAGGCAGCGGGGAGGTCCTTTTTTGAACTATTCTGGTATTCAGCGTGCACCGGCTGTTTGCAAGATGCGAGACAGGGGAAAGCAGCAAGATATCGATCTCCATTTGATGGAGATAGAAGGCACAGTGAAATATGATTCACTAGTGGCCCTCGACCATCTCAGGGGGTATGGGGTCTGTTTCGGCAAACTCCCACAAAGCGAGAATGGGTCACGAAACAGCAAATCGAAGAACAAGAATCAGAGCAGAATATTGTGAAATGCTTGTGGTCTCTGTGATGAAAGCAACCTTTTGGCGTCAGCTCTAGTTAAGCGCACTCTTTTGAAGCCTTATTGGTTCAAAGTCTGCGTAGCGCTGCAATATTATGTTGCTTTTCAAAGATCTTCCTGGCTCGATCGTCTTTTCAACCAGCACCTTTGTTGCTCCATCGTGCCTTCAGCGCAAAAGCCTTTCTCGAGATTTCATTTCATTAGCACGGGACTCCACAGCACTTGGGATATCTTGATGCCTGCCAGCTTGACCATTCGTGAGCTCAACCGTCCAATGGTGGAAGTTATCTTCGTAATCCGTATCCGGGCATGTGGTAGTCTCCCATCATGGTGAATTTCCCAAAGATGAAAAGGAGCAGTGCACGCATGACCACTCAACTCGACTCCAGCCGACCAAGCCAGTTGATCACCATCATGGCCTGTATGATGGCGACCCTTTCTCCGAATCTCAAGCCATCCCAGCTGCCCGCTTGCACCGTCATATTCCACATCTTGAGGACTTCGACGTCGTTCTCCATGGCAACACGTGCGGTCTGTTTGTCAAAGTCCCAAATCTCCTGGTTACCCTTGCGGTTCTTGATTTCGACGTGTCCTGCAGCAGTCGGACCGATCCAGAGCATGGGCGTTTTGCGCTTCGAAGCGTCGGCCAATGCGAGGAACTCGAGCAGAGATTTGGTCGCTGCCTCAGCGGACGCGGTGCTCGGCGAGAGTGAGTGGATGATCGGGACGGGTTTGTAATTTGACTGTGGGACTGGAGGGACGAGGGACTTGAATTTCTGCAGAACGTCGTTTGGAGCAGGGGAATTTGAGAGGGGAAGGAAGGCATGTGGTGTGCGGTGACAGAGGTATGCACTCGTCTGAGGATTGTTGCTGTTTCTCACCACGTCCCCGCTGTTCGTGACGTAGAATTGAGTGCAGGCTTGAGAGGTGAATTGGTTGTCGCAGCGGCATGTGTGGAGAGTGTTCTTGTCCATGTCCCATGTCTTGAGGGCGCCTGAGGCCAGGTCTTGACGGAGAAGAACGTTGAAGCCGTTGTAAATGGTTTCCAAGGCGGAGTCGCCCACGAAAACTATGCTGTCGAAGCGTTCGAGGATCATACAGATCTCGGCAACGGTGTACCAGCGATAGTGACAGTCTATTGTCATGTTAATGTGAGTGTGGAGAGTGAGAAGACAGGGCATTCTGACCTCTAGGTTGGTATGGTGCATCGAAGCCGATACGGCCGCCATGAGACATGGATTCCAGGAGGTCCTGGCGTCGAGAACAGTAGGCATGGTTGACGTCTTTCGCAGGAATGTAGAGATCGCTGGCTTGGATGTTGCATTCTGCAAAGCCGTGGAAGCTGCCGAAGTAGCTGGTGAGATTGTGTTAATCGGGTGCGGGTAAAGTGAAGGGGACATGAGACTCACTTGCTGAAGTCCTGGTAGATGATTGGGACTTTGTCAGACTGGTTCGGGGCGTCCCAGTGACCGGCGAGAGGCAAGACGATCCAGCCCAGGTACATCAGGAAGAAGAAGTACGAGTAGGCAAGGAGGTAGTAGAAGAACTTGACCCAGCTGAAGGCGTCGATGAGGTCCTCGACTTTGAAGATCAGGCGGGAGAGCCATGTTGGTCGTCGGACAGGAGAGGGTGGAGGAGGAAAAGGATCGATGTAGTTGCCCTCAGTCTTGTGCGTGGTAGAAGGAGAGCCGACCGAGGAGGAGGAAGACCCGCCGTCTGTGGCCACTGTGCTGGACGGCATCATGTATGGACCGATGATGTCGCGCGAGAGGAACGAATGGAGGATAGAGTTGTACGATCCAGGTGAGAGAGGGTATGATGCGATGAGATGCGCGATGGAAGGGTGCGGAAGATGTTTGAGATCTGGCAAGAAGAACAAGGACAAACCTGAACGTATTCTTCTTCACTTTATGAATCAAGACATTCTTTCACTATCAAGAACCCAGTAAGACCAGTTGCTCCAAATGACAAGTCTTACCTGTAATCTGGCTCAACATGTGGCTCATCCTCCTTCGTCAATCATTCATAAAGGTTGCCCATTCATCGTCTCATCAAACAATACTCTGTGTTCCCATCCGGACCAAACAGAGACAAGCTGACGAGGCTGGCAGATGCTCTCCACTAAGGAGTATCCTGAGTTCAAAGGCACGTTCATCAGTTAGATCTACTCACGCATGGTTGAGACTCTGAATTCCAGCCAAATGCTCATCGAAAGTACACCAATCTCCCAGCTCCTATGTCAAGGGCCGTCCTTCAGGCCTCAGCCCTTTGATTGAGTGGAAAGTGCGCTTCTTGGTTTGCCAACGGGCATACCTGCTTTAAACCACCTGAAGACACCAGGCTGGCCTGACAAGATAATCCACGACATCTCTTCGACATGACACGCAACAAAAAGATGCGACCTGCCGGTCGTGCGCTCAATGGACCGTCATCCTCTTATCGAAGCAGACGAAGATAGCAAGGGAATTGTTGATCTTCAGCCTCTACCGATATCACCCGATCACATAAGGCTGCACACGGAAAGCGGCGGGTCCAGTCTTCCAATCTGCGGAAGGCAGGAAGAGGCATCCCGCCAAAGCTCGAGCAGACATGGTTGCAGCAATCTGGCCATTGCAAGAGTATCCGACAGGAAGAGAAGCGTGTGCAAAGGAAGGAAAAAGGGTGGGATACAACGACACCAGGGTCGAAAATTAACGATGGAGCTGTAACAAGTGCACTGCATGGCCCATCGACCGTTGTGCTTGGTACTTGGTATTTGTAGCTCCAGGTCTCCCGCTTCGGACCAGGGGAATGATGGATGTGGATGGAATTCTGGTGGTCCTCCTTGTCCTTTTCTTCTGAGCTGCTCCACAATCATGTGCCCATCAAGCCTCTCCCCACAGCCGAAGACAGAGCGAGTCACGGCACCATTCAATCCTCACGCTTTGCTCATACCGCTCGGCGCTCACACCTGCGTTCTTGGAGCCTCTCCCACACGAGTCCTTCTTGATCTACGCTGCTGCTTAACATCTTCTCGAATCCTCAAACAGCATCGTCATTTTCCCGTCCGAGCATCTGCTCCCTCGACCTTTGTTGCGTTGCAACTGTCGCCAGCTGCAGCGGACCACCGTCTGCACCTCGGCTTGACGCATTGAATCCAGATTCGGAGAACATCGGACACTCACACATTCCCTTCTTTGACTCGCATTTTGAGTCACCACGATACTCGCCCCCCGACCGTTCGAGTTGTTCTCCCTCCAAGTACCAGGCCGCAAGGCCTGATCCTTGATCAACATGTCGTGGAAGCCCTCTGAGAAGTTGATGCAAACAATTGCCCACTATGCAAGCTTTCCACCGACCGGCGTCAGTCTTCGTCAGATGGTGCAGTTTGGCGAGCGACCGTCGACTGGTAAGTCCTTCAATTAACTGTTACCATTGACTCTACTAACTCCCATCCACAGGCACCCTCTTTCGCGCCTCTCAATTCCTCTCCGAAGAGCTTCCGGTGCGTCTCGCTCATCGAGTAGAAGAGCTGGGTAAGCTACCAGATGGTCTGAATGACATGACATCCATACAAAAAGTCCGAGATTGGTACGCTCAGTCATTTGAGGAGATCACAACCATGCCGCGACCTGATCTCGACCACGAAACTCGAAACCGGCTCCTCAATCCACCCAAGAAACCGAGCAACAAGCTCTCTTCGACTACTCGGAATCCCAGTCTGAAGCACGACGAGAATGGCAATGGCAAGGGCTCTCTGAACTCCCGACGGTATTATGCCGCTCTAGATGACGGACGAGAATGGCCTCCGGTCCTTGCGGAGTACAACCGGAAATTTGCCCGCACCCTCGAGATGATCAAGAGAAGACACGACCCAGTCGTAACAACAGTGGCCCAGGGCATCAACGAGTGGAAGCGAAAGCAACAACGCATGCAGATTGACTCGTCAATACAATCATTCCTCGACCGCTTCTACATGTCGCGCATTGGCATTCGAATGCTCATCGGACAACACATTGCTCTCACCGAACAACAATCTCACAGACATCCCAACTACGTCGGCATTATATGCACAAAGACAAATGTGAGGGAACTTGCCGAAGAGGCGATCGAGAACGCGAGATTCGTGTGCGAAGATCATTACGGCTTGTTTGACGCACCAAAAGTTCAATTGTTTTGCAACCCCAGTCTCAATTTCATGTATGTGCCGGGCCATCTGTCACATATGCTGTTCGAAACACTCAAAAATTCGTTACGAGCGGTCGTGGAAACGCACGGCGCAGACAAAGAGGATTTCCCAGTCACAAAAGTGATTGTCGCAGAGGGAAAAGAGGACATTACCATCAAAATCAGCGACGAAGGAGGTGGAATACCGAGATCGGCCATCCCTCTCGTCTGGACATACATGTACACTACAGTCGACACGACACCAGAGTTGGACCCGGGGTTTAATGCAAGTGATTTCAAGGCGCCCATGGCTGGGTTTGGGTACGGCTTACCCATTTCACGCTTATACGCGAGATATTTCGGAGGAGATTTGAAGTTGATCTCAATGGAAGGGTGAGCCACTTGTTCTTCCCCTCTGCTAGGGAATATATGAAAAGCTAACGTTGAGATCTCAAGGTACGGCACGGATGTATACTTGCATCTCAATCGACTTTCCTCGTCGTCGGAACCTCTGCAATAACAATTAGCAGTCATGAGGGATAGCAGCGGGTCCCAAGGATTGGCGTTGAACGGTACAGTGAGACATCGAAACTCTTCGTTGTCGAGCATGAGCACTGGGCGTCTGGCCGCGATGCGCTCACGCTTACGAAGTCGAGAGATCTCGGAACGGAAACAGGTCGGTGACGCCGAGAGTATGATCAATGAGGAGCCCAATGCCATGCAACCTGGAGGGGCGAGTCAGTGGTTGGAATGAGATGGGAAATGCACAGACGGAGAACTGCGAGAAAGCGTCAGCAGAGATGAAATGAAAATTGATTGATGTTCAAGATTTTCGAGTTTGTATTTTCCTTCGACGTGCCAAGTGAATCGCCCTGAAGGCAGCTCGTCTCTGCCAGAAGGCAGTGCACGTCGGGCTTCGTCGCTTCCACCTCTGACGGTCTTGATGAGGCCACGTTTGATGAGCCAGGATCGATATCCCACGGCTCTGGTGAAGCCGAAGCTATCCCAGTCTGTAGACGGGAGCCCGATATCAACAGTTCGCCTAGCAGAAACTGGAAAGATGCGTCCATATCGGAATTCAGAACCAGGAAATTAACGAAAGTTTCGCGACTGTCACTGAGACCCGAGCTTGAGCCTCACTCCAACCAACTCTGATAAAGTGAGAGTTTGTCCGGTCTCGATCAACAGTTTGAAGTTCTTTTTCTTCGAGATTTTGATAGCTTGGATTTGTTCGTCTCCTGACATGACTTGCAGAAGAAAAAGAGTGTAGAGCCGTGATAAAGTCCTTGTGCATTCCACGATAGGAGTTCCTCGATGCAACTTCCAGTGGATTTCTAGAAACTCGAGCTCTGGATAACCCTGTTCATAGTCTCCGTAAGCTGGGGGGAAATGTTCGCTTCAGGATCTTCGACAAAAGTGCCTGTAGTGGAATCGAAAATCGGACTGTCCTCGAGAAATTCCATCAAGTCGTGAGCAGTGGCCCGGCACGCCGGATCTTCAAGAAGCATTTCATGAACGCATAGCCCGAAAATTCGTAGGCTGTACCGCTGGGAGGTGACCATTTCCTTCAAAATTGGTCGCAGGCGCTCGAGTTCTCGAGCATACTGGCATGATGCTGTCTCGACGATATACAGAATCGCGTCAAGACTGCTAGAGCCTCCGATCGCAGCAGCCAATATTAGCAGGAAGCAGCAACCTAGTGCAAAGACGTCGGATTGCATACTGCTACTTTCGTAGCCTTGAACACAGAGCCGTAAGATCCGTGGAATGTCCGGCTGTTGATGTCCCGAATATAAGGTGTCTGCTCCGCCCTGGCATACCTTGACCACTCGACGCCGGGAAGCCCTGTTAGATTCTCCATTAGAGAAGTCCCGTCAGGCTGAGTCGCGACATCGGCTTCTAGGCACAGACAAAGTCCAGCACATTCAGTCTGCTGTGTCGGAGAAGGAGGGTCCCAATCCACCCAATGTCGGTCGACGCCTCTAGAGAATAAGAGTATTGCAAGAGCTGTGACACAGCCTGTTATAAAGATTGTGGCAGCGAAAGCGAGAGAAGTTGTTGTGCGCAGGTTGTGTCGGTCAACCGCTGTCCATCGACCAGGGCTGCTTCAGGCACCAACATTGGCTGCAGCGTGGAAGCTGCAGGGCAGACGACCAGATGATTCGTGGCACCAATCATGCTGAACTCAACCAATACGACTCCGGGCGTTGGTGATGCAGTTCGGGGCTATTTTTCTGGATTGGTTTCAAGTTGATGGCTGCAGACGCCCATTTTTCGCGTATGCGGTTGCGGCAAGAGGGCAAACAAATGTCGCAATGCAGCTAGAATGGAAGTCCATGCTTATGCTTGCTCTCACAGCTGCAGTGCTGGGATATTCCTTCTGATATATCTCGAGACAGTCATGTGCATTTTTCTATGAGAATTCATATCATCTTTGCTACTGCAGTCATCAGTCATAACAGCGAGGGAATCAGCTCAGCTCACGTTGTGGGTGTGGTCTGTCGGTGCTGCAAGATACATGTCGAGGCGTAAGAGAGAAGGAGTATCGAAGTGCAACAAGTAGTCCACAGGTTCGGTAGGAGTCAACACCGTCCATGTCAGTTCCTTCCATGCCGCCCAGCAAACCTCGCATTGCCCCTACCTCTCTTCCCTACACCACCGCCACCCCTGAACTTCGACTGCGTCTGCATCGGTCCTCTACTCTTCTCCACGCCTAGGCCTCGCCGTTGCTGTCTAGCATCTTGCTTTCCTCCTCCTCCTCTTCCTCTTCCTTCTGCTCCTGCTCCTGCTCCAGGAGACCTGGGACTTCCCGAACCTTGCATGATCTGGCGGGCAACCTGCCTCGCTTCCTCGACGTCGAGATTCATCTCCTCACCATCTCTCTGACGCGTCTCTTGCTTGGCCTTCTTCTGCATGCCGCTCTTGACCTTCAATTTGCCCTTCTGCCCACGTCGGACCGCATCGGCGCCCGACACGGCGTCGAGGTAGGCGTTGATCGAGTTATCCTGCCCGGCGCCAGCTCCTGACATCGCGACATCAACATCTTCGTCAGCTTCGTCGCCGTCAATGTTACCGAAAACGAGTTTGCCGTCCTCGTTGACTTTCGCTTTTGACATCTTTCTGGAGGAGGCCTGAGCATCTCGTAGTCGACCCAACTTCCTGCTCGAAATGTTGCCCATACTCTTCGGGTCGAGCAGATCAAGAGGCTCGTCTTCCTCGTCTTCCTGTCGGATATACTGCTGCTCGCCCCTTCTCTTTCCAGCAGTGGTGGACTTCTTGAACGCCACGCCAGACATAGCATCGTCACCATCTTCATCACTGTCTCCTTCGCCGCCATCAATCTCCGAATCATCATCTTCAGAGCCGTACACGGCCTCGTCGAATGCATTGTCATGCTTCTCTCGCCCACCGAATTCTTCTTCCTCCTCCGCATCTTCCTCGTCATTGCCCTTGGTCTTCTTCTTAGCTCGGTCTCTCCGTTTTCTTATGTTGACAATCATCTTGCGATCATCTCCACCAGCCCAGCTCTCCACCTTCGACGCGTCAAATCTTCTTAAACACCGATCGAGGATCCCCTTGATCTTGGCCCTTAGTCGGCCTTTGTTCTCTTTGCTCCACGCCATCAAGCCCGGCACTATCGCAGGCATTCTCGGCTCGAGCATCGTAACAGGCAGGACAACAACCATGACTTTGACAAACCCCAAAACCGCACGCACGATTTCTCGATTATTCGACTGCAGAAACATCGTCACCGTGTCGACAAGCTCTTCTTTCGTCTTGTCCGATAGCTGGCCATGATATTCCCACAACAATCGACTCAGAGCGATCACGCTGGCCGCGACCATATGTGGAGCGACACCGGCCAGACCCGCGCTGACCATGGTGAACACCTCTTCGAGGCTAGCTGGCGCATCCGGGGAGTCGTCCGGCATATGCGACACGAGTCTGTTTCGGATGACTGTATCTGGTGGATTCGTAGGGTCGGAGATCTTATTCGTCACGGCGATGAGTAGGTCGAAGCCTGCTGTTCGTGCTTTTTCGTTGCTGTCTTTGCACGCCAGAACGACTTCGCTTAGAATGCTAGGGATGAAGTGCAGATCGGACAAGGGGAGGAAGGAGATGAGCGTTTGAATCGCCAGTATGCGGTCTCGTCGTGCAGGAACGGGCGTGGTTTCGGAAGTCTGCAATATGAGCTGTTGCAGTTCTGTGTTCCGGGCTGTGAGGGCTTCGGAGCCGGTCTTGGAAGTTGACAGTCTGGGGATCAGTTTGTATGCTTTCTTGATGAGTTGCGGGTCGGATTTCAGCACCACTGGATTTGTCAGGATGTTCGAAGAGATTGAGAATAGAGATGAGAACGTCGATCGAGGTAGATGAACAGATAGGGCGATGACGAGATCAAGAAGCGTATGAGACGTTGGTGGTAATTTGTTGCCTACGGGCTGGTTTTGTTCTTTCTTCGGGGGTGGCTGATCCGGCTTTGGTAGTGCCTCCTCTAGCATTTTGGACACGCGTTCAAATGTGTCGACTAGATCTTTCTCGGGAGTAATGCTGAGGTAGGCGTTGATACACTGCAGAATGTATGCTCGGGACTGAGGCAGCGTTTGGCTGTAGACGTTGAAGAGCACGGCTAGAAGGTTTCCGGCAAACGTTGACAGATGCTGGATGTTCTTCTCGGCGTCTGCTCGTGACATGCGTCGTTCGAGGAGCAACACTTCGTCCGATAGATCTGATGCCAGTAATGCCTGGTAGGATTCCACTAGATTCTGCAACCCTCTGCAAAGATCAACTCGGAGCTCGGTCTGTTGGTATAGCAGGTTTGATATCATTTCAGCAAAGGGTTGGTCCATGGCAACTTGCAAATCCAAAGGCAAGTCGCAGTATCCAGGCAATGTGGCCCAGACCTGTTGTATCACCGTCTCGAAGATCTTGACGTCCATTGTCTTCTCACCTTTGCCGTGATCAAGGATGCGTTGATACATGGCTTCACTGAGAGGGACGAGATCTGATTTGAAATGAGCCAGATACGTGTTCGAGACATGATCTCTCAAAACTGGAAGAAGCCATGCTCGACCAGGCTGACCTGGCTGTGGTTTGATCAAATTGTGCGGTAGAATGCTCAGCACAGCCCCAGGACCAAGATTTCGAATAGCATGACCCAGGACCTCGTCTGCTTCCTTTTTGCCTTGGAAGCCCTCATTACTCCTCAATTGTCCTATTGCTTTCACGATCGGGAGTAGAAAGGGATCACCCCGCCACCGTAGAGCATCGAATAACGCTGCCAGAGCACTGAATACTTCCATCCATGCCGTCTGATATTTGACAGCCAAGAGCCCGAGGGCCTTCTGTGAGATTTGTTCCAACAGCTTTTCGTCATAGACTGACGGATCTGATATCGCGCTGTCCGGGACACAGTTGGCGAAGAAAGAAATGAGACACTCTGACGCTGAAACTCTGATGTTATGCGACGGACTAGTCAAAAAGGCTGCCACCAAGTCGAATAGTTCAGGAAGCTTGGCGAAGGTGTCTTCCGGCTCAACCGCTGCAGCTGTGCCATATCCTCGGGACAGAATGGCTATCCAAGGAGGTATCAGCTGCGAATCGTTCTGAGCAGGTTTCAACTCGACTATAGCCTCCAACAAACGCGGTAATTTGGATGATGACACCTCGTCTTGCATGCCCTCGAATATCACTTCGAACACTTCAAATGCGCTCATCACCAGAAAGTCGTTCCTCGATCGCGATATTCCCAAGAGCAGTTCGCAAAGAGATTCGATTTTCTTGCTAGGCCATCCACCAGAAGCCACAGCGATCGTCTTGGTCAATTGCAGAGCGTGTATCACTGCGGGTTCATGACTATCATCTGGTCTGCCTCGCTGACGCTTCGCTTGATGGGCTGTATCCACTGCATTCTTGAGGTTGTTCTGCGCCGCCGTCGCACATAGTTCCGCAGCTGGATGGTCGATTGCAGGGCCCGGTGGGGGCGTCTTCAACACTTTTGTCAATGCTTCCTGCGCCCGCTTTCTTATCTTCGGCCTCGGGTCAATCGCTAGTGTAAGAAGTACCACAATGGCCTGTCTAGGGCTCGTTTGGTTTTGTGGCAGATTCCATGCTGCGGAGTCCTGAGCCACCAATAATGACTCTAGACAGCCAATCGCAGATCGCAGTAAGGGCGCGTTCGAGGTCGTGGCACTTAGAAATGGTGCTAGGAGGGAGAGGATCGTACTGAACTGTGTTCGGAGGAGGCTCGCGGATACATAAGATGTCACTAGGTCGAGGAGGTAGACTGTGGAGGTAAGAATCTCATTGTCGCTAGACTGCTGGGCAGCAGACGAAGACTGCTTGAGAAGCGCAAGCAGAGCAGCAAAATACGCTGTGGGTGTGAATTTGGTTTTCTGCTCCGAGAGGGTTTCTTCGATCGAGGACAAGACTACGGTTGTCTGCGCAGGTTAGAACTCAATTTGGAGCCATATTGAAGGCCGGACGTACATGTTGTTGACTTTGAAGATTTGGCGATTTGATCTTAGCCAACTTCTCCTCCAACGACATCTTGATAGTGTGTTACGACTGGGAGGAACTTCATGTGGGCATCGCTGAACAAAAAGTTCGAGTTGCGCATGGAATTATTTTTTGGTTCGGCAGAATCACACCGCCTTTCCCCATCTCAGCCTCGTCACGTTATCAGGCTGCGCTTGAACATGTATCACGGTACCTGGTAACTGCAGCAATACTTCTTCCCAGCAGTCTACCCTCCGCCCACCGAATGGTCCTCTGCTTCTCATTAAAGGAGCCAGCCACATCAGAGCCCGTCATTGAACCAATTCTTGATAATCGGCTCAGTGTCTATACCCAGCGCTACCTTCTGAAAGTAGGCACGAGTCTGCGGAATCGACTGTCGAGTGTCATTAACCTGTTCCTTGCGCACGATTTGGCGATCCCACCTTCTCATTCGCGATAGCATAATTCATCAGCATCTGGTAGTGACTCAATATCACCTGCGCGCGTTGCTGCTTCTGAAGTTCGTCATATTGTGCCCGATCTTGCGGTCTCTGCGCTCTTGGATCCCGACTGCTGTGGAGGCGTCGGAACTCTTGTGGGTCGAGGGACTTGCTCTTGACAGCCTCAACTGTAGACATGGTGAAAGGCACTGTTGAGTGCAGTTGTCTTCCAGGATAACGGTAGCATAGCACGTCGAATAAAGTCTTAGGCACAGGATGCATTCGATGTTTTCCTGGCCGGCGTGACACCAAAACCGACGGACACTGAATCGAGTAACGTTGCCGCTTTACAGTCTCAGGCTTGATTTGGCTGATGGTCCAAAAACAGCGACGATTCACAGCGATCTCACACGAGCAAGGCTACATGCTATTGTCGCCGGATCTTATGAATGTTAGCTCGGCCGCGTTGTCTCGAAACTCTGACTGCCACATCGATGTCGTAGCTATGTTTGCTCCGGGGAATTAGGCGTCAATTGGAAAGATGTCATGAATGTTCTGGATAGGATATCCCGCTGCTATAAAGGCTATTGATTTCAGTACAGTAGGGGAAACCTGGAGACGAGGCCGAGTCGTGAAGTACGAACCATATATGTAGTTCGAAAAACAGTACAGATTTGTGGACGACACAGGCCCTCATTTTCCGCGAAACAAGCTGGGGACGTCTCTTCGGCTCATAGTGGACTGCCTCTAATGAGAATCTGTGGTCTTTCTGCAGTCAACAATCTCAGCTTCGAAACCATTCGACTGTGCGGTGCCCAAAGAAACCGACAATTCCGATGTCGTGTCAGTGAAAACCGCCTCACCTATTCTGTGACCTTATCGTGGCGCCATGCAACCATATCGTGGAGACTGAAGTCTTTATCGACGAATGCAAGACTTGCGATCTCGACGGAGTAGCGCCGCGATAGACGGCTGCTGGACGCAACCACCTGCGGGTAGCCGTGGCCGATCGTTGAAGACATGGGAGCCTATCCGGATCTGCGATGGTGATGCTCAACTCATATCATTGATGCCCATAGCAGGCAGATAGCAACTTAGCAAGGCACTATCCGCTCGAGAATGAATCCAGCGCAAGCCATCTGCGTGATCTGTCTGCATTAATGTCTCCGTGTCCACAGGGAATCAGAAGTCTGAAGCTGGCAGATTTGATAGCAAGTAATCCAATGCTTGTCAGCAATGCTCAAACGCCTTCTTGGTTCAGCTCTAGATACAGCCCTGAGCACTACCCAAAATGCGGCAAAACCCGTGGTATGAGAGGCAGAGATCATCGGTAGTAGTCAAACTGTTGTGACCAGGAAGGAGGAGTCGCGCTGCGGTGGAGGTCGGACACGTATCAGATATAGTTCTGGTGGGGTATATCCTTCAAATGTCCGATGGTCCACAGAGAACAAGGGGAAAGCTCTGGCTGGAACAGCATATGCTGGCACGCGACAGCTTTAAAAGCTGTTAAAGCCCCTTTTCACCTGCATCACCAGCCACTTGTGCGGAAATCACGCTCCCTGTAGTGATGAGATTTCTACGAAAATCAAAGATGTCCTTACCGAAACGAGGGCGAAACAATAGCCGCCGGTCGTTGGCCTGGAGATGATTGCTGAGTCGCAGAGGCACCAGATTGCAGCGATTCCGAGCTCCAATCCCGACGAACCTCAACATGTTCCAATGTACGATCAAGCCATGCATCTATATCCTGCAACGGAGATGCATGAGCCCAAGGCTTCACAAGAAAATGGCCATGTCGATTTCTGGGCAGGGAATGCAAGACTGGGCAGTTTCCTGGCGCAATTTCAAAGATAGCATCCCCAGCAGCCCAAGCAGCCAGCAGAGGGGCATCTGGAAGCCGCTCCTGAATAACTGGCCAATTAATTGGTATCTCTGGCTGAGTGGAGGCGGAAAAAGGATTGTCAGATTGCACTTCGGCAGGATCGTCAGGATCCATATGACGAAGCCCCCAGGGTGTCAGCAAGTCAACATTCGAGTCTGGCAGCGCCACCTGGACCGGGTTCGTTCATTGGTCTCTGATGGCCCCTGACTTTGGCTGCTGTGCCACGTCCACGAGCCCTGCACTACGCGTCCTTTTTCAGTCGCCGTTTGCAGCCGTTTCTGATTGTTGCCAAACAATGGCTGTGGCTCCTCTGCCAGACCCTCGTCCTTGTCTTTGTGTAAGCCAGGTTGTGGATTTTTGAAAAGGCGTGCGAGAGGTGGTCCCGGTGGATTGCAAGCTGCGACAATTGTAGTTATGAAAGATGAAAATCATACTGGACGGATCCAGACATGCATTCTCAACTTGAGACAGAAAGAAGATCACATTAACAAGATCTGAATCAACCGTGGCTGTTGGCAAAGCATGACTTGTCGCTGTCCAAGTTTTGTGGCACGTTTGGTAAATGATCGCGGTCAACATGTTAGGCAACGAGTGGATTACAAAAGGCAACGACCAAGATAAATCATGCTTCGAGGCTCAGATACGGCCAGAGGGCGGGAAGTTGCAGCAATCGAGTCGCTTTGAAGGATTGCAGTCTTTTTTGCCCGGAAACAGTCAGCAACTAAAGGTGGTTGTCGGGCGATACTCGGTAGGATGGGCCTGAAGATCGTAGTCCTCCATCAATGCTCGCTCGGCCGCAACATTGTTTGTGGTGAACTTGCAGGTGAAATAGTCCATGCGCGAGATGAAGTACAGTACTTGATCATGCTCGCGTTTCCTTTCTGATAACCACTGAGACAAAGGGGATGGATAACTTGGATATCGAAGGCGAGATGGTCGTAGAACCCACTTGATTTACAAATTTGAAGCCAAGCCACATTGGAATTGGGGGGCACGGGGGCCTCACTAGGCTCGACAGGCCTGGTGGGCGGTGGGCATAGGGTTCCGCCTGCAGCGTCTCCTGGGACCTGGGCACTCACACTCTGTGCCTTGCGTCCTTAGACTCCTTAGCAACTCGCCTAGCGCCTTTCAGACTGCGGCTTGCATCCCTAACTCTGGATTTCCCTTCGCTGCTTCGCAACCCCGTTTCTCATTGCTGCAATTGCCAACAAACACGAAACTCTTTGATCATGTACACCATCCTCTCCTCCATACCCTCTATCCGTGGCTCACCGTAAGGCAGAGCACTTACATTCGTTTATTCATACGACAGTATCAACTCTGCTATTCGACACAGCCTCCCCTTTACCACCACGCGACTTTTCGGTCCCTTTTTGCCTGGCACCAAAGCTCACTTCTTTCCGGCCGGCCAGAAAGGAGTAGACGTACGCTTCGCCTCACAATCCCACGACTTCACACGAGCCTGACCAAAGACCACTACCACCCGTTCTCCGTCTCACTCTAAGCCTCCTCCCCTCCCGCTGCCCTCACGATCGGTACGCCTCATCTGCGAAGCTGACGCCTACGAGTGGCTCGGCTACGATCTCGACTGACGTGCTTCCAATTGACAGTCGTCTGCTCGCTATTTCGAGCATAGACGACCCTCGAACCCTATCGTACCTCCCGAACCCGGACTTTGAAGAATACAACAACGAGTTATCCACAAGTCATCCTTTTGGCGATCGGTCTCCCTGACGACGAGTCGGTCGCCATTTCACAATGTCGTCCCAGAGCAACAGCAGCAGCTCTCCGCCGCCGCGTGTCCCTCCTCACATTCGGCTGAACTCAGGGCAAGGAGACATATTAGGTGGAGATTCGAACAGTTCCTCAAGGACTCTTGTACCTACGACCTCGAGACCTGGAACCTCCGGGCCACGACTCAACAACCTCTATTCCTCAGACCAACTTCGAGACTCTGCCGAGAGATTATTACCTCCGGGTCGTGGTAGATTCCGAGACGATGGGTCTCCGTCGCCTCTAAGATCTCCCGCACGCTCTAGTTATTCTTCTCGAAGGTCCAGTTGGGAGTCGGATCGAAGTAGAGACAGCCGAGGGTTCGAAAATCCATTCAGAGACTCCAGCCAGTCCAGGCCTGGATCAAGATCTGGGAGCGAAGACAATGATGTGAACACGCAGACGGTGTCCGAAAAGTACAATATCTTGCCATCAGCTGGTCTTCTCTTATTCCCTGAGGATGTTGAAAAGGACGACTATTTGCACAACCCCGACCCCAATGGAGAGCCGCGAGATTGTGACATTTTCACGAAGAGAGGCTTCCTCAACGTCGGTGGGCTGGCTTTCATCACACTTGGTATCCTTGTCCTGTTTATTGGATACCCTGTTTTGTAGGCTTCTCTGTCGCTTCAATTTTTCACATGCTGACTTATTTGGCAGGACATTTGTTCAAAAAGTTACTTACAACCCTGATCCGTGCAAAGAAGATATTGGCTGCATAGGCAATGGGAAAGTGCCATTGCTGAAAAATATGCGCGTGGGTCTCATCGATCCTGATACTCCCGACTCAGTCAAAAGCAAGACAGACTATCACGGCAATACCTGGAAATTGGTCTTCTCGGATGAGTTTTCGACTCCCGGTCGGACATTCTATGACGGGGACGATCCGTACTGGACTGCCGTAGACATTTGGTATGGCGTGACCAGAGATTTGGAATGGTACGATCCCGACGCTGCCACGACCAATGATGGTGTGTTGGAACTACGATTCGATGCGTTCCAAAATCACGGCCTGAATTACCGATCTGGCATGGTACAATCTTGGAATCAACTCTGCTTCAAAGGTGGACGTTTGGAAGCCAGTATCTCACTGCCAGGCCGAGGAGATACTGTTGGATTTTGGCCCGGCTTTTGGTCGATGGGTAATCTTGGGAGACCTGGTTATGCTGCCACCACGGACGGTCTATGGCCGTACTCTTATGCCGATGTTTGCGATGCAGGCATCACGCCCAATCAGAGTTCGCCTGACGGAATCAATTACCTGCCAGGTATGCGCTTACCAGCTTGCACATGCTCTGGCGAAGATCATCCCAGCCCAGGGAAATCTCGATCCTCACCAGAAATTGATGCACTTGAAGCAACAGTCGGCACCCTTGACGCATTAGGAAACGAGATCGGTATGGTTTCCCAGTCATTCCAGGTTGCCCCGTTCGACATTTGGTATCAGCCAAACTACGACTTCGTGGAGGTTTTCGACTTCTCCGTCACGGCCATGAATTCGTACAAAGGTGCACCTTTACAACAAGCAGTGTCAGGTATCTCGAACTTGAACAATCAGTGGTACGATGGGAATGCCTACCAAGTGTACGCTTTCGAATACACACCGGGAGCGAAGGGAGATATTGTTTGGTACGTCGGCTCAGATCCTGTCTGGCGAATGGCAGGCGAGGCTCTGGGTCCCAACGGCAACATCAATCAACGTGTTGTTCCTGAGGAGCCAATGTCTATAATTGCCAACTTTGGCATGTCTAGTGGTTTCTCGGCCCTCAACTTGACCGGTCTGGCATCATTGATGCCTGCGACCATGAGAATCGACTACATTCGCATCTACCAGGACGACGACGGCGAAATGTCCTGTGATCCTGACGGTTACCCCACGACCGAGTACATCAATAACCACTACGAGGTGTACCACAATCCGAATATCACTAGCTGGTAGGTTGATATCGAGCTACTGTATCGTTTTTTAGCTAACACGTCTTGCAGGTCGAAAACTGGCTATGGATGGCCGAAGAACAGCTTGATGGACGGTTGCTAATACTAATCATTGTAATTACCATTGCGCTTGGCCTCGATTGTCAGCATTGGCTGGTGTGTACAGATGTTTTTTATGTCTCTCGTGAGAATTAGCGGCATGGCGATCAGCACAGCGGCGTTCAAGTTGTCGGGACCAATTTTTTGAGAGACGTGTTTGGCGGTATATGGAGTTCCTCATTGCAGCGTGGACTCTTGAATCTTGTCTAAAATTACGACCAAGGAGGGAATTATGATTTTGTTCCCGGGACATGCGGCGAACAACACAACTTAGATCAGAGGGTGGATGTTGAATTCCACCCCGAAACAAGGCAGTAAAGGGGAGTGTTGCGAAGAAGATGCACGGCATGATAATGCTGTAGCAGGAGGTTAGGAATATGTGGGTGTGGAAGGTGTTTTCCACCTTCACATGCGGAATCCAGGTATCGACTCGTCTTGAGAGTCGGTACATAGCATAGACCGTATCGTCAATGCAGAATATAATTGGACAAGTGAAGCTCGTTTTGGTCTTTGTTGTCCTGTTGTAGCTGGTGTGATCCTTTCGACATAGCGATTATCAGCCGCTTCCGTGGCATCTGATCCCATATGGCAATGAGGTCGGCAATAGCTCATGGCACGTATGGTGTTTTGGGATGATGGATGCCCGGTAAGTTCTTGTCGAAACGAAGGATAGATTTTACAAGCAAAATCAAGGAGTTGCTCTACTCTTTCCAACACCGTCGGGCGACTCATACAGACATGCAAGCCATCTTCAGCGTGTGTCGCCGTGAATCGTATCATGCTACGCACATTATACAAGGGTGGGACTTGATTAGTCTAGACCTGACGCTCATCGTCCGTGGTCGGTCGATGCAGATATCATTCATCACTTATGTGGCTCTTGTCCGTTTCTAATCACACTTTGTTTTGCAGCATCAACTCTCGACCGCCTTCGCAACCACACCGATCAACATCCTCTCTCCGACCGTGACAATATAATACTCTGCCCTCGTCTTGCTGACTTCGACTCTGAACACTTTAACCCCGGCGCCGTTGCCGGCCTTCTCCACTCGCTCGATGATCTCCGTGTACTCTCCTCTGGGATCGAAGTCCTGCGTGCTCAATTCCTCGACGGCTCCGGCGTCGTGATGTTTATGGTGTAGGCACTTTTCGAAATCGGATTTGCTGGGGAGAGTGGAGTCGGCGTAGTTAAACACGACGGGCTCGAACGGCGAGTCTGTGTCGGACACGTATGTGATGTCGGGGAGGGACTTGAGCGAGGCGGGCAGGACTTCGGGCGAGATGTTGGAAGATGATGTGGTCCCGCCGGTTGTAGGGTCGAATTGTGTGCGTCGTTCGGACGTGGAGGATGCTTGTTCGTGGGTATTGCTGTTGGCTTTGGGGTCGGCGTTGGCTTTCTCGAGGAACGACGTGTAGGAGGCGTCGTCGGACATGGTGGAAGAAGGAGGGTTGTGGTAGGATCGGTGAGACGCAGGTATGAAAGAAGATGGGATGGACCGGAAAGTGTGGTTTCTAGAGTGTAGAAGATGGGTTCGGAATGGGAGCTTTGGTGGTGTGCTTGCGCAGCTGTGCGGTCGAAGGACGGAGTATTGACGCAGGACGGACGTAAGTCGAGTCAGCTGCAATGCTGTACAGGGGATTTGGGAGGTTCGGTTGAGATGAGGAGCTCGAGAGATCAGTTTCAACATTCGTAGATACCTTATGCAAGTGGCATGAATTGTCCAAGGTTTGTGTTGGACGGTTGCTGGAAGAATTTCGTGCTCGGTGAGTGACGTCATAATACGGCTATTGGCTTCCCAGCGAGGCTAGACTTGGCTAGGAAGTGCAGCCTTGCCATTTCAGCCTCGTCATTCTCTAACATCGCAGTGGAAGGATTCGCTGGATCGGCACGGCTGTACTGTGCACATATAGTGCCCCGGCCTCGATCTCGCTGAAATCTATCGCTTGCTCTTGCCGTTATCGTCTTCTTTGCTTTCGCATTTGCCTTTACCTTACGATATTACCGTTGTCAACACTGCATGCCAAGGCAGCCGGAGGAAAGCGCAGCGGTTGAAGCAAGCACTTCGCTTAGGACGGCACTTGTGGCAATGAAGCGTAGATATCCACAGAATATCGACCTTATAAGTGGAGGCTGCCCTACAGAGTTGTGGAGCTGTGCCTGTAGAGATATCGTCCGACCACGAGCGGCTTTGGCCAGATCATGCCTTCCTAATCGAGGTTGAAGCAGTACACACGGGATGGGGATTGATATGTTTCAGCTCGTTGACTGGGTACAGAAAATAACGGCGCATACGAAAAAGCGCCTAAGATACTGGGCGATGATCAGAAATGTTCAACGGTTGTGAGCGGAGAACGTCCAAGTCGTCGGGTCCAGAGCCGAGCTCTTATCTTGAGGCCGTGACCTGCCTGTTTGGGACGAATTGACAGCGACTTTTCAGGAAAGCGAGCGTATGTTGTAAATGCACATCTCCGTCGAGATCGGGATCTGACCGGGTTGGAGAGTCGCCGGGGCAATTGAGGAGAATATAAAAGGTGCGTTTGGATCTGTGAGAAAAGAGAGGAAAGCCATGTCTCAGTAACCTTCCTTGCCAAAGGCTCACTGACCTGTTTCCCCTATCCATCCCAGCCTTGCCCACCTTTCACCATGCCCGCCTTCCGTGCACTGACAGCCATGCGCCTGTTCGTTTTCTCCCTCATATTCAGCGCCCTGTCCGTGGCAGTTCCAACCGAGCTCCATGAGCGTCAAGAATATGGCATGGTCGGTGACGGATTCGAGGGTGCCACGGCCACCCTGGGCAACTACTACAATTACTGGACCCAGCTTTCCAATGGCACATGGGACCTGACGCGCAGCAACCGATCTCCAGTCACATCTCCAAAAGTATTGCCCATGGTCGACTCCTCGATCATGATTGAGCCAAACCGCTCAGCACTGGTCATCATTGACATGCAGAACTTCTTCCTTCATCCAGATTTGTCCCCGAAGGCGACGAAAGGGCGAGCGGCCGTCCAGCCAACCGTCAACATGATCAAAGGGTTCCGCAAGCATGGCATGAAGGTTCTCTGGGTGAACTGGGGCCTCACAGAGTATGATCTGCTGACCATTCCGCCTGCCTTCAAGTTGGGATTCAGCGACAATGGTTTGGCAAATGAGACTTTTGGCAGCGACATGGGCACCATCCAGGAGAATGATACGACGATCCATGTTGGCAAGAAGTTGATGCGTGGGTCTTGGAATGCCGAGCCATATGGTGTTCTCGGGACGATGAAGGATGAGGGCGTTGCCGCTGGCACTGATCTTTGGTTCAACAAGAACCGTCTCTCAGGATTGTGGGGGCCGCAGACGCCGCTGGGCTTGTGGTTGCAGGAAAACGAAATGTCGACTCTGTTCTTTGGAGGCGTCAATGCAGACCAATGTGTTTGGTCCACACTGGTTGACGCATATTTCAAAGGTAGGTGATTGTTGTTTTTCTCCGAAACGCTCGGGTTGACTGATATTGTTGTCCAGGTTACGACACGATTTATGTGGACGACATCAGTCAGTCAACTAGTCCTCCCTTCGCCCAGGAGATGACGAGGTACAATGCACAGGTTTATGGTCGGTACATCCAATGCTCAAAGGGAACATGATGCTAACGTGTGACAGGCTTTTTGGGTAACTCCACCAGCATATTGAAGGCTTTGGGATAAGTGTCGACAATTCTTTGAAGGATGCCGTACATGATGAAGCGTTCTCAGTGGACAGGCTGTAGCAAGTAGAGGTATGATAGTCAAGCTATCAGTAAGGCAGATCAATGTCTCCTGGGATTCTGTAGTCGAGTGCTTCCTTCTTGTCAATGTCCTGGTCCGTCCAGCCAGCTATTCGCAGAATCTTTCGGATAAGAGGGTTCTTCCGTTGGCCGTAATCGACGCCGTCTATACTTGAAGTAGCAAGCTCAATCTTCAGCTCACCATATGCGGCTTTCAGAGATTCGTGCTGTGGCATCCTCAAGGTGTTGCGGAGTGCTCGATGACCTCGCATAAGTAATCTGCCGTCAGGATCCTTTTGGTTGATGATGTAGACGCTCTGGTCGGGAAGAATACTGCGGTCATGGAGTTTCATGCTGATTCTACCCCGAATACCACCGTCTCCCCAACACTTGTAATGTTCTTCGGGTGGAGGTTCATGTATCAGAGTCTCCTTTGCTTTTGCAGCATTCTCCGCATCAGGTACTTCGATGATGATGTCGATGTTTGGTTTGGCAGCAAGACCTGCAACAGCTGTGCTACCGATGTGTTCGATTGAAAGGTACCTCACTCCACAAGAAGAGAGGTAGTGTTCGAGCTTTTGCGATATTTTCTGGAACTTTTCTGGCCATAAAGGGTCATAGTCGGCCACTGTGACGGCTGCCGTGTTTGTGTCTGTAAGAAAAGACTGCGGTTGGTCGTCATCACTACTGTTGATATCAGCCCAAGGCGAAAAGGCTTTGAACTCGGCGTTGGCGTTGGCCATCATTTTCATGTGAGTGTGTTTGATGATCGACTGTGTTGGCTAAAGCAAACTTGGTGTGGTAAACAAAAGCGCCCAGTGCAACGAAGGCAGTGAACTTCACAAGGCTGGTCATGGATCATTCATTGCCCTTTCAACGTGAATGTCTGAGTTTCGCTGACTTGAAGGCGGTGTCTGGTCCTCTTGCAAGTAAGGAAGCTGAACCGGGTCACAGGTCTTCAGGTTGGCAGTCCATGGTTGAGGGTTGTAGACAAAGTGCTCCAGGCCGTCTGTCGCGATAACAATGTATTTACTGTCCCGCAGAAGCATGGCATCTCTCTGTTGGATGCCACCAGCAGCATCGTGCAATGTCGCCTTTGTTCATGAGGCTACCTTGGTATCGCTTTGGCTCTTACTCAAGAAAGCCGGTTTCTTACCCCTCATCTCTAATAACAAGGCAGCCGTTGTCTGATAAATCGGGCAAGCTGGTGTCTCTTCCTGTACCAGTAGCCAACCGACATGAGTTCATAAGGGCTAGATCGTCGCCATCCTTCTGTAGGAGAACCAGGCCGAGCTCGTCTGCGTCATCTGGCAAGCTGGTCTCGGCGAAATAAGGAGAAACTATAATCCGGCTATGCAAGATTTCTCCGGCCTGGCTCATGGACTACCATCGACCCCTGGCATTCTGATGCAACCTCTCTCCTCTTTGAATCCTCAATATCCGCACTCCAATATCATTGAACCAGTCACGCCAGTGCGGCAAGTGATGAACCTGCAACTGAGATCCTGGGCTCATGCAGATCTACCTGAGAGGATTCCCCTCATGCCCGTCAACACACTCATCGGCCCGTTTGTCTATTTCCTAAGGATACTGGAGCTCCACGTTATGCGCGGCGACGTCAGTCAACAAGAATAAGCAGCGAAGAGCCAATGAAGCTTGATGTGAGTCGGCATACATGGCGTCAACTGATACTTCGTGCTTCCTTTCGCGGGGTCCCGAAGTCTACTGCACTGCTTTTTGATCGACAATTACACCGAAAGGTCGTACCGACCGACATTCCTGACCAATAGTAGGTCTGCTGTATGGCTCCTTGCAGGCAGGCGCTCAAGCAAGTATCTTTACCATCGATCACGATGTTAGAGCACGAAATGTCCGCAGTCGTCTCTCCTGAATTTCGAACAGGTATGGGCGTAAAAGCTCTCCGACAAGGAAGCTTGGTTGCGTTAAGTCATTCCAAGCAAGAATACTGCCACCAATCAATTATGGTAAAAGGTAGGACTTGCTGAGTGAAGTTTAGTGGACAGAAGACCCCCTGTTGTGTGGAGATGCGGGGGCCTCCTGTGGATGGCACAATGGGGAACTTTTTGTCGACGCTCGGTGTCATCAGTGTCGATTGATCTTGGACAATACGCGAAATCTTACGATGGCCAGATGGTCCACCGCTGGGGTCTGCCCGCATCTCGAAGGTATATCTACCTACGAAGGCCAGGTCCATCCCGTTTCACTTCGTCAAGCGATTTGATTCGGACACTCTCGAGTCTTCCATCTCTATACTTGCTCATAAGGCAGTTCGTCAGGCGAAGCTCGGCAATTTCCACACCATGGCCTTTCTGTTTTCAAAGCCTGCCGACACGCCAGGCTCGGCGGTTCCTGCCGTGATAATCGGCATGTTTGTTGCATTTGGTGGAGTGCTGTGTAAGTCTTGCCTGTGTGGCTTTTCAATTCTGAGGACAGACTCTGACGTGATCCAACAGTCGGCTATGATAGTAAGTATTCAGTCCCCCGACTGTGCCTCCTGAACAACCAGGCTGCTGTCTACGCCATCACAGTCATCTGACGATCTGCAGCTGGTACCATCGGAGGGATCCTCGCGATGAAATACTGGAGGAATCTGTTCTCAACGGGATATGTAAACCCCAAGGACAATTACAGAGACGTTACGGCCAGCCAGACGTCCGAGATCGTCTCCATCCTTTCTGCTGGCACTTTCTTTGGCGCTCTATTCAGTGCCCCAATTGCAGATTTCATGGGCCGTCGGCTTGCCATGATTTTCAACACTGGTGTCTTTACATTCGGCGTTATCCTCCAGACTGCCGCCACTGCCATCCCTATGTTCGTTGCTGGACGCTTTGTATGTGCTCTCCTTCCCAGCAGACCGGTTGCCATTCCAGCATGAGCCCTGAGCTATGATCCTACTTCTTTGGGATGGGTATCTGACGAGTCATAGTTTGCTGGTCTCGGGGTTGGGCTTCTGAGCGCTACTATCCCCCTTTATCAATCCGAAACAGCTCCGAAATGGATCAGAGGTGCCATTGTTGGTTGCTATCAGTGGGCCATCACCATAGGGGTAAGTTGCGCCCAGCAACAGCTTGCATGGCCGGGAGCTTCGCTCCTTGTTCAATGATACAGCCAGCCCGTACTGATGACATGAAAGCTTTTCCTGGCCGCCATTGTGCTCAACTCAACCAAAAATCGCCAGGACACTGGATCCTACAGAATTCCCATTGCTGTCCAGTTTGCATGGGCCAGTCCGTACCTTCCGCCACGGTGCTATGGCTCCCACTGACACGAGCTTAGTTATATTGGTGGTTGGCATGCTCTTGCTCCCTGAGACACCTCGTTTCCTCATCAAGAAGGGCAACCAGACCAAGGCGGCAAGGTCTCTTTCACGTCTTCGCCGACTTCCTGTCGACCACCCGGCTGTGGTTGATGAGCTCGCCGAGATCCAAGCAAACCACGAGTACGAAATGGCTATTGGTACTGCTTCCTACCTTGCGTGTTTCAAAGCTCCGATCAGAAAGCGACTCTTTACAGGCATGGCGCTTCAGGCTTTGCAGCAATTGACCGGGGTCAGCCTCCACTGATTTGTTGGCTTTGTTCATCTTTCTGACTTCCCACAGGTCAACTTCATCTTCTACTACGGTATGTGAGCTTCTATCGCAACCTCAATGTGTGCGAATGAAATGGATTGCAATACAAGGGACTGTGAAATGGGTGGCGTTGAGGGCCGAGTGCGAATCAAAAGGGGCGCACTCGGCGGATTTCCCTATCCTGGCATCTACCTCAAGAATAACTTGCACGTGCAAGCGTGACATCCACTTCCCAAAACATTACGACGTCCACCGACGTGCGCTTTTGCTTTTCTGCGGTGTCCAGGGGTACGGTTTTCTGACAATTTGTAGGTACTACTTATTTCACCAGTGCTGGCATTAAGAATCCCTTCATCATCTCTGTCATTACGGACGTTGTCAATGTCTCGAGCACCGTTCCCGGGCTTTGGTTGGTCGAACGATGGGGAAGACGACCCCTTCTACTGTTCGGCGCCATCGGCATGTCCGTTTGCCAGCTTATCGTTGCAAGCGTGGGGACCGCCAGACCTGGAGAACCGGCCGCCAGCAATGCCTTGATCGCCTTCGTCTGCATCTACATCTTCTTTTTCGCTTGCTGTAAGTCTCGCCAAAGTTCTGGAGCAATTTTACACAAGCTCTTCGACCGAGCAGTCTTTTTGCTGACAACCGAAATAGCTTGGGGCCCTTGCGCATGGGTAGTCACTGGTATGTCCTTCCTTCTGATTCCGCTAGGAGACCTGCTTACTTGGCCGAGGTGAAATATTTCCACTGAAGGCACGAGCAAAGGGCTTGTCGATGACAACCGCCTCCAACTGGCTGCTAAACTGGGCCATTGCCTATGCTACTCCCTATATGGTTAACCCAGGTCCAGGAAATGCGTAAGCAACCTCCTTCAGTGTTGTTCTGAGGCGGCGTTCTAATCATGGTACAGCAATCTGGGTTCCAAGGTCTTCTTTGTTTGGGGTGTAAGTCTACCCGTCCCCCGGCTTCAGGCGAAATCATCATTTCGTTCCGCTGTGTGGGTTAGTTTGTTAACGAACACAGGGCTTCTGCTGCATCTGTATGGCCTTCGTCTATTTCTGCATCTACGAGACCAAGGGCTTGTCGCTCGAACAAGTCGATGAGCTCTACGCCAAGGTCAGCTCTGCCAGGAAATCGCCTGGGTTTGTCCCGTCTGTGCAGTTCACAGAAATCGGAGCCGAGTTCAAGGAGGAGGGTACCACCCATGCCCGACGAAGCACCTTGGCTGACCTGGAATTGGCCGCGGCGCGTCGTAGGAGCTCTGCAGGAGTTGTCCGAGAAGACTACATCAAGTCCTGAAGTGGGCCTCAATCACCCCGTTTGCCCAAAGGCTTGGAAACTACTATGACTTTGGGGCACGATCGTTCTGGACGGGGTGAATCAGGGTCTGGGAAATGTTTACGTGGATTGGGGAGCTACAGATTGCAAAGGGCTTTCGGAGGCATGGGGACATCGAGACTGAACTTTGTTGGTTACCAATAACTATGCGTGTTCGCCATCACAAACCCTCCATGAAACATATCATTTGTCTCTTTCTTTGACGTGAATACGACATGATCGCCCCATTACACGCCAGGAGGACTACTCGTCCAAGGGGTGAAGGTCCGGGTACAGAATCCCTCGCTGAATACCGGAAAGACCATTGAATAGTGGTACGTTCGTTGCCTTGCAAAGCAAGGGAAACGTTTTCCCGCTCGAGTAATCGATTCTTATTGTTCGCTAAACGGCACGCGTTGTCACAATCAGATCTCAAATATTCCTTGAGAGCAACTGTGCGTCATATCGCAGAAACCCATACAGGAGCATCCGCACATGCACGGCAATTTGAACGCCTGTCTCCCCTTACTCATCTCTCCTGGGCTAGGATTCCACGAAAACGTACTCTCTCCTCATCATGAGATCCTCAAGTTTCTCCGCCTGCTCAGCTCGGAACTTCTTTTTGAGAAGGACACGAGTGCGGGCTTCCAAGGGGAAAAGCCCATGGTCAATGAGTAATGCAATGATCTCTGCCCAGGCATCAAGGACTCTCCGGCTCCAGTGTTCATCTCGATCAAGCGCCATGATGACTTTTGTTGATTTATCTCCGAGTGTAATTGGGTACTCGCGAAGGTGGTCTGGAGTTTCGGGTGGCTGTATCCTAGGCTTGGTGAGGTCCAATAGCTTAGCGACAATCTTGGGCGAGGGTATGGGCTTTATGTTCTGCTGTGTGGTGGGAAGCGGATTCAGTGCCAGATCCAGAAGTCTGCCTAGAGTCCTGTGGTTCCGAAGCACCTGGCGAGCTTCTTCTAACTGGAGAACGGCATAGCGCGTCAAAGAGTACTGCACGGCAATTGCCAGGAACGACTCCGCGTCGTGTTGCCACTGAGCGAAGAGGCGGACCGCTTGGGAGTGACCGAAGCCTGGTAGGGCCAACATCCCGGCCGTAGACTGGCGTATGATCGACACAGGCCAATTCTCCTTGAGCCGTTGTTCAAGAACAGAAAGCAAATTGAGAGGGACCGACTGTGTCTCCTGGTCATTCCGGGCCGCGTATTGCAGCAAAGTGACGACAATGGCCACCGCGTCTTGACCGGCCTCCATGAACGGTCCAGACGTCTGGTTCGTATCTGTCAGGACAAGGAATTCCATCAACGACGCATTGCACATGTAGCGCGGCACATCAAAGGGTCCGTTAATGAACTGCGAAAGTCGGTCTCGCAAGTCCCGATTTTGGCAGAAGAAGTCGTATACGGTCCTATATATGGGATCGGTCAGTACCCAAAACAACACAGTCTGAAAAAAGAGGGGAGACACATGCCTATGCAAGAACTCGATTGACCAGTCGCTCCATCGCGATCGCTTGATCTCCGCTCCGACTTCCAAAAGGCCCTTACACCTGCTTGCAAGACGCCGCCTCATGGTCAACAGCCGATGATCGATGGCTACTTGGGAGAGATCGTCGTGTTCGAGATGCAGCGCAAAATCCACGTTGACTTCCTCAGTGAAGGACAAGGTGAATAAAGTGGTCTGCCATTTCGGAAGCTCCATAACTAGCTGGAAAATCTTTGCTGCGTCTTCCCGCTCCGAGAGGTCGATAGATTCTATGATTTGCATGAAAAAATCGTCCAGTTCGCGTGGCAGGAGATCTAGTCTCTTGAAGAGCGTGCCAATGGAGGCGCCCGCCTGGAGCCGTTGCAGCATGTCTCGGACAACGAGGTAGACCCACAGAAACACCCCGGATGCCTTCTCGACTATCTGTAACTCGAGGTTGCTGCATTGCGTTGGCTTTATTTTGCTCAAAGCGACAAAGTTTGGGTTCTCATTGAAATGGTCGCGCACATAAGTCGCCACATCCCCCCGGGTCAATGCCTCCAGTGACAAGCTCGGATACTTTTCGAACGCTCCTTGGAAGATTGGCCACGGTCGACTCGAAACGCAAATTTTGACGTTCTCATATTGAGCAATGCGGACCAGCAGATCGACTAGGTTCTGCCTCTGCGCGTCACTCCCCTCGTACTCGTCCAGACCGTCGACCAGAATCATGAACCGGACAGAGTCGGAAGCCTCGGTGAACAGACGAGCAAACGAGGAGGTTAACTCCTGCTCCGACCAGTCTGTCAGGTTGGTGTGACCTAGATAATAAGCCCGCCATCGTTCTGGATGTGCGATCTGCATGAGAGATGGTTGCTGTTCTAGGAGCTGGTACAGTATTGTGCGTAGCATGCCAATCAAAGATTTCTGAAGCTTAGTGCCTGCCCGCCAAAAGAAGGAGCTTGCCATCAAAAGTGGCTTTTCCCGAGCCCATTCTTGAAGGTGGGCTGGCATTTTGGGATGCTCTGCCAAATAACGCATGAAACACGACTTTCCAGAACCGGGTTTGCCCCTGACATAAAACAACCCCTTCTGGGATTGCTTCTCCTTCAGCCACTCGGTGAATGTTAATCCACTAGAGTCACAAGAGAAGTCATCGTCGAAGATCCAATCAAAAGTAGTCCGGTGGGCATCTAGGATCATAGTTTGCCTGTCCTTGCTCTGGACAAAATAGAGGCTTGCCAGCATCTTACGGACGGCGTAACTGGTGAGGCTCTGTCGGGTGTCATCTGCAATTTTTGCAGATGTAGTAGCCAGCATGGTCTCATAGGTCGATTGCCATTCGTTTATGGCTTGTTGAGTTGCAGAACTCTCTCCGTGGACGACATCCTTTAATAGGTCAAGTTGGCTCCTAAGATCATAGTAGTCTTTCCGCACGACTTCCAAGAAGGTAGTCTCAGCAGATTTGCTGACGCGGAGGACTTCTTTAAGGTCGGTTTCGCGTTGTGCGCTGGCAGACGTTAGCAGTCCGTAGATCAGCAACTAAAGATTGCCCACCTTATGTATGCAACTATATTGAGACTGAGCTGCGATTTGGCCGCCTCAAGGTCCCTCATCAGAGTATTGATCTCCTTGTCCTTGATCTCGGCGGAGAAGGCTTGACGCAAGGCTCCGAATCTCTTCTCACGTAATGTCTTCATTTTCTCCAACAACTTGCTCAGCTTTGCGGACACTTTTTGACAGCCTTCGCTTGCTTGTAATATGCCTATTTCCCAGCCAGGGCCCGTTGAGACTGTGCTACTCGGCGGATAGTTCTGCAGTCTCGAGTTCAAGTCATCTAAAACTGTGGTGAATTCCTCGAGCTTGCTAATCTCGAGGAGTTGTCCGTTCGCTTTGATTTGACGGGCTTTGCTCACGATGTTGGAGCCAAATTCAACAAATTGGATAACGTTGCCTGCGACCCCGAAAGCCGTGACTGGATCAAGCACCATTTTGAGCTCTCGTGATCAGTTCAGCGACACGATGGTGTTGACAGGTGCGGTTCTCATGAGTGCTATGTGACACGGTACGCTTTCATGAGTGATGCATCCTCGAGTCCAAGGAGGATTCAAGGAGGACTCGAGGTCCTGAAGTCGAGTAGAAGTTGTTGGGCTAAGGCAACGGATGGCGAATGTACGGATACGTCTCTAAAGACTCGGTGAGACGAAAAGGCGTTCGTGGCTTTAGCACAGCCACCATCGTGGTATTGGGCTTGTCGGGCAGTGCTTTCTTAGGCGCCGATCGAGCCAAAAACCCGCTCGGGCTGATAGATAAGGTAGCGTCGTTCACAGAGAACCATTGATTGCGGAATGCTTTCTCTCGCCTAGCTAGAAGAACTATTATCTACTATTATAGTAGAGGTAAAAGTCGGTCGGTCTCGGCCATAACTTACCGCATGTCAATGGCAAGCTCGACCAGAATCACAGCGTGGAGGCAATGAAAGAAACGCGACATCTTACGCTGAGGGTATGGGGGCCTAAGTACGGCTGATGACAAGGATGAGGAGTTTGAGCCGCGACCTGAGCAGCTTGCGCTAAGGCTGAGCTGAAGTTGAAGCTAGGTCGGCCGATCCTTGAGTAAAGCAGCGTGGCCACCAGCTCCAAGCGTATGCTAAGGGGAAGCTTGGGAAAGGCTGTTCAGCCTCGTCGGGGAAATATTTCTCCGCTGCCGGAGTACTGGCATCATCTGCCAAGCCTGATGGACAACGCAACAGCTTCACCTGCTTCACTTCATTGTTACACCTTGTCCTCTAGATCTCCTCTAGATACTTTCTGTCTCTGCTTGCTGACTCTTGTTACGCGTTCTATTAGACTGATGGTCATCTTTCTTCTGACAATGCACAGGGCTTCGTGCTTTATGGCTCTTTCGCTCTCTACAGTGCTGTCCTTCGCTTCTAGCCTTGTGCTGGCCATTTGCTTACCACTTCCACCATGATTCTCTCACAAAACAGAATGGATCTCGAGTCAGAAGACACGTGGTCCGACAGTGAATCTGAAGCAGGTGACCACGACGGTCTTCCGCTCCACTCCCGAGCTTATCAGATCGAGATGTTCGAGCAAAGCATGCAAGGCAACATCATCGCTATCGTAGGACGGGGTCTTATCCGTCGATTGACTCTACTGACATACATGCAGATGAGTACTGGGAGTGGCAAAACTCTCGTGTAAGTATATTGTCACGGACGGTCCTCGTGGCTATCTTCGCTGCTCTAGCCTCCGCTGTCAACATTGTCATGCTTGTCAAAGGTGATTGCTTATTCATGGTGCAGAGCCAAGTTACGCATCGAAGCTGAACTACAACGTACAATTGGCCAGGTTCGTCATACATGGCTATATGCCATCTTCCCCTATTAGACTGACACAGCACGTAGCGGGTTTGGTTTACGGCTCCAAGCGTCGTTTTAGCCATTCAACAATACTCGTTCCTTTCCAAACAACTTCCAGCATTCCAATTCAGGCTGATTACCGGTATGGACAATGCGGAGTACTGGAGGACCCAGGAGGTCTGGGACAAAGTCCTCTTCAACATCGATGTTGTCGTCTCCACGCCTCGCATTTTGCTTGACGCGCTGAACTATGGTTTCTTGTCCTTGAAAGATATCTCCCTGCTTGTGGTTGATGAAGCTCACCACTGTGTGGCCCGTTCAGATCTAAACACAATCATGCAACTGCATTATCATGCCCCTGACGCTCGCGGCTTGGGCCACAGCTTGCCGCATATCCTGGGGCTTTCTGCCAGTCCTATTACCAAGAGAAGAACGTCTGAAATACGTGAGTTGGAAGCAAATCTCAATGCCAAGTGCAAGACGCCACTACAACAACTGGATGAATATACGGCCTTTGTCAATATGCCAAAGCTAGAAACAGTCACCTTTGAGAGGAACTGTCGTTCACCGTCAATGTTGTTGACTATTTTGCGGGGCGTAATCTCTGGAGTACAAGTGGAAGATGACCCTTTCTTTCGATTGCTGAAGGACAAAAGTGACATGCGTTCCCGAGAAAAGTTGAAGCAGATCCTGAAACGAAACGCCACCCCGGCTATCGAGGAGCTTCGCACTTTTGACAGATCATGCGTGGACATTCATGAAGACCTGGGAAGGTGGGCCTGCGACGCTTTCATTACAGCGGGCACTCAAAAGGCACTGGTACTAGCATCCGCAGAGGGAGACGCATATGCACTGGGAGGGCCCTCGAACGACAAATCCCGTTTCATTGGCTCCATACTTCAGAGTTTTCGTGAATCCAGTGACTTATGTTCAGACTGGGCGTTGGACAGCAATCTGTCGCCAAAAGCGGAAGCACTCTTCAATTTCCTAACCCAAGAGTATAGTCCAACCCTGAGAGGCCTCGTCTTCGTGAAAAAGAGAGATACGGCATGGGCACTTACAGAGCTCATCAACAACCATTCAAAGATGCACAACTATCAGGCCTTTTCTTTTGTCGGTGCTTCCAACCCGGGACATCAAGGAGTCTTCGATTTCGCTCAACTGCATGTTCAAAACGAGAACTTGGAAAGGTTCAGACGTGGAGAGTTAAACATCTGCGTCGCCACATCAGTACTTGAGGAAGGGATCGATGTACCCGCCATGAACCTGGTCATATGCTTTGACGAACGTCCCAATCTTCGAAGTTTCGTTCAGAGCAGAGGGCGAGCACGGCAACGCAACTCGAAGTTTGTCGTTTTCCGGCCTAGGGAGGAAACAGGTGCCAAAATCAAGATGTGGGAAACCTTAGAAAGAGAAATGAAGGAGGAATGTGAAAATTCTCTTCGTGCTTTAGAAGAGCTGAAAGCGGTCCAGATGCAAGACGAATCAGGTGGAGAGATATTCCGTGTTCCAGCAACCGGGTCAGTATATCTTTTTCATGCTCGTACTGGCGCTAGTTGGACGCGGCTGATCCTTGCAGGGCCACATTGACCTTTGACAATGCTCGCGAACGATTACAGCGTTTTTGTTCCAAGCTGCCGAAGAAGGAAGGACTCGATGTGCCGGAGTTGGTATATTGTGTTGAAGGCGAGGTTGGGGTCGCAGTGTCTGCTAAGGTCTACCTCCCGAGCTCCCTCCCAGGAGTGTTGCGAGTCTTCCATTCGAAGTCGAACTGGATGACAGAAAAAATGGCCAAGAAGGACGCTGCTTATCACGCTTACCTATCGCTATATCGGGCTGGACTTGTTACCGACAACTTGTTACCTCCAGAGGTGCCTAAAGCGACCAACAACGGAACCCAGCCGGACAATACCATTCGAACAAAAGACGGGATGTGTAACGTGCACGACCAGTATGATCCTTGGTCACCGGTAATGAGCAATTGGTCGCACTCCACCAAGCTATATACACACACCTTTCAGATTGCCGGAGGGACCAGCATCTATCCATCAATGTTGATGCTTCTGCCTCTGAAGCTTTTCGCAACATCCTTCCCCCTTTACCTGACCGCCTATAACAGCATACAGATCTCTTTCAACGCGGGAGAGGAAGTTTCTGGGTTTTCAGTGGAGTTGAGTCGAGACATCAGCTTCCATCTGCTCATGAGCATATTGGGGAGGAGACTTCAAGGCATTCAGAAGGAGCAACTGCCGTTTGTGCTTGTTCCCGACATGGATCCGCGCTTCCTTGAACGATGGTATTCTCAAGTCTCGACCAACATGCCTTTGTCCAGTGTGCTTGCGGACGGCGGACTTTCCAAACGTAAATATCTTTTGAGGCATCGGGAAGAGCCGGTACCATTCGTCTATGACCATGAATTGACTCAATCGGAAATCATGGACGTGGACGGCCTTGAGGCAATCAGCATTGCAGCCAGGAGGTTCTCAAGAAAGCTGGAATATCTGGATCCGCCACTGCATTTGCTATCGACCAAACCCGCTGTATCTACGACTTTGCTGGCTGACAATTGTGAACTCTTGGGGTTGCCGGCAGAATATGGCGAGCTGGTGTTGCTTATCCCTTCCATCACCCATATGATTGAAGTTACGCTGCGCTCAGCGGAAGCGTGCAAGGGCCCTCTGTCAAGCCTGGAGTTTGCTGATCTTGATCTGGTCTCCCAAGCATTGACTCTGCCTAGCGTCAGCGCTCGGAACTATGACCGTCTGGAGTTTCTTGGAGACGACTTGTTGAAGTTCTATGCTTCTCTGCAGATCTTTGTGGACAACCCTAATCACCCAGAGAATCTCCTGAGCATGGATAGGGAGCGCATCGTTAACAACGCCCGTCTCCAACGAACGACACGAGAACTCGGTCTGGATCGTTTCCTTACAAAGCATAAGTTTTCGGGAGCGCAATGGAGAGCCGGCGTCAGCAGTGCCGACACCGTCGATGCCGTACCCTCGAAAAAAAGACTTTCTGCAAAGACGCTTGCTGACATCGTCGAGGCTCTCATCGGTGCCGCAAGCCTCGATGGCGCAGCCTCTGGCACTGCTCACGAGAAAGTCATTCGTGCCTTGCAACTCTTTCTCAGCGAAGTCGAGTGGCGTTCCACAGAGGATAATCTAGCAAGATTGTCCATCAAACACGACTCTTCCCTACCAGGTCTCGACCTCCTCGCGCCAGTCGAGACACTAATCGGTTACACATTCACTCACCGCAGCCTTCTCTCTGAAGCACTGACACAGTCATCGCTTGGTGCTGGCACCACTTCGTACGAGCGCCTCGAGTTCCTGGGCGACGCTATCCTCGACCACATCGTCAAGGCGAGGTTGTTCCATAGTCCGCTCAAGCTTGAGCCGGAACAAATGACGATTCGCCGACATGCGCTGGTCAGCCATGTGACGCTCGCGTTCTTCGCGCTGCAGACATCACACGAGCGCAGTATTATTGAGATCCAAACAGATTTCCGGACACGAAAGACGGAAGAACATGCAGCAGTACAAGCTGTCTATCTGCCGGACTATATTAAGCGAATAGGTAGTCGTCAGGATATCGAAAGTCGTGAACTCACAATTGCAGCATATGAGGAAGTCCGCGAAAGCATCCTAGAGAGTTTCAGCAACGACAGAAAATTCCCCTGGTCCGACCTCTACCATCTGCGTGCGCCAAAGTCGTACTCCGACATTATTGAGTCGATCCTGGCGGCTGTGTTCATTGAATCGGGCGGGAGTAACGACGCGTGTGAGTCTGTGCTCGACAAACTCGGTTTTATGAAGTTGTTGGACAGATTCGCGAACGAGCGCGATCTCGATGTTTTGCATCCCGAAGCCCGGCTCTCTCAAGTTGCGAAAGACTCTATACTCGTGGCAAGTCAGAGTAAGAAGTCTGGCTGGCGGTGCAAAGTCATCTTGGACGGGGAAAAGATCGCGCACGCTCGGAAGGCGAGTTGTAAGGACGAGGCGACGTGTAGGGCAGCGGAGAAAGGGGTAGGTGTGCTTCTGGAGGCGAGGAAGAGGAAGACAAGCGCAGAGTATGTTGACAAAGCCGGACCTACCGCGGCGACTGGTGAGGAAGAGGTGGTGCCTATGGAGGTTGACGAGGAAGCAGGTTAAGAGTGGGCTTCGGGACATTGTTACGGAGCTATGTGATGATTTACACGAGCTGAACGCTTGCGAGAAGACCGAAGAAGGGCAGCTTGAACATTTGGAAGGCCAGCCGGGGCTTTTGGATGATCAATCCCCCTAACGGCAGCCTTTTGCAAGAAGACCGGCATGGTATGAAGACATCAGACGACGGCCGACTGATGCATTGTTATTTGAAAAGGACAGAACAGAAAAAGACATGACACGACGTAACAAAGCGACGGAAACCAACATGTCCAGCAACGCAAATGAACGGAAATGAGCATATGAATGGGGAGAAAAACGAGGCTACACGATGTTACGACTTACGATTGCGAGATGGCTAGCAATGATTTCGGGTCTTTGTGGTGACTTTGGATAGAAATTGCAATTACTTTCTTCCTTTCCATGACGAGCAACTTAGTCGTCTCCTCGTTCGTTGCCGTCTTGTAACCTTTGATCAAGCACGTGTACTCGCAGCACAAATTTCTTAGAGGAAGAATATCTTCTCTTTCTCGAGGCTCGCTTTCTGTCATCCTCTATCACTCTTCTGGCATACAATCCTATTCCCATCATTTCCTTCAACGCCAGGCTCATGCTTTTTAAACATCATAAACACACAGTCTCCGAGCGGGCAAGCACAAGCTCGCCAGTAAGCTTCTCGTGACCTTTGACAACTCGCCAGCCTTCTCCAGTCCGTTTCCGCACTAGAAATCCATGCCGACGAGGAAACCCTCAAATATACGCATAAACTTTGCCACAAACGCCTCCAGATGGAAAATAACCTTACTGCCCAAGCGGATCCGGTGCTCATAGAAGCTCGCCCATTTCACGACCTCGGGTTTCAAGCTATCATCGACCTCGGGCAGACTCACAAGTTTCCAGCACAACGTCTTGATCACCATCGTCGCAGGGATACAATGCGTCAGGAGATCGTACAACTTCGCGCGCGTGGCCAGGATCATCGCGGGTGTGCGCTCCTTGACAATGTCCCGGGCGACCTGCTCGATCAGGATCTCCCAGTCCGGCGGCGGGATGGGGGTTTTCTCGCTGGGTTCCGGGTGCTGCGCGTAGACGGCTTCGAACATCAAGAGTGCCTTTCGCAGGTTCCGGCCCGACTCGCGCGCGATCCGCTCGTTCAGGGCGGGTATGACTTTCCAATTCTCTTTCTTGCCGGCTTTTGCTAGGGCATCGCCGATTTCGGTCTCGGTGGGTGCGGCTACGCGCACGAGCAGTGTACGAGACCGGATGGGCGCGATGATGCCCGCTGTGCTGTTGGCCACGAGGATCAGGCGCACGTTTGCACTGTATTTCTCCATCGTGCGTCTCAGCGCGGCTTGGGCGTCGCGGCTGAGACCGTCGGCTTCGTTGATGACAACGACCTTGAAACGCTGTTTCGCCGACAGGTCGACTTGTTGTGTCTGCGCGACTTCCTTGAGCAGTTCTTGGATGACGACCCGATCGTACGTGCCGACGTCGCTGGGCGTGATTTCGAGGTGGTACACCGACGAGACGATGTTGAATTCGAGCTTGCGGCTCGACGACGTCGTGAACATGCGTGCGTCGATCTTGATCTTTTCGACACCACCGCCGTATAGGGCGCGGAGGGTCGCGAGGATGCGGGTCTTTTTGCCTGCGCCCGAGGGACCGTAGAAGAGTAGATGAGGGAAATCGGCGGAGGATGCCTGGTAGATGGAGATGCGTTAGTCTTGTTGAGCCCGGTTGATTGTTAAACTTTAGGGCTTTTTACCAGAGATGCCAGCCGATTTGAAAGATCTGTATGGTATGTGAGGGCATCGAGCGATCGAGGCCGTAGCTTGTCGACGAGCAGCGCCATGATGGACGTGGTTGCTTTGTTGATGTCGCCGAGGTGAAATTTGGTAGATATTACGGAGTACGAACTGCGGTAATTGAATTTGAAGACGCGTCGAAGCGCGTAAAGTGGAATGACGTAGTGATTCGATTGGCTACACTACATCTACACTACGGAGTACAGCTACACTACTACAGCCTCGTCGGCCTTGCACACCCATCTCCATATTGCCTTGTTGCACAAATATGCTGATTGAGTTCATGATCATCTATATACCCTTACTCCTCTATCACATGTAGATATGGCCTCCTTGTCCGACCTGTGGACCAGCCTGCGTATTTTCTACCACCTTGCAGCTGCCACGCATCTCCGCTTGTAAACGAGCAATGGCCGACACCGTCCTCGCCGGTGAGGGTGTCAGGTATTACTCCCCACTTGATCGGCCTCATGGCTGCATCGCTATCCCAGTCCGGCGGATGACATGCAGCCGAAATCGCAGCGCTGCAGCTGCCAGCCAGCGGCATACTCGGTTCATAACGCAGGCCAAAGCCGAGCAAGAATGTGACAATGATGATTGCACATCCAGCCGCGATCCCTAGAATCATTGCAAGCGGAGAAAACCCACACGACGCAACAGCCACCGGACTGAGCAGCGTCCCGTCAGGATTATACTCGGCGACGACTACCAGGAAGATTGCCTGCGAAATCAGCCAGTGCAGGAGTCCCGACAGAATCATCAATGGCATAGCAACCTTGTAAGGCAGTTGCAAGAAATGCGTGCTCCGCTGTGCTCCTTTCGGCTTGGAGACACGTAACGTTTTCCGTTCTTTGGCAAAATCGCTCCATTCCGATGCCACCCACATGCTGGTAAGAAGACCATTGAGGTTGAGGTACAGGAAGGAGAAGATTGTCTGAGGCAAATTTGCAAGCAGAACCGATGAAAGAATTTGAGCCGCAGCACCTCCTGTGGCGCCAATTCGCCAGCCTGTGATGATGGCGGCGGGTTTGACCTTGCCAAACCCAAGGTCTTGAACGGTGAAGCCGGCTGTTGTTATGGCCCTGACGGCAATGGAGAGCAGAACGCTGACAACGATCAGAGTGAGCGAAATGAACCCGATTGTCAAGAACCAGCGAGTACGGCTGGCCGATTTCAACCACCGCAGCGCTTGTAGACGTGCGACTTTCGGCTCAGTAACTCCTGCATTCTTAGCACTCCAGTGCGTCTTGCTTCGAGCAAGTCCTACAACATCCTCTTTTGTGAGCAAGCACATGTCTTTAGTCGTGGAGTCCGGTTCGTTCAGAAAAGATTCCACTGCATCGCCAACAGTAATCAGTGGGGCATTGCGTAGGCGGAACGCAACCCAGAGCATGCCTATCATCTTGAAAAGATTGGCAACAAACACGACGGCCACGATGGGAATGTTGCCGTTATAGCTGCAGGTTTCCGGAACTCGCTCACTGAGACAGTACTGAATATCGTCGCCATAGGGTTTCCACTCGTCCGCGATGGCCGCCACCTTGGAGACGTACTTCTCGCACGGAAGCGGGTTTCCATCTGTCCCAATAGGGACTTGTATTTTGCTATCGATATCCGGGTCGCTGGTACAGATCCTAAGGCTGCATCAGTACGCAGAACAGCTCGATGAAAATGGGCAATATCTCACCACATATATGGCTCATAGCTTGTATAAACCCAGGGTTCGAAGTGGAGCACGTTCACTCGAGCTGTGTCGGTTCGCGCGACCAGTAGAAGATTCCGCCTGTTTGTAATAAAGTCTTTCGCATATGCATTGATACAGTCAACCTTTTCCATCCGCTCGTAAGCGTCGGAAGTCCTTAGTTCGGACTGGATGTGGCCCGGGTCGACGAGGGCTAACTGATTGATCAAATCGGATACGTCCTTTGTCGTGTTAAAGGACGAACTTCCTACGAAGTCTTGCGTTACGGTATAGACTTCGTAGTCATTGGTCGCTAGAGACTTGTAGAAAGCCGAATTGTACCTCGGAAAGCGTTAGGAGGACGAGCTTGAAGCGAAGAATTGGTCACTTACATAAGATGCAAAGGGACTGAAGAGAGGCCGAACATAAACCACATGACCGATTTGTAGGTGGGAACTCTGGTAAGGTTGCGAGTGCTGGGTACTCCGATATCGAGCCACTTCCCCTTGGCATGGGCAGCGTCGACGTCCTGTCTCGTTGGGGCACACAGACATTGCATGCAATAGTTTGAGCCTCCAAGGAGGAGTGTACTGAGAGCGTTGATCGCAAGGTGGACCCAGAGATCCATACTTTGGGCTTTGCTACAACTCCCATGGAAGAGCTCAACAAGTCCCGAGCTTGCTTTATGAGTAGCCAACCATACAAGGACGACAAGATTGATCAGCAGCGATATTCCCGCAAAGACCGCAGCACAGAGGGCGCCTGTTTTCCAGCCGTAAAGCCGAGAATGGCTTCTGAAGACTGGCCATTTCCATCGCCGGCGACATGCTGTGTCGTAGCTTACTGGATCAGTCGAAGGGTCGAGGAGGGGCGCTTGGTCTCTGATTGTAGCTGAGAAATCAGACTTGAAGCTTTTTGTCTTGCTGTCCAGCGATGATAGCTCAACGTCGAAACCTGAGTCAAAGACCCTTTCACTGGAATTGACTGGCTGGTACGTGTCTCGCGGCTTCAGGATGTCCATGGCCGTCTAGGCTCTTGACAAAGCGAGACACCTTCGGCACAATGGCTGCAAGGGTTGCAGGAAATCTCCAGAGGACAGCTTCAACATCCCACAGCCGACATTCGAACAATAGAAAAAGCCCCGACTGGAGCTAGGTGCTGAACGAGAGCTGTCCTACAGACAATTGTTCGGAAGTGCGGCAATCCGTCTGTAACAGTGTAAGTGGCCACAGTCATACAAGATCTGCAAAGATTTGGGTGAAATCCTCGACTGCACTTCAGCCTTGTTCACATAAAGTGAAGAATATATTGGTGGCAGATTCTTACGCCGGACTGGGTATGCAGCTTGCTTTGCAGCCAGTATCTGTGCAAGAGTGCGATCGCCGACACACAGGCACAAGCCTTGCCAGCAAAACCTGACACATCGCCCTGCCCCAGCACTGGGAGGCCTGATTTTCCAGCATACTGATTGTGCCGGGCGATCTGTATGGAAGCGGATAAGCTTCAAGTAGTTGTGGTTTCAATACCTCGCCAGCTTCGGTGCTTAATCTCCACTTGGAGCAGGCATAACTTTGGGGGCGAAATCTTTGACAAGCACGACAAGACACTTGGATGGCATCAGAGATGATGATGATCCAAGAAATGTAAGCACAGGCTCCCGACTCATTTAATGCTCTTTATGACGTACCTTTTGAGCTTTGGAAGATGAATTATTGGAAAGAGTTGAAATGCAAGCTGCCGATGTCACTTAAATTCGCCTGGATTCTGGTCACCTGACCTTTGATGAGAGTTGAAGAAACATAGTCGCTATCGGAACCGCAGGCTCGTGGTGGACGATGAAACAAGGTAGGTGGGTGGGTAGGCGTTAGTTTAGGTGGTAAGGACGAGAAGGCGCGAAGCTGGAAAGGAATGAGATTTGGGAATCCGTCTCACGGCGTAGAAAGGCGGCAGCAATGCTGACTCTACAACCACAGTCAAAGCATCCGACCTTATCAGAGGAGAAAGGCCAATCTTTACAAATTTTTGCTGCCACATGGGAACATTGTGAGCGAAGAACTTGATCCTCCAAGTCTCTTCTACAGCCATCTTCCATCTTACATATTGGAGCATGGCGCATGCATCGTCGTGAAACCTCATGACTAACCCTCAACTGAGTCGTCTTAGACTGTATGCTCCCTTCGATATCTGCGTCTGTTCCTTGGAGGTACTGTGCATTGCCTGCGACTGGTGGATAGATTGAGCTCCTGGATGAGTCTCTCATCCGCAGGTTGCATTCCTGGTGCCTCTGGTCTTCCTATAGCCGCTCTAGCTGCTGTTTTGCTTGCTTCCATCTCCCTTATTTCCTGCATCACTTTCGGAGAATTCCGTATTGCTCGTCGTGTCGGTACCATGTAGGTTTGCTTGATATCTACCATTCCTCTGCACCATATCTTGTAGTTGGCAAGAAGCGACATGAGAGCGTCGTAGAGCTCGTTGATTCGGTCTTGGGTCTCATGGTCGATAGCTTCAACAGCAAGAAGCTCGAGAAAAGGATGGTATACGTAGGCATCAAATAGGTGCGCTAGCGCTTCGAGGAGTTTCTGCTCTGTCCGGCATGGAAGCGCAGTGTACCTATGAGCAGTCAGTGCTGTTGTGATCTAGATGAACTCCCAGACCCTACTCACTCAACAATCAGTCGGGCCATTTGTCGGTAATTAGACCAGAGATCATGCTCAGAAGGGATCACCATGAAGGGTGCCAGACCTTTAATGCAAGAGACTTTGTTGACTTCGTCTTTGACATTCAAATTTGCGCGCCGGAGCAGCTTCAGTAATGGGTCGCTTTGGCGCAAGATCTCTTGCTTGTCCAGTCTGAGCGGCTGCTCCAATGTCTGGGAACGCGAATGCGACAGCAGAAAGCTGAGATCCTCGATCATCCTTGCCAGATCACTGAAGCCATTCTTGCAGACATCTGGCAGGCGTGCGTCTCGAACTTGCTCGAGGAACTCGGCTAGATTGGGCCCCTCCGGCCCCTCGGCAGGCTCAACAAAGGAAGGCTTTGAACGGAGAGGTGTAGTGTAGGCTGTCGACTCTGATTCCCTGGAAATTTGAGTATCATCACGATCAGTAACATTCGAACATGGCGACGAGAAGTTCTCATCGGTGACCAGTAATTCCTGGCTGGACTCAAACTTGATTTCAGGATATCGGGCATACAATGAAAAGAGTGCAGACTCTGAGAGGTCGATGGACTCAGGCATGTTGAAGAACTTGTGGAGTGCAGTCCATTGTGCTGTACTGTTATTTCAGACGACGTTGTCGTGGTGTTGAAGCGGACAGAAAGCAGGAGCGACTCATTGCACAATAAAGGCAGTAGCAGACACTTCACTATGTTGCCGCGGCGATGTGAAGCAGGAGTGTACACTGGACGTTCAAAGGAGAAGGATAAACAAGCAAGAAGGTCTTGACAAGGGACAGCTACTGATTGTTTGTTCATTCTTGAGCCTCGGCGGATGAATTTACCAAATACGTTCCAGTGCAAGCCACGAGAATTTGACATGCCATTGGGATAGAATTCGGCCTTGCAGACTGCCATCAGAATCAGCGGCATAACGCCAATGAAGCTGATGAGCAGAAAGCACTTGCTCTTCGCGCACAGACTGATTGGCACCTCACTGAGACAGATGTGACAACTCAAAGTAGGGCGATAGTAGAGTGGATTGTGCGGGAGTACGCTGCTAGATCCCACGGAAGGACCACCCCTGATGCTGCGCTTCATCGACTGCTGAACCGTAAGCCGTCGCAGAAGTAAATGCTCCTGGGATCGAATGCCTGGTTGTGACCGGCTCAGTGCTGTCGTCCTCTTTTGTTGATGTCTGCTGATTTGGTGCAGAGTTCACTTGACTTGACTTATTTCCTGCGTTCCCGAACTGTGGCGTTTGATCTGCTTGAACTTTGACCCATTCATCCTCGAGAGGAACCGAGCCCCGGGTTTCGGCGCTATCATCTCCTTTAGTAGGTTCATATTTCCAATCTGGCGGAGGCTTGAGGTCGTCGTCGTCTCCTGGCAGCTGGGTGTCGACAATGTTGTTACCAATTCGTTGGAGCCAACGGCCAATGATTGTTTGAACCCACTGATAGAACAACCATGCTGCAGAAAAGACGCCCATTACTATCACGATCCAGCTGATATTCACGGCACGGTTGCGTCCTGTTGGAGCTCTCCCAGAAACTCTGCTGGAGACAAAGCCGGTATTGCGCAGGTTCCACCATTGAAAAGGGTTGAGTATCATGGTTCTGAGAAAACTCAAGACGCCCATGGAAACCAAGCCTTTCGTGAAATGTAGAAGCCAGCCAGACATTGCGTCCTCAGATTGATTGACTGTAACCTCTTGCCACAATTCCTCATGACCCAGAAGGGTTTCGTAGGGATCGGTGTAGAAGTTCAGGATCGGATCGGCAACGAATCCAAGGAAGAACATGATGAACACCATGACAAGGAGGGTCAAGATGCCGGAAGAGACTCTGCTTCCCAGATATCTCTGGATCGTCAGACGCTTGAAGTTGAACTGGTGACCGCACTCGTGACATTTCCACAGCGAGTTTGGGCGGTTGACCTCGGTTCTAGACCGTCGCAGGCAGAGCTCGTGGATGTATCGCATGCCGCCCTTGCAATGACATGGTTTGATAAGTCGGCCGTATTCGTCGTCGTTTTTGTATTCGACGAGGGGGCGCTGCAAGCGAGCTGGCACACCTGGAGGGTAGAGGGTGACGGTGGGATAGACATCTTCAAGGCACAGCCGACAGGTTCTCGGCGGGTAGGTCCAGGTTGGGGCTGAAGAGTCAGTACTCTCTTTGGCCGTGTCTGCGGGGGGACTCTGTGTAGGTTCCATGTCGTGAAAGAGGTGGTGTCTAGTGTTAGCTGATTTCTGAGATGCCACAAAATCTCCCGACCTGAAATATGGACATGGTCAAAGAGAAATTGTCTGAAGCAGTGCACATGAAACAAAGAACGTAAATCTAGGAGCACTGAACGAGAATAAAGCCGCGCATTATATTCATACTCTCCTCACAATAGTGAGCGCCGAGAATTGGCAGCTCGGCGCGATCCAGGGACAGAGAGGGAAGATAGTGGGAGAAGAAGTCAAGCGAGAAACCAGGTGTCGATTTTGAAGGGTTGTCCGCTGTCCGGGGACTGTGGTGACCGGTCAATGCCAACTGTGGCAGGTCTGCCGAATCTACAAACGCGACCGCATTGCGTGGAGAGTCTGCCTACATGCATCGACCTACAGGTAGCATTTTGCATACTCTAAAGCTCTACCCTCAGCTTCTTCCAGATCTTTCCGAACCGTCGCATATCCAGAGGACTCTCACTTTGCAAATTCTTGGATCGTCATTACTTCGCCAGAATGGCGGACAGATACTCCTTCTCCCTCACAACTTTCTCGCCTAGGTATGTCGCTACCACTCGATGCGCGGGACCCTATGTGCTAACAACCTCTCAGCGGCAAGCTCGTTCAGATAGGTACATGGAGCTAATCACCGTCTGCGTTGCTGGAAGCTCACACCTTTTACAGAATATGCCCTAAACGCAGTCAATCAAGGTGTAACATCGTTAGGGATAAAAGGTATATATTCTGCGGTCATTTATGGCATCACTTGCTCACCAATGGGTCAGCAACGAACGGCATTGTCCTCGCAACAGAAAAGAAGTCCTCGTCTCCCTTGATCGATGCTCCTTCACTCTCGAAAATCTCCCTGATAACACCCAACATTGGAATGGTCTACAGCGGCATGGGTCCTGACTACAGAGTCCTGGTCGACAAAGCCCGTAAGGTATCGCATACCAACTACAAGCGCATCTACAACGAATATCCACCCACGCGGATATTGGTCCAGGACGTTGCGCGGGTGATGCAAGAAGCGACCCAGTCAGGCGGTGTACGACCGTATGGTGTAAGCTTGCTAATAGCCGGATGGGACGATGGCATCGAACCGGAGACCACAGAGGCCAAAGAGGGCGAGACGGAAGCAGAGGCCAAGCTGGCAAGCAGAAAAACTGGCGGGATACTCAAAGGCGGACCCAGTCTGTATCAAGTCGATCCTAGCGGAAGTTATTTTCCCTGGAAAGCAACGGCCATCGGTAAGAGTGCGACGAGTGCAAAGACGTTCTTGGAGAAGAGATACAATGATTCATTGGAGCTCGAGGTAGGAGATTCAGCGCTGAATATCCAGTGCTTAGACTGACGTGCTCCTCAGGACGCCATTCACATTGCATTATTGACGCTGAAGGAAACCATTGAAGGAGAAATGAACGGAGACACAGTCGAGATCGGTATTGTTGGCGAGCCAGCGAACCATCTACTCGGCTTTGAAGGTGTCGAGGGTGCTGTCGGTCCTCGCTTCCGCAAACTCACGAAGGACGAGATTGAGGATTACCTGACGAATCTGTGATCGAACCAGCTACGAGGTTTTGTCTCCTGAAGATTGTAATCTAGAAGAGGGAGCATGTGCTTCTATCTGCATGGCTATGGCGCACAAGGGCAGATGGTCAATCGGGCACAAATCAAGCTCGTGTGGGTGGTCCAAGAGAATATCAATCGAAAACGGCTGCTAGTCAGCTAGTCTGCTCACCGCAATCGAAGGCTTCCTGGCTTCAGATGTCGTTATTCGGTCACTGTCTTATGTCTTAGGTCAGGTCAGCTTTGTTTGCCATTCCTCTAGTTCCTCCCCGTACGCCCAGGTCTTTCCACCGGTACTACCGCACACTTCTTAAAATGGATGTGGCGTGCCAAACTTGCCAATGCCTTGTATTTTCTTGGTATTGGTACGAATTCGGACACAAGAGATTTGGCACATTGGCCATCGGCGAGCCAAGAGGCTCAAGTGTTTCAAGTTTCCGGGATAGCCGATTGTGCAAAAGGTCAAAGCGAGCTCGCAATGTTACGTAGTATGTAATAATGGCCGAGCTCGGCGTGCTGAGACACGCAATGCAAGTCATGACAGTACAAGCGAGATGAGACGTGGTGCAACTTCAATCACCGCGCCCTAATCTGCGATCTACTTGAACTTGTATTTATTGACGATTCGGCGTAGAATAAAAGTGCAGTGACACGTTGTGGGTAGCATTGACAAGAGAGAAAAAGAAGAAAACAACAGAAACTGGATTTTTGTGTGTCTACAAGACATAAGGCGGCAAGAACCGGACTTTCGATGCGCTGTATTAAGTACCTCTTCCTATGCGAGGTGGTTGAAGCCAGTGTGGCCAGTACTTGCATCGGTTATAACCGCCGCTGCTGATCCCGCTGATCTCGAGATGATCGAATACACGCAGGCCTCGGGATCTGTCATCCACAGTTCCAAAGCTGAATAGGCGCTTTGTTTTTCAGGCACTTGCCTGTGCCCACGGCTCTCTTCAGCCTATCTCCACGGTGTAGAAAGCGCGCGCGCATCGTGAGAATACAATAGTCGTCATCCCAGGAGTTTGGGAAAATAGCAACCAAACACATACAGCATAAAGTTGGACGCAAAAAAGCGCTTCAAGACCGGAGACAAAAAGGCCCGAAAAATTGTGATCATTCCTTCGTAAGCAGACATAGATCAAACACATTATTTCACTTCCGCACCGCAGAAAGTAAACATTTCTCCCACCAGTCCCGTAACATGAGGACGGTAGCCCGGCCATCATCCCGTTTCTCCGTCCCATCGGGATTGCCCATGATGATCGCAAATAGCCAGAAAACAGCGACGATCCAGGCGGCTATTGCGTTTCCGAGGCTGATGATCGGAGACACGAGGTGGATCAGGACCAAACACGCGGGGCTGAATTCGAATGTATGAGCGTGATCCAGCGATTTGGCAAAGATCATCTGTAGGTGGTTGCGGAACAGAGGGCCGACCATCCGGACTAGGGTGATGGTTGGTGAGCATTCGCGCCGGCACAGTCGGAGCGGGAGCAGTAAGATGATGGTGAAAAGGGCGAAGATGGAATATAGGGCGCTGAAGATGCAGTGCAAAGGGTCGAGGAAAGATAGCCAGATCTGTCGGTCACAGTGTTAGTATGTGGTTTAGAACTGCGGTGCTGGAGAGAACGTACCAGGATCCAGAAAGCGTGGTCGTTCTCCTTTGCCTCCTCACTGGCTTCGGGCTGGATATACCGGAACACGGTCGAGTTGTCCTCTACCAACTCCGACCGAGTATGACTGCCTCTATCCAGGTTTGCTCCGATTTGTGAAGGCTGGTATGAGTGTCTGACGGGCTCTTTCCATGTACCTCGTTCTACCTGCGGACTGTATTGGTACTGTTTGTTATGTAGGTATCGTTCGGTCTCTGAGGCAGTTGAGGAGCCGGACTCGTCACTGGACACCGAACCTCCGACCCGCCTGGGCTCGGTTCTCTGAGGGGTAGTCGGGCTTCGAGGGTTTGGATTGAGATGGGCGGCTTGAGGGTGCAGTAGGGTGGGCGAGTAGTGGTGGTTGTGACTGAGGGGCCGAACACTGCTGCGATTGTCGTAGTATGCCGCAGAATGGCTCATAGGCGGCGAGACAGGGTTTGACGAGGCCATCAAGGCCGTGAAAGACAACCCAAGGAGTTGTGGTCGACGAGCGAGGTGTAGCTTGTGCTCATAACCGGGGCGGCAGGGGACTGTAATCTGAGGTGGCAGCGACAACACCAGCCGGAGAAGCTGTGGTAGGACGAAGTCGAGGTGACATGGGGAGCAAACAATGATATAGCAACATGATTATAAGAGAGAAAAGACCACAGCGAGCACCAGGACCACGACAGAGTCTTGACTTCTTGTCTCTGGCATGGAATCCCTCCACATTCGCGCAACAGCGCCGCTTGGTATCTTGGCTTCCTCTCGGCATCGCTTGGCCTTTTCTGCAAATGTCATCCGCCGGCATAATGCATAATATACTTGCAGCCTTTTCCTACCTTTGGCAGAGGCAACATGGATCTGCGGAAGGCGGTCGCTCCAAATGTCTGCGATGTTGTCTGGTTGTCCCAGTCTATTCGGTAGACCTGGGAGCGTTTGTTTGTCCAAGCCCGGATGTGAAAGGAAGTGAATGCACGCCCAGGTGCCCAGATCGGCGTACAGGAATTGGACGTCTCTTGGCAAGGGAGAACCGGCAACTTTGGGCCTTGGACACTAGGCCGACAGGGAGGACAGGCTCGACGGGTACGTAACATGGTCCATATCCAACGAATTAAATCATGACTTGTTCCGGCCAGGGGTGCTTTTGCGCGCCCGAAGAGGGGCATCATGGGTTTTTAAATCCGCTGACTGTACCTCCGTGGAAGCCTAACAAGAGCCTTGTTCTCCAGCCCAAGAACTCTTTACCAGCCTGATGTGGACCACGAATTTTTCGTCCACGTAACCTGAGAAATGCCAACAGCCTTGTCCGTGACATTTGTCTCAGCTGCATGTATTGGCAGTTGTGTCCAGATTCATTTTCTGAAGCAAGTGCCAAGTAAATGACTTGAACGGTCGCCATCACATGTAATTGAGTATTTCACTCATCAATTGCCCTTGCCTGCCATTCCAGCGGCAATGGCAATGACCATGGGACGCCAATGTGTAGGGATACGGATCTATGCGTTGCCTCTTATCTGGACGTGACGCTGCTCTTGAGGAGCGGCGACTCTCGCGAAAGCTATGTAGATCAGTGAGATGATGCTGTTGGTTTTGAACGCAGAGCTGCTGCTTCGAGGAAGAGTCACGAGCCTGTTCTTGGATGATAATACGAGGAAGTTATTTCGACAAACCAAAAAATGAGCAGGATACGGTCTGCAGCCCAAGACTGATCATTTCTCAGACTGTTGGCGCCAAGGATGGAGGAGGAAGACACCGAGGAAAATGTATGTCTTGGCTGCTTGGGCGAGATCACTTTGTGAGGCGTGACTGCCTACTCCGATAGGGCCGGAGTGGTGGCAGGTAATGGTTTCGAAAGAAGTGTCTCCAGTAACCCAGTAAGCGCAAGTGCTGGACCACAAAGTAATTATCCGTATAGGCAGCGCTCGATGCACAACAACTATTCTTGCCAGTGGATTGGACACGAACATGCGCCTGGTTGCAGACAATTGTAAGTCCTCCGAGTAGATAAGCCTGCTGTTACAGTACCGCGACTTCTCTTCGGTGGGAAGTTCATGTCGTGACCAGTCTCGTGCCTGCTAGACCGACAAAACACTTAAAATGTCCCTCATGAAATCACCTGACAGAGTCAGCAAGGGGGAAAGAGCATAGGGGTTTTTTGTGATGAGGATACGCAACCCCTCAAGAATGAGGAATCACGTGTCGAGTCGTCCACAGTTTCCCATTCCAGCCTTCAGGTGATTAGGGCGCTGCGCTGTACGAAGACCAAAAAAGTCTTTTCAAGAGTGTCGAAGTAGGTGGTTGAGCTCACACTCACTGCGCACCATCAAAAGTCTCCGCCCCCAGCAAGTGATCTCGGGGTAGTGTCGGCTCAGATGTGCACATCTCAAGTCCAGAAGCTAGAATCACTTTACGCTCGAACGTACCTACTTAGCACTCGTATCTCCAAGGAGAAATGTCCACCAAGAGATCGCGACATTACACCGGACATTGCTACCGTGGGTACGGCCCAAGCTTGATTTGCTACTACACCCGGTTCGGACACAAGGACAAATCATCTGGGAAGCCAAAAGCCAATCGAAACATCTGAAGTGCGATGTTCCTGCTGCTGGGAGACAGCGTTGCAGAAGACGCTGTAGTACCACATGGCTGGATGGACCATGATGCGGTGCATTCAGAACTTCGTGGTAGGATACAAATGCAGTTATCCAGCCGAGTCTTTGTGTATGTGTAACATCTGCCTCGAAACCCCGGATTGCACTAGTCCGGCTGCAGTCGTCCGCGATCTCGCGTCCAAATTTCTCAAGGCGTGTGAAACGGAGGTGTTAATGCTTGTGTAGGAAGAATTGCCATACATTGAGCAGGCAGGCCGAGTAGTGACGGGAGTAACCCCGCAGGCGTATAGAATCATGGTCAGTAGGGATCCAGGAATAATGATGCCTGCATATACGATAACAATGACAATATTAGCACAGGTATACCCCCTACGCTGGCTGATGGCAAAGGTATAGTAGGATCCGTTTCTGACGCTTTTTGTGCTACCATGTCAGGATGGAGTCATGATGACGGCTTGTTGCCTACGTAGTGCGCTCCGCGTGGGCGGCACAGGGGTTGACTTTGTGTCATCTGTTTCTGTCGAAGTACGAGTACCGAGTACGACCTGCGATTCTATTTGTATTGCACAACGGTGATCCTCGAGCAAAGATTGTCTTCAGAGAGATGCGCTTTATTGGCTGCGGAGGAGAGACTGCCGTCATCACAAGGATATGTATCGGCTCATGGAGCACATCAATCGATGAGGGCAAATGCCTAGATATTGCTCAGGTATACCGTCCCTTGGTGGGCGCTGAGAGACGATCTGCCTCCATCTTGAGTAAATCAGCGGTCAAGCAAGTGATGGCAAGTCACAAATGGCAGCTTTGACATCGGTGCGAGAGTCGGCCGCGCCTACAAGTACTGCTCAGATCTTCCTGGGACAAGCCATTCTGACACGTCGGAAAGGCTACCCATGTTACTGTTAGGAGCAAATCGTGGTGGCCTTCGGCATCAAAACGTCACAATAAATATTTGAAAGAGTGACTGGGTGACTGGCTAGATTGACGTGGATCCTTAGTCACTACCAAGTACGAGCCTTGGCCATTTGATACGGGAGGTCAGCATGACGCCCCGCAGCAGCCACATTTTCCGGACACGCGAGGCCCAAAGACGCCCATAACTTAGCGGAAACCACCATGTCTGGGTTTAGCCGGCGCCGCCGACCATCCCCAAAACAAAGCCTCGCAACTGTACCGAAATAGCCACGGGATAGGAAACCCAAGCCTAAGATCGTGGCCTTTTTGTTCCTGGATTCATCCTTCAGGTGGGCAGGAGGTATAAAGGTTATATTTCTGCAGGACCGGCCATCTCTTGTCGACGGCGTGACACTCGTAAAATGTCCAGGTGCCCTGGTTGAGGCTGGTCGTTTCATCCCCTCGCCCACTCCGAGGGATGAAAGTAGGATGGTTGGCTAGGGGCTCAATTTCATTCGGGTTGTTTTTGCGGGCGTGGCTTGCTCGGGTGGGAAGCCAGGTTCTCGAAACGAGTCAAGATTGGCAGTAGGCTCACCAGACTCGTGGAGGTCCAAATGAGCTAGGCTTGCTAGGCGAAAACTAGCCCTGGAAGAGTTGTGGAGAAGATTGGTCAGGAGGCCGTGTGTGATTGACATGGATGATGGAGGAGGCCGGCAAGCGAAGCGAGGGGAGAAGCTCCGAGCGAAAAGGTGGACCTGGCACCCTTGGTCGAGTGATGAAATGAAGAAGGCCCCCCACGAGCCAACCTGAACTGACAAGCATGCCAAACGCCAACAGCACGGCGAAGGCACGGCCCACTGTTCGTTCTGTTCGTCATGCGGTGGCTGTTCCAACATGGAAATCGACCGGGAGACCTGGACTAGGGGGCCCTGGTCCCCTTTTGTTAGCCCCGAAGAGTCAGTCAGCCTCTCAGCCTCTGCAGGTGGGTTTTTTGGCCTCTGTCGCATCAGTAGGTTGGCGATGACAGCGATCAGCACGAGGTTCTCTGTCGGTCCTTCCCTCGGTGTGATATCTAGTATGACATTCTAGGCGAGTTGTGCACCACAGTCATCTCCAGGTCTGAAGATGATGGTTTGGAACGAGGATATTGTGGCAAGAGGCTCAAGTAATAAAACTCCAGACGGCCATCGCACCGACACCCAGAAGCATGGTTGACAGCCAAGCCATTTGTCTCTGGACGGTAGAGGCTTGTTTTTGTGTGAAATCTAGGTTCGCTTGATGCTCGAGGCGGCTGTCAATTGTCACCCTTGGAAATGTCCAATTAGGCGACATGTGTCCAGTAACAAGGCCTGACATGGAGCCTGTGGCAGGCCAAGGTGAGCTTGGAAGCCCACTGAAGCCTTCTTTTGGAGCCGGGGTGTTTGCCAAAATGTCAATCAGAGGGACCACCCGGCCCACACTTTCAAGTGATCGAAAGCCCCCAGTTTTCTTCACTCCTTCCGGGCTTTCCCAAGCTCCACAGCCTGCAAGCCTGGTCGCTTTCTGGCTGGCGGACCCCTTGAGGCTAATGGGCATTTGCCGCCTAGCCCTTTCCAGGCGACCTCGCCAGAGAAAATCAGAAGGAGAAGAAGCGTGCTCCGTGCGCCGTGCACCCGTGCAGGTGGCCCCCTGCGCCCCTCTCTGGCTTTTGCCTGCCTGTCCATCCACTTGAACCACGGCCGTCATCTTTGATCCCAGGCATGGCAGATCTGTAGCAGGCCATGAAACCCTAACGCGCTAGTGGTTGCGCTGCTTTGCGTCCCATCTCGTAGCCGTTCCCTCCTCACCATCTTCATTTCTCTCCATCCTCTTCCGTCACCCGCCTCCACGAGTGCAGCCAAAGGCTTCATATTCATTCCGCAATTCGGACGGCCATTTGTGTCGCTCGTAGCGCGGACCTTTCACCCTGTTCTCCTTGTAATCTCCCTTACTTTTATCCTTGACACCTCTGCCACTACCGTTGCTGTCGCCCTTCATCAACAGCCTGATTGCAGTTCTTTAGCACGCGAGGCATACTTTGCTAAGCTCGTGGCATTGGGCGCATCGCAAATCGAGGTGCGGTCATACCCTATAGACAACTCAATCCTTCACTTGTTGTTTCTCGGGAAGAGGAGGTACATAGCTGGTCATAATACCCTGCCGGCGCTCAATTCGCCGAGGCAATTCTAGCTGGTTTCAATCCGGAAGCAGCTTTGACAGAGCAGTCTCACTTGCCCGCGAAATCTAAAGTCCGTTGACCGTTTCAACTATGGCCCTCGTTCCTCATCCATCGCCGCCGGGTGTGTTGGGCCTACAACCCCCTCATCTTGGCCAGTACAACGGGGCGGCACCAGTTGATGCACACATGCAACGACAACGGCTACTGTCTCAATTGAATGAGTCGACATGGCAAAGAATCGGTAAGCTAGTTCAGCTCTTCTTGCTGTCGGACACCCGACTCATCTGTTTTAGGCTCCTTGAATGAATTGCTAGGAGACCATGAGGGAGCGTTATTCGCATACGAGCAAGCTCTGCGGCACAACCAATGGTCACCGCAGACTCTCAATGCCATCTCATGTATCCTCCGTACGAAGGAGAAGTATCCAGAAGCCATGGAGTATCTCAAGAACATCCTGAAAGTAGAGCCCGCTAATGGGGAGGCGTGGGGAAATCTTGGTAAGGTTCTTGGCTTCCTTTCCTCAACAGCTTCTTACCATGGGCAGGCCATTGTTACCTGATGATGGACAATCTACAAGAAGCCTACACGGCATATCAGCAAGCACTCTACTATCTCCCTGATCCAAAGGTATGTTGTCGCAAATTTGTTTGTCCTGCCTGAATCCAAGCTAATGCTAGCCAGGAGCCCAAATTGTGGTACGGCATAGGCATCCTCTACGACCGATACGGCTCCCTTGAGCACGCAGAGGAGGCATTCTCTCAGGTCATGCGGATGCAGCCAGACTTCGAAAAAGCCAACGAAATCTATTTCAGACTCGGAATAATTTACAAGCAGCAACAGAAATTTCAACAGAGTCTTGAGGTCAGTTGGTTTCTTGTTCGGCGTTGATGTCACTAACGGCGCCGCAGTGTTTCAAATATATTGTCAATGATCCGCCACGTCCTTTGAATGAGGAAGATATCTGGTTCCAGATCGGCCATGTTTATGAGCAGCAGAAAGATGTATGCATGCAACTCCTTTTCCATTGCCGTTTCACCTTTTCTAACATCGTTACAGTTCGAAGCTGCCAAGGCTGCTTATCGACGAGTCCTTGAAAGAGACCCCAAACACGCCAAAGTGTTACAACAGCTCGGCTGGCTGCATCACCAACAGAGCAACAGTTATGCTAGCCAAGACCAGGCAATTGAGTATCTGGAGCAATCAGTTAGCTCAGGTTTGTGCAACAATACCCATGTCCGAAATTTGTCCGCTAATTTGCCTCCCAGACAATCAAGATGCCCAAAGTTGGTACCTGCTTGGACGTTGCTATATGGCGCAGCAGAAATTTCCCAAAGCATACGAAGCCTATCAGCAAGCCGTGTACCGAGATGGTCGCAACCCTACCTTCTGGTGTTCCATCGGCGTCTTGTACTACCAAATCAACCAGTACCGTGACGCACTTGATGTATACTCCCGTGCGATTCGCTTGAACCCGTACATCTCGGAAGTGTGGTACGACTTGGGCACTCTGGTAAGTCCGACGCCACATTCCCATCTCAACGAACAGTCCTGACAGCCTTTTTAGTACGAGTCGTGCAACAATCAAACTTCGGACGCCCTTGATGCCTATGCCCGCGCTGCAGAGCTTGACCCTACCAACACTCACATCAAGGCCCGTCTCGCCCTGCTGAGGAGCGGCCAACCCACCGGACCTAACCAGCAAAATGCTCCTGTCCCTCAAGATGTCCATCCACAAGCATACCAGAATGGCGTCGGTGTCCCACCGGGCCCTCAATGGGGTGGCCCTGCGGCTTCTAATCAGCAGTCGCAACCGCCGCCGGTTGATCCTGCCAGAGTCCACGACTGGACCAGGGGCATCGCAGGGATCCAGCAACCTCCACAGCCCAATGGCTTTGAAGGTCGTGACAGCATGAGGGCTCCTCCTCCACGTGCTCAGAGTCCACGCATTGAACCCCTGCGCCCCTACGACTCTTCGCGCCAAACCCCATCCCGGAAGATCCAGTCACCATCACCTAAAATGCAACCTGGAATGTATCCTCCAGGTCCTCAAACATTACCACAAATTTCCATGCAAGATCGTGGTCCTTCATTCGGTGGTGTGCGCCCATCACCTACCATGAACGGAGCTCCTTTGCCGCCTGCCAATGCCCCACCATCAAACAATACTCTGCCTCCATACGGACGACCGTTCAGTCCACCAAGCGAGCTGCGACCACTTCGAGATGAGCGTCCGTCATCTCCGGGAGGTGCTTTCCGGCCCCCACCATTCCAGTCTGGACCTTTCCCAAGCATTGCTAATGGCGTTTCCTCTGCTGCTCCACCTTTACCCCCCGTAGAAGGACCAGCAAGAGAGGATCGACCGCCCTCTGCAATGAAGCGTACCCGCGAATGGGAGGCTGATCAAGGACCATCAAAGAAGATCGCCAATGATGAGACTCGTGCTCGCTTGGACGATCCAGGCCGGCGACACAGCCCTCCTGGACGTCTTCCTACACCGAACGACCATTTCCGACGTAGCTCCTCAGAGGTACGTCGCGAGAATGAGCGACGAGCTAATGAGAACTATCATCCGTCCGAGGCGGCTCATCATCCTTACAGTCTAGCACCTCAGCAGATACCCTCCATGCAATCGATCTTGGACGGCCCAAAAGATGAACGTCCGGAGCATGTTGAACAAGCTGCTCGCAAAGTAGAGGTTGATGAGGACTATGATAACAACAGCGAAGATGATAGGCGAGCTGGTACAGGGCCTACGAGTAGCCCTCAAGTTGCTCCTCCTCCGTCAGCCACCTCTAAGCAGGAAGCCACTGCATGATTTGAACGTTCGTTATTCTCTTTCATTGGGCGGATTTGTCTTGAAGGTGTTGAGGCACATTGTACAGCATGTCGGGTTTACGGTGGTCACTCTGGAAAAAGCCCATTACTGCTTCACAGCTTGACTCTATACCAGAGTTTACTACATTCTCGGCAGAAACGAAATGACGATTGCATTGTTAGCATGTGTGCTATGGTTCCACTCGTATCTCTACAAGAGCGCTCACGTGAACCAAAGAGGAGTGTGGGATTTATAGCTATTCGAGCCCACCCATGGAGGAAGATGTGCCTGGCTTTTGTCCTTCCAATCCTCCCAAAATATTGGCCGTGGCAGCATACTATGGTCTCATGGGATAAACGGTGCAACGCAACTCGCATAACCGGGGTGCAACATATCTGCCGCTTGCATGCTCGGGCAGCAGTTGGCCATCACATTGAACAGGAGGCCGTCCTGCCACGTAAATTGTGATTGCTGCTGTTTGTGGTCGAATGGTACCCTAGCACCAAAGACTGTACCAATATTGTGTGTAACAGCTCGCTGAGCATCACATATGGCTTCGGAATGGTTGAATCAGAGACTGCTAATACTCGAAGGTTCGCTTTAGCGTCGTCTTCGCAGATTAGGTTCTCATGCGTGTTACCGTCAGACTTTCGGTCGCCGTTATTGACAGACCAATAGCAGGAGAACCGACCGTCAAGACCTTTCTGACCTGTCGCTGAACCGATATAGGCTTCCATAAGGTCGCCATTCTGAACCGCTTTTCCGGTGACCATATCAAGGCAGATAGTACACAGGAAAACTCCTTTCCATTTTGCAGGTAATAGGAGAAGCTCCTTTCGGGTTAAGGGCCCCCCCCCGAGGACGAGACTGACTGTCTCTGGTGCGGCTTGTAGGATGATTGGCAGGACATGCTGCACCGAGATATACATGAGAAAGTTCCACCATGCAACATTCATCGCTCTCTCGGTTCCTGCAGACGAGATCTCTTCCAAGAGAACGCCTTAGCTGATTGCTGAAGGCTCTCGAGAATGAACTTGAACCGGAGCTCATACCGCATGAGTCGTTGCTGTTTCTCTGTCCACGACAGATCTGACAGTGCCTTTGGCAAGCGGCAGCCGTCGAAGAATCGCCGTCGGTCCTCCGGCGTGGATGTGTTGGGAGTAGGTGCCTGTTTCTTCCCCTTTCCCTTTTTTCCAGCCACGTACTCGTCCTCCTCAGCACCATCGATGACGATACCTCCGGGTTTCGGAGCAGCAGTGAGGTTTTCTGAGAGGATTATACCTCTAACATCATCATCATCGTCCTCCTCATCATCGTCCTCATCATCATCGTCCTCCTCATCATCGTCCTCCTCATCATCGTCCTCATCATCGTCCTCCTCATCATCGTCCTCCTCATCATCCTCCTCATCATCCTCCTCATCTCCATCCTCGGCCTGATCCTCATGTTCGGATTCGTCCACCTAGGACTCATCTTCATCAGAGGACGTGTACACGACTCTAGCAGCTCTTGCTCGCTTGCTGGGTCGGAGTACGGGGTCGTCACTGGGACATGGCGACACGGGGCGTTTAGACTTGGCCTTGCCCTTCGGCGGCTCAGACCTAGAGGTCGGAAGCTGGCTGGCTTGAGGCTTGCTGGCTGCACGCTGGGAGAGAGGGGTTCCGTGGCATGGTGAGCTATTGGCAGAAGAGGGTTTGATGGTATGTACAATTTCGAATTCTTTCTAGCGATTGAGCTAACTGTGTCGACAAAATCTAGCAAATAGCTTTCGTTTTTGCACTGTACGATGGAGATCGAAAAGGAGAAGGATTCATGATCCATCGAGCAGAAGTCCCAACATGCAGCATGCTCGCTCTTTCCTCCATCACAACGCCGTATTTGGGTCTGCCCCCCTCGGGTGACGTTGCAACATTATTCGAGGAAGTCTCAACTGCACAAAACCTACCGTCTTGTCTCAATGCTAATTTCCCCAGCGATATCTCGCCGAGAAGACGGATATAAGACCTGCATCGAGTCGCTGGCATTCCACCATAGCTAGTTTTTAGCAGCTCACGATGCGGCTTCCTGACAAATCATCCTGGTCAGGAAGAAACCACACATTGGCTCATGGATTCTGCGAGGCGGAGCATTACCATGTGTGTGTATATATACATGTGTGGGCGCGTGTGTGGGCGCACCTACATGGTTGCTGGAAGCCATGACAATAATGTATCTTGTGTCGCTGGCGGGCGGACGAGCGACGAGCTTTATGTGAGCACAACCACATCGAAAGCATTGCCCCCCATTCGCCATTGTCAAGTGTGCAGGTATGCTACTATCATTGATTGAGAGACCAGGCTGAAACATTGTGGGTCCTTTGAAAACACTGCTCCGTCCCAGTCCAAGTATAGAGCAGGCAACAATCCGTGGGGAGACGTACTATGTACATAATGGGTACTTGAGGAGAGAGAGGAAGGCTGAAGAAAGCACGAGCATCGGAGCGTCCGTACTACGGTCTCATGGGTAAATCGTGTAATGAAACTCGCTTAACCAGGGTGCAAAACAGCTGTCGCTTGGATCGGCGAAGCAGCAGTTGGCATCGCATTGAGCAGCAGGTCCTCCTGCCACACATTTTGTCCTCGCTGCTGTTTGTCGTCGAATGGCACCCTAGCGCTAAATTACACGATCACCCATGAGACAATGGTTAAGGTAGTAAATCCCTCGATCCCGCGGCTGCACGTGACTAAACTGATATGGCAACCTTACCGAAGACACCATTCCCGTTGAGGAAAAGCGATTAAAGTGCCAAGCTCCCACAAGCCGTAACTTTTAGCACTTGCCGACTTGAATTTCAACACCGACCAGTTCTCACCATCAAAGATTCAAGATGTCGCACCGCAAGTTTGAGGCGCCACGACATGGCTCGCTGGCTTTCTTGCCACGAAAGAGAGCTGCCAGACACCGAGGAAAGGTCAAGAGGTTCGTTCCCCAGAAGTCATGACTCGGTTTCAGAGTCGAAGCTAATACCGCTCACAGCTTTCCAAAAGATGACCCCAAAAAGCCTGTTCACCTTACAGCTTCCATGGGGTACAAATGTGGAATGACTACCATTGTCCGGGATCTGGAACGACCAGGAGCCAAGATGCACCGCAAAGAAATCGTCGAGGCTGTCACTGTCATCGAGACTCCTCCAGTAAGTGAAATGCGCTGTCAGAGATGGTGCAGGCTAACCTTGACTAGATGATCGTTGTCGGTCTTGTCGGTTACATCGAAACTCCTCGCGGCCTCCGATCCCTCACGACGGTCTGGGCAGAACATCTTAGCGACGAGCTGCGACGAAGATTCTACAAGAACTGGTACCGATCGAAGAAGAAGGCTTTCACCAAGTACGCCAAGAAGCACTCCGACAACAAGGGTACTTCGGTTACTCGCGAACTCGAGCGCATCAAGAAATACTGCACTGTCGTCCGTGTCCTTGCTCACACCCAAATCCGCTCAACACCTCTCAAGCAAAAGAAGGCGCACTTGATGGAGATCCAGATCAACGGTGGAAGCGTTGCGGACAAGGTCGACTTCGGCCATGGTCTGTTTGAGAAGCCAGTTGAGATCGATACCGTCTTCGAGCAAGATGAGATGATTGATGCCATTGCCGTCACCAAGGGTCACGGTTTCCAGGGTGTCACCAGCAGATGGGGAACCAAGAAGCTGCCCAGAAAGACACACAAGGGTCTGAGAAAGGTCGCTTGTATTGGTGCATGGCATCCTTCCCACGTCCAATGGACTGTTGCCCGTGCTGGTCAGATGGGTTACCACCACCGTACTTCCGTCAACCACAAGATCTACCGTATTGGCAAGGGCAAGGACGAGAAGAACGCCGCCACCGACTTCGATGTTGTCAACAAGCAGATCACACCGTATGTTCTGCACTTCTGCCACACTAGTCTCATTGCTAACCTCTTGCTAGAATGGGTGGCTTTGTCCGCTACGGTGAGGTCAAGAACGACTTCGTTCTCCTCAAGGGCTCCGTTCCAGGTGTCAAGAAGCGAGTCATCACTCTCCGAAAATCCATGTTCCCTCACACATCCCGCAAGGCACTTGAGAAGGTCGAGCTCAAATGGATCGACACTTCTTCCAAGTTCGGTCACGGTGCATACCAGACTCCTCAGGAGAAGAGACAGTTCTTGGGTACGCTCAAGAAGGATCTTGTTGCTGCTTCGTAAGGATTTGGGTTTGGTGAAGGACAATGGAAGCTGAAGAGATGATGTATTTGTGCCTGAACACAGGTGGGATGCTCCAAAATGATACCACGTGCCTTCCTGTTTGAGCGGAAGGTAACGGAGCAAGGGCAAAATAGGAACGGTATCATCCTCGAATGAAAACTAACTGCAATGACTCAACATACATATTCCTTTCGTTGTGCTTTTCGTCTTGAATCTACTGACCTGTCCGTTCGCCCTATCCTATCGGCCACCTCTAGGTTTTCTCCCCGGCTTTTTACGCCAAGTCTTCACCGACGGCGAACTGCTTTCCTCAGACCAATCGCATCTCACATCACATATGCAATATGCAGTGTGACTGCAACTGTGCTCTGGCGCCCGCTAGATGCTCAAGCGTGTCCGGCTGAAAATGAGAGCACGACGTAGATTCAGACTCCATCGAGGTCTTTCGGTGCCTACTGATACGTGGTGCACTTCCCTTTGAACTGCTCCTGAAGAAATATTTCGACCTCCAGGGAATTTTGCCTCTCGGAATGTCGTCGACAAAGTCGGCGATAACTACCTTGGCGATTCGATTACAAAGATCATTCTCGTTATCCGAGCAATCGAGTCTGAGGCCACCTCAAAAGACCTTCTCATGGCCACTCGATGCATCCGCTGCCCAAATCAAATCCTTGCCGGTCATCAAGCTCGCATCCTTCGAGCGATGTTCTTGCGACGGATTCGACGCAGAGCAAGCCCACTTGAGCGTTCATACGCACAAGACCGAGCTACGCGAAGCGAAGGGCGTGGCCATTTCTTACACTTGGGGCGAGTTCGATCGACAGAAACGGTGTATTGGTCGTAAGTGCGGCAGCCCTGCCAATGCTGTCTTTATGGAGCTTGGAGCGGAATGGAGAGTTTCTAGCGTCCAAGAACGCCTGGCGCAGTTGACGAAACAATATGGCGGTTGTTGGGTCGATCAGTTCTGCATGCCGCAGAGCGAGGAGAAGATAAGGCAGACTTTAGCCTCGATTCCGTCGATTTTCCGCACCTTGCATGTCACTGTCCTCCTCCCTGGTTCGCTATGTGGCTGTCTGCGAAAGCGTTCGATGAATATCAGGCCGCCAAACACGAAGCAGATGCACAGGAAGCCTCTGCAGAACAGCCTCCCGAAGCCAGTGCGCAACTTGACAGACGCATGGAACGTTTAAATGAGTGTCTGGCAGGGAGTGACTGTCTGAACTCAAGTGGTGCTTGTTCATGGACAAAACGCTTGTGGACGTTACAAGAGTTCGTCTACTCTACATCCTGCTCCTTCCTGTTTGCCAATCAAGAAGTCGTGGAATGCTGCAAACTGGAAGACATCAACAACTCTCCATCAGGGAAGCTTCGGCAACTGAATGATTACTCTTGTCGGTTGTATGAAGACTGTGTCGAATATCCTAGGCTCTCGACAGAAGAAGTCCAGCTTTTCTTGGCCAGGGAAAACCTTTCAACTTATACAAGGCTGCGCTTCAATGTAATGTGTGTGCAGACCACTACCGTGCAGGATTTGCAGGATAACTCCGATAGACTGGCATCCCTGCTCCTGGGTGACGTCCAGGTTTGGGACGTCGCGAGCTACGCACCAGACTCCGCAGTGCCCTTACTCAAAACACTGTTGACGATCCGTGAAGAGTCGCGAACAGCTACACAAGCAGCAGATTACATTTTGTCCGTTTTTTCCAGCCCTGGAGGGATACACAGTACCCAAAACTCCAACCACCTCACCCCCACAGAATTGCTGGAGGATGCCTTAGCACAACTACACAATCTTTCGGACTTTTTCGTACCTAGTTATTCTCCTGCGGGGCTTAGTGGCAGTATCTTCTGTTCTGCGCAATGGTCTCCTGGCATATCTCGAGCAGCTACCGAAGTCAAGGATAGCACGGACATATTCAGTTCGTTCCGGCGGGGGGAATGCGTGATAGTACGTTCGCCAGCACGTCTACCCCTAAGGCTTCAGAGCACACATAATACCACGTCGCTCGGACGGAATGCGCAGAATTTCGGTTCCTGGATTAGGGAAATGAACGTGAACAAAACCATTACCTACTTTACAGTAATGGTAGTCCGACAATTGGAACCTTACCTTCGCCGCGGAATACGTCTTGAATGGCGCTTCGAGATGTCAGTCGATGATGGTATCGCGAAGCTAAACTCCTCATCCGAGTCCGACCGAGTGGCTGCCTTGCTACGGCTGATGAGCTGGGTTTCGTCCGACCCGGTTCAACATAATACCTAGAAGATATATCAAGTACAATTCGGAAGTACTACCCTTCCGATAGTCCTATCTCGAAGGGAGTCCTTCAGAAGGCAATATACCAGATGACCTGCGAAGTTCCGTGTCTGGACGTCACGAGATGTCGTCAGAATGGAATACGGGCAATATTCGGTCAGTACACTCGAGCAGAGAAAGCAGGCACCCAGGAGGAAGAAATGTCGTCTCAAACATGTGTGGGTCTTATCAATGCAGAATCATTTGACCAAGCTCGCTCGTCTGGCGCAGAGTTGTTGACTATCGGACTACAGTCCCAGCCCGGAACGCCAGTCTACGAGGCAATCCGGGTTCCTGGAACATCTCCACCAGAATACCGGATCATAGGCGATTGGGTCCCTCTCCGTGACGACCTCAGAGTCACCGAGTAGGAGCCATCATGGTTCATGACAAGGACGAGCATGATGCTTACATAGTGTGAGGGAGAGCGTCCCGTGGCGATGGAGGACAGGATCACAATCGGACTGTGCAGAGGGGGTCTTCTTGAGTAAGCCTGGAGTCTGGATGGATCATACTGATAGATTTGACAAATGTTCCTACAGTAAAAACAGAAATGACATTTTCTCATAATCGTTTACCTAGGAAGCCATTGACGCAGAGGATAGAAACCCGGACGTGTGAAGCCCTTGATAGTAGTCAACGCCAGATGGTCGTGGTCAGGCGGATCGTGACAGCCTGAATGCCTCCCAGACACACAACGTAAATCATCTCAAAGTCCTCAAAGATCGCCAGGACGAATAGACTCTCAATGCTCTCCCGAGGTTGCTACCGGTAGCTATCCTAGGTTTCCATAATACCAAAACCTGTGCATGGAGGTTGGAGAATGACTCGATCACCAGTGGCATGGTCCAAGAGAGATCATTGGCGCCTCGTCTTTGATGACTTTTATTATAACACCAGGGCCTGCGGATCTAGGCTGGCGAACATATCAAACCATGATCCGCACTGCTGGGGTGACTTCCAGAGATCCTCAAGTGCCGAACGTATCGACTTGACGGCGTTGAACTTGAGATTGCCGTACACAAGGTCCAGTTTCCGCAAGATCGCCTGCTGAGAGGATTCGATGACAGCGTGAGCGCCCGCCACCAGCAGTGGGAAGAGAGAACAGTTGAGAGCCTTTGACTGTGGAGGCATGCCCATGATACAATCGAGGCAAGCCTGTGCATGTTGTTGGACCACGTAGTGGTTGGCTGGCAGTCCGCATACGGCGCGGTAGAGGTAGAGATTGGCTGAATGTTGGAAGGCGCGTAGTAGTGCTGAGGATGGGACCATGTCTGGGTCCAAGGGTTTGGAGTCCTCTAGATCTTCGCGGTCGGTGAGCTCAATGGGGCTGATTGAAGCGTAACCGGGCCGGAGGTCGGCTTCGAATTCTTTGATTCTTTCGATGGAGAATTCCTGCTGGCCACTGGAGACGAGATCCTGATACAAGGCGAGCTCGGACATTTTGCGGAAAATGGATGAGAAGGTCTCCATTCCCGAAGGTGTGTTTTCCCACCACACGGCGTTCGTGTCCATCATATCCCAGACATGCGACGGGAATGAAGGAGCTGTGCCGTGAAGGAGGGTGTTTGTTAATGATGTTGTGGCGAATTCGGATAGGAGCATCTTCATTGACATTTCGCCGTCGGACATGATCGTGGGTAACCCGCCGAGAGAGTCGATGATTGCTCTTGCGCCGGCATGATGGCTCAGCGTCGAAGAAGAGGGTTGATTGCATTCGACGAAACCGTCGGAAAAATACATGAGAAGTACCGCGACAAGCACGGTAGAAAGCGGCATGCCTTTACTGCCAGCCGCGTCGGCGAGCTGCTTTCGCACCGTGGTCAGGCAATGGAGGCGCTTGTTGTGCACGTTTTCTTTGCTGTTTCGCCCGTCAAACAGGACACGATGCGAGTCCGCCATGACACATGTTGCGAGAAGGACTGATCGATCGGCCATGGCCATGGCGATGGGGGCGGGACATGGCTGTGCCGAGGTCGAGAACAGCGGCCATACTCGCGAGCGGAAATAGTCGATGGCGCGCCGTTCATTGATGGCTAGGTTATACCCTCCTGAACCGGGCAGTGAGTTGTGATATAAGCACAGTTGATTGCCGACGGGTGAGCCTTTGCTGGGCCGGGCGTCCCATTTGATCAGGATCCTGTCGTAGTTGCATTTCGTGCCTGCGACGACGCATTTGCCGCAGGATGGCTTTTGGAGGTCGCATTTGACGCGGCGTTGTTTGCAAGACCAGCATGACCCCTCGACGGTACGGACTCTCTTGGGTGGCATAGGTGTGTCGCGTAATGGAGTTTTCTTTTGGCTACATCAAGACGGGAATTGAAAGAGAAGCGTTTGCATTGGTTGCGCAGTCCGCTCGTCATGGAGGGATACTGGCATCAAGATACAACTACCATACGCGTGGGTATTGCATGCGCGTCAATGTTGACTGGTTGATCGCTGAGACGAGATGAAGAGGATTAAAGGATGCCCTGATGTTCTCGTCGTTGGAATGAGAAGCCATGCCAAGCTTGAGAAGCGGGGATGGATGCTGACTGAAGAAGGTCATCATAGGTGGTGATGGTGGCACCCAGGTGGGAGGATGAAAGAATCGTCAGGGGCGTCATAGGCGGCAGTCAAGCGGCCGATCTAGGCACTTTTCTTGCCACTAAGCGTCGTTCCAGGCTAGATCTGATAACAGTTTAGGGAGCATGATGGAGCCTTGAAAGGCGGGGAATGAGCAACGCATCCAGGCCCGGAATAGAGGATGAATAGACGCGACTTCATCACTACGCTGGACTTCCACAACATGCTTTTACAGTGTATCAAATTTACATTGACGTCTACAATATACAAAGTCTGATAGATTCGACACGAAATTCGCAGTCCGCAGGCAGACACCTACGACGTTCCAAAATTGGCGAGACTCGGCCAGTCTGAAGAAGCATTAACAAGTTAGCCAGCAAATAATGCATATTTGTGGAAGAAGAAAGACATACCAAAGATTGTCCGACTCGCATTTTTCTTCGTCACCAGCAGCTCTGTGCCGACATTGATCTCGCGTCCTCGATCAGCATCCCTGCAGAAGCCATATCTCCCGAACACAGGGCTGTACTTGGCTCCCGTGTCGACTCTGCGATCTTTGTTGAGTTTCTTCCAGACCTGACCTCGATCATCCTCGCAGGCTTTGCCGGTGGTATAGTCGACTGTGATGCTCTGACAGCGGTAGCAATTCGCGGTCAAAGCCATCTTGATGTCTCCGCTAAAGGTGAGTTCAGCCCAGAAGTCTTCGGCAAATGGTTCAGAACTGCCAGAGACAACTAGATTGGGTCGAAACTTGGTCACATCCATTTCTTGTCCTTCGGCTAGGCGGGATGAAACCTGGTCATTCGACTCTTTTGTTACCACAAGGTACTGCGCAATGTCATTGAAGACAATTCTCTCAACTGGCCGCCCGATGAGCGGTACTTGTGCAAGTATCCGTGTGGGCAGTGAGGCTCTCGATAGGGCAGCTTTGCTGTTTGGCGCAATGGAGCCGAGAACAGCTCTTGAATACTGGCCAATGTAGGCCAGGCGGACCTCGAATCCAAGGTAACGAGAGAAAAACTTGGTAAACTCTTCGCCCATGTCGAGAGCCAGGGTCGGACTTCCGTGAAGATTGACCTCGATAGGCTCAAGTGCTTTCGGGTCTGGTCGTAGTGGAAAGCGGATTTGATTCTTTGTGCCTGTCCATGACAACTTGGCTGAGGTGTTGCCATCACCGGTCCAGATCACTACGACGTTTCTCTCTTTGCCAACATCTTCAAGAGCAGTCCGAAACAAAGCAAGTCGAAGGTCGTATCCTATGAACATGGTCTCGAATTTGACCTTCTTGGTGTCGGCATCTCGATGTACTTTCTGCAGGCAAAACGTTCGATCACCCTCGAAGCCGAATTGGCCAATGTTCGCCTTGTCCAGAGAACATCCTCGGATGCCTTTGACAGGGTAGACATAGAGCTAGATGAGGACTCTTCAGCGTCGAGTCCTGAAGTACTGAGTTGCGTACTTACAGCTTCCACCTTCAATCTGTCCGAGGACTGTGCTGGCCTTGCCAAAAAGCGCCCAAGCAGCACCAGCAGGACACTCAAGCCAGCCGCACACACTGCATACTGGTTCATTGAGGTGAAATGTTTCCCGGACAACTGCTCCATTTCTGACCAGATTTCCAATCTTCGAATCTGCTGTGTTCAAGAGGAGACCCGTGATGTCAGAACAGTACTTGACGCCCGAATACCCGACGCTGTGCAGTGGCTGTGATTGTTGGTTTCATGGGCATATTCAGAGACATCTTTTTGTGGCGATCCAAACGCTTTGAAGTCTACAATGGGCCTACAGCGGGCAAGACTTATCTGTGCGGACTGGTTCTCACCAATAACAGCGATCCAAGCTTCGGAAAGGAGCTTTGGACTATCTGATTGCTTATCTGGGCTTAGTTCCATGGCTCTGAAGCCGAATTGCGCTCAAGGCCACTGTCACGGACCTCATCGCCGGGCTGGACGAGGACCCAAGACACGGCCTCAACGGCTACGTTCTTCAGCGGTTTCCAGTACGTCGACCGTGGCTCTGATCTGGATTCATGCCACTCTAGCGTTCTCTCCTGAAGGATGGTTCTTGGCTTTCTCCTTGGCTTTTTAGCCAGCTATCGAGCGGAAGTGAAAGATCGAAGAAACCGAAACCGTATCTTACTCCGATGTAAAAGAGTCTTGTCCTTTGCCGTCGACTGATGAATCGACCTGATGCTCCTGCTTGTCCTGTCCAGAGCAACATGCTCAATGTTCACTGTTAGAGTGAAAATGAGTTGAGAAAAGCTAAGACCCCTAATGATTGGTCCTCGGCGGACCAAGAATCGTACTCGATATGAGACCGAGTCACCAGGGAACTTTGAAGGTTGTTGCTGCATGGTCCTGGCAGAACCAACTGTCTGAAGATATCGAAGTTGACAGACGGTACTAAACAGTTGGGGAATTTTCTCATTCGGTAAGGCTAGTGAGACTCATCATGGCCGAACCAGGAAGAAGACCGGGGGTCATAATGGGGGATGATGGGGCTCACCAGGCTCTGGTGATGGTGTTAAGCATCCCCACCACCAGCCTAACATCGCTGATCGAACCCGAGACCCCCCATGCACCCCCATGATGCCGACATCAGCCTTCACTTCTCACTGGATCTGTTGGATGCCTCTATTCTATCATCACACTACCTCCAGTATCAACAGGACCTTCCCCTTCCCACCGCCGTCTTACTGCTACGCCAGTACTTTCCCATGGCTTGAAATGCAGATTTACCTTGACTATGAACAGCATTGGCAATGTTTGCCATCTTCGATACTGCCAACTTCACACCAACATCGGCCACTTCTCCGGCGGACTTGAAACGTGCCTGCGATACCTGTAGGAGGTTGAAGATCAAGGTCTTTGCAACTCAAGGAGCTATTCTATCTTTTCTGACGAAGTCTTTAGTGCAGGACTTCGCGTTCCAGAGCAAATCAGTCGTCGAAAGCAGGGACCACTTGCAATGAATGCTGGCGAACTGGGACGAGGTGCACATACAATGATCAGCCTGTCAAACGGGGTCGTCCACGAAAACAGTAAGACTGACGATTCCGGGGAGGCTATATGGCCCTCTCCGCTAATATCGCTTTTCAGGAGTCGGCATACAGCACGAGCTGAAAGACTTGTGGAACTGGATGTTGCCTTGTGGCCCAATCAACAGTCCGAAATATATAGGTCCCACGCAATTTCTCAACATGTGCAAGATCCTGTTCCAGAAGCAGCTATAGTAGACGTCGATGTTCCGGACACAGCTTCGCCGCATCCATCCCCAGCATCTCCGTCGGAAGCAGGTCTTGAAAGAGATCTTACAGAAGGCGAGATATTTCTGCCAGTTGATCTGCCACCCACAAGCCATGATCTCGTCGAGAACGCAGCCAATCACTCCCTGACGGATGAACTACTATGTACAATGGAGATGCAGTCAGGTGTGGACATTTGGAGCAGTGTCCATGAGTTCTTCAACACGATGTACATCATTTTTCCTATTTTGTCCTACGCTGATGTCGCTTCGCGTCTCATCGAAACGCCGGATTGGTTTGCTGTCCCCGATTTTCGCACCTTGCTACTATCTCTACGGCTGCTGAATGCTTGTGGGCAATTTCGAATGGACTCAAAGAACGAAACGTTCTTCCGCCATCTCATCAACCAAGTGGAAGTATCACGACAAGACCATGATTTTGCAGACCCGGCCACTCTCGATGCAGTGGTTTGTTCTTTGTTTCTTTTCACCGCATATAATGTTCTTGAGAAACACGGCCGTGCTTTCCTCTATTTAGATGAAGCAGCTTCCCTCTTGGAGGCAGTGATGCCTTGCGATGAAAGAGGCAAGCAGCGAAAGCTTCGCCTCCAGCAAGTTCTGTTCAACACCGAGGCTGCCACACTCAAGATATATGGGAGCGCAAGCAGCCGACGCAGAGTATGCCGACCACCTCTCAACGTCGGCATCGCTTCAGCAACAGAAGACGGAGTCGGGATCGGCTTGGACTCCGTCAAAGTCGCAGCGCATCTGCTCAGGCGACTCACGGAAATCAATCTTGCCGAAGACGCGGATGCACTTCAAAGAATCGACGTCGAATCCGAAGCAGATGTCGAAATTTTATGCGGCAACGTTCTCCGACAACACCGTTACTCTCGAATCCAAGCAGCTGATGTCGTCCTTACTCGGCAATGGCAACTGTCGTCAAAATTCCTCGCCACTCGTAGCTGCGGACTCTCCCTGGAACACCCAACATGGTCGGCAATTGAGCATCTCGGACACGTTGCGATGGCATGGGTTTGTGTACTTCGAGAGGGTGAGCTGCGGATAGTAGGTTTGGGAAAGCTGGCTGGACTAGCCCATAATCTCTACAACTTGGCTGGACCCATGAGATGTCGGTTCGTCCTGGGTGGCCTCGCTGGAGCTGTCAGCAAGGAAGATCACGACAGACGGTATGCACCTGCACTCGCTAAGATACTCGTCCCCATCATGTCGGCAATTCCAGCAGTGATCAGTCCCCCGAATGACTGCGAATCCCTGCAAAGCATGCCAAGTGCACAATTTGCGACTCATACAGTTCAGGAAATGCTTGAGCCTAGCTGGAACCCTCGGTCACAGGGCGAGAAGAATCCAGATGCGGGTCTCTCGGTTGGCAGTGTCGCAAATGACCGAGAAGAAGCAGAATTTGAGCGTTTTATTGATCTATCCGGAGTCACGTACAACATCACCAATGATACTTGAAACAGTCCATTTATGGGGCGTCACCAACATCAAATACTGATGCGAATGCGTCGATCTGCCTTTCAAACCAGCTCTTGACCAGGGCTGCGTTCAATGCAAAGGTGAAGCCATGGGGCACTCCTCGGAGAACGTCTTCGTCAACCTGCACACCAGATGAACGTAGAAGTTGTGCGTACTTCAGCCCCTGCGGTCTCAAGAAATCACAGGCCGCAATGGTGACTAGGGTTGGGGGATGCTCTGGCGTTGGATTTGACGCTAATGGAGATGCAAATGGATTGCATGGATCAGTTTTGTCGCCAAGGTACAGCTCTGGAAAAACAAGCGTCAGTAATCATGCACCCAATCGAGACGGCCTTGGACATACCGTATAAGGTTGCGATTTCCCTTGACACGCTCTCTGGAAACGGAGGCACATTTGCGAAGAGTTCCTCGTTGCAACTCTTTTTGCTCACTCGCTGTTGGTCGAACAAGGCTTCTGCTTTCGGGTGAGCAGTCGCAGGAACCACTAGGCTGACAAGCCGTATAGTGCATTGTTCTGTCGGAGGTGTAGCCGCAACGTACTTGAGAGCACAAGCCGCTGCAAGATTTCCTCCTGCGGAAGCACCCCAAAGACCGACGCGGGTGATGTCAACTTTGTATTCCTCTGCGTTCTTGGAAAGCTTGGAAGCACAAAGTTAGCATATCCCACGGCCATGCTCACGAAAGTCGGCTTCATACCCATTCCAAAGCACGGACACAATCTTCCAAGGGTGCTGGAAATGGGTGTTCTGGAGCAAGTCTGTAGTCGACACCAATGACTACCGCACCGAGTTCAGACGCGAATATTTCCGCAAAGACTACCATCAGGTGAGCTGGTTCGTCTGCTTGCTCGAGTTCACCACTTACGCTCATCACCTATTGGAGTACCATGTATCCATCCTCCGCCATGAAGCATCAATATTTCTGGCCTGCTCTTGGCCTCGGGATCGGCCTCTTTGTTCTGAGGCTCGTAGATCCACAAATCGAAACTCTCGTTGCTGCCGTCAAAGCGTGGAACGGAGACAATGCTTCTGCTGATCTCAGTCACCGAACGTCGCCTTCGAACGTGGAATCTAGCCTTTTCCTTGGCATAAGCTTCGCTTAGAAACAATTCTTGGACCCAGCGGCGCATGCCATGTACATCTGTACCGGCTGGCGTTTCTGCAAGGTCGATCGGCAGCTGTGCCATGTCCTTGGAGAGGCCGGAACGTTAGCGTCTTCGTGCCTTTCCCACAACCGTAGACGTACTTGTAAGTACCCAATGTCCGGTTTCTGCAGGTCGTTGATCGGATCAGGATCCAGGCCCAGTTTCATAGCAAGCTCCCGCAGGCCTGGCATGTTGACGTCGAGAGGAACTGGAGGTCCCGCAACAGGCGGTTCCGGCCCAGACAGATTCTCTTCAGCGCAGACAGCAGCCATGCCGGTTCAAAGTCCACTGTCCGGTACCATGATACTGAGGTCGAATTTCTCAAGACTTGCTCCCACTATAAGTTTCAACCGGTGCTGACACCCACGCAGCTTGCCTGAAACCGCCGAATTTCAGCGTCTTGGGATATCCCCAATGGGAAAATTCTCCATAGAGTTTAGCGTAAGCAAATCTGTGGAGAAGGACGCCTGTTTCCGTATGGGGAGAGAGCAACTGCTCGAACTATATGAACCTGTGCTAGTCTCCAGAACATGGAACCCATTCGAATGCAAGGTCCTTCTCTGAGATCGTGCCGTATGGTTTGTTCCACGCAATGACTTCGATCGAGCTCAAACGCGACAATGCTGCTCACGCGGAAGCCCTCCCAGACAGCGCGCAAGACTCAAATGACTTGGACTCTACCATTCATCATCCCAAAGGGTGGTGGAGCTGGCGACTCATCGCATCCAGTGAGTTCGAGTGTCCTTGAACTATCTTGAAACGCGAGCTAATATTGGTCTTCACTCGACAGTGGTGATCGTCGGACTGTCAATGGGTCTTCTTGGCTACGACAACAGTTTTGCGGCGCCCTTGGTGGCGCTGCCTCTGTTCATCGCAAAGTACCAAGGCCCAGGAGTATCATTCACGGTATGGATGCAACAATGGCCTGACTGTCTGCCACAGGACTCTAACACGGCATGCTCTAGGCTCGCAACCTTGACTTGATAGTGCCAGTACCTCTCGTCGGCGCTGCGATGGGCGCCTTTCTAGCGGCGCCTTTGATGGAAAGGTCCGGTCGCAAGAAGACCTTTCTGCTAGCATACTTTTTGCTCTGTGCACCTGGCTCTTTTCTCCAGCTCTTTGCCCCCAACTTGGGTGCGTTGGTCGCCGGAAGATTTTGGAATTGCAAGTACCAATTTCTTGTTGTGATGACCACCCAGGCTAACGGTAGGCAGATCTTGGTGTCAGTGTGCTTACCACCACGGCACCATTATATCTGTCAGAACTTGTCCCGGCACATTTCCGTGGCAGAGCGATTGGCTTCTGCATCGCAGGCGTCTCAGCTGTCGGAATTATCGCCACCACAATTGTCTGGGCTACAGCAAAGCTCACGGATGACCGATCGTACCAGATTCCACTTGGCGTTCAAGCAGCATGTCCAGTGTTGTTCGGCATCCTCACACTATTCTGCCCAGAGTCTCCGTTCTGGGAACTTCAGCATGATAAGCACGAGTCGGCCAGGCGCACATTGATGGTGCTTCGCAATGGTAAGACGGACATTGTTGAGGCAGAGCTCTCAATGCTGCAGAGATCCATCGCAATGGATGTAGAACGTCGAGCACAAGGTCACTTCTGGGACATTTTCAAGCCCGCTAATCTCGGGCGTACGCTGACAGCTGGGGCTTTGCTGTGTCTCAACCAAGTCAGTGGTCTCATTCTTGTTTCCACCTACTCTACTGTCATCCTGGTTCAAAGTGGCGTTGGAAATCCGTTCCAGATCACCGTCATCATCACCTGCCTACAGTTTCTCGGCACTGTTATTGGGCCTGTCCTGGTGGACAAGGTTGGTCGCCGGCCAGTAGCACTGGTTGGATTCTCGGTTTTGTGCATGCTCGATATTGTAGCGGGGAGTTTGGCTGCGGCCGGATTGACGACCGACGGTCAGAGGCTTGGTCTTGCGGCGATGTTTATTCTTTTTGGTTTCTTCAATTCTGCTTCATTCCAGTCGTTGTAAGTCAACTCTGCTCATGTCGAAGCAAAAGCAAGCTGTATGCTGACTTTAAGCAGGGCATTCGTCCTTCCCACGGAGATTCCCACGACGGCTCTACGCGAGCCCACGGTGGCATGGTCGGTGTTCTGGTCCTATGTCACAGCCATCATCACGACGTTCGCGGTGCCTCAACTCACAGCTGCCGATGCAGCGAATCTGGGAGCCAAAACTGCATTCATTTTTGCGGGATGCGTCTTCATCACCGTTCTCTGGACATATTTCTACATTCCTGAGACCAAGGCTCGCACCATGGCCGAGATTGACGAGATATATTCACTCAAACTGCCGATGAGACGGTGGAGGGACTACAAATGCGAAGTGGTGAGCATTACAGCAGCGGAACTTGGAGCTGGAAAAGACTTCTCGTAAGGAAGAGCATAGAGGCATATTGTTAGTTGTTGTGGCCGATCTCTGGCAAATCAAAATCTCAGTCACGTGCTCCATCAGTCAGGTTGATAATAAATTGAAAACCATTAGTACGAAGGATTGTACAGAGAAGAAGGCAGTGATAGGGAATGCGAGTCATGATCCAGTCATTACATCAATGATCGAGAGCGTGAGACACAATGCACTGAGTGGCTGGGCGAAGTCGAAGGGAAGGCGGAGGATTCAATACAAAAGAGAAATCAAATGATCACGTGAGTTGGAAAAGAAATACATACCCAGAGATCCGTCGATGCTGATTCATCAAAATAAAGGCGGTCAGCCGAATCAGGAAGGTGGAATTACTAGAAAGGGTAAGAAGGCGGCAGTATTTTTGCTTGCATTTGACACGTGACTTGCAGGTTAATTGGCCAACAATAGTGCTTGACACGTGACTGGAAGCATTTTAGCAATCTGAAGTCCAATGAAGTTTGAACATCATCTCCTCATAACCACCAAGCCACATCTACCCAAACTCATATCGGACGTGTTATTGGACACTGTCCATCCGAACACCATTGGGCAACCTGTCGAGACAATGAACTGTGCCAAAAATAATGCTCGACGGGGTAGCGCTGGTGTAAGCGCCCAGTATTCGGCGCTATGAGGAAGCAACCAACCACACGACATCTTGTCGACTTCCCCTCCATCGTCGTCTACCAACCATCCTTCTTCTCCTCCAACATCCTGTCAACACGTCTCAGCACTATCGAACGAGTATTGATGCCATTTCTCGAGTCGTTTCGCTGGTTGCAGCTGGCCCGGCCTGGCCATTGGCCCAAATTGTCTCTTCAGGCTCTCGGCTATCCCATTTCTGCATTCCAGACCTGGTCCACCACCTTCTGGTCCAATCGAGAGTGAGTCAAGACGTACCATTCCTCAATTCGTGAGTCTGGTCGTGACATGGCAGTGCCGCTCTGCAATCTTCCCTCCGAGTTTCGACGAGCGCCAATGTTGTCTTCACGGCGCTTCGATCAAGGTCTCTCTCTATCTCTATCTTCTTAGCCTTTGCCTTTTCATGACCCGTCTTCCTGCTCAACACCTCATCGCCGCTGAAGTTGCTGGCCGCCATCAGTTTCCTCTCGTTTTCGTTCTCTACTTATCATTCCCGCGTCGAACCGTTGATCGGCGACGCTTTACGGGCTTGTAATACCGATTCGCTGCGGGCCTTCGGGCTGGCTCTCGATGAATTTCTAACCAGATACCGAATATCAACCTCCCTAATATCTTCTGAAGGCCGGCCCTCGGAACCATGAGCGTTCTACCATCTACGACATACCAATCTCCGCCCCGGCTGGCCCGTGGACGACAGCTTAATACCATTATCGAGGAAAAGGAAGATGGAAGTCAAGGCGTCAAGAGTGACAGCGAAGGAGATGGAAGTGATTCAACAGTCATCGGCCGTCCTGCAGCCTGGAATTCTCAACTCTTCACAGCAGCCTCCCGAAAGACCTCTCTCGCCACGACGATCAATGCGTCTTCCCCCGTCTCTTCATGCGAACCTTCCCCTGCCAGCAGCGCTAGTGACGGCTTCCCTCGGACCTCGGCGAGAAGCTCTTATTCCGACAGTGAGAATGGGACTGTCTTCAGTGATGACTGTCCATCTCTTGCCAGCGACCCAACGACCTTTGCCTCCGAATCCAGCAGGAACAGCTGTGCCAGCACCCGATCGAGCCGCAACAGATATCCTGCTTTGATCATCCCTCGAGAGTCATGGGGCAGCATGGACGGAAGTCCGATCAAGGAGATAGCCTATGGCATGTCTCCAGCAACCAAGATTCGTCTGTCTCCCACAGCATTGTCTGCGCTTTCCAGATCCGTTCCCGCGGCCAATGCACCGCCATCGTTAGGCGATAGCAATAGTACCACATCCGAGTCGCCATGTAACCCAGGCACAAGTGCTCCGGTCACGCCAGAAATTAGACAACTGGAAGTTGCAGAAGGTGAAAATTGGGGTGTTCCTGGACCACCGGCACCAGTGGAGGCTCAGCATCTGGAGATAGCATTCGACGATGGACACAGTGTGATTCTCTCACCAGCAGAAGCTCATTCCGATCATTCGCTGTCAAACCTCCTTTCGCCCACAGCTACAGCCTGGACCGAAATGGTCATTAGCTTTCCTCCGGTGCCCGGTGCTACGCCTCAAGATCAGTCGCCTCTGATGCCTACCATTGACGAACTCAAGACATTTGAGGAGGTGAAACCGCGATCAAACGGCTCTGATCCGGGTGTGCGCCTTCCTCCAGATGCCTTGCAAATCCTCCAACGTCTAGCAGGTTATCGCAGCGTTGACAATCTGTCCAATTCCTCAGGCTCGGGTTCATCAAAGCGCTCGGGAAGACGCCAGGAGATGCGCGAGCTTGGGGAGTCCAATCCTATAAGTAGACCACGCAGTGCAGATGGAGAGACCCCGGTGTCCGACTATAGCTTTACCCAGCTGAGCATCCCATCTCCTGGAGGGTTCTTTTCGTCTTTGCAGAGTGGCTCTCGACACACTTGGTGCCTCAACAAGTCCAAAGGTCCTAGCATGCCAAATACCGCTACAGCGGAAATGTTCTACAATCGACCTTGGGAAGATCCGAACTCCAGCAACGTTGTGGAAACCTTTTTGACTGTCGACGACACCAACCTAACAGAAGGTCCTCCTACAGCACGGCAAGCGACCTTCGACCTGGATCCCCGTAACGGACAGAACAGCACGAGTCCACACTCCGAAGACGATGATCTGTATGGTCCTGGCACTGCCGCGAAAGAACCAACGGACCCAAGAAAGGCCAGCTTCGAGTACGACGACAAATATCTCGATGAGCTCAAGCAAACTGCCAGTCGAAACTTGGATTTGACGGGGTCCTGGTTGGCGGCACAGACAGGTTACTTGTCCGCCATTCTGGAATCGGATCCAAACGTCAACCACATCGAGGAGAATGAGGTGACCGACAAGCCCAAAGCCAAGCCTGATCCTGCCTCACGTCGGACTGTGATGTTTTCAAAGGACACCAAAACCGACTCAGCCGTCATTGTGGCCGGATCGAAGACAGCCAGCAATGACAATGAAGCAGATGCAAAGGAGGCCATCTTCCTCACCGCGTTCCAGTTCCTGCTGAGTAATCGCAAACGTCGCGATGCTTTCATTCATGCCACCTCACGGCTCGAAGCTATCCAAGCCTTCCGGTTGGCCATGCCTGAGAAACACATCACGAATTTGTTGGGCCAGCATGTTCTCTTGGAGCACAAGAGACCAAGATATGCTGGGCCTTTCAGTCAGAACCCACGAGCTACAGGAATTTTCGAGCCGACCGCCGAACAGGCGGCTTATAAGGCTGCTGAGCGAGAGCAGCTTGCGCTTGGGTCCATTGAGCCATGGGCATGGCAGATGGATGCATTGAGGACTATGTATGGTGGACGTCTTCTTGCTTCGGAGGCAGCTTGCCAACGACTGAAAACGAAAGCCACAGTCCCGCTGGATGACCCTGCTTGCATCGGTAGCAAACGCATTCGAGTCCTAGACATTGGTGGTGCATCTTGTGCGTCCTGGGCTTGGAATGCCGCCCTGGAGTGGCCGAACGTCAAGATTTACACTGTCATCACCAAGGAGCAATCTCAATCTCAGCGTCCTTCGGGAAAGCCAAAACCCGAAGCACCCAAGAATCATCGAACCGTGTCGGTACCACATCTATGGCAGTTGCCTTTCCGCAGTGGTCATTTCGATGTCATTTCAGCCAGATCGCTACACGTCCTCCTCAAAAACAACCCTGTACCCGGCGTTCCTGAGATTGACGAATGGGACCTGACACTACGTGAGTGTCAACGCGTGCTGAAGCCGGGCGGTTTCATCGACTATATGATCATGGATTCGACAATTGCCCACGCCGGACCTAGAGGTGATGCGATGTCGGTCGAATTCGGCTTCGAGCTTCATCGGCGTGGCTATGAACGAGAAGCCGCTCGAAGCTGGTTGAGGCGACTGAAGAAAGAAGGATTTGTGGGTGTCAAGAGAGCATGGGTATTCATCCCTATGGGACGAAAACCTCCGAAAGAAGTAGAGGAGAGCGCTCATGGTTTTATTGGAGGGTGGCAATCGTGGCGACAAGGCGCGAAGCCATTTGTACCTGCACCACGGCCCATCAGTGAGGTATCGACGATCAGCAAGATTGTCAAGCAGTACATGGACGTCGAGGCCGTGCAAGGCCCAGTGGGCAGCACCGAAGACGTGGCTGATTTGACCGGTCTGCTTGGTGCCAGGATGTGGGAAGAGTGGCTCGTCAAGGTTCGGGCAGAATCTGGCAGGGAGCAAACGCGTTGGCTAGAAGGGATCGATGAAGTGATTGAAGAGGGCAAGGAGCATGGATCAGGCTGGAAAGTCCTGATCGGATGGGCTAGGAAGGCCAAGCCCGAGAAGGGGAAGAAGGCTGAACGAGCGGAGATCACGGTGGCCGTCGAGGATCTGGAAGAGTTGAGTCCAACGTCTGAAGAGTGCACGGAGATGGGCATGATTCCGATGGTGATCCAAGAATGATTTGTGCTGAGTATTGCTGCATAGCGGAAGGAGTTGGGCTGGCTGGTTGCGGTTGGTGAGCCTTGGAAAAGGGTGTCGAGGGGACGGAGTCAATGAGTGGTGGCTTGTAGATAGACAAACACCTTCACTTTGGTTTTCCTTGCTGTACGGTACACTAGGTGGTACATAGCATTTCCCTGAGTTCAGTACCAGGTAGTAGCGTACCATGAGCTGAGGTTATGTAGCTTGCATGTCAGGGGCGTTTGCGAGTAGAGACTTGACTGTGTGGTTTGCCTCTGCTGCTGTACCTGTATGCTGATGACTCAGCCTTGTCTCCTACTATGGTAAGCCTAGTTAGCCTACTGCGTAGGACTGTACCTCCGTAGGTCCTCGCCTCGCTCGCCTATCCAATGCCTGTACAAGGTCCACAACCTCAGGTCTTTAGCGGCCCCAAGCCAACGGCCCCGCGCAGAGATGAACGTCAGTGGTGGGTAAAGCATGGTCCTCGAAAATCGGCGGCTGCGGGCGTCATGCAAGATTCTTGCGTAAACAATTGAATGATGACTACATACTCCGTAAACCAGCCTACATACGGGCAAAGCTAAGTATCGAACATAAAGTCTTGACCTTGTTCTTGACCTTGTTCTTGACCTTGTTCTTGACCTTGTTCTTGACCTTGTTCTGGACCTCGTTCTGGACGTGAGTCTTCTGGTGGCATAGGATCCTTAAGATCAACTGTCTTGTATCCAGTCCAGCCAGCTACCCTCACCACCTGCCCCGCGTCCGCCAACGTCTCTGCGCACATCCAGAAGCTCCCTACAAGTACTCCTACTCCTACTCTTCACCTCGTCTCGTCTCGTATTCCAACTCTCCGAGCGTCCACTGAAGCTAGGCTAGGTCAGCTCAGGCTAAGGCACGGCAAGGCAAGGCACGACAAAGCAAGAACCTGCTGGGAAAGAAGGAAGCGGAATTGAACGAGAACGAGAACGAAAACGAAAACGAAAACGAAAACGAAAGGGCCTACTAGTTAGCTAGTATCAAGCAAAAGCCTTTGAGCCCGGAAAAGAAGAAGAAGAGGACAAGTACAAGAGCAAGAGCAGGACAAGACAAGACAGGGAGAAAGATGACCACACCACGCTGTTTCATCGTCCGACACGGCGAGACCGAATGGTCGCTCTCCGGCAAACATACAGGCACGTCGGACATCCCACTGACCAAGAACGGCGAGAAACGAGTGCGCGCCACGGGTAAAGCGCTCGTCGGCGACGACAGGTTGATCGTGCCGAGACAATTGGTCCATATGTGCGTCCCCGATACTCCTCTTATCATTCGTATCCCGCCTGTCTAGGTACCCTTGGCCGCAAAGCAGCCCCGGTCAAAATACGCAGAGGTAGAAGAAAAATGTACCACGGACTAACACGATGCAACAACTAGATACGTCTCGCCACGCCACCGCGCCCAACGAACCCTCGAACTCCTCGATCTCGGCTGCCACGACCCGTACCCCTGGCAAAAAGCGCATTCCTCCACCGCCGGATCCTCCGCTTCTGCTGCTCCCTCGCAAAGCGCGAGCAAAAACAAAACCGACGCCCGTGTCACGATCGAACCGCGCATCGCGGAGTGGGACTACGGCGAGTACGAAGGCATCACGTCTGCCGAGATCCGGAAGATGCGCAAGGAGAAAGGGTTGGGGTCTTGGGACATCTGGCGCGACGGCTGTCCCGGCGGCGAGAGTCCCGAGGACATCATCCGCCGCGTGGACAGTCTGATCGCCGAGATCCGCGAAAAGTACCACGGCCCTGTCATAGGGAAGCCCAAGGACGAGAATGTCACGGGCGACGTTATGGTCATCGGCCACGGGCACATTTTGAGGGCGTTTGCAATCCGATGGATCGGCAGGGCGCTCACCGAGACCAGTTTGATCATGGAGGCTGGAGGAGTGGGCACATTGAGCTACGAGCATCACAACATCAACGAGCCCGCGATACTCTTAGGTGGCGGCTTCGTGGTCGGCGAGGACAAGGTCGAGATTGAGAGGGCGGAGAAGGAAGAGAAAGAACAGGAGAAGAGCAGTTGAAATTCATTTTCATGTCCTTTTTTTCTATTTTCAATTCTGATAGAGTTGCGATTATTGTCAATATCGATCCAATGCTGTTGTTCGAGCTAAGCTCATGATACTAGAAAACTGGGGGAATGGTGCTGCTGTAGGCCCTGACTGACCAAGCAAGCAAGCATGGGTAGACTGTGTACACTGACATGGATGCGGTTCTGATACACAAACAAGAACGGTTTGGGACTTAGGACTGTTCGACTTAGGGGCTCTTTCCATGGCTTGATCCGAAATGCTTGTCGATACTGTCCATGCTCACACTGATATCTTCTTCTGCCATCCTGTTGTTGATACCACCGCGTTTCTTCAAGCTCGTCTCCAAGGCCTGCCATTCGCGGATTGGTCCAAATCTCTTCTCAGCCCAGAGCGACGTTTTGGCTGCATCACCTTGTTAATATCATACCATCATTCCTGAACGTTTGCAATCACCTAGTTGCTGGTGCTTCCGCTTCCGCTTCCGCTAACGGTATTCATTCGGGTCGGGTGAAGGACTGAGTGGTGGGATGTAGACGTCCGGGCCTGGACTAGGTGGACGCGGACCGGGTCCAGTGATGCCATAGGGGTTCAATGGGTCTGCTGCAGTGGTACCTTGACCGTGCGAATTGGCGCCTGTTGCAGCGTTCGGCTTGGCGTAATCCAGGGCAGAAGTGTACGTTTCAAGCGGTTGCGTGAAATAGCTGTCCCAGATCTTCCCCGAATTTGACGGGCCAGGCATTGCATAAGCCGAATCTGGAGGAAGATTGGGAATGCCAAATTGGTTTGGTGCGCCAGGACCAGTGTAGTCAGCATACGGTCCTGTGCGAGGTTGAGTTGTAAGGCCAATCGTGTCTGACAAGGGTTTTGCTGGAGCCTGAATGCCGAATATGGAAGTCTTAACTTGAAATGGCACTGGGGCGGAAGGTCCAAATGGATTCTGCCAGACCGCTGGTTGAGGACTGGTTTTCGAAAGTCCAGACTTGTCCTTTGGACTGATTCCTGAACCGGGGCGACGGGGATCGAGCTTTGGGCGATGGTCAATTGTCGTCTTGCTAGACTCAACGCTGACTCGGTCTGAATCATCCCTGGGGCGTTTCTGGCTTTGGCCTTGATCTTTCTGCTTGACAGCATTGTCGGCTTCCTCCGGTCCATCCCATTGACGAGTGCCTCCATCATTCCAGCCTGGTGCCTCAGCTGCCCAAGACTGATTGTTCCCACCATTGGACGCTTGCTGATTGCTATCTCCTCCTGCCTGCCAATTGTTGTTGTCGCCGTTGCTCCAGTTGTTATTGTCGCCGCTGCTCCAGTTGTTGTTGTTGTTACCGCTGCTTCCATTGTTGTTGTCACCGCTGCTCCCGTTGTTGTTACTATTACTAGCGCCTCTAGCGCCAGAGCCTGAGTTCGGGAATCTGATTCCCAACCCAACGAGACCAGAGCCTTGTCGGCCTGTTGGCAGCTTGTATTTGAGATAGTCATGTTCAGGGGCAGGAAGTGGCACTGGTTCAAAAGCCTGCACCGGAGCAGGAGTGGATGTCTTTGCTGGTGCGTCCGGAATAGCCCCTTTCAAAGCGCCTTTTGCTCGGATCACAATCTGAATGAGCTCCTCCTTGTTCAGCGCCGCCAGAGCATTCACATCTTCGTTCCCGGTAGGCTCGACAGTAACGTCAATCCCAGTCTCTTTCTTGACTTGATCTTTTGTTCGGTATTTGAAGACAAACCGCGCATAAGGTTTGTCCAGGGAATCGACGTACTCTGGATGACAGCTCTTCTTACTATAGAGATAACCTCTTCCTGGTTGGACCTGCTTCGACGTGCCATGAGCTTGCGCAACAGCTTGCGGGACATCATATCTTGGTTCCTCTTCAGCAACAATGGGAACATCGGTATTTGCAAGAAATCTCGGAGCCTGGTAAGGGCCATGAGGCCCATACAGTGCTGTCTTGCTCGATTTCGAGACAGCCTGCTTCGGGGCTTCTTTGGTGTTTGACGTGCTAACATTACCCCAGCCTTCACCAGGCTTGTCGTTCTCTGTGGTATTGTTGTCCTGACCTTGATTGGCCCAGGTATTGTTGTTGGCACTGTTGGTATCCCAACCACTACCTTGATTGGCCCCAGTATCGTTGTTGGCACTGTTGTTATCCCAACCACTACCTTGATTCTGGTGGTCCTGGGTCGAAGTACCGTTGCCGGCATCGTCTGTGTTGTTCTCCCGGCCCTGACCCTGGATAGGAGTGGCAGGTTTACCACCCCAATCATCAGCGTTGTTTGTGGTATCATTATTGTTGTTAGATTTCCAAGTCTGATCGTTGCTGCTGTTACCAGCATCCCGGCTCTTGTTCTCCTGAGTGTTGGTTTGAACGTTGTTATCGGGAACACCCCTGCCATCATTGTTGCCAGTATTAACCCCACCGTTGCCTACTGATGTGTTGTGCTGAGGATTAGCACCGCCAGTGTTGTTTGCCCATGCGCCAACACCAGTGCTGTTGTTCGGAACAACGGGCGCCGGATTGGCAAAGCTGTGGGTGGCTTGTTGGGACGCGAGGCTGCCTTGTGGCAGAGTGGAGCCTGCATTCTGTTGGTTATAGTTCTGAACTGGAGCCACACCAGCAGTAGGCGCAATGTTTTGAGTACCGAGAGGATAGCCATGATTCTGAGTGTGAAACAATGGCGCATTGCCAGGGGGCGGGTAAATTGGGATTGTCCCAGGATATGGTGGAGGAATTGCAACAGCTGGTGGAGGGATCCAGACAGGAAATGGCTGCGGAACAGACTGCGGATGTACATTTGGCCACACCGTTGGTATATTTGCACCTGGCCGTCGAGCAATGGGGGCGAATGAACCCATGCCTGGGTGGCTTGGTGCGCTCCTAGGATTCGAAAGGCCTGGCACACTTGGGAAACTGGGAGGTGGACCAGCTGGATAGAAATCGGGACCGGGAGAACGTGGCCGATATCTGGCATAATCCTGATATGTTGCTGGATAATCATCGTAGTCTCGAAGACCACCACCATACTCATAGTGTCGCTCTGCACGGTGTGGAGGATAGTCAGCATATGGGTTTCTGCCAGTGTAGTGGTCGTGCCGTTGGTACTCATCTGCTGGCTCGAATCGACGGCGTGGGTGATGATCCTCGTATCCAGTATCGAGTCTTCTGCCATCTCCGTAGTCGAAATGGACATGCCGCTCTGGTCGAGGACGATCATACTCGACTGGAGCACGGGGAGGTGGTACGGGCCGGCGTGGATACTGATATGTATCTTCTAGAACAGGTCCTGGAAAGTGCGCTTGCGGATAGCGCGAACTCTCATGCGGCATGTATCTCCATGGAGGATAACCATCTGCAGGAGCGTCACCATGGGAGACTTGCGAAAATGGCGGTGGATCAGCAGCTCCATCAAAGATGCCCCCAAGAGCTCCGAATTCTGTTTCAGGCTCCGGTTGGTATTGAGATGTTTTGGCAGACTTGAAATCAACAGAGTCGCTTTCAGCCTGGTCCTCATGGTTTTTGCCCTCAAGAATTGCACTGTCTTCTCCTGAGGAGTCACTGGAGATCTCGAATTCATTCGGGTTGTTGCTGCGACATCTCAGCACCAGGACCTCAATAGTTCCCAGCTCTTCAAAATGGCTTTCACTAACTCCGGCCGGCAACTGTGGAACAATATTGCAGTCGTCGAAGCGCCACTCTCTTCCCACGAATGTTCCATCGCCTAGAGGCTTTTCTTTTTGTCTAACAACGAAATCGATATTGGATCTGTTTTCCGGCAAGCCTTTTTTGTGAGGTTGCAGATTGACTCGAACTCGGTTGCATTGATAATTGCCATCAATGAAGACCACCATAACTAGGCCTTCGAAGATGAACCGCTCGGAGGTGAGGCGCACGTTGAAGGTTTGAGGATGGTTAGGGATTGCAATGTAGGTTTCGACAACACCATCTCCATATTGCGTGCCATATTCAGGAAAGGGAGAACCTGTGTCTGTCCACTGGACGTGGCAGACAAGATCTTTCAGTGTCGGCATGGTGTCAATGAGAGCTCATTGCATCCGACACTGGTTGCGAGATGTCTTTCCCAATATGGTGTGCAGACAAGAGATTGGAGATGATGAGGAATCAACAGAAAGAGGAATTTCTCAGGTAGTGAGTAACGTGGGTAGATGTGAGAGAGCATTTTTCTTGCCGAGCATTGTCAATAAACAAACCAAGTGAATGAACAAAGCGCAGGACATGAAGCTGAAGAGCGCCCTAAGGACAGATTCAACCTTGCGATCGCTTAGTCGTGTGGTCTGTTGGTGGAAGTAGACTGGGGGGAGGAGATATTGTCGGAGCTTGAACGACATCATAACGATTTCCAACGACCTAGCTGTAGTAGCTTTAGCAGAAACCACCTACATACCGTTCATCCATTGTCATCGACCCTTCATCGTCCGAGCCAGCATAAGGGTATTCCCCCGATATCGAGCATGACGTCCTTTGGAAACGCTCCATATATGAACGATCTGGGTTTCCGGTCCTCCGCAGCCTGAAGGACTTGGCCTGCGAAGGACCATCGTGGCAGGAGACACCCGACAATGGCTGAGAAGCAAGCATCTAGCCAGTATGGGAAGGATGACTAGGAGACAAGCTTGAAGGAGGTAAGAGCAGGATCAAAGTCGAGGCTCTTCGATAGGCAAGATTGTGATGACAGTGACTGCAATCCTTGACCCAACCTCAGGCTTGCTCTTCACAGTGAGACAACATGAACAGGCAGCAGGAGCACCAATAATGCTTGGGTCCTGGTGCTAATGGTTGAAGCTATCAAGAGTTCATTGGAATCTCAGTGTCTACGGTGAGGAATCTAAACTACTGTAACTGAACTCTTCAGCCACGGGTTTGCCCTTCGGTTATAGCGGAGTTAGGCACTTCCCACCACCGAGACCTGCATGCCATCCTCAGTAACTAGGACATCGCAACCTTGTCGCGTAAGGGGGGAGTGGTGGAGCCCTGCTGAGAATCAAGTGTATCGATAGCGGGAAGCTACGTAAACGACTGCCTCTGCATGAGTCACATTGTCTTTTCTGGCTTGCATTAAAGCCCTCAACAGAATACGGAGTGAGCAGAAGTCGGCAAAGCTTTAGGAGACACGATACAATGGTGAAGCTCGCGACAATCCAGCAACACAATGCACATTTTACCGAAGAACATCATGAAGGGGTTGTTTCTGTCTTTGCTGGTGCCACGAGGGGCATCGGAACCAGCACTCTCGAAAGGATGGCGACCATGCTGCACAAATCAACATTCTACATCTTGGGCCGGTCAGCAAAGCGGTTCGGAAGCCAGCTCGAGAAGCTGAAGGACTCGAACCCAAGCTGCAACTTTGTCTTCATAGAAGCGGACGTTTCGTTGCTCTCCGATGTAGACGCTGCTTGCAAACAAATCACCACTTCGGAGAAGAAGGTGGACTATTTGTATATGAGTGCAGGCCTGGTGCCATTGAACGGACCAGAGTGTATGCCTTCCCGGTATGCAAATCTGCATTGCTGATGTCCCGAACAGACACGAAAGAAGGTCTTGAGACATGCTTCGCCCTGTCTTATTATGCTAGAATGAGGATGGTTTCAAACTTGTTGCCACTCCTCCGTCAGTCACCTAATCCGCGGGTTCTCAGTGTGCTCAACGGCGGCCGAGAGAAAAAGATGTACGACGATGACCTTGGCCTTGAAAAACACTGGGCCGCCTTCACGGTGATCAATCATACTACGACAATGACCAGCCTGGCCTTTGAGTACTTGGCTCGAAATGATCAGAAGATTGCCTTCTTGCATGCATATCCTGGTTTGGTGCAAACCGACATCATCGCGCGCATGACTGCTCCAGAGTCTTCCGGTATCATCTGGAGGGTAACGTTGGCCTCATTCCGTGGCCTTATGGCTTTCTTGATGATGGTTGTCGGTTTAACGGCGGAGGAGAGTGGCGAGAGACATGCTTTCCACTTAACCAGCGACACATACGGGCCAGGCGCCCATCGTATCGCTGAGACGAGCGACGAGGTCACCGCTGCTGGTATCCTCGAACAATATAGGGAGCGAGATTGGCCGGAGAAGGTCTGGGAGCATACTGTCCGTATTTTTGACCAGGTTTTGGCCACCAAATAGTCGTATCAAGCTGGATAAAAGCCTCGAAGCTAGGTTCAATGGTTCAATCAGGTGGAAGATTCAGCCATTTGCCCCAAGCTGGATGATTGCTCCATGTCCGAGTCCTGTTTATGTTAATGACTATCGTTGAAGAAACAAAGGGTGAAGAAGGTGAAAAGGGCCGGACTGTAAAGAAAGGCGGTGGTGGCGATGGCCATAGGAAGAGCAGGGATAGGGGTTGAGTTATTACTCAGGTAGGTAACTCATAAGAAGTACGGAGCAGTGAGGCTACGGTAATCCATTGTGTCCATTACCTCGCTTCCGGCCATCGTTCTAGATCAGCGCAGTGTTTCCATCCACCTGTCAAACAAATCCCTAGGACGTGTGCAGTCTGATCCTACTCTTTGTACATCCTTCCTACCGACGACTGCTGTATAACATCTGCCACAATGAGCGCCACCAAAGCGCAGTCTCAAAAGATCTTTGAGAAACTGAAATCCAACTCGGCCAACAAGGTAGCCCCAACGGAACCCCGTCGCGCATGTGCACCTCACTCACGTCTCTCTAGATATGTTTTGACTGCGGCCAAAAGAATCCAACATGGTCTTCTGTACCTTTCGGCGTCTACCTATGTCTCGACTGCTCCTCGAACCACCGAAATTTGGGTGTCCATATCTCGTTTGTCCGGTCAACAAACTTGGATGGTGCGCACCTGCCATGACCCTTCCTGAGCGTGGAACAAGATATTGACAACAAGCAGTATGGCAATGGAGTCAACTACGGACTATGAAAGTTGGTGGCAATGAGTCTGCAACAAAGTTCTTCCAGTCCAACGGTGGCAGCGCGGCCCTTGCCAGCAAAGACGCCAAAGTCAAATACACTTCCAATGCTGCGAACAAATACAAAGAGGAGCTCAAGCGGAGAGCGGCAAGAGACGCCGAAGAGTATGTGAACCTATAACCTATCTTGCAGCCTATTCTCACACCTACGCAGGTATCCAGACGAAGTTGTGATCTCGGACGAATCACTTCCTACTCCTGCCGACGGTGCAGCAACTCCTGCAGGCGAACCAGCCGACGACTTCTTCTCTTCCTGGGACAAGCCCACGATCAAGAGACCTAGCAACCCTCCATCTCGCAGTAATACTCCGCCAGTTGTCTCACGCACTGCCTCACCCTTCCTCTCCGCCGGCAATGCCAATGGCTCAGCGGCACGACCCAAATCCCCATCTCCTTTGGCTGGGGCTGCCAATGATGCCGAAAATGCTCTTCCAGCACCAACAGCCATCCGTACAACCTCGTCATCCGCCATTCGCAAAGGTCCCTCCGCCAGCGCTGGTGCCAAACGGGCGAATGTGCTCGGTGCCAAAAAGACACAAAAGCTAGGCGCAAAGAAGGTCACAGGTGACGAAATCGACTTTGAAGCCGCCGAGAAGGCTGCCAAAGCCGAAGCAGAGAGGATAGAGAAACTCGGCTACGACCCTGAGGCCGAGAAGGCAGAAGAATTGGCAAAGAGCAAACCATCCAGTTTCGGCGCCGCAGCTAAAGAAACACCAGCCAGTCTCTCCACGCCCAAAGCAGGCTCCGGCCCCAATACAGGTCATGCCCGCAGTCCGAGCGAGGTCGAAAGGCTTGGTATGGGCATGGGAAGACTGGGATTTGGACAGATTGGTGCGAACAAGGCAGCTGCAGCTGCCACCGCCGCTTCCTCCGCACCGGCGCCTAGGAAACTAGGCTTTGGAAGTGTCGGAGCCAGCAAAGCTCCCGTAGAAGGTAAAGGCACAAAACCCATTCCGCTTTTCCAAACCATCTCGCTGACACAGAGTCCCACAGACGAATCCGAACAATTCGCCCGCCAGAAATTCGGTACACAAAAGGGCATTTCGTCGGATGAATTCTTCGGCCGCGGCGCCTTTGACGCAAACACGCAAGCCGAGGCCAAGAACCGCTTGCAAGGCTTCGAAGGCGCGACGAGCATTTCGTCCAACGCCTACTTCGGCCGGCCTGAGGACGACTTGACCGGCCTCGAGGGCGCCGGGGAATATGGAGATCTCGAGGGCGCGGCCAAGGATTTTGTGCGTAGATTGGGCCTCACCGCTGGCGACGATCTCGAGAATCTGATCAACGTCGCCGGCGAGGGTGGACGGAAGCTCAGAGGCGCGGTCGCGAGGTATTTGAACAGCTAGACGCATCGTACCTAATTTCTTACCGACCGAGCGAGGCTTGCTTGGGGGCGCAAGGCGTCGGGCGAGAGATATGAACAGCGCAATGTCCAGTCCAGTCTAGGCTTGACAAGCTTGTTCAATACCTTACGGAGAGAAGTAGCAATTTTGATATGATCGTGATTGAGGTTGGACTCGGCATTCATTCATGATTTGCCAGAAAGCAAATGCAATGCGTGGCACACCTTGAATGGCACCCAGCTCACGTCTTCTTCGTTGTTAGATGTCCAGCTTTCTGATCTGAGCTGGCCATTCGTCGGATCCGCATTTACAATCACAATCGACGGATGTCTGCCGCTATGGTAAGTACGTCGAGCAGTCTGCAGATCGACTACTCCGTAGTAAAGATCTGATTCCACCTGAGGTCGATGATTAAATTCCCCCGAGTTATGGAGTAATCAGGGCTTGAGGATACCCGAGACGCGTATAGAGTCTTGGGGGAGAAAACGCCACTCAGAACAACCACCAAATTTGCGATCAATTAATTTCATTCCAAACGCAAGTCTATTGCATATGAACCCAAATATCAATGTGCAAGGCTTTGTTGATAACGCCCCGTCAATCCCCTGTAACCCGCCAATTGTTCTGTTCAAACAAAGGAGACAACGACCATATTCATCGGACTTTTGGTTAGAAAAGCCTCATTTGGAATTCAATGTAGTACTGAACTTCCTGTACAAACAGTGCTATGCCAGTCTACAACAACGCTGCACCGAAAAAGGTGGACATAACAACAACAGCACCACAGACCAAAGGAGCCAAAGACCATTCTGGAACAGTCATAGCAACAGCGCCACTCGTGGAGGAGCTGGAGCCGCCAGAGGAGCCAGTTTGACTAGCTTGTCCACTGCCCGCAGTGGCGGTTCCAGTAGAAGCACCACCAGCGTTTTGAGAACCAGCACCACTGAGACCAGGCCCAGTACCAGCACCCTGGGACATATACTTCTTAGCACCATCGGGGATGGCTGGAAGAGAATCATCCTTGACGAGCCAGTTAGGAGATGAGTACGTAGGGCAGCCAGAGGCGCCACCAGTTGAGTTGTAACCACCATCTCCAGTTGGGTTGGCAGTCTTGGAGAATTGAGATTGAAGGGCGGTGAAGTCGGCAAGCTCACTGACCGAGTCACCGTTGATCTCGACAAGACCGTAGTTGGAGGGTTCCTGAGAGTATTCATAGACCAGACCACCGGAGTAGACACCAGTCATTTGCGAGCTGTAGAGAGACGTGACTTCTTCGAACTTACGAGTGTTGGTATTGCAGCCGTACTCGGAGAGGAACAGAGGAAGACCGTAGCCAGTAAAGTTCTTGACCTTCTGATCCCAACCAGATTGAGTGAAGGAAGACGGGTCACACCATGAGTAGTCGTTGAAAGCGAAGAAATCGGATCGCTCGTCGTCAGTACCACAGTTCATGTATTCGGCCATTTCCAAACGGTTCTCGCTCACATCAGCGGCAGAATAACCAACAGGAATCGTTCTGTATCCTCGGTTGCGGATGTATTGTCTCATGTCACGAGTGACAGCCTTGACATAAGGGGCAGCGGCCGAGGTCTCTGGATCGTTGATAACTTCGTTGCCGGAGAAGAAAGCCAAGGTGTTGTCATACTTTTCAAAGGCGTCGATGGTTGCAAAGATGCTTTGCAGATAAACATCGTTGTATGAAGGGTTGGGGTCGGCTCGGTTCAATGAGTATTTGGGAGTGTTCACATCGAGAACCAGGTAGATGCCAGCATCTGCCAAAGCACTCATGCACGCGTCATGGTCCGCAGTGTTGTCGACAGTGTAGACACGAATGGTATTCAGGCCCAACTTTTTGAATTCGGCAATGTCTCTGGTGCAGCCAGCTTTGTCGGCAATAGGATCGGCGACGTCGGAGGAGCCACCGGGTTGGTAGTCGACACCACGAATGTAGAATCGGTCATTGCCAGCAAAAAAGGCTGTCACGAGTGTTAGCAGATATCTGATGAAGTTGCGAGATGTGGTACTCACCATTTCCCTTGACAGTGACAGGAGTGATGCTGCTGGCTCTCTTGACGGAAGCTGCTGAGGCAGCACTGGCGCCCAAGGCGACGGCAGCGAGGGCTGAGGTACGCATATTGAGTGTAATTGGAGTTGTTGCGGATAGAGATTCTGTTTGAGCTCAATTCAGATCCAGGGGAGGATAGTAATGGGCGCTTTTGGCTGAGAAAGACAAATTTAATTGAAGTAGAGATCCAAGAGAGTGAGGATGCTCAACAGAATCTGGTATTAAATGCAAATAGCGAGGGAGGAGCGACACCCGAACAAAGAAACGGTGACTGCTCGTTGATATCGTGGTTTGAACGAGGGAATCTGAAGGGCAGGAAGGACACAAGGGGGCTGGGTAGGAATCATAAAAAGGAAGAGTGTTGGATGGTGTTGCGATCAATTGGCACGCGCCATGCTGGGAGGATTTCCCTGATGGACATTGTCCCGGTCCACTCTCCCTTGTCGTGCAGCCACCATCCGCTTGTTGATCCTATCATCGTTGCAGTTGACGGCCTTGAGCCTCTCCACCCAGCCATTGGCATGGGTCTTGATGATTGGGATAAGTTTCAGTACATGTCGTCGATTTCTTCATGAGATGATCAACACCGTCCTATGGCTATATGAAGACTCGGGATACATGCTCAAAATGCAGCCATCTACGGAGTACCTGATGGGCTGTTCATGATGAACACCAGGGACGATCCCGCCAGCCAGCACACAAACTTGAATTTCTCGCGACAACAATCGTCAAATCTCGCTCCTGACAAAGCAAATCTCCAAGTTTTGCACTGCCACTGAAGCTTGTTTCATCCAGTCTCGCCGTCCACCATTCAGATCTGTGTCAAAGCTGTCCGGGCGGCCGGGGTCGAAAACCAGCGAGCCAGATCTCCGCGAGATGGCCTCTGCGTACTCCGTATGCACTATTGTCTTTTGGTTAATTTCGCTCCTAAGGAGAGATGGACATCAAAGCCTGCTCCGGATTCAAGGCAGGCCCACAACCCAATCAAACGGGCTTGTATAGGAGTATATATCTGCCCAGAGAGGACGCGCAAACTCGGTCGATCATGTCTTGACTTTTGCCTCTGGTACTTTGCATTGAAAGGAGATGCTCCAGAGCTTTGGCCGATCAATGCTCTTGGTGCAAATCTCACTACTTCAACTGTTTGACGTTCCGCCAAGCTGAGTTTCATGCGCGCATGAAAAAAGGATCGAAACCTCCACTTCAAAAGTGAGCGACTCGCCTGGCTGATCGTAGTATTTCACGTCATGGCCTTATGGCCACAGCGATAATGACTGCGTGAGGATGATCTTAAAACAGCAACAACAGAGCAGAACAAGAGGCAGAAAATACCAACTTCAGGAGGATACCTTTTTCTCATTCGACCTCAAGCTATTCGATCGAGACGACGATACTATGTCTTTCACACCAGACACCACTACCTTCGACTACTAACATCGATGTCCATCTCAGGCCTCTATCATTGTGTCCATTGCCGGAAACCCCAAGTCATGTACATGTATGTACCCAATCCAAATCAACAGAGATCCTATCAACAACGCGAGATCATGTGGTCGAGAACGCCAAAAGCTATGCCCGTCGCAGATTGTTACTAAAAGAGAGAATTGCCGGAGCCATGTCGTCGTTATGCATGCTAAAAGAAAAGTCGTGTCTCAAATTACCACCGAGGAAGAAAAGTCCGCCGGTAAGTCCAAGGCTTGCTTAAAGAGTAAAGAGCCAACCTCCGAGTGGGAGCATCGCCATCAGCAGACTTCCCACCTTGTTTGGAGAGGCGGCGTTCTGTAGTCCAGGATCGCTGCCCGTGGTTGCTGCAGCTCCTGCAGCTGCCGTGGCATCCGTGGCGCCTGTCACAGGTGCGTTGACGACGACCAGCGATGTTCTCGTCTCGACCGATCCGTCAGCAGCGGTGGCATAGTAGAGGTGGGTTGATGTGCTGGGAGTGAACCGAACTCCAACGGCAGAAGATGTCAGAGTGACAATGCCTCCTCCAAATGTGCTGAAGACAACTGCGCCGTCTGTGGTTGCGATTGCGGTGGCAGAAGCAGGCGTCGAAGGTGCCACAGTGAGTGTAGTAGCTCCTGGCACGGTTGAAGCAAGAATTTCGGAGGAGAGGACCGAAGAGATCGAGGCAGCTTGTGAGCTCGATTGTGACTCGACAGAGCTTTCCGCGGGCGTCGAAGCAGTCGAGCTCGGAGTTGTTGAGGTGACGGTGGAATTACTGGCCTGTCTCTTCTTTGCTAGATGCACCAGTTTGCTTGCAATGACGGGGTTTTCAGAATGAACGTGTTCGATGGCTGCGCGGTCTTTGCTGAAGACGCCGTCTTTGAACTTGGGCGACAGTTGGTGCAGGACCGAATGTAGAGCAGCAGGGTCGACGGCATCTAGTAGAGCTTGGAACGAATCCCAATTGACCAGAGACTTGTCATCCTCTTGTGTATGTTGCGAGGTCCAAGCACCCAAAATCAGTGTGCTGAAAACGAATGCTTTCCGCAGGCCGAACATGATGGACTAAACGAATGGTGGTACGTGCTCGATATGGTAGTGAGTGACGGGCGATCGATTAGAGATTACTCCGTAGAGGGTGGAAGGAGAGGGAGGAGGAGGAAGATCGAGGTTGGTGAGCCTTTGTGTGTGTGCTATAGTTGGTGTGAGGATGAAGATACGGTGGTAGGTTACAGTGGCAGTGTGCCTTTTTTACTGTCTGTGGTCGAGAGTCGAGCGCAGGTGAGCCACAACAGCGGATGTGCGCATGACAGGTCGTAAGGCCAATAGTGATGAGAGTTTGGGTGAAGAGTGTGAGCGGATATGCAAGAGGTTCAAAGTTGCACGCACATGTGGAAATGGTTCTCTTTTTGCTTCCGCGTCTGTGAATGGCCATGTGAGAACCGGATGATGCTTTTTGCAGGCGTAGGCGTTGAAAAATCCAGGTGGCGAGGCGAGGCGAGGCGATGACTGAAGCTGGCAGGCTGGCTTGCTGGCGTGCCGTGGCTTCAAGCTTGTGGATGAAACCCTGCAAGGCCTGGCAGAAGATCCTCCTCGCCTGCAGCTGATGGAGCTTGAAACGGGTGCGTCGGCATTGTCCTCTTCTGCTCTACAGTAATACAGTATATTTCGTATAGGATTCCCTGTTCTACTTTGGCAATGCTCTTACTATGTTCTTACCGACAAGTTCATCAGCCTGAGATGATCCATCATGCTTCAATACTCTTTCATGCCCAAGCATTCTCCTCCCAATCCTTTGGTTCTCGCTGCCAAAACGTGTTGATGGTCGCTGAGACATGCCGGTCGCCAAGCAGTGGACAACGCCTCAAACCGAACCAATGAAGCCCAGATTTCTAGGGATGGCCTGCCATGTTTTGGAAGCCCCTCGCCTTTTTCTGGCCTGTCTCAATTCTTCCTACTCGATTGGGCTCGTCAGAACGTCATCCTTCTTCCTTCTGGGTCCCATCATGCTCCAATTAGCCGGTGGCTTGGTCGGTGAAACGTCCAACTCTGACACGGACTTCAAGATTCAGCAGCCGAAGAGGCTGAAAAGTTTGGCTCGAATCATGAATAAACGATGATGAAATCCCCAGTGTAAGAAGTACACGAAGCACAAAGTCTTTCACAGAGGTAAAAGGTCAAGGTCCAGACTCTCTTATCGAAAACTGTTGATCTTTTGCGTTTGCAGGATTCTATTTCTGGCACACGAGAATGCAGGTCGCAGACGCCCGTGTTTTGGTGGTGTCGGTGTCAAGATTCTCACTGGTGTGCCTTGCATCATTGATTCTGCAATGTGCTGTCCAAGACTCCGCAAGTGCAAGGTATCTTCCCCAACCAAAAGTCGACGTGCCAATCCGATATTCCGTGTTCCGCTCGCAGTCCGATTGTCATGTTGACCAGTCAAAAATTGCCGGCTTCTGAGACCCGGCGAAACTGGTGGCATTGGGTGGCATGATCCTTTCACCACCGTCACAACCGTGACCATGAGAAGAAGGGCATTTGATCCCGGCCTTGTCTCGTCATTGGGTCATCAAAACAAATTTCAATAGATCCCTATCCTCAATCTGCTTCCTCCTGGACATCAATTCCTCCATATCCCACGTTGCGCAAATTAACCGGCCACTCAGCCAGCTCAGGTCGTTGAGCTGTTTAGTCAACCATACACAGACTGCACCACAAAGGTCGACATCATCCGTCAAGTCTACCACCAAATATCATCAGCTTTGGTGACATACGCTGAAATGACAGGCTGGTGATGGAAATACTTACAAGGCAGAATTTCCTCTGGCGTATTCCCTTTCGCCATGTTCGTCGCAACCGCTCCCGGATGTACAGCAAGACTAACCAAGCCTTGCCCCCCATACTGCTCGTTCAAATACTCCACTAAACGAATCTGCGCCATTTTGCTGACAGTGTATCCCGTATTTGCAATAGGCCCCCGTCGTACACACCCCAGCGACTGACCCAATGGCGATGAAACCCCTGACACCGTTGGGAGATGACGGCAACAATGGCACGAAATAGTGAGCAGCAAGGTATGTCCCCATGGCATTCACCTCCAACGCTTTGTGCACCCACTCCGGCTTGCCCTGATCCATCTTGACCGTGACCGGGCCAGCGTATCCGGCGTTGAGGATCAAGAGGTCCAATCGACCGCAATGCGTTCGCACATACAACACCAGCGCTTCCACGGACGCAGGCTTGGAAACATCACACTTCGACGACGTCAGTTTGTATGGTCGAGTTGATGCTTTTGATCTTATCTGCAACGGCTTCCAAGTCATGTAACGAGCGCGAAGATATAACGATCCGCGCCGCATGAGCTCTTGCATATGCGTAGGCTATATGTTCGCCTGTCCCCTGACTGGCGCCGATGATGCATACTGTAAACAGCTCCGGCAACCTCACCTTACTGGGGTCCATCTCCGGCGTCATGGATTGGTGATGACTGCTTGGTGAAGCCGTCGACGGCAAGCACGCGAGGATCGGCCATTTTGTGTATCTACCTCGTTGTTACAATGTAGTTATCAGTTCATGACATTGACAAGTACACAATACCGTAGTACTTCGATTCCTCATGGGCACGCTTGGGCCGCCTAATTGCCTGTTGCAACTTGCGGGGACCTTGACGGCATTATCCGGCTGGGCATTGCTTAATGTTGACCTCAAAACAACGACAGAAACACTCGGTTCTTGCGAACACCTTTTGATTCTCATTATCTTCTTGGTTCCTGTTGAGAGCAAATTGCACCATCGTTTTGGTGCCTCTGTGGTTCTCTGGAAAAGCAAATAGTATGATCAATCCGATCTCTCTGCCGTCATCTCGTAAAGCAAGCATGCACAATCATTCCGTTGTCTCTGTGGTTCTCCTGAAAGCAGACAACTGTTCATCATTCCGTTCTCGACGATGACAACCGGCCTCTCATCATACACCTATCGGCGGTTTCATTGAGCGACGACGACCCCGACTACTCGTCGTAGTCCTCGTCATTCGGATCGTCGGCCTCCTTGGGCTCATCGTCCTCGTCGTCCTCATCGGCGCTGACTTCCTCGTCTTTGTCAACGTCGACCTCCTTTCCCTTGCCTCTGGTGGCCTTCTTCCACTGAGCAGCGAGTCGACGAGCCTTGACCATGTCGCCATCCTGAACAGCATTGACCAGGTTATCCATCTTCTGTGTCAACTGAGAACGAGTTTCTTCAGCTTCACATCGTTGCTGTTGTAGTCGCTCCTGCATCTTCACATAGATGATGTTGGCCTGCTCCAGCTGACCGCGCTCCCAGATTGGTGGTTCCATCTTCTCCATGTAATTAGCAAGCAAGCCAGCAGTAGGATTGGTCCAGAAGTCAGGCAATTCGACCTGCTTCGCAGCTGCTTCTTCTTGATCACATAGGACAACCGCCGTCTTCACGACTTCACCATGAGGACTCTGGGACTTGACTACGTCAAGCCACCATTTCTTGTATGTGTCAGGGTCGAGGAAGAGGCCACGAGTGCGGCTGCTGATGCTCTTGACGGAGAACTGTGTGGCAGGACCATAAATCATCTGCAAGAAAACACAGTCAGTCCTTGCACACAATGCAATTGTCAAGATGGATATGTCAGGCTGAGTAAACAGGGGATGACCATTGAGGGCTGCACTTACAAGACCAGCGAACTTGGTACGAGTTGGGTCGATGTTGGTTCGAAGAAGCTCGTGTGAAAGGCTGGATTTGACCAGATCCTTGACGGCTTCGAGGGTATTGCACTGTATGATGTCGGTCTCGATCTCGCGAGTGAACCGACCTTGTTGTGGCGCCGCGACATGAACTTGGACAGGCAAGTACGCAGGTTGGAAAGCGAAAGGACCGGTTTGACTGCGGTGAGCGTCCCGGACTCGGCCACGTTCCTCCTCTTCCATGGTTTCCCATTTCTCATAAAGAGGATATTTGGAGATCAAGGTATCTGTTGGTGCTTGATCGCTCGAGACGGAGGATTGTGGTTCGGAAGCTGACGGAGTAGGTTGAGACGCCGCGGTGCTACTACCAGAGAGTTCCATCTCCTCGAATGTTCTGACCAACTTCTTCTTCTCGACTTTATCCGCCGACCGCTTCGCTCGCTCCTGTTGGCGCTTGTTGCGTTTTGGAGGCATCTTTACTGATCGTGAGCTCAGACAAACGCTACACTTGGAGTCAAGAAGAAAAGATTGCGATGCGCGTTCGAATTGGTTTGAAAGTTTCGAAATTTGGAATGCACGCGGTGTTTTGAGGCCCGTGAAGCGGTAAAACAAAATGCTATTCACTACAACACCACTGCCTCCAGTCAACCACTGCCCGGTCACTCTGTGAAGTGATACCTAAGCTTGGCGGGAAGACCACTATTGTGCTGACGTACTATTCTAGTGGCGGCAAATGTGCTAACACTGAAGCTGAAGCTGAAGCATATCACACTGCCAATGCCGTTTTCCTAAAGGGGACGACAAAAATATCATTGCATGTTCGACTTAGTACTATTGTGATACGCTGGTCAGCGTCTTTGGATGGTGGAAGGTCATGTCCTGCGCCAGGACAGGCAGCCAGTCAAACAGATTCCACAGTATGAAGCAGGCGAAGCATAAGGCTTCTTCACGTCGGATAGGCCTTTTGCTTAGGAGTGCAGCCTCGCCGCCAAGCCAATTAACGGGCAGTGAATAAACCTCTATATCACTACCCACAATCAGGTTCAATTCTCGCCTGTTGCAGTAATGGAAGTAGCAAAAAATCAGGGACGCAAAAAGATCACGCCCGTTCACGCGTACGGAGACAATCGACGGATCTTTTAAGGAAGCAGATGACCACCGAGGCAGAGGGACACCCGCCTAATTAAACCACCAAGGTGTTATGGTGGAGAGGACCGAAGTCCGCCTTTTGATCCTGGCTTGGGTCTAGCTTCGGACGAGTCCTCACGAGCTATCCAACTAGGCCATCTGCTACCTACCCGAAGGTGAAAATAAATGGATGACTTTAATATATAACCCATGAATATTCAAGTCATTCGGGCACGTGTTACTATTATGGGTCTCATTCACCTTCACTCAGCGAGGCAGCTGCGCTTACAGCACTCTGACCTTCATAGGACCATCTCATTACATCGAACAAACGGCTCTACCATCCTTCATGCTTGGACTCCGGCAATACGGTTTGACACGTCAGGTTATGGCAGTCTGTGGCCCAGAAAACTCTCGGACAGGAGCTGCTCCAGGATGCCACCCAGCACTGGTATTCCTCATCATCTTGGGAAGGGACGAGTCTATAGCTAATTCAATTCTTCTCGCTTCATCTGTCAAGCGAGGATTTCTAGGACTTATGCCAGGTTCGATGAACCACCTAGCGTTCGCTACTCTTCCTTACTCGCCCTCTTCAAACACTGACGGCCAGCATGCGATATCCGCTCCTCCAAGAACGCGAGGCAGCCGACGAACATCACCGGTTAGGGCGCTTGTTGAGGGCGCAGGACCACGTCTGGCTCCTGGAGTGACAACCTCGACTTGAAAAAACTGGAACACCAAGACCATCACCGTTGTATTGTACGCCTGCATGTTCAAGGACAGTGACGTGGCCGCTGTTGCAAAGAGCGTAGAGGGTGTTCTTTCTGGGAGTGGTCATGACCCACGTACTCCGGCAACGAATCATATGATGGTGACCAGTCAAAATGTCAACGACCAGCACGCCAATGAGAAAAGCTTTGCTCGGCGTCAGCATGTTCGGCGGCTTGGTTCCTTTGACTTCATCGATACTATGCGCTGCATCACGGCAAATCCGTGACATTTCCTATGAATTGATACGCTTCTTCATTCGACTGAGGTGCGGACGGCCTTGCCTTCAATCCTCCTTGCGTCTCCTATAAGCTTCAGCACTGCCCTCCGTGGCATGACAATTCACGCCCACAGCCTCATAACTTTCCACGCCATGGCTATTCCTGCATATCCTCAGCCTGGGGACATGAACTGTGTTCTGGGGTGTGTCGGGACTTGGGATGGATCCGTGGCTCTGGCCGTTCGGACCGTGGCCTTCCAGCCACCACGTTTCCACATTGGGGAGGGATGGGTCGCGGCCCTCGGAAGGCAAATGCCAACGAACCAGGCAACCACTAAACATGACAACGGAACATCAACAACTAGAGCTTTTCGAGGGCCAGTGGGACCGTCGGATGCGTCTCTCCGAACATACTGTTTTAGCGCCCACATTGTGTCCTTTGACCACGAACATCATGCAATATCACCGGTGACGACGATGACGCTGATTGGTGATCCTCGTCTGGCGGTGAGCAAGCGACCCTTTTTTCTCCACGTTCAAGCAAACCGCAAACTGCATGCGATTGCCTGTTTCTGCCTGCAAATTTACCACAGCCTTACGCCCAGCTTTGCTGTGAAAGAACCACAGAGTGGCATCGATCATGTACAGTGCAGTTGCAGATGGTTCCGGTCATCCTAGGACAACCTACCCACGGCTGGCATACTTGCGGATTCTGAACCGAGCTCCCGACGATCGCGCCTAACTACAGGCCTGTAATCACAGCCTTAAAGCCTGGTAAGCCGTAGAAGTCCAGAGAAACCAACATGACCATCACTTGTCTCTGCTGATTTTGCATTTCATGAGGTAGTGGGCGACTGTTGTGCACTACTATACACTGGCGAATTACGAGATTGATACAGCAGCATCTCCAGGAATGACCATGTATGCCTGTGAGGTATTTGAGCGGTCTTCACCCAATCTCAGAGCATGGTCTTCTCACTTTTATAACGCCAATATGTCCTCCGAGCATCAATTCGTCGCGCGATCTCCTACACGCCTATCCAAGAAGAGGAATTACCGTAGCGCCAAAACCCCTCAGTCTTTCGCCCTGTTTCTTGCACCTTCGACCATCTCTCTGCTGAATGGGCAGCGATGCAGGATCCAGGATGTGATGCTTTCAGGTGACAACAGTGTGCCATTGGTCAGTCTTGGGGCATGAACAAGTCACTTGGCTCGGTGAAGGACTATAAATATGGCTCTTGCACTGATCACAGACTACAGAAAATTCTTTTCTCTTCAACCTGGTTGCATCGATCAGGATAGCAAGCTGTCCATATCTCTTTACTAACAGAGCCTCACCCTATCAGTTGAGAGAGCCCTTTATGTGAGTGTCCCAACAATGTACCTTGCCACTTCTGCTGATGAGTATTGTGCCAGTAAGCTGAACCATGGATCCTAAAGGATCCGCTCCTCCTCCCCGTGAACAAAATACCTCCAAGCCTGCGGATGAGCTCGAAGTCAAGCCATATACGGGTCAACCACGCCACAAAAATTGCCGTCAGTGCAAAAGGTCGAAGTGCAAAGTGGGTTTATACATTTAGCAAGAGTCCTATTCCCCTTCTCTGATTTATGTTGCAGTGCGTGGCTGTCCCCGGGAAAGCGTGCCAAAAATGCCAGGACTCCAACAAAGACTGTACTCACGCTTCCAATGTGGCTACTCCGGCTCCTATTGCTGCTGCATCACACCCAGCTGGATACAACACACCCACAGCCGTTGGTCAGGTTGGGTCTGATCATGTTGGCCAGCGTCAGGCAGGGCCGCCGAGGCTTCTACCAGAGCATCGTGAGATCAATACACTTCCGATGGCAGGGTTGCCAGGCGCTGCATGGAACAGTCAAGGCTCTTCAGGTTATCCCCAACCTCCTGCAAGTCAGTATGGATCCGACCCGGGCACTGGGACATCTCGCATGGGTAATATCCCGCATGACTTGGCGTAAGTCTCATCGTTGTCAAGTATCGACATCAAAATACTGACACTTCCCAGAATCGATCCGCGCCTGGGGGCACTTGGTCACGATCCTCAACATCCTCAATTGGGCCTAGGTCAAGGACATGCCATGGCTTTCCGACCACTGGAGTACGGTCACCCGATCCATCAACCTTCTGGAGTCTATCAAGAAAACAATATGCAGGATGCAGCGTATGTTGGGTATGCCGAGGGGACGGCATCTACTCATCCGCCTCCAATGGGTTCTCGTGGACAACAAGAAAGCAAAGACCAACAGAAGAGGAAAAGAAAGACTAAAGCCGACAATAAACAGACACATGGAGCCAAAAACCCCAGGAGACTTTCGTGACTCTGAAAGTCGACTGATCATGACAACCTTTTTCGGCTTTGTTTGATTTCAGGAACATGATGGTTTCATGGATCTCTTTCATTTCTTAATTCTAAGTTCAGTCTACAAACATCAAAGTACAAAAATAAAAGTCTTGCTCTTGGGCACTCTTTCACACATATGCCTCTAGTCAACTTCTCAATTTCAAACTCGAAAAACTAAAATGCGTATTGCTGGACACCTTAGTACTCGTACCAATCTTGCAGACTAGGTAAGGAACGTGCTCCACATCGCGGTACAGCCTTGCGGTCACGTGCAAGGCTTGAAATCCTTCATCTTCTCGTACCTACCAAAGGCTACGTAAGCAGGGCACTGGCAGGATTCCGAGAGATGGGTGTAGTGCAAGCTGCAGACAACATCATTGAGTCATGACTGGGCGCTTGCACCATTGTCTTCCTCCTTTCTAGCGAGGATGCCATGGCAATTGAAATGCGCGGCACTGTATGCCAGGCTCAGTGACGGAGGCACCAACACTTCAAGTCTATATTCATTCTCGAGTCGAGGGGTCTATTACTATCGTACAACATCATCCATTGGTGACCATAACCATGATTTACACCTTCTTCTTGAGGCCGACACCAGCGATACTTATTCGCCCTGCGACGAAGAACGCCACGCCAACAATGCAGCAACATCCGCCGAAAAGCATCATGTACAAGTATTTTCCGTGGTCGCGACTGATCAAAGCGCCAGCGATGGGACTTCCAGTCAGAGCACCAATCGAACCGGCAGCGAAGACAGTGCCCACTCGAATCCCGATCTCTCTGATTGGCGAGATCTGTGCAATCAGCGCCGGCGTGAGACCGATCGCTGCACCGGAACTAAATCCGAAAACCAACGCGAACACGATTTGAGCGGCGTTGCTTGTACCCGGAATCCAGAGTCCCAGCATGAAGATGATGGTGAGAGTGCAGAAGACAATCATGACGTTGAAGCGTCCGACCTTGTCGCCGAGAAGACCTGGGAGCGTTCGACCGAACACTGAGCCGGCGTTCAGGATCGACACGAGGTATTGAGCGAGTTGTAGAGACATGCCTCGACCATTGGCGACAGTTGTTATAAATGACATGACTGGAAACATTCCCCAGTAGAAGAAAAACACCGCAAACGTTGTCAAGAGCATGGGGAGCTCGCCGAGAGGACGGACGAAGGCCATGGCATCAAATTTGCGCCCTGAAGGAGGGATGCGAGAGCGAAGCGTCAAGATCGCGACGATGCAATTGAACAGGATGAGAAAGGCGCAGGTTCGCATTGCCCAGCCGAATCCTGTCTCTCGAATCATATGCGAGACGATGATTGGAAAGATGACACCTCCTAGAGAGCTGCCTGCAGCCATGATACCGATCGCCATACCTCGCTTCTTGAAGAACCAGGTCGAAACGCAGCCCATGGCCGGGTTGAAGAGGAAGCAGGCGCCAATGGCAGAGCAAACACCCTGACTGAGCATGAATTGGTAGTATTCCGTGGAGATTGAGGTCATCATCAGACCGAAGACGTGCATGAAGCTGCCAATGTAGAGCAGGTATCGTGGACCGTAGTTGTCGAAGATGTATCCAGCAAGAGGGCCACATGCAAGCATGAAGAACGTTTCGACCGAAGGGATCCACGCGACGGTACTAGCCGAATATTGTCGGAGAGGTACTGCCATGTAGTATTCTTGAAATACTCCTATGCAATTGATCCATCTGGCATGAAACGATTAGCAATCGTGCAAAAAGATTGCGGAATGATAGTCCCTACCCCCAAGAATTGAACAAACAGCAAAAGCCACCAAGAACGGTGAGCCAGGCTTGAGTCCCTCCATCAGGAAACGAGGAGGGGTCGGCCCAGGGATTGTACGGTGCTTTGGGAGGCTCGACGGGAACAGGTTGCTGCTCCGTTGAGGATCTTTCTGTGGTGAGGCCGGATTTATCTGTACCAGATTTCTCTTGAAGGTCAGGCTCGGGACCGTTCTCGATGGAAACTTCCTTTTCCCGCTCTTGGGACATGTTGGATGGCTGAAAAGGCCAAAGATCTGCTTTTGAGTGGGCGGCGTTATTTCTGTTCGAGAGATTCGTACAAGGGATTTCCGTGTCGAGCAACGTCGAATCAGGCCGGTTTGGCAAAATATTGTAGGAATACAATTTCGAGAATGATAAAGGAAGGTGGGCTAGATCCAAAGAGAAAAGACATATCCCTTGAGCTGAAGATATATTGGTAAGTCGGAATCAACAAGATACCGCAACCGAGTCTGTTGTTCGTACGGGACCTGTCTCTCTCGGCCTTTTGAAAGCGCGAGCTCCAAGGCAAGACTGATAGGAGCTAGGGCCCCGAAATCTCCGGGAGTATCTCTGGTTTCTTGATCTGATTATTAGGTCCTTTGTGGTCCTTCGATAGGCCCTTCGATGCTGGTGGGCACATGGAAATCCCCACTGTTGTCTGTTCACTGTTGTGGTTCGTTGTTTTGTGGTGAAAAATGTACTGTGGTACCGGGTACGAAGCCAGACGAGGAAAGAAAACTCCACCTCCCAGTGCTCCCTTCGCTTCGGTTTTATGCTCGCTCCAAACGGATTGCGCTCTCGGCTTCATCAACGAAGTTTGAGCCGCTTCAGCAAGAGATGTTTGTCTGATCTGCTCTTTCCACATCATCGCTAGTGAGATACCATGCTGTGACTCACCTTTTGTTTGATGTTGACCGTCATCTGCTGCGACCTCATGATGATGTGCAATGACTCCGGCCGAGCCGGATATAACAACACCCGCGCAAGCCCTGCCCGAATAGGGTAAGTATTCGACCGAAGCCAGCACCAGGTCTGGAATGGACATGGAAGTTCCCAGGCCGTGACGCAGAGGACGATAGTAGACGCTCAAATGCATTGCGACCACGAGACAAGGCTTCTCTTTTCTCGGGGGTGCCCAAACACCGAGTTTCACCGTTGCCAGGTAAGTGGATTGAGGGTGGTTGCCTGAAACTTGTGAGAGCCTTCGCTTGTCTTCTCTCGACTCTTATTCACGTTGTGGTCCTTGAATCCGGCGGAGACTGCGGATCAGCTAGGAAGAATCGACGCAAACGGAGGACACTTTATATCAGGCGAGGATGTCAGCTTACTTGGATTGATCGCCCTACTCCGATCCAAGCCCGGAAGGAGTGGGTGTGGGACAGTGTGTGGGTAGGCTGTTGATACCGTCACGGTGCAAAAGGTGTCGAGGTGCAAGAGATGTGAATAAGAAAGGTGCAATAAGTAAGTAAGTCTACAGACTCGGCAGGAGCCAACAACGGCGAGTTTCTTTGGAAATCCTCCTCTCATCTAACCCTCCGACTCAGCTGCAATCTGAAATGGGACGCCCTACGCGCGAATCCTCTTTTGCAAAGCAGGCAGGTGAAGCATGGGCTATATATTTGCTGGGGAGATATACCAGCCCGCCGAGCGGTGATGGCCAACCCACGACTTCCAGTCACAAAGACGAGATAAAACCCGAGGTATTTATTATGTTGAACATAACGAAAGCTGGTAATTACCATCCTCCTCCTCGCCAGAAGATCTCACACATTTCGAGTCAAAAACCGTGCTGCTCATTACAGATATATTCAAACCTCATGAAGCCTCGTCGTCCTTCGGGAAGGATCCTTCATCCTTCCGCTAACATACTAGGTGCCGTCGATACCTTTCTCGTTTATTCCTTCATGTGCTGCTCCTTTTTCATCATCGAGTTCACAACAATCGCAGGGCCCCTCGTTCCTCAGATCACGATATACCTCTATGGAGACTCTCAACTCCAGCTGAGATCCTAGTGATTGACTTCTGAGAGTCCTCGACGTCTCGTGTGCGTCACTGGATGACCATTCATTTCATCATCGACATATATGTGGCACGAGCCTCCATACTGCGCGCCCGCTCTTCAGGCGTCGGCGCCTCGGGTCGTGGCTTTTCTTTCTTTTCCTCTTTATCGGACCTCTTGCCAGGCAGAAGAGCCTTGAGACTTGACATTGTTGACGTGCTGCGGATAGATGCAGTCTCGGTCACGTTGCCGGTCTTGTCTTGTGTGGCGAGTGACGGCGACATGGTTTTGTGCCGAGTTGGGGATACAGTATGCTCGATGGATCCGGTGGCCTAATCCAATGATGGAGTCCTTGATATGGATCTGATTCTATGAGGCTATGATGCTGCCTGCTTGGGAAGACAATCGAAAGAGCAAAGATCTTATGCTTCGGAAAATGGATTCAAGAGGATATACTGATACGTGACCAGGGGGAGGAAGAAAGCAGCCTCAAGCACAGCACTGGCGCAGGTCTATATACCCCCCGTCCGCCTTTGATGAGTCTTACTACTTGGGTCCAGTATACCATTGAGACTAGTTAAACGAAGCGGTCGAATACGAGGAAACGCGGTCCCCATCGATCATCACTCAGCGTTCTGACTCACCCACCTGTTAGTATTCCGCGAGTAACTAGGTAAGCACTCAGGCCCCGTGCTCCTTCCGTCCGTGGATGCCTGCTCCTCCCTATGCGCAGGGACAACGTCCATTCGTTTATGGCCCTTTTTGGTGTCGTTGCAGGGCGGAGAGGATGGTTTGACACCTCTCTCATGGAGTGTTGGTGCCTGGCTTGCCAATGCGCGAAAGGGAAATAAAGGCCATGCGGGTCCTGTGGCCCGGTACTACTAGTATGTACGTAGTAGTGAGTACGCAACGCGCCCTATGATTGGTGTTCGCGCATACTGGAGTCTGACCAGCGTATTCGGATCCCCGCTGCTCATAAAACGTGCACAATGGAGGGTTGAGTCATTTTCGGCATCGCAGTTGTGTCCAGATCTAGACGTGCCCCTTTGCACTGCCAGCCTGATGACTCTTTGATTGTGGGGTTGGTGACATCCAGTATTCCAGTAGTCCCCCAGTTGCCTTTCTCGAAGCGGAGAATCAGGTCAGACCTCGAAAAGTTGGACGTGACCGAAGTTTCTGCCTGGATGGCCTTGCATATATGCTTCATCCTCCTGGGAAACGGTCGTCATGGTGCAATGGCAGTGAATGATCCGTTGTGTGATGTTCCCGGAGTTCACATGTAGCGTCAAAGTGCAATTGGGAGCATTATATTTGTATATATGGGAGGTACATAACATACCACAGGACTCGACAAGCTCTTATGCTCCATTCGGAGAGCCTTTCGCATCCTTTTTCTTCCTGTCGTCTCGTTACATCGCTGGATTAATTGCGCCCCTTCTGCATCGCAATGGCCCTTTCATGGCTGATGTCAAGTTCATGCTTCCCTTCGAAAACCGGATAGCTCAGATATACAACAAGCTCGCCGCCCTCTTAAGACTGCGACTTGAGCTTCTCAGTTAACTCGGGTACCTTCTCGAACAGATCGCCCACCAGGCCGACGTCGGCGACCTGGAAGATGGGCGCATCAGGATCCTTGTTGATACAGGCGATAACCTTGCTATCCTTCATACCCGCAAGATGCTGGATCGCACCCGAAATACCGGCGCAGAGATAAAGTTGAGGAGCGACGTTCTTGCCCGTCTGCCCGACCTGCAAACTGTTGTCCGCAAACCCACTGTCCACAGCCGCTCTCGAAGCACCAATAGCCGCGCCGAGAGCGTCGGCCAAAGGTGGGATGAGACGATCAAACTCTTCCTTGGACTTCAGGCCTCGTCCACCAGACACAACTTTCGAGGCCGATGCAAGTTCAGGCCGGTCGGACTTTGCCAGGTTCTCCGAGACCCATTCTGTAGGAGACTCAACCTTGGGATCGACGCCCTCCTCTACTGATGCTGAGCCGCCCTCGGTTTCTGCTGGTGGGAATGATGTTTGCCGTACGGTTAGTAGTTTAACAGGGTCGCTGCTCTGCACGGTCAGGATCGCATTGCCCGCGTATATGGGTCGGACGAAAGCTAGATCGTGTTAGCATCGCGAAGCCGCCAGCTGAAAACTCCGACTCACTATCTTCGCTCTCGATAGACATGACATCCGATAATTGCTGAACATCCAGCAGCGCAGCGACTCTGGGTAGCAGACTCTTTCCAAACGCCGAGTGTGATACGATCACATGTGTATACCCTCCCTTCTTGATATTTTCTACCAGTAGAGGCGCCCAGTTCTCTGGCAGCCCTCGCTCATATGCCTCGTTCTCGACCGCAATCACCTTCTCCAGTCCTTGGATCTTGGCCGCTGCTTGTGCCAGAGACTTGCCCGCTTTTCCGGCGACGAAACCATGTATGGGGCCCCCAAGTTTCTGACCCGCCGTGACAGCACCTAGCGAGCCAGTGTTGATTTTCCCATCCTTCTGCTCGAGAATGGCAAGGGTGGATAAGAGTCGCGCGAGTGAAGAGGATTGAGTCTGGGCGAAGAGGGACTTGGAGCACGTCTGAGCACGTAAAGTGCGCAGAGCTGAATGCCTGGCTACCGACAACATGGTGCCTGATTGACCCGCCTTGGAGCCTGGAGGTTATGCTGCTGGTCGTGCTCAAATAGAAACTAGAAAATCAACGCAAGCTGCAATCAATGTCGACTCATTGACATGTTTGGGTGATAAGATCCGCCGTATGTCTGTGCCTCGGGAAGTCTCGCCGATTTCGGCCTTCGTTCACCCATCGTTCGGTACACATACGGTTATATCAGGTCAGCCACGGCTTAGAGTCGACGATCAAGATGATGAGAAGGATTATCAAGTCATGGGTATCCATTTTCTGCTTAATAGCTATTCTGGACGGGCCCTCCAGAGAAGACGTTCCATTTCCATACGTTACCAGCGAGCACACATGTTCCTAGACACACACACCCCGCCATGCACAGACGCTCACTTTCCGTATACATACACATAAAGGGCTCACTGCAAAGAGCAACAAGTGCATGGATATGCGACAGAAACGACGGTGAACAATAAGGAAACGATGGGACCACATCCTGCACCTCGGGGTTGATAGACTGCTGCCCTCAGATGTAAATGCTGTGACAGAGCAAGAGCTTAGCTGATTCATTTCGGTTTGCGCCAAAAGTATTGCTACATCGGTCAGTCTCTTTCATACAAGCGAATGGTTGTTTGGTCGGCATACCTTGTGTTGCTTGCGACATGCTCGTAGTCCTGGTTTTCGCAAATCATTGACCACGGCTTCCCTCCTCATCTCATCTCCATCCATGTCCGGAATGTAATAGAACTCGCTCTCGAGTGGCTTTCCGGCAGCGTCCTTCCCTTCTCTCGAAACCTCGCCGATGCATGCAGTTCCTTTGACGATTTGTTTGATGGCGTTGATGGACAAGGTGCCAGCCTCGGAGGGCAAATGACTGAGAATAGTTGACCACGGTGTCGAGGACAATCTAGAGAACGCAAGTTGGTTGATGATATGACCTTGAACGTCAAATTCGGTTGAGTCCTTCTTCGAAGCTGCGGGAGCCTGGTTTGGATGCAACGGTTCAGTATGTGAAGAACGAGAACTCTTGATAGAATCACCGGGAAATGGGGAGTCTCCAGTGGTGAATGATGCCATTCGTGGTAAGAGGTTAGCACCAAAAGGTCCAAATGAATGAATGATGGGATCGTTTTCCTCATCGTTGTCGGAAAACTCCTCTGTTGTAATGGATACGTTGACCTGGGACATGGTGGGATTCTGAACACTCTCGGACAACGCTTGTGTAACTTGAGATACCTCTGCAGCATCACTGATTCCATTAGCTTCCTCTGGTTCGGGATCTTCGTAGATTTCGACGGTCTCAAGGGGGGCTCTAGTAAGGGGGAGAGGAGGTGATGATGGCAATAGTGCTTGGACAGCTGGTGAAGGTGAGACGGGCGAAGCAGGTCGTCTTCGAGATTGCATCGGACTCGGGCTGGGCGGCGTTGAATGGCGTAGCATGACTCGCTGGCGTTTGGTCGGTGAGTCCTCCTCGCCCTCTTCATCAGATGATATAGCACCCAGACGTGGCTTTGGAGGCCATCGGATAACCACGCGAGTGTCGTGAACATCAAGCATGATCTCAGCATCTCTCACATCCGACGAGAATGTCTCTCCCTTCTTGACTTCGTACACTTGACCCTTGCAATGTATCTTGACACCATTCCAGCCAGTGCATGTTATCTCCACACGATCACGCTCTAGACGCGAGCTGGCTGCTTTGTAGCATGCTTCGACATGAACTCGAGAGATCAGACGGTTTGCAGACAGCTGGTAGTTACATGAAGCACTCGACCTTCCCATACGCGTTGTCTTGCCGTCAGCACCAAGCTGAATGGACGGGACTGCTCCAAGCGGTGTGCGTTCTGAGAGGGTGGAAGAAGTTCTGGCAAGGTTCGGTCTCGGATTCATAACGCGTGAGGGTGAAGAGGTGAGAATATGAGTGGAGGAGGTCGGTACAGGCGTGGGATATGTCGTGTGCTCGTCGAATGCATCTCGGGTACGCTTCAGAGGTCTCGGTAGAGCTGGGGAAGATGATAACGGTTCAAAGGCAGGGAGAAGAGAGGTTGCACGACGTTTAGATCCCGGCGTAGGAGAACCTGTTATCTCTGAGAGGGTAGTAGAGGGAGCCATGGTGTGCTCTTGGCCTCAGCTACCCAGCACGCGGTAGCCGGAGTATGGCTGTTGACCAGCTCGAGACGCGTACTCGGAGAAACGAATTTGAGATGCGACGAGCAAGTCTGCTCGTAGAAAACCCAGAGCAGAGACTCAATGGGCCCAGGAAAGAGAATTAATAGTGGTAAATGAAATTCAAGGTGGTCGCTGGGATGGTCAGAAGAGTCGAGTGTGGGAGAGAGTTCGTTCGTCACGTAAGTAGCGCGAGGCGCGACGCACGGTGGTAGAATTCGCCTGTTGGTGGACACCCAGCGACGCGCTATGAGCACATGAATTTCAAAGCAAAACTGATGAAAATGTGATCTGGGAGGACATCGGTGCACAGAAACAGAGTATGATCAGAGAGAAGACATGTTCTTTGTAGAGAGGAGATGAGCAGGACAGCGCGAACGCTCTTCTCCTCGCAGCATGTGAACGAAGAGGACTACTCTGCTACCGGCCAAGCTATGTATGGATTACGATCTACTACCACATATTCCGAGCACATATTCATATCAACCAAACTCTAGAGGACTTAGCCCATTAATCTCAATGTTTTCTTGTATGGCATTTGTCGGCAATCCATGCAGCATCGACAGCGAGGCGTGTCGAGGTGTGAACAATGTGACAGTGACATTGCGTGCAATGTATTGGAGAGCGAACATCTCAAGAAGTTGGAGATCAACTGGAGTTCGAGATCCAGGAAGGTTTTCCGAGAGGTGGGGGTTTCGGCGCTTAACTTGTCCGACAATATTTTTTCCCATGGCCTTGATTCGAATGCAGTTTTCCACCCAGCGACTGAAAAGCAAATACACCATTCGAACATGACAGTTGCATCAATGGCGACTACAACTATGACCCAGGGGCGGCCCCAAGAGACTCCCTACCAGCTTGATCCTGACCAGGTACGCAGGAGCCCGAGTGCGGAACACAATTTTTCTGACCTTTGTCGCAGACTCTGAAAGCCTCCCAAGCCCTCCTTCAGCACGTCCAAGCAGAGACCAAGCGTCTACAGGAAGTTTCCTCCAAACGAGACCTTCTCCAGGCCGACACCTCAGATGCCGAGGACGACTCAGTGACTGATGGAGAAGCGCCCATATGGCTTACCCTCACCACTAAGCAACACATTGTCGATCACAACAAATTGAAGCCCAGCAAGATCTCTGTCCCACACTCACTCAACAAATCTCCAGATCTTCGAATATGCCTCATCACCACAGACCCTCAAAGAGCGATCAAGAACGTTGTTGCCGAGCCTGCATTCCCTGGGCACCTCCGATCTTGCATCACGAGAATAATTGGGTTCACAAAACTGAAGAACAGATATAAGACTTTCGAGTCCAGAAGGCAATTGTTGGCTGAGCATGATGTCTTCCTCGCAGACGACCGTATCGTCACTCGTTTGCCAGCCATCCTGGGAAAGATATTCTACAAGGGGACAGCGAAGCGGCCGATACCTATTGTGATCGCCCAAGCGGAAAAGAGCAAGAAGGACTCACAGCAAAAGTCGTCTAAAAGAGAAGGAGCTGTTCCACCTAGCTCGCCGTCAGCGTTGGGAAAAGAGATCGAGAAAGCCATTGATGCAGTGCCAGTCACCTTAAGGCCAGGCACGCTAGTCGCCGTCCGTGTTGGATTGGCTTCATTCAAGCCCGAACAGTTAGCAGAAAACGTGGCAGCCGTGGTAAAAAGCCTGGTCGAGAAACATGTGGTCAAAGGATGGAGGAATGTTAGAGGCATCCACATCAAAGGACAATCATCGACCGCTGTACCGATCTGGCTGGCTGATGATTTGTGGACGGACGCGGATGACATTGCCTCCCTGAAGGCGATCGATGGTGGCAATGAGATCGAAGAAGACCAAGGTCCTAAGCGGAAGAGGAATCCTGCAACGACAAAAGGTCCACAAGCTGGAGCACGGAAACGAACAAAGGTGGATGGGAGCGATGAGAAGCAGGAGGCCAAGAAGGTTGCAGAAGATCGAAAGAGCAAACTAGCGGCTCAGAAGGCGAAGATCTTCGGAGAAGAGGTGTAACGCTTGTCAAAAGGCAAGATGTTTAGACTCTTTGTACGATGTCATGAGCAGGAGTTTGGGAAAGCGTCTGGGGGACCTGGCATTGCTCTGGAGTTGAAAAATAGTGTAATTAACCAAATTTCACGCAAGGCTGAGAGATTGCGTGTTCAGCCAATCGAACAAAATCAGCCGCCCACCAAAGACACCCTTAAGCACCCTTAAGCACCCTAACAAATGAAGCTAGGTGTTGAGGCACTGAGGGGAGCACAAGGCTCGCTCGCTTGACATTCCCTATTTGGACACAACTGCGGGTGGTATCCGTATCCCAGATCAAAGGAAGTGAAAACAGAAGGAACTCAACTTCACTCTAAGCGTCACCAGTGAGTCACTGGCTGGAAGGTATCCGTGTTGATATCTGCAGCCCGATCTACGTTGCGGGTTATCCTGCAATTTCCCTGCTCCTCGTCATGCAAGCGATACTCAACGCTCCACAACACCGCGGACCGTCATGGACCGCAAGCGAAAACGTAGGCCAGATTAGCCTATATGCGTGCATCATACTGAGTGTGAATCCTAGGAGAACTACGTGACCTAAATCTTCGCGTCTGGACAGGCGCAAAAGGTGACAAAAGGAGTGACTACTTCAGCGCAGTGCTAATGCGCAGACAGACGTCTATGATGTCGCTCCCTCCTTCGACTCATCCTTGAAGAAGAACACTGCTTTCATTAAGCGTCTCCGCACTGGTATATCCTCGTCTGGTCAAGATACCTTTCTCTTGGAAATACGGACACTATCCCTGCAAAAATACCTTTCGGAGATCATTTCAGCGACGGCCGAGGGGTTGAGCAGACTCAAAACCGCCAGTGAAATCGCCGCTGCAGCAGAGATCGTCAGTGCACTTCACCAAAGATTTGGACCCGAAGAGTACACAAAGAAGTTGGGATGGCTGCTAGGCAAGGGGTTGACTCCTCCGGACAAGGCTCAGGTCAAACTCTGGACTGCTGAAGTCCGTGAACGTGAGGAAAAGGAACGGCTGCAGCGTCATCGCATTCTGCTACGAGTTGTCACAGAGTTCTGGCTTTGTGGTATACTTCGAGGGTTAGATGATGTCGACCGGCCAGACGATGTCTCAACTAGAGGCAAAGAAGCACCAACGCAGGCGGGGAGCAAAGTAGCGCCTCTCGCAAACGGCATCAAAAGTGACACTCACGCCGAACATGAACCATTTCCTTTGGAAGTGCTCAAGGAATTACTCGGCCATGATCCTGAACATGCCAACCTGAGTCTCGCGGTGCTCTTTGTGAAGAACTTTGCATGGGATGTTCTGGGTCTCAGATCTCCTACGGACGAAGGCCGGAAAACCGTTGACGCGGATGGTGCCGTTTTAGAGACGCCGCGGGAGGCTTCAGCCTCTAACGACGCCAACGAAGATGATGCACCAATAATTCCACCACCTGTCCGACAGCGGTTCGTGAATGTTTTTGAACGCTATTTGTCGAGTGTAAAGAGTCATGTCATACGAGATCAGAAGACGTTGAACAATCAGAGTCGCCGAAACGCCGAAGCCTACGTCAAGAGTGGTGAAATTTTTGAAGATAGACAGGCCAATTTCGAGAAGCAGGCGAAGGCCCAAGAGAAACTGGTCGCTAACGCTCAAATCCTATGCGACGTACTTGGACAGGAGATGCCAGATCTCGCAGAGAAAGACGGCACTGAGACTGCGGTTTCAGGTACCGTTGGAATGATCAAGACCGGCGAATATCTGAAAGACTCAGCTGAAGGCGCTGGTATCTGGGAAGATGAAGAGGAGCGTCGCTTTTACGAGAATTTAGTGGACCTCAAAGGCCGGGTGCCAGCAATTCTTCTTGAGGACTCCAAGAAGAAGTCCGAAACGGACGACCGCACGGATACGACCGCATCTGAGAGCAGCAAGCTTTCAGAAGCCGACGATCAGTCAACCGCCATCGCTAACAAGTCTGTGGGGGCCCAAGTCGATGCCATCCTTATCCGATTGCCCGAACTTCAGACTAAAGACATGGTGGATCAGGTCGCTCTCGACTTTTGTTTCCTCAACTCCAAAGCGTCTCGCAACCGACTCATCAAATCGTTACAGGAGGTTCCGAAAGGTAGAACAGACCTGCTTCCCTTGTACGGGCGACTTGCTGCTACTCTCGGCCAGTATATGCCAGACATCATTCAAAGCTTGATCTCCCACCTCGATGATGAGTTCCGAAGCCTGCAACGACGGAAGACAAAGGACTTCCTCGGCCAAGTTCGACTACTGAACGTCCGTTATCTCGCCGAACTCACCAAGTTTGGCATTGTCCCAGAACATGTGATCTTTCACTGTTTCAAAGTCAGCCTTGACGATTTCTCCCGAATGAACATCGAGATGCTTGCACATCTACTGGAGAATTGTGGAAGGTACCTTTTGCGAAACCCGGAAACCTCTCCGCGAATGGCATCCTTCCTTGAGACATTGAATCGCAAGAAATCTGCACAGCACCTCGGCAGCCAAGAGCGCATGCTGATCGAAAACGCACTGTACTACGTCGATCCTCCCCAGCGAGCCGCGATACAGCAGAAAGAACGAACACCAATGGAGCTATTCGTCCGTCAGATGCTGTACCTGGATATGACAAAGCGCAATTACATGAAATTGCTGAAAACCATTCGCAAACTACACTGGGAAGAGAAGGAAGTCGTTCAAATGCTGGAGAAAATATTCAGCAAACCGGCTAAAGTCAAGTTCAGCAATATCCACCTTCTGGCAGTCCTCCTCCAGGCGCTATTCCGCTATCACCAGGACTTTGCTATCGGCGTCATCGATAATATTCTCGAACAGGTCACTCTTGGTCTCGAACAGAACGACTTCAAGTTCAATCAGCGCAGAGTGGCTGAAGTTAAGTACCTCGGCGAGCTTTACAATTACAAGATGGTTGACTCGACCGTCATATTCGATACGCTCTACCGTATTGTCACATTTGGCCATGAGGGAGGCACTCCACAGCCCGACAATTACACACCTTTCGATCCTCCAGACGATTTCTTCAGGATCCGACTAATCTGCACGATCCTTGACACTTGCGGCATTTGCTTCGATAGGGGCAGTTCCCGAAAGAAGCTCGATTTCTTTTTGACCTTCTTCCAATATTACATGGCTACTAAAGATCCTCTGCCGATGGAGATCGACTTTCTGGTACAGGATACATTTTCTCTTGTTAGGCCTGATTGGAAGCTCGTAACAGACCTTGGAGAAGCTGCAAAGCTTTTTGCTGAAGCTGTCAGCGCCAATTACAAGCAATCGGCGTCAGAGAAGGCAGCTGAGCAGGCGGAGGAACTTGAAGACACCGGTTCGGACGATGATGCGCTTGGTGAAGGAGACGGTGAACTCGAACCGGAAGTGCCACAATCCTCCGACGAAGAGGGCGAGGTAAGGTCTTTCTTAAAAGCTGATGAATCTTGATTTGACATAGTTTAGGGCGGGATTGAGGAAGATGCTGGTGAAGAGAAACAGAACGATGATTCGGACGAAGAAGAGCAAATTGTGGTGCTGCGCCAGGAAGAACAACTCGATCCAGAAGCCGAGGCAGATTTCGATCGAGCCTTTGAGAGGATGATGAGCGAAAGCTTGGACTCTCGCAAATTTGAGCGTCGCGCCCAGTTCGACGTGCCATTGCCGATTCGCAAAATCCAGCGGCAACCTCTGGAGCCGACCGATGATGAACCGAAGACCCCCGTCGAATCTGAGCCGAACACAATGGCATTTTCATTGATGACGAAGAAGGGCAATCGCCAGCAGGCAAGTAGCTTTTATGATCTTTTCCAAATGGAGTGCCTCTATGAAATGCAAATCGCCCTCACTGACACTTTCACAGACCAAAACCATTGAGCTGCCTTCGGATTCGAGTTTTGCGGTTTCAATGAAGTCGCAACAAGCAGCGGAAAGAGAGGAACAACAACGTATCAAGAACCTAGTCTTGAATTATGATCTGCGCGAAGATGATCAGCATGATGGTATATCCAGTGATTTCCCTTATGGCCCTATTGTGCAACCCCCTTTGCAGAGGAACCCCAATACTAAGGGACTTAAACCAGGACTCGACCACTACAACCCACCCCTCAGCCGTGCTGAGAAGTCTGGGCGCTACGCACCTAGAGCCAGAAGACTGAATCTCAGTGATGTGGACTGGTATGGAACCAAAACTGAACTCGCTCGTGGCCCAGGTAGCAGAAGTGAAAACCGAACCGCTTCTGCCTCACCAGCCGGGAAGCAACCCCAAAATTCAAAGAAGCCAGGCTGATTGGCCATTCTTGGCCTCAATAGGACATAAAATCGGAGATGTGGCCACGATCGGCCAACCTTATCATCTTCACTCCACGACTATCTGAGGGTACAGCAGACTTTCGGCATCTGCAGTGCTGGATCCTCTTGGAAATGACTGAATGGTCGATATCAGTATGCCAGGCGTTTAGGGCATTGCGACACGTAACGAAGTGTCTCCCATATCAGTCGAGCAGAGTGATTATCTTCAAGACCGCGCGACAAGAGGAGCGGTGCTTATGCTGGAGATCAGCAAGTTTGACGCTCATGTGACCAGCATGGGCACCAGTATGTGCCCGGTCCGCGAGCGCCTCGATGGGCTGAGGGGAGTGTGAGGAAATGGCGCGGGCCAACTGTGTCCAAGGCGCTATGGGCCGGTAACCGTGAGATGTTTGTGGAGTTCCATGGTGAACAAGGGCCTAGGACCTTGGAAGGAGAGCTCAATCTTGTCAGAGCGGATATGGTTACTTGTGCTCATCTGCCCACCGAACTCGGTCGGCCACCGATCGACATCCCATTCGAGACCTGTGGTGGTGATCAGAGTGCGTCCGAGGACGGGAATGATACCGACATTCTCTGCAAAATATCCAGGCTCTAGATGGATTAGATTGTTGCTGCTAGCTAGGACAAATGACAAGCTTTGCTCCGACAACAGATATATTCGGCCCTTCAAAAGCTTTGTGTCGTTCTCTGCCATATATAAGTGGTGGATTTGAGAGAAGGCTTGGTCTACACGGCCGCCGAGTCCACCCAGTACGACGACATCCATCTCAGGCCCCAAGAATGCGGACTTATTTTTAATGGACCAGTCCCGGATCCACCTCAAGCATTTCGTGAAGTCTGTGGAATACTGATCCGGGTCCTTGACTACTTGTACTCCGCGAGCGCGATAGTGCTCACTGACAGACGGACTGAGCGAGTCGAGATCTCCGACTATAGCGTCCGGGAGACGCTTTTTGAAGCCATTTTTGGCCTCTTGATCGTAGTCAAAAAGCCTGTTGGCGCCTCCATCGGCGCATATCATCAGCGAGGCTGATTCAATGACAGCATTCAGGGCATTTCGATTGATTGGCTGATTGAGGATCAATACTGCATATGGGCTGCTGGGTCTGCCGTTCAACAAGCCGCAAGGGTACCAGTCTGTTGTCATTATGAGGAGCAAGTTGGATTTGGGAATCGCATGACGATGAATTTGCGAGATAAAAGCTCTACGCAAGCCTTGTGCTCTCTACCATATGTTCAAAAACACTTCACCGTAGAATCTCATACGGTCGACCAGAAAGCCAACATTTGCCGAGAAGAAACTGGAGCTTCAATTAATAATTGTGACATCAATTACTCGAAGCCGTGGCTCTTTGCATTTTGTTCTTTCCAGACTTTTCCCGTAGTCGTTCCTTGTACCTAGCGCTCTATTATGACTTTCCGCTCATTACGACCTTGACACGCAGTTCGACAAGAAGTTTACGGCATGTTTCGACCGACAGCAAGAATCGCCCTGCGCTCCGCAGCTCAATCCTCTCTCGCTCCATCTCGGACTGCGGCGGGACGAAGGTTTGCCAGTTCATCACCTGTCAATGCGCGGCGCAGTTGGAAGAGCAGTGCTGTACGATGGGGTCTCGCAGCCGCATTCATTTACTATTACAATACGAGTCCGGTCTTTGCGGAGCAACCTCAGCATAGTACGTCTGCCCTCACACGTGCTAGCTCTCTGTCTGGATATCTACTGACGGTGTCCTGTCTAAGATCTGTTAAACCCCAACGTTGACGCCTACGAAGATACTACTGGTACAACGTCAATAGAAGAACTCACTTCGCGACGAGCGCGACAGGCCGAAAAGAACACCTCCGTCCTGAAATCCGCCGCCGACAGCGTATCTTCTGAGAATGCATCAACATCAGTGTCTGCGGGCCAAGAGCACGAGCCGCACCATGCGAGTTCCGTCGCGGCGCTGGATGCCGAGCTGGAGGAAGAGGCACAGAGCGAAGGCGCATTCAACCCGGAGACAGGCGAGATCAACTGGGACTGCCCGTGCCTAGGCGGCATGGCCCACGGGCCTTGTGGGCCTGAATTCAAAGAGGCCTTTTCCTGTTTCGTCTTCTCGACAGAAGAGCCAAAGGGCATGGACTGCATAGACAAGTTTCAGAATATGCAGCAATGTTTCCAGAGGCATCCGGATGTGTACAAGGGCGAGCTAGAGGATGATGAAGAACTTGATGCGGGACTCGAGGTCGAGAGACAAGAATTGGTCAATGAGATTGCGGAGCGGAAGAGACAACAGCGAGAGGCGGAGCCGCAGCACCGGTTATTGGAGGAGCCTACTTCAGCGCCTTCACCTGTGAAGCAAACCAAGCGAGCGGCACCGAAGAGGGGGGAGCAGCCTGCGGGACCACAAGCGACGCCTGCGAAGGGCGAAAGCAAACCTGCTGCACAGCCAGAAGCAACCAGCAAGCCCCCTCAAGAGGAAGGCAAGGTCAAGATCCACGACGACGAGACGTATTCGCCTGAGCGGGAGAACATCCACGAAGGTCAGGAATCGAAGCCAGTCTCACAGCCCAGGGACAAGGCGCCAGACGAGGCTGCTGTGCCAGAAGCACCGAGCGCTATTCCAGCTGCAGCTCACGATGCGAGACGGCACACCGGCGTGGTTCCCAGGCCCGACGAAAAGTAAAGGAGAAGGGAAGGAGAAGTGTACATCATCACATCTGTACGAAATCATGTGCGGATTCATTTTGCATAGCAAGGGCAAGAAAAAGGAGTCCGATGAGGAGGGAAATGTACACCATTTGCATTGCAAGAACCGATCTGTACAGTACCTAATGGTAGACGCCCATGATAATAGCTCGCTCGAGATTTTCGGGTTAGGAAAGGATAAGGAATAGAGACACTGTCCCCTCCAGCATCTGTCTGCCTACCATGCCATTCTCCGTACCGAGTACTCGGCCATAACAGATCTCGTCGGGTAACATGCCGCGATTGATCTCCCATCGCGTCGCGTGTTCATCCAGCCGAAGCCTGACAGGGCAAGGCAATCTCGGGGTCTCTAAGGCTGAAGATAGCTTTTCAAACGCCTTTTCTTGGCTAAGCTGCCACGAGAAAAGGCGTCTCACAGTGTCTCCATGGCTAACATCACAGGGTCTGGAATCAAGCCTCATGTTTGATTGCTTATCGATGGAGTTCTGCATATTGGTGGAGATGTGCTGTGGACAGTCCTGGTCGGTCACGGTTGTTGGCTTTTGTATTCGAAGCTGTCAAAGTAACAGGTGGAGATCAGATAAAGTGTACTCCCACGACTCCGTGTAGTCCGTACTCCGTAGTGTTCGAGGTGAATTGGGTGGTACGGTGGTACCTTGTTCCCAAGGAGAAAGGGCATACCCCTGAAAGTATACATTTGGTGGCACCAGTGATTCGACGCGCTTGAAACACTGGCTTGGGACGATGACGGCTTTGCAAACCTCGTGGGAATCGGATTCCTACAGTCCAGACTAGACTGTTTGCAGTTCGGGGCAGTCAGCATTAGCGATCCGAGAGTGTGGAAGCCTAAGGTAGGAGGAGAACAGTGTGGTAGCATGCATATTAATAGGCGTCCACCAATTGACACACGAGCATACCTAACGAGTGACTTTGTTCCTCTACATACTGTGTCCGAGTACTGTGTGGTGTGCGGTGTACGCAGTAGAAAGAATGCCACCCGCCACTCACCGATTCACCGTGCCCTCGTGCTCTTATCATAGAAAGGATCGTCTATGTCAGTTATGATCAGAGCTTCCATCGGCCAGCAGGACCTCGAGGATCAGTCGTGGCCAGTTTGTGCTTGACGAGTGACTGGCTGGGGCGGGCGGCTGTTTTGGAGCCAAGCACCTAGCAAGCCCCATGAGAGGCCCGCTAAGGGGTGGCTCCAATGCCTAACACGATCCCTTGAACCCCCCCAGACCAATCGCTAATGCTGTTGGCTCACAGTCGCTCACAGTGGCTCACTCATCTCCTCTTTGCTGCTGTCTTCTGCTTCGCTTCCCCCCTCCCTCCATCCTTTGCCATCGTCGAATCATTCACCACCATCCGTTCGTCTCTCTTTTTCCATCACTCCATCCTCTTTTTCGCTGTCGTCTCTTCTCTTCCAGAAACCTTTTTCCTGTCGGTCTCGTTCCCTTTCCACTGTCGATTCTCGACATCGACTTCCTGTCGACCTCCTCCTTCAACCTGTGTCGCACTTCGCATCTCGCGTCTTTCCTTATTCCCTTGAAACCCTGGATTTTCGCCCTAATCGCGATTCGACCTCGTTCCAGAACCAGAACCCCAGGGCTCGACAGCTATTGTCCCTGGCCGGCGAAAACTGCTCCCTCCGCACCTTCAACGTTCTCAAAAAGCTCGTCTCGATACGTAACTCCTAATCACCACATAGCCTTTTCCCAGTCGAAAAGGAAAGAATTCGATCATTGCCGAGCAATATCCAACCCTCACCATTCATTGTTGTACACCCCGTATTTTATTTCACCGCGAACCAAGACCGCTTTGTACATTTGCACACCAATCTGCCCCTGCGGCCATTGTCAGCATCACACACAATCTCTCTGCACCCAACTGCCACAGCTGGCTGAATCTCTGGTTCGTCTCATCCTCGGTTTGACCCCAGTATCGATGCTGTTTCTGACCTCTGCTCATGCAGGCATTTCACTGCTGTCGCGCCTCTCACGTCACTAGATTCCCTACCTCAACCACTTCACTGCTACGAAACGACACAACCTTCACGACTCAGAGTGATCACCTAATATTCAACATCCGAAGCAACAGCCTACTCATACCCTCATTGCATTCACTTCTACGCGTTTCAGCGCACAGATATTCTTTTCTTGACAATTCCCTGACTTGGTCCGGGCTCTCAGCATAAGTTCCAGGATCCGGTCATCGGCTTGCACATTATACCTGTCTTTCTAGAAAAAAACAATGAGCATCGACGCTGGCGGTGTTGCTCAAATGACTTACCAGTCTCCTTTCAATACCTCGATCGGCGTTTCCGGCCCCGGTTTTGCATCCCGTGGAAAGGGTTCTCACATAAAGCGTCTCAGCGTTGCCCCTCCTCCAAAGATCTCGACCATCGACGAAACTCAACAGGCTAACGTCGGTGCCACACCTCGAACCAGTCGTGGTCACTTGTTGGCGGGGCTTCGAACTGCTCCCAAGTCTGCTACCGTGCCTCCTGTCACCAATGGCCCCGGTCTCGAAAAGAGCAGGTACGCCTCGGCACAGTATGGCAACAACGTTCCGCAGACTGCCACGGGCACGTACTTTCCCAGCAAGAGGAACTCCTACCATGGTGGCTTTCAGCAGAACTATTCTCTTGCAGAACAAGTACTTGCTCCTCCTGCTCTCGACTTCGTCGATTCGGTAGACACTATGGATCAAAATCTATACGATGAACTGGTAGCAACCAACAATTACCTGGCTCAGCAGCAACGAGCCCTTCAACAACAGTTGTTGAGTGTCACCACGGCTGCTCAGCACTTGGGTGGACTGAACATCAACTCTGGGATGATGACGAATGCTGGCCAGCAGTTCCAATCTCCCATCAGTTCACCCATGAGCATGTACAACCAGCAATTCCAACAAGGCTTGCAACCTGTTGTCCAACCAGTTCCAGGCAGCCCCGGTGTCTTTGCTGTCTATAACCCTATGACTGGTCAGTCCAGCTTCGTGCTTGACAACTCTGCCCAACAGCAACAGGAAAGCTCTTCTGCTCGCCGGAACGAATCTATGTCGCCTCCACCGGCTGCTGCTAGCTACCAACGTCAATTTGCCGAGCCCTCCTACCCTCTGACCGAAACGCGTTCACGAACTCCTCCCAAGTCGACACCATCTCCACAACAAGAAGTCGAACCTCTTCCTCCTCCATCTGCCAACGCTTTCCGACGAGGACACAGAAAGAACGCGTCATCCGTCAATCTCAAGACCAATGGTGAATGGGCAAAAGGGTCGGGCTTGAGAGCAGCTGGAATCCCTCAGACACCCATGACCGGTACCTTTGGACCTGGACAGGCAAGAGCTGGAGAGCATCCTCTCAGACAACCCAAGAACCCACCACATCTTCAAGAGCTGCAAGACAAGCCCACCTCGAAGCACGAAGGCAGCAAGAACTTTGCCACTCGTCAACGTCGCCGAGCTGTCCACGACTTGGTACGTGCAGGGCGGGAACGGCGAAGCGATGGTCGTCAATCTGGCTCTGGAGCTGGTACACCCGGTAGCGAAAACGAATTCAACTTTTCAGTCTCGTCTGACAACGACTCTGTCCTCGCCGGAAGCACCAGCCTTTCAAGCAAACCAAGCCTCGGTAGTCTTCGAGCGGTTGCTAGTGGTGCTATTGGCTCAGAGAGGAAGGAGAAGTCCAGAGAGCGATCTTCCGTCGACAGCATTGGAGCCATCAGTGCTAAGAGCCTCAGTAGCGATGAAGGCAATCCGATTGGAGGACCCATGGTCGAAGTTGAGCAACCTGCTAGACGCAATACTCCACTTTTGGTTCTCAGTAGCGCTGAGAAACGTAAGAGTGTGATTATGTGAGAGATGGCACAGGGCAGCGCCCGATATCCGTCTCATTGAGTACTCTTGGAAGTCTCAGCCACTCATTATCATCACGACTTGATGACCCCGATTCGAATTGAATTGGCACGACAATAGTATTACATTCGATGCTTCCTACGAGACAAGTACCCTTGATTGGAAGTACTAGGACTATCTTTAATGGGAACCAATCCATCGATTAGCTTTTCTTCTTGAGCTTGGCCTTGTGTGTTTAGAAAATTCCAGTCTTTACAGAGAGAATCAAGGAAATGGTGTGTCTATGAGACTCTTCGGGCAGAGACGTTTCGGAGAGCTCTGTACACATTTCGTCTTGTTATTGATTGCTCGTCACGAAACAGGAGTGGTATGTTGAAGCGGTTGCACTTGGGAGGGTCTTGTTCAAGTCATTGGATTTTCTCCTAGCTTCTTGTGCAGAACTTGAGCCCTGGGACGCAGTCTAGGTCTTGTGTGAAGAATGTAGTCGAGCTTGACCCGTCGCCCAAGGTAGTTGATAGCATAGCATCACGAATCAAGAGCTTTGCTTATTGCTGAAGCCTGTGTTGAGCATGATCTATCTCGTGCCCAGTGACACTCGTTGACCCTCATCTGCTAGCACTTCAGCTGGATGTACTCCGTATACAGGATGCTTCATTCATACTCGGCGAGCCACCTGCATTCCGTCGTCCCTGATTACTCGGGATTGCTGTCAACAAATTCGGCAAGAGTTCGACGATTGACGAGCTCCGTGAAAGACATTGGTCCACTTTATAGATCGAACTATTTCGAGGTTTGGTCCCGTATGAGCATCTTGGGGAGTATGGAGCATCTCGATTCAGGATCACACCTTGCCCGTCCCTTTCTCCATGATGATTTTCAACTCTTCTCGGGCGTTGTCTAAGTCTGAGTCCAAAGATGAGGCGCCATCAAACCATACATGTCCTACTCCCGCTGCTTGTCTTTTGGGTCTCTTCTTGACAGTGCTGCTACTGGTAGTGGTAGGGGTGGTGGTGGTGGTACTGCTGGTAATGAGCTTGCCCTCTGTGTCGAAGTGCACACCTTCCTCGGCAAGCAGGCGTAGCTTCTTGGTCTGGTTGATGCCGCTGGGTGCTTTCTCCCCTACATGGCCAACAAAGTCAGCCAGTTTCAGCGAAGCACGAGTCCTGAACTCGTGGGCAGTGGACGAGAGATCATGGAAAGGGGAATATAGGGGCTAACTTACAGTCCCCCATGAACCCTCCGACGAATCCGTCACTCGCAATGACCCGGTGACAAGGCACATCGGGAGCGTAAGGGTTGTTTCGTAGGGCCCCGCCTATCGCTCTGGGTGAGGTGCATAGTGTCCGGGCCAGGGTCGCGTAGGAAGTGACACGGCCAGGCGGGATGAGGAGGAGGTGTGTGTAGACTTTCTTTTGAGGTTTTTGTTAGCATTTATGTCTTTGTCTTGGATGTCCTGGCGGGCATCGTTGTCCTCTATGATGGTGGCTCCAATCTGTTCTATTCTGAGGTCTGAAGAGCAAGACAGGAACGATAAGGTATACGGGAGTCTAGGGAGGCAAGGGGATGGCGTTGAGAAGAGGGACGGGCTGGGTGGCAGGAGGGACGTGAAGGAGAGCAAAGAGGAGGTGGTGCTATGTGGTACTCGTATGAGAGGGAAAGAAAATGGAAAGAAGCACGAGGGAGATGACGGACTTCTTGGAATTCGGTGACGGCCATCGTCAATGAGAGTACCCGTTTGAGAAGGTTGTTGTCGATGCGAAGAGCAGCAGATAGGTGTGGTGTTGGTGGTGGTGGTGGTGGTGGTGTGAAGGGTCGATGTCTTTGAGACTGTTCCGGAGATCGAGGCTTACTGAACGTCTCTTCTGGCGGTTGTCTCGATGGAACGGCTCTAGTTCGATGGGTGGATTTGTCTGTGACTGCGAATAGGATGTGGACTCTATACTGTCAAGTTTCCGACTGAGGAATGTGAGATCTGAGACGAGTTTGTTTGTGCTAGACGATGGGATGGGTTCCCGATCAACAGCACACCTACGGGTCGATGTGCCCTTTTTGTATTCGGGAGGACTCAACGCATGGGTTGGAGGCTTACCTGATAATCACTTTCCACGCCGGTCGAGGACTAGAGCTAACTTGCTGCTATCATCCCGGTCATCGGTACCTACTAGTCAAGGCTGGACTGAAGAAATGAGACGGTCTGGAAGTGGAAGTCGCCAATAACGGGTTGGCGACCTAAGATGGGCACTGATGGGTTCCGAGTCATACATACCCCTCGTACCCTGCATGGCAGTAAGAGGGTCTCATTGATCAATGACCGCAGAGTTTGACACGGGAAGCTCGTCGAGGGAAGCCTCATGAAGCGAGATTTGACTATGGCTGTAACAAGTGACGATCTTGATTGGTCAATTCGACAGCAATCGAACAATTTATCTCGTCCGGTGATCCGTCAACGCGCAGTTGGCGCGACAATAGGCTGTGCAATGAGAATTATGGTGGCATGCTGATCTGGCTGGAGGGTCTCATCTTTGAGTGAATCACCCAGAGCATTTGAAGAGGGATCGAGTTGGCAAGTCGACGGGTAAGTGTCAAGTTCAAAAGGTCGATGTAGGATCTGGACGAGGCTACAATACATATATACACAGAAACTTCGGAAGAGATTGACTTAAAGACGCCTTTCACTCATATCATTCATTCTCCAGGTCATTCTAACAGATTGTGCAATTGATAGATCAACCAGGCTACCACTTATATCAGTCCTCACATCCTCCCGTCTGCATCGACCCAAAACCCCCTCTTTCGCCTCACACTCTCTCAGAAGCCAGCCACCAGCATCAATCTCCACCACCAGACAGAACCCTCTTCTGGGTGCTGCTTACTGCGACTCGGCCAACTCAAACAAGACAATCGTCTCACAAAAGTTTGCCCGGTTCACGCTGTACGGCACGACGTCTGTCCCCTCATAGCTGATCATGAATTGACTCCCCTTGGTGCTGAGCGCCCAGAGGTAAACGTCGGTGCAATTCTGGATGTCGACCATGCGCTCTTGACAACTCTCCGTGCCCAAGCACGCTTGCGTGTTCCAGTTCTCGAAGAAATTATACAGGCCGCCGCCGTACATGAAGATACTGGAAGAATTGAGCAATCTTAAACCCCAAGTCCTGGCACAGTTCGTCGCCGTGCAGTCCGCGTATGTCGGGTCGTTCCAGGTGCTCTGCGGCGTGAAGGGCGAATGCAGGGCGTCTGGGTTGCCCTGGAAATACGCCGTTTCATGCTGGATGTGGCCCATGAACACGTTCTTCGTGTTGGCGAATTGGTAGTCGTACATGACTGAATGTTCGGCCGCAGTGCCGTAGAGCCAGACGGGACCCTCGGCGGATTCGAATAGGAGGCCTCTGAAGTCTTGGTTAGCATTTGTCGACATGTATCACAGCTATGGCTCAACTCACGCTTTGTTGAAAATGTAGATTTGATCGCGCGTGGTCATGTCGAGTTCATGGTCGGCCACCCAGCCCCATGTATTCTCAAAATAGCCATCCGCTTCAGGCGTGACGTGGAGAAGCAAGAAGGCGCCGATGCAGTCGGAGAGGACCGGATTTCCTGATGCTATCGGCGTGCCCGGCGTCTTGATGCATTTGTCCTGTTGTAAGTCTGTTCCAGCAGAACCACCGATACGCCAGTGTGCATCCCACATGCCGGCCAGTGCTGGACCTTGAGCTTTGATGTTCCACTGTATAATAATGGCGCCAGGACAGGGTCCCCTGGTCTCAAACATGAGATCGGAAATTTCGACCGTGCCTATGTCGCCTGGATTGCCAATCTGCCATACTGGCTGTGGATTGAGTTGATCGCCGAAGAAGGATCCCGTGGCCATGATGACGGACAGCATTTCTCCCGTGATTTTCAGGGTTGGCGGTACGAAGATTGTGCTTGTGATGATATATGCACCTCTGTCAAAATACACCACTTTCCCCGTGTTTGCAGCAATGTTGAACAGGTTTTGCATAGCCACGGTATCATCTTGTTATACTGTCAGCAGTGGCTCTGCGTGGGAAGCGGTCATCTTACCTGTAGTGCCATCACCGGCAAGACCGTTGGCTTTTGCGCTCATAAAGGAGCTCCATTGAAGATTCTCATATTGCGGCTTGACGCGGTAGACATACTGACCATTGCTGTCAACCAAATTGGATGGGCGCGGAACTGGTGCTAGTTTTCTCTGAATGGTAGTCTCCTGAGCAGAATAGGCGGTTTGACTCGAGTTTGCGTAAGTACAAGTAGTACCATTGAAATTCTGTCCGTCAAGAGCCTGTCCAGCGGTAGTCCAAGCATTTCCTTGAGCAAACAGGTCGACGAATTGACCACCAGCAAGCACAGTTCTAGCTTGAGTACCACCTGCAGCGGAGATGGCGGCTGCACTCCCGGTGAAGTCGACTCTCTCAATTACCAAAGTACCAGCAGCCTGAGGCGAGCTGTAGCCCGGAGCGTAAGGGGTTAACACGCCTTGGGTGGCAGATATGACACTGTCAAGCAACACAAGCGAACCGGTGGCCTGGTTTGAGAAGCCACCATTGGTCATGTCGATACCAACGTCAGAATTGGTGATGGTGACCTGCGTGAACACCCATAGCCAATCGAAGTTCATCTTGATCGCTGTAGCACAGCCGTCAAATGAGAGTTTTCGGGTCGTAAACTGCTGGTTCCCAAGATACATTCCTATGGAACCGCCAGTGACAGAAACGTCAGAGAAGAAGCCCCCAGAGCCGTTCTCCATATATATGCCTTGTTGCGCGTTATTGACGACGTCTTTTGGAGCCATATTGATCACGATGTTCTGCAGACTAGTTGCTTGAGCGACTTGCCAGTGGATTCCCGCTGTCTTCAATGGAGCAATCGTCATATCGATGATGAAATTTCGGATCTGTCGGTAGAAGTTGTTTTGATTGGCGTACCACTCTCCTCCACTACCACTTGGAATATATATGTCTGCGTCCATCACAGCTAAACCAATCAGATTGGTGTAGTTGGCGGCGACCTTGATTGTGGGCGGAGTGACGGCATCTCCGACCATCTGTGTCATGTAGAACATGATGAGTGGCTTGGAAACGAGGTATGTACCAGGAGGGAAATAAACCAAAGCTGGTGTTATCGTGGATGACTGGCAAAAGGATCCATACGTCGAGTTGCCTCCACCGCAGCGACCTCCAAGCCGAGAGGTTATAGTACTGAGACTCCCAGGCGCCGCGATTGCATTATTGATAGCGTCTGAGTCGTCTTGGATGCCGTCGCCTATCGAGAAGGGTTAGAAAGGAGGTTGAGGGCCTGTGATCCACAGAACTTACCACGCGCCCCGTAGTCTTTTACATTGCGAAAGACTGGATAGCTGGGGTCTTGAAACGCGACTTTGCCAACATTCGGCTTATTTGCAAGCCAGTACGTCGATTGGGCGTTCGCAAAGCCCACAAGCAGGGCCGCATAGAGCCAGGCGGCGGTGTAAGAGGGCCACATCTTGCTGTACACTTCTGGAGAGGGAACGCGTGCTCCAGCTCAAGAAGTACGTATGCTATATCTCTCGAGGATATCGTCGAGGAAGCCATCATACGCGAGTCGAGATTACCTTGGTCTGTGACGCGAATCCATATTGTGGAATGTGACTTGGCAGGAATGTGCTTCGAGACATAAATTCCGCCGAGTAGAAATCTAGGAGGCCAGGTTTATTTCGTGGGTTGCAGTGCACATTTTACCAGCAAAATCGGCCAAAATCAAACCCAGCCACTCGCGACAATGAGGCTTGATCTACTCTTTCTTACCGCCATCGGCGTGTTTGCCTGTGGCAGTGGAGCGCTGAGGATAGAGAGAAGGGACGACAGGTCAGTACCTCAGGGGTGGTGAAGGCAAGGGGTGCCAAGGGAAAGGAAATAAGGCTGATCCGCAGACACAGTTCCGACACCATAGTCGATGATCAACAGCAGAACGGGCAGGACGACAACGCAGCCAGCTCAGTAGCCAACGTCGCTGCCACCGTCGACAACCCCATATGCAACGAATGCACCAAAGATCCTGGTATTTGTTGTGCAGTGGCCTGTCAAGGCGATGGCCATTGCCCTCAACTTGCCGTCGAGAATGCCGGCTGGACAATAGGCGGAGTCAAAATCACTGGACCCAAGCGTCGGTTCTTCCTTTGAATCCAAGTGTTGACAACAGGAAGATAGTTGTGGAGGATTCTGAAGGAGCGTACTGGAATGAGGTGAAATCTGATTTGGTATAGGATCCGCCAGGATACTGTGAATTATGCTATTTCATTTTGAGCAACGGGTATCAACTCCAGAACACCAAGCTCAACTGCGGAACTTTCCCCCTATCCGCATAAGATGACAAGTACTCGTACACCTAGTTCATCGGAAAGCGCATGTGGTATCGGTGTGCGCAAACAATTCAGAACCCGTCCTTCACTGGTTGCCGTATGCTGTTTTGATTTCCTTTTCATATTTGGCTTGGATCTTCTTTCTTTGGACCTTTTGGGCAGGAGAAATCAAGCCCTGTAATAGTCAGTATCGTGTGGTGAGCGAGGACCTGTGTGTCACTTACGTTCTGGGGAGTCCACTCTTCGTCTGCCATGACCAGACCATCAATGAGCTCGATCCCGGCCAGTCCCGCTTGACGACCGGCTTTCTGCATCTCTCCCAAGACGATGCGGTTGAGCTTCTTGTCATGAACCATTTCTTCTAAGTTCTCGCCCTGGATACCATTGGCCGCCGCGATTTTTTGCAATGCGGCCTCGACTGGCACAATGATGGCGATGGGCTTGGCCTTGTCTTCAGCTGCAAACACGCAAATGTTTCCGACCACGGGAGCGGTTCGGTACGCCGATTCCAGCTTTTCCAGAGCAATGTATTCGCCATTGAGTGTCTTGACCAGGTTCTTCTTGCGGTCAATGATTTTCAGGTGACCATTGGCATTGAATTCTCCAATGTCGCCCGTCTTGAACCACTTGTCCTCTGTGATGGCATCCTTGGTTTCCTGCTCGTTGTCCCAATACCCTTCTGTCACTGAAGGGCCGCGAATCCAGATCTCACCCTGGGGAGGGTTGTTTGTTGAGTAATAGCCGGCATCCGGGAAGTCGACCAGTTTGATCTCGATAGATCCGGGAATGTCACCAAGAGCGTTGGGGTCCCACGCCAAAGGATCTTGAATAGCGCCCATGGCGGAGGTCTCGGTGAGACCGTACCCTGAAATCATGGGAGTGACTGCGTAGCTGATGAATTTGATGGTTTCCTGCGAGATGGGGCCACCTCCATTGAACGCGATCCGAAGCCGACCGCCAGTAGCCTCTTTCAATTTCTTGAACACGACTGCGTCAAGAATGCCTGAGCCTGGAAGACCTCTCCCAAGCAGCATTTGTTTGAGGTTGAATGCCCCCCAGAACATGTTCTTGACAACAAAGGAGCTGCTGTTGACCTTTGCGAGGATTCCTTTCTTGACGCTTTCCCACACTGCAGGAACACCAATCAAGATGGTTGGTTGGAACTCGCGAATATCTCCTTTGCAGTTTCGAACCGAGCTGTCTGACAAGGTCTTGGGGTTGCCGTAACCCATGGTACCACCCCAGAATATACAAATATTCTCGAACATGTATTCGAAGATGTGAGACTGAGGCAGATAGGTCAGGAGCGCATCGGCTGGTCCGATATAGGGAGCGACCACAGACTGCACACCTGCCATTGCTGCTACCACAGCCTTGTGCTTGATGGTGACACCTTTCGGGGGCCCAGTGGAGCCGGAAGTGTACATGATGCAAGCCAAATCTTCCGGAGTTGGAGGCACAGGGTCGACAGGGTTATCGGCGCCCATCTTTCTCAACTCTTCGAAAGCGATGACTTTGATGTCTGGGTGTTCGGACTTGAGCTTTTGAAGGTCTGCATCCTTGATCTCGGGTTCTGTATTGTAGATGATGGTTCTGAGATTGACAGCATCTTTGAGGACCTTGGTCAAGACCGGAATGAGGTTCGGATCGAGGAACATGGCCACAGACTTTGTCTGGACAAGGGAATGTCTCAAGCCCTCTTCTCCTAGAGAGTCGTAGGCGGTGACAATGGGGATTGATTGTGAAGCAGCGGCATGTGACATGGCGAGCCAATGGGCGCTGCAACGGTCAGCAAGATGATTGAGTGAGATGGGTAGCAACGTACCTGGTAGCTCCATAGAGGTGCATCTTGTCATCCTTCTTCAAGCCCAGATGGCGCAGGCCAGATCCCAGGTCCAGAGCCAGCTTCTCGTACTCGACAAAGGACATGTAGGTATAGCCGCTTAGTTCGTAGTAAGTCCATTTCTTTTCGACCTCTTGCTCCTGGCCGTCCACCATCTTCTTGACTTTTTTATTCTCGACATGAGTCTTGATGATTTTCCTCGTCCCAATGGCTTTCGCATTCCCAAACTTGGCTGCGGCTCGCCGCAGGTTGTCATATACGGTCTTAACATCGTCTGAAGGCCGCACAATGAGCTTGTCCTTTGCCAATGGATGACGTCTCGGGATGGTTTCGCCTTCTTTCTTTTCGTAGCCAGCTGCCTCAACAGAGTAGGGAGGCTTCTTGGTAAGCTGAGGTTGCACATAGCCGTCAACCCTTGGGCGGTTGTCATTTTCTAGTGAAGCCATCTTTGGTTAACAGGGAAGGAGTCCCCTGATGCTGCGACCAAGGAGAGCTGTCGATAAAATGGTGGCGGAGAAGTCGCAAACCGTAAGGAACGGAGTAGTTTGAGGGGAATGGCTGGTTGAGTAACGTCAACCGTGGAGGCTTGGGCTAGGAATGGAGAAGTAAACGATGGATGGAGGAGGAGATGCTGCCTGCTAAGTTGAAGAAGTTGCAAGGCAAAACAGGAATAGACGACCTTCAGGTTTCGTGTGCTTGTTGGACTCGATGAGACTGCCTGCGACCGACAGAAGATGGAGATGGAGATGGAGATGGAGATGGACTTTGTTACGTCAACGTCGCCGTCACTACTGGCACTGGGAACGGGCGCAGAGGTTGGGTTGGCACTGGTTGGGCACAGTTGGGGCGGGTGGCCGTCTGAGTGCAGGTGTCCACAGGCGTAGATTGAATGAGTGGTTGGTTGGTGGATGGGTGGAAGATGAGGAGCCTCGAGCTTGGAAGTGGCGGAAAATACCTCACGACTCACGACTCAGAACTCGGGGCTGGTGCCTGGGGGATGTGATTTTTAACTGATTCGACTTCTCAGCTTCACTCACTCAACACCAAGCGTTCAATTACTTGGCTCCACGTCTTGGGGTAACTACCTCCCAAGGTACGGAGTACTACTCCATATTCCATCTTGGCTCGTATTCTCTATTGATCTTGGCTGAAGCCCCAGTCACAGACAGGGTGGTCACACGGTCGTCACAGAGAATGCCTAGGCGTCGCTCGAAGCTTACCACAGTAATCAACGAGACATCAGCACGCTGTCACATCACCAGTGTGGTTTTGTTCTCACAGTCCCTTCCTGGGAAGTCTTCGCGACCTCATCAAAACTCCGATCTCATTTTCAGCTCATGCCACCATACTCGGTAATGGCATCGCAAAAGCTTCACGACGTTCTCGGTCCTCCGATAGAGGATGCTACAGAAGGTAATGGCGCGCTCACCTTTTGGCTGACTGTCAGGGCTGTACCCCCGTCCTGATGCTCGATTCCAGAAACCTTTGCACTGTTCAGTCAAGACATTCCCAGCAATAATCTTGGCTTCATGGATTCCAAGCGGGATGTCATTGAGATCGAGGTCTCTGGCCACGAATATGAATTGCAACAATCCCCTGGCCTGCTGACTTCTAACCGAAAGGGAGGCACTACTGGGGCGGTACTTTGGAAAGTGACACCGTTGCTGGCTACGTGGCTGTCGTCTTTTCCTGTCCTCTTGTCCGGACTCGACGTGCTACATGCAGATGCGACTGTGGTTGAATTGGGTTGTGGATTGGCTGGTCTTGTTGGCCTTGTACTTTCTCGTCACGTCAAAAGCTACGTGCTCACTGACCAGGAATATGTCATGAAGTATCTGAGGGAGAATATATCGGCCAATACGTCTACCAGCAAGCACCACTCGAAGCCCACGAAAAGAAAAGGCAACTCCAACCTACTGGACGACCGTCTGAAGACCATGCCACTTGACTGGGAAACCGACAGTGCTCAAAATCTGAATTCGGTCATTGCACTCGAAGACTCGATCGACCTGCTACTCCTCTGCGATTGTGTCTACAACGATTATCTTGTCGAGCCGCTTGTCCAGATGTGTGCGGACATCTGCCGATTGAGGCCATCGAGTCCCAAGGCCACTGTAGTATTGGTGGCTCAACAGCTTCGCTCTGACTCGAACTTTGAGTTGTTCTTGGACAGACTGATGCAGGAATTCCACGTATGGCGCACACCTGACGAGAGGATCTCCGCCGAGTTGCGCTCGACTTCGGGCTACGTTGTTCATCTTGCCACATTGAAGGCGGTCAGCGACAGGTAGAATAGATTGATCATAGAAATAATCCTCCTCGTTACTGGTACAGAGCACCTACACAGTACTGCACAGTAGTTGGCTCGCTTACCCCTGATGCTGCCAAGACGCGTCCATTTCTGCGTACCTCAGGAAAGTTGCCGAAATTTGGAGCCTTCCTCGTGTATCTCGCCCGCAGCCACAACTCCTTCGTTGACCTTTTGCGGTCTCGGTTGTGGTTTGAATTATCAGTCATATTGTACTCCGTTTTGTGGTATTCAAGTTATTGGCCCTGCGCAGGGCAGATCGTGGAGTCATGGATTTGAACAAAACCATCGCCTCGACTCTGTCAGCCGATGCGAATATTCGAACCCAGGCAGAATTGGACCTCAAGCATGCGGAACAGCATCCTGGCTTCATTGGAGCACTTCTCGACATCCTACAGACCGAGCAAGACCCTGGAATCCGACTGTCGTCCGCAGTATATCTCAAGAATCGAATATCGCGAGGATGGAGCACGGAAAATACACCGCATTTACCAATATCCGAGCCTGAACGAAAGCCTTTCAAGGATCGACTCCTTCCCGTACTATCTACTTCTCCTCCGCTTGTTCGAGCGCAACTCATCCCAATCCTTCAAACGATTCTGCAGTACGATTTTCCTGCAAAATGGCCGGAGCTGATGGACATAACTCTGCAATTGATGAGCACTCAGGATGTCAATTCGGTCTATGCAGGGCTGCAGTGCTTGCTGGCTGTATGCCGCACCTATCGGTTCCGGGCTGGAGAAGAGAGAGCGAATCTGGACAAAGTGGTCAATGTCGGCTTTCCCGCCTTGCTGGCGATTGCAAACAGACTCGTGAATGAGAGCAGCCCGGAGGCGGGCGAGATGCTGAGGATATGCGTCAAGTGCTACAAGCACGCTGTCTACTATGGTCTACCACAACCGCTCCAGTCCCATCAGGCGACGGTGGAGTGGTGTACATTGTTCTTGACCATCATCTCCAAGGAAACACCAGAGTGGGCAATGCCCGAGGAGACCGATGATCGAGAAAGGAATCATTGGTGGAAGGCACGAAAGTGGTCGTACGCGAACCTGAACCGGCTGTTTGTCAGGTACGGCAACCCGTCTGGTCTCACAACCACCCAAGAGAAGGAATATGGCGATTTCGCAAAGAATTTCATCACGCATTTTGCGCCCGAAATGCTCAAGGTCTATCTGGGTGAGATAGAGAAATGGGTGGGCGGAAATCATTGGCTGAGCAAACCGTCCTTGTCATATACATTGATCTTCTTGGAGGAGTGCGTAAAGCCGAAAGCCATGTGGGACAAGCTCAAGCCGCACATGGACAGCCTGATCAAGCACTTGATCTTCCCCGTCCTGTGTCAGTCAGATGAGGACATGGAACTCTTTACTGATAACCCGCCGGACTATCTTCATCGCAAACTCAACTTCTACGAAGAAGTGTCTGCGCCAGACATGGCTGCCACCAATTTCTTGATTGCGTTGACCAAGTCTCGGAAACAACAAACCTACGTAATCCTCTCATATGTCAACGAGGTCGTCACCCGCTACGAAGCCGCGCCTGATGACCAGAAGAACCCCCGGGAGAAGGAAGGCGCTCTCCGGATGATCGGGTCCCTTGCCTCGGTCATCTTGGGCAAGAAGAGTCCAATTGCTGATCAAGTCGAGTATTTCTTCGTACGACATGTCTTCCCCGAATTCAGATCTCCACATGGCTTTCTCCGAGCCAGAGCTTGTGAAACCATGGAGAGATTCGAGCAGCTCGACTTCAAGGATGCGAACAATCTCATGGTCATCTACCGAAACATCCTGGAGTCCATGGCGGATCCAGAATTGCCAGTTCGAGTCATGGCATCGTTGGCCTTGCAACCGCTTATTAGGCACGATGCAATCCGAATAGCCATGCAATCAAACATCCCCCAGATCATGCATCAGCTTTTGAAGTTGATGAACGAAGTTGATGTCGACGCACTCTCGAATGTCATGGAAGACTTTGTCGAAGTCTTCGCCGAACAACTCACACCTTTCGCTGTTGCATTGAGCGAGAATCTGCGTGATACTTATCTCCGGATCATCAAGGAGATACTAGAAAGGAACGAAGCCAAGGCAGCCGAGAGCGGTGACGAGCCTGGCTACGGTGACTATCTCGACGACAAGGCCATCGCCGCTCTGGGCGTCCTGCAGACAATCGGTACTCTTATCCTTACTCTGGAAGCGACTCCTGACGTCCTTCTTCTCCTCGAAACCATTCTCATGCCGGTCATCACCATCACCTTGGAGAACAAGCTCTACGACCTCTACAATGAAGTCTTTGAAATCATCGACTCCTGCACTTTCGCTTCCAAATCAATATCTGACACTATGTGGCAAGCCTTCGAACTCATGCACAAAACCTTCAAAGATGGCGCAGAGTTGTACCTGGAAGATATGCTTCCAGCTCTGGACAATTTCGTCTCGTATGGTCAGCAGCGTCTGATTAATCACCCTCCTTATCTCGCTGCCCTAGCTGGCATGGTCAGGGATATCTTTGCTGATCCCAAGGTTGGAGGCGTGGACCGCATCTGTGGCTGCAAGCTCGCTGAAGCAATGATGCTAAATCTCCGAGGTGGCCCTGTCGACAGCTACATCCCGACGTTTGTGACCCTGCCTATGGAAGTCCTTACTGGGCCTCAGCAGAAGACACTCATGAAAAGCTACAAGATCCACCTGGTAGAGATGGTTATCAATACTCTCTACTACAATCCAATCTTGGCACTGCAAGTCCTTGAAGCTCACGGCTGGACCAACAAATTCTTCTCCATCTGGTTCGGCAGCATCGACTCCTTCCGCCGAGTGCATGACAAGAAGCTCTGCATCGCCGCCATTTCTGCCCTCTTGACCATTCGAGCCGACCAGGTCCCTCAGTCGGTTCAGACTGGCTGGCCACGACTCCTGACTGGAGCAACATATCTCTTCCGCACGTTGCCCGCGGCCATGAAGCAGCGTGAAGAGGCCGTCAAAGCCTCTGATGGGGTTTCTGACACGCTTTCGGAGTACGCCTCCGACGATGATGCTGAAGACTGGGCGGACGAGCCGGCTGGAGAACAAGGACAAGAATGGGCCAATATCAACACCGAAACGTTGCCTGATACAAAAGGTGACATCAAAGACGAGTCACAAGCATACCTTGACTTCCTGAGCGAAGAAGCCAAGAAATTTGGCGCCCTTGCCGACGATGACGATGACAGTGTTCTCGACGAAGATAGCCTCCTCGAGAGTCCGCTCGACAAATTCGATCCCTACGGCGCTTTCAGAGAGTCTCTGGGCAAGCTACAGACGGAGCAGCCACAATTGTATCAGAACTTGACGTCGATTCTCGAGCCAGGAGATCGTGAGGTCTTGCAGAGCGTCGTCACTCACGCGGTGCAAACACATGCACAGGGGCAAGTCCCAGCTTAGGTACCGGAAACAATGCCTGAACTGCCGAAGGAACATGCTGTATGGGCTTCTACGTGGGTGGAAGGTGTGCACATGAATGACTGCCTGCGCAAGAAACGCAGATTGTCGCGCCTTCGCTATGACGCCTCACATGGGGTCCCGCTGATCATGAGGACCTTTTTTGTTCCGCGGTGCGCGGCCTCGTTCAAAGACAGCAAAGTCAATCTCCTCGTGTCTCTTCCGACTAAGTGATCAATTGAGAAGAATAGGTTTCAAGCTGTCAAATGGCTGGTGACAATTGGGCTTCCGAAGATGGGAAGAGTGACAGAAAGAGCGAGGAGAGCCAACTTGTCGGAAGCCATCATACTATCAAACGGAAGAGAACTGAGATTCTGACGGGACGGTTCTGTGCGAGGCATGGCGTGATGCATGTCTAGCTTTGCCTTGAGATGGGACTACCTTGAGATCGGAGATACCTGCATGTCTAGCTAGGCTCATGCTCGGTCCTTTCAGGTAGCTGACACCCCAGGCATGGAGACAAGAAAGAGAAGAGAAGAGAAGGAGAAGTCTTCATCAACCAACCATTGTTACCCCAGCACTGTAGCCATCGAAGTGTTGGCAGAAGATATAGCCCAAGTAGAGATTCCCAAATGCCCAATTCGAAGTACCATCCGCCCGTCCTGCCTCCATTGAAGTCTGCTCGCTCTTCGTCTGGCTTGTAAGAGATAAAGCCATTGGACCGACGAGGAAAGACGACGACTCTAGCTCTAGCAGCGTATGCTCGAGACAGGATGATAGCGAATAAATAGAATTTTGTTTCGTACATGATACTACCAATCTGATAAAACGCTCAACAACTTCAGTCACTTTTGCAATTTTCCCGTGCCATTCATTTACGGATGTCAGTCCTTGTCGTTGCCATTGCTTTTCTCTGTTCACAATCTCACACATCCTTCTGACACAATGTCGTTCATCTACACACCAGCACTTGTGTAACAATGCTGGATCCATCCATATCCATGCTCCCTCGAATATCCCATTTGTCCATAGTTCAAGTATTTGTTGACTCCTCTCCATCGCTATGCTGGCAATAGCTCACAGACACACAGACATGGCAGACACGGCGCTCCATATTCCTAGCCTTGCCCCTGTACCCAGTATTTGTCTAGGCCTTGATGCTCCTTGTTTTCACCCACCAGCTTTTGTGGATAGCTCGAGGCGCGCGGTCACTTCGACAGAAGAAAACAAAGCCAAGTGTCTAGGTCGTTCCCGTCCATCATATGCAAAGAATGTTCCATGTGCCATTTCCATCAAGAATCCCCAGCCCCCAAGCTAACCTCTAGCACCGCCCGCCAATATTCACGATACAAAATAGGGAAACACATGTGCATGAACCTGCAAGAGTCAAGTACATGAAATGATCAAAGAAGCGAACACCAGTTGCTGAGCATGAATCGTGTCGTCGAAGTCGTTATCGAATCAAGAACGCCATGACAGAGGGCAAAGTTCGGATTTTGACTGGTTTAAGCAGGACTCTTCGCAGCCTGCGGGCCACCGTTGCGACGAGGTGGCTGGTTCTCATCACCCATACTCAGATTGTTGAGACCGGCAGAGAGGAATGCGAATGGGTCTGCACCTTGCTCGTTGCCGTAGAAGCCGTTCTGAGGAGGCATACTGCCTGGAGTGTTGTCGGCGGCACCACTGAAGGCAGCTTGGGCTGCAGGACCGAAGGAGGAGTGAGACATGTTGCTGGAGGCGTAACCAGGAGTCATGCCGCCCATTTGGGGGAAGCCAGCTCCTGGACCACCCATACCCGAAGGCAGGCCATAGTGACTTGGTGGTTGAGGAGCAAATGCAGCTCCTGAACCGAAAGCAGCTGCACCAGCACCGTACGGTGCAGGGCCTGGAGTGCTAGCCATCGAGCCTGGTCCCATACCGAATTCCGAGGGAGGGCCCATTGGTGACGGATAGGAGGAGTCGACAACAATGGCAGCACCCGAGCGAGGAGCTCCGCAACGCAGGCAGTTGACGTTTTTGGCGAAGTTGTGATATTGGCAACCCTCTGCACCGCATCGCCAGTCTCCAGCTCGGAAGGGGACTGGGCCAGCTCCACCTCGTCCATGTCCATGATGTCCCATGCCATGTCCGTGATGACCCATGTGAGGATGATGCCCCATCATATGAGGTGGTGCGTAGCCGTAAGCATTGTAGCCGCCGTAAGGATCACCCCCACCACCCGAGCCTGCAGCAGGGAAGGAACAGCGGAAGCACGCAGTCCGGCGTTGGAAGTTGGAAAATCCACAAGAGGGACAGTTCCAGTCACCTGGCCTTGGTCGGTTTTTGCTTGGAGGGAAAGGCGTCAGGATATCGGCGGCACGATCGAGGACTCGACTTGATGAAGGCGAGACCTCGATGGCCTTTTCGTTGAGAGCGCGTCCGTTCATACAGAGACTTTCAGCGGCCTGGGAGAAAAGACAGGTTAGGACTAAATTCTATAGGTAGGGTGACTTTGACAGGAAGTGAAGTGCAGGTTGCAGGTGGCATGTTAAATTGAAGGGTGCGGCAGAAATGGTGGTGAAACGTACCTCTTCGTGTGAAGAGAAGACGGCAAACCCGGAGCCTGTAGGCTTATGCTGGTCTGGAGTACGAAGAGTCCAGAAAGCAATGGGTCTTCCACCAAATTGAGTAAACCAGCTTTCGAGTTCCGACTGGGTCGTGTCGTGCGGCAGGCCGTTCATGTGCAGGACTTTGCTCCGTTCTTTCAAAAAGGCATTGACATCGGCTCGGGCATCCATTGGGCGAGTCAAGACATCCGGATGTTCATGCGCGGGCTGTGACTTCCGGATGAGGCCTCGCAGGACCCTGGCCAGAGTGACGGCTTCCTCCATTGCCCGACGAGGGGAGGCAGGAGCAAGAGCCTGTAGGTGGAAGGGCAAATTATGCTTGATTGGAGCCGAAGATTGCACAGGCTCCACCTCGAGAGCAGCACAAATGTTTGCTAAAGAGCTGGGGCCGAAGGGCAGGGACTCGGGATGGTGCTGTTGCCAACGGGCGTACTCTGAGCGCAGATCAAAAGTCCGCGAGTGTTGCAGGTAAGCCGGTAGGACGACGGCCTTGTCGCGAGCCTCGCGGGGCAACTGAACACGCAGGTCCCACGCATCCAGTGTCACAAAGGAGAACTCCAGGTTCTTGGATGTCAAATGCTCTTGGGCAAAATGGTCGAAACGAGTCACGGCGTCGCGGAAGGAGCCGGCATTGCGAACATGCTCCCAGGTCAAAGTGGTGAGGCTGGCTGCGAGTTGGGGATCAGTTCATGCCACACGCTGTCCGTGCCGGAAGAGGACTCACTGCAAAGCGGTGTGATGGGGGTGTTTACTGGCTTGACCAGGACGCTCTCTCGATAGATCTGGTTCACCCGTCAACGCTCCGGATCCTTTTCTCTTGCAGCTATTTCGCCGGGCCAGGAATTCCGCATACCTCGTCACAAGTCTTACTGTCCAGCAAAATCCATCCCAGCTCAATGACTTCTGCCGAATCTTTGGTCACATAAACCCCGTGTTCGTCGCAGGTCGTGGCCACGTGGATGATCACGTAGCGGTCGAGCTTTGGAGATGGCGGAGCAGCGGTCGCCATGGTCAATCGGACAATCAGCGAAGGATTGGGTTGGGATGAAGGGAAATGAGGAATCGGTGGTCCGGATGGATTGAAGGTGCGAGAAATCGACAGAAATCGACCGTGCTGACGATGGTTAGCCAGGTATCCAACAAAAGTGCCGGCCGTCGAGAAAAAGTCACCAGACAAACGACCAGAAGACGAAGAGCTCCGAATTCGAGTCAGCGAAAGCAGAAACCCGACCAACTCCAGCAATTCCAGGCCGCAATTTTTCAAGAGCTTGACAACGACGCAGCAGCAGAACCTCTCTCGGTTCCTGTAAAACAAAAGTATATCGGTGAAGGAGAGGCAATGGTCAGGATGCTGTTGGCTGCGGACAAGTGAGAAAATGAGGATAGATGGCGAGATGGATGGCTTCGCGAGATGGAGGTTTAGAGGTTCGGTTTCGAGGCGAAAAATGGGTCTGCGAGTTCTGGTCTACACTTGAAATGGATGTCCGGGTTTTTTGGGCTTCGGCTTACCAGAGCACCAGATCACCAGATCACCCTACGATTACTGCATAGTACAGAGTACTAGTTATCAATGTTCTCCTGCTTGTTCGTGGGTATGTAACTACTCTTCATTGATGGCGTTGAAGCTCGCACACTCTCAGTACCTCTCTCCGGAATCGGGAGACGAGGGTACCGTGGCTATCAATTGCCATGTCGTCCTACACGCCCGGATGGCTTGATGGATTGATTGACAAGCACTGGTCAGGAAACCCTACGCAGGTGCTAGGAGACCAGACCCTTTTTCTACCAGGAAGTATTTGTACACTTTTTGTCCGAGGACGTCTCTTTTTGCACCAACTGTCTGGACATCTGCAGCATTTGACAGCTTCCTTCTGGTGCAGTTAACCGTGGCGGACTCGCACAAAAGAAGATGTCAAAATGTTCCCCAATTTGCTTGGTCTGAAACAAGCCCTTGCGTGCCCTTGTTTCCTGCACCGCCCGCCCAGTGGAGTGTCAAAGCCTGGTTCCCTTGAGGTCGCCCACATGAGGTGATGAGGCCACTGATGGGAGCTCTGGAAACTCCGCAAACGTGGGCTGAGTCTAGCTTTGCAGGGGCGTGAATTGACGAGATTACGCATCCCATCATTTTCCATCATCGGCTATGTTCCTGATACTGGCACTGACCACTGGTACCATATACCGCCGTGTCCGTGCGGTGGGTGGCCTTTTAACGGGGCGGGCAACGCCGTGGCGCCCGGAGAAACAAAGCCGCCAACGTCAATATCACAGGAGACAAGTGCACACGCTGGTACTCCGTATCACACACCTGCACAGTTGAGATGTGCCCATAGCCTTCCCTTATGCGGATTGCCAAAGTTTGACCAACAACAGAGGGGCTGTATGAGAAACCACTGTTATGAACCCAGCAACCGAATGGTCTTGTTTTAAACCGGAACTTTTTGGTTGGAGCCTCTTCAATGGGTTTACAGGGCAATAAATGGCCGGACAAAATGCCATATTACGAGGCCCTACGACGCCAGCTCCCGCAGTAGCCGTGCAAATTCGGCAGCCTGACAGCTTTCACGGCGCCAGCACGCTCAATCACCAAGCTAGAGGCGCTAGAAGCACCGCTGGGAACATTCGTCAAGGGCTCGCCCACAATTGTCCAACACCCAATCGGCTATCTCCCTACACAACGGTCAGCACCCAACCACGTTTCCTTCAAAACCTTCGCCAATTCCATCAGCTCGGTAGTGACCATGGGCATATGGCATACGGTCGATCAATACAAATCTTCATCTGGGTGTTGCAATTCTTTCGTGCAGCGTTGATGCCCAATGTTGGAAGCAGTCGGAGATCAATCCATGCACGTTGTGGGTATCTGCTGGATCTAACTGATCAGCTTGTACTACATGCTACGGATGATCCTAATGGTGCCCAACCCGAATGTCCATCCCCATATAACACGACACCGAGCCGACCTACTTGGAAGGATGCACTGTACATGCTTACAGTCTCGCCGCATCTAAACGCAGGTTTGCCGATTGCTGATCACTGGCTTCGACAACGGTCAAGTCGAATGCAGCCTCGTAACCGTTATATGCAACCCCTCTAAGATTCCAGGCGGATCTTTCCTCAGTCTGTGTGTTGCCTCCAGCATCGCTAGCTTTGGCAAAGATCCTTCTCCCTTCACCTTTTTCCACCTTGACCCGCACGTTCCACAGCACCCAAGCCCAGCGACCGGCATATTCGCCACCATTGTCAAGTTGCGCATCGGTCCAAGTATTTCCTTCGTCGCCCGAGACTTGCACTCTCACCACTGGACCTGAATGGCCTTGTGGAACGGCATAACCAAGCACGTCGATAAATCCGGAAGCAGGAAGCTCAATTGTGGATCCTGAGGTAGGCCAGGCGACGCAGGAATTGATGGGCATCTCCAACATGGACGGGCATTCAGCCCAATACTTCTCAGCTGTTTTGGCATCGACTGCTTCGCGAGGTAAGACCTTGTAGTCACGCTGCTGATAGAAGCAGGGCGATTCCTTGTCCGAGACAGTGATGTGATCAAGCCACTTCACAGAACGAGCCCCGAGGACCCCCGGAACGATCGCTCGAACAGGGAAGCCGTGACGAGCTTCGAGAGGCAAACCATTCATCTGCGAAGGAGGGGGAAGCGTCAGCAGCTGAGCTCAGTCTTTGTGCAGGCTGCCTGTTCAAACCTTGACTGCCAGGATTACCTCCATCTCCGGATCCATGGCCCTATCGAAAGGGATGCTCCCACCGTACCATTCGTCTTGCTGGGTCTTGCCTCCATAATTGGTGAAATGGACATGTTTCGGTGTGACATTACCCTGCATGGTGCGATTTTCTTCCACGCCAGCTGCGAGTATGATGTCTCGCACCAAAGGCCCTTCGAACGTACAATTCATCACAGCACCGTCAAACCAATCAACTCCGAGCACTTCCTTGATTCGGGTACGCATGGTGTGCCTTCGATTCCCGGCACATTGAAGCGTGCAAATGACGGTGTGTTGAGGGAAATTGTTCACAAGCTGGGCACAAGTCAAATTCATGGGTCTGGACACGAGCCCATCCACCATCACACGGTGGTCACGGCCACTTTTGTGCTGGATGGGGCCGTGATTGCGATCATAGTGGTCGCTTTTCGTGATGAAACTGTTGAGGCCTTAGCTGGCTGATCCGAAATAGGTGGGCAATTTTTCTACCTGGAAATCAAATCCATCATGCATGGTTCACGATTGATCGGCTTTTCGACTGTCCCATCGTCAGAAGGGCAGAAGTTTTCCTTTTCCAGCAGTCAGGTAAGCCAACCTCCGTGGTGGTTTCAAGGGAGCTTACGATTGGCATGGTAAGTTCGTTGCTAGTAACAGCACAAGTTATACCCGGGAGTCTATCTCGGAAAACGATACCTGCTATCATGAAATCCAGTCGAGAGGACTAAAGTGGGAGAAGTGAGGATATGCAGTCCTCCACCGCCATCTTGTTCATGCTGATAGCCGGCCGGCTGTCCCAATCACAGGACCAAACAAGTGCGGGGTCCACCCTGGCTTACTCTGCGTGCTCTGCATACCGTTTCTTCTCAAGATATGATAAAGAATCTTCAAAATTGTTTTGATATACCTCAGGTTAGATGTATACAATATTTCCGGCTTCGTCCAGCAAGGCTGCGCATGTCAGGATCATATCCACAGGTCAATAGGGGCGACTGGGCCGTTCCGCCAATCAATGAACCAATTTTCGAGTCCGCAGCGAGCACGCAATCGTTTCCTGCGCTGAAGCCTCTATGGTGCGCCGTTCGTGGTGTCTTCTCGTCTATACACTCCCCCCTATTGTAGCACATATCTCGGTTCTTCCCGTGCTGGGCTATTCTTCTCATAAAGTTGAAGTGCTATTCAAGCTGTTCTGCGCCCTTACTGCACCAGGTCCGTCCAAGCGCGTGCGGCTTGCAGCAAGAGGGTTGCTGTCTCGGCAGATCACGAGTTCTTGCTCCAAGAACGGCTCTCAAAATGTCTCTTTGGTCGTAAGTATTTCCCTCCAGACCGATACACACTCGCCAGCAAGGACAGAATCCTAGCGTGCGCAAATACCCTGCTGACCGTCTTTCAGCTCCTACAAATCCCTGTCACCAAAGACACGCGCTGCCATAGGCTTTGCAATGATGGCAAATGCTGCCGCCATGCTATTGTTCTCCGACCAGATCGAAAGTGCGCTCGGTGTAGCGTCAAATCCTCAAGACCAGCAGAGCATCCTCAAAGTATACAGCGTCGACAGAGAACAGAAGAGTTGAACAGGTATCGAGAACAGACAAGATGAATGGATACTGGTAGTGGTGTGCAATCACTCGAATGGAAAGCGCATCGACTCCGCCGGACTACGGTTCAACCAACAGACAAGGGGACTACCGCAACCAGAGAGTAAGCCACATATGGAGCTCCGCAAGACGGCGAGTGTCAAAGTTGAATGAAACCGGCGTATAACGATGCTGAACAACGAGCGGCCAGGTGCAACATGTCATCAGGACGATCATGGGTCTGATGCTTGGAAACTCCATCCACGACCAGAGCGTCTCCGGCTGTAAGATGCCATTTTGGCCGATGTGCCGACAACATGAACCCATCTAGAGTTCGAAGGGATTTCTAATATCTATCGGAGGGACATTGTGAACTTCATGGGGGCATTGCTCACGCCGACTGTCTTGCCCTTTCATTCAGGCCCGGGCAAGGTGATGTTATGCATGGGAGCCACATGAGGAGTATGATGGTGAAGTCGGCTCCGTACCAGGCACAAGAATTACTGCCGCCATGTTGCCTTTTACGGCAATTTCACCTGCCCGATCCGGCTGACCGCCTTGCTTTTGATGAGCCAGCATCGATGGATACCCAGGTATATAATATCTTTTCCAGTCACGTGTCAACTTCGGTTTCTCTTTTGTATTGTATCCTCGAGGTTCTTGCCGAATGGCCTTCCGCGCCACCCGGAGGGGCGTCACATCGTGATTCACCTTTGGGTCAGAACACGGTGAAATGGTTTGGACGTGGTAGAATCGCCTGGCTTCCATCTGGTCATCGGCTTCGACAATGCCAAGGACAGCGCAGTAGTCTATGGAACAAACAGGTAGAGATCGGTATGGGATTCTTACAACAGCACTGTGATGTCAATCTCCCATTCGTGAATAGTCGCGATGCACATAGGTAGGATGTTGCCGGCCGCGGCTGTCCAGGTTCTTGACATCTGTGATCTCCAGAGTCCCATCAGAATGGGAATACAAATGTCAGGGACTTTCGGATAATCATTACGCCGTTTCGAAAATGACTAGCGAGGATGGATGAATCTCGACCCTGTGACGCATTAGAGCATCTACTTGATTCAAGAGGAGGCCAAGCTCCATGTCGTTGCAAAGCCCACCTCGAAGTCCAAAGCCTGTCCCTGCTTCGTGATCAGCCGGTCACTTTGAGGGTGACAAGAAGTGATGCGGTGGGCGCTGTGGACGTCCTCAGTGCCCAAGGTGATCTACCCGAGACCCAGGCTATCTCTATCTCTACTGACACGGAGCTTCTCCTCGACACCATGCTACAACCTGACAACGACCGAGCTATTCCAGCAACCGGGTTTGGCAAATGTCCAAATCAACCCTGATCGACTCTGGGATACCATCCACTCCACCGCAAAATGGACGGAGCCAAAGAACGTCCCGAACGACGACATCACGACAGCGGGCCTGACGAGGCTGACGCTGAGCAGAGAAGACAAACAGGCTCGTGATTGGTTCGTCGAGACCACGAAGTCCTTAGGATGCCAGGTCCATGTCGACCAGATCGGCAACATCTTCGCGATCCGGCCGGGTCTGAAGAAGGAGAACGAGAACATCCCCGCCACATTCGCCGGCAGCCACCTTGATTCCCAGCCCAGTGGCGGCAGATTCGACGGCGTGCTAGGTGTCGCGGCGGGCATCGAGATGCTCAGAGTTCTCAACGACAACTGGATCGAGACTGAAGGGCCCGTCGGCGTGGTCAACTGGACCAACGAGGAGGGCGCAAAGTATCCTATCAGCATGATGGGCAGCGGTGTCTGGTCTGGCCGGATATCGTTGGACGATGCCTGGAATACGAAGAGCGTCACTCCTGGACGGCCGGTCACGACGGTCAAGCAGGAGCTCGAACGGATAGGATATCTAGGTGCGTTACCCGCGAATTACGAAAAGGGTATACCGATCGGCGCCCATTTCGAGCTGCATATCGAGCAAGGACCCAAGCTGGAGAAGTCTGGGCAGAAGATCGGCGTCGTAGAAGGAGTACAGGCGTACAAGTGGTTCACCATCACTGTGACTGGACGAGAAGCACATGCTGGAACAACGGACATGGCCAACCGGTTCGACGCCATGCATACGGCTGCACAGTTCATGGTCGAGGCAAGGGCTATCACGAGGCACGAGCCAGGAGGCGGAGGGCTGGTCACGTTCGGTAGGCTAACGGCGTCTCCGGGCAGTGTCAACACGATCGCCGGCAAAGTCGAGATGAGTTTAGATATGCGATATCCTTCAGACGAAGGGTTGGCGACGATGGTGGAAAAGCTCTATCAACTCCGTGATAGACTGAATAATGCTGGACCCGAGGTCGAGGTACGGGAAGATTTCTCCAGCGCGGCAGTCAGGTTCAGTACCGAGGCGACCAGATGTGTCGAGGAGGGTGCAGCCACTGTGCTTGGAGACGGGCATGAAGAGAAAATGCAGAAAATGACGAGCGGAGCGGGCCATGATAGTGTCTGCACCAACATGCATTGTCCTACGGCCATGATTTTTGTGCCATCCAAAGATGGAGTCAGCCATAATCCTAGCGAGTGGACGGACAAGGAGGATTGCGCCACGGGTGCGAACGTGCTGTTGCAATCGGTTCTGAGGATGGACAAATTGCGCAAAGATAGGGGGGATTTTGAGTAATACGCGATTCGTGGTCGGAAGTGACTTGCAAGTGGAAAGAGTGGGGCCAATATATCTCGAAAACTGGAAGAAGTTGTGGCCGATCACATGGCATTTTCATTGATTCTCTGAAGATTCAGGAGCGCGCAGGACCAGCAAAGATCCGCGACTACTCTGATTTCAATCTTCTGTCCACTGCTGGTTGTAGCCCCATTATCGAATGATTCCGACCATCAGATATTGTCCAGCACCGTACGTAGTACGGCATCTTCAATCCCCTTTCATGCAAGATTCATGTCAAGCTGTTTCATGCAAGATCCAGGTCGAACTGTTTAGGAGCTGGGAGCAGCACCGCGACCACGACCGAATCCACCACGGAAGGTAGGAGCAAACTCGCCCGGCGCACCACCTTCTTTGCCCTCACCAGCATCACGACGACGGTATCCGCCCTCACGATCTCCTCTAGGACCGCCACGGCCACCACCACGTCGTTCGCGTTCGTCACCACCCATCATGCCACGTGGAGGAGCGTGCGAGCGTTGCTGCTTGATGTGGGTCGTAGGGACAATCTCAGCTGGCAAGTGAAGCCATTCGCGGAGGTAGTCAAGACCTTCGGGGGTCAAGGTGTAGTAGTAGTATTGCCAGGCGAATTGGGTCTTGAGGTAGCCGCGAGAAGTGAGGGATTGGCAAGCCTTGATGACCTGTTCAGAATCTGTCAGCATTTGTTCCTCCTTGTTCCCTCGGAAATCCGACTGACATAGAGGTTCTTGACGTCCACATCCGGGTGTTTTGGAAGCTCGTAGTTCTTCTCACACACCATGACACCTTCTCTGAAGATGTACTCATGGATAGCCTTCCTATCTGCCTTTGGAATCAACATGGTTGCGGTTTGGTTGAGTTTCTGCGGGAGTCAGTGACAATGAAGGTGTTCGGGCGAATTGGCTGAGATCGTACCGGAGTCGGTAACGATGAAGTCGTAGATGAGGGAATGAATGTGTATGATCGCTGCGAGTTCCCTGCGCTATTCGTGGAATCGCTTAGGATCGATGGCAATGTTGAACAGTTGGCGATTGAACGGACTGTATCTACAAGGAACTGAATATAGATTGTGGACTGCCAAGGAAAAATTATTCCTCTAAAAGCGGCCTCGATCTTTGCAGTTTTAGGCCTAGTTAGGTTTTGTTCCACCATAAATATTGCTCTACCACAGTCGTACGCTGCTCTCACGGGTAAATCGTGCAATTTGGCGCTAGGGTGCCATACGACGACAAACAGCAGCGAAGGCAATTTGTATGGTAGGATGTTCCTCTGTTCAATGCGAGGTCCCGGAGAATGTATGTGGTAGGTGGGGCCCCTGTTCAGTGCCGAGGCCAAGTGCTGCTTCGACGATTCAAGCAACAGCTGTTTTGCACTTCAGTCAAGCGAGTCTCATCACACGATTTACCCATGATACCACAAATACTCCAGTGACAGTAATTGATGCTGGACGTTATGAAAACGTGATCAACGGCGAATGGAAGTTACTAACTCTAAAGCTTACAAGAACCTATTTCACGATAGCCATCATTGGTGCTTGGTAAAACTATGCTGCAAGAGGTGCAAGCTGTATGATTCTTACTTATTCTAGCACAATGCTTCCCAACTTATAAGACTGAACCGAACGTACTAGGGTCTCAAGCAATGCATTCGCACCACTATCATCTTCCCGTCCACGTAGACAGACTAAGGATGAGCCCCGATACTGTCCATGCTTGCTATCATCCAAGGATAAAAGACCGTCCAGACTTGATCGAGTCCCGGAAGACTCGGTGGAATTCTGATTCAAGAGCAGCTTCTGCTATTTATACTGAAGCAGAAAAGAGTGATGCTGTTTGATGTATACCTGGATGTTATAATTGGGACAGCTATTTGGAAGGGCGATGAGAAGGAGGGCTATTCGGAGACAAACATTTTGCTGCGTCCGGTTGGCAAAGGCGTCGTCCAGAGAGACCTGGCGGTCGCTCAATTGACAGCCCCTGTTACGCATAAAACTGTAGTGGCGTTGGACGCAGGATACATAATCGAATACCTTATGATGCATGATAGAGACGAAGAGGGGATGCAGTTGGATCTCAACAGCGGAAGCAGGGGGTTCACGTGACACATGTAGCAATACCGACTAGTCCAAAGGCAGAAGAGTATGAGGCCGCTTTGTCACTCTTGGCATGTTTCCTCCGCACCGATAATTTTCAAAATTCCCATCGATGCGCAACGTCCGCGACACACCCAGCTTCAGTCACACCAATACCTCGACAGTCTACTCTAATTGCTCACTTACTGAAGAACTGGTGACAATCAGGTCAGTCTCACATTCGAATCTCTGGAGGTGGTCAGAACTGTTCAATTGGATCCAGCCCAGCTGTCTAACACACGACACCACTCAAACCGTCTTTCGAAGCCTTGATGCTAACTTTCGCATTTTACAGTCCTCTTCGGTTTCAGCAATCATGGGTATCTCACGAGACAGCCGCCACAAGCGGTCCGCCACTGGTGCAAAGCGCGCTTACTACCGAAAGAAGAGGTACACACAAGCCAAGCAAAAGAGAAAATGAATTCGATCTGACATATATCCTGCAGAGCCTTCGAGAAGGGTCGTCAACCAGCGAACACCCGTATCGGCAACAAACGAATTCATCTTGTACGCACCCGAGGTGGTAACACAAAATACCGAGCCCTCCGCCTCGAATCCGGCAACTTCAGCTGGGGTAGCGAGGGTATCGCCCGCAAAGTCCGTGTCATCGTCGTCGCCTACCACCCTTCCAACAACGAACTCGTCCGAACCAACACCCTGACTAAGTCCGCCGTCGTCCAAGTCGACGCTGCTCCTTTCCGACAATGGTACGAAGCACACTACGGCACCTCTTTGGGTCGGAGACGACAGGGCCAGAAATCCGAGGCTGAGGAGAAGAAGGTCAGCAAGAGCGTCGAGACCAAGCGGGAAGAGCGGTTGAAGAAGTCCGGCAAGGTTGAGTCGGCGTTGGAGAGACAATTCGAGGCTGGCCGTTTGTATGCCGTGGTCAGCTCGAGACCGGGCCAGAGTGGACGTTGCGATGGTTACATCCTCGAGGGTGATGAGTTGGCCTTCTACCAGCGAAACATGAGAAAGTAGATGCACACCACATGATGTCTTGTTGTGTCTTGGTGGTCATGCTGCTCGTCTAGCGAATGGATGAGAAGGGGAAAAATCACGTCGGGAGCCATGGCATGGCATGGCATATCCTACTCACACCTCGAGGAATGTTGTACGTGGTGCTCCGAGCAGGGAGTCACTGCTTTGCCTGGTTCGGCCATTCTAGTCTTGCGGGTACGAAATCAGTAGCGTCACAGAGGTCGCAAATGAGTTTACGCACATGAGAGCCGAAAAGCAAAGGCATTCATACTACGAGGCTAGAAAATTTCAAGTTTTCAATCAACAATTGTGACATTCATTCGACTGATCCAAACTGGTATTCTATGGATGCAGCCATTCTTATTGACTTTTGTGATACTCAACTGTTCCAAACTGAATTCCTATGGAAGCAGCCATTCTGCAGCCGTCTCTTTTGGTATAACTGTGTGTGAGACCAGATCTTGATGGACTCGATATGACGGGGCCATGCTGCTCTCGATTGGGACCAAGGAAGTACATGACTTCCAATGCCCATGTCATGTTCTCAGGATATGAAAGTTCTCGATCTCTTCCGTCAGACTGACTGATTCTGTCATCAGGCATTCTTGATGCAGCCCGTTGAGCCTGTGGCTCTGTCAGGGTTCTCCTTGCTGTGTGAGATGCAATCCGCGCCGGATGTGCGCATCAAGGCCGATGAGACTCGAAGTGACATCTTGGTCACGATGGCGAGAAAGTAGGTGTTCAATTTGATTCAATCTCTCTGGATCTGTGAAGACAAAGTCAGTAACGAGGTTCTGAAATGTGAGCATGACTGACTGACTGAAGTGAAGCAAAGTAAAGTAAAGTGAAGCGAGGTGAAGATCAGAACATGGGCGGGAACTGGAAGAATTCGTCAATCCCGTCCATGTCCAAGGCAGCACCGTTGATGGGTTGATCGAAGTCGATGGGCTCATCCATAAGATCGTCAAAGTTGAACAAGTCATTCTTGGTCTCCTTGACCCAATCGACGACCGAATCCTCGACATGAGGAAGATGTGGAGTCATGCCAGCCATGCCCATCTGTCGGTGAAGGTTGCCTTCGTTCTGCATGCAGACGGTACGGGCACCTTCCTCTCGTTTACTCTTGCGTTCGGCAGCTCTGTTGCGAAGTTCTTGAAGCTTCTTCTCGCAATGTTCAATGGAGGCGACCAATTTGCAATGCTGGTTCCAGAAATTGGTGGACGTCTTGAAGAGGTAGAGTCGGTGGCCGGCTTCTTGAGTGGCTCTACGGAGTCGTGCTTGCTCATTGACCACGAGGGTGTTGAATTGGTTGTGGTTGATAAAGTCATTGGTCCAGAGATCAACAGCGGCATTTGGGATGATCTTGATGATTGAGGTCAGCAGTTGTTTGTCGTTGCGGTCGATGAACAAGGCTTGAACGAGTTTGGCCCAGATCTCAAAGGCGCATTGCTCAGCTGCTGCAACGATCCATTGACCTTGGTATTGGAGGGAAGCTCTGTAGAAGTCCAGGAGTTGTTTGCCATATGAAGACATGACCAGATAACCACGCAAGGCGGAGACTGCTGGTCTGAGTTTGTCATATTCGATGCCTGGGCCGGGCTCCTTGGTCAAGAGGTATTCGAGGAATGTTGGGTTCTGGACGACAGTGTCGAGAGGAAGAGGCGCTCTGTTGTAAACGAGCTGAGATAGTGCTTGTTCATTGTTCTCATAGAGGACAGTAAAGATTGGGTCGAGGGTGAGAGATTTGGGCCTGACGCCTCTCAATGGAAGCGTGAGGGTGGTAGTGAGAGACATTTTGAGATTGTGACCAGGTTTTGTGATGTACGGATGCAATATGTAAGAATGATGAGTGTGATAGGGGGTCTGAGGGTCTTGTTCAAGGCGAAAGATGATGATTGAGGGAGGATGGAATGGAGAGAAAGATTGAGAGGAAGTTGGGAATGAGATGAAGCATCTCATCAATTGAGAGAACCTCACCGTGGGAGAGGCTGGGAAGTGCGGCAGATTCAAGTGTCCTATCTTGGCTGGAGGCAGTGGTGATCTTTCACTTTGGCCAGTTTCGTGGTGTTGATGTCGCGCGTCGCAACGCGTCAATGAGGTTGAGATACTCACTTATCGACCCGTTTCACGACTCGCTCGAGGTCAGTATGATTGCTGCTACTGCAGGAGTTTCTACTTCGCTTGCGCTGCTGGATGATCTTTTCTTCTACTCTTTTGCACCCATCCGCGGTGTTTCGTGGAACTTACAGGTGAGGACTCCTGCTCACAGATGCCTCAGGAACAGGTGAACATCACCGTGCAATGATTCCCAGCCTCCTTCAGGGGAGCACCTCAGGATCCAAACCAAAGAGCTGTACATGGTTTCCACGACCTTCAGGAGGGACAGAATTGTTACTGTCTTCCTCTAGCATTGCCCTTCGAGCTCAACCCTGTCTCGCAAAACACTCGACACGGGAAACTCGACCTGGAAGACTCGACCTGGAGACTTGACCTAACAGAGCCGCCAGCTCAACACTCCCAGCAATCGCCTGGTAGGCAGGCGGACTGTGTCCACAGTTCCGACCATGAAAGCTCTCGTTAAGGTCCTCAGAATCAAAACAGCAAACGACTGACCTCATATGCTGAATAAGCACGGAGAAGCTGGCCCTTGCAGGACAACAGAAGCTCACACCGAGGTCGACACGCCGAAGACTGCAGGGCATACCTGGAGGTGTGATGAGCACCTTCAGAAGCCATTCTGAACGAGTTTCATCTTGTCAGAGGCCGACGCAGAAATACTGGAAAGGAAAGAATCTAGCAGAGGTGGAAACAACGGCAATGAAGCCCGGGAAGTGGCAGGGGTCCTGTATCTGGCATGATTTGCTGCCCTGGACTGTGGATGGTGAGCTGGAGCCTGAACAAATACTACGCTCATCCTCTTGTTTGGTTGTCTTCTTCTATCATTCCTCTACATCTTTCTCGGCCTTTTTACATCACAGATATGGAGAGATTTACACCAAGTTTGTATGCAGGCTACATCGACACGATGCTTTTCCACTTGTCCGCCAACACGAACGTGCAACTTAGTCGAAGACGATTGCGGCCTTAATGGCGCTCTTGTTCTTCATTGCTTCCAGACAATCGGCCCATTGCTCCAACTTGAAGGTCTTGTTGACAATGCCCTTGACCTTGACCTTGCCGCTATCTGTTTAGGAGAATTGTCAGCCATTGGTGTCATCACAACGACGGAGTTCCAGCACATACCGAGATAGTCGATGGCAGCAGGGAACTTGTAGGTCTCGCTGAAAGAACCGAGAATGGTGATCTCGTCACCAAAGATCTTGCTTGGTGGCCAAGAGACACGGTCCTTGTTGGCATAGACGCCATACACGACGAGCTTGCCACCTCTTCGGACATAGTTGATCGAGTCCTCCAAAATCTTGACGCTGCCGGTGGCTTCAACAACGATGTCGAATCCGTATGGGTTCTCGGCCTTCAGTTTCTCGAATTGTGCCTCTGGGTTCTTACGGGACAGCTCGACGTATTCATCCGCAGCATCGAGAGACTTGGCCAGGTTCATCTTGAGACCCTCAGGAGCAGCAATAACGACGTGGCAGCCGCCGTTCAGACGCAGCAGCTGAGCCAAGACGAGACCCGTAGGTCCCGCACCGAACATGAGCACACTGGAACCCATCTTGGGAGCTATCTTGTCCAGACCGTGGGCAGCGCAGGAAGCCGGCTCGAGAAGAGTGGCATCGACGTCGCTGAGGTTCTTGATCTGGAAGACTCTCTTGGCTGGGTATGCGCAGTACTCAGCGAAGCCACCGTCCATGGTGACACCGTGTGCTTGGAAGTCTTCACAGAGAAGCTCCTCGCCACGACGGCAGTAGAAGCATTCTCCGCAGAGTTCAGAGTTGTCGGCAACCACACGGTCACCGACCTTGAAACCCTTGACTTTTGGTCCAAGAGCAGCAACGACACCGACGGTTTCGTGACCAGGAATCAATGGGAACTACGGGAGCCGTCAGCACTTGCCGCAGCTGCCGCAACCCAATAGACCGCTTGATCATACCTTGGCCAAAAATTCACCCTCATGAATATGAAGATCAGTACCGCAGACACCAGAGGCCTTGACCTTGACCTGTATTCCCTATGTCAGCCACCTCCGCCTCTTTTTTGATTGCCACTGCTTGCACATACCAAAACATCGTGCTCACGGAGCTGAGGAAGGGGTGCCTCGACGACGCTGAATACTTCTGGCTTCTCGTACCCTGCCACACGAGTCAGCAATTCATCTCTGGCACAGCAATTCGCTCAGGAGCAACTTCAGTAAGACAGGACATACTCAGCGCCTTCATCTTGGAGGGGAGACCTGAGGAACCCATGTTGACAATTGAAGATCGAGTGTATATGAATGAGAGCCTGTGCAATTGAGATTGGGAAAGATACGTGGGTTTTTGAGAAGAAGCAGTAGGAGCACGGGAATGTTGAGTATTATTTCTTCGCTACGAATAGCTCACAAAGAAAATACGTGGAGGGGCAATCGGTGACAGCTCTGCTTGCTTCTCTCAAAATCCCCCCGATCCTGAGTCCACTCCACTGGCGTGGGCGGCGACACAGGTGCGGGGTGGGGTTTGTTTCGTATCGACAGTCGAGACTCGCCGCAGCAGCAGAAACGATGGTCCCATCATGTCCCATCCACCCCCGAATTCCTCCATCAGCTTCTCTCACCACCAACCAAATCGTCCATCTTCAGCCGTTTCGAGCTCCGAGATATCATCGTGCAGCCACGTCGGTCACGTCGGTGTCCCCTGGATCGAAACGGTGAACGGCCTATGTCACCGCAACGCCTTATCGAACTTTTTACTGTCCACAAGGCTTCCGCCACACCGAGCGTGTTTCGCTAGAGTCACTGTTCAATGCAAGTCTGTCTCCTTTGCTGCACAGCTTGTCCTGTTATCAAAATGTCGGTGAGTCTAGCCTCGACTGGGATACTCGCACGATGCTCGGCCAGGTATTATCATTCGTTCTCGTCCGATCATCACCATATGCAATCTACTACAGTCTCGTACGGAGCAGAGGCTTTTGGTACTTCGAATCCACCTGACCTGCTGTCAGAACTACGAGTACCATGCCTGCATGCTCAAGGGTCTCTGCCGAATTTTCCCATGTCGTCTCGAGGGTGCGTCCGAAATGACGTCGACTTGCTTCACATCATCGACCACCAAGCTCCAGCTCCGTCAAACCTCAAAAAGGAGCAAAAAACCCACTTTGCTCCATGCATGGAAACGCCACAACATGTTTCATGTAAGCCTTTGCAGGCCTCAGAAAGGAACTATCAATATACGGTGAGTCTTGCCCAGATGCAAGCATGAAGAAAGCGTCGTGCTGCTGCCCTCGCTAAAATCTTTTCCCGCCCGCGTGACAGCGACTTTCGAGCTCGGAAATGCACCAACATGCAGCGTTCTTCTTTCTGTCGATGCTGTGTCAAACCTGAGAATTTATACCTGACGAAGAGAAGAACCCATGCATGGAAGACTGGGTCAATATTGATGCTTGTTACAGACTCCACCCTACGCTTGTCCGTCACTCTCAACCTCTTTCAGGGTGGGTGTCCTTATCCTGGCATATGATGTTCCTGACTCCCGGCACCCCAAAACGCCTTGCTTTCATCACAACCCTGCATATGCAAATGCTAATGTCAATGTGATGCTGTTTCATGCCTCATGTGAATGTGTTTGCTCTTTCGTTGCTCATTCCCTCGCAGTGCAACAGATTTCGTCGCCAACCAACTATATCGTATCATTTCGTTGTAGTATCAGGCCGGTTGAAGTAGCAATTCTGGCCTCACTAGCAAAGCAACTGGTTGTGCACCAAGGCGATACACGTTGATGCCAAAGGCTCTTTTTGTCAAAAATGCCTGCCAACGGCATGAACTCTTATCATTTCAGTCCAAACCCCTCGCTTTCTGTCACCGCAGTCCAAAGCTTTTGTTCCAATTTCTGGCGATTGCTATATCTGTACAAGCTCAGTGTGTTGAAACATGTCCTCGCAATAGGAAAACGTTCGACCTGCTTGTTGACCGGTCGACCTAATCCATCAAAGTCATCCTTGTTGCGAAGCAATTGGATACGAATCACCAAGTTCGTCGCTCCCATGGCAGGAATTCGGTCACTTCCGGTGATAAAGGTAAGAATCTTCCTTTGATCTGCAGGAGCTGCTCTGGAAAAGAAATCCCAAAACCAAACAACTTGAGGCTGCTTCTCCGGCGGACCCTCATTCTTCGGCCACCCCTCGTATGTCGACACAGCGCGAAGGCTCGCAATGTCGAGAGGTTCGTCAGAGCCCCTTACAAGCAGTTCAATCTCTTCAGGTCGGAAAAGCGATAGTGCATTTCCTCCACAAACAGTAAAGAACCCACGTTTGAAAGGCTCATACTGTCGAGTGACCGCGGTATCAAGAAGGTAGTGGATGTATAGGTCGACGAATTCTCTTCGGTTGGAATTGGTCACTGGCCTTTTCTCCCCACCAGGGCACAGAGGCACCTGAATGATCTCGCCATAACGATCCATTTCTGCAACGAAATCGCGACAAAACGTCTCTTCCACGTCACCTTCAAACTCCAAGAGCTGCCGGAAGCCTCGAGCTAGTGCTGGACGAAACTCTGCAAGGTCATCCAATGTGAAGCCGTGACCGACTCTTGGAGTCGACGTGAGCTTGTCGCCTGTCGAAGGAGCCGATGCGAGCATCTTTTTGAAGACGAATGGAGGGAACGCAACATCCAAAATGGTCGAGTTGTAGATAGCCAGCCCCAGGAGAACTCCAACCAGGAAGAATTGCTCCGAAGATTCGAAGCAGAAAGGATTGAAATAGCAGTACTGGGAGTCATCATCGTAGACAAATAAGCCGTGGTTCGGGTCGAATATTTCCCGAACCAAGAGAAGAAACCATTCTTTGCGGAGACCACCGGCATCGACACCTTCTTCTCCTTGGAAATCGATGCGTAGCCCCTTTTTGATGTCGCTTCCACCCGAGCCCACCACTTCCGAAACGTTGCGCAGGCTATCTTCGACTAGACAATCGCGACGGACTTTCAAGACCAAATACTGGCTGACTGCCTTTCTGCTGAGGATGCTGTCGAAGAAAGCTTCTCTGGCTTTGACTTCCATCTGGCGGCGAGCGTCGTGTTCGAGAATGTGAATTTTGGCGTATATACTAAGAAAGAAAGGATACTGGCAGAAGGTGAACTTGGATTTGGTGGTTTCCCAAGTCTCAAAATCAACAACCAAGTCAGCATAGTCCAACATTGTATTGTAAAAACTGCTGATTGGTATGATCTGACCATGGCAATTTGCTTGATGTTTGGCATTTTGACCAGGACTCTGGTGTCTTTGGTCGTGGGTGACAGTCGCGTCTCTTTTCCGTGCAGCGTGCCCGATATTCGCTTGGAATAGTAGGGCCATGACTCTTGCTGCCGCACGAATCTGCCAGTCTTCGCCGTATGAGGACAACTTGGGTTTCCCAGCAGAGTTTCCAGCTGAAGTGGACGAGGGTCTTCCTTCAAGAGCAGCATGAATCTGCGACGCGTGATGCAAACCACCGGCTGAGAAGCTAGGGACAAGACCTTCGGTCGGGTTGACCGGTTCGTGTACAGGACGTTTCTGCTGTCGTGATAAACGGTATGTGACAAAACTACCAATCATCTCTACGGTGCGCTGAAAATGCCCGTCTGAATATCTCGCAAACCATGAGACAAGGTATTGGTGGTTCTCATTTGAAAGGTTGGCTAGGAGACCCAAGATCCGCTTGATAACGCCCGAGTGATGACCCAAACTTCCAGGTCGTCTGCCGGAGCTCGGTATTCGTTTCGACGGCGAGCCTCTAGCTCTTTCTTCGACCGGATGGGCCACGGTTGGTGGATGTGGCAAGGTGGTCCCGAACATTTTTCCGGCTTCAAGTCTTTGCGGAGTAAGTAATGGATTTGACAACAGTATAAGTAGGAATCGGCAGTCCTCGGGATGCTTTAGAGGCTGCCTGGGTCTTTTCAGGAGATTTTCTGTTACTTTAAGCAGACTTCGTTGAAGATGAATTCGAGACTCGATGATGTCCCGCTGAAGGTGCTCAAGCGGTATTGATTGGGAATGTTGCTGTATTTTGAAATCCGTCTGGGACTTCAATTCATGCCATTTCTGCTCCCAGCCTTCACCAGCATAAATGATGGAGCGATACCACTCAGCAAGCTCGAGCCAGTTTATTCGGGGATTCCGTGAGGAAACAGCACCACGCGACTTGTCTGGTGATCTATCACGGTGATGAGACGCATCCTTGCCCGCTATGGGCGTCCGTCCACTCGGTGCTCCTAGCCACCATGAACCGTTCTCAGCTACATCGCCGAGCAGTAAAGTTTTGGCATCCATTTCGGACAGAAACACATCCGGTTCAGAGAGAGGAGAGGGCATGGGTTCAGACAATTGACGTCTCGGCTGTGTGCTTGAGCCGGTCCTGCCCTTCGACTCATGTGGACCCCTTGGGGTGAAAAAAGCGTTGTTGAGGGTTGCACAACCGACAAAGCAAGCAGCCATGTAGTTCTCGACAATGCGGAAAATGTCAGTCCGAGGACCAGGGGCTTGCGAGCCTGTGGAAGCAGGCTCGCGGCCCCTAGTCTCCTGGGCTCGGTGATGCTTCGGAGCAGACGTCGAGAAAGGATCTACTGAATGACCTTGGACAAACGGAACTGCCCCATTACGGCTCGGTCTGAGCGTGGTCAGGGTAGGCTCCGAAGGACTCCTGAGCTGTAGAGTTGGACGTGGAGAAGGCGGTGGAGAGTCGGGTTCGTCTTGAAGCTGTCCATATAGGGCACCTTCCGGAGGAGTGCCTTCGAACAAGAAAGACTCTTCTGCCTGTGATTGACTGTTAATACCAATGCCGTGTGACGTTGTAGCGTTCTGCTCGAGATGAGATTCAAGATATTGATTTAGACAGCGGTCCAGAAGTGATCTCGTCGTTTCAAGCGACAATGGCACGATCTTTCGCGGAGGCGATGGTCCATTGGATCCATCTGCCCCATTTTCGGGATAGAATTCAAGGTCATTTATTGTCAAGCAGGTCGTACACCGGAAAACCTTCAAACCCTGCGGCCACCGTACCGTGGAATCGCAAGTCATGCACTTTCCAGTCACCGGTTGACGGTCGCCTCGCGGCGCAGAGCCTTCAGCGCCGGATAGTTTTGCCTTGGCTTCATCATGCCGGATGTCCCTGCTTCCACCGGGCGTGATATCAACGTCCCCACGTGTATTGTGCCTCTTGTCAGATCTCTTAGAACCGAATAATGAAGGAAAGGGATGACTGAAGGAGCGGTTGTGGTTGTGTTTGGACGAGTCGGGCTCCAACTGGCCAGGCACAGGCTTTCGACGTAGGCTCGGAATTTCGTAGCTTTCGGCGGAAGCAGATGCAGGGGGTGGTGGCAAAGGCCGGTTCAGGTCTGCGTTTGTTGACCGCTCACTATTTGGTACTAGAGTCGTCTGAATATTTCGAGGTATTGAGCGACCACTCTGATGTTGCGACGAAGAAGGTATGGGCGCCATAGCGGTCGTGTAATCCCGAGACAGACCTTCAATAATAAGTGTAATTGCAGAAGTCGGATAAGCGGCTCATAAGTGTTGGAGTGTAGGCCCCTCAATGAACGGACAGCGAAAAGTGTTCAGAGGGTGGAAGATGGCGAAATTTCGATCGTCGATGAGCCTCAATTCAAGGTACATGCGCTGCTCACGCACTCAGTCTCCTGGAATAGTCTCACAGCCTGTATGGTCGAGGAGACCGAGCATGTTGTCTGTCCCCTCGATGCAGACAATGTCGACGCTTTGGATTGGCAGGAGCGGACGACAAGATATGACGATGCACTCGACAATCCCAGACCGGGAAGAGGATCGAAACAGCCCTCGTTGGCACTGGTGGAGGTCGAGCTGTGTGATGAACAGAAGTGAAGTCGGGTCGCAGTCAATCCGTAAACAAGTGTAGACTGAACTGCGGCACTGCGGCACTGAAGCACGCGCCAAGGCTGGAGAAGGAGACGGGGACAAGGATCGTTTCTGTTTCTGTCGGCACATTTCAGGGCACCCATCATGCCTATTGGGTCTTCGTTTTGCTTAATGCGAGGCCTAGTGAGCCCAAGTTAGGGGCATCCACAGGTGGCCCCGGGTGGAAACATGATGATGCCACAGTCCTTCAAGATCTTGCCAGTACGAGCTCGTACTCGTCCAAAAGGTCTGCTAACCGTCTATTTATGGTGCTCGCCAGATGGTTAAGGTACACAATCGTTCCACTACTCTGTTAGCCAGATAAAACCTTCATGTTCCTTCACGACCGTGCAAAGACCTTTCCCTCTCACAGCTCCACCATCTTGATCTTGGGATGAAACATGCTACGCTGCTAGACACAATCGAGGCAATGGCTGTGGATAAGCATCGGGTTCTCAGTCATCGAGGCCATATTCAGCAACAAGCTTGTCACCGGCTGTAAGACCTGCAAGATACGCGGTGGTCTGAGTATGACAGCTAGGTAAAGATGTTAGCCAGGGCTAGTATCGAAATAGAACGCTCTGTACTTACTTGATTACCATTGGAATGACGCTCATGTCTGCGATCCGAAGCTGTTGGACGCCAAAGACCTTGAAATCTTTGTCAACCACTGCTTGGCTGTCGTCCTCTCCCATTCTGCATGTCCCCATCATATGCCATGTACTGCTGGACGTTTTCTTCCAAAAGTCCAGAATGTCCTTTTCTGAATCACTCTTGGGTGCGGTGGTCACCGCGATCGTGTCCTTGCTAAATTGCTGGCTCTTGACCACTTTCAGGACCTCACGCGTTGCCTCAATCGCAACGCGTTTGTCGTAGGGATGAGAAAAGTAGTTGCAGTCGAATAGCAGAGGCGTTTTAGGGTCGGAGGACTGCAACACAGCTGATCCACTCGACTGCATGTTGAGGAGGAAAACGAAGATTGATGTGCCCGCCGCTGCATTCTCCGGGTCGATGAAATGAGGCAGGTGAGCGCCGTTGAGAACAAACTCATAGTGCGGCACGGTTGGCTTCTTGAGATATTCTTGCTGTGTCTGCGACAGTTGCTGAAATTCAGGAGAGTCGTATAATGATTGCAGCTTCTCGAACGCTATTCCCATGGCACAAGCGAGCTCGGCAAGCGGACCTGTGCCGTCCTTCTGCCACTGTGCTCGGGCTGCCGCCTGTAGCTCCTTGTTCCGGTAGAATCTCTGCCGCTGTGAAGTATGGTCTGCCCTGTCAAAACTCAACACCACATGATGATGGTCTTTCAGATGTTGTCCAACGTTGTTGTTGGCCTTCACTATGGGAATATTGTATCTGGTTAGCTGATCCTCGGGACCGATGCCCGAGTGCATCAGAATTCTGGGTGTATCAAGACTGCCACAGGAGAGGATGATTTCCTTTTCGGCATGAATGGTCCGACCGGAGAAGGTCTCGATCCCTGTCGCCTTCGTGCCGTCAAATACAACACGTGACACTTCAGTGTCTGTAAGGACATGGAGATTGCTGGGTGCTCCGACCAGGGCATCGGCAGAAGTTGATCTGACCCCATTGTATGCGGTTGAAGCGCACATGGCGAGGCCCGTAGGATCACCATCATTGTGGTCCGGATTGAGTTTTGCGCCGTTCTCAACCCAGATATCGATCAAATCCTTGACAGAAGGCTCCCAGATCCTTGGAAAGCCAGTGTGGATGGGTCCATTATGGCCATGGTCCTCTGTCCTTGGATTGAGGTACTTTTGGACGCCGTCTGGCACATCTGGTGGTGCGAAATGAAACGTCTCGATCCGTTTGTATCGTTTTTGAGCGTTGGTCCATTTCCATTCATCGTCGCCAACAATGCGGGCTATTTCATCATGATCCTCGCTGGGACCAATTGTCCAGCAGCAGAAGTTGATTGAAGTACTGCCTCCCAAACCTTTGCCTCGATCGTAGTCGATGATGCTCCCGTCGAATCCTTTGATTGGGACAGTCTTGTACCCCCAGTTTTGTCCCGGATTCATACGGTGCAGCCATCTCTCGGCATCCACACGAATGTCCTTAGAATCATTCTTGCCACCAGCTTCTACCAACAGCACGGACGGTCTCTGCTTGCTGTATGCCAACCGCCATGCAAGTATAGCCCCTGCTGCACCTGCTCCGACAACGACGAAGTCGTATTTGTCTGTCATTGTTAACCTTGGCAGGGTCCGGACTTGGGCAGCCCTAATCAGGACGAAGAATTGCGGTCACGGTAAAGAGGATGTTCCTTGTGAACTGTGCCTTGCTGAAGAAGTCATCCACGTTTCAATATACATTCACCTTTATATAGACAGGCCATCAGCTGACAAGTAATCCTTGACAAGCTGTTTCCAAATCTGAGTAGAATAGCAAAGGCTTTGTTGGACGAAGTGGCCCTGTGCTGACACATCCCTGGTTTGTACGTGCATCCAGCACAGCTTAGCAGTCAGTCCACGCAAATATACTACCAAAAAGACATCTTGAGGGCCGCGGCAGACGTGGGTGAGGGTATTTTGGTTCTCAACTCCATCATCTTTACGGGCTGATCACCTTGAGTCTCGGCAACCCCATCAAGTCGTCGTAAGTGAATTGGCCGTGACACATTGTTTACCTCATCAAGGATGGATCTCGAATCAACAAAGAGCTGCTCTCAACTAGCCTCCACATAGATCGGTCCTGGACGAGTGTCAGAAAGGCCCGAAGCCTTAGCTTGGAAGTTTTCAGATCGTCTTTGACGATTCTGTATAGGTGACCTGTCGCTTGGTAACAAGTCCTGCCGCGACAACAGCACCATAAGCTGAAACTGCAACGTTGCCAGAACTCGAATCCGTGGAGGGATCCTTCAATACTCTTTTGCTGACACCTAAGGCAAATGGAGGAGCTGTGTAGTGTTTTGTCATCAATGCTCACGGCGGGATCAAAGTGAGCGAGATGATGGAAGAGGAAATTTCGAACGAAAAGAGCAGCGAGGTTTGTTTGGCCAAGTTGTCAGATGGTCCAAGAACAAAATGGATTGGCCTTGCCATAAGCAAATAGTCGCAGAAGTCTTGTAAGTCACTTGCCATGTGTAGCCACAGTTTGAAAGGAATACTACTATGATATTGCTAACCTGGAGAAAGATTTTGGCTGAGATCAGCCAAATGGAGAAGACACAGAGGAGTTGTGCCAGTTCTGGCCAGTTCTATCACGAAGAGAAAGCGTGACGGTCAGACAGAATAATATCCGTCCGTGTACACTCACACACTGCCGCTTACCAATGGGTGTTGACCTCCGAAACTGAGTCTTTACAACGTCGGTCTTGCCCAAAAAAGTTGTCGAATATCTTCCAGAATTTCCTCCCCGATCACAGCCACTCACAACGGCAAATGCCTTTTCTTCTGCGCGATTGTCCTCTTCTTTAAACAGGCTTCTTCATGCGCATGCATTGTTTCATGAGAAGTGCACATCGATTTAACCGGTTTTTGTCCCTAGGAAGAACTGCACGCCAGAACCCAAGACTCATCCTCTCCAAATGCGTGCCCTGCACTCGTCGCAACCTGGTCACTGAGCCTCCCAATTACCCGAGGTCTACACCTTCGTCGTATGACTTTCTGCCCGAAGATGTGCAGACAAGAGTTTCGATTACCTTGAATTCACAACCAACTCCTCCGAGAAGCGTTGTTACCATACCCAAGAGGCTTCCAGTCTCGTGCCCCGGCTGCGGTGCCTTGACCCAAGAAGTTGATCCTGGAGACGCGGGCTACTACACACGGTCAAGAAAGAATGTGAAGACGTATCTGCGGAGCCCTGACCCAGAGGCCCCGTCTAAAGGGCAAGAAAGTGGAACTACAGTGGCAGAAGATGGCATTGAGTCTAGCAGCGAGGACGCAGAACGACGGCAGAATGAAGATCAAGTCCCTGAAATCCACCATGCGCTACTGCCTCCTGTATGCGACCGCTGCCATAATTTGATCCACGAGGCTCGCGGGACCCCTATTGCTCATCCTTCGATTGAAGATATTGCAGACTCGATCGCTGAATCTCCCTTTTCCAGAAACCATGTCTACCATGTCATGGACGCGGCAGACTTCCCGATGTCTCTCATTCCATCGTTATCCAAGAAGCTATCTTTGGCAAAACCTCGAAGTCAAAACCGTCGGTCTCAGCATTCATTTTCTCACAAGCCTGCGTTGTCGTTCATCATTACCCGGTCGGACTTGCTTGGCCCGTCCAAGGAAATGGTGGACCGCATGATGCCCAAATTCCTCTCCATCCTTCGAAGCGCATTGGGTAGAGCTGGACAAAATCAGAGACTGGGTAATGTCCACCTCGTCTCTTCGAAACGAGGATGGTGGTCGAAGGAGATCAAGGAGGATATCCGAGAACGAGGTGGCGGCAACTGGCTGGTTGGGAAATTTAACGTGGGAAAGTCGAACCTCTTCGAAGTACTGTTTCCCAAAGGGTCGACCGAGCAGGCCCCCGATTATGAGGAACTACAGCGCCAGCAAGCAGCAGAAGCACTGCCTGCTAAGAACGACTTCTTGCCAGAAAACAGCCTTTTACCTCCACCACAGCCGGAAGTACCTTTCCCGGTTATGCCTCTGGTCTCCAGCCTACCCGGAACGACCGCGTCACCCATACGACTTCCATTTGGCAACAACAAAGGGGAGTTGATCGATTTGCCAGGCTTGGAACGTGGTGGGCTCGAAAAGTATGTTCAACCTAAGCACAAGCTGGAGCTGATCATGGAACACCGTGAGACTGTGACGCAATACAACATCAAGCCTGATCAGTCTTTGCTTCTCGGTGGGGGCCTCGTCCGCATCACGCCCTTTTTGGATGAGAATGATCCCAGCACTATTGTGATGGCCTATCCATTTGTCCCACTCAAAGCACACGTCACATCAACCGAGAAGGCACTAGGTACACAGTTGCAACAGCGCGAAAGTGGGATTGAGTCGATCCTGGCAGAAGGTGCAGGGGTGGAGATGGCATCGGCTGGCAGGTTCTCACTGAAGACGGATGTGACAAAGTCCAGGGCTGGTTCTATGATCAGAGCTGGTGTTGATCCTGCAAAGCTACCCTTTCAAGTCTACGCGACTGACATTCTTATCGAGGGCGTTGGTTGGGTCGAGCTCGTGTGCCAGGTCAGGAAGAGTCGGATCAATTCTCAGCCTCCTTCAGCTCAAGAGGAGCCTGCGAAAGAGGACACGGTAGAGCCGGCTGTGCCAACTTCTGAACAGATCTCTATCGAAAGCACTGGATTTGTGCCTTTCAACTCGCCCCTTTCGGATAGCAATGGCGAAGCATCATCGAATTTTCCTCAAGTCGAAATATTCACTCCCGGAGGGAAATCTATCGGTCAAAGAGAATGTTTGGATGTATGGCAGACTTGGCATACAGGGAAGCCACGGAACGCGGTACGCAGCGCTCGTCCACGAAAACCGATGAAAGGAGCAAAGAAAAGGGCAAAGTTGGCTCAACGAGCTGCAGCTGCAGCTGCCAAAGGGACGTGAAGAAGTAACGAATGCGGCATTTGGTGCTTGAATTGCAACTCATCGACCTTGGTTGATGCTGCATGGACGCAAGAGCAAAGAAGCCAGGGTCATTCTGCCCGGTTGATCAGGAACAGTTCAGCCTTGCCGAGATTTTGTCACGTACACTTGCGATTCGTATATGCTGCAAGCATCTGCTATGGAGATATCCAAAGAGTGTGATCCAACTTGTCTCGGTTATTGGCAACTTTTGCTGCTTCTCTTCGCAGCCTCTCCAAAGGACCGTCCCTAGCCTGTATCTGCCTACTTGTCTGCTGTTTCCTCTTCTGCAGCTTATTCAGTCAAGACGACGATCTTGCCACGGGCAGTATTCTTCTCCTGAGTCTCATGAGCCTGGACAATCTCATCCAACTTGAAGACCTTGCCGATCTGAACGTGCATAGTGCCGGCCTCGATCTGCTTGAGCAAATCGTTCAGCGGAGTGTCCATGAACTCGGTTGGACCACCAGAGTATGCGGTAAGATACTTGGCCGAACCGATCGTGTCCATTGGGGCGAAGTTGTCCATAGTCCACTTGTTTCCTGCAGCATGGGTTCGTCAGCATCTGTCTCGCAATGGTACGATCGAATTGGACAGGACAATACTTACCGACGATGCCTGTCACGCAGACAATGCCTCCTTCCTTGATGCATTTCAGCGAGTCCGCAAGGGTGAGCGTCCCGATCAACTCAAGGACCTTGTCGAATGTGTCGCCCACCTGCGCGGCAACATTCCCATCGTCGACGAGGATCTGGTCGACACCGCTCTTGCGCATGACCTCTGCACTTGGGCCGGACGAGCTACGAGTCGTCCCAGCAACAAAACAGCCGTAGTTCTTCGCAATTGCGGCCGCCGCGAGACCGACGGATGTGGTTCCTCCGCGCACAAGCAGACGGTCACTGGCTTCAAGCTTCAACGCTTTGAAAAGCGATCCATACGCTGTTTGCAACATCTCCGGAACCGCGCCAATGATGGACCAGTCCAGGTTCGTCTCAAGGGCTTGTGTGTTCGCAGCCTTGACACAGGTGTACTCTGCGTACCCGCCATTGAAATCGCGCCCCATACCGCCCATGGCTGTCGCCACTTTCTGGCCCTCCTTGAACTGGCCGCCAGGACATTTGGCAACAACTCCGGCGGCCTCGATGCCCAAAACGCGCGGGAACTGGACACCGGGAGAATGGCCTTGCCGGGTGAACATCTCGGAACGGTTGAGCCCGAATGCTTTGACGCGGACGAGGACCTCGTCGTTCTTGGGGTCTGGGATGGGGAGGGTTTCGATCTTGAGCACCTCAGGGCCACCGGCCTCGTGGATGACGGCTGCTTTCATTGACATCTTGAGGTGATTTGTTGGTATGGTTGGTGTGTCGGGTGTCCGTAAGATGGTGTTGTGGAAGAGTACTGTGATATTGTTCTTTGCGGGTGGCCTTCTCCTCAGAAACTCTGTCTTGTGCTCGGTTTATATAGACAATTCCACTCCCCCTGCCTTCCTGTCCAGGTCTCAATTGCTACAATTGTACCGTCAGGCTGCAATGCCTCTTCGAGCTCGGAACCTCCGTGAAAGCTGGGCAGCTCTGTTTTAGTAAGCTCTCTCGATCTTCTCCAGACGCTTCATTCTCCTGTCTCTATCGCCCATACAAAGCTCGAGCCTAGTCAGTTAGACACGGTTGGAGGAGTATGGAGGTGGAATCGCTGTAAGTCCTGGAGGTGCAGTAATATGATCCTAGCTGAGAGTAGCAGTGTTCCCGGCTGGCACCTATTCGCACGAAATGGGTCTCGCCGTATCACAAGTTCGATAGGAGGTTCCAATCTATGCAGACACGGCACGGCTTTACCCCAGTCAACACGCAGGAGAGTGACTCAGCGTCCGGAGGGCCTCCGAGTCGACAGATCCTTTGGTGCCTGTACGGCAGATTCAGATCGAAATGCTTGATTGTATAAGCTTTTCCCGATCGTGGTCTACTATCTTTCCAGCCGAGGATCGTTGACAGCGCGTATGCATAGATGCTTTGGTAAGCATATCTGCCTGGCCTGATTGTGGACAAGGAAAATGTCACCGAGCATGTGTCGGACAGATTTGTCTACTGGTTGATCTCCAAGGCCAACGGGAGAACTTCCGCCCATCGAGGCATCATTTGCCTTGTAGCCTGCATGCCGCTGTCTCTAAGAGCGTGAGTCACTATGCCATTGCCGCCAGCGTAGGGTTTGAGAGGAATCTTCCATGCCAGCTGTCCTTGCTTGAAAGATGTTTGCGAGAGGACGAGAAGATTGCGAGGAATTATCATTAGGTCGAGAGAAAGAGTGTACGGATGCTCTAGGAAGCGTTGATCAATTTGTGTTCCTCATCCAAAGCTCCCGGTGTATCTCGAACGAAAAGCTCCTGGCTACCATCGTGCCGTCACCAAACGCCTGTTGTTCATGCCAAAAGGGTATATACGAATAACCAAAGAAGCTCCAATACCAATCGCATGCCCATGATTCTGAATGTTCGATGCCATATTTATCGTCAATGTTGTCTGGCTCTTTCATCCTGAGGCGACGACCTTCCATGAGCGTCACTGTCGCCGCTGCTGTCTTCGTCGTCTGCATTGAAGAGGGATGACACCGGTTGTCTCTGGCGGCCAACAAACTTCATCTCGCTTTGGGTCCGATGGTGTTTGGCTTCAAGCTGCTTCAATCTTTCGTCTGCCTCACGTAATTTTGTCTCGAGGTCTTCCAGCTGATATTGCTGAGATTGGACAGTATCCTTTCTGATTCTTGCGTCAATTGTTGGTCGGTTGAGAGGACGGGGAGTGGCTCACTTCTGGACAACAGCCTCCTCGAGAGCACCCACGCCGTTTAACTTGAACATTTCGTCCAACGCGGCTGAGAAATCGCGAGCAAGTGTTCTGACTCTATGTGAGTGAAATATTCTGGACCAGAAGCAAGGCTCTTACGACTGAGGTCTTCCCTTGGACTTGAAGCCGGCGTCAGGGTTTCTTTCGTTCGTCGCATCCATTTTGGCGGTGTAGGTCAACGAAGCAACGTCAAAGTGCAAGATAAAGATGGCACGGGCGATGCGTGTGTAGTCATGCAGACAGAAGACGCCTTGTGAGTCAGTTGACCTTGATCACCGAGTCAAGTGAATCACTTCCAAGCATTCAGGCAGACTGCGACGATGACAGGCAGGTGCTATGTATGTATCATGGGGTTGCCCTCTCACCTCCAGGCGCAGGCGCTACGAGTGCCAGGATAAGGACGAGTAATGGTCCGGTATGCGCCCAGCAACTTAGCGAGAAAAGGGGGCATAAAGGCTGGGTGTAGGCTTGCAGTAGGCTGACTGGGGCTGGCATGCTTGCAGATCGTTGACCTCAAGACTCCAGCAGCACCAGATGAGATTGAAGGCACCATCATGGACCAAACACACCAAAATGGACCAAAGGACAAAGGAGGTGGATTTCCTGTGTCTGTAAAGCGAAATAATCGGCCCTCGAATCCAAGCCCGAATGGTCAGTTTGATGGCCTGGAAATCTCGTCTATCGCTGCCCGCAATTCCTCGCTTTTGCCCTAGTCACTCCTAGTAAACCCTCTAAACCTCCATCCCCATCATACTCACAGCTGTGCCCGGAACTGGCAAGTTTGGCCAAATTTTTTCAAGTAACTTAGCACCCATCAAATTTCGGGTCACAACAGTCTACAATCATCTCGTCTCCCCGGCCACTCATCGCGTCACGAACCTAGATCGACGCGTTTCTGATCTCTAGTCGATCAAAACCGTCGGGTCGCTCTTGTGACAAGGCATCGTTGCACACCGGTGACGGCGGCGGCGACGGTGACCTCTCCTAGATCTTTCGCGACGATGGGATGCCTTCGTTAAACGCCTATACATCCTACGAGACTCTCGCTTTTTGCCAATCTGTCGCCCATTATGGTGCCGACACATCTGCTTTCGAGGAAATCGCAAAATCCCTGAATGCGAACCAGCTCATCCGTGACAACCAGACTTACGACCCGAATAGATTGACTGCGGCTGCCCTACAAGGGTTATACCAAGAGTTGGTGATAGAAGAGAAGACGGCGGACACTCCTTTGGTCAATGGCGAAGATGGCAACCCGCGCAAACGAAAGCTTTCAACTTCACCTGCTCCCTCGGAAGATGGTCAAAATGTCACAGGAAAATTATTAAAGGCGGTGGTAGACAACCTATATGCGACGTTCAGAGAACAAACAATCAAAGAAATTCGACTGGAAGAGGAGTCCTATATCAAGATCGAAGCTGAAATTGCCGATCTAGAGAAGAAGGATGAGGATGAGCAGCGGCAGCAGACGACTTCGGAGGAAACGAAACCAACACCACGATCAAAAGATGCTGCGCCCAAGACCGCAGAGGCTCAAACCAGTCCGGATGCGGCAGCTGCGCAATTACAGGCCAGCTTGGATGCCAGTCGTGCAGAGCAGAAAGCCGAACCATTGAAAGAATCGAGGTCGTCACCAACAGCTGTCCACCCAGCTCAACCTCAACCTGTGGTAGCTTCTCCAGCGACCCCGAGCGCTCCCTCATCGAGGGTGTCTGCAGAGCCTGTTCAGTCCAAGCCCACTCAAGCTCCGAGGCATCCTCAGCCTTCACCAGGCACGTATCAACGACCATCACCTCAGCGGCAGGAGTATGTACCTAATAGTCAACCATATCCACCTCAAGCACACCCAATGCAAATGGTTTCGCATGCGCAAACTCATATGCCTCCGCCTGTGGAGTATCCAGGATCTAGACGCTCACCGTCTGGTCAAGGCAGAGGATCTCCGGTTCCTATGCAACAACAGCAGTTTGCGGCGTATCAAGGATACCAACAACCTTGGCCTCATCCTCCACAGCATTATCCCCCTCCACCGTATCCGAATCAATTCTACCCGTACCATACGCCCCAAGCTCCACAATTCCAGCACTATCCTCAGAGTGCACCAGTTCACTGGGCTGGCCAGCCTCATGCTCAAGTATGGCATCCTCAACCATATTATGGTCCTGGTTCCGCCAACGTCACACCCATTCCCCGAAGCGCATCCACTCAGCCACTTAGGGGTAGGTCCTCGACTCCTTGGAAGCGACGGGGAGAATCTGCGAGTACTCTGCGCAAACTCAGTCCTATCCGTCCAAGCAAGAGAGACGTCAGTCCAATCTCCGACACAGAGTCACCGTCGCGTTCCACAAAGGCCAGAAAACCTACAGAGAAGAATGAACACTTGCTTTCTGCACAAGAGGCAAGAGGAAGACAAGGCGCCAGTGCTACTCCTGGCGTTGGTGATTCAAGATCGCAGTCCATTGCGTCTTTCATATCAGAGACTCCTATGGAAAAGAAGAAAAGGGGTAGACCACCCTCGAAAATCAAGGCCGAACCACCTAGTACTCTTGTACCGATCCTGTCTGATACTGAACCTCAACAATCTACTGGCCGGGCTGGGAGACCTAGGAAGACCACGGTGATCTCCAAGAATGAACAGCCCCAGACAGCTGTGAAGCGGAAACGCTCACATGCTCGAGACTCAGTGACGCCTCCACTACCATCTCCAGCTCGCGTACAATTGCGCCGTCAGCCGTCTCATGACTCCACGCTCGTCAGTGTATCCAAGAACTTCTCGAAGACTGCTCAGCTTCTACTCAACGACATTACTTCGCACAAATTGGCCGGGATTTTCGCCAAACCACTATCTGAACGTGATGCTCCTGGCTACAAAGACCTGATTTTCCGACCACAGGACCTCAAGAGCATAAAAGCCGCGGTTTCCAAGGGCGGACGGGCAGCTTTGGCAGCCATTGAAGCTTTGGAGGCCGAGGACAAGACCACAGAGGAGACGCCCACCAAAAATGCGCCAGGGCCCGAAACCGGAGAACGTTCTCTGGGCAATGGTATGTACTTGGTGAAGAAGACAGAAGAGCTTTTGCCGCCCAAAGGGATCGTCAACTCGTCACAACTGGAGAAGGAAATGGTGAGGATGTTCGCCAATGCAATCATGTTCAACCCCTTACCCACATCGGAAAGAGGCTTTGGCAGGTCCCTTCGGCCCAGGAAACAGGCCGGAGACGTCGACCACGACGCCGAAAGCACGAGCTCGAGTGAAGAAGGAAGTCCGGCCGATGAGGGCGGCATCATCTCGGACGCGCGAGAAATGTTTGACGATGTCATGGTTGCTATCCGGAAATGGCGAGAAGTCGAACTGGAACGGCTGGGTGGAGAAGATGCGGCGACAGCATCTAGTATCAAGGCCGTGCATCCGCAGGGAAGTGCGAGTGCTAGTGTTAGGCATTCTAGTGTGAGCTCGGCGCTGAATGAGGATGATGGCGGTGGGGAGTCGGCGGCAGCTTCGACGCCTGTGCCTGCAACGGGAACGGCGAGGAAGAGGAGAAGGATCGCAGAATGAGTGATGGATGGATGGGGATAGATCATGAATTTCTTTGAGGCAGTAAGGCTGCGTGTAGACTTTGTATGCCTAGGGAACTCGGGCATGATCTTGCCAATGGCTGGACGGAAGTCTGTTTGTTGAAAGGAGCCAGCGCGTTGACAATTGTGACATATATTTCATGCTCTGAGTTAGACGACGCCCGTAGAAGAAGACGGATTGCAGGGCTGATTATTTGTCGTAAATTTTGTCGCCTTTACGGAGTATACATGCTTAGAAACATGGGATGACACGTTGCTTGCACAATGCTATACTCCTTTTCTATGCTGTGCATTCCATTCTTTACCTTGGAGAGATCAAACCCTATGGGGACAACAAGTCTAACTCTTGCATTTCAAGGTCCTTCAAGTCCTCAAGATCCGGGGACGAGCCGGGCTCGGCCTGCTGCACTCAAGAGCGCATTGGCTGAAGTGTACAAGACATGGCGGAGTTCTTGACAATGCGCTGAATGTATGCACCCGAGGCTCGTAAGAATGGGTGTTTCGGCTTCAGTATTGAGCAGTGGCTGATTACTCGTTGAAGGGGAAGGAAGCTGTTGGGTAACAGAAGAGAAAGAGGCTGGACGAAAATCTCTCCCAAGACCGTCGGTCTGAGAGAACACCCTGGTACTGCTGAAGCTGGCATTCTTGGGCTGTTCTCGAGATCTGGCAGCTGACGCTCAGCGCGGGAAGGTGCATGGAGCTGGGACATCCTGCATCGTGCGACTCGGATGGAAAAGTGGCCAAGAGAGTACTTACGTACATGGTTGAAGGTAATGGGCTGGCAAGAGGCAGCTGAAAGCTCCAGTACGTAGCCGGGTCGATGGATGGTTTGATGATCGTCGAATTCAGGAGGGCATGAACTTCATTGACGATCCGGGTGGGTGCAGTCAGCGCACTTACATCAAGGTTGATGGGCTGCCTGCGAAAGGCAACCAAATGCCAGGGATGAAGCAAGTTTCTGCACAATTGGGTCGAAGTGAGGCAACATTTACCAAACTGAGGCACATGCATTGTGGTTCGCAGTTCGCAAAATAGACAGAAAAAGTATGTCTTGGAAGGCTAGTTGCATAAGCTGAATGCCAACCTCAGCGGAGTCGGGCACCCAGACGAGCAGTCACAGAATATCCCAGCAGGGTTGGCCTGGTGTTGACCGAAGTCTTGGTGAGCAGATGGAAGTTGATGCAGGCGAGTCCGAGGTATCATCCCATGTCTCCGTGATTGTAGGTCGACCTCGAAATGACTCTCCTCAAGCTGTTGCAGGTTGATGCGATCCACAAATGTGAGGGCGAGCTCCTCACGCCCACCTGCAGCAAAGATGGTACCAGCAGGTATGTCGGGCGTCGTTGTCACCACCTAATTGTTTGCCCACGAATGTTGTCGTCGCCTTTTTGTGTTACGCGGCTTTCTTGCGAACCACGACAAGGCCACACGAATGCTCCACACCGCTGCGTCTCTGGCGTGTCTGGAAAGACAAGTTCAGAACGTCAGGCTGGGATTCCATGCCATCCTCGACTTAGGGCTGAAACGGAACAGGGAGGCGGAAGTTGCACAGGAGTGCTTCAGTCATCCTTTGCAAAGCAGCAATATTGCCCTCTTCGAGAAGCACTTGAGACAGTGGGACCTTTCGACAAGTCTGCCTTGGAACATCTATTTTGAGGCTGTTTGTTTCCTCAAACTTGACGCCGTCGACTTCTAGCGGACGCCGGGCAGTTGGTAATTCCCCGAAAGCTCCAGTTGATGAGACCCTGATCTCCTAAACAGAACCGGCGCGGTTGTCAGGGGTTGGCAGATTTAAGATCACCTTCGGCTCCGCTATTTCGATTGACGAGAGGGACTGCCTGGTGATCTCATGGACCCTGCGACCCTTGCTTTGTTTCATGGATCTGAGGAGCAATTCACACCACTGTCTCATGCAGCTGCCGGTGCCACGGTTTCACCATGGAGGTGGACGACTTACCGACGATATGCCTGTCAACTTGTCGCATCGACGCTCTGGAATTGGGATGGACCGCAAATCGTCCTAAAGAAGTAGTTGCAGCAATAGAATGGGTCCGGATGAATAACTAACCAGGAAAAGATATGTTCTTGTGACATCTAAAGAATAGATTATTATCGCAAGTTGCAGGACTGCAAGGGTCAAGCAGCAGGTCTGACTGCAGTTGAGTGTCAAGTAATCGCACGTCAACAAGATGACAAGACGACATCAAGTTCGAAATAGCAGCCATCAAATCCGCAAATGCAGATGATCGTCATTGATGGAAAGCTCACGTTCGGATGGACGGAAGTTCATTGATTTCATTCGAGGAGTACCACAGTACATGACTCGGGAGCTGCGGTATGCAAGGCGACCAACTTTTTAATTAGAATTGGCCCTGTTCTAGTGACGGGAACAGCGGGAAACCGACGCAAACTCTCCCCCAAGAAAGTGGGTGATGCAGCACGTGGACAATCGAGCTCCAGGGATGTACTGTGTGAGAGAAAGGAGTTTCTGTGAGAGGCGCCCCCACGGCCTTCAGCTTGCAAAGCATTCTTGCTGAGCATCCGAGGTCGGTGTCAATAATTCTCCTGATTGCGATCATCCCTGTACAGCAATGCAACGACTTGAGAAGGCCGAGGTCATCTCCGTTGAGGGTCACCTGGTCGTTGAAGTGGAGGATCAAGCTGGGGAGAGTACAGTAACATCCCACGGCGCTTAGTTTGCGACAAGGGGGACTCGTGCCAGCGCAGACACAACAAGGTATTCCCGGCACAGTATGTTGTGCAGAAACGAGGAATCCTTTTGCCTGTGGTACGGCTTGTGATTCGCTGACGGGAGGAGTCATCCCCGGCAAATTCCCAGGTCGTTTTGCTGGTGTCTCGTGACCACAGTATGGCCAACTCAGGAGGCAAGGGTTGCGAAGAGCGCAACGAATAGTAACAGTAGATCGGCAAGGAGTCATTCCTGGCGGTGTGATAGTGGTTGTAAATCAAGGACTCGAAGCGCTCCACCGTGGTTGCAATTGGGTGCCAATGCGCTGTGCCGGTATTTTGAACATCGCTGCACAGACTGAACCTCCGTCGAGCCCAGACCGCAACAATCACGAGGGCGGCAAATCATCCAGGATGTTTCTCACAAACAATTTCGGACGACTTCAGTCTTCAGCCCAGCTCATACGAGTAATCAACGTTTCGGTGAAATTTCAAGCCACTTGGGTAGCCAATAAATCGTTGTACCCACGCGGCCACGTCAGAAAAACGCCCCGGCTGCCGAGGCTTATCGCTTTGGTCGCACCAAACGAAGGATGTGATGTGATGCATGGCTTTAAATCCGGGGTGCATCTTGTTCTCCTTATCTCGGTCACTCAGATTGGCCGACCTTCCGCTAAGCGATGCATTCACGACGTCAAGAAGCTCCACCACGATCCGGTTATCGGCCTGGCGCCGTTTGACTCCTGAAACAGGTACGGTAGCTAGGAAGTGATCCACTGACCGTCTCTTCACCGTTCATTCTCCAGTTGTGCGGAGAACTTTACTTGAGATCGACAGGGAGCAAAATTTTGTCCGAATAGGAAGGATGGTTGGATGGTGTGTGTAGCAAAAAGGCTCAAGGCTCAAGACTGTAAAGACGGGAAAGGAGGTCTCATCAATCGTTCGGGACTTCGATCCGACCAGAAAAAGATCCTTCAGCAGCCGAAGAGTCATCCCATCTCGTACGAGTAGCCACAAGCCGCGTCGTGAGGAGACGGGTGGGAGTAAAGTGCCGGTAGCTTAAAATCCACCGCTTGAGCGGGAGCTGAAGAGTGTGCGCGTACTAACTCTGCGCCAAGTTTGGACAGGAGGAGCTATGCACGGATGGCCTCGGGTGTGCCTGGGAGTTGGGCCATCCAGCTGTGCCACCCATGGCCACCTCACGAGAGCGACTGACAGAGAAAGTCCGGATGCCTGGGAAAGGATGGATCCAACGGGATGGGTCAGTTGATACAGGATAATACCGGTCATTTCAAGAATGCAGAAGGCCGTTGTTAGCGGTCGAAGTGGTCGAAGCGGGCCCCAGTCTGACGTACCGCCAGCGATGACGGTGACCATGTGTGGAGGGAATCCGTGGGAACCTTTTGTCAGACTCGATGAGTTTCTCATGACTTCAGAGTTCTCGTAGTTTCTAGCAGTCCATGTTGGCATCTGATCTGATATGAACACGAAATAAAAATTGTCTTGTTGCATATTGTATGTAGGACAAGATTGCGATCTGGACGGAGAGTTGCCTTTGTTGTCATCAATGGCGTGGGGTTTGAGCCGAGTTGTCGTCCATGCAGCCTGCAGCATTGGATATCAAGTTGGCCACGTATGCTATCATCCCAGAGACCACTTGCCATGCTCCTGCAATTCATTCCAATTCCTCCAGCTCCTCGGTGCGGGCGGCCTGTTCTGATTAGATGCAGCTCGAAGAATCGATTAGGTCAGAGTGCAGCTGAACGGCACGGTGCGTGAGAGGCATGCTGCAGATATGTGCAGATTTCTTGTGAGATGAGCCGTCAGCAGACGTGAGAAGAGACGGATTTGGCAGCATGCAGTTCTGACAAGTCACTACGAGGCTACTATGTCGCAAGTGACCGTTTCTGGCACGCCATGGTATCGATTGCAGCAGAAGCATCATGCTGTCAGCTCAACATTGCTCAATCTGGCTGGAATTCGAGCCGATAGTGCGTGACATTTTGTGGGTGATTGTGTACTGTGCGACTGTGTATGTATTCCAAGCTCTTCTAGAAGGGATGGCAAAACCAAGATTTCCGTCAGCTTCGGACGTGATACATCTCGGTTCTGCGGGGAGAGAGAGAGTGTGTGTGTGGATGAGAAGCGAAGGGAGACGAGGATGTTTTGGATTGGCGAAGCCAGCGAGCGGAAAGGGAAGCCTGAAGGGATGGAAATGACAGGGCTCAGGGCCGGAGAAAGTGCTTGCAGCAAGGAATACGAGGGATGGAGGAGGTGCATGGACTCTAGAGTGTAGGAGCCCCAGAATAATAACGATGCTGTCAGGCGTGAAAGATTTGGCTCACCAGGCCATGAAGCCAGCAAAACCCGGTCAAGACTAATGGGCACAACCCCTGTTCAGTGTTCGCCCCAATAAAATATGCCTTTTTTAGGGCTGTTTAGGGCTGTTTAGGGCTTGGTTTTGTCGAATTTTCCAGTGGAAGTGGAAGGCCAAAGCAACGAGCAAATCGCCCGGCTTTTCCCTTTCAATGCGAACCACAAAGGAGGCACAGTCACAGTCACTCTCGAGAAGAAGAAGAACACTACCATCGTATTCTCATCTCAACAGCAGGCCATCTTCAACAAACCGAGTATCCAACGCAAGTGATCCAGTGCTGGGGTCATTGTTGATTGACATCTGCCAGTGTCATCTTGGTCGGTCGGTCTGTCTGCAAGCAATACCGGTCCTGACGCATCTTTTCCCACATCCTTGCCCACTTCGACCACTCACTTCCTTGTCCTATTGTTTTCTCTCCCTCGATTCCCACACTCGACATTCTGCATACGACTGCGTCGCCTCTCCCGACACCAATAGGCCAACCTTTGGACTTGTTTGTGCTGTGCACACATCCACCAACTCCTTGTTCATTTGAGCAGACAGCCGCATCGCTTCTGTTTCGTCCCTTCCTTTGTCCAATTCGAGTCCGAGTCGCCGTCGTTTTGCTGCTTGCGAACGTCACCACCAGCGAACGAAAGCGCCATCCAAAAATCACACCATAGCCCATCGAGGCTCTGCGACTGCATCAGGTCGGTCGCCTATCGTCTGACTGCATAAACCTCCCCTGCGGCCGCTGTTCAGCCCTTCTGCGTCTTCTTCTGCACGGCCAGCGCCGAACGCCTTACGCACCCCATCATTGCGCATCCGCCTAAACGCACGCGTTGTACTTCCCTCCCACACCTTCCCTGCATTGCAGCTGCACCAGACCAGATCCGATCCTCCGCTACATCTGGCGCACCCAGTCATCACTATGGCTGCTTTCCGAGCCTGATCAAGGCCATAGCAATTCTGTACAGGACCGCCAACTGTGTCGATTCCCACCAGACAAGAATGAAGTCCTCAAAGTTCCATATACAGAGCTGGACTCGTCTCTTTCACCGCCAATTCCAATCTTGATCAGTGCCTCATAACCTCAAATTCCCGGGATATCAACTTTGCGGAGGTCATGATCTCCGCTTCGCCGTCGCCCTCCCTCAGGGCTCTACGAAGTCGGGACACTTCTCCTTCGCCTCGTCCGCGTCCACTGGCTCGGATGCCTTCCATTCAGCGCGTCAATACCGCCTTCACACCCCAGATGCTGTCGGCTACCCCGGCTTCCGCCAACAGTATCTCCTCAATTGCCCCTAGTCCTCATATATCTTCTCTCCAGTCCTCGCCACTGGTCTCTCAAACATACCACCACCATCTTGGCAATCCGGGGCCACTTGAGCTGCCTGAGTCTGTCATATCTCCTGCCTATGCCTCGCCTCCGCAAAGAGACCCGTCTGTGGGCATCAAGCCCGTCGGCCTCATGCGCAAGCTATCCCAGAGTGCCAAAGACGGTGTCTCTTCTACACGGCAGATACTACGAAGAAAAGCGTCCTCCACGCAGAATCGTCGAGATGAAAGCACAGGACCCATCACCCGGCGCCGCAGTGACAGCAAGACGGCCCTCGTGAATGGCACTTCGATCGAGTCTCCGTCATATGACACCTTACCCCTGGACCTTCACTCAGGCCTGGGTCTGTTCGATACCATGAGTATCTCCAGCGAGCCAGTCACCCTCCTCGATACCAGCCCCGAAGGCCAAGCTCCGTGCGTGCCGGAGCGCCTGGTAGGAGGATGCCTTTTGACCAAGATCACCAAGAACAAGAAACAAGAAAAGTTGTTCTTCTTGGACGTCGAGGGATCTCGAGTCTCGTGGAAGGGTGCTGTTACCATGAAAGTCTTCCACATAGATAACATTAAAAGCATTCGGAGTGGGGAAGAGGCTGCCAGCTACCAGCAAGCGCTCCGTGGTGAAGCAGTCGATTCCGAGCTTTGCTTCACCGTCAACTACGCGCCATCAGACTCTTCAAAGCAGGTCAAGACGCTGCATCTGGTGGCTCATTGCCCTGCTGACCTCAAACTGTGGCTTGACACCTTGGAAAGCCTGGCAAAGCACCGTGAGGAGTTGATGACTGTTCGTTCCTCTGAACGAGAATCCGTCATGCGAGCTCATTGGGAGAGTGAAATGGCCCGCCGACCAGAAAGCTGCAAGGTCCATGGTCTTAACTTACCAGCCATTCAATCACTCTGCCGTAAGCTGCATATTCATGCTCCCGAGAAGGAGCTCGAAGAGCACTTCAACTCCTCGGACGTCGACAAGTCAAAACGTCTCACATACGAGCAATTCAAGGAGTTTCTCAAACGCCTCCGTGAGAGAAGTGACATCAAGAAGATCTTCAATGATCTGAAAGACGCCAATTCCCGTGGAATCACTCGATTCCAGTTTGTCTCTTTCCTTGAAGAGGTTCAAGGTATCAATCTTGCCGACCTGTCTGAACCTGCTCAGTGGGAAGAGAAGATAAATGATATGGTGGCAACATCGTTTCCGAACAACCCAGAGCTGCATGACCTAGATCTCATCGATGTCAACTCGTTTGCTGCGTTCCTGATGTCCAAAGACTGCCATGTCTACTCAAGACCTCAAGAATCAATACCCAACTTCGATCGACCCCTGAACGAGTACTTCATTTCAAGTTCTCACAATACCTACTTGACAGGCTGGCAAGTCAACGGAACTTCTTCAGCGGAAGCCTACATCACCGCTCTACGTCATGGCTGCCGTTGCATTGAGATTGACTGCTGGAATGGTCAAGATGGCAATCCGAGGGTTACACACGGCCGGACGCGCACCAGCTCTGTCCTTTTCTCCGATTGCATCAACGCCATTCAAAGGTGCGCCTTCGATGTCAGCCCATATCCTGTTATCATCTCTCTGGAAGTCCACTGCGACGCCGAGCAACAAGCCAAGATGGTAGATATTATGACTTCTGTCTTTGGCGATCGCCTGCTTCTTCACCCTCTGCCTGGTTTCACAACCAAATTGCCCTCACCCGAACACCTCAAACACAAATACCTGATCAAGGTCAAATCCACCGAGCTTCATGCCGATCTCGAGGCATCACGCCGCACCACGTCTCTCAGCCGCACTCGCAGTGCAAGCTCACCCCACCGCAGCATCCAGCCATCCAGCTTGGCTCATGCGTTGACGGCGGTATCAAGCCCCGCCGTGATCACGCCGCCTGAGACCCTCTATTCCCCAACAGATAGATCTGTGACAGCGACGAGTGCAAGCAGCGCCGATGAAGAGAGTGATGTTGCGTTTACTTCTCCCTCGAACCAAGAAAACCAAAGGCCGCCTCCGAAATTGAGCAAGGTCGGGCCTGTTCTGTCAGCTCTTGGAGTTTACATGAAAGGGTACAGCCTTCGCGAAGGTCGAGATCTGGCGTTTGATCAGTACAACCACATTTTCTCACTCAACGAGAACCGGGCCATTGAGCTTTGCCATTCTGCCGAAGACAAAGCCATGTTCGAGGACCACAACCTCCGCTACATGTGTCGAGTCTATCCAAAAAATCTTCGCTTTCAGTCCTCCAACTTCGATCCCAATACCTTCTGGAGACGAGGTGTTCAGATGGTCGCTCTCAACTGGCAGACATTTGATGCACACATGCAGATGAACCAAGCCATGTTTGCCGCTGGTACGGACGCATATGGTTACGTGCTCAAGCCTGAATACCTCCGTAAGCCTCGAACCAAGTACGGAGACTTCGAGCATCGTGTCAAACTGCCACGATACAAAATGAAGTTCTCAGTCCAGGTCGTCTCGGCTCAGCAACTTCCTCGGCCAGCCAACATGAGCAAGGACACGCCATTGAACCCCTTTATCGAGGTGCAGATGTTTAGTGCTGAGGACAGAGCTCGAGGCATCGCAAACGGTACCGGTGGTAAGGAGACCTACTCTAATGGCTACCATGGCATTGGATCACCATATCGTCGACAGACACAAATCTGTTTTGGAAATGGCTTCAACCCCCAATTTGGCGATAGCATTGAGCTGTCTCTGGAGACGAAGTATCCGGAACTGGTCTTCGTCCGCTTCATCGTCTACAACTCGGACGACGGCCGACACAACGGTAAGGGTGTCAAACAGCTCGCTGCCTTCACAGCGAAACTCGACAGCCTACAGAAAGGATACAGACATCTGCCCCTTTACAATGGCCATGGCGAAGAGTTCATCTTCTCCACGTTGTTCTGCAAAATTGTCAAGCAAGAATCCAAGCTGATGCCATGGTCTCTGCAAGACGTCAACGGACGACCCTCGAGGACCAACGTGTTCCGAGGAATCCTCTCGCGCGGCTTGTCCGGTGATCGCGGCAGAGACCGAGCTTCGAGTGTTGAGGACCAACGAACAGCCCGGCAAGCGAGGCTGAACCGTGAGATTGAAGAAAAGATTGCCAAAGCATGAGATTGCTTGATGCATAAGCATTAATTGTATCAACGGAAGGCGAGGGACATTTGATTTTCGAAAGAGATACCCAAAAGCAGATATGACCGTGATGACATTGATTAGAATCATCCCGTCTGGCAACGGACATTATTTCATGTGCTAACACTGTTTGGTCAGAAGAGGTGGACTTGTCATAACTACTGCGACTTTTTCTATGTACTATATATAAATGGCAGGACTGTTTTCTTGGTGGAATATGATCAATTTCATGAATCGGTTTCTGTGTCCGGCGGCCAGGAATGTTATATATATTCATTCCGGCCTTCAGCTTGCACCACGTGATGACCGAGGTCGTCGAAGGCATAGATACATATACGAAGGCCAGCTATGTTTACTGGTCAGTCCTGAACAATCAACAACCATGATAAGGTATGCTTGATGACTGAGTACGGTTGGCCTTGTCCAGGTGAAGTCTTCACCCACTCGGTAAGTACTGAGCCAACTCGGCGCAAAAATCGCCATGTCTGACTTGCGATTTCCCTCAATCTGCATGTTTATCCAGCAGCATCTCCGACTCCGCACTTGTCAAAGTTGTCATTTCACGAGTTCCGGGGGAGGCTCATCAGCTTGGCCTGCAGCGAGTCTGGCATCTGTCGGATTTTGTGCTGGCGGCCACTCCAACGACCAGCCTTGACCTTGGTTTCTCTTTCTGTGGTCTGCAGGGCTTTCTGACTGATCGCGGTCGAGACAATTTTGAGCAGGATGCTAGGGCGATATTCTGCTGACGTCTGAGACTGCCTCACCGTCTTTCGTGCATTCTATACAACCTACCAAAGTCTTTGCGGCCGGCGAGATCAACATGAAGTTCATTGACTCGTACACGTCCAACAACAGCGGATTCCAGCTTGACATCGTTGGTATGGCTTTACAAGAGATTCCAGTGGCAATAGCAGAATGCTGACCACCGCCTGTGTATAGGTTTCCTTGCCATTCTTGGAGAAGGTTCCGTTGAGACTGTTGCTCAAGTTGTTACCTTGAGTTACCTCATCTACCTTCCTCGTCTCCTCCCCGCCCCCCAGATCTTCATCAGACCTTCGAGACCGGAAAAGCTTGAGACCACATCTGGAGCAAAAGTAATTGGGGTTCATTCTGGCAACACCGGCGAAGACATACATCATGTGGCCCATGCGTTGCATCGTGGGGATAAACTTGCCCCTAATACAGTTACCTGTGTGAGAGTGAAGGAGAACGAAAAAGATCGTCCATCTATCAAACGCTTTGGGCCTCTGGCCATGCTAGCGTTCATGGGGTTCGCCATGAGTGCTGCATTGCTGGGCCTATCCATATACTACGAGGATGGGTAGGTCGTCAATGCTGTGCAATGAGCTTCTGCTGACTTCTCCAGCATGTCCTTGTTGGCGACAGCGCTCTTGTCTTCCCTGAGCACGGTCACCGGGATCGCGAACAAATGGTCGCCCACCCCGAACGATCCGAAGCCTGATCCTCATTCCCCTCCGGGTGATGTAGTGATCAAATATCCTCAAGGAGCCTTTATTGTGGTATCCTGCGAGGAACGAACGGCACGATACTTGTATTTCAATCCAAGCGAGCGTTGTATTTATGCGGTTACGAGCACAGCTATATATAGAGGTCTTTCATTGATTTCGACCTTGTTACTCATGGGTGGAGTTATCTCACTGGCCAATGCCAGGATCGAGACCCAGACAGCATTTGCAGGAGCCTACATGCTTATCAACATTTTCTACTGGATAGGGGCTGCTTTGCCACCTGCTCAACATTGGGATCTTTCTCGACTGGAAGTCGAACATATTGAGGTCCATGGTGGGACTCCTCCACGAACCGCCAAGATCGACAACTACTCGCCAACATATACCGAAGCACTATGGAAGGCTATCGCGGTCACGGGGACCAGCAACTGGGTGAAAGAAGCGGGATGGGCCCCCAGAACTCCGGCCTGGAATGATTGGCTCAACGAAGCAGAAGAAGCCGCTCTAGGGGAGCCATTGAAGTCGAGCACAAAGACAGTCAATGGCAAGGTAGTTGAAATTTGGACAATTCGCAATTGGGACAGCAGAAATGCTCTGTCAACTCTCCTACGGACGACGACGGACAAGATTGGTCCCAGATCACCCAAGTGAGGTTCAAGCGATATCACGGGCCGGTGAAAACACAGTCTCTGGGGCCTTGACCCTCTGCATCAAGGGCTTGACCGGGATTCACCATCTCCCCCGCAATGTTCCTTCTTGTGACAACGACGATTTACGGAACTATGATCAAACGACTGACGAAATGATGACTGATGGAAGCCAAAATCTGCTTGGGCAAAGATAAATTAACTATAGATAGATCATCAATAAGATGTATTCCTGGAACAACATTGGCCAAGAATTGCAGGATGTGTTCAAGGTCGTGAGAGCAAATCCACAAGAGTGATATTCCGTACCACAGTTGGGTGACAGTACTGGTCCTTAGTCAGCCGGCAAGGCTTGCCCTTCACGCTGGGTGCCACGTCCCCCACCCTCTCAACTTCCGGTACTTGAGCGTCAATCTTGGCGCCTGCCTCGGCGCACACACTCTTTTTGCCCACAGTTGCAGTTTCCGCCAGTCGAGACAGCAACCTCGACAACCATCTAGGACTTGCCAGTCCCTACTTCTCGACAAAATGTGAGAGAATCCTTGCATGTTTCTGCGGTACTTTCTGCAGGATGCTGATTCGAGAAGTTTGTAGTGAGCCGCAGGTGGAATCCTGATCGAAAGCCGTCGCGATGCCGTTCACCAAACTGTGAGTCGCAACCAAATCCCATGGAAAGCCATTACTGACTCGATTTCCAGCGTCAAGAACTCTCCCTACTTCTCCAGATTCCAGACCAAGTACAAGCGCAGACGGGCCGGAAAGGTAAGAAAGAATTCGGATACGGTTCACACTTCAGGCGACTGACATGCGCTTTAGACCGATTACTATGCCCGTAAGCGATTGATTGCTCAAGCCAAGAACAAGTACAACGCTCCCAAATATCGCCTCGTCGTCCGTTTCACCAACCGAGACATCATCTGCCAATTGGTCACTGCCGAACTCTCTGGCGACAAGGTTTTCTGCGCTGCCTATTCGCACGAGCTCAAGAGATATGGAATCCAGAACGGTCTGACCAACTGGTCTGCCGCCTACGCTACCGGTCTTCTGCTCGCTCGCCGTGCTCTCAAGAAGCTCGACCTCGATGAGGCCTTCACTGGGGTCGAAGAAGCAGATGGTGAATACAAGCTTACCGAGGCCGCTGAGGTTGACGGCGAAGAGCGTCGCCCATTCAAGTGCTTCCTCGACGTGGGTCTCCACCGAACCTCTACTGGTGCTCGTGTCTTTGGTGCCATGAAGGGTGCCTCTGACGGCGGTATCTTCATCCCCCACAACGAGAAGCGTTTCCCTGGCTACGACCCAGAAAGCAAGGAGCTCGATGCCGACACTCTGCGCAAGTACATCTTTGGTGGTCACGTTGCTGAGTACATGGAGACTCTTGCCGACGATGACGAGGAGCGCTACAAGTCGCAGTTCACCAAGTACATTGAGAACGACGTCGAGGCTGATGGTCTGGAAGAGCTGTACACTGAAGCTCACGCTGCTATCAGAGAAGACCCATTCAAGAAGGACGAGGATGAGGGCGAGAAGAAGGACAAGGAGTACTGGAAGGCCGAAGGCAAGAAGCACAAGACCCCCAAGATGTCCAAGGAGGAGAAGGAGAAGCGTATCCAAGAGAAGATTGCTGCTCTTGCCTCGTGAGTATCGACCGAACCTCACAACACGTCTTTCCAAGAGATTTACGGAATGATTGTTTCTGCGGCGTAGCTTGAACAGAGACTCCTCATCGCAAGAGTCACGGCAAAATGAATGCCTAGTCATTGCATGTGGGAATGAATCAAAATGCAATGAAGTTCAACGAGTCACAACATTTTGCCAGCGCTGAGCCCTGCAAATGGGATAATAGATTTTCTGTTTCTGGTGACCAGGGATGCGGCTCTGACATAAGCTGCTTACCATCGTAACCTAGCACACTCACAATGACTGTATCCGGGTGGGTTTACGAGCAATCTCGTACTGCAGATGATATCTAAGCGTAGGCTTAGGCGATCTGAAAGTCCAGATTGTCAATGCTTATAAGTCTCTGAATCTTATCCAAATGAAGATTCCAACGCCGTTACAAGTATCTAGGCGGGCTTATCGGATAATAATTGCATGATTGCCACGAAGATGGAGGGATATTGAAGCCACCCACATGACTGACTGATCTTCTTTCGATGCTGAAAAAGAACCGGTTGGATCAAAGCACTGTAATTAGTCGTTGATGGCACCATGACCGCATAGCAGGGCCTAAAAGTGGCTAGTAGAGGCTCCTCCAGTAAGTGTCCAGACCACCCACAGCCACCGTGAACCACCTACAGCCAGTCGTACGAGTACCCGGTCGCTATTCTTTCCAGCCGATGGAAGAGTTGGACCCCGCCAACAATCGAAGTTAATCCATCGGCTCTCAGCTTCACGGGGGCCATGCTTCATGATGTCTTTGGATCAGCGTGAATGACTCTATCAGCAACAGGACCACACTCTTACACCTGCGGGTGCTTGCAGAATCAACTCCTCAATCATGGCAAGCGCAGTCGGTAGCAGCCTCGATGTCGACTGGCTGCTGCACTCGAAGAAAGGTATGTGGCGCCGCGACAACGATTGCGCTGGCCGCTTTTCGACCTATTCAAGCTGCTAACAATCCAATAGGGCAACCTCAATCTCTCGCAGAGACGAATAACAAGAAAGAAGAGCCTCGATCTCAAACCCCTCAGATCAAATCGACCGAGCCCACTCCACCTTCGACGCCGACCGATCATAAACCTTTGAAAGACGCACAAAAAGAAGGATCACCTGCAGTTACACCGCAGAAGCCGGCATCAGCACCGAATGGCACGATTAATCCTCCGCAGCTAGTTACGCTGAAAAATGGAGCGACACAGCCTCAGAGTCAGCAGCTCGCCCGACCTTCGCTAATCAAAGGGCAAAGCACCGAGGACAAGAAGGGTCTGAAGAGCAACACCCCGAACGGAAGAAAAGATGGAAGACGAAGTTCATGGATCTCCAGTATCAGCTCAAAATTCTCATCCTCAAATTCACCTGCACCTTCCCGCCAACCGAGTGCAGATGATCGTCAGGCTCTGAACAAAGCAGGCGTGCCATCACCGCAGCCGAGCCCGAAACTCGAAGTGCCAAATCCATTCAGCAAGAAGGAACCATCGAAAGAGGGACAACCCGACTCCACGAAGGAGGAGAAGCCTTCGCTCCCAGTGCACGTTGGCCCACGACGACCGTCTGTTTTGGTTGCCGCTGGCAAAGAGACCAAACTAGATCACCCCGGGTTCTTGTCGAGTGCCTTGCGAAGGCTGTCGTCGTCCTCGAACGCCGCCATGGGCAAAGGTGCTGCACCAACCGGAGCGGCTTGCCCGAGGCGAGTCTTGAACATTGATCAGAACCGCGAACGTATAAGATTCAGCGAATTTGATCAGAACAAGCTAAAGAGGGTGGCATTTTGTGTCGATGTGGAGATTGCCGGGTATTCTGCTTCGGTGGATGAGGAGCCTGACAAAATCGGTCGTCCTGCTGTGTCGAACTCCCAGAAGCAGACCTCTACCACGGAAAAGCAGTCAATTGGTAAGAAGGATGTGAAGGATGCGAAGATCAAAGACAAGGGTGAAGGTGCTGCTTTGAAGAATCCTACCATCGCTACCGAGGCGAAAGAAGAATCGCAACAGTCCAAGCCCGACGCACCCGCTCAAGAGCAAGAGTCCGAGGAGAAAAAGGAGGTGAAGGCTGCACTTGACGAAGCACCAACAGCTGATTCGCAATCTGCGCCGACGACGCGGAAGAAGGAGAAGAAGAAACGATCTGAAGCTGAGCGGAAAGAACGGAAAGAACGAAAACGAAAACATGCAGAAGCAAACGGTCTCGTACCTCTCGAGTTGACCCGTGAGGATAGTGATTCCGATTCTAATTCCAGCAATACTCCTCCTGGGGCTACCACTCCTAAACGGCCTGTGGACGGTCCTACGACAGATCCCCTGAGGATCTATAAGCGGTGTTGTCAACTTCGTGAGACTTCGGTTCTAAGTCGAGTGAAGGAGCAGATATCCAAACCATCAGCTACTTTAGCAGAAGCACCTGGAACGGTGGCGGTCGTGGATCTTTCTGGCTTCCACCTGCAATTGCAGGATATCAACACACTCGGCGACTGGCTTGCTGTTGTTCCTGTTCGGAAGCTCATACTGGAAGACTGTGGTTTGACGGACGAGGGAGTCCGCGTAATTTTGTCCGGACTCTCGAGTTGCAAATCTGCTGAACAGGCTCGGCAAAACAGAAGATTGCCCAAGCGGCCCAGTGGAAAACATGGCATAGAGCAGATGGGTGTGATTGAGAAACTGTGCCTGAAAAGCAATCCGGGAATCACCAATTTGGGTTGGAAACACATTGGGCTTTTCATGCACATGTCAAGGTCACTGAGAGCAATCGATTTGTCTGGAATCAGCTTTCCCAAGTCTGGAGACTTGTCAAGGTCGCTTTCGACCAACTCCTCCATCAGCAGCTCTGACGGCCCTTCGAAGTCCTCCGACCTGGGAGCCTTAATCCTTCATGCATTATCCGAACGCATGGGCGACAGGTTTGAGGAGCTCATTCTCAGCGGATGCGGCCTATCGACAGCAAACGTCCGCGATATAGTCGAGTGCGCTATGAAATGCAAGATTCGCCGCCTGGGACTGGCTGATAACGACCTCGATGAAGAAGCATTGAGCCATCTCGTCAGATATATGAAATCCGGCTGCTGTGAAGGTCTCGACCTTGGAGGAAATGACCTACGAGGTATGGGCCACATTCTCGCCGAAGTCGCCGACGATAAGTGTCCACTGTTTGCCATCAGCCTCTCTGGATGCAATCTGACGCCTAGCGATCTCAACTCAATCCTGGTACCATTCGCGAAACTTACCGATCTCAAGTTCATGGATCTATCCCGAAACAAGGCTTTGTTCAACCATGAGCCCAATGCCGTTCCTATCTTGCGAAAGTTATTGCCCAGGTTGACGGAACTGAAGCGTATCCATCTGGCTGACGTGGGGTTGACTCCTGACCAAGTCATAGCTCTTTCCGAGATCCTTCCCGATTGCCCAAACATTATTCACGTCAGCATTCTCGACAATGCTCCTTTGCTCTATGCGATGAACTCCAAAGAAGAAGGTGCACAAGAAGAAGCTTGTGCATTCTTTGCTGCTCTCATGACCGCAGTGCGGGTGTCGGAGACCATCAGTGCAATCGAAATCGAGATTCCGGGTACCAACAGCAGTGAAGTCGTTAAAGCGTTGGCTTCCCAGGTCGTCGCATACAGTCTCCGCAATATGGAACGTACGACTCTCGGCGAAATTGGCGTACAGGCTGTCAATCTTAATGAGAAGCATGCGCCTGAAGTGCTGCTTCATCTAGTCGGTCATATGGAAGGCTATGCAGAGAATCATGACAATGATGAGCCTGGCCCTGATGAAGACTACTTGATCGCGTCTACAGGTATCGTCAAAGCTCTTGATGTGTGCTTGGGCAGCAAAGATGGCACAAGCCGAGTACATTCGAGAAATATAAGCCCGAGTGTGAGCGGCACTGCAACACCACGACATGGCGCTAATCAACATGTCAAACCGCGGGACGTTAGTTTGCAGCTTTGCGACAGTGCAAGGAAGATCCGAACGAGGCTGAGACCGGTCCTGGTGAGAGAAGATCGTGCTGGCAACGATTATAACTATCGTAGGTTGACCCATCTACCATTCATGGATTATACTAACCCTTTGCAGGCCGTCTGTTTAACCTAGATCAGACGTTGCAGCGTATGATCCAGCGGTTCGAGGACGAATATCCAGAAACTAAAACGGGGACAACTTCGCCGAATGCAAACGGAATGTATTCTCCTGACCCCTCAGCAGGGGATCCGTCTTTGCTCTCTGCTTCCGTGGGCTCCGATGGACTGATGAAGATGACATCTGCGGAGGAATACTTCCCGGGTGACTCGGAGCAGCGAGAGTCATATGCCATCAAGCTGTCCCGGACTGCATCAGAAACCTCTCTCGCGGCGAGAGCTTTCACCGACGAGGAAGGCCGTATGCATCGTTTGGGACAAAGCATCCGGAGAGAAGTGCTCAAACCGACCGGCATGAACGATAATCTACATGGTACAAGTACCGACGACGAACCAGAAGCTCCTCATCTTGCCGCTCTTCGAGCCAAATTTGAGCAGTTACGAGGTGAAGATATCCGTGCAAAAGTGGAACGAGACGGCGCAGATAGTGTGCTCACAGAAATTGGCCTCAATGCTCAGGAGCTTCTGGCTTTGAGAGAGACTGATCCCGAAGGATTTGAGACGTTTAGAAAGTCACAATTGGCCGCACAGATCAATAGTGGTCGTATAGACGGGTGAGCAATGATGTACGAATCTTGGGCGGGTGTCGTGCGTTCTGAGCGTTCTGCATGATTCTATGTATATATCGACCGTCTGTTCTATACCAGCCACAGGGAATGATGATGTTATGAAGGACTCCTTACTCAACCTGACGACCAATCTGCAATGGTAAAGCAGGCCTTCATGCGTACATATCGAAGCGACACCAACAATGGGCGAGGCGTCCTTCAGCCTTGTGATTCCCATGTGATGGAGTATGCGCACCGCGGGCACGTAATTGTCAAACACTGCACCAACAGAGCCGTTCGTCAATGTGAAATACAGGCCTGGCTTGGCGACAGTTGAGACACAAGTTGTCACTGCGGTCGACGCCAATATCAACTCTCTTCCTTTCATTCATCCATCGCCGTCGAACACCACCTCCATCAGCAAAGATGGATTCCTCTTCTGGTAAGTTGAGCGAAGCGCTAAAGACGGGACGAGCCGCTCAATGCCGGAAGTCGGTGTTTTGTAGTTCCGAATGCCGGTGGGGGGATTGAGAAATGTGAACTCCAAACTGACTTGCATCTCAGTCCGAAATGAGAGAGCCAACTCGCTAAACGGCATCAGAGAGATCCGTCGTTTGCGCTCACGCCCAAATGCCCGGGAGAACACCTTCGACTACGAAGGCCTAGCACGTTGGACCCTCCAGCGTGCCCGTGAAGCTGAAGAAGACATTCCTGGACGGATTGCTCGCCATCGTGCACGTTCACTTTCACTTTCCCTTCCAGGGCAGGACGTTGAAAGAGGAAGAAGCAGAGCCAGATCACAAGAGGAAGAAGCCAAAGACACTGCACGAGGGATATCCGACCTTCTCACCCGCTATCGCTCACACTCTCGCTCATCCTCAGTCGTGACACAAATTCGCGCACTTTCACTTGGAGGACAAGAAAGAGGAAGAAGTAGAGTGAGGGCAGAAGACAACATGGCAAACAATAACAACAACAACAACAACAACGCCTTTCCTGCTCTTGACACCTCCATGGCCGGCCCAAACCGCACCACAACCTCTCCTACCACCTCACACCCGGGCAGCGCAGCCAACGGCAATGGCGCAGGCCCAGCCAACTACATGGCGACTTTACCAGTGGGACACCAGCAAGATCTCAACTTCCTGTACAACCAAATCCAAGAACTAGGAACATTGCTCAGAAGCAACCGTGAACAAGTCAATTCTGTTACCAGAACTGCTGAAGAAGTCGCGGTAAGTTTGGAAACATTTTGTTATTGACTGCGCAATGGCTGACCGGCAGTAGACTCGCGCAATTCGTACCACCGACGATGGAGGGGAGTTGCAGGAGCCTGATAGTGAGTAGCATGACAGGTCTCGGTGGGACAATGCTAATATTTCCTGCAGGAGCCAAGATGCGAGAGATTGAACGCGAACTAGCCAAAGCGAAGCAGCTCGTCGAATTGTACAAGCACGAACAGAAGGAAAATACCAACCTCATTGCCATGTACGAGGAAGCATTGGGTACGGCGACCGAACAAATCCGCAACTACTGTAGTGGCATCGAAGAACGATTCCTTGCACAGCGTCGACATTACAACAATCTGTTGCAGCAAGAGAAGGACGATCACTTGCAGAGTCGCTTGGACCGAGATCACTGGTATGCTCAGACACTCAAGGTGTGCGAGATGGTTCGGACAGCGTTTCGCTTGCGCACGGATGAGTGGTGTGAGGAGTACACGATCATCTCTGGCTTGCAGGCTCAGGTGCGTTGCTACCGACGAATTCTTGATATGGAGCCCGAGGCACCAGAAGAGGAGCTAGGCTGGCCATACTTGAAGGAGCTACCACTCAATGATCAGGCTTGAATGAAGAGGGTCTGCCGATCAACGATCAGGCTTGAATGAGGAGGCTGCCTCTCAATAACCAGGGCTTGAACGAAGAGCGTCTGCCACTCAATAATCAGGCTTGAGTGAAGAGGGTCTGCCGATCAATGATCAGGTTTGAATGAGGAGGCTGCGACTCAATGGCCAAGGCTTGAACGAAGAAGTGCTTGACACAACGATGACGAGTCATTGAACATACTGCACAGCGATGGAGCTTAGGAGTTTTACAGATGCCATAGAAGCATCACATGCACAATGAAGATCAGGAGTTTTCAGATTCCACCACAGTATACCAGCCTTCATGCACACACTACCGGTCAGAAGTCCCCTGCCACCTACCCTGCTGTCAATGGGATCTGCATTTACCATATCGGGATACAGGATCTCAAGGTTATCGCAAATGTTGGGACCCTGAGACGCGACGTGCCCTTCTGTTTCGACTTGGAAGATGGCATCTCTGGGTCCTCACACCCGAAGAACCCTGAGCACATGCTTTGACTGTTGAAAGGGTAATGAGACACTGCTGATCAATGAGCTGACATGATGTAGGTGGGGGAGAGAAGGACAAGGACGGCACGGGAACAGGATGAAGGGGCTTGGAAGCGTGTCTTCGACGCAGGGACCGGAAGGAAGCGAAGAGGTATGTGTCCCCACGGCTGCGCTGGAGGGAGGGACGATGCCATGAAGAAATGGTATGGATTTTCATCAGTCAGGAGATGGCAGAAATTGAAATGCCCACGATGCCGTGAAGAGGAACAGCTTTCGGACCGAACGGACTTGGTGGGTATGAAGGGGCTCAAGAAGGCATGTCTGCTATGAAGACGAGGACAGGACAAGGGCTGCGGAGTTCGATCTCCTAGCGAGAGCAGGGGATTCGAATATGGAAAGGTGGGAGCAAGAGGAGATGCTGCAAAGGGAATGGCTGGCATTCGAGGCGAGGCAAGAAATGGCCCGATTCAGCAGCTGTCGGTGCTGTCTGCTGTCGTTTCCATCCGAGGTTTTGTTGGCTTTCTTCGGAAACGACGCGAACCAGGCACACCAGGCCAGGTGCAGGCAGGTATGGGGAATGGGACGCTGTCACGGTGGACGGACGCGTCTGGGTGGAGAGAGCGTGAGAGACAGACACCACGCACTACCACGGTAGATACGAGTACAGAAAACAGAGAGAACAAGAACAGCTGAAAAGGATAGACGAAGAGAGAAAGGATAGACGGGGATGGATATGTCGAATCGTTGGTGGCTTCTGTCTGTTTGCTGTCTGCTATCCGAATCCTTCTTCATTCGTGTCAACCATTTTCATTTTTTTCATTTTTTTTCTTCTTTATCATCATCATCATCATCATCAGTGGCTGTGTTTTTCTGTTGAGTGGGCATTTCTATCAAACTTCTGGATCTCTGAGATCTCATCAACTTGCCATCAGCCAGTCCTTTCTTCGATCCACGCCGACATTCGTCCTTTGAATTATTGCAAGGGTACGGAGTACCTACGAACACCTATGGATGGTGGGAGGGGCTGTTCTACTCCTTCGCACCTTCTCTTCGGATCCTACAGGTCCTGGTTTGGCACCGATTCTGACGTGCATATTTTGACAGCTAGCCTCCAGTGCCTCCTCCTGTGAGAGAACGAGCTTGGACCGAAATCCTTCATCCTCGAGCCTCCACCTACGTACAGAATTCTTCATCAAAGACAGCTGCAGGCTGGGCTTGGCTATCTCGATCTCGATCCCATTCCAGGAAAAGTCGCAGACACTCTTCGATTCTGGCGTATGCGGCGCATGCTGTCACTCGTACTTCCCCGGCTCTTCGCCACAACACTATATCTGTCCTATACAGAACTGGGGAGGTCTGTTCTCCATTTTGTTTGTCAACTCGGACGCCGTGTTTTGCTCGCATGGCCTGATCCAGCTGCTTTGCTTTGATCTCGCCCGCCAGCCCGCCACGGCCCCGTACGGTGGTATCAGTTTACTGTGTACGCAGTACTGATTTTCTGGCCACTTCCGTTGGTGCAACGCCTCTACCGGTGACCAAGTCAAGTCGAACCTGCCGATATCCTACGCGCTGGCTACAAGTACATGTTCTTCATGCTTCTGCAACCACTATCGCTCGGCCTATCGCTTGATCCTTCTTGGCCTTGACCAATCTGACGCGACCTCATGTATATACACTTATGCACGGCTTTCAACTGTTGACAACCCCACTAGATGCTGGTCTTTTACATAAACACCTGTCACACTATAGTGTATGTACCAAGGACACACATCACTTGTTTCCGTCGGTCTTAATCTCTCACCCTGTCAATGTGACGCCATGCCTGCCATCAGCGCCATGTCAAGCCCAGAGCGCTCGAGATTGTGCGCGCACAAATACACTTCTGCAAATGTCCGTGCCAGCAAAGCTCACACCACATGAAGCCCTTGCTTCTCGCCTTAAAGAATGGCCTCTGTCCACAAGACCCTGGTAAGAACCTCTTGTTTGGATCTTGAGAGTTTTGTTTTTCTAGCATCACAACACTACACTGTACAGTCTATCCCTCTCATCCCGTCATTGTCCAAGTTGGTGCAATAGCAGACCTGTTCAAACCCAAACAAGATAGCCACAAAGGGTTCTGATTGGTCCAGTCACATATACTCCCTTCGGCGTCCCTCCCTTTCACCACGCACGAGGCACGTTGTGGTATGTCTTGTTGATGGTTATATGAGGGGTTCTTGATCCTCCAAGTCACCTCCCATCTTCATCATCCATAATGTCTTCTACCACATCCTTCCCACCTTTACCCTCACCAGGACTCGAGCAGTCTGGGTGGTGGCCATCAGAACGAGGTGCAAAATCTCGATTCAGAGCCTTCTTCAGCCGGACCAAGTCTCAAGATAAGGTACCAAGACAGTATGTCGAGACTTTCCCTCCTCACCCGAGTGTACAACCGCTTGAGCCCGCCGCCAAACGATCACGAAGCACGACGTGGTCAAAGGGCCCCAAACAACCCCCCAGGAATGTAACTTCGGATCCACCTCCCTTGTTTCATGCATACACGCAAGCTAGAATGCATGAGATTCTCGACATTCCGTCATCATTCACAGATGGCCTTTTTCGAAATGGTCACACTCGGCGAAACAGCATTTCGAGTGAGACACCGTCAAGATCTAGCCTCGAGAACGCGTCTGAGGAGCCCAGCTTTAAGCATAACCGAAACTGGTCAGGTGCCAGCACTTGCTCTCTGAGTCAGAGGTTGTTCATCCTGACAACATCGGGGTATGTCCTGCAGTACACTGCCGACGGACTGAACGATCGGCTGCCGGAGAAGATCCTTGAACTCGGGCCTGGATCTGTGGCCTTTGCCAGTGACGCCATTCCTGGTAAACATTGGGTTCTCCAGATCTCTCGTGATGGCCGCGCACACCACACTCACCAGGCCAACAAGGGTTCTTGGTCCAAGTGGTCTTTCAAGCATCCCGATAACAAGAAAGCCGTTGGTGATCTCCTGCTCGTCTTCGATGACGCCGCATCCTTCAAGGACTGGCTTCAAGCCGTTCGCAAAGAGATCGCAGACCTGGGTGGTCTGGAGTACCGTCCAGACTCTAGGCAAGAAGATGCCAGGTCTGAGCGTCAGTCCCTCAAGGCCCAGAGAAGTCTACCAAGCTTGTCCCAATCTACACCACACCTGCCAGTGTCTGCTCAACCACAATCACCCACCTTGCTACCTCCAATGACACGGTGGACCACTTCTCGCAACGTCTCGCGCTCAACCACGGAATCGTCCATTCACACCTTGAACGACCTCGACCGCCTTCGCAAGCCGTCCTTTTCCGACAATCAATCCGTTTCTACCACCCATACTAGCTTCACTGGGTCCACCATCTCCTACAGGGATGAATCCTTCTCCAGTGTGGACGACAATCCTCTTCCTACTTATCCTCCGACACGCTTGTCTACCCCTACTCAAGATGAAGTGGGCGAGTTGTCAATGTTCATGGCCACTCCGAAGAAGACAATTCATATTCCCAAGAGAATAATCCCACAGGAGAATCATCCTGACGTGATCAGCCATGACTTGTTTGTGCAGAGCAATGATTCCAGCAGCACAACAATTGCGCACAAATCGAGACCAATCTCGACCGTCGCTCCTCTACCGGAGCCTGGTCACATCAGGAAAATCTCTGCCCGCTACCGATACGAAGCGGCGCCTTTGCCTACACAACCGAACACCCCTACATCTTCTCGCCCTTCGAGCATCCGAAGCAGAAGCTCTTCATATACATCCTTCACTCAGGACTCTTCACCTGGCGGCACTCGACCACGGACGGCATCGTACAGCCTTTTCCCTAAGACGTCTTCGACCGAACCTTCTCAAATTTATGTGCCAAGCGGGATGCCATCTCCTCCTGCGACCACACCAGGAACTGCCTACGAGAGTATGTGCACCTATCCCTACTCCCAAGACGTCACCGATGAAGAGAAATCGAGGCCGTCATCAAGAGTCAGCCGTACTACATCCCGCCGAAACGGCAAGATGCTTTCGGTCGACTCCAAAGCCGCACAGTCGACGACCACAGACCAACCGCAGCGCTCGCCCGCCGTGACCGACGCCCACGTGGAAACGTGCTTCGGCACACAAGCTCATCCGTCTGCACCGCGTCGCAAACTCTCAGCTAAGGGCTCTATGGGCGTGATCACAACCACGACGCTCGAAGCATCACCCCTACCTAATGTGCCGACCTTGTCACAGCCTCCGCGTAAGGCACGCCATGTCAAGGGCCAGAAGAGCATGCCTGCCTTGCATCGCAGTGTTACCATGCTGCCCCTGGGTCCGCCTCCCACTGGCCCGCTTCCTGCACTACCGGTCGAAGCGACGAGCTGTCTGCCATTGAAGAAGTTGAGCTGTATGTCGAGCTCTGGCTCAGGTTCTCAGAAGAGGCCAAGGCCACCACCGAAACATGCCAAGGCCGAATCGTCGGATGCGGTGTTCACTCTACGCAAGGTGCAGGACGTATCTGCGGCGCCGATGCCAACGCCAACACCTCTTGACCTGCTCAACAAGCCATTACCTATGCCAAAGCGCGAGGACAAGGTCGAGCCTGAGGAGCCAGCAAAGATCGAGTCGGCGGCTCATCATACAAGGAATATGTCCTCCTTATCCTCCGTCGGGAGCGTCAGACATGTGACGGCGTGGCTCGCGAGTCCCAGGGTCGCCGAGTTTTCGGCCAAGTATGGACTCGACGACAGCGACAAGGAGAATGAGAACGGGAAAGAGAGTGAGCACAAGTTTTTGCAAGTCGCCCTGCCGGATGGATTGGGGTTTAGTGCCGAGTTTGAGGAGTTTATTGCGCCTTGAATGCCTTGAGGCTCACGCTACTGCTTCTCGTCGACTTTGGCTTAAGGAATGAATTTTAACGTTTGCAATGATCGATGTTACACATGCTGGAAATGCAATGAATGGAAATGGAATGGAATGACACGAAAAGGACCAACAGGATTTTATGACGGATCATGATTATTTTCCGAAAAGCACGGCGACTGCCTCGCTGTGGCTGTATGATGGAATGATACTGGGGACCTGCTACTGTCCAGGTCAGGGAGTTCTTTTGATATTTTACATATGAATGGACATGAGCATTCACTCGATCTTCTATCTGGACTGTAGTGAACCTCCTTAGAGTCTCAATACAGAAAGCAGGCTTCAGAGGAGTGCAAACCGGGTTCGAACTTGCCTCGAGCAGAATCGAGCTCAAAGTCTCCTTGTGTGAAGGAAGCTTTAGGACAGGAGATCACGCAGCACAGCGCAGCCTCCGAAAACTCACGAAGAGTGTTCTGACTCTTGGTTACGTACAGGCTCGGTTCTGACGTGCCTGCTTGCTGCCATCCTGTTCTTCCCCCTTCCAGGAGGGTCGGTTGACGAGCATGGGCGTGAGCGTGAGGATGCCTGCAGTGGTCTCGCTTCCCACCTATCGAGTGTTGTGGGTAGCATTTGTCTGCCAGCCTGCCATGCTGCTTGGCGCCGAATCGAATGGCAATGCATGTGATTCCGCAGTATCCGTGTTTCTGTGGCCGGCATTCTCAAGTCCCTCCACCACCTCCGGATTTGGTGGACGTGCATACGAAGCTCTGGACTGGAGCAGGCACGCAGGGCATGGGGTGGGGTTTGCAGGACGCACAAACTTATGCAGATGGCCTTGCAGCGTCCCGAACTTTCACAGCTTTGGGACTGACGAGCACTGATGCACCACCGTGTGTATACGGAAGTTCGTCGTGGACTGTCCCAGACTGCCGGTCCATGCAGAAGTTAGCTCGCGTTCTTCGGGCCTGATTTCGACTCGTGCAGCGTGGCGATGTGGTTGACAGCCGGCAAGACTAGGCTAGTTACCATGTGCACCATGTGTTTTGCAGGGTTGCAGCTGCACTAATCGTAGCGAAACCCGAATTCAGACTCTCCCACTTCCCGTTCTGGGCCGGTAGCTTACTCTGGGCAGGGAGAAGGAGCACTAGCCCGTGTGAGCATACAGACCTAGAAGTTGAGTGGGTTTCGAAGGGTCAGAAGACAGCGTAGAGTGCAGAGTGCAACCAAGTGTATACAGTAGGGTGTGTGGGTGTTTGTTCCTTCGGGTGATCAACAGTGCCGAGCCTGCCTGGCCGACAAAATACCTTTACTCAGCTGTGATATGCATGGAAAGAGAGATTGTACTGTTCATATTCGTACTCCTACCATGGAACTCGGAATTATCAAGCCACGACAATGCCAACCCCTGGGTGACCCCAGGTACTCGGGATGCCAGCTCCAGGAACGCGAGACGCCTTGTCCCCCTCGAAATCAGAATGTCAAATCCTGCGTAGGCATATGGCACAAGTGGTTGTCAACGGACAGCAGTCAGCGGCCATCCCGATGAACTCAGCATTTGTTGTGCAGTGTTTGTGCTTTGGTCCAGAACCATTTGACGTGAGACTCCACGCCTCTGCATCATGCACGTCAAAGGTGTTAGCGTCGGCTTGTTGCGTTTGCTCTCGACCAAAATGTGAGCAACCCAAAGATCCGTTTGCCCCGTGCCACGGCCAGGGAGTCCAAATTCGGATTTTACGCCGCGACCTGCACGATCGAATTCGGACTGCATGAAGCCAAAGCTGCATGAAAGAAATCGGGACAGGTGGTTGGGGCAAGACTGAAGAAAACCCAGGCCTTGTCAAGTCGGAGGAATTGGTTCGACGGGTGGAAAATGTCCATCGACCTGCAGCGGGAATGCATGCTTGCATAGGGAGTACAGTACGGTTTATACCGAAGCAAGGAATGACAGCAAAAGGAGCTGACGGGTTGCGAAGTCTCTGCAAGATGGATCTCTCTTGAAAGAAAACATGAAGGACAGTGAAAAGCACAAGCTTGATTCTTGGTCTACCGTATAACAAACCATCCGGGGCGTACTGAGTGCTCTACCGTACTACAGTATCCCTTCGGTGCCCTTATGGTCCGGAGTACGGAGAAGTGCACCAAATGTAGTTGCCGCGCTAAATTTTAGTGCGGGCGGGGAATGCGGCTTGGCAGCTCTCAGAGTTGCGGTGTAAGGATTGCCTACCAATTTGTATGGCACTTTTCAGCACTCGCCTCGAGATTTTTGTACTTTGCATACAAAGCCCATGATAATCACATCTCTAGTATCTGTAATTGGCTTTGTTTTGTGCCCATTTCCCTCTAGAATAGCCCCTCGTTTACCTGATTTTGTCGATCCTGGAGGGTGCGCTGAGCGCGGAGACGGTGGTAGGCAAGAGGTACATCAATGGATGCTTGTCCTACCGACGATGATCTGGCAGACGGTTAGTTTTTGCCCTCATGCCTTCTTCTATCTCTCATCTTGCGGCAGAAGCAGCCAAAATCAGAGAAACCGAGCGGCCGCGGCGCAAGAATTCGCCTACCGTTAGACCTATAACCGAGTCGGCCTCGCAGAGAGACACTGGCACTAGGTATTCTATTGCTCAACGGTCCCAGGCTCTTACCCTGCATTCCATCGGTTGGAAAACTGCGCAAATTGCAGCCTATACCAAGATCCCTGAGCGATCTGTCCGAGCGATTGCGGAGAAGGCAAGGAAGAGAGGATTTACGCCGCAAGAGGATCCTCGAGTCCTCGACCATTTCGTTGAGGATGGATATAAACCAGGGCGTCCAAGAGAAGTGTTAGAAGTCAAGGAAGAGGAAGTTCTGAGTTCATTGAGAACAAATAGATCCACAAGAGAGAAATCCGCAGAAGTTCTAGCCTATGAGCATGGTGTTAGCACATCAACAGCCCTTCGCATTCTTCATAAACATGGCCTAAACAGCGTAAAACCAACGACAAAACCAGGCCTTAATCTGGAGCAACGTGCGGCGCGGCTTGCGTTTTGTCTTGCGCATCAAGATTGGACCCTCGAGGATTGGAAGAAGGTAATTTGGAGCGATGAAACGAGCGTTATCCTGGGGCATCGACGAGGTTCTATCCGGGTATGGCGGACACCTGAAGAGCCATTTGAGAAGTCTGTTATCCGTCGTCGCTGGAAAGGTTACTCAGAATTCATGTTTTGGGGTTGTTTTACTTACGACAAGATTGGTCCCTGTCATATCTATCGAGCAGAGACTGCCGCAGAGAAAGAGGCGTCTCAGAAAGAGATTAATGAGTTAAATGAGGCTCTCGAGTCAGAAAAACGTAAGGAGTGGGAATTATCAAATGGCGTAAGACGGCTAGGCCTCAGAAATCTCCCAGGACGCAAGCCAAAATGGCGCTTTACTAAAGAGACAGGTAAACTGGTAAGACGAGGTAAGGGAGGAATTGACTGGTGGCGCTATTACAAGGTCTGAAATCTATCCTCTCAAGATCTCTCTATCTAACAGGAATCAGGAGGTTGTTCTCCCAAAGCTGATTCCATTTGCTCGCGAGTGCGGCCCCGATGCTATCATCCAAGAGGACAATGCCTCACCACATGCCTATCACTTCATCGGACGAACTTACTCTATACAAGGCCTCAACAGGATGCTCTGGCCAGGCAACTCCCCTGATCTCTCTGCTATCGAAAAAGGCTGGCCATGGATGAAAAGAGTTACTACCTTTAAGGGAGCTCCGCGGACAAGAACTGACTTGGAAACCTCATGGATGAGCAAGTGGGGAACAATCCCACAGGACTCAATTCGAGGCTGGATTGAGGGCATCATGGAGAATATCAAAAAGGTCATTGCGTTAGAGGGCGGCAACGAGTACCCTGAGGGCCGCGAGAGCAAGAGATCATATAAAGGGCGCAGGCGCATTGGAGAGCTGTTTAAACACTCCTGGATCCAAGACGATTAGGATAGCGACAGCGAGGACAGCGAGAACAGCGATGACTATGAAGATATAGAGACAGAAGAGGAGGACGAGTTTGATGCGGACACTACCAACTGATTGAACAGCCGACCTTGCTTTCTATGGGAGTGCCATAGTAAAAGAGGCGGAGGGTTTGGACACAAGGACAGGCATGGACAGGTAGAAAAGGCATGGACAGACGGAATGCCTCCCAAATCAATAGGAATGCCTCAAAAATCAACACCATGGATCTCTATACCAACCCAGCCTTGCGCGCAAATAGCAAGGCTGCGGCGGCGGCATGTTGCTGCAACATGATGCCGTTGTGTTCATTCCATATCAACTGCTCACCTAATTTTGGTGAGGAGTCGATGACATCCGAATACCCTTGCAATGCCGAGAAGCTAAATTTTAGCGCGGCAACTACATTTGGTGCACGTCTCCGTACGGAGGGAGTAAGTTACTCGTAAGTGTTCTGATCGATGATGCAGCAAGCGGTCATCCCCGAATTCAATGTCGATGCTGCAATGTTTGTTTGCGGTTCAGGTGTGTGAGTTACTCTTCTCGTCGTTGTGTACATTTATCTCTCATCTACATAACATGGCTCGGATATTGATCACAGGCTCGTCCGACGGACTCGGCTCCCTCACTGCTCGCGCTCTGGTCAAACGAGGCCACTCGGTCGTCCTACATGCGCGGAACGATAAACGGGCTCAAGATGCTCGATCTGCTTGCCCCGAAGCCGAGACCTGCATCGTAGCAGACCTCTCTGACATCTCCCAGACGAAGAAGATGGCAGAAGATGCGAATAGGCTTGGGCCTTTTGACGCCGTCATCCACAATGCAGGTTTATACATGGGCGGATACCGAAAAACAAAACAAGGCTGGCCGAGCATTTTCGCCGTCAACACCCTCTCCCCTTACCTTCTTACTTGCTTGATCAAGCCCACGCCGAAGCATCTCGTCTTCGTCTCCTCGGGACTACACAATGGCGGTGATCCGTCGCTGAAAGATCTTACATGGCAACATCGTGGTGAGCGAGGATTTTCGGATTCTCAAGCCTACGGTGATACCAAACTGCATAATATTCTATTGGCGGCTGCATTTGCAAGGAGGTGGCCGGATGTCCAGAGCAACTCGCTCGATCCTGGCTGGGTGGCCACGAAAATGGGAGGCAGTTCTGCACCTGGTGATGTCGAGGCTGCGGTGAAGACGTATGTCACGCTGGCCGAAGGGCCGCCTGATGGTGTTTCTGGGAAATACTGGTTCGGCAGTCAAGTACGGACGCCCAAGAGTCAGGCAGAGGATGTCGCTGTACAAGACAAATTGATCTCCCAGCTGGAAGAGATCACGGGCGTCAAGGTGCCGGCGGCGTGATTCTCTCGATGTGCACTTGCAGAGCGGCAATATGTATCCCCTGCCCACGATCCCTGTGTTTCTGCACCCCAAAGAGTTCGGCTCATATTCTGACCCATTCTGAACGTCCTGAAGCCATTCTTGTACCACCACCAACTTGGGTGCCAACAGCCAACGGCCACAATGACGAACTCCGCAATGTGATTGGCAGTGCTGCCCATTTCAGGCCTCCCATATCGTATACCACATACTCCATACCCCATATTTCGCTCTTTGCTGCGTCCTTCGTCCAAGACACTGTCGTACGGAGTACGTCTCTTCTAGATTCTCGCGACTAGCAAGCGTCATGTTCCTCCAGGTGACGATCTCCTTGCTGCTTGCTTATTTCCTGTGGTCGCTCGTTCGCTTCATCCACAACTACAATGAAGCCAAAAAGATCGGCCTGCCGATGCTCATCACTCCAATCAATCCTTCAGGCCCGTTATGGATGTTGACCAAGGATTTCCTGATACCGATCGTGTCCCGGCTGCCATTTGGCCTCGGAGACTGGGCCATCCGGGGCGAAATGGGTTGGACTTTCTACGTGAAATATGCCATCCACGCCAAACACGGAGACGCCTTCATCATCGCCGGGCCAGGAGAGAATGATATCGTCGTAGCCGACCCGGCGGCGACGGAGGATGTCATGCGCCGACGCAACGACTTCATCAAGAACCCGGCCATGTACGGTATGCTGGACATTTACGGTCCCAATCTCGATACCGTCAACGGCAAGGTGTGGGATCGACATCGCAAAATCACCGTGCCGCCCTTCAATGAACAGAACAGTGCTCTTGTCTGGCGGGAGGCGGGAGAGCAAGCCGAGCAGATGCTCGACGTGTGGACCAGAAGGGATGCCGTGAGGAGCACCCAACCCGATGTCCATGCCCTGGCCTTGAACGTCCTCTGTGGTGCCGGGTTCGGAGCGCACAGCGGGTTCGTGGATGCCACACTGCCATCATCGTCATCGGATGGCGACGATTCGTTTTCGTCTTCCTCTCCCTCGACCTCGACCAACCTGAAATTGGGCTATCGAGAGTCTCTCCGGATGTTGTTGGCCAATATCGTCCAACTGGTCTTCCTCGCGCTCCTCAAGAGAGGTGGGTTTCCCGACTGGTTGCTCTTTGGCAGCATGAAGAAGCTTTCCGTCGCGTACGAGGAATTCCGAGCATATATGTCCGAGATGCTCGCACGAGAAAAGCGCGCCTTCGAGCAGGGGGACGTTTCCAGACATAACCTGCTGAGTGAGATGGTTCGGGCCATGGAGGGTTCAGGTTCAGCTGTCGGAGGAGGACCAGGAGGAGGATTAACGGATGAAGAAGTCTACGGTAACTTGTTCATCTACAATCTCGCGGGACACGATACGACGGCGGCAACTCTTCATTTCGCCCTAACGTTGTTGGCCGTGTACCCACAATGGCAGACATGGATCGCCGAGGAGATCGATGCTGTTCACAAGGCCGACACGTCCGGGCTGTTCTACTATGAAGAGACGTTTCCAAAGCTCACGAGGGTCCTGGCATTGATGGTAAGCGCTGCGCTAACTTTCTTGCCAATGCAACAGGCAACATGCAAGTATAACTGATACTGATGCGATTCTGATTCTAGTACGAAACGGTCCGCCTCTATGGTCCCGTGGTCCTCATGCCGCGCTACACCGCCGACTCCGCACAAAGACTTGTCATCCAAGGCAAAGAGCATATCATACCGCCTCGAACAACGATATTGCTGAACTTCGCAGCTCTGCACAGACATCCGGAATACTGGGGCCCCGACGCCGACGAGTTTCGACCGGATAGATGGATCACCGATACTAGCGATTCAGGAGCAGGACCAAGTAATGACAGTACCAGTCCACTGTTGTTCCAGCCGGAACCTGGATCCTTTGTGCCGTGGAATCTGGGTCCGAGAATCTGTCCGGGCAAAAAGTTCTCCCAAGTCGAGTTCACGCGTGTGATTTTCACCTTGTTCGCCCATGGTTCCAGGGTGCAGTTGGCGCAAACCACAGCCAAAGGGGCAGTACAGGACGGGGAAACTGAAACTGAAACTGAAACTGAAACTGGACAGGAGGCCGAAGCCAAGGCTAGAGCATTAGCATTGCGCATTGTCGACGAAGCCAAAGTCGAAGTCACCCTGAAAATGGTCAACCCCGAACGGATTGCGTTGAAGTGGGTGAAGCAGTCGTAAGTGGGATACTCGACGCTCGACACTCGACGGGTTGGGACTGCGACGCTGAAGTCAACGCGCTACATTAGTTACAGCACTGCAGTCCAGCCTCGTGCTTACCTTTTGGATCCAATCCGGAAAAATAACCCAGGTTCAATGGAAACCACCACGCCTAAGCTGTTGGCTCCAGGTGCGGTTGCAGCTGGCGCACATGTATGCTATGTACATGATATGATGAAAGGGTCAGGGGTCACAGCCTTCTCCCAAGCTTGCCTCGACTTATCCTCCGGCGGCTTAGATTGCTCGCAAATGGTTCAATTTTCTGACGCAAGCAAAACTGCGGAACACCACCTATCCGGCCGGTCCATGACATGGAAGCGATCTACTGAGACGGACGGTCTGCGCAGGCTGATCGCCGAACATCAATCTTCATAGCCAGGCCTAGGAAGTCATCTGCCGAAGCGAACACAGATTCATGGATCAGTGGATAGAAAAGGCGAAAATTGAAGTCTCACCGTCTTCGAAAAAATCATGGGATTGGTGAAATAGTGAGATGAAGTACTGACGGTCGATAGCATTATCTATCCGCTCTGCAATTCTCGCCATCTACTTCAAAGGTGCTCCTTGATCTCGATGCCTACCCGGCCATTCGTAGTCAGGATCGACGGGGATGTTCTTCCGCAGATGATTTTTGTATGTCGGTGGAATCCTGCCCATTCTCTGCGACCGTGCTAATGGTGAAATACCATTGTCCTCGTTATGTGCTTTCAAAAGATCTTCAATTGCACTCGCCCACTTGACCAATTTCTCATCCTGCCAGGCCGTGTGCTGCAATGTCAGCGGTAACGGCATGCCATCCGGGTCCAGGCCGATCGGGAGCGTCATAACCGGGTAGCCTGCCTGGGCTGCAATCTGGATACCTCCCGCCTTGACGTCGAAGAAGAGGAGAGCATCAAGCATTTCGTCCTCTGACCCCTTTCGATGTTCAGGAGGACAACGCAGAGCCGCGTCGATGCCGTTCTTACGACACTGCGTCTGGATGTGCTTCAGCGCCGCATAGTACGTTTCGTCTTTGATCCCTTTCGTCTCGACGCATTTGCGGAACAGTCGTTGGCCGTCGGGAAAAGCAGGCAAATCACCTTCATGCCCGCCTTCGGAACCGCGGTTCTCATCGTTGAATTGAACGACGTCCTCCAATGTCTTGATCGGAATGTTCTTCAGCTTGCCCAAATACTCGTTCATCAGGTAGTATGTCTGGACCTTGCTGACTGTGATCTCGGAGATTTCGGGACGACTCTCGCCATATCGTTCCCTACCCAGGGCCGTCAGAAGGGTTGTGCATGGCTTGGTGCGTACCAAACTTACCAATCCCAGATTCCATCTTCATCCAATCTTTCGTCTGCACAAGGCATGTCGACAGGTATAATCTCAGCGCCGGCTTCCTTGATGAGGCGCAAGGCTCTCTCAGCCACGGCTTTCTGCGGGTACGGGGCAACATCCCAGAATCGTTTCATTGGAAGCCCGAACCTTGCGCCTTTCAGTGAGTGTCGGTCAGTCAGGAAGTCGCAGTAGCTCTTCGGCTGTCGCCGTTCAGGCACCGTTGAGAATTTGTCGTCAGGGTCAGGCCCAGCAATGACATCAAGTGCCCGGGCTGCATCAGCGACGCATCGACCATATGGACCGATGGAATCTTGAGTCTCGGAGATGGGGATGATTCCACCACGAGATGTGAGACCGACTGTTGGTTTGATTGCAACTACGCCGTTCACCATGCCTGGGCTGATGACGCTGCAATCCGTCTCTGTGCCGAAAGCAAGTGGGACGATATTGGCAGAGACCGAGACAGCGCTGCCCGAACTGCTGCCGTCTAGGTCAAATTAGCAAATGGTCCAACGACATGAAGGCTAGACTGACTGGCAGAACGGTTCAATAGGTACGGATTTCGACACTGGCCACCACGAGCGGAATAGCCTAGCGAGTAAATGCTGCCTCTCATGCCAGCCCATTCGTCGAGGTTGGTCTTCCCAAGAATGATGGCACCCGCTTGTCGCAAAAGACGAACGATATGTGCATCTTTGGGCACGATACACCCAAGCAGCACCCACGACCCTCCCGTGGTTTGCATGCGGTCTGCTGTCGCCATATTCTGCGCAAGTCAGCTTTTACAACCCATTTCCATAATGCAACTCTTACGTCCTTGACAAAGACAGGGACGCCATGAAGAGGACCCCTGATTTTGCCCAGCCTTCTCTCCTCATCCAGCGCCTTTGCATGATCGAGAGCTTCCGGATTTGTCTCAATGACGGCTTCGAGGTACGGGTTGACCTTGCTGATGTTTAGTGTCTGCATAGAGCTCGAAGGGAGGAAGATTACCCTTTGCACCCTGTCTAGGCAGAATTGGACGTATTGTACCGAGGTCAAAGCTCTGGTGGTGAAGAGGTGCTGTATCTCATCGACTGAGATCTCGTAGAGGTTGTGGCCACTGCAAGAGGGAAGGCGGAAGACCTCGGGCATTTCATTTTGAGGAATAATCTGTGATTCCGATACAACGACAAAGTCATGACTTAGTATTCTTTTGTGGCTCGTGGGCTGGATTTGCGCTTGAGCCATTGGAGAATTGGTACCAGTCGGGGATATGCAGGTTGTTTCGATATAAATGACAAAATCTGGTGGTCAATATGATTGCATCGTCAACTCAGCCGTCGTGGAGACATCTGGAAGTAGCAGAATATTGGAAACGGTGACCAACATGTGGCATGATGGAAAGGTCGGTGAAGGGTATTTGCAACTGCATGAAGGGTGGAATTCTCCGGCTCTTATCCAAACAGGAATAGCCTTTGCAGCGGGCAATCCCACCTCACAGTCAAACCACAAGGTACTGCATGCGGCCGAACGTAGGGAGGATCCCTAGTAGTCGTGAAGCAGACATTGAGCCTGAAACCTCTCAACGAGGCAAACAATCATTCCAACGTTTCTGCCAACAACGATGCCTCTTCCCAGCTGGCCTCCATCCCCTTTGCATAGATGCGGTCGAGATAGAAATACTTTAGCAGCACAGCTCGAACATCAGCCCAGTCTTGCAGTCGAAGGACCCTTGTGACCTTTGCCAGGTTCAGCACGAACCACGGCCGTTCTCTTTGTCCAGCAGAGATGAATGCGCCCAGCAACAGTACCCAGGCAAGGAGCTCATGATATGGGCCCCAGAGTCCCTTCATGTCTGAAGCCTGTAGAGCAGCCTTGAGCTGCGCAGTCAACGTCCGGTTCAAAGCCGAATCAGGTTGTGACATCTGATAGTTTGTGAACCAGAAAATCAATAGGGATAATCGACATGCTTCCTCCTTGTCGCTAGCAGGCGCTCGGGGCTCAAAGGGGGCGGATAGTGCTGCATACCGAAATTGGTAGCTTTTGGCGTTGATATAGTCGAGTTCATCTTCCCTAGGCTCCAGTTGTTTCTCGTGGTGGTACTCGCGATACTGAACGACGTCGGTCATATCCCTGAAAGCCTGCGATATTCTCCAATCCATGATATTGTCGGCATCTTGCGTCAGAATGCCTGTACCCATCTGTCTTGTATCCTCTTTTAGATTTTGTCGTATTTCTTCGACAAGGCTGGGCGGTAAACCGGCCAAGGAAGACGTTGGTGGGGCGGTAGGGAGGGACCTCGTCATTGCGGCGCACATATACGAGGAGCTAACCAAGAGTATTAGCCGTAGGATCTTTCAAGGGATAAGTGGTATTTTACGATAGGATGAGCTCGGTGGCATGAGGAGGGATCCCCTGGTATCCGCCGCGCCAGGCAATCAGTTTCTGAAGGCCGCTGACATGGGCAAATATCTCTTTCTGATTGCCCGTGATGACCTGTAAGATTCCATTAGCGAAGGAAGCTGGAGGACGTTAGAAAGCCACCCACTTCAATCGATAGCAAGCACATCATAGCAAATATTGTGGAAGCCTTGGCTGCTGTTTCCATCGACCTCATAATCTCATTGGCGAGCTTGACGGCGTTCACTTTGTAAGATACAAAATCCGGGACTTGTCGATTCTGAAGGTCTTCTTCGGTGAAAATCGTCTCTTGCGATCCGCTCCTTAATTGACCCAATCGAGCACTGCGTTCTGCAGAGGAAACTGCCAAAAGAGAGTACAGAACAAGCGGCTCTTGAGACGCCTTTTCAAAGGCCCATCGTGTCTGAATCTCTGCTTGCTGACGGGTCGGAAAAACACTGGGTATCATGACCTCGGAAACTAAAGAACCATCAGAACATTTCCGGATTGCGAGCCCGACAAAGCGGCTTTGTTGACTTACAATGGCGTAGCACAGCATTCATAGCCGGCGTGATGGTCACTGAACTGGGATTAAACGGGTCGAGAACAGTATTCCTCAAAGCTGAGACTGGTGATCCACGGAGGGCTTGCCCAACATTTCCAGCATCAAGCCGTTGAAGGATCTGCGTGAGCATTGATCTCACCGAAGCGCTTTCCACCAAAGCACGATCTTCGTCTGGTGTGGCACTTCGCCGGCTGTCACCACTTGCTCGTCGTTCATCTTCACGCTGGGCCTCGACTGCTTGGCGGACTTCGGGTCCTCGAATATTGCTGTAGTGCCTTAGCCTATGCACTTGATCCTCGATATTCATGGCTCTCGATAGCCCGGGAGACAAGTTGGATATTCTGGATGCAATTGTACGCTCCGGGGTCGTTGTGGGTCGAATCGATGTCGCGGCAGCTTGCTGTGGCTCAATTGACGGGTGAGGTTCAATAGGCCGTGGTTGCAGCTGCGGTTCTCGTCGATGTCTGCCAACATTGGCGGCGCCGGTGTCACTCTGCTTCTGAGCAGCCTGACGTCGATTTCTGTACGCATTCTGCTGGATATGTGCGTTTATCGCACGTTGGTCAGAACGTGGCCTTTGGCTGGCGGAGGACGAGTCGACGAACAAGAATCGATTGGCTTGCTCCGGCGCAGGTGAAGCTCTGGCACCATCTCGATCCAACCTTCGGTATTTATGCGCAGATGACGCGCTGCCTTGGCTCTGGTCATCCGGTTCAGCTGATCTCGTTGATCTGCTAGGATCATTTGTAACGTCTCGTGGATCTGGGTCCGGTGAAGGCCGTTCATCCATTCTAAAACTGGGTAGGTTCGAACAAGGCGTTGATGCAGAAATCAATCGTGAAATTGATAGGGGCACTGTGTCCGCGTAGAGGACAGGACATCTTCATGTCACCCTAGTGTTACGGAGATGCAGAAGAGCGTTGGCAGTTGATTCTGCTCACGTCTCGGCTTTCCAATGATCCCAGGTCTGCGGCTCCTGCGAAGTTACTGGTGGTCCGTGCGCCGTCGGGCAACTGTTGTCCTCCAACAGGCTCGTGCCTTTCCCGGTGAATTCCACTGGCTTCCCAAAACTACCTCGAGTCCAAGTGGTCTTAGTCTACTTCCCTCTCGCCTTGCCCTGTTCGACCGGGGTGTTGGCGTGGGCCGTTGGTAAGCCCTAGGCTTATGAAGGTCAAGTTCTATGCAGACTGCCATGCACTTGCTTCAGCTGCCACTTGTGATGCACAGCTCAAACCACCCTTCCGTCTCGGCGGCGACCGTGTCGCAGTTCTGATTCGACGGGCATCTTATTCCCAAAAGGGGTCGCGGGGTGTACCAATGATATGCGATTGTCTTGATCGAGGGAAAGGTGAGCCCTAGTCGTATGCGGCAGGAGGACAAGACGGACCTCGTAACAATGACAGGGACTCTTTTCCAGTTCATATGTATGTATGACTTCGCTGTGCCCAGTCGTCATGATCTCCTTCATCCTCGCTAAATACATAGTAACTCGACTGCGCCCTGCTCTCCGTAAAAGCCGAAATTCTTTCTTCTTAAGAGAGCCGATCCCCAAACGAGTCTCGCTGCAGGCGCAACATGAGTACCGTTCTCATGCCTACTTCCGAATCGGAGTATGTGCCGAATTATCTTTTCCTATATGGCGATGATCAGGCAGGTCCATGCAAAAGCCGTCATGTTATGAAAGAATGTGAGGAGTCAAGTCCTCCTCTAGACACGTTGCTGATTGCTGGGTAGTTTTGCGCAAGCGGAATACCGTTCGACGCCAGGAACAGTTGGCTGCAAGATCTCAAGGTCGAGTTCTTCCGTGGCTCCGTCGAGAAGATATGGTGCGACGACCAGAACGTGTGGATGCTTTTGCAGACGACACTGGTGCTTCTCCAGGATCATCGTATGCTGCGAGCTCAGCGGCAACTTCACCACAGCCGTCTCAATGGACAAATGCAAGCACAGCAATCGAGTCACATTCTTCACCAGCATTCAGCTCGTCAGGATCAATTCGTCTGCCCAATGCGGAGCGTTCAATGGGAGTCTGCCACAAACATCATGACTTTCTGGACTATTGTAAGTCCGGGTGATCGATCAGGACTTTCCGATCAGCTGATTGTGCTCAAGTGTTCCGAGTGGTCCTCGGGGGAATGGCTGGGACGAGCCAGTTCAGTGACATCTCATCACCAGCAACAACAATGGATCGCCATTCTCTAGAACGCCAACTGCCGGGACAGGTCCTCCTTGCTGTTTCCAGCCTTTGTCAAGACCTGGAATCCGGTCACCAAAATCCATCTCCCCCAACCATCACATTGATGCTTGAAAGTATTCAAAGACTCAAAGAACAGCTTCACAAGCCTGATGGCGTTGGCGATGATACTATAATAGCAATGACCGACCTCTGGGTGTATGAGGCGGTGTTGGCGATGGATCATGTCGACATGCCCGGACAGAAGCCAATAAACAATTCAGGCTCTTCTCGGAAGAGCATTCAAACCCATGTTGACGGGCTTCAAAGGTCGATAAAGCATATCGGTGGGCTGAGCCGGCTTTCATCGGAGACGATGTGGTCAGTAGCTTGGTGAGTGCATGCCAACCTTTTGGAATACGCATCTGACATGATAGGTGTGTGGGCAACCTTCCTGGATATTCTCCCATCGATATCAGCGTGGCGAATGGCTCGCCTCCGAGCATGGAGCGGCGGTCGATCGGCTCTTATTGCAGCTTGACCCGACTTTTGGACTTTCTGGCGACGATACAGAGACTTGCTTCGTCACCGGATTTCCAACCCAGTATGCTCCACGAGAGATCCTTCGTCACGATGAGGCAGACTTTACTTCGTCTAGTGCAGATGGGCACAGATCAAAAAACACCTCTAAGGAGGATGATGAGATCGACAGCCTTGCTATCCATCTTGTTCCTTGTTTTCGACATTCTGCTCGGAGGTAGCGACAAAGGAGTCCAGGGGCCGAAAGAACGTAGGAAACAGATGATGAGGGCTCAAAGTAGACTCCGCGAGCATAATATTGACCAAGAAGGGTCACCGCAGAAAGCCTGGCAAGTGCTCATGACGCAGGCTGAAACACCAAACCTCCAACTCCATCCAAGGGCGTGGTCGGTGGTTGAGATGGTGAACGTTCTCAAGCATTTGAGTGTGTCGACTATGGATTCATTGTCTCAACTGCTGTTAGAATGGGTTTTGCCTGAGACTTATGAACACGTCGAGGAATACAGGTATGAGAGGATCTTGTTGAAAATACATTGTGAGTTAGACAGGCTGGCGAGCCTTTCATAGAGAGCAGAAATGATAGAAGCCGACATACTGGCTCCCGAGATGTACCTACAATGCAAATATTCAGTTAGAGTCGGGCGCCCGCAGATCAAGTCCTGCACTTATCTCGCACTGAAGACAAAGCCATCGTGGACTTCTTGTTGTACTGAGAATGATCGCCATGGTATTGAAGCCCAGGTCGTGGGCCATCTGAGAGCTTCGTAGAGCAAAGTATCTAGGTAGAGACGCATGAATCAATACGAAGGAAGAACAAAAGAAGCGGAAAGAGTGACAAATGGCAAGGCTCGGGAACTACCACAAGTCTCCGCGTGTTCTGCAGTAGTTCAATTCCTTGGCATGTTCGGTCGTCCAATTGTGCCTGTGAGCGCAGTTTGACCTCCCATATCAAATCCGTGGTCTCACTCACTCTCACTCTACACTCTCAACAACATGTCCAGGACCTCAATGGCCAGCAGGCGCCAACAACTCTCGCTGCTGGAGTCGGCAATCCTCGTCGAGATTCCTGAACCTTGTCACTCGCAGTCCTGGCGTTCTCGCCTAGCGTGTCCCTTGTCCTACATCGGGTGGCAGAGTGCACGATCTCGAAATGCCGATGATTCCACCACAGTCCGTCCGGCCTGACACTCTACAAGATGGCTACAGGAAGCACACTGCACGGTCCGAGGTGTAAATATTAGCAGGTCCATCTGCAAATGTCCCTCTCGCCATTGGCGGGATTCCGCCGAATGTTACCCATCATCAATGGAAACGGCACTGACTGAAGTTGGCATGAGGTTCTCGGACCCTATAGCAAATGCCTGCAGTGCTCTAACCGATGTACTCTTCACGCCAATCTGTACAGTTCGCTTGCCGGTGTGAGGCTATGAGCATAGCCTGTCCTATTCTCCATTCTCTCCACTCCAAGCTCTCCGCGACCCCAATCTCCCCACAGGGGAAGACGGCTAAGCGGCAGGCTTTCAAGCAAAGGCCAAGGTTGCTTGTGTATGATTCAAGTAGCTAGCGGTGCTTGAGGTGAGCGGCGCGTATCTTGAGATGCAGATCACGGCAGTTGTTCCTACACAAATGCCGGATGTCCTCCGTGCTCCTAGCTATATAAGTGTCTTTTGCTGCCACTGATATTGCAGACTGTGCTCACGAACAAGGCGCTTGAACAAGGCGCTTGAACAAGGCTCATAGAGCACCTACTGGAGCAGCACTCTTCAACATGTCTGGAGAGATTGTTGAGGTCGCTCAAACTCATCTTGATGCCGAGAAACAAGTTCAGGATACAGTCATCCATCTTGAAGATGCCTTGGCCAGCCTCCAGATCGACGTCAAGGATGCCGACGAGGCCTTTGCGTTCTTGAGAGATCACCCAAATGCTGATGCCGTCACCCAAGAGGCCATAGCTATCCTGGCTGATGACACGAAAGCCCGGCAACTTCTGAGAAAGATCGACTGGGCCATACTTCCCTGCATGATTGCGACTTATTTCCTTCAATTCCTGGACAAGACCACCATCGGCTACACTGCAGTCATGGGCCTTCGGGAAGATACACACCTCGTAGGCCAGGATTACTCGAATGTCGCCATGATTTTCTACATAGGGTACCTTGCGGCAGAATTTCCGACTCAGTATCTCTCCCAGCGCATATCACGACTGGGAAAATACCTTGGAGCCAACATTATGCTCTGGGGGACTGTTCTTGCCGCACACGCAGCTTGCCAGAACTACGCTGGACTGATGATTTGCCGGGCTATTCTGGGCATCTTCGAATCTTGCGTGACCCCCATTCTTGTGCTTGTTGTGGCCATGTGGTATAAGAAATCCGAACAGGGACGGAGGATCTCCTACGTCTACGTTTGTAACAGGTCCGACAAAACACCCCTGCAGTTGATTTCGCTAACTTGTGCACAGTCTGACCTCGATCTTCGCCGGTCTAGTGTCATACGGTGCGTCCTTTTCTGAAGATGGCCATTTTGCAAGTTGGCGGATATTTCTTCTTACCATTGGCCTCGCTACGGTCACAATCGGCTTTGTTGTTTTCATCTTTCTGCCGGACTCTCCTGTCAAAGCAAAGAGATTTACCGATGCCGAGAAGGTGGCCACCTTGCTACGAGTCAAAGACAACCAATCCGGTACTCAGAATGCCAAGATCAAAACGGATCAGCTACGACTTGTGTTCAAAGACCCAGGCGTCTGGCTGATAGCTGTGAGCGTCTTGTGTCTGAGCGTGCCGACTTCGATCCCCAACTTTTCAAGCATCTTGTTGACAACCTTTGGTTACACTCCGAGGCAAGCACTGATTCTCAATATCCCCGGCGGTGTTGTCGGTGCTATTTCGACAATCCTGATTGGCTGGCTGAGTGACCGATGGAACGATCGAAGCTCAGTGATGATCCTCAGCATTTTGCCAACTATTGCAGCGTTTGCTATGATGATCGGGCTTGACCCTGGCGGCGTGCCGAAAAGCAAGGGCGCCCTTTTGTTTGCACTCTACCTGTGTAACTCGTTCACGTCTGCCTTTATGCTCCTCCTGGTCTGGAATGCTTCGAACCTTGGTGGGCATACCAAGAAAGTCACGGTCAATGCACTGACCCTCGTTCTCTACTGCGCTGGAAACATTGCCGGGACAGAGAGCTTTCGTGCCGAGGAAGCTCCAGGATATATCAGTGGCAAGGCGGCTATCATGTCGACATTATCAGCTCAGGTCTTTGTCTGTCTTTTGCTGAGATGGCGCAACGACAGGCTGAACAGGAAGAATCGTGAGAAACTTGGGGCTATGAGCGAGGATGAGAAAGAGACGTTGCGGCAGCAGTTGGCTTACGCTGACAAGACTGACCGGGAGAACCCTTTCTTCATGTACACGCACTGAAAGAAGACCGCACGATCCACTTGGAGTTGCGGCTCTGGGGGCAAGTTGAATGTGTACGGAAATCCCCCTCTCTACACTCATAGGTATCGATCAAACTCTTCCTACTTGTGCTCAAGTATTTTCTTTCAGCTTGAGGCCAACGATGTTCGCGTTTCTATTGGCTTGCTATCTCATGAAGAATGTGGATAGCCTCGCTTAAAGATGTCGGCCAATTCCCCGCTCGTCATCGATCATCGTTGAGCTTCCCCAAGTATAACATCATTGACCGCTACGACCGCCCAAGGGATCCAGAAAAGGCCCGAATTCTCCTCACTACTACACAGTAGAATACAACCCTCTGCACCTCAAATACACCGTTGTCGCCAGGTCTTGGTGTCTTGAGCAATGCCGCAGTACTATCACCATGATTCTCTGCGTGGTCTTGGGCCTGCTCGCCGTAGCTTATGGCCAGACCTTGACGTCCAGTGCCATCCAGAAAATGGACAACAATAGCTTGTTCGAACGCTGGAGGCCATATTCTCATTTTGCTGCCCCAGCTGGCTGGATGAATGATCCTTGTGGACCACTCTATGACCCAAACGGCAAATTGTATCACATGCATTACCAGTGGCATCCGAACCATGTTGGCTGGGGAAATATCTCTTGGGGACATGCCGTCTCGCGGGACATGATAACTTGGAGCGACGTTGACCATTTTCCCACAGACCAAGTCCGGGCCTGGTCAGGATATCAGGCGCAATCGCTGGGGACGACAAACCTGACCAGTAACCACCACACTCCTGAGAAGTACAACTTTTTGGGAATTTTCTCTGGAACTGCTCAACCCGTCAATCTGAGTGGCGGAGCTGATGGCACATTGCTGGCATTCTACACTTCAGTATCCCGTCTACCCACCAGCTGGGACGCAGCGTACCTCAAAGGCACCGAAAGTCAGAGTCTGGCATATTCAACCGATGGAGGTATCACTTGGACGGAGTATAGTGGGAATCCGGTCATATCTCAACCTCCAACCGGCTGGAACATCACCGGCTTTCGAGATCCCTTCTTCCATGACTCGCCCGAACTCGATGCCATGCTGAACTACACGGAACCGCATTACTATGCCATCTTTGGATCCGGTATTGGTGACGTCGGGCCCAGGATCCCTCTGTACACGGCACCGTCCTCGAATCTAACACGCTGGACCTACCTGGGAGCTCTGTGGGAGCCAAAGGGCAACACTTCGCTCGGCCGGCCATATGAGGTGGGCAATTGGGGCTGGAACTTCGAGGTTCCGAACTTCTTCAACCTAGGAGGACATTGGTTCTTCAGCGCAGGTGCCCAGGGAGCAAGCAGGAGCTATCATGAGCAGACATGGGTGGTATGGAACGAAGCAAATGTCAGTGTCCGACCGAACGGCAGCATTGCTTTCGAACCGCTCTCGATGGGAGCTTCGGATTGGGGGAATCTTTACGCAGTAAGTCACGATCACGCCTCGGTATAGCAGAGGATATCCTCGCACATGGCAGTCTCACTGACAAGACCCAACTCAGATCACCTCGTTCAACGACACGAAGAACAATCGTCGTATCCAGATCGGTTGGGCGCCGGAAGACATGGACAGCTTCGGGGTCGTCCAACAGGGTTACCAAGGAGCGCTGTCCATTCCACGAGAACTCTTCGTCATGAACACTCCCAACGTCATGCCGCCATCGCCCATGCGTAACAGCAGTTCGGTGTACACCCGCCAGGGCAATGGCACGTACAGTGCGCGAACCCTCGGTGCCCGTCCCGCTCCAGATGTCATCACAGGTCTGCGCGGCGGCTCGCAGGCAATGAACCACACCGTCGGCACATTGAGTGGGAAAGGCAAAGGTCCGAGGTCCCAAATGCTCATGAAAGCCATGAAAAGCTCCTATGAGATCTCGTTCACGATCAAGTCCACATCCGGTCGAACGGGCCTTACGATTGGCGCGGCTCCGGATTTTCAGGAATTCACGTCCATTTACTACGACCCGGCCACATCTTCAATCGCATGTGACAGGAAGAAGTCCTCAACCATCAGCGAGTTCCTGAATACCACGTACGTGGGCTTCTTCGAGCCGTACAATGTCTCTGGGACACTCGAGCCGATCAGGCTCGACGTCTTTGTTGACGGTTCGCTGGTTGAGATCTTTGTCAATGACCGCTTCGCCTTGACGAGCAGGATATATCCCAGCCGTACTGACAGTACGGGGCTAGGACTATATGCCGCGATGGGTGTCGATGTCGTCTACTCGGGACCCGTGCAGGTCTGGAATGGGTTGAAGAATGTATGGCCTCAACGGCCGAGGAATTCGAGTGGTCTTTTAGTCTGGGATACCGATGCAGAGACCCACAATCGGACATGGTGGACGGGTTTCTAGGGTCTGAGCGCCGTATCTTGAGTTGCACGTTGGGTATCAATTCATTGAGACTTCCAAGTAACTATTAAATTGCTTTCGCAATGTTCCGCAACCGTAGCTGCCTGTGTATGCTTGTGACGATCTTAATCTGCATATCGCCTTATTGGCCTAGAGCAACCTCTTGATAACATCACCTATCTCAACATCATACTCATTTTTCAGTCCCCGAGTACATGTCTAAAGCCGTGCAAAGTGGTAGGAGGCCCCATCCAGCCGTAGATCGTGACCTCTCTAGCGCATCTATTGTTGGAGAGCTCCACCTCATCGCATCCTCGATTCCCGATATCTCCGTCGAAACGGGAAGATGTCGATTCAGACAGTATTAGTAAGTTTCGCGGACTGATCCGGATTCCACTCGCTTCAATTCCGCGTCCTATGGAGGTCTTTGCACCGAACAAACGAGATATTTGTGCCAATGCCAGGTTTGTACCCGCGTAATTCCAATTGTGAAGGTGTGTAGGACCAAGAGAAGCCCAGCCGGAAGTGCCGGTTGTTTATGCGAGCATGAGACTGGTCTCATGCTCCATCCCTCGATCGGACATAAGCATGCCCATCTCCGTAGCCACCTGCACATGCGACTGGCTTGTACGAAGATCTGAAGGAAAAGGCTGCATCGTAGAACCCGTGTGCCGGGTTTCTAGCATTGGATTGCTGAAATGTCATCACTCGAGCATACCATGACCGTGGTCAAAGACGCTGTCGACTATCGTCGAATCGAGTGTGGGCTCAGCCGTTTGCGGTATTAGTTATTGCAGGCGCAGGCCTAAAGTATTGCTCGAGGTTGAGATGCATTTGTTTTTGCGTATTGCATATTGCGTAATTCTCGTTGCAAACTACCGTGTAGTCTCCGCTATTACATTCGGAACTTCTTCCTCGGGTTTTTCGACAATCGTGGGATGGTGGTCTCCGTACTGAGAGCCCGACTCGCTGCTGCTGAGGCTGATGGTTGTGCTCGAGCTTGGGGAGCCTCGTACATTGACATCGTGGCCACCGTCTTGTTTCTCTTCGTCGTTGGCCTTAGGCGGCGGAGTCGGCGCGAACTTGCTTCTTTGTCGAATGCGCTCGCCGTACTTGTAGAAGACGAACGGGATCGGTGCCAGGAGACATGCCACTCCTCCGATTAGCGAACCGCCACCACCAACGCCGAGTGCATTGAACATGTACTGGGTGAAGAGAGGGGCGGCAGCTCCACAGGCAGATCGACAGATGGTGTTTGCCGCCATGGCGCTCGCGGTGTACATGAGATAGGTGTCGGTCAGGTAGTTCAGGTAGGCGACGAAAATCAACATGATGGCGGTGGCCAGAAACGTGCCGGCGATCGTTGGCACAATCCAATGCACGCTATTATACTCTCCAGACCAGGCAAACCAAAACATAGTGATGGCAAACAAGATCCCACCAAGCATAGCAAGAGGTAGACGATCTTCAGGCGTTCGAGCAACTCCGGCCAGCATCTTTTTCTTGTCACGTGATGAGGTGTAGAAGACGATGGCACCACCAATGCAAGCTCCGATGGCAGTACCGATCAAGGGGAGTTCGCCGACGCCGGAGTTCCAACCTCGCTTTTGCTGGAAGACAATGGGATAGATGGTGAAGAGCATGTAGAGCAGGAGATAGACCACGGACAGGTAGATCGCCACCAGGAGAGAGATAGGGTCGAAGAGGATCTGCCATGGTCGAACGAGAGCGATTCGGAACATGTCTTTGAGATTCCTGCCCTGCGCCTCAGCGGGTGCTTTGAGAGTGGCGTGCTCCTCGAGTCCGGTGCCTCGAATTCTTCGAGCTTTGTTGATCAGCACCGCCGACGGCAGGGTTTCGGGAATCATGAGCATCAAGAATTCGGTCAAACCGCCCAACCAAAGCAAGACATAAAAATTCCATCTCCAGTCTTCCTTGAGTTCCAGAAAGCCGCTGACGACCGGACCCAAAGCCGGCCCAACAAAGGTCATCATCGAGAAGACTGCCAGGGCATTTCCACGCTCAACTGGACCCCAAAGATCGGCCAGCACTCCAGGAGCATTCGTCAAAGGCGCGCTGGCAAACGTGCCGGTCAAGAGGCGACCGATGAGTAGAGATGCAAAGTTCGGTGCGAACGCGCAAAGGAAGTTGAAAGCATTGTAGCAGGTGAAGGTCACCAGAAACACCCATCGCCGACCGTAGAATTCCGACATTGGGGCGAATACCAATGGTCCGGCACAGTATCCGAGCAAAAACAAAGTGATGACGAGGCCGGCGGCTTCTTCAGAGACATCGAAATGCCTTGCGATGCCCCGAAGACAACCAGATGGACTGGAAGAGGCGAAAGTCGCGTTGACGACGAGCATGATGGCTATCACGGTGCAAAACCATCGACGTCGGACCGACCATTCCTTTGGATTTTCGAGGTCACCAGGCGGGAAATCGATGTGGCCGTTTTCGTTGAGGTATGGTTTGACTGAAGGATCGAGTTTCCCAGACCGATATGGCTTTGCGACCGGTCGGGATAGAATCCTTTCTATCGCCTCCATCTTGCTGGTCTGGCGAGCAGTTCCAGTGTCGACCTTTGCAGTGAGGAAAGGAAAAGCCTTTCGTGACGTATATATTCGAAAAACAAAAGCCACAAGAAAAGATCGAACCTCTCCCTGGTCTCCCTGTGCGTGATAGGTGGCGGTTGATTGATAATGGACCACGGTTGGAGCCTAGCTTCGGCTATACGGCACCGGTCTTTGCACCATCGCCCATCCGCGCCAATGTCAACAATGCTTGTAAAGGGCACGTCATGGGGGTGATTCGATGAGGACCGTGGACTGTGGATCTGGGCTGCAAAGGAGATCGATGGGCCTTCTGCGTATGAGCCTACCACAGCAAGGATAGGATGTTGGATTTGCACAGCTGGCTTTTCAACTGCTGTCTTTGCCACGGAGGTCTTGTCCTCCTCAAATCCAGATCTGGAAAAGATGCCTTTGTGCGTATAAGGTGGATTGTTGCTTGGGTTCCATTGGCGGAGATGACGGTTTCGCTTGTCCCTTAGCCAGGGGCCTTCTAACCAGCCAGTGGTGGACCTTCCCTCGTACGCCACCAACCACGCCCTTAAGCACGTTGTCCGTCCGTTGCTTCGGCACTTTGTCTCGGTTCTCGCGATACACCTGGCCGTCCGCTGTACATCGTTAGTTAACTGGAGCAGGCAGATTGTAGCGTCCAAGTCAGGCAACAGTACCGCCGTACTCGTACCATCTCTAGCACCTTGCATCTCGTCGTACATGCTCGATCATTTGGGTAGTACTCGTATATCTCCGTGCATATCCGGTGGTTTGCACTGCCCATCCTTCGAGATTTGTGGAACCAGGCTCCTCCAATTCCAGTTCTTTCACCTCGGCAAACCCCCCATCTCGTCTCGTCGAGTAGGATCCATTTGGTACTCGTGTTGTGATACTTGTTGAAAGATTATTTCCGGCGATCTCCGAACTGTCATCATCTTCCCTTCGTCGCTGCACAGCTCCCATGAGTGTCAAGGCGGGTAAGAAAGCTGTGGACATACTCCTCTTCGGGGCCGGCAGCATCGGTGCCGTCTATCTGTATCAGTTTCAGCGAGCTGGATGCAGAGTGACGGCCGTATGTCGTTCGAATTATGATGCGGTCAAGCGTGATGGCTTCACGCTTATCAGCAAAAGATTCGGCAATGTGCAATTTCGTCCTGAGTCCGTTGTTCGCAAGGCCGAGGACTGTCCCAAGGATGTCACGTACGACTTCATCTTCGTTGCGAGCAAATCCTTTCCAGGTTCGAAGCCATCCTTGACGGATATGCTGCGACCAGCGATGCGGCCAGAGACCACCATCGTGCTTGCCCAGAATGGAATTGCTATCGAGGATGAAATCGCACACGTTTATCCCCACAATCCTTTGCTCAGCTGCGCGGTGTACATGCCGGCCACTCAGACAGATCAAGGAGTTATTCATTATCCGGAAATGCTGAATCTTCTGGAGATAGGGACGTTCCCTGCCCATGCCCCAGCATCCCACAAGGCGGCTGCTGCGAGGTTGGCGGAGTTGGTCATTGCTGGTGGGGGGCAAGCTGAAGTCCATGAGGATATCCAAATTGCTCGCTGGTCGAAGTTGTTGCTGAATGGCTCCTGGAATCCAATCTGTGCACTGTCAATGTGCACCGACGGAGACTTTCTGGGGACATCTTCGCACGCGTATGATCTTGTATGGTCTGTTATGCTGGAAATCATCGCGTTGGCTCGGAAGATTGGAGTGCCAAACATTGACGAGAAGGTGGCGGAACAAAAGCTGGCCATAGCCAAACGAAGAGCAGAAACCGGGCAGGGCAGGGCGATCAGCATGCTGCAAGATGTCCAACAAGGAAGATTATTCGAGGTTGAGGCAATCGTAGGTAACACGGTCCGCCTGGGGAGGCAGCATGGGGTCAAGATGCCTCTGACCGAAGCGCTCTACGCTTTGACGAAGGGAAGATTCGATGCAATGGTTCGAGATCAAGCCGCGAGCAAGAGATGAACGTCTGTCCATTTTGTACCTGGCGTCCTTTGTGTGTAACAACACACGGACGCATCACTTTCCCCTTCCAAACCGGGTGGTTCTCTCCTCCACACCATCCGGTGATGTTTCATTCCCCGAGGACTTTCTCTCCAGCAGAACGACGGATAAAATCAGCCGTTCGATTTTGCATGCTCAGAAATGGGCTATGGCTGCTGTCGACAATTTCTTGTCTAATGGTCCTTGTTGATCCTCTCGCTTTCAAAGCTTCATTGGCGTCTGCTATCATTTTGCGCTGGAAGGGTGCGGGAATGGCGCCATCTTTCTCGCAGATAAGGTAACTTGTCGGTATCTCCCACCAGCCAACGCCCGCAGCCGATGGTGGGTTTTGTTTGCTGTGCCAGGAGTGAGGCTTCAGACGTGCACTCCAGCGTGCCGCATCCTCGCTAGACAAGTCGTTGTAGAAGAGCGTTTCTGGTCCTGGCTCGCCTACATCGACCAGATGGCCGGTGCCGTCGATCTTGTGGAATGGAGCAGGCTGATTTCCAAGCGACATGATCAGGGAGGTTTGAGGCGGATATAAGAAAGAGCACATAAGCGCAATTGCGGTGATGCCAGGGGATTGTCGGTCAACAAACGAGAAGGCTGCGCTCAAGGCGGGTATTGCACCATATGAATGAGCAACAAGAACAAGATCAATTCCTCCAGTAAGGATTTTCTCAATGGCATCTGAGATGACCATGACATCCGAGTCTGCGTTCGTGTTTGCAGGGTCAACAGGATCGACGGTGGCCAGAGTGACTGTCTCGCATTGGTACCCGTGTTGTCGTAGGATCGTAATGAGGTCGTCGTAGCATGCTGGCGAGTGCCATGCTCCCGGCACGAGCAGGATTGTTGGTTTCATGGTTGGATGAAGAGATCTTTCTTGGGATCGGACATGGAGTATAACAAGTCAACAGGATCAGGCGTCCCATTAGTCCACTGTGTTACCCATCTACCGCCGTAAAGAGCTCGAAACTCGATCTGACATGTCTCCAATTCGGACCGATCGAGTGGACGTCTGTGGGGGAGTCCATACTCGAGAGAATTCCTATCTCACGTTGGGTGAGAAGTCGTACAGCGTAAAGGCTCGAGCAAGAACGGAGGAGGATGAGAGGGGAGAGTATGCGTAAGTATTACAGATTCGTGGCCAGACTATATTATCGATTAATTCCATGCGACGAAAGGACAGTAGGAATAAATTGGAATGGAAAATCCATGATATTGAGAGTCATCACAACTACTTTAAGACGTCGTGATATCTGTCCCTTGATATCGCCCTGCTTCTCAGGCTTTCTTTGCTACCACGAAGCATGCAAGCAAGTCCAATATCGTCCCCTCTGTTCCAAAAAATGCCGGTTGCTGATGAATTCATTTGTCGCTAGGGAAGCTTTTGTTGTCTCGTGGAAGATCCATGCTACAACGCTGTGTCTTCCCTTTCGATGTCAAGCAGGCCAGCGGGGTTGTGAAACAGCAATTGGGAGTAGGGTGATGGTACATACAACGTTGTGACTGTCGTGGCTGTTGAAGTTTACAAAAGGTCTGGGCAGATGTTCATATCCACAATATCCCTACGCCATTTACGACCCAGCGGTATCGTAGGAGGAGCACAGAGGAGACAACGTACGCGTCTGAAGGATGAGGGTCGACGCTTGCGCCGGGAATACCAAGCAGGCGGTTTGACCTGTCACGACGACTTGTCCCTCGCGCTTCGGTCATGAACCATCTGATACAGCTGTTGTCTCCAAGGACTCAATCCTTGCCCATTGTACAAAGGTCCAGCTCACCTCCATGCGAGGTCCCCAGGCTCCCTTGTCAAACAGCTCATTTTGTGGCCGATATCCAAGATCGGAACCAGGCTCTTTGCGGACGCCCTGGCCTTTGTTGCTGCCGAATGCTAAGACATGCCGTCGACTGCGCCGAGGTATTATCACCACTTCAGCAGGCGGTCCTGTCGCCGCAGCGCTGTTGCCCTCTGATACAGCAGGACGATGGCAGTAGTTTGGGCTCGTGTCACGGTATCGGCGGGTCAGGGGCAGTCAGTCTGGTAGGCTGACGCTTCATAGGGGTTCGGGGTGGTGGGAAGGTCATCGTCGGTGGAAGTCAGAGCTGTTGCTGTGGATGGACTGGAGGACGGTAAGACGGATGATTCTGCCTGCTCATTCTGGTTGTTTCCTGCCAGTATGCGTGGGCTCTGCCAGGAACGAGACGAAGAGAAGCGAGGGACTCTCCGTGCAAAGGCGCGTAGGGATTGAGTGATGGTCGAGAAGAGGATGATAAGATTGCCCTAGCGTTGTTGAAGAACGCGGCAGCTGCAGGGGACAGCACTGGGTGGTGCGAATTGGCTGAGAAGAACGTTTTGAGTCGTTCTTGAAGTGGATTGCTTGCTCACGAGGTGATTCTCAATGTCTCTTCGTGAGCAGGGTAGAAAAGTCTGGCTTCACGAGGCAAAGCCATCTGCGAATTGTGCTTCATCACGATGAAATTGAGGTATGATACGAGTATGAAGCGCAGGGACCGGTGGGGGGAAGGCTGAGACTAATAAGATGCTGCAGGTCACAGTTGCGCCTAACGGCCTAACGGTTTAACTAGTGCACGCCTAATCTTGCTTCACGTCCTACGCCTAACTTGCCCGAGTTAATTAAGGTACTTAAGGTACCTAGGTCCCCGCGCCACTATTTAAACTAGCCCACAGTCCGCCCCTCACGACGACTTCCTAGGTAAGGTCATTTTTGAAGCACTTTGGACAGAGTTGGTTCCTGGTTCATCTCTTCCACCATCTCTGCATACACCCTCTGTAGAACCTCGCAGATCTCGATGACGCGTGCCGTATCTACTGGCCACCTCTCCTCAGAACTGGAGACGAGCTCCGCCTGAGCGACCACCTCAGCATCGACAAGTCGGCACTCAGTATTGAGTCTTGAGATGATTCTTGCGACTACTGAAAGCGTTCCCTCGAGGTTCCTAACCCTAGCAAAAACGTCAGTCCATGCTTGGAAGCATCATGCTCGAAGACCAGGATATGTCTTCGGAGACTGCTCCAGCGAACCGACAGCGACCCAAACGTAACAAGACCGAACTGGCGTGTGAAACTTGTCGCCGGAGAAAATCAAGATGTGACGGTCGCCATCCCTCTTGCTCTCATTGCGAGAATATGGGACTGGCATGCGTCTACCGGTCTCCTGTGGCCTTCTTGGAAGGGTAAGTCCGTTACCGCTTGGCCAACATACGCAGCGAATGCCACGACTCACCATATGTTCTAGCAATTCTTCCGTCTTGACTCGCTTGTCCAACATCGAGGCGAGGCTGCAGTCCATAGACCAGTCAATACCAGTCGCTCCTCCTGCGGAACGCGGTGCTCGAGAAGGCTCTAGCGACAACGCATGGCCCAAAATGCCCGACTTCCACCATGCTTCGGCTCATAAACTCTTCCATTGTTGGCCTAAGCTTCGGATCAGCCTCGCAAACCTGGATATTGAGCCTGTGACATTTTTCAAGAATGTGGACGATGCCGATACCTTCAATTTCGAGAATAACTTCGACACCACTGATCTTGGCGGGATTCATGTCTCGGAAGCGACCAGCAGCATCAGTGCGCTCTTTGAAAACGTTTCGCAATTGCCTTTCATACTTAGACATCTCTTGACCACGGGCGGTCTCACAAGGGAAGTCTGTCTCGGCCTCTTCAACCGATACTCGGACTTCTCTACTGGCTACGACGTGCGATTACAATTCGAAACTCAGTCTGCAGAAGAGCTACTGGTACAGACAGTGGCATTCAAGCACCTGTCTTCTACGTCGATGAACGTGAGCCTGAGCAGGCAAGCCGACCTTTGCTTCAAATTCGCATTGGGACGAATGTGGATGATTCAATCCCGGCAAAACCCTCAGATTTTGCCATTCAAGTTCTTGTTTGTAATATGCTTGCTTTACGTCTACGGTCGACCTTTTCATGCTCTGGGCCTCCTCCAGAGCCTTGAACCTCAGATCCATAATGCATCTCCAATGATGCGAGGAGACCTGTAAGTGATTTCGAACCCCAATATTGTACCTTCAATCTAACCGTGGTCGAGTGCTACACGGGCACAATATGAAGCATGGCTTCATCTATATTTCCTCCTTGAAAGGTAACTCCCTCATTGAAATTTTCTCGAGAATCTTACATTGACGTGTAGGTTAGTGACATCCTGACGGAGGTCGACGGCGTGCCAGGCAAGCTCTCGCGTAACAGTGACATTCGGCTCCGTGAGGATGCCTTGATAGGTACTCCGAGCGACTTCAGTGTTGATTCAATGACCTTCTGCGGAGATGACAACTCTACCCAGGAACTTCAAGCTCACTTACGCTTGCGAGGCTATCTAAACACCATACTTGACAGCCTGTACCCCTTGGAGAGGGCATACTGTCGACCTTATGATGTTGCAGTCCTTCTCACCGACGTTGCAAGGCGGCTGGATCTGTGGTACTGGACCTTACCTATCAATATGAGATTTCCCCGTCATCCATCTGCGTTGCTCCTGACGAAGGAACCCATGAATCTAACCATGGTTTGTGCTCTACTCGCTCAGAGTGTCATTGTTTACTGATCGTTCTAGGACGAACTGAGATTCCGATATCATGCTGCCTTGTTCCTGATCAATCGTCCAGTTCTTTACTATGTCCTGCATGAAAGGCTGGAACATGCTGCCACAGCCTCGGAGCTCGAAACTTCCAAGAACGACCCGTGGGTCTATGAATCATGCTACGACTGCTTGCAGAACGCCATCATGATAGTCCTTCTTCACACCCAAAGGCCCCGTATGTCTATCACGGACGGGTTTCAAAACTGGTGCAACCTTCAACATTTGATCGCAGCGCACGCCACTCTAGTTCAGGTCCAAAGCAATCCCGACATGTCAATACTGCTTCGAAATGGTGTTGATATCAATACATTGTTGGATGAGGCAGAAGCCGTCCTTGAGCAAGGTATGAATCGACCGGCAAATATCAAGGAGACTTTGCACATACTTAGAAACATCCGCCAAAACTTGCAGAGAAACGACCAGCGAACACCTTGAGCAGATTCTCGTTTAGGGGTTCACTATCATTGCTCGCCTCAAGCACTCTTCAACTTTTGCTGCAAACCTGATCGGCTGGCATGATGCAAGTTGGCAGCTCAATCACACAACCCGATCCTCTCAAATTGGAGGCAGAACGCCGACTATGAAAATACACGGAAGTTGACATGCTGCCCCTAACGACTCTGCTTCAGGAGTGCTAATGAATACCGTTGGTCTGCGCTGCCTGTGAATGGTGTACCCGGACACCTACATTGCTGTCAGTATGTGCAAGGCAACCACAATCTAGGGGTCACAAACTTTCTGGAACTTCGCCTCCATTCTTTGCTAATCTTGGAGCGAATGACATCTTTCCGAGGATCGCAAATGCAGACGCTCCGCAGGCCGCCGGGATGTTGTTGGCCAGCTGATTCTTGCAGGCAAACGCCAGAGTGGCAAATTTGATGGCTTCTTTGTATGGTGCAGGAAGGCCATACTCGTCGCTGACGCAAAGTTGGACTCCATGTGACGGCAATTTATCTCGCAGGAGGTTCATTAGCGTTGCATTTTTGGTTCCGCCACCGCTGGCTATAACCTTTGTGACCGGCGCCTTGGGGAGGATGAAGTCGACGACTGACTTCTCGATCGACCACGCCGTGAAGTATGTGAATGTTGCCACCAGGTTCTCGGTCGACGCTGTTTTGTAGTCTTGCAGGATCTGGTCGGCATACTCAGCACCAAAATCCAGTCGCCATGCTGACCGAGGTGGTTTTCGGAGGAAAAATTCGTGCGTCTGCAGCCGTGACAACAGGGTTGGAATGACCTTTCCTTTGGCTGCCACATCGCCGTTCTTATCGTACGACCGGTTCAATCGAGCTTTGATGACATGATCAATCATGACATTTCCCGGTCCTGTGTCGAAAGCCATCATCTTATGGCGATCCGAATCGGCGAGTTGCAAATTCGCAATGCCACCAATGTTCAAAGTGACTATGGGAGCCTCGTTGCGAAACGCGCAGAAGTCGAGATATTGCATCAGCGGTGCTCCAGAACCTCCGAGGGCATGGTCGATTGGCCGAAATTGCGTTACTGTCGTGATGTTCGTCAAAGCTGCAACGACACCCGACTCCACGATGAACAAGCCGCAAGGGAGACCGCCTTTGGTCCAGCGTTCGACTAAGCTCGTGCTCCCACTTTGGAGGAAGGCAGCCTCTTTGGGCCTGTCTGGTGGTTCCTGATAGATCGTCTGTCCGTCGTAGCCGATGACATCGATATCCTCGGGCTTCAGTCCAACCTTTGCAAGCAGTGCATTGGCTGCCTCGGCGAAGAGGGCTCCCGCCGCATAGTTGACCCTGCACAAGTCGAAGATGGTCAAGTCATTGGTGAAAGCCCGAAGAATAAGGGGTTGAAGGTCGGCCGGCCAGTCCACTGAAAGCCCGTCGACGTATTTCGGACGGCTGGGGTGCCCATCCTCCGCAAGGTCGATGGTGCATAGAACAGCGTCGACGCCGTCAAAAGAAGAACCACTGTTCAGACCAAGAATGTATGGCATGATGAAGAATGATGAGCAGTGATTTGACTTGATCAACCACAGATGAGCAGGAGCAAATCTATATATGAGATTGCCAAGTTCTCCAGTGTAATGATGAACGACCAAGGGACCTCAATTGTGCAGTAGGACCAACTGCAAAGTCGGCATAGCCACGTTGGTGTTATGGAGGCAAGCCGGGTCGACTTCCATGTCATGTGGTGATCAACTGGTTTGTCGAATGCATTAGGAGATTCCCGTCGGATTGTTCCCCGAGCCCTGCTTCCCTGGGACCAGCTTGGCCAATCTGACCTGGAGCTTTTACCTAGGTACCACAGCCCCAAGCTTTCGGACTCGTTCCTGCAAACGTTCTTGGCCGTGGTCCGCAAGACTGTATCTTCACAACATCTGCAGGACCTTTCCCCGGCGAAATGGTACGAAAGGCAACTGGACTGTCCGAAAGCGAATGTACCTGGATTCGGCACTGCACTTGCACTGACCCACAACCGCCAACTCCCCAGCACTGGGGTCGTCAGGATGAGCAGACTGAGGAGCTGGAGCAAGGTCTGGATCAATCTTATTATGGTACGTGTCTTAAAGCCGTTGTCCTGTGGCGGACTCTGTCACCTGATGGCAAGCCAGTTCGACCCCTTTCTATTGACGTTCACAACCACTGTATACTTCCCAACGAGGCACGGTAGGGTCTGCTGCTCACAACAACGCTGACAATAACTTTTTGAGCGCAAATGTGTCTTCAGAAAATCTGCGCATTGCCTCGGCCGACTTTTCCACCGCACATGCGTCACCATTGAACGCCCACCGAAACTTGGATTCATCGTTGATGTATGTCTCTTGTGGCATGATTGCCTGTTGCGCAGACGCTGCAGTAAGTCGGGGCACAACGTCGTCGTTGCTCTTGTCGAGCTGGGCGAGAATTGCCGGGGCAATGGTCAAGAGATCTGCGCCGGCAAGATTCTTGACCTGATCCGGGGTTCGAAAGCTGGCCCCCATCAATTGGGTTCTGTGACCATATTTCCTAAGATAATTCTGCATGTCTTGAACGCTCTTGACGCCCATGTCGTCTGGACTGTGGTGACCATGTGCTTTGTGCCAGTCACTGATTCGGCCAATGTAAGGGGCAATGCAAGTCACACCAGCCTCGGCGGCGGTGATGGCTTGAACCATTCCGAAGACGATTGTGACAAGAACACTGATGCCATGCTCTTGTTCGAGTATACGCGCAGCTTGAACGCCTTCCCAGGTCGCGCTGATCTTGATTCGCACCGACTCCTTCGGTATACCCTCAGCGGCATAGAGCTCGATCACTCGTAAGGCCGCCTCGACTGTCTTTAAAGTGTCGAAAGAATGGCTGACATCGACCTCCGTGGAGACGCGCCCGGTCAGTTTGTGTATCTCACTACCAAATTGCACAGCGAGATATTCGACTGCGCGTTCGAGTCTCTCAGCTTCCGATGCCGACAATGTTCTGGCATACTTGATGGTCCGGTCGAGGAGCCTGGAATATGCCGGCTGCTGGGCGGCCAAGTAGAGCAGGGAAGGATTGGTCGTGCCCTCGGAAGGATTGAATCGGGCAATTTCTGGAGTTTGTCAGTGATGATGCCCAGCTTGGGTGAGGACGGCTGGCGTACGCTGAAAGTCGGCCGTATCAGCAATGACGACTGTACCGGTCGCTTGCAAAGCCTTCAGCGCAGACGGATTCCTGGAAGGCATGGTGACAAGTGGAAAGATATTGACAGACCTCTCTCGACGATCGTCTAGGAAGCTGTGCAAGGGGCTGATACAAGGCGATATCTGTTCGAACCATGGAGCATACGGCGCTGCGGTCTCTTCGCCACGAGATCGGACGGGCTACGCATATGGTCGTGTGATTGTTCGAGGCACCCCCAATCATAGGGAATTCTATGAAGCACCCTTCTTCACGTGGACCTTAGGCTGGCCATCAAGTGGATTCATACAGCGGGTTGAGAATGGCTTCAACAATGTCATTGGATAATCCCCGCCGAAGCCCCCGAGTTTTCAAGGAAGCTCAGACCCACAAGAAGAGCAACGAGGCGGAGCAGCGATCGGGGGAGCTTCCGAAGATTCTTCAACAGGATCCACGGCAATTTTCAAGGGTGGCGTGCCAAATTCCCTTCTGCAGCAGCCAATATCGGACTTGGAACCTTCACTCGCGTGCATCATTTATCCAAGAAGTGGAACAAATCCTGCAAAAGTCACGAAATCGGGGAAGCCTCCGAAGCGCTGACTTGGTTATATTGTGGTGCCCCAGGAAATGGGGATTAGACTCCCATGGGGCCCAGAAACGTGTACAAGCACGCTCTACGCTGAGGACGTCTGCCGTTTATCAGTCCACGCTCCGGGTCCAGACACCTCAATCAGGGAGGAGTGCTTTGACAACATCAAGCCACACTCAGCATTGCGTTCTATATAAGGGCGAGATATCCCTTCCAATCTTGCTTCTCGTTCAGTCCAACAACACGAGCAGAGTCAAGCAAGAAATCTCCGTCCTCGACTGACTACACCGCCTGGTCAACAAGTTTCAAACATGCAAGGCAAGCTCTTCAATATGCAATGGGCCCATCACAAATGGGCCCTGGTCTTCTGCCTGATTTCTAGTCTGGGAGCCCTCTGCTATGGCTACGATCAAATCTATTACACAGGAGTGTTGGGCATGAAACGATTCGTCCTTGACTATGGCACCACTCATAACAACGCCGGCGACATTGCCTTGACTACGACCTTTATCTCTCTCACATCGTCCATTATCTACGTTGGGGAGCTCTTGGGTGCGCTCTTTGCTGCGCCCATTAACGACCATTTCGGCAGAAGGGGCGTGTTCTTCTGCGCCTCGTTCTGCATCATCGGTGGTGCCATTGCGCAGGTTGCCGACCAAGGTTCCATGGGCGTTATCATCCTTGGACGTATCCTGATCGGCTTGGGGATCGGTCAATTCACAGTGACCAGCGTTTTGTACATTGGAGAGGTGGCTCCACAAGCCATTCGAGGGCCGGCGTTGATGATGTTCCAATTCCTGCAGTCATGCTCTCAGCTGGTTGGCTCCGGCATTACCCAGGGTACCGAATCTATCTCCTCGACGGCCTCGTACCGGATTCCCATGGGTCTGTTGGCATTGTTGCCCTTGCTGATGCTGCTGGGATTGCTCATGCTCCCGGAGTCTCCAGTGTGGTACATGCGCAAAGGGCAACCGGAAAAGGCGCGCAAGGCGTTTACCAAGATCAATCGCAGCGCGCCATCTTACACCGCAGACGACGACATGGCAGCAGTAGCAGCAATGGTCGAGGCGGAGCGTCTACGGAGCACCGAGTCGACTTGGATTTCCCTGGTCAAAGACCCCATCGAAAGGCGCAAGCTCCTATACTCGTGCGGTGCAATGGTGGCCCAACAGATCAACGGCATTCAGTTCTTCTACTCTTACGGTGTTGTTTTCGCCCAATCCATCGGCATCAAACAGGCCTTCACCATCTCCCTGATCACCAACACACTTCAAGTTGTGGCAGTCGCTGTTTCAGTCGTGCTGGGCAACAAGGTGTCTCGACGCAAAAATCTGCTTGTCACAACTTCCATGATGCTCGTGGCGTATATCATCATCGGTGGACTGGGGGCGGGTCCTTACACCAAGACAAGCTACAGCACCACCATCGTCGTCATCTCCTACATCATCATTGTGGCTTTCAACTTCGGCCACGGCCCTCTGGCGTATACCATCGCTTCGGAGTCGGCTGTTGGCCGCAACAGGAACAAGATCATGAGTGCCAGCATTGTTTCCTTCTTCTTCACGGTCTGGGTTATTGCATTCACCAGTCCGTATATCTACTACGACGGTGGACTGGGCCCGATGCTGGGATTTGTATATGCCGGCACGACTTGCCTTACTTTGGCGTACGTTTGGTTTTGCGTGGGCGAGACTACCGGCCGTAGCCTGTTGGAAGTCGAGATGTTCTTCCAGGAGCGCATCCCTGTCCAGCAGTGGCGGCACCACCAGTTTACGAACCTAGCCAATGGCCCGGAAGATAGTGTCCATGGCATGAAGGACGGTCATGTGGGTGGGCAGGCCCTTTCCGGAACGATGGACGCAGACTCTGAGAAAGTGCAGATCTCCACGAACAGCCACCACGTCAGCGAGAATGAACACGTGTAAACAAAGAGAATCGCCGAATGGGAAAGGGAAAACAACGTGTGAGCAAGCTGCATTGTTGATCTCTAGGCAGAGTGGTGGAAAGGAGGATAAGAGTGCCGGACTGTTGGAAAAAGGAGACCGGTCGTCGTATCTGGTCCTCGATCGAAAGATTGTCACGCACAGTTACTGTAGAGTTAGGTGCAGAAACCCTGCACTAAAACGCTGGATTCAACCATGTTATGCTGTCCTCTCTCGAATACTGGGTCCAAGGACGAATCGAGATTATCTCAGCGCATCTGTCGCCATTCAAGACTGTGCCCGGGACAATTGTCGAAATACGGATATCTTCATCTGTGGGCAGTAGTTTAAGATCGGCTTGAAGAGAAAACAACAGGAGTCTGCCCTCGAGGATTTGCTGGTGGTACATAGAACGCTATGAGAGAAAGTCGTAGCCCGCAAGACGTTGTTAAGAGGTCACGTGCATCACCCAGCACCCAAATGTTCCTGCGCTCCAAAATTCCGTCTTCTCTTTCATCCTCAACACCTTTCGACATGGCCATGCATCATGGAGGTCTATGTTTGCCGGAGCACGATATCCCAGTCCTATTGGAAGAGTTGTCTGATACCCAGGTCAAGTGCTCGTTCGTGCCGGCTACTTTCCTCCTGCTTCTGATGCTGCAATATGTTGTCTGAATGGAATGTGAACGAGCGGTCATGATTCTGCTTCAGCACTCGAAGTCTATGTGTCGTGCCGCGCGTACTTGTGGCTGCTGACACGACAGGACCGGTTGGACCATCATCCTTGCCTCCCCCTTGACCCTACAATGCCTCGAAATATGAGCACATGGAAAGCAAGAGATTGGAATGCATCAACAAAACCCTTTTGCTACTGTATGCACACAAAATCCCGCTGGGAGGTCTCAAGTTGTGCACCTCAGTTTCAGCCCTGTCTGCGCCCTCCGGGAAAGACTGGCGAAAAGCTGAAGGCCTCTCGGGCGCCACGGGTGTTCCTACACGACAGCGGGACGAATTGAGTGCCTCATTCCTGCGAACGCCCGCCAGAGAATGTGCAATCTTCAGGAAGTCAGATCCCGACGAAGATACTCGAGAGACGCCGCACATCTTTCAGGCCGCGACAAGATTCTGCTCGAAACATTACCTCTAGGTGAAGCCGCTACCCTTGACTTTTTGTGAGTTGATGAATGGCGCCATCATGCGCATGGTAAAGGCGAAGGTCACCAGCTACGGCTGTTCTGGGTAGCACGAGTCTCCTAAGATGATGTCGCAGCATACCTATCTACCTAGATAAGGTATTGTAGACCCATCTGGAAGGCCTGTGATGGTTCTGCACTTCAACTCTTTCACATCCGCCATTTTACTCGGCGTTTGCTAGCATCAGCGGCATCATTCCTCCAACCAATCAAGACGAGGCTCCTCAAATACCAAAGATGACGTAGCAATGACGCTGAATTCTTATAGCAACAACTTCGGACCTCAAGACAAGAACAGTTTCTACTCCGTACACCACGAAAATATCACCAAACGACGATCTTCCACTCACACAGAATTACGAGTAACTATCAAACACCACTCCAACAACCATGTCTTCACGCGCAAATCAAGGCACTGCCGGTGCAACCACAACCCCTGCCACTGCCGGCCACGGCGAAGCTAAGCCTAAACTCTTTGACGAGCAGGGTGCCATTGGCAAGCAATTCACAGGTACTCCTTCTTCCATGTTCCTGCGACTCTCTCCTGATATTCTGACGCCTCTTTAGAAACTGGAGCAATCGGTGGCACAGCCCAGAAGATTGGCGGACCATTGGACAAAGAGGGTATCATTGGCAAGCAATTCACCACAGAAGGAAGCATCGGAGGATCGGTGGAATCCATGTTGGGCGGAAAGAACGAGAAAAGCAATTGATCGTACGAGGTATTTTCTTATTGATAAGTTCGGGAGGCCACGAGGAGGTGATAGAGACATTCCAGCACAGCATACAACTCGACTGTTTTGACACCCGCAATCTGGGTCTGGCGATGTGACATCTTAGTCTCCTCATTAATGCATACCATCCACGTGTCCCTTTTGCTGACCTGCACTCTTTCACTTGTCACCGAATCACATCCTGCAGATCATTTTGTCCCTCGAACAGTCTCGTCATCTTTGGGGAACTTCCTGAACATATCTCCCAACTTGTCAATTGGTGCCGCCATCAACCCTGCAACAGTCTCATAGGGTGGCTTGTCTGGTGCCATGGGGTGGCTGCGGGTAGGGACGAACATCTTGGTTCTGGCGAAGCTTCTGGACAAACTGTCGGTTTCGTGGGCCGGCAGCGACTCTTCCAACATGGGTAGGTCGTGGCTCTCTTCTTCCTCGATATGTTTGCTAAGGTGTTGCCAGAGACTTTTCAAGGTAGGGAGGAACTCTTCGTCGGCGGGTGAGAGCTTTTGGAATTCATAGAGCAATTCTTTGACCTGTGCTTGTCAGCTTTTGCCCCAAAGTGGAATCTTTCATCACGCTGCGAAGTTTCTCACCCTGTTATGTTCCATACGATCCTTCTCCGCCATGTCTGTCCCATCTTTGACATACTGCTCCATGGCTGGATAGACAACAAGCTCTTCTCCGATGGAATGGCGAGCAAGTTCCCATGTAAACTGATTCTGGTAACGGGTCTTGGTATCATTGTCCTTGGCATTGATGATTTTGTCGTAGTAGTCCTTGAGTTCGGCATGGTCATGCTTGATGGCTTCACTGACCGATCCTCCATGGGTGCCGGTCATGGTGTGGCTACTGACAGGTGATTGATCGTGATTCGTAGAGTATGCCAGACATTGTCGCTGTGAGAGAATCGGTCGGAGAGGTTGGGAACGTGGAATAGTGAGGCGGACGATTTGGCGAGGAAGGCCCCGTGCCGACAGAGTAAGGAGATTTCGAGCCTGCATCGCGTCGACAATACTAGTATACCTAGGTACCTAATCGTGTCGAGCATGGCTCTCCAGGAGATGATATTCATATAGCCACGGCACCACACCGAGTGACCAAGACCGTGACGTTGACTTGCTGTCGGATGTGTTCAACAGCAGCAACTTGATTCCAGCCAGTCATACGACAGGAAATGGTCATCGTCATTACCCTAGGTAAGAAGAAGGAGCATAATGCCGGAAGCAATAGGTAAGAAATAAGGAAGCAACTTCCGGAAGGTGTGGTCACTCGTGTCACTCAAGTGTCACTGTCACCTAACTGTGTCACTGTACCTGATGACAAGAACCGACGTCAAAGTTGTTGCAGGAAAAGTGACATCAATGTGATGCGGGAGAAGGAGTTAATTCCCAGCCAACCAGCCAATCCGCCAACTCGTGACTCGTATCATAAATGTGTCTCGAGAACTTCAAAGATTCGCATCATAGAAAACATCGACTTGCTGGAGTTCCAGGTTGCTGACTCCTCGCACCATTCCTGACACCCCGGAATCGTCTCCGAAAATTGCGGGGAGATGCTCCATGTTGACATCATGCTCAGGCCAAGACTAGAGGGCACACAAATTTCGGCGCACCCAGCAACTCAAGAAAAGGTCGATGAAGCAGTAAGTAGGCAACGAAACGAACACCGCAAGGAGCTTCTCGTCGGTGTTTCGACCTCACGGTAATATGGGCTGGGTGAAGACAGGTCACGTAAGGTGGTATGGAAGAATCTTTATGCCGTCTAGCTGATCCATTGCCGGCACCTACAAATGCAGCAAGATCCGCTCGCCCTTCATGGAGGCCTTTCTGAACCAAGTGACGTGGAGAGAGGCAGACGAAGCCAAAGCACCCACTTGACGACTACAAATAGAGAGCGCCGGAGCCGCAGCCGCAGCCGCAGCCGCAGCCGATTGAGAGTCATTTCTTCTCCCATTGGAATGCCAGAAGAAAAGTCCAATGCCTACTAGTTCGACAGCACTCCGTCCAACGCAGGTCGCTTCATCTGGATGACAATAACCCTTCCTCTACACACGGGATACACAAGATGTTGTGCAGTGATTGCAGTGAGTACCATCAGCTACGTCTGTGCGCTTCCTAGGACAAGCTCTTTTATCGAAGCACGAACCACTTATGACCGCACGGATGGGCCTTTTGCACAGCGAAAGATCCGATAGCTCTCGGCGGATCGGCAGCACTATCACACTATGGCTTGCAGGATGAATGGTCGCCGCAATCGATCCTGGTGGCCTTGATAACGAAGAGGTTAATGGCTCAAGCAGCTTTCTTTCTTCAGCTGGGTTGATGAACTGTTCACGAGTGCACGGTCTCTTAAAACCAGGGCTTCAATGCGCACAGGCTCATCTCAGTGGAGCTTTCACGTACTGGGCTGTTCTCATATGGCTTTCGATTCACTCAATCTCATGCAGCCCCGGCAATGTTCCATTCTGCAAGACGTACTGACTGGCTAGACTCATCACCAATCGAGACAAGTAAGAAAGCAAAGATGGCGCTTTGTACATCGCTTCTCGGTGATATAAACACGGCTCGACCCCAGGGTCTCTCTGTCCATCACTGATGTACATCAAGGTTCTCTAGCCGACTTTCATTCCATTCGCACACAATGGCATACAAGAAAAGATTCCACTTTGGCCGCACAGGAGCGGTGATGGGTTTCCTGCCCGAGGTTCATCGAAACAATCTAACCGCATTCATTGCTGAGCTTGCTGGCACATTCTTATTCCTCTTCTTCGCGTTTGCCATTGCCCAAGTGGCACATACCCCTCCTCCAACGGATGCGAATGCTGCACCAGATCTTCTCGTCGTCTTCTTCATCGCCCTTGGGTTCGGCTGCTCTGTTGCCATCAACGTTTGGCTCTTCTATCGAGTGAGTGGAGGGATGTTCAATCCTGCGGTAGGTAGCCGGTGCCTCGTCCTTGGTCAGACAAGAATGCTCATTCACCTCTAGGTCACTCTGACGCTTTGTCTCATTGGGGCTGTCCCAGCATCAAGAGGTGCTGTCGTCTTCCTTGCACAAATGTTAGGAGGAATTGCTGCCGCAGGAGCCGTGTCTGCCACATTGCCAGGCCCTATGGCTGTCAACGTTCGACTTGGTGGTGACTGCTCCATCGTTCGAGGCCTCTTCATCGAAATGTTCACAACACTGCAGTTGGCCTTCTCAGTCATCATGCTAGCAGCTGTCAAACACAAGGCCACGTTTCTCGCACCCATAGGGATTGGAATTGCGCTTTTCATTGGACATATGCTCAGTAAGTCCCGCGGGTTCCAATTCTTAGCCGCGGCTAACTGTTCCGTCAAGGTATCTACTATACCGGCGCCGGAATCAATCCTGCTCGCGCTTTCGGTCCGGATGTGATCACACATAACTTTCCAGGATACCATTGGATTTACTGGGTCGGGCCGTTGCTGGGAGCTCTGGTGGCGGCATCATTCTTTTATCTTCTTCAAGCTCTCGAATGGGACACCGCGAACCCTGGTCAGGACTACGATGATCTCGAGGTCCAGATGATGATGCCTCATAAAAAGACGGCGAGACCAAACGTCGCGCATGCGCCTCCAAATACAGGGTACCATGTGGGAAGCACTTCGTCGGACAAGGAGGCATTGGCACAGAGGGCGAGCCATGGGACCCCTTCACCTTGAGCGAGATACTTGCTTGAAACCTGTTTCCTGGCAGGGCCCAATATAACTATACATATGCAGGCTGAAAATGCTTACACGGATGAAAAGCTTGTGTTGGTGCTGCTCGAGGAGAGATGGACTTTGTTCACGCTAGGCGAAGACCGTTGAGCACTTCCTCATATGTAGTGTAATGGATTTTGCGAGATTGAGCCCCGGATAGGCAAGAAGTTAACACTTCCCTTTGCTGTATGCTGTCAAGATCACCATGACTTGCGCAGAGATGTGGAAGCGTGGGTCTGAGCAAGTGTCCGCGGCTTCGGTAGCACGGCCCGTCCTGACCTGAACCGGGATCTCACAGACATTTGCTACCTCGGTCCTCGTCTGATTTGCTACACATGGAACGGTGCTGTCCATGCCAACAGAGAGAGCGCTTGTGGAAGCATTCGCATGCGTGGATCACGTCCAGACGTCGTTGGATGACAATGCTTGATAATTAGTAGGATAGCCTCTATCCCCTCCTCAACACCTTCATTCCAGCATCATCACCATGAGGCAACCCGGCAAGGCATCCTACCAGGACACTGTAACTCCGACTCGACCGCGGCTGTTCGTCGCACCATTACCCATTGGTGACCATGGCAGGAGAAAAATTGTCAGAGTTCTTGTCGCAAATCGCGGCGAGATAGCCTGCCGGATCATTGCAACATGTCGCAAACTCGACCTGACATCTATTGCCATATATGCTGAGGAAGATTCGACATCCCTTCATGTAGGAGAGGCCGACGAAGCAATAAACTTGGGAAGCATCAGTCAAGAGGCTGGTAACCCTTTCTTGAATGTCCAGCGGCTTGTCGAGGTTGCTCAATCAAGCAACGCAGACGCCGTTCACCCTGGTTATGGCTATCTTAGCGAAAACGAACAATTTGCAGACGCAGTTCGACAAGCTGGGATGATTTTCATTGGGCCTGGGTCTGAGGCCATGGCTACACTGGGTGATAAGCGGAATTCGAAAGATTATCTGAGGAAGCACGCCCCAGAGGTCCCATTAATACCCGGATTCACAGGCTCAGAACAGAATATTGACGACCTTCAAGCGGCTGCTGAGAAGGTTGGGTACCCTGTCATGCTAAAGGCGTCGGCTGGAGGCGGTGGCCGTGGAATGAGGATCGTTCGCGAAAAGTCTCATCTGGCGACTGAATTGGCTCGCGCACAATCCGAAGCCAAGCGATCATTTGGGTCGAGCGACTGTATCCTGGAGAAGTATATCGAGGCTGCGAAACATGTCGAGGTTCAGATCATCGGTGACGGCCACGGCAACGTTCTGTCACTATGGGAAAGAGAATGTTCAGTGCAACGGCGCCACCAGAAAATCATTGAGGAAACTCCATCGCCATTCCTGACCCCCGAACAGAGACGGAGAATGTGTGCAGTGGCAGTCCGGATTGGCAAACTTATCGGTTATGAAGGAGCAGGAACGGTCGAATTTGTCGTCGATGCGAAAACCGGGCATTTCTATTTCCTCGAGGTAAATACGCGGCTACAGGTCGAGCATCCCATTACCGAGGAGGTTACAGGGATGGACATTGTGGCAATGCAGCTGTTCGTTGCTGCTGGTGGACGGTTCAGTGATATCCCCTACCTACAACGAATACCACAGCATGGTCATGCGATCGAATGTCGATTATGTGCCGAGAACCCAGCCAACGATTTTCTGCCGGAGCACGGTACCATTCGGTTATGGCGAGAAGCACACCATCAGGCAGGATCAAGGGATGTCCGTTTCGAGACGGCGGTAACTACCGGATCAAAAGTGTCGATTTATTTTGACTCCATGATTGCGAAAATCGTCGTCTGGGCACCCACAAGAGCGATGGCGGTCACGAAGATGATCAAAGTGATGTCCAATACTGTCTGCGCTGGGGTGAGGACAAACCAGCTATTCCTTCAAGCATGTCTTGCACATGACAGCTTCCAAGATCCAGCATACACAACATCGCTGATCCCAAACAACCTAACTGCGCTGTTGAAGAACCCGCATTCGACAACCGCTCCTCGGATGGTCTCAATGCTCTCACTTGTGCCGGGGCTAGTTCTTCATCAACTTTCTGGTACCGCTAGTGCAAGCAAGCCGTTTGCTCATGTCCGTCAAGCATTTCGAAATCAATGCTTCGACTCTGTCAACGTCGACAGTCTCATTATCGTTCCGAATGATTCATCGTCTCACCAGCCTCCAATGTTGTCCATCTGGAGTCTGGTTAACGCCCGAGACAAGACGAAATACAAAGTCACCCTGATCCCGGTCTCCGAGCTTGAAGAACAATGTCAAGAGAGAGGCTCGACCGCCCTTGAAATGTCCCGTCGCTATCACTCCATCAGCCACAAGCTCAGAGACCAAACACTTGTGGATGCTCCTTCATACACCGTGTCTCTGACAAACTGGAAGCCGCTGGTCTCTACTGAGGGAAGTCTCAGCAGCATCAGCCCGTCGTGGAGAACAGCCATGGTCGGCGTTACAATTAACCAGTCCACCATCCACGCGTACATGGCAACCGATGCTGATATCAACGCCGCCAACTCTGCAGGCTCATGTCAATCTGTGCTATGCCACTTCCCGGCGCTAGGTACCTGGTTGGAGTACAAATGTTACAGTCTGTTGAACTACATGGAAAGTCTACGAGCCGAATTGGTTGCTTCCGGCACTGGGGCTGCGAGTGGGGTGTCTGCGAAGTCCATCAAGAGTCCCATGCCATGTAAAATCTTGTCCGTGCTGAAAAAGAATGGAGAAGAGGTTAAGAATGGTGAGACGGTCATGGTCATTGAGAGTATGAAGATGGAGACAAACATCATCGTCAATGCGGATGGGAAGTTTATGACGAGCGTCAAGCAGGGTGACGGTGTGGATGATGGCGTGGTTCTTTGCTGGGTGGAATGAATGAGGTTTCGATGTATGTATGTCTATATCAGGACGAGCTTTGTGGTTATAGAACATGCCATGATTAGAGCAACACTTATTCGAGCACCTTCAGGTATCGGCAAAGCGCCTACGTTCGGGGCGTTGATGTAGCCACGAAGCGAGTCCCTTGATTCGAGTAGGCCATCTGCAGCTTTTGGCTTCCTTTGGACGCGAATACTGAGTAAACTACGGATAGTCTACTCCAGATCTTTCTTCGACCAAGATTCACGAAGTAGCTTACTCTCTACTGTGGTGGCTTTGGGTGGAATGCTGGGCCTTTGTTTCCCCGGAGATCCGCACAACCGCGACCCGGCCCGTGACACGGCTTCGTTTCAGTGAGGCTGGACCCCAGGACATAAGCATGGATCTGCCAATCCAGTATTCCATGACCCTCGGCGGGTTGGATGACTGGAGTACCGCCATGCTCGGCTCCAGTTATGGTGCACCAGGCCTTTTGGGCCTCGGTTCAATGACGCTTGGTGAGTCCAGGCAAGCAGAGGCAAGCCCGGGGCAAGTAAACGGTTTTTGCGTAGCCGCCGTCACCGCGCTCGGATTTACCTTGCCCATGCCAAAAACGAGGGTCCATAATGAGGACAATCCGCAGTCAACTAGACATCACACTAGCAGACAGAAAACTGTACAGCATCTCCCAACCCTAGCATCCGACAACATTGTGTGACAAGATCATTCCACCACCGTGTCGAGACTCTAATATTCCCAACCATGTCCGCAAGCATTTCCACGGCACCCTACGCCGACCCTCCCTGGCTCTCTCGCGATATCAGCCCTTACTACAATGAAGGCCACCGCCGCCTGCAGCGCGAGGCTCGTGAGTACGTGTCTACGCACATCACGCCGTTCTGCGCCGAATGGGAGGCTCAAGGTTCCGTGCCGCAGCAAGTCATCCTCAACCACGCCAGGCTCGGGTACATGGCTGTCTCGGTGTACCCGCTTGCCGTGCAGCAGATCAGGACTCTGGGCCAACGACTTCCGGGCGACATCGACCCGGAGGACTGGGATGGATTTCATGATCTGATCGTCATCGACGAGGTCGCAAGATGCGGATATCTGGGCGTGATCTGGGCGTTGAGTTGTGGGAACTCGATCGGTGCGCCGCCCGTCATCAATTTCGGGTCCGATGAGCAGAAGGCGCGCTTTCTGCCGGACATGCTTGCTGGGCGGTCGCGATTCTGCTTGGGTGTCACCGAGCCCGATGGTGAGTGCCAGCAAAACCAAATGGCCCCCTTTTTGCCCCTTATGGCTGACGTTTGGATGTTCGGTGATTAGCTGGTTCCGATGTTGCAGGACTATTGACCACGGCCGAACGGCAAGGAGACAAATACATTGTCAATGGCAGCAAGAAATGGATCACGAACGGCATCTTTGCCGATTATTGTACGGCGGCAGTACGGACTGGAGGACCAGGCCGAAAGGGCATCTCTGCACTGATGGTTCCGATGAAGGCGAAAGGCGTTACGTGCAAGAAGATGGAAAATTCCGGCGTCAATGCCAGCGGGTCCACATATATCGAGTTTGACGACGTCGAGGTGCCCGTGTCGAATCTGCTGGGGCAAGAAAATCGAGGGTTCGATATCATCATGTCCAATTTCAACCATGAAAGACTGTGGCTCGCGTGCACATCCCTGCGCATGGCACGAGTCTGCGCCGAAGACTCCTACAGCCACGCGACCAAACGGGAAACGTTTGGAAAGCCGTTGATCTCAAATCAGGTCATAGCAGCCAAGATTGCCGGGTTTGCGCGCGATATCGAGCCCGTCCATGCGTATATGGAATCCCTGGTGTACATGGTAGAGCACGAAAGGAAACGCAAAGCACTGCTTCGCCAGGGAGGTGCCGTCATGGTAGGATCCGGCGTGGAAGAAGCTCAGCAGGTCGACCTCAACATCGGTGGGATGATCGCCACTCTGAAGACTAGTGCCGGCCGAGCATTGGAGCGTGTCAACCGTGAAGCTCAACAGATCATGGGCGGTGCAGGCTATCAGAGAGGTGGCAAAGGTGCCCGAATCGAGCAGATCAGCCGTGATGTGCGCGTTATGGTCGTTGGTGGAGGAAGTGATGAGATTCTCAGTGATCTTGCAGTCAAATTGGAGACAAAGGAGTTGCAGAGGATTGCGTCTGTAAGGTCAAGCAAGCTCTGAATGAACGACGTTGTGGTTACATGGCGGATCTCGTCAGAATATACTCGACTGTTCGCCGAGATCGTCTGGCCGTGGCAGAGGGTCGTTGCCCAGTGCTTGCGACAAGATTGCGCCCATATCTCCGCCCAGTACATGAGCATAATTCGGGAGGATCGTGGCTTGTCTATCGCAAGGAACACCGGGAGGACTTGCTGTAGTTGCATTCGTATAATATGCCGGATCGGATGGTTGCTGTACGATCTTGGGAAGCAGGTCCGCCAGAGAAGACGAGGGTGCACCGGAGGAGTTTGCTCGAGGAAGCCATGCGTAGTCAAGTAGATGCCAGAGAAACATTCCGTGAGGAACGGACGTTTTCTTCGATAAATTGACCGGGTTCACCAGCGCTTTGGCGATGTTGTCGTCGGGCACAAAGGATCGTAGGAGCGTTGCCTGGGATTGCATTAGTCCATCGTTCGCGACCGCCATATTCATAGCTTGTACCCACCATATGCCCAACATGGGCCCATCTCACCGGCTTGGCTTCCATAAGACGTTGAGCAGCTTGAGAATTTTCCTTGGAGGTTTTGGATGTACCAGCGTCTTCGTGGTGCTCAAAGAGTCGACTGATGACACCTGCAGCCATTCCGCAATATCCGTAAAAGCTTGGGTGTGCGAGGGGTCCGAATGAAGCTACCTCTTGAAGCAGGTTGAGCAATCCTGTAGCATGGTTGTGACACCTTTGGAGGGCTTCCTGGGCAAAGCTTAGTGGGACAGGTACTGTGTAAGTGTGGAAGAATCGATATAGGATGAATGGGTGATTCAGAAGGCAATGGTTGACGTGAAACAGGGCATGGGAGAAGATGAGGTGGCCGACTCTTGACTGTCTTAGCGATCCGTCGAGAGCCAGGTTCTGACGCAGCACCGATCCTGTGCTTCCAAAGGTACATGGGGAATGGCTCTCAAATTGTAGTAGGATTTTGTGGACGCCATAGTATTTCGATCGCGGATCCCAAAGAACATGGCCACCGACGAGCGCATGTTTCAAGCTGTACCGAATCAATCGACCAAGGGCAGAAGCCATCAGGATCGTCCAAGGGAACCAATCAAGATTCTGGAGATTGGAAAAGTTGTCATGGTCGATTATGGTGGTCAGAGTCGGAATGACACAGTCGGTAAGGCCGTCTCTGAACGAGTCCTCATGACAGGGAAGGCTGAGGGTACAGTCTTCGTCTAGGAATGAAGGCGGTCGATTCGGTCCGACCGACATCAACACGTCGAGAAGGTACAGAGACCAGAATGTCCGTCGACGTTCTTCTTGTTCATGGACCGGAAGTTGCGGGTCAGGTTCTTCATTCAACCTCAACGCCTGTGCGAAACGCACTGCAAGAGCCAATTTGACCCAGCCAAGCTTCGTACGGCCGGCTGCACTCATTTCAGAAAGTGATTAGGACCAACACTTCCAATCGACTTGGAATAAACCTACCAGCAAAATCTATCGTGGACAGCATACTTAATGCTTGAACCATAGCGACTTTGAGGCTGTCCGTGTGAGAGAAGAACTGCTCGGAGATCTGGCTCCAGGATGTTCTTGTGTAGGCATCGATGGCTTCATTTTGGCGGTCCCGGTAGAATTCATCGTCAGAGAACCGACAGGCTGTGGCCGCAAAAGCATACAACAAATACTCGGGCACTACATGAGCGTCGAAATCTTGACGAAACACTGCCTCGTGGAAATACGCGTAGGGTTGGTTGTGGCAGTAATCAAAATAGACATCGACCAGGCTGTGCAAAGTCTCGTCGTCGGGAAGAGAGTCAAAGTCGTTGCGTGGGGCCGCCGTGGAGGTGATGCCGTTGGCCGAGTCTGGCTGACCCGTGCCATTGCTATTGCCAATGCTCGGTACTTCTCGAACGCCAGGGCTCGTGGTGGTAAAGGGAGCGAAGAGGTCGAAAGGAATATCGGCGTCGAGGAAATTGAGGCGTGACTCTAGCAGAGCCACACGAGCGGCGAGATTTGCCTCTGCAGAGGAGGACACTCTTGCTGTTGGGGCATTCGCGTAAGAACTGGGCGAGGTGCTTCCGTCGTTCCAAGTGCAAGGTTGCTTGAGTCGAGCACAGAACGCGCACACAGGCTTCTCTCCTGAGCAGCGGGTTTTCTTTCTTCTGCAGTTGAGGCATGCTTGACGAGCCCTCTTTGCCTCGCGGCCCTCATCCATGGTACGTACAGTATCAATTCAATGAGATGGGGAGGATGAGAAATAAATCATCGAAGAGGCCGAGAGAAAGCGCCAAGGTCAGATGGGAAATGAAAGTCTAGGCATTGGGCCAGGCGAGCCGGATCATCATATTTCCGTCCAGGCGGCCCTACTAACCCATACCTAGGTACCTAGGTACCTAGGTGCCTACTGGTGCCCACTGGTGCCCATACTCAGTGCCATCCAGTGCCTATTAGCGCCTATCAGTTCCATTGCGGGGCGCCACGGGGGATCTCGTGGGGGAACCCCGTAGTGCACATCACTAACCACAAGTACCCGGGCACTGGTGGCTGCTTCTCAATCAATTGTCACTCCCTCCACCAGCATATCCAAAATGTACCTTACATATTTATTTCTTGCTACGCTAGAGACTAGACTTCGCTAGGCCAACTGCAGCTGGATCAGTCTTCGCCTAAAATCATATCCTTGCCAAAGCTCTGTGTCCGGCCGTGCCCTCCACGCCTGGTGTTTGCACAATCTCAAGACACATTCCCAGCACATCGCGGGTGTCCCGAGGATCGATGATACCGTCATCTATGAGGACGGCACTCGTCCTATAACAACTAGAGTCTCGTTCCACCTCATCTCGATGTCGCCGAGTTCGCTCTCGCACCTGCTCGGGATTCAGATCTATTCCTTTACTCTTTGCGCTGTTGGCCTCGACCTGTTCCATGACGCCGGAAAGCTGCTCAGCCCCCATCACACTGCACCGTCCAATCGGCCAGGTGAACATGAAGCGTGGTTTATACGTTCGTCCACACATGGCGTAGTTTCCAGCACCATAAGAAGCTCCGAGGATGATCGAAATGTGCGGTACTTTGGAACAGCTGACGGCTGACACGAACTGGGCTCCCTTCTTGATGATGCTGGCGTGCTCAACTTTGGATCCGACCATGAATCCCGTCACATTGTGAAGGAACAAGATTGGCGTATTCTCCTGGTTGCACATACGAACAAACTGTGCGCCTTTCATGGCCTCGTCAGGATTGATGATGGGCGTCTGGTTCGCCACGATTCCAAGAGGCATCCCTGTGCTTGTCAGCTAATACCCCAATTTCGCACACACTTGACACGACATACCCATAATCCGAGCCCAGCCCGTGAGCAAGCTACGTCCAAACTCTGGCTTGAAGATCGCTAGCCGCGAGTCGTCGACCAATCTCAAGACGACTTCCTTCATGTCAAACGGTTTCCGGATATCTGGATTGACCAAGGCAAATATGTCCTCGATCGGATATCGCGGAGCCAACACCGGATGCAACGCCTGCGTTATCCGACTACGTGGTGGTCTTAGCAATGCGACCCATTCGCGAGTTTTCCGAATTGCATCGAACTCATCAACAGCCACATGGTCAGCTAAGCCAGTAATGCTGCCGTGTACTCGAGCGCCACCGAGCTCCTCAGCGCCGATGGCCTCTCCTGTGGCCATCTTGACGAGAGGAGGACCGGCCAGGAAAACCTGAGCCTGATTCTCTACGAAGATCGTGTAGTCAGAAAGTGCAGGATGATACGCTCCTCCTGCGGTTGAGGATCCAAAAACCACGGCGCATGATGACTGTCCGTTCTGGGTGCGTACCGCGAGATCCCGGAAAATTTGGCCGCCTTTGTGAAAGACACGGAACTGTTGTGGCAAAAACACTCCCGCCGACTGCACAAGGGCAATTAATGGTAGGTCGTTCTCGTTGGCGATCTCCGTCACTCGATTCTGCTTGAGCACGGTCAATTCGTTCCAAGCACCGCCACTCTGAGTCGCGATGTGTGAGAGGATGAGACAGATCCTGCCGTTGATGCTGCCAATCCCTGCGAGAAGGCTGGCGCATGGGCTTGAATCTTCCAAACCAAACCCGGCGAACGAACCAAGTTCCAAAAACGAGGATCCCGGATCTAGCAGCAATGCTATCCTGTCTCGCGCCAGCAGTTGTCCCCTGTCTTCATGTCTGTTGATGGATTGCGTACTTCCTTGTGATGTCGTGCTTTTGAGGTTTACAGCGAACTCGTCCATGACCTGTGTCCAGGCATCTCGATTTAATTTGTACTGTGGTTGCTGGAGATCAAGCACAGAATCTACCACTGGGAAGGAATCTGGCAACGACATTGTGAAGGATTCAGTGGTATCGGTGGTGCATTCAACTCGACAGTAATGCACGACCGAGCTGTTCCAGCTTGCATTTTGACCACGACCACTAGCAAAAAGTACTGAGTGTTGGTTCTCACAGGATGCACCGAGGCAGAACCACACTCGACGCAAGATCGCCATTCCGGAGTGGTGAGGTCGAGGACGGGCCGGGCGCGGCGGGCGGTTTCGGAGGCCGCGAGCCTTGAAGGGGATGAACTCACCAACCAATCGTCGTGCATCGTCACGTCTTCGGCCTAGTCAGCAAGGCTTCTGCATATTACTGCTTCCCAGAGTACCTTTAGTGGTGCAAGCAATCTTGGTCTCGAGATTCTTGTCAGCCATAGCATATGGCAACATGTCTTCGCCGTCGACAAACACAACCAGAATCATGCAACATGCACAATCATCCTCACCATCACCATCCTTGGTCACGGGGCCACGAACACCAGAACTATGGAACTATACAATGGGTGAGCTCATCACCATGCAAGCCGCACAATTTGGCAATCATACCGCTACGATCTTCTCATGGCAACGGCAGAGGCTGTCTTACCAAGACCTTGCCCAACGGAGCGAAGAAGTTGCAAGGTCAATGTTGGCTAGCGGATTAAAGCATGGAGATTGTGTTGCAATCATGGCAGGCAATTGCTATCAATATATTGAGACGTTCCTAGCTGCTGCGCGGATAGGCTGTCCATTCGTCGTCCTCAACAACACCTACAGCCCAAAAGAGGTGGTGAATGCTCTTCAGGTGGTCCGTAAGTTGTACGACTAGCGCGCTGAGCACTGAGCTGATCATAGTCCTAGCTTGCAAGCTTCTCTTCATTGCTCAGAAGATCGGCACGAGGAGCCTGGCGCCACATATCGATGCATTGACTAAGAATACCACCAATATGCCTATTGTCTTGCTCTCGAGCGGCGTTGCTTCAGAGGCTTCGCATACAAATATGACCTCATACTCGACATTTGTGGCCGGGCGGCACTCTATCAGCAGAGCAACTTTGAACCAGGCCGAAAGTCAGGTACGGTGTGAGGACATTGTCAATCTACAATTTACTTCAGGTAAGCAGCGTCGTCGGCAACTCCCTGTGGCGGAGTTTGACAATGACAGGAACTACTGGGGCTCCCAAAGCAGCCATGTTGAGTCACAAGTGAGTATGCCTAACCTTCTGATATCTGGGAATGCACCTGTTGCTAACCATTGACAAAGGAACATTATCAATAACGGACGGTTTCTCGGCGACGCAATGAGACTCGTCCCATCTGACAGTGTTTGCTGTCCGCCTCCGCTCTTCCATTGCTTCGGGCTAGTGATGGGATTTCTGGGCTCAGTCACCCATGGAAGCACCATCGTGTTCCCGTGTGATCAGTTTGACGCCCACTTGGTCCTTGATGCCCTGCATGAGGAGAAGTGTACCGCATTATATGGCGTGCCGACGATGTTCATCGCCGAAATCGAGGCAAATCAGAAAAAGAAATACAAAATTACATCCGTTCGGACAGGTGTGGCAGCTGGATCATCGGTACCTGCCCCTGTAATGAAGCGCCTAGAGCAGGAATTTGGCGTCAAGAGGATGTTAATAGCTTACGGCATGACGGAAACCAGCCCTGTGACATTCATCACTTCGCTTGACGACTCGGAAGAACGACGAACCAAGACTGTCGGGCGAGTCTTGCCACACACTGCGGCGAAAGTGGTGGATAGGAATGGTAAAATTGTACCAAGAGGTGTTGCGGGTGAGCTGTGCACCAGTGGATATGCCCTGCAAAAGGGTTATTACAACAATCCAGAGAAGACTAACGAGGTCATGAGGAGGGATAATGAAGGCGTCTTGTGGATGCACACTGGAGATGAATGTGTCATTGACAATGATGGATACTGCATGGTCACTGGACGCATCAAAGACATCATTATCAGAGGTATGTTTCGTTCTCTTCTCAGTCTGATTTGGCGCTCGGTGCCTAACGGCAGCTTCTCAGGCGGCGAAAACATTTTCCCTCTCGAGATCGAAGAACGCATCCTTGAACACCCTGCTGTCGACGACGTGAGTGTCGTTGCCACCAAAGACGATCGATATGGTGAAGAAGTTGCCGCATTCTTAGCTATCAAGAAAGGAATAATCACCAGACCCAGTGCACTCGAGATTAACCAGTGGGTAAGAAAGACCTTGGGCTCACACAAAGCGCCAAAACATGTCTTCTGGATTGGCGATGAAGGTGTCGGGAACGATTTTCCGAAGACGGGCAGCGGGAAACACCAAAAACACATTCTGCGCTTGATTGGTAACCGGCTAGTAGCAAGGCAGAAGCCAAAAGCGAGACTGTAATGCGCTGAACGGGACATACAATAAGACAAAGAACAGCCTCTACCGAGCGAGGGCGAATGCTTACACTCTCTAACCTCGGAATATGCAAGTGTGAACGAGGCACGGCTCAGATCCGTCCCCACATCCACCGAGGACATCCCTGGCACGGCCAGCCTCGGGTCAACTTCACGTGCTACCACGGCTGCTTCCTAGTACCCCGGTACTCGGTGTGATTGAGCAGAAGCCCAGAACCCCATGCTCTCAAGCCGGCCGTTTAGCACAGTAAGCAGGCCTTGCCATAGGTATATACCCCGATGCTCTGCTCAGCAGCCGTTCATTACAAGCGGTGCTTACTGCCGCCGTTCTGACCTGCTTACTATCCAATGTCCTTTGAACAGAATGACACAAAGCACATTCACCTCCGAGGCAGTCCGCATCGTGGAAGTCGGGCCACGAGATGGTCTTCAGAATATCAAGAGCAGCATACCGACACAGAAAAAACTCGAATTGATATCGCGTCTAAGGGAAACTGGCCTCGACACTATCGAAATAACATCTATTGTCTCACCGCGCGCCACCCCACAACTGGCAGATTGTCAGGCGTTGTTGGGCGACCGACGCATTCAAGCGTTGATCAAGGATCACAGATTGAGACTACCCGTTTTGATACCGAACGTGAAGGGACTCGAGATTGCAACTCGGTGTGGAGTGAGGGAAGTCGCAGTGTTTGTGAGTGCAAGCGAAGGGTTTAGTAAAGCCAATATCAACGCGAGTGTCCGCCAAGGGCTGGATAGGGCGAGACAAGTGGCATCAAGAGCGGTCAATGACGGGCTTGCAGTCCGGGGATATATCTCGTGCATTTTTGCGGATCCATTCGATGGGCCGACACCACAAAAAGCCGTGCTAGATGTTGTCAAGGAGTTGCTCGATATGGGATGCTATGAGGTCAGCTTGGGCGACACCTTGGGAGTCGGCACCGCGTCGGATGTCCAGAGTTTGCTTGAGTTCCTGCAGCAGCATGGAGTACCAGTGTCGAAGCTCGCGGGCCATTTTCACGATACCTATGGACAAGCGGTGAGCAACGTGTGGCAGGCGTACATGTGCGGAGTTCGTGTCTTCGATAGCAGTGTCGGTGGTCTCGGAGGGTGTCCGTTTGCGCCTGGCGCCAAGGGGAATTCTGCCACAGAAGATTTGGTGTATCTTTTCAAGCAGGCTGGTATCCAGACGGGAGTCAATCTTCCCAAGCTCGTCGAGGTGGGGAATTGGATTTCAGCACAGCTCAGGAAACCGAACGGCAGTCGAGCTGGGATGGCGTTGGCGACGCGATTTGCCAGGCCTGTGGCCGTCAAAATTGATTTATCATCATCCGAAAAGAATGGAAAGCCTCGTCTTGCGTGGAATTTGTACAAAGAGACAGAAGATCTCCAGATTTATCGATCCGGAGTCAATCTCAAGGTTATTTTGCATCGGCCACAGTCAAGCAACACACTTACGACGTCAATGATTGCCGACTTGACGCAGATCTTCGAGGAGGCAAAGATTGATGCGACAATCACGCGAATAGCGATAACAGGGTCTGGAAAGTATTTCTGTGCTGGGATGGACTTGGGCAAAGGGTCATCCCCAGTTGCTCAGTCGAAGGCCGCAAGTGATGCACAGTACGAGCGACTGCACCGACTTTTTGAAACTATTGACAATGCACCACAAGTGACCATTGCATGCATCAATGGTCCTGCATTCGGTGGAGGTGTCGGCTTAGCATTTGCATGCGATATCAGGATCGCTGCCAAGTCGGCGACCGTCACGCTCAGCGAGGTGAAGCTCGGTTTATGCCCGGCGACGATTTCAAAATATGTTGTTCGAGAATGGGGCCTCGCCTTCGCGAGAGAAGCAATGCTTTCGGCACGTCCAATATCTGTCACGGAGCTGAAGTCCCTCGGTCTGTTAGCACGAGTCGTGGATGAGCCTGGGCTTCTATCTGACGAGCTTGACTTATACCTTGGACAATTAAAGATCGCAGGCCCCCAAGCGTCGCAAATGAGCAAAGAGCTGGTGAGGCTTGGGTGGGCACATGCTGGAGGCAACGCTCAGGAAGCGGGTATCAAAGGGCTGTTTGACCGCATGATGCGCCCGGATAATGAGGCTGCAGTCGGATTGAAAGCCTTTCAAGCTGCGAAAAAGGCTTTGGATTGGGATCAGATAGTGTTGTCTCGGTCAGTTTCTAGGGCAAAGCTCTAACTGAGAAGCCTAATAACCAAATACTGTGTGTTGGGGACCCCATTCCAATGAGCTTGCGGTCATTGTCCTCATTTGTGTTGCAGTGTTTGCGGTCTCCAGCCTCGTCTGTGAGGTCACCTGGGCTATCATCTGAAGCCTCACTAGCCGTGTCTGCTGATACGATTACAATGTCTACATTCCTTCAGAACCCCACGAAGAGTCCAATGCGCACTCAAGCCTCCTTTTGAGCAACTTGAATCAACTCAACGACTTCCAGATGAGGCCGGCAACCATTTTCGTTTAGAGCCAACGACAATCTCGGAGCAAGAGCAAGAGCGCCCCAGCCTTAGAATGTGCCGGTCTTCTCGTACTGCGGGAAGACATTCGCTTTGGCCTCTGCGTATTCCTTCATGATGGTTTCCCGCTTGGCTCTTGACCTCACGGTGAGCTTGCAAGGGAATTCGTATGCACAAGCAGTGAGACCTTCTCGGTAGCCGGTGACGACGTTGGTATCAGGGATAATAGGCTTGCCAGTCTTTGGGTCCGTGGCCTTTTCAATATCAAAAGCCCAAAGGATTTTGGAGATTGCGTGGAAGAGGTTACGGTCTGCAAGATGAATACCTGGGCACAGCCGGCGACCATTGCCTGGTCATTCTGTTAGTGAAAGAAGATCATTTCGAGTACGAGTCGCTTACCATAACCATAATGATCTCGATTCTCGTAGTCGGCGGAATTGGCATACTCGGATGCCAGCAGCGTGCGGCCTTTGTAATGATCAGGGTCGAAGACATCGTGGTCAGGGAATTTGGATTCATCGTGGTGCAGTCCCCATACGTTCAGGAAAATTGCTGTGCCTTTGGGCAAGAATTTGCCTTCAATCCATTCGTCTAGGCATGAAATCAGATTCAGTCCAACGTAGGGATAAGGGAGGCGATTCACCTTCGGAAAGAGCATGGGGAACCGAGAGAGGAGCCACAGGCCTCCATCTGTGACTCTCCTTGACGATAGCCGCAACATACGGTAGCTTCTCATAATCTGACCAGTTTGGAACCCGATCATCGCCAATCACGGCATCTATCTCAGCCTGCGCTTTCTTTGCCACGTCGGGCCACGTCACCATAGCCTGCATGAAGGACGAAAGCACCGAAGCTGAGGTGTCTGATCCTCCTTTGATCGTGACGCCGGACAGTAAAGTAATCTGGTGGGTAGTCAAGCCTGATTTCTCTTGTTGATCAAGGAGCCGGTCTATGACTGTGTCCATGGAGCCCATTGTTTCTCGTCTCTTGAGGACGGTTTCTCGTAAATGATTATAGAGTGCGTGCATTTCGTCATGGACCACTGTGGCTCGGGTGACCCAATTCCCTAGGAATCGTTCTGGGATGAGTTTCAAGAAGGGGAAAATATCAACTGGGGGAGTGGCGCCAAACTCGTTGATTCTAGCCCATTTCTCCAGCAGCTCGTTAAGCCTCTTGATGTACGGAGCATCGATGGACGGGGAGCGGATGCCGTAGACTGATGAGGGTGTCAATCCTGCCCTGTAAGGAAGACCTTTCTTCTCAGAAACTCACCTATAGTGGTAATGATGCTGTTGCTGAATCGCTTCAGATGTCGCATCCATTCATCTGGAGACTGCAGCATATCATGTAACATTTGCACAGACTCCGCCTGCTGGATCTTGTAATGATCTCTGTTGCACATGGCTTCTGTGAGATCTTGATGGATCAACTTTCTCATCAATCGCCATGCTGGTGTATTGTTCATCCATAGGAGGTGATCGCCTTCGGTGATAATCCTTTGGCTCACTTCGCTGGCCGGACGCTCGCTGGAAATGGCGCTCCTCTTATCCAGAAGTTGTTTGATGATTCGACGGTCGGACAAAACCACTGCTGTGCCCGGTCCAAGTTTGAGGCTGTACATTCCTCCATATTTTTTGGCCCACTCGGTGAATCTGTAGAGATTAGCACGGCGTCTTTCGTTTTCGCACTTTCAAACATGACTCACTGAAGGTATACTTTCTGCTTGGGAAGTTGATGCAAGTTTCCTATCACCGGTAACGTGGGAGGTCCTGAGACGACTCGTTAGACATGAGGGACGTCTCTTGTCGCAAACCGGACTTACCATCTGGAAAATTGCGGCCTCTCCTCCCAACATAGAGCAAGACATATAGCAAGAAGCCTGCGGCAAGAACGGCGCTAGCTTGGAAAACATGTAGAGCCATGATGCGAGATGATTGCAGGGAATGTTCGATGCAGTCGTCTCAAGAAGATGGCTTCGTCTCAAGAAGATGGCTTCGTCTCAAGAAGATGGCTTCGTCTCAATTGCCCGGCTTGAGGGTGATATATTTTGACACGGTCAACTTCAACCACACGACGCAAAACCCCAGACCCCAGCCGATCCCCTTCAGCTTAGAAAGCAGGATTCCCAGAGTCGTGGTTTGGCAGCAACCAATATGGAGCCGTAGGACTATCTTGCCATCACCCCTCAGTTGAGCACTTGGGCATACCAGTCCAACCGTCGCCGTGATAGAGGATTCACACCAGTCGGATTGGATATCGAGACACCAGGCACAACCAGGGTTCTCCATAGCTGGGGGTGCATTTCTCCGCCGTTACCTTCTTCCCCACCATGCCCAGATCCCGGTACCCCAAGCGGGTGAATGGCCGAGGCAAGTGGGCGAATCAGACATCCTTCGATGATCAGCATGCCAGCTCGTCGGGACCGACAAGTCTTGGGAACGAGAAATCTCTTAGCTCTATGTCTTCTGGGAAATTTCTACGTTGACAACAGCCATCGTAGCTTACTGCTAAGGTACTATTGGTGATTTTTGCTTCGACGCCTCGGTTTCTCTGCTGAATGCTTTTGGCTCAATCATTGCCGCTTGGAGGAATCTCTCCTTCACTGCGGCCCAAGTACTCTTTCAAAGGCTCTCCTCTGACTTCAACCGGCTGGGAATCTTGCAAGACGTACGCCACCCTCGTCCACTCAGTCTTGCTTGGGTTCCTCCATGCATGGTTTGTGCCTCGCTGAATGCAGACATCTCCCCGTTGCAAAAGCTGCTTTTCGCCCGAGTCTAGAATCAACTCTATAGATCCCTCAACCACAATGCCATAATCCAAGCTGCGAGTTCGATGCATCATGGACTCGAATTGGGGAGCGAAATCGACAAAACGCAGCACGGTGCCGCCGGGGTTGACAATGCCCATCTGCCCAGATCCCAGTCTCTGATCATGCTTGATTATGTCGATATCCCCGTTCATTGACACTGGAAACTCGGAAGTCGTATAAGGGACGTTGAAAGTCATGCCACCACTGTCGATAGATTGCCATTTTGCTGGTCGTCTCTCCTGAATCTTGGTGTCGCCGCTGGTGGGATCATGGCCGGTGATGTACGCCGTCAATCCAGGTAAGTTCTTGGCCAGTTGGCCTTCCGTAGGAGGGCGTGAAGTCATTCTGTGGCAGGAAAAGCAATGGTCGTATACTAGAGTACCCTATCTTGAAGGACCTGTCCCTGACATTTTATGATACCCTTGCGCCTGTCGCTAATAGCTCCGATGCACACCCCCAGCCGGAACGTGGAATGAAATACAACCGGACCGCAGAGAGAGTGGAGAAAACCAACGGCACCCCATGCCAGATCCGCAGTGATTCCCAGCAACCTTTGATGTTCTGGCAATGGTGAACACCGCCACCAATCGCTGATCGAGATGGGACGACAGTGTTCCCGCTGAGATTAGAATATCTAAATATTAATCGCTTGATTTGGACTGCCCACCACGGTACAATTTGCCAACGTTGGTCTATCCTGCTATTCTGGCACTATGGGTAAGCCTACGCATCCAACAACATCTTCTGAGCCCTAACCACTTTCCAGGTCTCACACCTGTACACTTTTTCTCTCATGGCTCCACTCGTATGTTGGAGGCTGAGACTGAATCTGGAGAGTATTGGGAGAAATGTGGTCAAGAAGCACTTGCCCATGGTGTCAAAGGAATAATTCTAATGGTAAGCCTGACGCTCCTCGAGTATCGTATGCATCACTTGCTAAGCACTTTGTCCTAGGGTGCGCATTGGGTAGGATCTGACGCTCTTTTCCATGAACACCACTTAATTCACTGTTGCAGGCTTGCGTTGGAGACAAGATTGAAGTCGCCACGAACCCAAACCCAGGCAAAAGCTTTTGTCCCTTCGTCACCCCGTCTTTGTACAACGACTGGAAGCCAAATCCCGACATTGCTGGTGCCGAAAGATGTATCTCTATGCTCGCTGCCGAAGGGTTCAATGTTGGACCCAATCCAGACTTTGAATGGATACACGATACATTTATGGTCTTGATCAGAATGTTCCCAGACGCCACGAAATGCCCACCGACCACCATTGTCTCCATGAACGCACGATATGACCCATGGTATCATGTCAAGGTTGGTGCAACTCTTCGTTCTCTACGAAAGGAAGGCTATTTGCTGGTGGGTACCGGCGGTGCAGTGCACAACCTTTACCGAAACTACTGGACGGATATGCTCCTCTACCGCGAGTCCTTGGGTCAGGAGAAGCCCCCGGAGGCATGGGCTCTCAACTTTCGGCAGGCAACCGAAGATGTCATCACGAAGAACCGAGGTCCAGCATTGAGAAAGGCTATGATAAGGTTGATGCAGCACCCGGCATATCGTGAGGCTCAAGCCACGGATGATCATTGGATGCCTGCATTGTTTGCCGCTGGGGCTGCTGGAGATTTCGAAGACGAAAGCGAACCCAACGTTCTTGCTGCTGAGACGTGGGAGTTGAGAAACATGTGCAATTCACAATTCACCTTCGGATCCTATACCACGGATTCTGATGGGAAGGGCTTTACGAGGGAAGGCGAGAAGATACCGCGCCCAAGGATGGTCACAGCCGCCGCCTGAGCGTCAATGGGTCAGAGGTCAGGAGGCAAACTCCTGGAAGTGTTGGACTATGCAGAATTCAATTGAAGATATAAGAAACACCTTCAAATGTTCTTCAGGTATTGGTCAGAAAATGAATGAGTTACTACGCGTCAAATGCCCAATAGCAATTCGGGGTGTAACTATTGTCGACGGCTATCCATCTTGCTGCCTATTTCACCATGGTCCTATAGGGAATCGTTCTCACCGTTTCCTCAAAACTCGAAACAAAATATAGGCGCTGCCTGCCAGCACTGAGACAGCCGTACCGCCAATAACCATCAACGCTTGATCAAAGAAGCCAGTCGCTCTTCCATCTGCTTGTTTTATGGCTGGAAGAGGAGGCTCCATGGTCGCCCGAGCCCAAGATTCGAGCGATTTCGTCGATCTCGAACGAATTATTTCACGACAGATCTCGGTCAGATTTGACGCTTGAGCAAGCCGCGGTCGTGGAGAGCGGAACAAGGTAGAAGGATATCGGGGTGATGGACTCGGCGCTATGGTTGGATGCTTTGGGGCAAATGGGCCAACTATGAAGTGTAAGCATGTCAAAACTACCACGGTAGCAAGACTTTCACTTACTGAGCAGTTCGGTTGGGATATGATTTACGCAGGAGATGCGTGCATCAATGAACCTAGCCAGGTAATTCGCCTCAGTCGGTGCAGCAAAGGCATATGATGCCTCGAGAGGCGTTCCAAAGCTATTATCGGGTTAGATGTTGGACTGCATATGAGCCTTTGAGTGGTTTACCCATTGCACAGATCGATAGCGTCATCAAGACTAGTGATTCGACAGACCATGATGACTCGACCTGCAATCCTGCGTCCCAAGGCAACTTTTGTCCTATAATGACGCTCAGTCAGCGCCCTGATCAGTAGAATTGAATCTTTGCTTACCTGTCCCTGACTTCGACAATGCTTCCGTTTGCTCCTGACATGATGATTCTTAGCCCTTCGGTGTTCTCGACTTCTTTCATTGTTGGTGATTGGGGATCGGGTTGCGTTTTAGACCGAGCTTGAGAAGCTGTAGGACTCGTTGTCGACATTGGTGAAGTAATAGCTTGGACGAGATGGAATAAGAAGTCGTCTGCTACAAACTCGTTGACGAGTACAATGTCTGGGGCGTAAGCAGACCGGCCATTGAATGATACTCGAGAGGTGCTGACTACTGATGCGGCTTCAGACACATTCGCAGTTCTGTCAACGACTGCCACTACCTTTGCTGAGAGCTGAGAAGGACTGCTTGTCGCTTGGTCTTCATCGGTCTGCGCAAGAACACGGCATTTCGACAGGAATGTTTCTGATGGTCTTGTGCTGCTGATCGTAAAGACGTCCGCGTCCAATGCAGAGGGAAGGATTTTGCGCAACAATCCAGAGACTTGAGTCAGAGTCGGAGGTAGCTGGAACAGACGACGTTAGAATGGTGCTGATAGCATGCGTGTTGCTGGCTGGACCAACCTCGACAATTACACAGTTTCCTGCTGCCAAAGCCGCCGTGAGTGCCGATATGACAGAGTAGTAGAGGTTTTGCTTTGCAGGAATCACGTAAATGATTCCTATGTTTGTAGTGGCGTTTAGATTCTCCAGCGACCGCTGCTCCTTCAGTTCCTCCTCGAGATTCAGCGTGTCGTAATGTGTACGCAACTCCGAGAGGGCCAGAGCTAGTTCAAGCGCGACTTCTGCTTCGCCATTGCCACTGTCCGCGGCTATAGCCTCTCTTAGAGCTGAAGCTGACGACTTGAGAGCGTTGTAGAGAGAGTGAAATAGCTTTTGGCGAAACCGGACCGACTGAGCCCTGCCTTCGAGGCAGGATATTTCTATCCGGCAATATGCACCGCTAGACATCTTCTACGAAAAGTCAAAGAATCAAGCTGCTGTGATGCACGCAATGAATGCCTCACATTGTATTTTTGATAATCTTCAACTCTCACGGAAACATATCATCGAGCTCTGGAACGCGGCTTAAGCTCCAGGCTCTCTAGGCTTGCTCGGAAGGGGTTCCGCACTTGAGAGAACCGCAAATGGGGTACGGGGATTGCCACTAGAAAGGGGTAGGTCACGCCCAAGAGACACTGAAAAAGTCAACCCCAATCGTTCCCGTTCAGTGATCAACCATCCCCTATAGTCAGCCCACGAGAGTCCCTGTGACATGATACCGAAGCCGAAGCGGAACTGGACCAAAATTGCGGGAGAGGCTGCGCCGTTCTTCCCTCTGGTCGTTGAAGTTTCCTTGTATTGCATCTTTGACACCTTTTCCCTTCATAGCATAGCAAGCGAGCAATGGCCAGGACCGAGACTGTGTTGGAGCCTACCACTCTCCGCGAAACCCTCCGTGTCTACAATGTGCATGAAAGTGGACAGGAAGAAACGACAGACACAGATACAAATCAACAAAATGCCCCCGTGCAATCTACGACACATTCGAATCCAAACTGGCCAGCAGACTGGCGGCGGATGCCTCCATACCGCGAGTCGAGTCGAACGCATCGAGTATCCGATCGAGTTCCATCGGAAGATGCCGTCGAGAGTGCTGTAGTTGTCACAATGTTCAGTGGCGTCTGGCTGTTGGGAGTGAGAAAAAACCCAATACTTAGATGGTCCAGACAAAAGCTGACCGCTGTTGTAGAATCTAAATCGTTTATGGCGTGCGACGACGGGGAGATGGAACGATCAGATTATGAGATACCAAGTTGGAGGTGAATGGTAGTTCGGCTGCAAGCGTCCAGAAGTAATAAGGCTGAGGCGACTAGTATGCACGCAGCCGTTAGTGGTGCAAAGACCAAGCACTGCAACGATGTATCATTTTCGTGAAGCAGATTTACATATCTAGAGAGCCTTTGAACAAGCATCACTAGGGTCGTCCCCAGCATCATGCTGCGGACTTTTTCGCAGGAACGAGAGGCATCATAAGCCAGTTCTCATGATCCTTGCCAAAGTGGATATGATTCGTCCCACCAAAAGTCGCTTCGTTTCGATCCTCCTTGGAATTGTGCTCAAATAATCCTGCACCTTGTGTGTCGCCCGATGAGACCTCGAAGACCAATTTGTCTCCTGGTGAGATCACTACATTGGTGGGCCAAATCTCCACGTTCACAGGGTAGACCTCACCAGGAACCAGTGGCGAATGGTCGGTTGATCGATACTCACGGTGAGGATGCCAGGCATGGTGTCTCGGGCTATTCTCATTGACTTTCCGTAAACTGACACGAAGCCAACCCTTTGTGACCGGAACAGGATCACCAACAGTGCCGGTGTACAGGATTTCCTTTCCTTCGGCGTTCAAATGTCTGACGGTCAAGAACAAGTCGATGTCACTTGGTTTCGTTGCAGAGCCTTCCTCAGCAGTGACTGAAACGTTCAAGTGCGCCACAACATGACCTGTGAACTCGGTCTCTGCTTTAAACGGTTCGCTGGTGAATTGAACAAGTTGTTGGTTCTTCAGATCACCCAGTGCTTTGTACGAGAGCTTTCCGTCTTTCTCACTAGGCGATTCTGCCAAGCCGTGGTCCGGAGTGAGATAGTATCTGGTATATTTCGTGCCAGGGATGGGCCATGCCTCTTCATATCGAGTCGGGTAGGCTGCTTCGGCAGCTGCATCATTGAATCCGACATCACCGACCCGGATCTTGTATCCCACCTTGGGCTGCTCATCTCGAGACCATCCTAGAGGGTCATTGCCTTTGAGGAAAGCATCAAGGAAGCTCCGTTGCAGATCCACGCACTCCTTGGTGTAGAAGGGTAGATCGTGTCGTCCCGTGACAAATCGTAGATATTTATGCCGAGATCCTGCATTCATGAAGCCTTCCACATTGCCGCGGAGGTGCAGCAAGATGCCTCCCCAGTTTCCGACAGACAGAAGAGGTACTTCGATGTCTGACATATCGTAGTCCTTCGTAGCATAATAGTCTTCATCGAGAAAATGGTTCTTGACGTTGTCGACGTTCTGGTCATGACAGTTTGCGCGGAGTTCTTCTTCATCCAAATTCCCCTCGATTGTGTCTGGACCCCATTTGCGTGCAGCTCTTCCTGGTCGACCATATTGATTGACAATGACCTAGGAAGGGTCATAAGTAAAGTTGCCGAGGGTGCAGCGTCACACGTACCTGACGATTCCACCAAAAGTCTATGAAAGTGTTCGACAAGATTCCGCCATGTCTGCAACGATCGCGATAGTAATCACTCATGCCTTCCCATGGGACGATGCATGCTAGGCCTTTAGGGCGACGTGCCGCCACTCGCCACTGACTGCCAGCATAGTAACTAATTCCAAGCAAGCCGACCTTTCCAGATGACCACGGCTGAGAAGCAGCCCATTCGATAACGTCCTTGAAGGCAAGGCTGGTATCTCTGGACATGGTGTTGAGCACACCTGGCGACTGACCGAGACCAACCTCATCAGCTCGAACAATGGCGTACTGATGACGTGTCCAATAACCAGGGTCGGGGGTTTCCCAGGCTGAGTGAGGCGAGTGATGCTCCTCTGGCACTTCTGCAAATGAAGCAGCATGAAACCTGCAGTCGGCTGTGAGTACCGGACTGTAAGCTGGGGGTACCACAACCTACACCGAGTAGTGAATATCTTTGCCATAAGGACCGTATGTCACAAGCACTGGGAATTTGGCGTCTTCAGAACCTTTAGGCCGAAATACATTGCACCGCACAATGCCACGCCCTTCGTTCAGGGGGATGGTGGCATTCTCCTCATAAATATATTCGAAGGAGGTTGTGTCGACCTTGTGAAGATCATCTCGCAATTTGTTGGGCATTTTTGCGGCTGAGGTTGTGAGGTGTTTGAAATTCTGGACCTTGCACGGCGAAGAACGTCGTTGCACAACAATTTGTGAGAGCCCATTAAGTGCTCGTATGCGGAAAGATGTTCTCGAAACTCCGATCGATCTCGGGACGAAAAATGATTGGGTCAGCACGAAGGTGGTGCAATCAACTCGACTTCCGGAACCCCAACTGCTTCGTGCCGGACTACCGCCCCAGTCATTCCGCAGGCCTTCCTCCGGGGATGTCAAGGCCTAGTGCGAGGGCCCACACCAGTTCAGATCGTCAGCAGTAGGCCTCAGTTACGCTGATGGAGGCTGTAATGTCCACTGAAATGGTTGAAGAATCCTGCATGCAATGTTTTGAGTATATCCAGCATTGCACGTCAATGCTTCGGAGTATATTTTGTCCTATTTGATCTCGTTTAGTACGCGAGCTAGAAGCTGAGCAATGTGGACTTTATGTAAAGACAAGATCCTTTCACCTCTTGCGATGGGAGCTTGAACGGATGCCGGATGTGCACCACCTCTTTCCTCGATCACTGCACCACACCAAAGGACGAGTGTAGCGTAGTATATTGCATAAGGCACATGAGGTGCTTCATGTGGTAATCTTCGAGGTTCCGAGGTGGAAAATGAAGACCGGGATTGGGGCTGTTGTGAGCCTTGCTGGTCGGTCTTGGCTGTAGCGGTGAAAGCTCCTTCAACCGACACAATCATCTGTTCGGCATGCCAACGTGCAATCTTGTAGTGTCGATCCTGGGTCCATGCGTGTACCTCCCGTGCCGCAAGGCTCTTTTTCGGATCTCGTGCTGCCGAGCCTGGAGGAGAATGAGCAAAACTTTGCAGCACAGTGAGGTTGGCATGAAGCATGATGTTCATCATATGGTAAACTGCAAGACATGAAAAATTCAGACCTTCGCCTTGCGATCGAAGCCAAGTACTGCAGGCTAGCTCTGGGAAGTCCGGCTTCCAGAGAGACAGACTTTCCACAGACACATTGTCTGCGCCATATCTATTCTGACGTGGATACATCGCCGGCCATAAGTGAGAGGTCAAGGACGCTAGACTTGCAAGGCTGAAATCGTTGCCAGCGACTGGTGCACCTGTGAAACCACCATCGGTGAGACCAAGCACTTGCTGATATAGCTGAGCGACCTGGCTGCTAGGGGAAGACGTTTGGCTCAATGCGTGGACATGCTGCCAGGATAAAGAAGGCGGGCGTTGCATGACGATGGCCCGATAGCAGTCGAGGATATATAAGGCTTCAAGTAGTCTTCAATCTTTTGTTAGCATGATGATTGCGTTTTGCGTGTCATTCTTACCGAGTGCTATCGATGTCTTTTCTGCTTCTTGATGCGGATTTCTCGCATGCCTGGCTGTACTCTTGGACGGCCTGATGGGCAGTCAGCTATATGTGAGGTGCAAGCGCTTGGAGCATGAACGTACGTGAATCAGATTTCCGTGGAAGGCTTCGACGAATTCGTAGCTCCTTTTGTCGCCGCTGCAAAGACCGTACAGTTCTAGGAGGATGAACTAAGCACTGTTAGCAGGTGCAATGTGCAGATAATGATCGCTTGTACCGTCTTGACTGTAGCAAGCTTGTCCTCTGGAGTCGTAGATAAATCATCCAAGGTATTTCTGACGCTGAAGGATGCCAACAATAATCTTCGCGCATCATTGTACATGGATTTCGCAACTTCGGCACTTCCAGGCACTGTACAGAATAATCCTCCTGTGGCCGCCACTGCCAAAGTATATTCTGCCCGATTCTTCCTACTCACGGCTGGGTCCTTGAACAGCGAAAACGTCTCCGGTATGTGCCTTCGGAATATATTGAGGAACACTCTCACAATGTCCTTGTTGTGGTCGTCCAAATTCGGAGGGGCTGAGTACCACATCTTGCTGGCTTTGTTGAGTGAAGGTGAAGGTGCTCGCGATTTCCTGTCAAAGTATTCTTGCATGGTGGCGGTGAGACTCTGCATGGAGGACGATAGTACATGATCCAGAAGAGGCGAGTTTGAATCAAAGAAATTATCGCTCCAAGCAAAATCGGACCCATCGAACCAGAATTGACTGTTCTGTGCCCATTGAGCCAAGTATGCAGGGGTTGAGGGAGGTACGTACCATAGTAGGCATTTGCCAGAAATCATTCAAGCCATCGGGGTCCGGTACTGGGTACAGGAGATCATCGGGTTGAAGAGAGATACTAGTATTGTGCTCGTTGCCGATAACAGTGCCGTACATTGGCATTCCTGTTTGGTCTGGAAACGATAACGGCATTGGATTTTGATAAGTTTGAAGTCCTTCCATGCCCTCATCAAAAGATGGTTGGTTTTCCAGCGCCGGGTGTTGGGTCATGAATGAGAGCGAGCGGGAACGTTGACTCTCGGCAGCAGTCGTGTCGAATCCGTTGGATATGAACATTTGGGCCTCTTCATTGTTGAGTTCGACTTGTGATGAAATGCTCGGCGTGGTGGAAGGTGCCGTTGATACCGTGTAGTGGCAATCCGAGGTGGCTGATCGACATGGAGCACATGGTTCATTCCCATCGCAACGCATTTTTCGTTTCCGGCAGCCGTCGCATGCGATTCGAACTCGCTTGCGCGCAGAGCCCTCCCGGCCGACATCCCCGTTGGCATGATCTGATGGAGCCGCGTGGCACTTTTTAACGTGGACAGCTTTAACGTCAGATCGCTGGAAGGACCTGCGGCAATAAGGGCAAGTGAACGGCTTCTCCTTGGTATCTAGAGCAGACTGGTGTCAAAACAGCATCTCAAGAAGATATGAAACACTCTTACGAGTTCGTCGATGTCTTGCCAAATGTTCAGATCTTGCGAAGCACCGAGAGCAGATATCACACTGTTCTTGTGGTTAGCTTGATGCTGAGGATGAATCGACCTGGAAAGCAGGTTGGGACATGATGCCTGTGTCAGGCCACCGAAAAACAAAGGAGGTCAAACTAACCTTCTTGTCCTGACGCAGCTCAGGAGATGTATGATCGATATCGGCCATCAGGAGAGTTGGACGACGTGATTCTGGAGTTCCATCCAGGGGGAAAGAGTGTGGAGAGGAATGAGAAGCTGGGGAACCGCGAAATCCGGAGGGTTCGCTAAGATTAAATTTACAGTTGTTTGAGGCTTGAAAACAGCCAACGGGCTAGTCCTGATATGGATGACTTCAGGAGGTAATCACTCCTACCGAGGCTTCTAGTGGTTGGCTCACTAAAGCAGCCACCAGAGTTCACCATATTCGGCTAGATACGGAGACTGAGAATAAAGCCACGTGACTGTCTTGGCGCATCAAGTGCCTCATCAGCTTGTACTTTCTGCAGGTCCCTTTGTGACGACACGAACGCACCTCTCTTACCATTTAGACAGACGGATAACATGCAGCACATTTCGGTGGTTGAACAAGCGAGGCTGGATCCCACCACCAGGATGTCAAGCTCGCGACAATGGCCTGGCGAACGTCACCCCACGCGGTGGGATGTTCACGATGCAAATGAAAGTCCGGCCGTCACATTTCTTGATCGGTTTCGAGCCGCGCTACTTCACAGTGAAGGCGCCGAAGAGGATTGCCTGCTGGACTCAGACTCCGTTATTGACAGCTCAGAGAATATGAATACGGTAAGCTTGATGAATTGGTCAATGTGCCTTGTGCCTAACCAACAGCTCGACAGTCTGTCAGATCGTATACTTATCCAATGGCATTGTTATCTGATGTTCCAGCGACTCCTTCGGAAGAACAGCTGGAACGCCTCCAAGCAGCATTTTTCAATTCATTCAAGCAACATATATTCATGAATGCTATCGACGTCGTTGGCTCTCCTTCGGATTCACTGCCCCCATACCTTCAATTTGCCCTTGCCTGCGTTGGCTCAATGACGTCTCCCGAAGATGCCTGTGTCTTTACTACGCCAAATGGGACTGTTGAAATCGATGTTGCAGCCCATTTATTCGTGGCTGGCGTCAATCTGTGGTCTGTCATGCTAGAGGTCGACAATCGGGAAACTCGTCTGCTCGAAGCTGTCGTTGCGGTGAGGATTGATCAGTCCAGGACTTCAAGCGTGACTGACGACTAACCTACTGCCAGGCGGTGCTATTGGTGACTTACGGCGTTCTATCGGCTGACAGAAATGTCTGGAGAAAATCAAGCGGCGTACTATGCAATATTGTCACTGTGAGTACTTGTGAGTTGATACTGGCGTAATGATGACTGACGGGCTAGATATCACGGCGTCTACATTTGACCGATGGATATTCGCCTATCTACACCTCCGGTGAACTTCCAGAAAAAGACTTTAGTATGAAGAGGTAGGTCCCCGGTACGTCTGGTATTTTTCGCAAACTGATCAGATCGTATAGCTCTCTCATCAGCTTTATGCTACTGACCGACATCATGCAAGCTGTACATTGTGGCTTGACGCCAAACTATTCGACAAGCGAACTTTTCATCAAGATGCCTTCATCGAATCACCAATTCCGGACTATATACAACTCACTAACCCACGGTTATACAGTTCCGCCAGATGTCAAGAGTCGGGAGGATGCACTTTTGATCCTTACTGCTTTGCTAGGAGATATCATCTACATGCAACGATGTCACCTTTCAATTCCACTCCAGTCTGATCACCACTCCTTAGCACTTCGGAACCCTTACACACCCCTGTCTTCAACATCTGAAACTTCGCGATTAACCGCGGATATGATGGCTGCACTTGCTAGATGGGAGCAGCATTTTCAACAGCAAGGCGACAACGATATTCGCGCTCTGTACTACTTCACCAAAGTCCAGTTAATGTGTCCGGGTATCTGGGAACTGCCTCGCCTAGCTAGATATGGAGCCGACAGTCCATCGAGCGAACCTCCTTCTACAAAGGATTTCGAGATCCCTGACAAAGCAATCGACCTTGCTTGGCTCGTCTTTGACAATTGTGACAAGGCGTCAAAAGTTCCGGAACGCAAAGTGGCCATTTGGCTTCCAATTGTTCTATTCATGTCGTCGTTGGTAATATGGAAGAAGCTACACTCTCAGCACCCGACCGATCTCAAGCATGGAACCCTAAGAGTGCTGGGCATGTTTAAGGACGAGATTGCCAAACTTCCATGGCCATGCTGTGCTGAAATGACGAACACGCTGGACAGGCTCATGAAGAATTAGCGAAGGGTCCCTGCACCATCAATGGATGCTCTTCAGTGCCCTATCGTGAGGTCAAGTCTCGCCTTTAGATTCAACCATCACCTGACGTGCAAGGGGGCTGCAGGATCGTTACTGGAAGTTTTGACAGTTGGCGCGTCCACCGTCAGCTCTCGAACGGTTGGAACTTGGGGTCCCGAAAAGCACTACCCCAGGCCATCCGAGCATATACCCCATTTCTTCCGGGGCCGTCGGAACCTCATTCCGTATGGCTTTCCTTCGGCTTGACGAGGGAACAATCCACCAATTACGACTTCCGTGGTAGAGTGACGGCCTTTCGGACCTTCACACCAAACGTGCCTGTTCATCATCTGCACAAGATCAGTCCGCAACCCCAGACGTTTGGACAGAACAAGTTGAGCGCATTGGGAACTTTGCTCCAGGCTCTACCTCGGCAAAGGGCTTCTTGGACCACAGGCACGAGCCAACTCGTGGGGTAAAGGAATCCCGGATCGTGCCAAATCGTAAGTGGCCAGCAATGGTGGCTTGACCACTGACGGAACGCGATTCTTACAATAAAACAGCCAAAATCAACATCTAACTTCGGAACTCATCGACTTCTTGAACGTAGATTAGCTGCGTCAGAGCAACATGGCACAAACTAACGGCTTGAGCGATGGCGCTGCCAATGGAGTGCAAAATGGCGATACAGACATTGAAGTCTTTACGGATTATCTGATTGTCGGTACTGGTCCAGCTGGTGCTTCGCTAGCATGTTTTCTCACGCAGCATGGTGAGTGTGCAATATGTATATATTTGTTACTGCGACAACGTGAAGTTGATGCATTGTAGGTTTGACTGGCTTGATCGTTAGCCAAGATCCAGGCAACGCGGATACCCCTCGAGCTCATATCACGAACATGGCAGCAATAGGTGAGAATGGCCCGATTTTCCCCAGAGTGTACGTCGCTGACCTGAAGCAGACTGCCTGCGAGACATTGGAGTGGACAGAGACTGCTATATCATCGGCACTTCTGGCGATTCTATGATTCACACCCGTTGGTCCAACAGTTTCGCTGGTGAAGAGTATGCTCGCATCTACTCATGGGGCAACGACCCGAAACGAAAGGTATGCTCCAAATATCCTAATCCAGAAAGCGGTCTGACATTTAGCAGGGCGACTATGCGCTTGCCAGCCCTTCAGAGCCTCTGGACTTGCCACAGACCTTACTTGAACCTCTACTGATACGATATGCTACGTTGAATGGGTTCAAGTGCAGATGGGACACCAAATTCGTCTCTTTCGTCCAAGAACCGAACGGCAGGGGCGTCAGCACCACTCTTCACGACAGAGTCACAGGTCGCGATTATCGAGTCCGCTCCAAGTATTTGTTCGGCGCCGATGGTGCTCGTAGTCCCATCATGCAGCAAACAGGCATCCCGATGATCAAGCGCCCTGGCCAGGGTTATGCTATCAACATTTTGATGGAGGCAGACCTGTCGCATCTGATGGAGAATCGCATGGGCAATCTGCACTGGCTTCTGACGCCCGACAAGGAGCATCCCGATTTTGCTTGGATAGGTTGTATTCGAATGGTGAAGCCGTGGTTCGAATGGTTGTGCATCATCTTTCCTACGCCAGGAGCCGAAAGGAAAAATCGGTCTCCCGACGAGTACATGAAACGTGTCCGCGAATTCATTGGAGACGATTCAGTCGAGGTGAAAGTCAAGGGTATCTCTACCTGGATGATCAATGAAACAGCCGCAGAAGCATACTCGAAAGGGGATGTCTTCTGTCTCGGTGATGCCGTACATCGACACCCTCCGAACCATGGCTTAGGGTCAAATACTTGTATTCAAGACGCCCACAACCTGGCATGGAAGGTGGCAATGGTCCACAAAGGTAAAGCAGTCAAGCTGGATTTGAGTAGCAACTGACGACATCGATAGGTCTCGCTGGAAAGGAGTTGCTGGACAGTTTCAGTATTGAACGACAACCCGTTGGGCTTGACGTCGTTACACAGTGAGATGTCCAAGTTTAATGTATGCTGTACGGCAGGCTAACACATCCGGCACAGGGCGAACGCTTCTCTTCGCAACCACAAGAGGATCTGGGAAGTTCTCGGGAATTTGGAGTCCACGGTTGCGGCCCGCATGGAAGCCTTTAATATCCTCAAAGAAGACTCTGAGAGAGGACGAAAACGTCGGGAAGAGTTGCAAGCGTGTTTGAAGCTCATCAACCGCGAGGAACATGGTCTTGGTATCGAGATGAACCAACGGTACACGTCGACGGCCGTGTACAAGTCTGACCAGGGAGCAATGCCTACGTTCTCGACGGATCCCCTCGAATACTATCATGCGACCACATACCCTGGTGCACGATTGCCTCATGTCTGGCTTAGCCACACCATTCCTTCCAAGGCAGTTTCCACGATTGATCTGGCTGGAAAAGCTCGCTTCTCTTTGTTCACCGGCATTGGTGGCCAAGGATGGAAGGACGCGGCGGAGAGGATTTCTGCTGAGCTTGGCGTTCCTATCGCTGCTTACTCGATAGGATTCAGACAAGACTATGAAGATCGCTACCTCGACTGGGCCAAGGTCAGAGATATAGAAGAATCAGGCTGTGTCTTGGTAAGGCCAGACTATTTCGTGGCATGGAGGAGTCAGCGGTGGGAACAGGATGGGGTCGAGAAGCTGAGAACGGTGATGAAATCGGTGCTGTCACGAAGTTGAGAATTACCATGCGATGATATAGTACAAACGAGACCGTGGCAAGAGAGAAGCTACCAGAGGGGACTGGTCCTGGAGTATGCAGGTATGCAGCACCCCAGCGGAATAAATACGTGCAGCAGATATGGCTACGCTCCTGCAATACTACACTGTATGAATAGACAACTTATGTTCTGACGGAATGGAACTCCCAGAAGGTCTCTACATTTGCGACCTTGGTTCAATGAACATGTCCAGGCCTTTCTGATGGACAAAGAACGTGTTCCAGATCTTTAACCTCTTAGGATCCACCAGGGTAAACTAAAGAGGTTGTCAGCGCAGTAATACCTGAACAGGCGCAAGTTACGCACATTGAACTTGCTCAGCAGCAGCGGCACCAACTTGTAGACTTCCAAAAGACTGATATTCTTGCCAATACACGTCCGCTTACCACTTCCGAAAGCCATAAACAACCGCTCCATCTCTGCCCTTTCTTCCTCTGTCGCCTCCAACCAGCGTTCGGGCCTATACTGAGTTACGGGATACTTGCGACCATAGACACGCTTGTCCATATGTACGACTGCTGGGTTGCAGCCCACGATAGTGCCCTCGGGAAAGAAGTGGCCACATAGGGTCACACCGCCTTCTGGCACCAGTCGCTCCAGGATGACTCCCACTGGGGCATGCAGTCGGATAGCTTCTTTGATTACCACATTCAGGTACGGTAGGTGGTTGGTTTCTTTGTATCGAGGTAGTGCTGAGAGGTTGGCATTGTCGAGCTCCTGGCGCAATCTTCCCATCGCATGAGGAGTCAAGCAAAGGAAGTCTGCCTACGTTAATAGCGTACAGGGTATCGGCTTCGAACTTACAAAAGATTGCACGCAACGTGATCGCTGTTGAGTCAGAGCCCGCATTGATGTTGCTGAGCGACCATCCAAGCAGTTGTTGCGCCGGTATCTTTCCATGATATTTATCAGCCGCAGCAATGAACTTGGCTGTAAAATCCGTTCGATCTTTGACCACCTTCTCTTCGCCATTTCGTACTCTGTTGGCTTCTTCTATCCTTGGTCCCAGGAATGTCATGACGAACCGGGAGATGGCACCTTTCTGCTTAGCCCAGGATGTCTCGATGAAAGGGTTCTTCGCCAGCAGAAAGTCCAACCAAGGCATTTGTCCTATGACAGCAGTGTACCAGCCTGACGCCTGAACGACATCAATCATGTTCGCCACATCCTTGCCCTGTTCCAAGAATCCAAAGCGTCTACCAAATGTCATCTCTCCGATGACATCAAAGGCATACCACTGTAGCCATTCGCCGAAGTCGCAAACTTTGCCAGTATTCGCATAGAGTGTGCTCATCCGTTCAACGAACAATTTCGACGTGCTATCCACAAAGGGCTCGTAGTCCAGCAAATTCGTCATAGAGTAAGCGCTGGCAATGGGACGTTTTGCGGCTTGATGCTGCTTCTCGTCGTTGATCATGAAAAGCGATGCCACACGCTTGCCATTGACGATGGGCTGGGCAACTCGGTAGTACTCTGACTGTCATGCACATCAACACCATTGCTGGCAAAGAGTCACTCATCCTACCTTTTCGAAAAGCCTATTGATTCCATAAATCTGTCGAATCTCACGTGGGTCACCGACGCTGATACAATTCGGCCCGACACGCACGAGGTCGCCGTACTTTGCGTGAAGAGCCTGGTTTGAAAGCTCAAAGCGGCCTCCATGAACCTTTAGCATGCGCCATAGGTCTGTAAATGATGCTAGGAACGGGCCTGGGGCGTCTCGTACATAAGGTTGATATCGTAGGTAGAAAGCATAACATATCAGCCCAAAGGCAGGTAGGGCAGTCCCGGCCAACAATAGTTCAGCATACGACAGCAAGAATGCCATTGTGGGCCAGACGTAGACTTCACGGCGAGCCTCCAAAGTCGTGTTGATGCAGTTGTTGGCTACGGCCCTGAATCAGGTCTGCTGATAAAAGGACAAATCGTGCAATACTTGAAGGCTGTGATGACCCAGCAACATTCCAAGTATGGAAACGGGAGCAGCGTCTGATTCCACGGATCTTTACGATGTTCGGCAGACCTGGAGCAAGGCCGTTCCCAGGTGCGTGGGGAGCGGCATCTGGAGCTGACGGCCCAAAGCGGCATTGAACGGCCGACGCGGTGTGTTCCCAAGTCGGGGCATGTTCAATGCATGTCAACTGCCGAAGTGTGGACCATCCGGCCTTTAAGACGAAGACTTCTGAAGCTACCTTATTCCCATTGTAAATATCTGACTTTACCCATGATATGAGCAGGATCACCTCTGTTGTTTGTTGTTGATTCTACCCAGCTACCTATCCCGACCCAGCCATTGGCTTCAAAGTACTCCTCAATGTGCCTCGACGTCAAGACGTGTAGCATCTGCTCCAATGATCTTTGCGCCCTCTTCAGTAGACATGATGCTGCTCCTGACCTTATGACGAATCGTATGACCAGCCAGCATAAGAGTGATAATCAGCATAAAGGCACCAATGGAGAAAAATGCCATCATTCCAAAAACCCAGCCAGTTCCAACGGCCGCCTCCCAAGGGTCAATGAAGAATGGAATGGCGATTCCAAAGATTGTACGGTAGAAATTCATGATCGTAGCGGCCTCGACAGGATACTTGGTGAAACATTCGACTTCGTAGTTGACGATGACCGGCACTGCAACATTCGAGGAGAAGTTGAGGAGGAAGTTGCCAAGTGCCGCAACCATGTAGTGAAGATGATACTGCAAGGCAGCGCCGAAACAGCCCAAGCCGATGCTGAGGCCGATAAGGGACGGGATCCACAGCGCATGTAGACGGTATTCAGGCCTCCAGATGCCGCCTGCTCTTTTGCAGATCCACAGAGGAAGTTTGTCAGCGAAAAACAGACCATAGAGGTTCCCGCTGATGCAGCCGAGCCAGGCGGAGAACGTGACTATCGTTGTGTTAGTCTCTTTCCTTGGACGCTGACATGCGCCGGGAAGGACGTACAGTATGCGTTTTGGTTGGGCGAGAACCCGTATCCACCTTCTTCGACAGGGGACTGCAGGAATACTGCAAGGAGGTTGTTGACACCGACAGACCTGTGTGTGACATTAGTCGCCTTGGAGGGGACTTTGGTACTAAGATCAGGCTTACCATCCGAACACCACCATGATAAAGAGCCCTCCAAGAATGCCCACCGGATGCAAACCGATACGGAATGGCATTAGTGCAAGTTTACCCTTGCTGAGTTAGCATACCATGCTTGTCGTTAGCCCGGTGTACTTACAATGTCGCCTGCGCTCCGGCCAATTGGGACACTTGGTTTTCGGAAGAGGTAAGCATCCATAGCCCGCCCAAGGAACGTAGTTGAACGCTTTGGATATTGCGCCTTTCCAGGTCTGCTGAAGCCAGTTTCTTCCATGCAGAAGAAGACCAGAAGAACCACAAAAAGCTCAAGGCCGACGTTGTACCAGTATTCTATTGTCCATGACGCGCCATTACCAACCACAAAGCCAGAGAAGGTCGGACCAGCCAGTGTTCTGAGTCGCAGAGTTAGACATCGCGTGGGATATTAAAGGTGGCATGCTTACCCTAAAAGGATCATGACATTATAGAAGGAGAAGCATTTGCCTCGTTGATGTAGGAAGAACAAGTCTGTAATGAAAGAAGCACCAACTGGAAGCAGTCACAGTTAGTAGCAGTCGTCCAAACAGGTCGATGTTGAGAGAACTTACGACAGGTTGCGGCCGAGCCAAACAAACACCCAAACAGTCTCGAAATGACAAAACTCTCATATGATCCAGGGCTGGTACATACAGCTGCCCAGATTGTGCACACCGCGGTAGCTATCATTGCCCAGAAGATACAACCAGTCCGACCGAGCTTTTGAGCTGCAGGAGCCCAAAAGAGCGGGCCAGCACAGAGACCAGCTGTGGCGGCAGAAACCTATTCCTTCCCATCAGCTATTGTGTATGGATTTCCAGAAGGCTCATACACACCGAGTATGTGATCTCCACAGGAGTTTTACCATAAAGTGCTCCCTGTTGAAAGACACTGGAGACGTTTCCGACGGCTTGCAACATACCAGCAAAGCCGGCGAAGGACACCATAAAGAGGGTGAAGAGCTTTCTTCCCTTTGACCAGTTCTATGGTCGTCAGAAGTGTGCTGTTTCAGGAGGGTAATGGCATACTAAGGGATCCTGAGGGTCATCGCTGGGCTGTGGCACGAGCGTGATGCCGTTTCGCGTCTTTGCTGCTTGCTGGTGAATATGCTGGTCGCTGTCTGCGTACTCTGCAGCGACGACTTCCTTGTTCATCTTTGCCTCCTCCATGTTAGTCGGTGCTCTAGCTCAATCTTTCCCAGCAGAGGATGGAAAGAGACAACCCCGCAAAAATGACGGGCCTATTTATCTGGGGAAAGTTGATAGTCTTTAATAGATATCATTTAGGCTAGCTAGACGCTGCATGACTGGTCCCTTGTGGACGGCGTTTCGCGGTATTCCATCCTCATCTGCCCCGGGCACCACTTGCACCGGAAGAGCAGCACCAACGTCGCAGCTGCGGAAGGAACGGCGATCAGGGTTTGGACACCGTCTGGCGTGGGGTCTATTTATGCGGACTGTGACAGTTCTCTACGAACGGTGACATGACGGAGATTGATCTAGCAAGGATTGGAGCGCTGATGCACTGATTCGGCTTTGAGGGGTAATTGTGCTGGGCTGTGCATACCAGACACTGGCTGGATTATGCAGCAGCCAGCAGATAGAAGCACAGCTTCTAGGCGCGTTCTCGTCGAAAGCCAATCATGGGTTGAGTACATCTTGCGGTTTCGCTTCGAATCACGTTGAGAATAAGCACCCAACGTTGAAAAGCAATATCCGTAAGGCAGACACCAATCCCTAAGGAGAAGCTATAGAGTTCGCTCGGTTTCGTGTCTCCATGCTCGGCATAATACTCGCATACCGCACTGCCAATTCCTTCTCCCGTGCAGTAAGCTCACAAGGAGACTCGGCATTGAATTTGTTAATGGTAGTTGTGATATCTGCTTGTCATTAGACCGCGAGAAGGCCAGCAAGAATAACAAACTCACCAATTAACAGGGAGCCAATTTTCCAGTACCTTGCAAACTGGTGTATCGTAAGCAGAACCAGCTCCTTGTCGACGCTGGTGATCTGCAACTCCTGGGAACTGGATTCATGATCTGGAAAATGCATGGCTGCAGGCCCAACGAGAGAACACGCAATGAATGGCGTGGTGTAAGCAATGTAGTCCGGTGTCCATGCTCGCACCACGCGTACGATGTCATGTCCATGCTGCACACACTTGGACGCCGTAGCTGTCCGCCCGTTGGTCGAGTTCAAGTTGGTTGTGGTTGGGGATACGGTACTGTCGGGCGAGCTTGCGATCAAAGCTGCATAAGTACGGGCTCTGTAAAAGGTTAGCGAATCCAGAGACACCCTTGAGACTCGGATGCCAGATACTCACACTGTCAGCATGATGTTCGTAGCCATGATCCAGTTGCTGGACGCAAAGGTCCGCTCATTGAAAACTGGAGGATTGGATGCTACACGGAACTGCTCAGGCAAACTCAAGGCAAAACAACTGAGTACCGACTCCATTTCCTCCTTGACCTGCTGCGGGACTCCTTTCTGCTCTACCATATCTGAAGCCAGCACCATCAGAGAGTTGGCAACAAGAAACCAGGCCCTCTCCGTCTGATTCGGTGAGCCTTGAAGACTTTTCCAGGCTGTCGCAGGCGTGCTTCCTACGAAGGCAGACGCAATCGGCTCAGCAGCAAACCAGTGATCATCCGAGGCGGGCAGCAACGCTTTTATTTTATTGCGGTCGATTGCGTAAGGCCGACGTGACATTGTAGAAGGAAATGCATCAAGCTCCCAAACGGACCAGAATGCACGGCGTTTCTCTTCGCGCTCCACCCATTCTTCGACAGACGACCATTGAGGGCGACCGAAGGTAGTACGTCCGATCAGATCCTCGTCGACATAGTTGATGCCTAGGTCATACGCTAGGCGCATGCATACACCAGACAGCATCCATCCAAAAGAGCTGGGCGAATTGGTGTGATGGTAGAATGCAAGCAGAATGCAGCCTTGCAAGTAGCTCAAGGTAGGAGTCCTATCTTCTTGGGAAGTAGCATCGGCAAATATGGTTTTGGCTTTCTGGGCGAAGATTTCTCCACGTTCGTTCGGCGTGGTTGCGCTCCAGTATGGCGAGGTAGAGAAGCGAGCCGATAACGACATGATGCCATTGAGTATCAAAGCTGACTCCAGGTCTAGTCGTCGGAAACATTCTCCGTCAGATACGTTTTGCGGAATGTATCTAGTATAAAACCGGGGACGGTGAAAGATAGGTAGGAAGCTGCTCACTCTGGCGAAGAAGAGCTCAACCCTGATCATCATATTAGCAACGAAAGACCATGGCAAGGCAAATCGTACAAATGTACCACCTGGTCTTCGGGTACTGCCAAAGAATAAGTCTTCGCACTAGAAGTGTCAAAAGGTCCTCCACTAGGCGACAGAGAGAACCCTGAAGAGGCGGAATGAGCCTCTGATCTTGCCTGACCAGCAGAATCTGAGTACTGGAAGCTCTGAAGATCTTGATGTCTGACTGGACTCTGCACAACCCATTGCAAGACTTCGTCCGGCAGCAGCCCTTGTGAGAGATCAGACTCATTCTCCCCGAAAGGTCCGCATAGTTGCTGGAATTGCCATATATTACCCTGTTCTTCGTTGGTTTGCAACTGCATCATTTGCTGGCCTGATGGATCGTGCAGAAAGTCTGTTACTTTTGTCGATCGAGGGACGTTCGATTCTATGGCCTCTGTACTCCCCAAGGGCTGTCCTATATCTTGTGTTTGAGACCTGGATGGCGATCCTTCAGATCTTTCAGAACATGCAGGCCCTGCCGAGCGCCGTTTGTCGCTATCTGACGAGGGGCTTGTCGAGTTGATGAGTTGCATGAGGCGATCTTCATGACGGAAGATAGAGAGCAGAACTCTCTTAGCAGCAGGCCAGTCTGGTTTATCAAGCAATTTGTCGAATGTGGTATTTGCGTCTCTGCTGTCACTCTTCTTCTCTTTCTTGTTACTGCTGTTGCGCCGAGGCTCTGGACGCTTTCTTTTCGTTGGAAATATACATTCACTGCCAACACGCGCACACAGCGAGCATGCCGGCCTGCCCATATCACCTAATTGGCATCAGCGTTCCATCTGGGTCACATATTGCAGTTGTCAGGGTGCTCAAAGCAGCTGCAGGGATGAAGCTGAGCAAAGAAGGATCGTACATTTCGTTTTCTTCCTAGGCACACCGCGTGTCAGCATTCAGCTACAATCTACGTGGCTAGGTAGTCTCTCACCTCTTGCACTCCTCGCAGGCACGGCTAGGCCACATAGGACGTTGGATAGAGCTTTGCACCGCAGGCTGTGTTGGTGGTATGGCCGAGTCTATGCAATGCTGCCCTCCAAAGGAAGCACCAGCGCTGGTAACAAACTCAATGCCAGTCATGTTATCCGTGGCAGTACTTGTGCTGGCGTGTGGCGTGTAGATTAGGGCGCGGACGCGAGATGCGTGCTGCTTCCTACTTGCAAATCAAGTGGTTGTCGCAGGCCGCTGGAGGAACCATGGGACTTCATGGAGCATGCGGAGAAATCGTGAAGTCTTCGTGGAGCATGAGGAGAAGTGGATTTCTCATTGGATCTGGGGGGGGGGATGCTGGGGGGCTGTCGGGGGACGAGCTAACCGAAAGCATTAGTTCCAAGGCTCACTACTAATGCTTCATCAAGCTTATTGGAACAACCGCTGTGCCGGTGACACTGATCAGCGCTCCAGGGGCTTGCTGTGGCCTAGTGACCCTATCAAAAAAGCAGCACACAAGCACACCGGGTAATGCGGCACCCTCTCCACTAGTATTGAGCCTAGAGCAAGATCTGACAAACCTCGAGCGCCATGTGGGAGAACGGCAGTTCGTAGAGAATGTTCTATTCAACGCCTATCCTAAAATGACGAGGCTTGAGCCTGCGGTGCCTAAGCATCACCATTGCGCACGTCTTCAATCCACACTTCGAACGCGTTGTTCGTGTCTTGCACCATTTCAAACCCCAGCATTTTCTTCTGGTATCCGAAATCGGCCCATTGCCACCGGCACGGTTTGATCCAGTCAACCTCTGCTAAATCTCTGTCGCGTTGTTCTTGCTCAGGACCGTCGGGCAGGTGGAACATATAGCGATTTGCGATAGCACCTCTCACTTGAAGCGTTGTTCTCTTCTTACGCAGACCTTCGCACAGTTCCAGGATGGAATGTATCTTTTCTCGCTTACCCTCCTCGGGTATTAGATCCGAGCTTTGTAAGCGCCCGAGTAGAGTCCCAAGCACACAGCCATCTTCGACCGCCATGGCGGCTCCTTGCGCTTGATATGGCAAGCTGGGATGAGACGCGTCGCCTATAGTGATAGCATTACCCTGTGCGGATGTCAACGATGTGCTCGTACAGTGAACTAGTTTGCGACGGCTTACCGAGACCCAAGTTCTAAGTTCCTCGTGATGACACAGCTTCCATTTCAAGACGCTATTGTGGCATGATATAATCTTCTGCACTCTTTTCATGGCCTATCAGCATGGGCGGAACATGAATACTTACGCCAATTTAGACTCACACAGGATCCCAGCCTTCATAAGTCATTCGCATCTCTCCGATATCACCTGCAGACGTCCTTGAATCTGGTGGGAGGTCATCTGGGCGACTAAAGGATCTGTTAGATATAGTGGCTCTGACGTTCCCATCACTCACATAAGAACCAGGTTGAAAGCAGTTGCGTCCTTGACGGGGTAAAAGACAGTGTGTTTATTGTGGCCCATCCAGTTGTAAGTGCATCTTGAGTTGATCAATTCGTTGATGTCTGGGTCGTTAAATGCTTCAAGCTGTGCTCGAGTAAAGGTGCCACGATATGCTAAGTCACCTGTTGGTTCCGGCGGAGAAGGTTTCTCCAGTACCATATCGCGAATGAACGACCATAGGCCTACACCGACGTCAGCTTGCACTCAACACCCAGGTACTTATACCACCCGACCATCTGCACCAACAACGACGTCTCCCTCAACCTTTTCACCAGTCTGCAGCAACACGTAAGGTTTTGGAGGTGAGAAATCGCCATCCACCACTTCTGAGTTCTTCCGAAGATCAGCTCCTAGCCGCAATGCTTCGTTCAGGAGGACCGTATGATAATCTGCTCGGTGTATCACACTAACGGCGTGATCAGCAATCCAGGCCTGCGCGATGTCATCAAACCCACTCACAACCATGGTGCGCCAAAGTCATTGATCATTCGGTCGCCTCCCTGTCTGCTGCAAAGTATCTTCCCATCTTTCCATCGTTTTAGATGGTTTTGCTTCACTTGGATGGCTCGTGCTTCGCGTATTTTGTCCTCAAGTCCGAAATACTGCAGCACTCTGGCTGCGTTTGGCGGTATCTGTATGCCTGCACCAATCTATATGCTTTTAGGTCAGACATACCTCTCGGACACAAACCATCAATCTCCATGTGTACGAACTGGGGAGATCTCCGGCGCCTTCTCCAGTATGACAACCTCAATTCCATGGCGCAGACAAGCCACGGCAGCAGCTAGACCGCCTCCACATCCTCAGCATATCGACTTCAAAATCCCGTGAACGGTCTTACCAAGGCCAGCTCCAACTACTACGACCTTGAAAGGTTTCTTTGACTAAGTCCAAGGTTAGCACGGAGTAGAACCGCGCCCGGTCTTCCCACCTGTTCACTGTGACCATTCATATTGTGGTGTTTGATGGTGGGTAGATATGAGACTGGGGAAGCCTCTTTATGACTACAAGCTCAAAGGCGAGTACATACTACAATTCAATCATTAGAGGATCTCCTGAATGACAACACGTCCGAAACAACACTGCCGGAGTATGTCATCTGATCTGGTCCTGGAGACCCCACGTTTTCCCCATTCAACCATCAAACGGTGAAACACGGTACTCTGAGAAATTCGGGGCTTTTGACCGTGTCCGACCCCCGCCGTGAAGGATGGCGAGGTCAGCCTGCTGCGTCCCCAGCGACCCTGGATCAGGGTTCACCGTCCCTGAGCTGAGCCTAATTTAAGCGCCCAACGAATTGACGGATGTCATTTCGATCCGAGGAACATCGGAGCAAGGCATCAGATGGCTCATCAAGCCTAGAGTAAATTGATGTGCACGTACACGCTCCTTCACCTGATGCGGGAAGGCATGAGAAGGATATAAAGGTGACCTCTACTAATTGCCCAATATGGGTGAATATCTTGCCGAGACCCCAAATGGCTATGACCAAGGTAACCATCACAGATTGTATCGCTCCCAGCCATATCTAACACCATGGGCACAGGCCTCGAGGTTCCCGTCCTCATCGTGGGCGCAGGACCCTCAGGTGCAACGACTGCCCTCCTGCTGGGCCGCTTCGATATTTCAACCTTGGTTATTTCACGCCACCAAGGGACTGCCAACACGCCACGCGCCCACATTTTCAACCAGCGAGCCATGGAAGTCCTTCGAGACGCTGGTATCGAGCATCTCGTAAAGCCCATTGCGGCGCCCAAAGAAGACCTGGAACACGTGGGATGGTTACATTCACTGAATGGGGAGGAATATGGACGAGTTTATGCTTGGGGCAACAAGCCTGACCAAGTGGGAGAGTATCTTGCCGCAAGTCCATGTCAGATGTCGGATCTTCCGCAGAGCCTACTTGAACCCATTCTGGTGCAAGAAGCGACAAAATTAGGAGCAGAGTTCAGATTCAACACGGAATTTATCTCGCAAGAGCAACTGCCTGATGGGAGGATACGAACGATTGTTCGAAACCGAGTAGCGAATACGACCTACAGGATCATCTCCCAGTACCTAGTAGGCGCGGACGGCGCAAGAAGCTCAGTCCTGAACAGTCTCGACATCCCCGTCGACGGCAAACAGCTATCCTTGGCGTTCAATGTACACATAAAGGCCGATCTAACCAAGTATTTCGCACACCGTCCTGGTTCAATGAACTGGATTCTCAACCCACAGGCACCTGACTGGTCCGCCACCGGATCTGTCAGGATGGTGCGTCCTTGGAATGAGTTCATTGTATCTATGCACCCTGCTGAACACCTAGAGCATTTTGAACCAACCGATAAGCAAGTACTACACAGACTCCACCAGATGTTTGGCGATGATACGATTCCAATCGAACTACTAGGACACTTTCGCTGGAATATTAATGATCAGGTAGCAAGAATCTGGAAGAAGGGAAGTGTACTGTGCATTGGAGATGCAGTGCATCGTCATCCTCCGATCAATGGACTAGGAAGCAATACTTGCATCTCTGATGCGTTCAATATTGCATGGAAACTTGCCTATGTACTGAAAGGACTTGCTAGCCCAAGAATATTGAACAGTCTAACACCAGAGCGGAAACCAGTTGGCGACGGGGTAGTTCGAAGGGCCAATGATGGAATGTTGGTGCATCGAAAGTTGTGGGCACTTATGGGTGCGACGGAGGAAGAACGCTCGCAGCTAAGGAGTCTAATGCGAGAACCTACACCAGAAGGCCAGGCATTGAGAACGAAGATCCGCGATCTGATGGAGCAAACTGATGACGAATTCAATGCTCTGGGGATACAGATGAATCAGATATATACGCATTCTCAGCTCACGATTGTTGAACCCGGCGATATCGCGCCAGAGCTGGACGGTGTGAATTTGGTGAAACAGCATGTCAAATCGACATATCCAGGCTTTCATTTACCACATGTCTGGCTAGCAAAGGATGGGCAATCGCAACGAATATCGACACTAGATCTCTCTGGTGCAGGTTGTTTTACTCTTTTCACGGGCATTGGTGGTGAGGCATGGAAACAAGCCGCCGAAGAGATCATGAAAGAAACTGGAATTGCTCTGAAAGCATACGGTATCGGCGTGGGACAGGATTATATGGATGCATATTGGGGCTGGCAGGATATACGCGGAGTTGATGAGGACGGGGTGGTCTTGGTACGGCCAGATCATTTCGTATGCTGGCGATGTAAGCAGATGCAAGCCGACCCTAAAGCAAGGCTGCAGAAAGTCTTGCAGAAAGTACTGGGCTGTTCGTAAAAAGGATGACCCCTGGGTATGTTCGACAAGGTGTCAAACCCACTCTTTCGCTTATTCAGAACCCCGATTCCTCTCGAAGAGCCTGATGGATGCAGAGTGCTTTGGGATCAGCTGACATTGTGCTCATAAGGGGTCTAATGGCTCTTCGGCTCAAATGGCTTGTATTAGAAAGCCATCATCCTGTCGTCTCATGCATGAATGCAGGACGGCATCTCCAGCTGAACCACCCGGGGTCCCGGAACGGAGAGCGGCAACTTACGGCAAAATCAAGGAACACCGTGGACGGACTCGATCTCGCAGAACAGCATGATCGATCTCAGGCAGCCGGAGGATTTCCATTTCGGTGTACCCCGCAAGAAGACAAGGAAGCGTATTTTCTAAGACACGTCTTGTTGCGATTCCGATTCCGACCATCAGGCCACGAGCATAACTAAGCTGTTCGAACACGCTCTGTTCGCCCTGTTCTGTCTTCGATTGCAGGATATATCAACAACAATAAACGTCACTCTCGGTTGATCGAGTCGAAATAGCGTCATACTCCTGAAATGGGTTCTCTCAGCGATAGTCGCGTTAAGCTTGCCAAAACACAATTTGTCATATACTACCACGCGGATCTCTCCAAAGCGTCTAAATTCCTTCTGGATTTCGGGTTTGAAGTGGCCGAACAACGGGGCGACGATGTCATTTACTTTAAAGGTTATGGCAGGGAGCCGTACTGCTATGTAGCTCGGCGCTCACACAATTGCCAGCCACACTGGGGAGGAAACGCTTATCTCGTCGATTCACGCGAGGACTTGGATAAAGCGACTACTATCAACGGCGCGACGACGGTCAGCAAGCTCGATGGGCCTGGTGGCGGCGAGATTGTTACCTTGAAGGATCCGGTTGGTCATCCTGTCCACCTAGTCTGGGGAATCCAAGAGAAGGAGCCAGAGATCGAGCAGAGGAACCTGCGGAAGCTGGTCGTGAACTACGAAGACGAGAAGCCCAGAGTAGGGTGTGGTCAGCGCTTTCAACTAGGTCCAGCGCCGGTGCATAAGTTTGGTCATTATGGCGTCTCCTACCCGCCGGGCACCTATCAGACGATGTATGACTGGTATACGCAGAAGCTCGGCCTTGCACTGTCCGACGTCGTGACCATAGATGGAAAGCCTGCGGTCGCCTTCTTTCATATCGATCATGGACTCGGGTATACGGATCATCATTCTTTTTACCTGAAACCTGCAAAGGAAGGCGAGAAGGTTGATGTTTCGCATAGTGCTTTTGAAGTCCATGACTTTGATGTGCAGCAGTTAGGCCACAACTACCTCGAATCGAAAGGGTATAAACTATCGTGGGGTGTTGGTAGACATGTCCTTGGAAGCCAAATCTTCGACTACTGGTATGATGAGAGCGGTTTCGAGGTAGAACACTATGCGGACGGTGATCTGGTCAACAGCGAGACACCCGTGACTAGGGAGGAGTTGGGACCGCACTCTATGTATATTTGGGGTCCAGAAAGGCCTACTCTCAGGGACTAGGTCATAGAACAAGTCGGCTTCACTAATGTCCTTTATTGTCGTCCTGTTATGGTCTCCACGGCGTCCCGAACCCCCTGCTCTACTGGTGTGCTTCTGATACATATCTAGCGCTGTTTCTCATATCAGGATTGTTCAGCTCCAGGAATCCGGTATCACTGTACTCGTCTGAACAACATCCGGAATCCAGCAACGGTCCCAGTTGAACGATGATGGGGCAAGCCACTGTTCGGGAGGGAGATGGCTCATGATCGCATTCAGCTCTGGATGTAATGTCCAGCCGTCAAGGTCAACAGCGGGAATTGGATTATCCATTGGGGGTGTTATCGAAGAGCCGACCAGATTCGGTTCTCGGACCACGCCGAAGGGCACAGCGTTGCCCAATATCTCTGGCATGACGACGTCTGCGCTGATGCGTCCCCGTGCATGCTGCTCTGCCTTTCCAAGAATGCGTCGAAGAATCGGAAAGGCTTTGGCACATACTTCACTTCTCTCCGACATAGCTTCGAGTCGTTGACTGCAGCGTTGAACCATAGCCAAGATAAAAAAGTATTCTTCGTCGCTGAGAGGTAGAATTTGTGGATCAAGAAGCATTGTAAGAAGGGTGGACGCACCCAGGAAAGCGTTGAAGCTGCCTAATCGAGAGACATACCAGTAGTAGTTGCGAAATCCAGCAGTTTCATAGAGTTCCTCATGGCTATCCAGAATCGCCATGGCAGCAGTCTTGCACTGTCTTCGACTCTTCTTCATGAGTTCAACGTCGACTGCTTCAGCACGCTGCTGTATTGAATTGTTATTCCTCAAGTAGGGTCGGTGTAGGATGAGATATAACTGGTTTGTGTAGTTTTTGAGAATCTGCATGTTTGCTTGGTGGTGAAGAGGCAAGTTCTGGAAGTTGGAGAACCTTCTGGTAAGTTCTTTCTGCTCTTGAGTTATCCTGGCGTCAAGAGATCGTAATAATGGGCTCTGTAATGGTAAGAAATCGAGGGTGGCGCGGCAGACATCGGTCGCCACTTTGTAAAGCCGAAATTTGTAAAGAATATAAGTCATCTGTGTAGGTGGCCTAGTGTGATAGGGAGCAAGGCAAGGAACGTGGACACCGTTTTCATTGATCTCATCGTCGTTGACATCTGCGGGGAGGTCAACATCAGCAGAGACCGGATTCGGCAACAGATTGCCCATGCATGTGGCCTGATTTTGATACAGCATTTTCAAGCCGGCCCAGCAGCGGCGTCTCTCCTCGGCTTCGACTGGGCCGACACCCAGATGGTTTGGATCGATGTGGCAGCCAATGGCTGTGGCGATGTGCAAGGTCAAGCCCAGCAACGGCCAGGTTGGACCGTCAGTATGAGACATGGCATAAATCAACAACACCAGTGCCTTCACAGTGTACAAGTTGTGCTGCAGCATAAACTGATCAGCGGACAAGCATTTCGTAGCAGCCTGCCGATATCTGGAAGCTATGCTACGAATCCTGGCTATGCCAGATCCCTCGCGACTGAGTTCTTGCAGTAGAGGATCGTCAATCTCCAAGGTTAGAACGGCAATAGCGAGAACGACGAAAAGTAGTGCCAGGAACGCCAGTGGGACTTGACCAGGAGACTTGCAGAATTCGGCGTATTCAGTTCGCAACGTGGGATCATGGAGAACGTGAAACAACTGTTATCACTGTCAGCAAACACTAGTACACGGGTGAAACAACTCACAGGTGAAAAGACAGTGAAAAACCTCTGCATCAACTCGTCGCACTGGCGATTAGAAGGCAGAAGTTCTAAGAGAGCCTGTCTAGAAACTGTAGACTCAACAGAAAACGGAAAGGCAGCCGTACTCGTTGGCGATGATGGGCTTTCACCTTGCATGAATGCTGCTATATCTTCGGAGTTGAAGGACTCGGTATGGGGGATAAAGCGAACATAACCCCCTGGTGACTTTAACAGGGAGCCCGTCAATGGGAACGATGATGATGGTGGCAAACTGGCGTCTGTGGCTGCGTATGCTGAAATATTTGGGGAGCTTGATGCATCGCTCGAAACCCCAGTGGGAGTCAGGGGAATCGTATTCCTGTGACATGCAATATCCTCGTCAATATGCTGCCTTAGTAGAGACTCCAGGCTTGCAATTCTGTCAACGAGATCGTCGTAGAGAGCACTGTCGCGTAAAGGACCTCCCGAGCGTACAAAGTAACAACTACCTCCGAAACCTCTCCGCACGCAGGATTCACACGGCGCTCGACCTCCTGTGCATTTGATCTTGCGGTTGCGGCAGTTTTCGCAGCTGATTGGCTGCCTCTTAACGGTATGTGGTGTCATAGGGAGAGCGAAATCGCTGCAATCTCTGTGAATTTCAGTACTCTGCTGAAGGTGTACTGCTTTCATAGAGTTAGGAACGAAGGTAATGTCGAGAAAGCAGCAACCCCGCAAATAGACAGAAGGAAAAACACTTCATGGGGTTGGCACCCCTATAAGGGGACGAGTCTGGCGAATGTGGGTGGCCAGTCAAACTCCAGTCTTCCCTTCGGCACTTACTTCCATCAGCTATAATATATTGGGCCAATAATCACCGGAGACGACGGCAAAGACCGGTGGCTGATGCCGGGGGGCGAGTAGCGAACTGCCGTAAATGCTTGTTGTCACTTCAATTACCTAGGGAGTGATGGCCTAGGACACAAGTGCACAAAGACGTATCTATGTACGCCCAAACTTCTAAGTCTTGCCTATAACTCTACGCGTCCGTCACGCTTGATCAACTCATCTAGACAGACTACGAGCTCGCATCAAATTACTAATGTGCAATTCCCAATTTCTCCGCCCTCTGGACCTCCTCGCGATAACGCTCAGCAGACGCCGCCCTCATTTTGGCACCCCATTTGATGAAAACCAAGAAGGTGAGGACTTGCGCAAGCCCTGCAAAAGCAGCAACCAGGAATGCGTTCTGGTATCCCAAATTGACAACCCAGGGAGTGACTCCATAACCAATTGCGAAGCTCATGGTGTTTCGGATGCATATGACGCTGACAATAGCATCTGCACCCAAGTCCTTGTACGTATCGATGCAGTAGGAGATGGCCAGCTGAGCACCGACTGAGCAAGCCACACCTGTGACGCCCATGGCAAAAACCAGGCCGAACCAGTGAATGCCGTGAGCAGCGCCGACACCCCATTGAATCAAAGACCACGGCACCACAACAACAAGGATGAGGTAAAGCCAAAGACGCTGCTCAGACTCCCAGATACCCTTGTTGCGGCGGGCAAGTCGTAGAACAAGTCTGTCGCCTAATTTGCCGGAGATGAAAGAGCCTATAAAAGTTCCGATGATAGGCGAGAAGTATGTCAGTCCTACCATGGAACTTTGATGATGCTGTTAGTCAAAAGGCGCACCCAGGCTAGAGAGACTCACGGGGCAAAATTGTATGGCGCGCCACTGAGAATCAGAGACGAGGTCGCGTTCAGGACGTTGTACCAAATCAAGGAAGCACCATAGTTGAAACCGCAATAAGCAATGACAGGAAATGTCATGAGTTTGAGTGGACGCACCACACCGAATAAGAAATGTCGGAGTGGTCTTCGTCTGTCGAAAACTTTGAGTTTTGCCAGATAGTTTTTCTTCTCATACTGGGTATGACTCGGCATCTGTTCAGCATAGGTCTCCTCAATGGTGCCAGGCTTGTCGCTGTAGGATTTGGTCTCTTCATCAGGGTTTGATCCGGTAGCTGCCGCAGCTAACTGTGCTTCGTCATTGAGGATCGAGGGTCGGTTGTAGTTTGTCTCCTCCAGGAAAAGGAAACAGAACACAAAACCAATTGCGAGCCAAATGGTGCACCAGTACTGTCACTCATTAATCAGGAGTTGCCAGACATGATTCTTTGCTGTGCTTACCTGTACCCACTCCCAGCCCATGGCATCATTGATGAAGCCAGAAAAGACCGGTGCGAGAAAGCCAGCCGTGTACAACGTCAGAGCGTATATCGCCATATACGTTCCACGCTGATGAGAAAAGTATATATCGGAGATGGAAATTTCGGCCAACGACTCACTGGGGGCTGCCAAAAGTCCTTGAAGCACCTTGAGCGCCCACCAGGAGCCTGCAGTCCTGACGTAGGGAACCGATACAGTTATGCCCTGCATCATCAATTAGCCTTGTGGTTGTGCCACTACGGAGAAGAGATCCCTCACGATGGATAGCAATAGTGATAGAAGGTAGACGGGTCGTTTGCCGAATGTTTGAGCTGTAGGCTGCCTGATCGAGAGGGTTAGTTTCGGGCTGATGGGAGACCTGGCCGCTCGGTGAGAGGTTTACCATAGCAAGCAACCCCAACCCATCAATAGAAATTGATAGCCAGTTCCAGAATTGAGATCTAAGACGTAAGTCAGCATCTTTGCGATGACGGATGTCTATGCTCTGATTACCAGCCACGGTAAGACCAGTGTCTTGCGAGATTGGCACAATGATTGAGTAGACACAAGACACTGCCAACCCTATCATCAAGAGATACACAACCAAGGAGACCGTGGACAGCAACTTTCGCCTCGGTGACCAATTCAAAGGGTCATCTGGATCATTGGACGGAGCAGGCACCAGCACCACATCGTCGAGGTTCCCTCCCGCATGCTTGACAGCTAGAGTACCCTGTAAGTCGACAAGGTGCACAGTGCCGGGTATCACAGAGCGTGCAGCCATGTCCGCTGCTCACAGATTGTGGCAATCTGATCTCCTCAAGACGAGCTTTTCTGGAGAGCCGCTCTTATACCTGGCTGTCTCACTGTGGGATTGGCACGTAGGAGAACGATATGGGAGGGTCCTAAATGCCACTTAAGGCCTCAGACTCTTACCTCCAGACTCTCTTCTCCGCCTGCTCCGGCCTTGCCAGGATTCAGGCCATTCTCACTCGTGGCTGTTCTGATTCATCAACGATATGATGGGTGCTGACGTACAATGATCAGTGTGCGGCGAAAAGCGGAGTATTTCACGCCGCTACTCGGTCTGGAAGACGGCAGGTCCGTCTCTAGAAGCGGACAATTGCGGACATGGATAAAGTCCCTGATGATTAGCGAGGATGCTGGGTTTAGCCGACTGCCAAAGGGAACTCGATAGGTCGGGTGTAGGTTTCCCTCGAGGTTTCCTCATGGGACCCCTAACAACTACCCCTCGTCTCCTCGGCACTGCTTGGTGGCACAAAGGAGTCACTCCGCACTCCAGGTTTTCTAGAAGGACTTCCTGCCGTTAGTCGGGCAACAATTATTTAGTGATCGCTTTGGGGTACAGTGATGATTTGCGATCAAGCCTGATATGTACAAGATAGCACCAGCACCAAGTCGACCCTTGGCAGACTTACCAAGTGTATTACATGCTGAGGCCGTTTATCCTTAGAAAAGAAATTGATTCCGTATCCCCATTGCAGGGACCATGTCTTCCCAATTTTCGTAATCCTGGCTTCCTCCTTCGACACCCTGAAAGCAAAACGACTTCATGCATTACTTGGGTACAGTACATTGTCCAAAGTGTTATAATCCTCCTTCAACGTGCGAGGAGCTGTGAAGCGCATCAGCATGTTTGCACTGCCGGCCTTGTCATTCGTGCCACTGCCTCGTGCTCCTCCGAATGATTGTTGACCAATTACTGCGCCATTCGTCTTGCAGTTCGTGTAGAAGTTGCCAGCCGCGTAGCGCAATCTGTTCTCGGCTTTGCGGATCGCCATTGTGTCGTTGGCGAAAATCGCTCCAGTAAGTGCAAACCCTCCGCCCTTCTGGTCAATCTTTTCCAGGACCCAGTCGAACTCAGCATCAGGGTAGACATAGGCTACCAGCACAGGTCCAAACAGCCCCCGGTCAAAGAGAGGGTGATCGGCATTCTTTGCAACGTAAAGCGTAGGTTCAATGTACAAACCCTCTCTAGAGTCGTACTTACCACCTGTGACAAGTTCAAGCTGACTATCTTTGTTCGAGGCGTCGATAGCCTTGGTAACCTTGTCGAATTCTGCTTGATTGATGACAGGACCCGTAAAGCTACCAAAGTCTTCAGGCGGACCAACTTTGACGCTTGCCAACTCGTGCTTCATTTCTGACAAGAATTGCTCTGCACGGCTCTCGGGGATGTAAATCCGCGAGCAGGCCGAGCACTTTTGCCCAGCATACTCGAAGGAGGCGCGGATCGTATGTTTACTGCATTGCTAATGTCGGCAGATTTGTGCACAAGGTGGAAGTTCTTCCCTGATGTCTCCGCAACAAGGCCTGGGAAGTCGCGATATTGCTTTTCCCTCACGCCGTCTGCGATCTTGCCGAACAGACTGCGGAAGACGGAGGAGGAGCCTGTGAAATCGATTGCCGAAAGCTCGGTGTGGTCGAGAGCCACTTTGGTCACCATTTCAGCATCACCGTTAGTGAATTGGATGACATTAGGTGGTAGGCCCGCCTCGCGAAGAATTTTGTACACCAGATAGCTTGCATAGATGTTGGAAGCAGACGGTTTCCACAGAACAACATTCCCAAGAAGCGCGGGGCCCGAGATCAGGTTTCCTCCAATGGCGGTAAAATTGAATGGCGAAATTACATAGACAAAACCTTCCAGCGAACCCCACTCAGTACGTCTGCGGTTACACAGCGTCAGTACGAGGTTACTCCAGTGCACATAATGCCACCCACCCTGCTTGTCCGCGCTCGTTCATAGGCTGCCTCGAATAGATCTCCTCAGCAAACGACACATTATAACGGTAGAAGTCGGCCAGTTCGGCAGCCGCATCAATCTCTGCTTGCCATGCATTCTTGCCCTGTCCGAGCATGGTTGCCGCCATCAGCTCGAATCGGTACTTTTTCGACACGAGCTCTGCTGCTCTCAAGAAGAATGCCGCTCGGTCGTAGAACGGGGTGTCTTGTCAGGACCTTTTCGCCTTCAAAGCCGCTTTGACCGCTGCAGATACGTCGACTTCGGTCGCCGGCTTGTATTGAGCAAACACAGTAGACGCCTCGGATGGCAAGTAAGTCTCGGAAGCTAACTCGTTTGATTGCGTTGCCTGGTCTTCGCCATCCCGAACGCTGGTACGCGCACAGGAATCTTTGCCCGCATATCCTCCAGTGCTGCAATCAACTTCTCCGGCTCAGGGGAAGACGGTGCATAGTGTAACTGGTTCTAGGTTAGTCGGGACACGGAGCGCCACAAAAGTGTTCCTCACATTGGGTTCGTTGAAGGGTTTGGGAGTATGTTGCAAACCAGCTGTAGCTAATAGCCTCCTGCATTGTATTGGACATATCGCCCATACTCGGGCTGTGCTGAGTCTTAATCCCGCCTGGCGATAGACCGACAAGGTGGAAGAAGCAGACTGGGTCAGCATATTGCCGGTGAATGCTGAACAGACGAACTAACGACTGGATGATCCGGGGGTTGACCTTTACGAGAATTACGTGGGCAGAATCGAAAGCCAACTTCGTGACAAAGGCAACGTCGTGTTTCTTTTCAAGTGAACATGCTACTGCCAGCCACACACCGCTGGATAAAAGCTCCAAGACTGCCTGCATACCCGAGTCCGCCGAGTGCATCTTCTCATCCAATTCTTGCGACCAGTTCCCCGCCCGCAACCACCCGGAGCTGTGCGTCGCAAAGGAACCTCATGTCAGGAATTTTTTGAGGGAAGCCGAGTAAACTTATCGAGTCCCATCTTGGCGTTCGTCCACCGAAGGGTTGCATTCGGAACCGCTGTCGTAGCGCAACTCGAGGTTGCCACCATCCAGCCCGGGTCCAAATCTGGTCCACCAGCCCGTGCCCGGTGGTTAAGGGTGCAATTGATTTTCGCTTCGACCTGCACTTGTTTCGGTGATCCCATTGATGTTGTCTTTATATTGCCCAGTGCGAACAACTACGCCAGGTTACGTACCAGCGAGCTACGTGGGTGCACAATACGAGGATGGTTTCTAGAAGATCCCTGCAAGCGATGAGATTACCCTGCTACCTGACACGCCAAGTCTGGCACCGAACAACTAGTCGCAGGTCCTCAACATCTCGACAACGTGTGCATTGGCACCCATCAGTATGGGTAAGTTCTCGGTGAAGCAAGACTTTTGTAGGGCCTGTTGATTATAGATTAGGTCGTTGCAGGAGATAGAGGTCGTTGCAGGAGATAGAGCAACTTGTCGACGGTTTATTATATTCAACATCAAATTCGATAAATCTGCCGTTGCTTGTGTGCTACGCCGTGAACGAGCATTAAAAAAAAGGCCCATTGCCAACCTGACACATAGTACGATTTCCCAGCTTTCCATCGGAAATATCCCATGCATAAGCCTGTCTCTCAACGCTTCAGCTACCACAGTTGGACGTAGGCGAGGAACCTCCTCCACTTGCTCATTTTGTAGTACTCATCAAGCTGGTTGATCTCTTCCACACTCAATATTCTCCGGCCAGTGACGCAGTCCACAAGCTTGGGATCGCGCCACGGGGTTCGGAAGATCAGCTTATATGCGATAGTAAATCCAGCAATAATCAGGACCCCGATCATGTACTGGAAAAAGTTGTAGGCCGTAAAGCCTCCGCCGGACTGCACAAAAAACATCAGCGGTGACTTCATTGCGGTTCAAACCATACCACTTACAACAGGATTGATACCAGCAGCAATGCAGCAGCCGAGCAAGAGAAGGGATATCAGCATGAGCCAACCTGGGGCCAGAGGCCAGGCCGATGATCTCCAAGCGTAAAGCTCTTGGAAAAGAGGATCATTCTGGGCCGTCAAAGCGCAGTGAAATCGCCAATTGGTAAAGGCGATGATGATCCAATTGGAAAAGTACGAGGCGCTGATGATGGATATCAGCCAATTCAACGCCTCAGAACCGCCAGCTGTGAAACCACATTGATGCTGGCCGTGTTTTGGAGAGCTCCGCCATCGCCGGCATCTTTCACAGTCATCTTGTCGTCCATATTTTTGGGGTCAACGGTGGTGGTTGTTGACATGTCGTCCACAGTGGAGGCTGATAATGCAGGACAAAGAAAAGGCAATACTTCTGCGCGAGACCTACAAACTTGGACTTAATATATCTCAGCGTAGGGTAGATCAAATCTGAGCAGAAGTCCCTAGGATATGGACCGGTCATCCCTTAAAAGCTGCGCCAGCCCTGGTGTGCCCTGAGTAGCGACCGCAGCCTAAGCATCGTGATACGAAGGTCCTAAAAGCAAAATTTTATGTAACCAGACTATGACATCCACCAAGCTACTCAGGACTGAAAGGTCAACTTTTTCCGCTGGGGAAAGGGCGAGGCCAGGCACCAAGGCCATCCATCTTACGAGTACAGAATAGCTGTAGGATGGTAGCATAGATGGCCGAGTTGGTGAGCTTCGACGCCGGGCACTGATCCGAGTTGCTACCCCGCTACCTCGAGCATGAAGCCGACAATCACCCTGATGCAATCTGGCTACGAGTTCCTTTTATCTGGCCAGGCTCTCTGCAAGCCGGAAACCCGTACCGGCATCTACCTCTTACGCAGGCGCCACTCAACACAATGGAGCCTACCCAAAGTCACAGTCAGAGCAGTGCTAGAAAGCGTGCTCCTAAAGCGTGAGTTGGTTCGGGCCCACAGACCGAGGGATGCTGACAATGGCTATGCGAAGGTGCCGCCGACAGAAGATCAGATGCACAGGATCATGAAGATGCGAATCATGTACCAGGAGAAACATGACATGTCACTTCGATAATCATGCCGAAAAATTTCTTGTGACCAGAGGGTAAGTCCAAAGCCATCCGTTGGCTAATCCGTGCCAAAGGATTCCAGGTATATCAGCGAACTCCAAAAGAGAATTTTGTCGCTTGAGCAAGGCAGACAGGCTCCCGCTTCACCTTCGGCGGCTGGTGACGAGCAAGCAGATTCCGACCGGGAGTCAGATATTGGTAAGGAAGTCAAGTTTCGCATCTGACCGCTTCTGGGATTGTAAAGAAATTAGTGACGACGACGAGCTCGCCAACAACACCACGGACGACACCCTCGGTGGGGTAGATGAAAATCTACTCCAGCAGCAACCAGAGAGGCCAGCTCCTGCAGCACCACCAAAACCGCCCGAGGAAGAACAATCCAGAAGCTCCTCCGAGACGTCCCTTATGAACCCCCTTGCGCTTGGCTTTACAAGCTATTTCTCCGACACCAGCGGCAGGCCGAGTAAGTTTTCATGCCATTGACAGAACAGCAAAGAACTGACGTCCAACTCTCAGTCTATCTGGGGACATCGTCCAATTGGTCATTCGGCAGAAGAGTTCTTGCAATGGTACATGAAAAAGTCCTACGAGCGCCTCTTCCTCCAGAGAATCTGCTGTTCGAGGGCAAGTCCTACGACCTGGGTTGGGATGGAACACGACATCTGCGCACGGCGGCACTGTCTGAAGTTCCAGCACTACCCTCCGCTGACTTTGCAGTGTACATCATCAATGCGGTCAAGTTCCACTGTTGCCAGCTCTTTCACCTGTTCGAGGAAGAAGGGTTCATGCAACAATTTTCACAGTTTCAGGAGAACCCCCCGCAGGTGATGCGCTCTCCGGACCTGTGGTGCATCCGCTATCTCCTCATCCTCGCCTTTGGGAAGGCGTTCGTCGGCCAAGGCAGCAAAGGTCGCAGGCCCCTAGGAGCCTAATTCTTCCTGCATGCCATGAAACTTCTACCAGACTTTGCTTTTTACAACGCGGACCCGGTTGAATCCATCCAAGTCCTGTGTTGTGCTGCCCTATACCTGCAGTGCCTTGACTTTCGAGGAGCCGCGTATCGTGTTGTATGTCTGACCAACCACTAACTTACATACCCGCCATTCAATCCCAGATTGGACTCGCTCTCCGCATGGCCCTGGAGAATGGCATGCATACGGAGATGCGCAGCAAACAAGTAGGCGAAGCCCTGAGTCAAAGGTGTCGCAAAGTGTGGTGGACAGTATGCATCTTGGATCGCCAGATGTCCTCACTTATGGGAGTGCCCATGGCCATTGCAGATGAGTCCATAAGTGCGGAGCTACCCACCTTTGCTGGCCAACCCCAAAGGTCAACAGCAATGGACGTCCAGATCAAACTATCCAGGGTCCTGGCCCAAATCCTCAATAGTAAGGCATCAGCAACAATGCCCTACCTCAACTGCAGTGCTAATGGGCTGCAGCTGTTTATGGCGCGGAAGGTCGATTGGACAAACAATTCCTCACCACCGCAAAAGAGGCTCTGAAAATGGTTGCACGTGTCACTGATCAATTGGACAATTCCTTCAGCATTCTGGCCGAGGGCCTAAACCCAAGCATCTCAAGGCTCTCTGCTTATTTACACCTCTCATATCACCAGGTACGCCACATAAGATGAGGGCCCGTCGAGTGTCTCTGCATTTCTGACAAGTTTTCAGTGTATCGTACTCACAACCAGACCGTTGCTTTAGAGTTTTCTTCAAGGTCGGATAGGACAGTCTGACTTGGGTATGATCGAATCGATCCGGTCAAAGAGTGTCCGGATCTTACTGCAAATGTGCACTGAATCGGCCCAACAAATGCTCACCATTCTCTCGGCCTTACAAGACCACGGGCTCCTTGGTAGGTCCTCCAGCCACGATCTAGTGTCGACGAGCACAAGATGTCAGCTAACGACTCGCCATAGAAAGCTTTCTCCCATTTGACCTCGATGGCACGTTTAACTCATCAATCGCGCCAATGACGGCTCAATCTGTTGATTCTTCTTTGGTCAAGGATCACTCGCCATGGACCCAACGCGCACTCACTGTTTTGGACGAGATGATCTCAAGAGGCAATCTAGTTGCTAAATTGATCAAGACGGAGCTAGAACGGTTGCAGGACATTCTCAACAGTTTGCCAACGAAAGCCGTGGTTCATGCGGGTAATGTCACTCGTTCCTCTCATGTTCGCGGGCACGATGGGCAACAATCACGCCCTCTTGGTACTAGAGCAGCTTCACCTGCACTGCTTCCTCCGCCATCTTACCTGGACTCTACGCAGGCAATGCAGAATGAGTTTCCCCTGGAAGAACTTAATTGGCATGATGGTTTTACCGCGGAAGAGCTCGTGAATTTCGCAGACTCAATGGACCTCGAGGCTCTGGACTGGCTCTCTGCAGAGGGAGGGCAGTAGATATTTTCGTCTTCGCAAGCCATATAAAATCAATGTGCCGATGTACACATTGCTGATAGCGCAATGTTGGTCAAATTTTGCACAGCTTAGTCCCTTGTTCCAGTCAATGTCAGATTTTACCATTGCAACATTGGTCTTTATGCTACAGTGGATATTTTGACACGCAATACATAAGATGGTAATACTCGGAAAGATACTGCAACCCGGAAGCTCCCACATACCCTTTGCTGTCGTACAATAGCCCGGAACCGTGCAAATCTCGGCCAGAGCCCTCGGGAAGGTTGCCGACCACTTTGTTTGCTGCCATAGCAGCACCTAGTGGCCTGGGTTTCCCTCCATAAAGGGGCGAAACCATGCATACACCAGCCATCACGGCGTGAAAGTTCACAGGTACAAGGCTGTCACTTCCAACCACGTCGGTCAACAAACAGGCTCCCCCAAGATGCACCCTTCCAAGAAACATACTCACAACGTTCCTCGCCCTGGCTGCTATGTTCCTGCAGTAACCTTCTTCGACTCCGATACAGACAGACTCGATTTGGATGCGCAAGCAAAGTACTATTCATATCTGGCGTCTACAGGTCTCACCGGACTTGTCATCCTGGAAACCAATGGCGAGACGTTCCTTTTGTCTCGTGAAGAGCGGACGGCATTACTCGAACTTGCGCGCAAATCGGTCCCTACGAACTATCCGATAATCGCTGGAGTGAGCGGCCATTCTACTTCACAGGTGATTGAGTTCATCGCCGATGCGTGTCCAGCCGGTGCCGATTACGCCCTGGTACTGCCTTGTGCATATTTCGGCAAACAGACCACGCCAGCTGTCGTTCGTAGATTCTATCTACCAGCTCTGGAATGAAGGCAGACGTGAAGAAGCTCTTGCTCTACAGAAGCAGGTGGCCTTGGCCGAATCACCCACAAAGACCGGCATCGCGATCACCAAGTACGCGGCTGTTACCTTTACTGCTCCAAAGGCCGGAATTCCCAATGCAGCTTCGCTCTTGAAACCCCGACATCCATATGAAGCGCCACTCGAGGCCGCCAAAGAATCAATCTGGACAGCCATGGAAGGATTAGACAAGGAGGAACAGCGTATATTGGCTCCGACTCAAACTCGCCCTTAGATTGATGGTACTTTGTAATGGGAATGATGAACGAATAACCAAGTTTACTGTATAGTAGTTGTCTATCAATTCTTCTCGGACATGGTTTGGGAGTATCGCACAGCATGTCTGAGGGTGTCAGAGATTCCAGCTCGCACCTGACTCCGTTCAAGTTGCAGTAGCGCGTTAACCGTGATGCTTCGTGGAACTGCCATTGCTACTTTCAAAGACTCGATAGTTTCCTGTCCTCGGAGAAGTGAGGACGAGCTGCGCAGACATTGTGCCGCAACCGCCAGCGCCACTTGACGTGGTATTCCTTCCGCAAGACTTGCGTCGACAATCGCATCGGCCGCCACCACAGTCAAAGAATGGCATGTAGCGCTAAGGGCAGTCACACTGTCGATAAGATTCTCTGGCACGAGCTGCGAGTTACCAACCTGCTCAAAGAGCCACTCAACAACATCCTGGTCAGATGATGACAGGCCAGTGTCGGCAATCAAAGTTACAGACTCATTGATTTTTGCCCCAATGCTGGGGATCACACATTTGATGGAATTGTGCCGCTGAAAGGGTAGATTGCCTCTCGAATTTGCTGAGCGGAGACGCCGGCTAGGAGGGAGACGATCAGTTTTCCTTGTAAGGCTTCCAGCAATGCTTTGTGGCTCGAGATTGCGGTGAGTTGGTATGGTTGGAAGCCTAGCATCACCACTTCAGAGTCGACTACGGCCTTAACATTGTCGCTCGTGATCGTTTGAACATGATCGTGGTTAGACGCAAAGGTTTGCCGTAGTCTATCGAGTGAGGCATCGGAGGAAGCAGTGACTGAGAAGCGCAAATCATGCGACGTGCCGGTTACGCTTTTGATGATGCCCGACAACAGAGCCGTTCCAAGGAATCCTGGCATGCGATTCAGCACCCATTGAAGGATTGTGGAGGCAGAATCAGTACTTACCACAGCCAACGATGGCGATGCGAAGCTTTCGATCAGTAGCTGAGAGAGTAGACATTGTGATGTCTGACCACGAAGAGCTGAATTTGCAATCTTTGAGATTATCTGTGCTGTGGAACTTGGGACGTCAACTACATCAACATGATAAAGGCTTGTCGTCGGGTCAATACCCGATTGAGGCGGATCCATAGTGGATCGTCAAAACGGACTTCGGCGCCGTTATGGAGCGGGCCTTGTCTCACGCCAAAGACACCTGAACTGACGGTTATCTACCGCTTAGAGTACTTCAGCTCTAAGTACCGAAGGGGAGGGTAGATCAGTGCCGCCAAACTGGCGGCGACTGGCATACCAAGGTCGGCGCCGTCCATCCTGGCAATCGGGCCTGTAAAGTAGACTTGGTCCATTTCGCCAAAACGTTAGCACCACCATTCCCACATGACAGAAAACAGAAACTGGAGATACTCACATCGACAGCACCGCACCGACCCAGCCGATAATGAATGCAGTCAAGCCGGCAATCCCGACTGGCAGCTTCGAGGGATCATTCCAATCTTCACACTTATACCCTTTGTTGCGGCGGAAAATGAATTCCTCCTCCGCGACCAAGGCCACCCACATGAGGGCCCAGTAGCCCATGAGGGCCAAGAAATCCGTGAAAACGCTGTAGAATTCATTGCGGCCAGCGCATGCGCATACTGTGTACACAAGCGTCGCAAAGACGGTCCACACGATCCGCGGCAGCGCGAGGCACCAAGAGCCTAAAGCTGGAAGGCCAGCGCTGCAGAATAAGTGCCAGGGATGTTATTGTTAATGAGGCCGAGCCCGACGATGACAGCACAGAAATGCCCGAATGCCCCCAGAGGCTCGAAGCCGGCAACGACTAGTGCCCCAGCAGAGACCTCGTTTGCGGCGGCCCAGGCGGGGTCGACGGTCGCGCCTGAGGCAAGGCCAACCCCGAAAAGCATGACGAAGCAGGCCGAGAAGCCTAGGCCGATGGTAGTGCATGCAAACACCTTCCACCGGCTGGTAGATGGCGGGAAATATACAAAGTAGTCGCAGCCGGAGGGTGCCCACGCCACTGTCGACGACACGGACAAGAAAAAAAACTCAGGCGGTTCCCGGCCAAAGTAGCAGACGTGTCGTAGACCGACTGGCTGTTAGCGACGAATTTGGGCCCTACGACACCGGCGAGCACGAACAGGACACACAGTTGAGGGATGAGAGCGTGGCGCTCATCAACGAAAGAACGCAACCAGACATTCTTGCACCAAAGAAAGATTGTCTGCAACACATCTTTCAGAGTCACGATGGCCGTGGACAAAACAAAACCTATTTCCATCTTGGGGGCAGGAGCCTCGGGTTTATCAACTGCACTTCATCTTATTGAGGCAGGATACACGGATGTAACTGTGTTCGATCAAGCATTCGAGATTCCTTCGCAATATTCTGGAGCGTACGACTTGAATAAGATAATCCGGGCTGAGTATGAAGATGAGTTCTATACTGGGCTAGCCCTTGTGAGTGGTTACATCTCCGGATATCAGGGCCGCTGGCTCTTCATCGGGGGAAAGAGAATTGATTTTGTGCTCAGGAAGCAATCAACAGTTGGAAAACTCCTCTCTGGTGCTCCAACTTCCATCGGGCTGGAATTTGCATATCGATTGTCCATCATTATCTCCTTGGGTGCGTAGATCTGGTCATCATGAGCGACAAGCCGGGCAACATAGTCAGCCGATGGATTGAGGCAATGACTGGGGGTTAGGGCAGAGACGAGCGAGGTCCGGCCAGACCGTAGATGTAGGAAGTACGGATGAATGGCCGAAAGGCTGGACTTTTCGACCAAGGCACTACGGTTGTCTTTTCGACGAAACAATCCATCCGATCCGATTCCATCTCGCGGCATGCCTGACCGATGACATGGAGGCAATCAACCGACGCCAACCTTGTGATAAAGAATGCTCGACGCGGACTTTTCAAACTACGCTGCCCACGACTAGCGATATCTCAATGTAAACCCCGCACTTTCAGTGTTGTACCAGTGGGACTGACCCGTTCGCTGTCAACCTCCATGAACACCTACCACTGGAAAGGGCCGAGCGTCTTTTATCAGGTGTAACTTGGGAACAACGCTTTGACTCAATGTGTTTCCAGTTCTGTGGTGCGTACTATCCACCCTTGATAGGCGTGTAGGTGAATGCATTCGTCTCGTTCATGGCATGTCCACGGCTGGCTTGTCATCCCGATGAGGTGCACAATGCCAGGCCACCCGTGGGGTTCATAGATGTTCCTATAGGGTATATCCCACTTCCAGTCTCATGCTGTAGGCGCTGGGTGGTGAGTGAAGTTGACCGTTTTCGCGTATAGCTGTGCTCAGAGTGGAGGTCAAGTGACCCGAACGGGCACATTGTCCATCAACCCTGAACTGATCGGTCGTCAGGTTGGGACTATCGACCCTGTCGGTTCTGAACCCGGTACTCAATTTTTGTATTACTATAAGACATTCCTCACTTGGAGAGCTGCTTCATATCCCTCCCGACGCCCATGGCTTCCTCCATTACAAATACTGGCCTCAGGTTACGACCAACCACGTGTACACAACCCTGTTTCAGGAAGAAATATGGCAGGCTACAATCATCGGCGACCAACGCGAGACTCATCCACCCTCCGAAGGCTACAGGAGGTCCTGATCTCGATATCGTAAAGCCGGCCACTTTTCCGCTGGCACGACTCTCCACATCAAGCATTCTTCGAACTCTGCTATTAAGTACCTTTTTTACTACTCCTGTACTCTTCCGACCCGGATTTGCCGTATTCAACAAGATTGCAAACTCGACGTCGATATGGCTGAGCCCAGATCGAAACCCTTTGCTTCGAGCAATCGCCTTTCCGTTGGTTTATCGGCAATTCTGTGCTGGTCGGAACCCTGTGGAGATTCGCCAGCAGATGGCAGATAGTCGACGACTGGGATTCCGGCGTAGTGCTGTGTTACGGCAAAGAAGTCCAGATTGTGGCGGATCAGACTCTACTGAGCGGGGATGATGGCTCGACGAGTTCGATGAACGCCGAAATCGATCAATGGAGAAACGGGAATCTGGAGACTTTAGATATGATCGAAGAGGGAGATTGGCTGGGCATAAAGTATGTCATTGATCATTGCTACTAGGAAACGACTCACACTGTATAGATATACGGGAGCCGGCAACCACATCACCGGAGCTTTGATGCAAGGCCACCAGGCTCCTCCAAAGTTCATTGAAGCCATGGAACAGATCTGTGAGCGCGCAACCACCAGAGGATGCCGGATATGGATCGACGCAGAGCAACAGTTCTTGCAAGCGACCATAGATCAGTGGACCTTTGACTTCATGCGTCGTTTCAATCGTCCGGAACAACGCGCTCTGATATACAACACGGTCCAAGTGTACCTTAAATCATCAAGGGATAAGATCGACCACCAACTGCAACTTGCTCAAAAAGAAGGATGGCGGTCAGGGATCAAGCTCGTTCGAGGTGCATATATCAGCAACGATATCCGAGAGAGAATCCACGACACGAAAGCCGAAACAGATGCGTCGTACAATGGTATCGTCCAAGATGCCCTCAAAGGAGAATTTCCAGCATTGGCCGGTACTCAGACAGCTCAATTTGACCTGTTGTTGGCGGGTCATAACACCAAGACCATTCGTACAGCCACTCGTCTGGCGACAGAATTGGCAGCTCAGTCAAGATTGAAAGTGGTTCCCGAATTTGACAACTTCAGGGAATGGCTGATGACATCGGTTGCGAATTGCTCCAAGCGGCAGACGATGTCAAACAGCAAGATGAATCATCTCGAGAGACGGCTTTTGTTCCAAAAGTGTACAAATGTCTGACATGGGGTAGCATTCAGGAGTGTATGCAATACTTGACCCGATAGGCTCGTGGAGAATAGAGGTGCCGCTGATCGGATGAGAGGAGGCGCTGCAGAATTCAGGAAAGAGCTCTTTCGCCGTATGGGGCTTTCGAGGTAACAAGGACTGGTTATGATGTAGATGATGCAAATGTCAAAATCCTAGGCAATGCTAGGCCCTAGCATGAGAGGTAGTAATTACCATGTACACTTGGACTCGCAAGCTCCCAACGGAGAGCCTTTGCAGTCATCAATCTCTCTTACGGTTGACAGTAATGCGAAAGTTGAATCTGGGCCAGTGGCTCGGCGAATACTGGAGCCGACAGGCACTGCACGCAGAGAGTGCGTCGCAGTATCGTTCTTCCGTAACTTCCGAACATAGAAGGGTTCGAATGTAAGTAGTATCAGTGCAGTGAGCGGGGAGTGCGAGAACCTGGTCGGTGCTGTTCATCTTGTTGATGAAGCTGCTTGACAAACTGCGTATAGCTTCTTCAGAGTCAGCAGCGATGAGGGTCTGTTGCCGGCGCTGGTGCTGCCTCTGCTGTCCAACCCAACGCCAAGTGTGGACTCTCTCAAAATATGGACAGTGGAGGCGGGAGAGAAGCAAAACGCTTGACCAGACACGATCAGGGTTCGTCACCATTAAGAAAGGCCCAGGATGAGCATAGCGAGGTGCGCTATGAGTCGCTTTTCCCATCATGTCGGCCCAGAAGGATCGATGCGGACTGCTGGCCCTCGATGAAGTAGGTCGGGAGTGGCAGAGGATAGCAGGGACTCAAGGCTTCTTCCAGCTGAGTTCAGAAGGCCAACAATCGAATTCTCCCTCCAACATTGAAATGGCTTCACATGTTGTCATCTTCCTTGGGATTGTGAAGAGATGGCAAGTGCGGATCGTGTAAAGCCATATGTTGCTGATGCCTTTCTCTCCGGCAGTACAGGCACTAAACCGGAGCCCATTCCAATGGCGGCAACGTCGAACCACATTGAACGTGAACAATTTCAAAGCACATAGGCATCTTGTCAAGAAGAGACACAGCAGAACAATGTCGATGAGCACCGGCATCTTGCCAAAGCCATACATGATGGGAACAATTCGAGACCACGCAACGGCAGCAATGACGCACGACCAAACGACAGTGATGTCGGAGCATCAACGGCGGCAAAGTCCACCACACACTGACAGACACGTCGACCACCGAGTCCTCCAACATTTGGAGGGCTTGAGGCTGTAAAGCCTAGGCTTGCAACCGGCTGTACTTTCACCTAGTCTAAGCTGTGAGTGCCTTTGATCGCTAGCATGCTTCTTCAGTGTGTGTCGATGTCAAGCTCCCATCTGCTCCTAGTGTAGCTTGGTCAAACAGATCTGCAAGTGGTCTCCAGCCGTATCAGCGTGTGTCGAACAGAACCAGCGCTCGACTTCTTCCTCAATGGAGTGTCCTGGTCGAGTTGTAGCCGCTTCCAGCATGACTCTGTCAGACAGCCTTCCACGTTGTCTGCAGCCGATGTCCAGCTAGTGTCCAACGAGGCGGGCAAGCATGCTTCTTGAGCGTGTCAATGTCAGCATCCAGTCTAAGTTGGTCAAACAGCTCTGCAGCTGTCCCCAGGTGATGTCCAGAGCGTGTCCAGCGACAGGGATAAGCAATGCTCTTGCAGTGGTGTGTCCCTCCCGAATCGCAGCACGCTTACCAAGCTGACTGTGAAAGCCTTGCGAACTGTCTCCAGACCATGTCCAGCGTGTATCGAACAGGACGTGCAATCAATGCTCTCCTCGGTGGTGTCAGTGTCGGGTTCCAGCCTCCTTCCAGCTCAACTTTGGCGAACAATCCTGCAAGGTTCTCTCACTGTCTTGTCCAGAAGCCGCCCAGTTCCTTTGCTCTTGTGGAAAGACTCCATATTTCTTCTTGAAGGATGATTCAGACCGGAGGACACAAATCTTGCTCAACGAAATCATCTCTTATCAAAACATTCCTCTTGCACAACGCCTTTCGGAGGATTGTCAGGTGGTGGGAGGCCTCCGATAAGCTTTGCACGTTCGGGGGAACGTGACTCGGATTTCAACTTCGTCGACGTGGCAGGATGGCAGGAGGAGGAGTTCACCGTCGTGGTGAATAGGTATGGGGCTGTGGCTGTGACTTTGACATTGACAATGACAGTAGCATGAGTTGTGGTTGGGAGGCATCGACGGCTAGGTCCTCCGTCGAGGTGGTGGGGAGCAGCGGCAAAAGGGGCGATAGAACTTCTCATCGTCACTCGTCTTGCAACGTCAAAGTTAGAAGGGATGTACTGGTGGTGATGGTTGATAGTTATGGCCTTCTGCTAGTAGCGTGGCGATGGCTTCGTGGCGATGGTTTCAGGATGGTCTATATTGATGGGGTCGTGGGGATGTTGCAGCCGCGTTGACAATTGACGATGATGGGTATTGCTCGCCAGTCCAAGCAAAGGGCGCAGTCAGCCTTCCCGGCGGGCACTCACCTTGCAAGCACGAATGTCGGTAGGCTATTTCAGGATATTGCTGGGGCAATGACGATCGACCAGTTGATCGCTGCTGGGCAATGGACAAACGATCATCTTGCTGGAGGGAATACTGGGCGGTGTGTTGGGGATGTTCATGCGGCGTCGAGACCCGATCGTTTTGGTGCCGCTCGGCATCACAGACAAAGGACCTTCTCAGCAGGTCTTGAAAGCATGACTGTCGGTTGGCCGTTTCAGGGTGTCGGTGCGGCGCTGACCGACTATTATTTGATTGCTGCTGGGCAAATGGATAGGAAGATGCTTTCAGCATACGCTCATGTTACAGGTTGTCGGTTGGATTCAAGGATCTGGTGCAGCGGCGTCGACGATTGAGCATTCGCTTACTGGTCGGAACCGGCGAACAAGGAACTCGTCGGCATATCTCATTTTGCAAGCACGACAGTCGGACGGCTTTAGGGAGAGGTGGCAGCAGCGTCAGCCACTGAGCATTCGATTACCGCTCGGCAAAGGGATGCCTCTCGGCTGGTGTCTTGAAGATCCAGCAGCGCCGTCGGCTGCGCATTTTGGCGATAAGGCATACGCCCTTCTCAGCGCACACTCATCTTGCAAGGCAAACCTCCGGGGAGATGCTCTGGTTGTTTCTCATCATCCTTCTCTTCCGGTTGTCTTTGCCACATGGTTGTTCGGAGAATTCTACATCCTTCGCTCGACGTCATCAAGTCAAGAGGCCGGAAAGACGGCAATTCTGGAGGTCTTGGAATCGCGGCGAAGGAATCGGAGGAAAGGGGTTGATGAACATTTCGATGGACATCAGGCGCGACATATACTGCGGCGCAAGCACGTCAGGGACAGTGCTTCAGGCGAGTGCTGGTGTCATGAAGTCTGCGGTTGGGACCTGAACACGCGTAGGTGATGTGTTCAACATTGTTTGCGCTACTCTAAGGCTTGGCAGTTAGACGCGGACACACGACGTGGTGATGATATCGATTGATTATGGGCTGCTGTAAAATGATTCGGGGGGGGAAAGACCCCTCAGCTCATAGTGGGCTGCTTAGCGAAAAGTGGTGCTTAGGCAACCCGGTTTCACCTAAGGGCACATCACTCCCCACGAGCAGACAGGAATAAGAAGAGAGCACTTACGAGTAGTTTAGATAGATGTTTTGAGCCACGCCAAGTATGTCATCATCTTCGTATTTCAAGTTCTTCATGGTTGACGGTTGCCTTGGCCCCCCTTCTCGCTACTCGTTTCAAGCAATTACCTAGACGTCCTCTTCATAATCGGGTTGCATCAATTCATGCTCCATCTCTAGGTTACCTTCCGAGTCAGCCGGTCATAATATGAAAAGGCAACCACGAATTGAAAGATCCTAGACTCCAGGATACCCCTCGGTCCCCCTCCAATCGAGTGGAATTTCGCCACATTCCCCTATCGACAGGAGAATAATGCGCCCATTCTTTACCTACGTGCTTCAGCTCTTATTCGCATCATTCTTGATCCCAAGACGGGAAACACAATGCCTCGCATTGTCCTCGACTGGGACGGCACCGTCACCAAACACGACACCCTCCATATCGTCGCTAAAATTGGCTACGAGCGTAATCGACACCTGAATCTTACGTCGTGGGACCAAATAGTCCAGGCATACATCTTGGACTACACTCAGCACGAGGAATCCTATCGCCCGACGAGGCCGGAACGTAAGACCATTGCCGAGGAGAGCGCATGGCTCGCCAGTTTGACCGACGTCGAAGTAAGAAGTGTGAAAAGGGCACGAGATGCTGGTATCTTCACGCGCGTCACCGACGATGACATTCGCATGGGAGCAGAGCACGCAATACGGAGCAATAAGATCCAGCTCCGTGATGGATGGGAGGACATTTTTGCTATGGTAGGTCATCCTGGGAACGATATGGCAAATCTATCTCCCGTTTCCATTATCAGTGTAAATTGGAGCGGCACTTTCATAAGAGCATGTCTATCAGCAGCGCTTGAAGAATTTCCACCCAGGAAAGGCACAGCAGATTCCATCCAGATTTTCTCCAACCACCTCCAGCCCGACCCTTCTGGCGGCGATTCCGAAGACCCTGGCATTCGCACCAGTGCCGATAAACTCGACGCTTTCCAAAGACTACGTGACAGTGGAAGTGGTCCTATTTTCTATGTTGGTGACTCGCCCACTGATTTTGATTGCCTTGTGGCCGCCGATGTAGCATTCTGCGTGCGCGATGAGCCGATGGGCAGCGGGCAGGCCGAGCTGAATGAGAGTTTGGAGCGGGTGGGCGTTCATGTGGCAAGGCTTGACTTGGACGCGTGGGACAAATATCGAAGGGAACTCGCGGCTCAAGGAGCCGAAAAGGAAAGCAATAAGGTGGTCTGGTGGGTGAAGGACTTGGGGGAAGTTGTCAGCTTCGCCGAGAAGTATGTCGGGATTGATTTAGCTGTGTAGACAAGATCTCTACGTCCTCAGTGTTTATCCTCTCATTAGGGGGTTGAAAGGGCCGATGCAGATACGATCAGGTAAGGGTATTATGAGGATAAGCCATAAGAAATAGGACGGCGTTCAAGTCTGGAACCGAACCAGCAACCTAGCCAGTGCATAAGGGGATATGAGGAAGCAGGAAGAAGCAGAACGGAACTGGGAGGGGACCAGAGCAGAGTGAAAACGGAGCCAGATAGAGAAGAAGGGGGCTTCGAGTGATGTGATACTCACTACATAGGATCAGCCACAATGTGTGACTTAATTCTGCGACATGCCTAGCTCAGTGTATGCATCGAGGAAGGCTGGGATGATCCAACTACGAAGTAGCAGGCGGTAGCTAACTATTTTTGCTCCCACTCCTCGTTGCAAGCAGCATATATGCGCTTAAGACGTTCGAATTAGATTCAGTCTCATACGATGTGGGTCAAATCGATGTCCTCATTAGGTGCGAACAAATTGGTTTTAAGGATACACTGTAGCGCGGCAGTCTACATTTCCAGCGGATGGATCAGAGCCTCTCCTTTTAAACTGTCGACTCTATGCGCCCGTGACGCTCTGCGGTCTAACCATGGTGGTGTCCACACGCGTAGGCGCGATTCACGGCACCGGCGGGAAGATCTTGCCCCAGATTACGCACTACTAGCCTTGACGTCAAACCACCGTGGTACGGCCCGGCGACCCAGTGACGTATAGATGCATAAATACGTAACCCGGATTTTCTTCAACATGACCCAGTATGACGAGTCATCCTACAGCACTTTATCAATTACGCATCCGCAGTGACGATATCATTCTCACAGCAGTACCCAGACTCGTCAGCTGAGATGCCACCCAAGAAGCTGCAACCACGGGCGTCGCAGGAGCAGCCGCAAACACAGACGTCACAAAGAAAGCAACAACCACAGATGCCACAGCAGAAGCCGCAAACACAGACGTCACAGAGAAAGCAACAACCACAGATGCC